GCTCGAAGAGTGCTTTTGCGAGTCGGGCTCGCCGCGCGATCGCACTTTGTCCACGACCTTGATGTAGTTGTCCAGAATGGTAGCAATCACCGGGACCATGTCGGCCTCGACCACCCTGGTGCGCACACTTTCTGAACCCCGTACTCCAATGTTGACAACACACTGGAAGGCGAGACTCCATTTCCACATTTCCATCAAATCCTTGGTCCTGCCCTCCTTCAGGATGCACACGAGTCTTTCGATGCCGCCATCGACGGTCAAGATGTCCCTGATCCTTGCCGACGAGGTTGTGAGGTATGCTAGATGGTTGAGGGAATTGATGAGAGGGAGGGTCGACGTGCAATCAAGGGCACGACGGTCATAGAGGGTGGTGGTGATATTGACAGATGCCTTGTTCACATTGGGAATGCTAAAGTTGACTTCCCGCATGATGGGCGGGGAGTGGTGGCTGAAAATTCAAATGAGACTAGAGAAACAATGCAGGAGTGATGGATGTAATTCGCATCCAAATGATTCGAGACAGCAGACAGGGCCAGGCGATGAGGACCTTGACGATGTCCAAATGGCGGAGATTCAGCCCCTAACCAGAGGGATGGCGCCCACGAGGACGAGATCGAGATACCCTCACAAAAAGCACTGAGTTTCACCCAGAGACATCAGGAACACCGGCTCAGGGGAGTATATACAGCGCCTGATGGATTCCCGAGAATGAGGGGAAGGGCAGCGAGAGGGGGTTGGGTGGAGGAGGAGGGGAGAAGACTTGTGATGACTCTCCACGAGAAACGAGACCGAGACGGGCGAGGATGGGCGTCAACGAGATGCACGGGGGATGGAGGGTTGAAAGTCGGATTAAAGAAAGAAACAAGGAATGCCAAATCGATGGAAGGGTCGCGAATCCGATCGTAGGGTCGTTGTGGAAGGGGAGGGATGGTTGAAGTTGAAAAGCCTTTGAGGGTGAAAGCGGAGAGGCGTCAGGTGCGCTCCTTAATATTACGGCACCCGAGGATTGGCTTCCCGCCACCCTCAAACTGCAGACTCAGACTCTGTTGGATTTTCTTGCCCTTCTATTTTTACCAAGTCACTCTGGTTATTTTTTGAGTCTTTTTTTGGCGGACTATAGTAGAAAAAATGAGATAAATAGATAACAAATATTCAGTTTCCATTCTATTACACTTCCTCCCCTAATCTGCTTTATTTCCCTCTCTCATAAATCCCCGACGTGCGCTGCAGGGCCTATCCGATCCCTCGTGGCGGCTAATGCTCGGGCTCGGGATGACTGAGGGTGACAAAGCTGATAGGGCGAAGCGGTCAGGATGTGCCGTGGTCGAGACCAGCAACACTGTGATTCTATTATGGATAATAAGATGATTGAATAGACAACTTTTCGTAATCTCTACCTAACCGCTATAGTGGTAGATCTTAATTTCATTCATTAATTGATCATTCTTGAATCTCTGTGCAAAAGTGGCTCCTCTTGGCTGCCATCCCTCGCAATAAAGCCGAGTCCCGACATCCCGATATTGAAGCAACAATCTTCCATTTCTATGTACGACAGGAATGATCAATGACGCACAAAACATGGAAAAATACATGAAGCCCTCCAGAACACGCTGGGTCTCTTTAATTGAAGCTAGACAAGGACCTGGCTTTGGGTGACCACCAAGGTAGATGAATGTATCGATAGTCGAAAGTCAGACTGGATCATCAAATTCCTCCTGATTAACCATGTCCGACCAAGAACTGTTTCAAATAACACCGGGCTGTCTAGACTTCGGAAATAAGATATGCAAATTTGAGGTCCCTTCGAGTCGGTCCGAGGTACTTGGGATCCGAAAAGATGCTAGAGCATTGACAGGGTGTACAACAAGCCTGATATCCGCTTACTAGAACAATGATTTGTCTACAAGAGGCGAGTTTTGTTATCCTGCCATCAATTCAGGCCTCCTTTTCCATAAGCACGATATATAGGATAGAGCTGCTGGTGACTGTCCCAATGCAGGGCTCTGCACATCGTGACGAACCCTGGGTACGCGCAAACCCTCGGGCCGAACGTGAGTAAGTATTGAAGACATGACTATTCTCATCAGGCTGGCAGATTAGTAAATAGCATAGTGCTCCTCGAGTTCCATCATTTTCGACACTGTGTATAACAGTAGTTATGACCGGATGCGAATGACTCAATGGCTGGGCCTTGGTGCACACCGTTTAGTCTCCAGTTGACTCAGCCGGGCAGCCGGTTTATGTCGCCTCCTGACAAACCATTTATTGTCAGATATTACATGGCAACAAAAGCCGCGCCAGCATGGTCGTACATGAAGAACTCTGGCCAGGCTGCATTGATTTCCAGCGACCAACGCATCTGGCTGTAATTCGATACACTTTGTCGATCTTCAACGATGAGTGGGGATCCCGGTGGAGAGAGGGGATTGGCACGTTCAACAGTCAGCAGTGGGCCTTTGCAGAACCAGTTCGGGGGGCCGAGCTCAGCGGTTCCAACGCCTGGAGAAGATGTAAAAGTCCACAATAATGCAGTAATCGAGTCTTTGTTAGTGAAGTAAATCATAACACACGACCTATAGATGGAGGTGTCGCGACTTGTGAGATTGTCCCCAGTCTGAAATCATCATGTCGTGATCTGAAGTTTGACCTCCATACTCCGTCAATAATGATCGACCGCAACCATATCAAGCCGGGCCTCTTCCTTAGGGGCCCGGGAAATAGGGGGGCCCAGAAACCATCGGACAGTGGGGGAGCTCATCTTCCTGCGGCACCCAGGGACAAGAACGCGAGGCCATGCGGCACTGCGCAATCTATTGAGATTGAAGGCCCCCTGGGCCCTGGCTGGATTCGCTGCTGGACCCGCCGGCCTGTTCAATTACGAGGCTTACAAGATTCCAAGGCAGGTCAGAATTGGGCGCTTCGAAGGTCATGCAGGTTATTCAGCCAAGTTGGATCTGTGGAGTCTGAATGGATTAAAACGATCAGAAGAGCGATGGTGTGAGAGCTTGGGCCCAGTCAGTGGCTGCAAGTGTTGGTTGATAATGGACCCTAGTAGGGAGTCTAGGGACAGGAGTGGCTAATTAGCTCGTTAACTACTTCGTGAGTACTCCGTACAGTAGTTTGTAAACTGACTCGGAGATGAGTATGGGCCCGTATGGTGGTATTGAAGATGGTGTAAAGTATAAGCGCGTACGGTATGGGATTGTAATTATCCTACTACCCTGTCCAGGCTGACAGAGGACCCAGCACATGTTGACATGGGACATCAACGTGATCTGGTTGTTCGTGGTTGAAATGGCAATGCGATTCTCGCAGCAATAAAACCAGAGCAAACCCATTGTCTTCCAAAGTATGAAGTGACAAATATCAAGGTATCGGAGCAGGGTACCGAAAGCGGGAGCGCCCCCTCAAGTCTCTTTTCCACCTCCGCGCTTTGGCGTCTACTGGTGTTGGTCGAAAGGAAAACATAAGGGGCAAAAGATCTTCGCTATCTGCAGGCAATGACGCCAGGGAGAGGTAAGACCAATCAGAAGTACGGGGCAAGAGAAAAAAAAGCAAGAGCAAGTAAATAGCCGCCAGCAGTACAGACGTGGAGACCAAAAAAAGAAAACGACGTACAGGGGTTCGAGAGAGGACTGAAGTGCCCATTCTGGTTTGTTGCTCCATAATATGGTTACACCCTGGGGAAATAATATAGTCCGTCCCTATGTATGTACGGGGGAGGTACAGAACAAATAGATTCTCCGAAGTCCTTACCCTGTCGAAATGGTTGTACGGAGTTCCATGGCCTATCGTTGCATGCTGTGTTGAAACTGGGGCGCACTATTGACCTCACTATAATTAGAGATTAGTTCTTTCATGACCGACGGTAGTGGAATAACGGGCCCCCCTAGGCCCCGTCAGAAGTATTGTACAGATACTACCCTGTCGCACATGTTCGTGTACATGGTGTATATCTCTACGCTTATCTTTGATTGAGGCATGATTGAAACTGATTAAACACTACCAAGATAGTTACCTTCTCCATTGACTATGGAGCAGGTGGCCCACTGAGCTTTGAGGGGATCGCTCACAATGGGGGCGATCTTCGGTGCTGGTGGGACCTGCTTGAATTCATCCCCAAGGCTTCATGTCTTTTCGAGGCACATAAATTGCTTGCCTCCATTGGTCTTCGTCATCACGGAGGATATTTTGAAATAACCTAAGATGAAGTGTGGGTAGCTCTTACGGGATTGAAGGCCCATGCGTTATTAAGCAGAGATGTCTTGCTTAGCCTTTAGGACGGCATAGTTTGGGTGATCAATAATTAACTGTTTAGCCTAGGTTTCGTTCATGCCAATCGTTCAATACTTTTAACTTGACCAATTAATTGGTCTACGCGAAGTACTCCGTAATATTCATCAAATAAACTAACTATATACTACTTAATAACAAATCGAAAAAAGCAACAGCGCTACCCCGACGGAGTTAAACACCAGTACAGTCGTACCTGAGAGGAATTATTTCCCCCCTGTGGGTGTGTATCGACGGTGTATTTTTTACTCCACCGGAACCAAACCCTCGGCCTGGCGCGCCGGTACATACAGGGCGAACAGGTAGATATGATGAATCGATTCTCGAGCTATTATACTTCCATTCAAGGCACAATGACGATGAAGAGAAATCAATGAATCTATGAATAGCAAGTGAATTGACTCGAAAAATTCAATCTAATCCCAATCGAGAAGTCTTAAACAGTCTCGATGCTTTGTGTTTGGTCTGTTGTCCCTATATTGTACAAGTATTGACTTGTCTTGGTGTCATACCATTACCACCTAGCAGCCGGTAATTTTGTCCATCTCCCCCTCTGTAGCAGTCAAATCCTCCTCAACCACTGGCCACTGCGGTAATTACCTCCGTATCCAAGTGACCGTACCGGCCATACCGATTGTACCACACCGTATTATTCTTGTAGACATCCGCTCGCTCTGTTCTTCCCCCCTGGTCAGAATCCAAGAAACCTTCAATCCCAATTCCTTCCCTTTTCCCTTTCCCCTCCCCGTTGAGCGACGTGGAATCTCATACAGGAAATCTACTTCCCTTTCACACTATCAATCCCCCTTGCGAACGATTATTTTACGTGTATTATGATCGCAGCTTGAGGCCCTGACTCGGTCGCTTCTTACCCTTCTGTCCTCTTCGCTCCACTTTCAGCCCCCTCGTCCCAACTTGCCCCCTCTACACCCTTTCCGACTCTCCCACCCAACCGCTAACCTCTCCCTCCACACCTCCTCCGCCTTCCCCCCTGGAACGTCCGTTTTCCTCGCTCCCCTTCATCCCACCACCACCGGTCCTTAGGGGTATCATCCGGCAAAATGGCAGCCGATATGACGGGCGAACAGATGCAGGCCAAGATCACTGCGGCCAGGCGCGAAGCTGAGGGTTTGAAGGACAAGATCAGGCGCCGCAAGGATGAGCTGGCCGACACCTCTCGTACGATTTTCCCATGGACTCTCCGTTATCGTTCCCTGGACCTCAATTCCGAGAATTTTCTCTTCCTCGATGGACCACTCTCAGGAGAGGTGAAGGGGGTGGTGAATTGATTACCATGAATTGCAATGAAATGCTGACCTCCTCTCCACAGTCCGCCAGGTTGCGCAGAACCAGACCGATACCCTTCCTCGAATTGGCATGAAGCCGCGCCGGACATTGAAGGGCCACCTTGCTAAAATTTACGCCATGCACTGGTCGACCGACCGCCGGCATCTCGTGTCAGCTTCGCAGGACGGAAAGCTCATCATCTGGGACGCCTACACCACCAACAAAGTCCACGCCATTCCCCTGCGCTCGTCCTGGGTCATGACCTGTGCCTATGCGCCTAGCGGGAACTACGTGGCCTGCGGTGGTCTCGACAACATTTGCTCCATCTACAATCTGTCGTCGCGCGAAGGTCCCACTCGCGTCGCGCGCGAGCTCTCCGGCCATTCGGGCTACCTGTCCTGCTGTCGCTTCATCAATGACCGCCGCATCATCACCTCCTCCGGTGATATGACCTGTATGCTCTGGGATATCGAGTCCGGATCCAAGGTCACCGAATTTGCCGACCACCTTGGTGACGTGATGTCGATCAGCATCAACCCGACCAACCAGAACATCTTTGTTTCTGGTGCTTGCGACGCCTTCGCCAAGCTGTGGGATATCCGTACCGGCAAGGCCGTGCAAACTTTCGCCGGCCACGAGTCCGACATCAACGCCATTCAGTTCTTCCCTGACGGAAACGCCTTTGGAACTGGTTCCGACGACACCTCCTGCCGTCTGTTCGATATCCGTGCCGACCGTGAGCTCAACATCTACCAGGTATGTCTTGCCCTCTCATGTTTCTGGACTTGTTGTATGGACCAGACTAATTGATTTCCAACACCAACAGAGCGACCAAGTTCTTTGCGGTATCACCTCCGTTGCGTTCTCCGTTTCTGGCCGGTTATTGTTTGCTGGTTACGACGATTTCGAGTGCAAGGTATTTAGTCGTCCCGATTTTTGATCGCATTTACCTCGAATAACCACTGACTGGGATTGCAGGTGTGGGATGTTCTGCGTGGCGATAAGGTTGGCTCGCTGAGCGGCCACGAGAACCGCGTGAGCTGCTTGGGTGTCAGCAACGACGGTATCAGTTTGTGCACTGGATCCTGGGATTCTCTCGTAAGTTCTGGTTTCTTTCTGAGTTGCAAAAAAGAAGACAAAATAACTGACTACTTTTCCCCACCTTACAGCTCAAGGTCTGGGCCTGGTAATCACCCCCACAAAAGAAAACAAACGCAAGATACCCCGTGTCGATCATTTGCAATGCTCTTATTCGAAATTTTCTTTGGTTCGGTGGGTCGAATCTCCGCCATTGTACGATAATAATCAGTTACCAGGGAACTCTTGGGTTCCCGGGATAATTACGGCGCAGAGGTTGGTCCGTCGCATGCGATACGGAAGGGTGTTGGGTGGTGGAAGGCGAGTGCGACGCCTGGGGAAGAAACGAAAGCGACGACACAACAATGTTTGGACATGACGAGAGCGCTACCGCTTGGGATGGTCATGGTGAGAGGTCCTGTGGAGTGATTTTTTTTCTTTGCAACGACGACACCAAAAAGAAACAAGAAGAGAGTCGCCATCCCACGCAGTTCTTCTCTACCTCTATGGCCATCCTATCCGTTGGCTTCCCTCCTGTTGGTGATGATGCCTTTTTTTTTCTCTTCTTCCCTGGATTTACCCATTTTTATTTCTTCTTCTCCCCGATTATTCTCTTTCAATTACCCCCTCTTCGTTTCCTTTTTTTTTTCTTCTCACTTCTTGATTGCCTTTCCCGCATCGGTTCTCGGTATGTATTTTCTCGGTGATGGAATGGACAGGGACCGGTTCGGTGGATTCGGCCATGATCTTTGCGCTGCTTTCTGAAATTTCCCCTGCGTTTCCGCGTCATCTCTCAATTTCCTTTGATTTCCCCCTCTGATCTATCTCTCCACATGTTTGATCCTTTCCCACCATATTTCCTTGTGTCATCACCCAGAGAAAGAATTGTGCCTGTACCTATTTCGTCTCATATGGTCTGGATCTTTTCCCTACTTTTCATGCAGTTCTTTCCTCTTTTTTTCCTTGAGAAGCTTCCAATTTCCATTTGTGATTTCAAAATTTTGAGTTATATCTGTCCATCTCTTCCTTTCTCGCTGCGTGTCGTGGGATACGCAGCCGGTCTGTTCGAACGGTGCGTTGGCCTTCGCTTGCTGGTTTCACTGCGGGTTGGGCGTCTGCGAGCGTGGCGTGGGCATCGGACATAGGTCATTCATACAAGGTGTTCGGTGATAGCCTGCCCTAGTAGTTTGTAAGTCCGTAGCACCAAGTAGTAGAATGGGGTAGATGCAGTCATGATGTCAGGTAGCCAGCCAAGTTGAGCAGGCGTGGCCGGTGATTGATTAGCTTGCTGTCTCTGGGAAAGGCTTATCTGGAGAGCATGCAACAATTCATGAACGTCACAGATGAGTGGAGTTCTTGTAGACAATCAATGAGAGAGTCAATCTCCACCACAATTCCAGTCAGCATGCATAACTTGTCCCTATGATCCGAGTCAGTACCAACTAACAGCGATCATGAAGCCAATCTGAACGACAGGGACAATCGATGAGCCATGGCCATGTATTCAGCATAGTTCACGATAGCTGAATGAACCCAGCTGATGAACACCTGCGAACTTCTCCAGTCAGGCGAACTGGACCTTCTGGGGACCATCCGTTCCTGATGAGAACTAGAGGTCCTTGAAAAGAAGTTCCCCTGGCATCATCGACGAGGATGGATTTGTATCTGCCTAGAGACATTATAGCAGGATATCCTTGACAATGAAGAGACTTCATCTAGTAAGAATCGAGCTTGTCCCTGGTGAATGTGATTTTGGGGGGGGGGGGGGGGGTTACAGGAGAAGAAGGAGAAGCCTGTCAGGCTACAAAAGATTATTATGACAGTGGCCTAAGCCTCGCACTGACCCAAGTCCTGACCCTGGCTTTGGCTTATCACTCTACTCTTTGTCCCCTCTGTTTCTATTTCCTCAAACTTTCCTTCTGTTAGGAACCCATGAGCCTAGAGGCCGTGCCAACTAAGTGGCCATCAGCCAAACGTCAACATCAACGGCAAGTTCAGGCCCATTAGAACTAGTACATTAGTACACACATACTACTACAGTACCGCAATGAGTTTAATGTTAAACTATTTTTAATTACGGAGTCCAGTCCATTATTGCCCCAATGTTAATTTAAATTTTGCAAACCAACAAGGTCGTGTTGCCTAACTTGCCCTGGCCTTGTGGATCAGATCCTCAAGATCCGCTCCACACAGCCCCGGCCCCCCAAGGCCAAAATCATTCCAGTTATTTTCAGCCTTAGTCCTAATCTAGGCAATGGCGCCGTAGTCCGGATGAAACACGACACTTGCACTGGAGGAATGGGGTTCTAGATTGGCTGATGAGAGATCTGCGTCACCCGGAAGGTGTTAAGCCACGCGCGTGTTTGTGTTGTTTCAGAGTTGCAGGTTGCCTGGCTAAGCAACCCGTTCAGCACAGGAATTGGGAGGTGAAACGGGCTGAGAATCTGAGAGATGACGAAAAGTGTGATGGCGGGAGTGACGGTGTGAGGGTATACCTGATTTGAATTTTGCTTGTTTGGGTTAATTAGCAGGGAAATTGGTTGGTGATGGAGAGAACCAACCAGGGATGTTATTTATTCCTTGAAATCGAGTCGACTCAGTCGAGGTTGTGGCACGAACCGCTCGCACTGACGCGCAGATGAGATTCCACGTGGGAGATTTAATTTGGGGGCCGACGATCAGTCGGGGATGATGGGATCGGTGTGTTGTTAACTTGTTATGGTCCTTCCTAACTTTGTTAGGGTTGTAGATTTGGGTTGACTTTGTTACTGGGCCAGGTATACTCCATAGTATTCTATAGCATCATTGTAGAGTCGGTTTCATGATTCAATGGCTTTTCCCCTCGGCCGGACCAGTCCGAACTACGTCAATTTCTTAGGATAGATGGAGAACCTGGAATAAAAGAATGTATCCAGTGGAAACTTCTTCGCCTGGTTCAACGTAGTGGGGGGAAGAAGACGTGAAACTCTGAAACTTTGCAAGTTCGAAAAAAAGGGGCTCGTGGTGGTTTTTCCTTTTTTTCCTTTTTCTTCTTTCAACCATCCACGACATCCATCATCCAACCGTTTCACCCTGGCGATCTCTTCCCAGCTCAGCCCCAACTCCGAGCCCATCTTTTCTTCTTCCTTCTTCTCTGTCTTCACCTCTCCGCGACAACCGCCCTACTCCAGACTCGCTCTAATCCGACCTTACCGTCAGGGGCAACATTGCTGAAACCGACCTAGACCGCGTGTCGATCCCTCCGATTCGAGTCCCGATCCCTGCCCGAAAGCGCTTCGCCCAGCTGCTTTGCCCCAGAATTCCCAGACAATCCTGGTTTCCCCCCCCCCCTCCTCCAAGTCACTCCAATCACCCTCCCACACACCACGACCTTAAATCTCATCTCCACCCCCCGGCCCCCGAGAGCTCTCGCTCTTTCTTTCATCATGTCAGCCCAAGAAGAATTCGACCAGCTGGTGCAGAACAATCGTGCCCATACCTCGTCCCACCCTGAAGACCGTGACGACTCCCCGCACTTCTCCGACGACAACGACTCCCTCTCCTCCCCACCACGCAACCTGCGCCAACGTCGCGTGATTGACTCCTCGGACGAAGACGAGGATTTCGACGACAACATGGTTTCCTCTCGTGGCAATTACCACGTTCCCAACACCGTTTTCGAAGCCAACACTGGTCCCAAGGGTGTCATTGCCGATGCCCAGGCTTTTGAGCGCGCCCGCAAGAAGTCCTTCCGCAAGACCCTCCTCAGTGCCGCGGGTTTCGACTCCAATGGCCCTGCCTTTAACAAGGGAACTCGGGATGAGCCACCAGCTCCCGCACCTGAGGGTTCCTCTGGCAGTGAAGATGATGAGGAGCGGTTTATGCGCAAGTGGCGCGCCTCGCGTATGCAGGATTATCAGAACCGCGGCATGCGGCGTCCCTCCCCACGTGGGCGAAGCTTCGGATCTGTAGACACTGTTGATGCGGCGGGGTATCTCGATGCTATTGAGAAGGTTACCTCGGATACTGTCGTTGTCGTGTGCATTTATGATCCTCACGTATGTTGCAGACCCCATTGACCTCGATCACCTGACTAACTTCGCTTTTCCAGTCCAATGACAGTGCTATTGTCGAGGAGTGCCTCGTCACCATTGCTCGCAGACAACCTACCACCCGTTTTGTCAAGCTGCATCATGAGATTGCCGAGATGAATCACATTACAGCTCCTGCGCTACTGGCCTACCGTGGTGGTGAAGTCTTTACCACAATCACCGATATCATTCGGAACATTCCTAAGGGCCGTAGCTGTAGTGCTGATAGTCTGGAGGACCTGTTGAAGTTGTATGTTACCTTCTCGAAGTGCAGTATATGCATATGCCTATGACTCGCATACTAACATCTCGTCCAGGAACCGCGTGGTTTGAATAGCATGATGTATCTCTTTTCTGCATCATCTTCGCACAGCAACAGGCGTCTTGGTTTCCTTCATTTCCCTGGACCGATATTTCCTTTTTTTTTCCTATCCTTTTCTCTCCACTACCATCACTCTACACACCTCTTCCGCTCCTGACATGTCTTCCTATCTCCTCAACCCCTTTCCTCTCCTTTCCTCATCCTCTTTGTCAAATGCATCCAAAACAGAAAAAGACGGTGGCTGTTTTCAGGCGTTGGGATCTCAATAGACCGTGTGAAACGGAGCTCGCGGCTGGATCATGTTTTTTCTCCCACGTTGACCTGTGTCCTATGCCGATACTTACTCTCCTTTGCGTTTTTCCTTATCTTGTTTCTATGTTTGGTCTCTGATCTATCATGTCGTGCGGGTCGGACTTTGTCTTGATATTGGTTTTAGTTGAGATATCCCATCTTGTTTTTGTTTTTCATCTATCAACGTCTTTCCCCTCTTTTCTTCTTGTAATGTTTCACCATATCAACAAACATCAAATCGTCGAGATAGGTATTCACGCAGACATTCTTGGGATCTCATTATTCAAGTACCCAGCAGCTCAAGACTCTAAGCTCCAGGATGGGTTAGCGTGTCGAGTTTTATTGAGCCAGCTTACTTAGGTCCCTTCTTGGTCGGACCTAGTTATGTCTCTGGTTAGGCTTAGAAACTAAGTATATCGGGATGCTCAGGCCAGAGTGAGTGGACCAGTTGGGATACGGAATGATCACTGGCCAGCTTGAAGATATGTGTTGGCTGAGAGAATCGAGTTGGAAGTTTTCCAAATGGGGAAGGTGTACGGCCAGCTTATGAATATCCTCAGTGCTTACTTACCAGCACTTATTGTCTAGTCTACGATGTTGCCCAATGATCTGACGTGAGAAGTTGGTTCTTCATACATTGGACAATTCCTTGACGAGATTCTTCTTTAATATGACTACCCCCAAACCAAACCACCATTTGCCTCCACGGATTTCTCATTATCCAACTTGAGGAAGGGAAATGGCTACGGAAGAGAAGGCAGCAACAGCAACGCCCACGGGCTTGGCCACGGCGGCCCAACCCTGGACATCAGAAAAAGTGGTCGAATCAACGAGTCCAGAATCAAAGCTATCAGCGCCGAAGACAGCCACGCATCCCCCTCCCATTCTCTGCCTAGGCATGGCCCGCACCGGCACCGCATCTCTCGCTGAATCACTACGCATGCTAGGCATCCCCAACGTACACCACGGGACGCAGGTGATAGGCCCCGAATTCCAGAAACAATGGAGTGTCTTCGACCGAGCCGCCGACGCAGCCTTCCCCGTCCTACCAACATACACAGGCAAACCCTTTACCCGGGCTGAATGGGACGAAGCCTTCGGCGAATACGGCGCCGTGACTGATATCGCCTCTTTCTATGCTATGTCATTGCTCAACGCCTACCCCGACGCACAAGTCATCCTCGTCGAGCGCGACATCGACTCCTGGCTCAAAAGTGTGGAACAGGTGTTTAAACCGTGGCAGAGCAAGTCCCGCGTCCGGATGATTCACTGGATTGAGTCTTTTATTGGAAGTCGCGAGGGAACAGTCAGTTTGAAGTTCGAGCTTGGATGGACGGAATCGAATCATCCCAGGGATATATATGGGAATGCGCGTGCCGCGTATGAAAGACATTATAGGGAAATCCGGGCGAGTGTCCCGCCGGAACGGTTGCTGGATTATCGGTTGGAGGATGGGTGGGAGCCTCTTTGTCGGTTTTTGGGGAAGGATGTACCGGATGTGTCGTTTCCGCGTGTTAATGAGGCGGCTGAGTATGCTAGGCATATTAGGAAGTCGAGGAATGATGGTTTGAAGAGGTTGGCGAGGAAATTGTTTCTGCCTTGCTTCTAGCGGTGTCAATGATCGAAACTTCGTTGGCCGCTGTCTTGAGAAAGTACCGGTGATCTCGATCAGGCGTGTGAATAGCAACGATTCTTAATATGATTGTTCTAGTCTTGCTTATAGAACTCACTCTATTAATTTTATTCCCCGAGGTTGAAGTCAGGCTGTTCGGGGGAGGGATGCCTGCTCCCTTGCAGTTTCGCCCCCATGGAGGTGCCGCAGATCTGATTCCTGACTCTGATCACGTCTTGAATAGACTCCTCTCAAACGGACAAGAAGTGGTCGAAAAGTGGCCACTGACGAAGCAGTAAGGGCCACTCCAATCTCAAGGTGTGATGTGACGATAAGCCCCGTATTGAAAAGGAGATTTCTAGGGTCACTGAGATCATGGATATAAGCAAATCTTGCCAGAGTGGCAATGCTGGCACTGTTTTGCCTGAGAGTGAGCCCGCGAAAGCTTTTCTCTGTGATGGGCAGCCTTTTTGGCAACGTACCATGAGCCGAGACCCAGGATAATCCCAACATATAGCTTGGTAAGGAATCCAAGATTAAGGTTATAGACCATGAAGATAGGCAAGAAGATGAGTAACCAGTCGGATGCGCTAATAATGGCCGAGTGCACATACGTAACCTTGATTGTCCCAATTGTGTTGCAATTTCCTGAATTATTCCAGAATGCAGACACCGGTGTACACTGAAACAGCGCGAAGAATAGCAAGAATACACTGTAGCTGAAAAGTGTGGCGAGGACAACGTATAGAGTCCAGGTATATTTGCGTTCGATCGTGAACCGAAGAAGAAACAAGCTAATAGATAGCTTGACTAAACATGTCGCGATAACGTAGGTCGACTCGTATATGAAGAGTAACTCCCAAATATCAGACGGGTTCCATTCCGGGGGTATTTAGGTGGTGCATGCCTTCAAGGCGAGAATTAGCTTTTGTGGAGAGATATCCATCCATTGGTGTCCGAAACCACCGGTTCCGACGCCAACAAGGAGACAGGCTGAGCCTAGCACGAAGATAACCTATTTTCATCTTATTAGTAGATTATAAGGCGCTGAGCAAGAGATAGTTCCCATTCAACGGCAGACGTACCAAGGCGGCTACTGAGAATGCGTCATCGGCCCCAAATCCCCCTGTCAATCTGATACGCACATAGCAACGGAGAGTGACTGTAGTGACTGTAAGGATAAGAAAGCATATAACAACGGCAGCAAGTTGTGAGCCTCGATGGATCATTCGAGTCCTGCGATTAAGCAACGGCGGGATGCACTGACATGCCGAGCTTACAGTGCCCGTCAACGGCGCATTAAATCACCCCAAGCTACCGCCTACTATGTTCATCCAGGCGTGCCTCTATTGAACCAATTAAGATTGTTGAAATTTTGTCTTTCGGTAGAAAATTAGTTAATAAAGTTTAGCTGGGATACTGTATCCTTTAGGATTCTGATAGTTATCACGGGCTACATAGTTCCCGATATTAGTTACGTGTATCACGAGACCTTGACATATTAGCATAAAGAACACGCACGGAAGAATGTCTCTTCTTCAAGCTTTTTATGAACAATTTATGGCATAGTAAGTCAAATGTAGGGTTGCTTCAGCCCTTCACATTCGCCACCGGAAAAGGAAAAAAGAGTCATTAAATCTACCTATTTCAGCTCGACCGTCATCCCGGAAGTACTCTCCGGACGTCTGCGGGGCCAGTTACGAAAATGATCTATGTATTCAAGAAGAAGGAGTGGTCAACCGGACTAGCTACGAGTGATAAGTATTGCGACGAATAGCAAGTGGCAAAAATCAAAGCATGCCATACGCTCCAAAACACAACGCGATCCCGGTTCGAATATGTAGTGATAAGATTTGCGTCATTACCTCCAACTCCTAAAGTCAGCGCATCAACCCATTGCCCGTAATAGATGCGCCATACCCAGAGAAGATTGGGTCATGTTGATTTTCCATTGGTATGATTTGGAATTCGTTACTATAAAATATGATCGTAATAGCAGACACCTTTGAACCAGATGATGGACCCAGAATCCGAACAACACAATAGCAGGCAATGTACTTTCAACTGACTTTCCCAGATGCTATACCCAGTCTTGACCCACCTTCAGAAAATAATTTGAATCCCCCGTCTAAATTAAAAACTTTGTACCCTAGCTGAGCAAGGGTTCGGTATGCAAGGTAGCCATGATAGCCGACTCTAGAGTAGACCACAACAGGTTTCCGCTTGTCTATACAAGCCAAACGATTGCGCAGGGTGTCAATAGGAACATTGAGAGCTCCTGGAACATGTCCTTGAGCAAAAATTTCCGGAGACTGTACATCTATGATTTGCCAGTCATCGAGCCGAGCTTCCAACTCAGCAGCCGTGACCGTATGCAGGTCTCCTCGGAGTAAGTTAGCTGCGACCATGCCTAGCACGTTCACGGGGTCTTTTGCCGAGCCATATTCGGGAGCATATGATAGCTGGAGGTTCTCCAAGTCAAAGACAGTCATGCCGCTTTGCAAAGCAACGGACAGGACATCAAGTCGCTTGTCCACTCCCCTTCGACCCAAAATCTGAGCACTGAGAAGACGTCCACTGGCGGGCTGAAAGGCCAATCTCAGAGTCATTTGTTGACTTGATGGATAATAACCAGTGTGGTCAGGAACGTGGACTGTCACGAATTGAGGATGATACCCGACTTCCTTGAGTTTCTCCACCGAAAGCCCTAGAATAGCTACAGTCAAGGTGAGGACCTTGCAGCTATACATGCCTATGTGACCACGATACGGGATTGCACGTTTCATTATATGGTCAACTGCAAGCCGGCCCTGTAGGCTCGCAGCACCACCAAGAGGTAAAGTCTTGGGCGTTGACGAAATGAAATTGGTTGTCTTGGTCATGTCGCCAACCGCATAGATATCGGGGTCATTGGTTTGCATGAACTCGTTGACAAGAACACCATCATCTCTGCATTCGAGGCCCGATTGTTTTGTAATTTCGGTGCAAGGTGCTAGATCGGTCGCTATTATGACAAGATCAGCTGGGACGCTAGGCCCGTTGACCAGAGTCACAACACGGCTGTCTTCAGCCGTTCCAATATCGATGCGCTGAATCTTTGCGTTTAAATGGAGGTGAACACCATTTTTCACAAGCTCCGATTGTATCAAATTGGCAATATCAGGGTCGAAATCCTGGCAAATGCGATTCTGAAAGTGTATGATGCTAATTCGGAGTCCGAAATTGTGCAAGGCTTCGACGGCCTTCAAAGCAACATATCCGCCGCCTATAATCGCAGCTGACTTGAAAAAGTGGCCAGAAACATAATCCCTGATTTTATGCAGATCCAGCATCGTCTGGAACCGGAAAACATGCTCGCCTTCGATGCCTGGCGCAGGTAGCGGCATGGGATGAGCTCCTTGGGCGAGAATCAGTTTGTCGTACGACAACTGATAGGTTTCGTTCGTGTTTGACGCTTTGAGTAGTATTGAATGATTCTCCTTCGAGATACCGACGAGCTCGGTGTTTTCCCGCATGTCTATGTTGAACCGCTCTTTCAACCCCGCTGCTGACTGGTGGATGAGGAAGGTGTCTGTTTCAATTACACCTCCTACAGACGACGGGATTCCAGAATTGGCGTAATTCAGGGAGTCTCCTTGCTCAATTAATGTGATGTGGGCATCCTCGTCTAGTCTTCGTGCTCGAAGTGCAGCTGACATTCCGCCAGCTGCCCCGCCGACGATGACTATCTTCATAGTTAGGATTTTGTGGTGGGTCTTGTTTCAGTCGATATTCTTTAGTTGAGTGACAGAGATCGAAAGGTCTTATATATACAAGCTCTGTTGGTCGGGTAAGATTACCATCCGTTGCCAAGTCGTCGTCATGACGAGGCAAGGAACCAAGGACAGCCACCATCACACGTCATGGCCAATTACACCAGATCATGCCACTCTGTACGACTTGACTTGGTTTAAGTTTTATTGTACGGGAAAGGTAATCAATGAATCAAATGTTATTCGAGTATCAGGAAAATGAAACCACAGTCAAATTTTGACCGATGCTTCAGCAAGTCGTACACACTCGGGCTCCTGACAAGTCACGATACTGACATAAAAGTTTTCTCCGTTGGAATTGATCGCATGCAAAACCACATTCTGACCATAATCACAATCTGTTTCATCATCACCAGCCTCAAAGTATTCTTGGTAGCTTGAAGGTGAAATACCATCCTCTTCCGAAAGCAGCAAGGTGCTTGCGAATTTCCGGGCTTCTGCGTAAGATCTAAATTGGCCCTCAATATGGGTGCCGATAGGTTTCCGTTCGTGGCTGCAATACGGAATGTTTGTCTGCACGACATAATAAAGAGGAATAGCAATCCGGCCATCTTCATTACCAGTCGTCAACTGAAGATCGTTTGGAGCTGTGCATATGCGGATTCGGAATTTTGTGCCATCCGCCGCAATAGCATAAACAGCAAGACCGGTTCCCTCCGATGGTGCAATGACTTCCAGGGCCTCAGGATTTGTCTCGAAGGTCGAGAACCACTCCAATTCATATCCACTGTCATAGAGACCACGATGTGCAGCATCCTTGGCTTTGTCAACAGAAGTGTAGGTGCCAAGGATGCGTATCTTCTCTATCTGTCCCCTTGGATCCTTCGATTGAGATGTTGTGAGCAGAACATGGTAAATAAATTCAGAAATAGGTTGATTTCCCTCGGTCATGATGAGTTTCCAGAGTAATGATCCAAGATATCGATCGATCGACCGGGAGAAATACCGACTATGACAACTTTGTGGTCGACTTTATAGTCACCTTTTGAGAACGGTTAAAAGAATCTCTTAAGGTGTCACTTCAGACTATAAGAACTGGGTGGCAAACTACAAGAAAGTCAAACAATCTCATTTGCTTGTATGGAGTAGTACGCCGCTTCCAAAGCGCCATCTAATCGTATGATCCTGGGGGTCGAGACCGACAGTAGTGACACGATCAGCTGCCACGCTATAGGTAATGACAACATTGAACGGTCTTTAAGGGTGGTATGATTCAAACCAGGCTTGACATTTCACATCCAATAGTGAAACTTTTTACGCAGCAATGGGAGGCTGTGGCGTGGGCTCCACATACCGAATTGCATAACACGAACTCGACTACGCACTGTATTAAATCAGATGATTGGCCATGTACCTAAACAAAAAGAACACTCGAGTCGTGAACACAAGCGAGCTGCGAACCTCAAAATCGTGCAAGCAAATATGGAATGACTGGCTGGGTGGTCCTTTATGATGGTCCACCTGACCCTGGCGAAATCCATAACGTTCGGACCCGATCTCGGTCTTTGTTGCTTCAGGCGGGGTTAACCCAACCTTAATCTCACGTTCCACTAACACCCCACATTTGGTAGACTGATCACAGAGTCCATCTCATCCAGCAAATCTGCGAATTTTCTTTGTAACTAACCATAGTGCTTGTCTTCCAATCTAGGTTTATTCGGGTCCGAGTCACTATAATGGGTAGACAATGCCATTCGTGCATTTGTGTTGTCGGGATATCCACTCAGCATCAATGTACTGTGCATAACTTACGCGGAAGATTTATAAATATCAAGTTCTTTCCTTCGGACATTTAAGGGGATATCCCGGAGACCAGTGACTAAATCAGACCAGCAATTCCGTCTACTCCCATTAACCAAACTCTAATGCCTCACATCATGCCATTTTTACCCTTCCTAAATGTCCTCAGCCTGAGGAGGGAACTGGAAGGAACGAACGCAGAAATCTTCACCTGGGGATGTGACGGGTACAGCGAAAGCACCAAGCAGTGGAGTGACTTGTGTGATGAACAAGTTGTAAGTAAATTATATTGAAACAATGCTTTTTCACCCATACGGATACTGATCTTCCACAGGGGGCGATGGTCCGGGTCACATCGACCGATGAAGCAGCCACAGTTGTTCGCTTTGCCGCATACCACAGAATCCCTTTCACGGTCAAAGGAGGAGGTTACTCCACGACCGGTGCCTCGATCACCCACGGTGGTATTGTCTTGGATCTTTCCAACCTACGAAGGGTCCATGTCAATCCGGTATCTCGAATAGTCACCGCTCAAGGCGGCGCCCTGTGGGAAGATATCGATGTCGCAGCAGCTCAACATAAGCTAGCAGTCGTCGGAAGCACACTGAATCACATCGGGGTGGCAGGAGCAACATTGGGAGGAGGTTATGGATGGCTAACTGGCCGGTATGGCTTGGCGAGTGATAACTTGCTCTGGGCGAGGATGATCTTAGCCGATGGCAGCGTGATCCTCGTATCGGAAGAGCAACATCCAGACCTATTTTGGGCCATTCGAGGTGCAGGCCAATGCTTCGGGGTGGCCATTGAGTTAGCATTCCGAGTTCACAGACAGGATCACCCTGTATTCGCTGGGACTCTTCTCTTCTCGGCGGATAACTTACCTGCGATTGTTGAGTTTGCCAACAAGTTCGATATTCTCACAGATGGTAATCAGGGATTCTGGTTCGGGTTTGCCATGCCGTCTTCAATAGATCGGTGCGCCATCTTCGTGGCTGTCTTCTATAATGGGGACCAGACAGCCGCACGGAAGTTCTTTTCTCCATTGTTTTCAATAGGACCAGTGGTGGATGAGACCGGAATGCTGCCATACGATAGTCTCAGTGGCATACTAAACGTGATGGATACAGTGTCTCGACGCAAAATTCTTAAGGGGGCCGATATCACCCTCCCTGGTGATGAAACCGTGGGTACTCGAAAAAGTCTTCGAGGATCAAACATTACTCTTCCCCTGGATATCAATTTTGTCACATCCATATACAGCGAATTTGATGGCATCTTAAGAGAGTTCCCACAAGCCAGGGACAGCATATTGCTCTTTGAACTCCTGCCAAACACACAGATCACCAAAGTTCCCAATGATGCCACCGCATTTGCCAGCCGCGGTCCTTATCATAATGTCATTTCTCTATTTGCATGGCAGGATGCAGATCTGGATGAGAGAATGCACTCACTGCAAGACGATATCATGAACCAGATTGGGACACGTGGAGGTATCGCATGCAAAGTCGATTATAGCGTTCTGAAGCACGGGACAGGATTATACGCGAACTATGCTGGTATGTTGATAAGAGCAAGGGGTTTTATTATCAATTCATGTCAAGGATCCTGAAAAATTTTTGAAACGACTAACAAGATCGCAGGACATGACCTGCCCATAGAGGCAATATTTGGAGATAATCTTCCACGTCTCCGAGAGTTGAAGAAGAAGTATGATCCTAATAACATATTCAAAAAGTGGCACAACCTCCACACGTCCACGGTTACCCGGGATAGCATTTAAATTGTATGAATAGGATATAGAATTAGGGAATACCATTTTGACGCATGGCGTAGGTTCAGCCTTTTCTTGATATCAATTTTTTTTTCTATTCAATTTTTGCCACGAGCTCTGTATCTTCAAATCTCAACAGCATGTCACCAGTCTGAAGATATTAAGCTTCCTCGGCAGTCAGACGCACGATCCCAGACTTTGGCGCGATGATTTGTGTTTCCATTTTCATTGCCTCCATTACTGCGAGCAAAGCGCCTTCCGAAACATGCGCACCGTCTGTGACCTTATAAGCTCGGAGTGTTCCAGAGACTGGGGCATAAATGCCATCATTTTCAGACCGAGATAGCTCTGGCTCTGGCCCTTTTTTGCAACAGATAAAGGGCCAGGGGCAAGTGAACCAAATCCACCTAAGCGTAGGCTCTGAATCCCCAAGGAAACAAGCTTTCCATCTATTTGTACTCGGCGAGATACGGGCACGACCCACAGATTCGCAGAAAAAACCTCGTTAGTGACTGCTGGTATATGATCTGAGGTGTTCAAAAGAGCACTTGTAATACGAGGTAACTAGGGCTTAGGGGTTGACTACAGAAGGAAGCTGTCAATGAACGCAATATGGAAAAGTTAGAAATGGGTGTTAAAGGATGGAATGCGTTGAATTCCTACCTGTCAACCACTCGTCCTTGAAATCCAAAATGCGTTTCCTTCCCGTTAGCCTGACAAGCATGCTAGTAGAGCTCGCTGATCTTGAGGAGACGCTGGCCCTGCTGACCTCTCTTCAGACTACGCCAGTGACAGGAATCGAGGAGATGTTTCCAGCCGCCCGCACCCTGCTGGTTCACTTTCAGCCGGAGGAAGTGACTGCGGCGCAATTAGCAAGCGAACTTAGCAAGCGAGAGCTCTCCGCCAACCTTCTTCACTTTGACCGCCTGATAGAGATCCCGGTCTGTCATGATGGCGAGGATCTTGCGCACGTCGCAGACCTCACAGGGCTAAGCATGAAAGAAGTGATTCAATGCCATACCAAAAAAGAATTTACAGTGGCCCTCTGTGGCTTTGCGCCTGGGTTTGCCTACCTGATAGGTGGCGATCCTGCATTAAATGTGCCCCGACGTGAGAATCCCCGTGTCCAAATCCCGGCTGGGTCAGTGGCTATTGTGGGCTCTTTTAGTGGTGTGTACCCACAAAGCAGTCCTGGTGGTTGGCAGTTAATCGGCACAACATCGATGAGAATATGGGATTCTTCTCGTAGCCCAAACGCCCTTCTTCAGCCTGGAAATCGCGTCCGTTTTGTGAAGATGGACCAGGCTAGAATGATCACCGTAAACCAAATGTGCCTCTCAAAGAGAGCTATACGGCGCACTTCAAAGTACTAAAGGCACTGTTCCCGGCACTGTTTCAAGATTTGAGTCGTTGTGGCCAATCCAGCCAAGGTATTTCCACCTCTGGGGCTTTAGATCGGTCGGCTCTAAAAGCTGCCAACCGAATCGTGGGAAATCCAGCAAATATTCCATGTCTCGAGTTAGTTCCTGGCGGATTTTCTTTCGAAAGCACCGCTCGGGTAGTCATTGGATACGAAGGAGCACCCTGCTTGGTCACCATTCAGGATGCGAGAGGCCATACAAGAACAGTGACGAGCTTGCAACCAACGGCATTGGAACCGGGAGATCTTATGAGCTTTTGTCATGCACGGGCTGGTGTACGCTGCTATATGGCCATCCGTGGCGGCTTCGAGGTCAATAAAATGTTAGGAAGTGCCGCTACAGATACTTTGGCAGGCTTGGGACACAACCCAGTCATAGCTGGCACTTGTCTGGCGCTCAAAGATTCCAGATGCAATCTCGTGAGCGTTTCTCCTCACGAGACCCCAACATCCAGTCTTCCTGTAGCTGGTGATACCGTGGTCTTGGATGTGATGCTTGGGCCTCGCACGGACTGCTTTACTAGCAAAGGGCTGGAAACATTCGCTCAACAGTCCTGGATCGTGACTCCCAAATCAACTCGCGTTGGAATTCGATTATTCGGTTATATCTCCATCGAACGGCAGAACAGTAACGTCGAGTTACCAAGCGAAGGCATTGTAACAGGAGCTATACAAGTTCCTCCCACTGGTCAGCCAGCTTATTTCTAGCCGATTATCCACTTACAGGAGGATACCCTGTCATCGGAGCTGTGGCTGAGTATCATTTAGATCTACTTGGTCAGCTTCCAGTCAACACCAAGAGTCACTTCCGTCCCCTTGCGCCAATTGCAGAGGTAACCTTAACTCCTCATTGAGAAGAATTACACATGGCAGCGCGAGGGCCTGTGACAATGACTTTTTCAACATTTTTATCTCCGCGCTTCCTAGGGCAGGCTAGTACACTCCCTTTCTCTGTGTCCCTACATTCTACCGCTGATACTTTGGAGCGCGAGTGTTGTCACAGGCCAGTGAGACTTTTGCATGTTGACGTGTTGAATACCTGTGGAGAACGTCTCCTTCAACTTCTCTGTACAAGCTTTCTGTAAGAGTCTGTGGTCTATTTAGATCTGAATTATCTACCAGTCAATTTAAGGAATCTATACCATTTCAGTGGCATATAATGGGAGTCGACTTGCTACTAGACTCTAACTTCTGGCTCAAAGGAGAAAAAAAAGCCCCCTTCCACTGTGTGTTAATGGTTCAATATCTATACATAGTCAGAACATCATTCCCAGCTTCAGAGAGGGCTCGTAGATATCGCTATTAGGATACGCCTCTCCTAGAGAGTCAAGTAGTCGATGTTTAGAGCCCCCAGAACCGTTTTTAAGTTGATCAGAGCAAAAAACAGCTAAGCAATGCCATCAGGATAGGTTATTTGGGAGCCACTCTAAGACATAGACCCAGTCTACGCTCATAAGAGAAAAGGAAACAACCTTAGGTCACAAAATAGAAAAGACCACACATCCAAGTTCCTGTAAGCACCAACTCCCTAATATCAAAAGAACCACTAGAGAAACGAAAAACACGGCAAAGGACAACAAGACAATACAGGATAGGATAGGAGGGAAAGCATAGAACAGCACAGTAGACGAGGAAAAGCATAGGAGACAGGAGGAATAAGTAGAAAGAAAAATTTCTGCTAGAGCAAGTAACTGTCATAATATGGAAAGGAAGGTTTGTACCTAGGGACACCCAGAAAAAACCGTTTGACAACCAGAACCAGAAATTCAAAATGCGCAGCGCAACGGTAAACTATGCCTTTTCTTTGTCCACGTTGCTTCGTTACGGGGTCTTGTTTACAGGGCGCCCCGGTCGGCCGTGAAGTCCCAGAGCATCTTGATCAGAGAGTCCGGGAGGGTGTACAGGTCCACGTGGAACTCGCCCACTATGGAGGTCATCAGGTTAGTTTCTGTGGAGTCTCGAGGTTTTTGAGTGGTAGGAGGGGGCTTACTCTCGGCATCGTTCTTGGTGTACGAGTCGGCGGACTTGTTGTCATGTACCATCTGAACGACTTGCAGCAGATCGTCCTCGTTCAACTTTTGCAGACCATCGGCAAGTTTGTCCATGTCGACCTGTATAATATGTTAGACTTGAAAATAGGGTAGACGAAAGGTTAGCTACTCACGTTCTTCTCAGTGCGCTTCTTCTTCTTGGCACTTTCTTCACCGGTAGCACCGCGCTTGGACTTAAGACCGTTCTCATCACCTGGAACAGGGCCAGACTCGCGCAGCAGAGCCAGGAGAGCGGGCTTGGGGTTGCGGAAAGTCTGTAGTACAACAAAACTTGGTTAGTTTCGTTTCATATGACGGATACACAAAGGAGAGCTCACAATCTGGTGCTTGGCCTCGTAACGCTCCTGGGCAAAGTTCAAGTCATGCTTGATGGTGTGTGTCTTATCGGCAACCAGTTCGATGGTCATGTCAAACTCACCCCATCCCTCTTCTGAGATACGGTAAGGGGATTTCTTGAAAGCTGTTTAGTAGGTACGGTCAGCCACTGTTTATCCAAGGGTGGGCATTGTCTAGTAAATGGATTGCGCAGTAGCGTAAAGCATCAACCGACAGAGAAATGAAACATACTCTGATTGGCACGGTCGCCGAAACTGGGGTGCAGTCTGTAGATAACCTTGTCGAAGACAGTAGCAGGCACCTGCTCGCCCTTGTCGTTGAGGAGCCAAATCTCGATTGACCACTCGCGCTGAGGGAAACCCTCAACCTCAGATGGCTTATCGCTGTATCAGATAAGAATATAAAGTCAGCTCATGTGCCCACATAAAATCAATCTATCATGCTCTAGTGTATGCAGGGAAGCTGTAATTGGTAAGTGCTCGCAAGCTCATTGTGCGCCCGTTGCTCCCGCCATCGACGCGTATCTTATCCTTGTCGCATCCGGTATAGGATACTAACGGCCGAGAGATACGTTGGAGTCGGTCAAGAGAGGAAGGAGTATTGCTTGCGAGCTCATTGCGCCCTCATCAGTCCTGTCACTGACGCGTGTCGCATCCTTGCCGCAGCCGGGGTATGACTTCGACGGGCGAGAATCGCCTCAGTATCGACACAGAAGGAAAGACGATCATCGCCAGCAAGCTCATTGCACCCTTGTTGGTCCCATTACCGACAAGTATCTCATCCTCGTCGAATGCCGAGAGCATGATATCGACAGCCGATAAGTCCGTCAAGTTGGTTTTGGGACAGAAGGGGACCGATTGCCTGCAAGCTCACTGCGCCTTCATCGGTCCGGTCACAATCACATATCTCATCCTCATTACATCGCGGGTGTACTCTCGATCACGGACAAATCAGGTGAGGTTGACCCAAAGAGGAAGCACGATCAATCACTCGCGAGCTCATTGCGCGCCTATTCACAGGACCAGCCACAGCCACATATCTCGTCCCATCGCGGGTATGTTCTCGATTGCGGATAACTCCGTCGAAGTTGGCACAGTGAGGAAGGAGGGATAATCGGTCGTGGAGGGTAGGATAATAGAAATGATGGTCGGATACGTACATTACATGCTGCTCCGTAACGAGGCGAACGGTGCGCTTAACCTATATCTCAAAGACCATGTTAGCGCTCATCCGTATTCACTTCCATAAGACAGGTCTCAAGTCCGGAACCAGGTCATTCGTCTCCGTAAAGACGCGCGACGAGAAGGCGCCGCCAAGCAACCCCCGATACACCACCCAGACCGCGGCCCGGACGTCAACAGAGACGGGCCCAGCCAGAGCAATCAAAGACAGGATGGGAGGTAACTCACGTCAGGCATTTTGGTGAGTTAGACGGAGTTCGTCGCGGTCACTGGCGTTGTTCAGGGAAGGTTGTTCTGAGGAGTGCGCGCCGAGAGATGCAAGAAGCTCGGAACAGTTTGCGCGGGCTGGAAGGGAAACGTGGGTACCCCGTGCGTAGGGAGCGACTCGCGGAAAGGGTAGGAGCGAGAGAGGTAGAAGTGAGGTGAGCTCTGATTCGTATTGGTAGAGGAATATTGCCAGGCCGGTGGTGAGAATTGGGCGTTTTCTCGAAGTGAAGGGAGAAAAGATGAGAGCAAGCGGGAGTGGGGAGGAATGAGGTCGACGGGGAGACACGACGAGATCAACTCGGGGAAGCTCAAGGTGATTTGCAGTCAGAACTACCCACCAGAAAGAGATATTCGGCACTTGTTCATAGGGGATTTTCTGATGGAATTGATGACAACATGATGGATGTCTTGTCAAATTCGTTACCTATCCTTCAGTTCGGTTTTATTGGCACCAAGACGACGGCCATACGCAGTAGGATTGTCAAGTGCCCACTAATTGCTACTCATAAGATCAATCATCCGTCGCAGCTACTCTGCTAAAGAAGACCTTAGACGACAAGATCAAGACCTAGAACTTGATGTGCAGTGTGTATATTTGATGGAGAAAAAAAATGTCTATCTACTACCGACGGACCAAAAGACATCAAGGAACTGCCCTCCGTTTCATAATCACATCACGATAGCTGTTGTGAACAGCGTCAGCATCATTGACTGCCTTGGTCGTCGCGTCGTCGGGGAAAGGGGGAAGGGTCATAGAGGTGGGAATGGGAGGAGGATGGGGGAAATGTCATAGTTCTTTCGTATTTGAGGGGAATAATGTGGGATGGGGTAGTTTCGAGGGCAAGCTCTCAATCTTTAGGGCAAGGCCCGTCGGTGACAAGCAATTTCATGCTGATAAGCTCGGAGGCTCCTTCATGTAAGAAGAAAGAAAAGAGGCAAGTGGTGATCCGCATTTACTCGGAAGAGCCGAAGATCTTCTCGTTCTCCTGCTGGGCCTTCTCGAAGGCATCCTTGAAGAGGTTGGCGTCTGCAAAATAGATAGTCAGTAGGAGTCCAAAGTAATCGCATGGAAGAAATAAACTCACTCTCGCTGTTGGCGAAACGGATGGCCAGGGTCTGCTTCTCGGGCTCGCCCTCGGAGACATCAGCGGTGGTGTTCCAGACCCAGCTGCGGTCACTGCCGACGTTGGGGCTCAACTTCATCTCAGGAACGACTATAAACATGTGTGGTCAGTAATAATATTCCACAAACTCTGGATCTGATACAGGGATGCTCACCGTAGTGGTTGGCGCAGACCTTGAGGGTCTTGTCTCGGCGCATGACGAGGCGGGTCTTCAGGTTCTCCTTGTGCTTCAGCAGACGGACATCACCTGTACCACGCTCCTTCCATTCCTTGCTCTCGGGGTCGAACTTGAAGAGCTTGGCGCGCATCTTGAACACCTGCTCCTCAACCTCTTCGCCGGTCTTGACCTCCACCACATCCTTCAACTCTGTCTTGACCCAGCTGGCATCGGCGACGACCTGAACAGTAGAAATAATACGGTTAGAAAATTATCAATCAAAACTCATATTCAGACGGGATGAAATGGTGTGGGCGGTTGGGTAGCGGCGAGCCACACAAGCTGCGGGGCCCGAGAAAACACCCCGCGTTCGGGGCTTGTGCCAGTGTTTTGATTGCAACATCGCGCATCCCCAAACCGCTCAAACTCATAATACCCCATCCAAGTATACCAACTCACCTTGTCAGCCTCAACATCCTCCTCCTTCTCCTCCTTCTGGGCCTTGGCGGAACCGGAGCGGTCGTTCTCCTCCTCATCAGCCTTGGGCTTCTCCTCCTTCTTGGGACCACCGCCGAACATGGAGAAAACGGTATCAGAGGTCTTCACAGCAGCATCCTTGGCGGTCTCGGCAACCTCGGTGGCCTTGTCGGCCGCAACCTCAGTGACGGTCTTCTCGCCCTCACCAGTGGTGGGCTTGTCGGCCTCAGGAGCCTGGGTGGTGGGGTCGGGCTTGGTCTCCGCAACGTCAGACATGGCGAAAGTAGAGGCGGGGGGTTGTTATCCGGGAAAATGTGAGAGATGAGAGATTCAGAAAGAGAGTGAACACCGGGGATCAAGGTATTCAGGGGTAAGAAAGTGCTTTGTTGATGCGGGAGGGTTGGATGAGGGGGGAAAAATTAATAGTTTGGGTGCAGGCAGAACTCGCCACCGCCTTGGGACTGAACTCTCTAGTGGATTGCGAACGCGAGGGGTTGGCCACTGATCGCTCGATGGTAAATTACTTGATATTCTACTTGAATTACATGGAATACAATAGAAATCGATAGTGAGAAATAGGCAACAAAAGTTACACGTTACTTAAATAAACTGCGTCTGCGCCGAATCAAATAATAGTCCTCGCGTGAGTTCAGCCCTCCCAGGTTATCCGCCCAACCTAATCGCCGTAAACAAGAAAACCCCTTCAATAGCCAAAGAATCATGGGAATAAGCAAGAGTTGAGTCCAGAAAAAGAAAAACAAAATCATGTCGGCCTTGGTGAGCTAGCCTGACCCTAGCAACAATGATCTCAATCACCATCCTGGCGCCCCACAAAGCGGCGTGCTCGTGCCTGAGCCCGATCTAACGTGGCACACTTGGCACTACGCACTCGATCCATCATGGAGTGGACGTTGACCTGCGCGGCGGAATTGCCCAAACGATTCCAAGCATGAGTGACAAGCCCCCGGGCCTCCTGATTGACTCGCACAGAACGGCTGTGCACCAGAGAAGAGACAGTTCGGAACTGTTCCAGGGCATTGCGAGTGATCACCTCGGAGAGTTGCTTGGAGTGCGAGAGGACGGTATCCCGAGCAAGAAGGCTCTGGCGTTGTAGGGTGTCCTGGTGCAGGAAATGAGACCGCTTGACCAGATCGCCCATTCTCACCTGCACATCGGTGGAGACCCGACCATACACTTCAGCCAGGCTAGTTTGGGCAATCTGCAGGTCTTTCGTGACTTGTGAGGATACCTGTCGGGCTGCCCGTCTCCAGCTTGCAATCTTCAGCCAGGGAGTTCCAAAGTCGACAGTGGTGACTTGGTTGATGGGTGGCTTCGACTTGGCCGACACGGTGACATTAACCGAGCCATATGCATCCTCTCGGTCCAGCCGTAGTGTATAGACCCCGTCAAACAGCTTGGAGAGCTCATAGGGCAGAGACTTCTCGTATCGTCGAGCGCTCACATTGAAGAGTGGTTGCTTCTTATACGTGACAAAACTGCGAGGGGGCTTGATAACCACATGGCAGTCGCCAACAACTTGAATCTCAAAAACGTCCGGACTTCCAGATGCGCTCGACTCGGCAATGGTAAGTTTGGCAACGTGATCGATGATCCCCGGGGTTTTGCTGTGGGGGTGGCATGATTGACTCTGCGGCCATACCGAACCCGAAGAACTCTGCGGCACTTTGAGGACTGCCACGGAAGTTGATAGAAGAGGAGTACTTAGTTGAGATCCAGTGTTGGGAATGCCCCGTCCAGAAATCCAACGTGAAAAAGAAACACACACAACACTGACAGCCGCATATCCGATTGAGAGAGCAATGGCGGAAATCAGGGTCAACGTGACAAGGCGCAGCATGGGGCCCAGCTCCCGAGCCTTGGAAGAATATGACGGTGGGAGCCAGTTGCGAGGGTACTTCTCCGGGTCATTGGATGAGTATATTTCAACCGGTCTCGGAGCATCAGCAGCAACTTTGGGGATCTTCTTGGGATAGAGGTCCATAAGCGAAGCCAAGTTCCGGTTGAGCTGACCGGGTGTGATACTCTCGAACGTCTTCAAATCGATGGGGTACCGGCGCAGCACGGCGGTCTCCCCGGTCTTCGGGTGTCGAGATTCCAGGCACATGTGCAGACTGTTGTGGTTCAAAGGAATGGGCTCACCAGCTCGCCTCCAGAGCGGCTCCTCTGAGATCACCATGGCAGGGATTCCATGGCGCCCCAAGAAAGCATGAACATAATGTTGTGTTTGAATGGTGGTTGGACTGTCTCTATCAGACAAGAACAAGATTGCCACATCTGGTAAAGTCCACTCTGAAGCAGACGAGATCCGATATTGATCGCCATCCCACCATGAGCGGCATGCCGGGCGGTTCTTGAAATCTAAATGCAAGGTGCTGGGTCGAGTGTCGTGAGACTCGGCACTCGCTCCCTTGCACTCGTCCACAACAAGCTGGACATGAATCGGGAGCAGTTCCGCAAAGTTGGGTACGGCACCAGCTCCGAACGAGGTGGGTACCACATGGTATCTGGAGGAGTTGGCAGAGCTAGTCTGCGATCCGCTGGTGGAGCTCGATACCAAGACATCGCCAATCTTGTCCAGGATGATGTTCCGGGAGGCTGGCTGACCAATATACAACACACGATATGGCTTATCCAGGTCCAGACTCCCCTTTGTCATGGTCTGCTGAACCGTGGTCATCAGGATCGCCCCGTCCACATTATGTGGCAGCGACTCCTTCAGTTTGGCAGCTTCCGCATCATCGAAGATGTGGATCGTATGCTTCAGCTCGATTCGCTCCCTCTCTGGCCATTTGTCAGGTTCCACAAACTCGATCGAGTCGATCGACTGACGGAAAGCGGGGCGGGTAGTCAGGTCGCTATCGTCGATCGCAGTCTCGTCCTGAGGGAAAAATATCGGGAACTGCTGAGAAACTACCGAGTCCTGCAGCTCGTCTCTGGCAACATCCTCGTCTTCCTGAGTATACTCCTCGTCCGGGCCACCGACTTCGCTGCTGCTGTATCGCTCGTCGAGACTGGCTACATCGTCGGGGCTAGTTTGGTCGATCAACGACCCCACATCGGTATGTTCGGAGCGGCTTCCATCTTCAGAGTGTAGATCGGACACGCTCAGGTCTGCCCAGCTATCACCCAAGGACCTTGCAGCCAGCGAGAGGTGTTGTTCTGACGTCATGTTGTTGGCTGGACGAGAGCGGGACAACCACTCTTGAACGGAGGCTGAGAGCGGCGGGAAGGTCGGGTACTGTAGATGAGAGGATGTTTGGGTGCTCGGGGGATGCCTGGGTGGCTCTGGAGCGTCAGCCATGACTTTTGAGGGATCATAGAGCGGGTGGGGGTTGGTGTCAAAGAAGAAAGGTGAAGTAAAAAGAGAAACCAAACACACCGCGAGGATGGGGATGCCTTAGATGCCTGGGATCAAGGCATGTGCCCCCCCGTTGGGTGTGGGTCTGCGGGGAGTTGCCCGTCAGCTGGTCGCAGTTGTTGAAGGGCAACTGCCACGGGCAGCTACGGAGGGAAGGGAAAGTGGTGAGAATAGAAGAAGAAGAAAGAGGGTAGAATGTATTCACAGCTGAGTAGATAAAAGCGAGGCCGTATGAAGCAGGAGATGGAGGAAGGTTGATAAGGAGGGAAGCTTTTGAATGTGAGGAGGGAGCAACCTAAAGGGCGTCACCAATACATTCGTAATCGATAAGCATATCCAGTGACCAGGGCGGGGTTGCCCAAATCAAAACGGTCAAAGAGCTCTCTTCCTAAGGTGCAGTTCTCTCCTTCCTCCTCGATGACTTTCAAAACCTTACTTATTTTACTCAAATACCGACGGAGAAACTATTTCTTTATTTCGCTTCCTGTGGATGCTCTTCAAACATAACTACAGACTCTATACTCTTCGACGACACCAGGATGAAGTTGCTCCATTCCACCGATAAGCAGCCACGACTCCACTGCGCCCCACCGATCATCCCGGGCCGAATCAGACGTGGGCCTCCTAATTCAGTTTAGTGGACGGAAGTATACAGTATACCGATGATTGTATATTTCGTGATACACTGATACACTTATATTCTATAGACGAGAAATATACGGAGTGGGCCATAATAAGTTTGCCATAAGCTGCAGAAGCTCTGAATCATGAAGACCGTATCTGGAGAGTTCCATGATCAGGGCTCCAAACGGGCCTCCAGGCTGTTTGTTCTATTGCTGCTATCTGAGCCATCCTCTCTCTTCTTCTTCACTCTCAAATACACTGGACACCGCTGCGGGCCACTGGGCATCTCCGACCCTCCTCTTAATCTACGGGTATCTTACTCAAGATACACTTTCTGTCTCCATACTTTGGCTCCCATGCCTCTTCTGTCTCTCCCAGTTGAGATTCTTCTCATGATCGTCCAAATGCTGGACCGTCCAAGCCTCGCCGCTCTCATTCGCGCCAACAAATATCTGAATAACTGCTTTACGAATGGCTTCTATCGCCGCAGTATCAGAACTAATGGCTGAGCACTCCTCTAGGCGATTCTCAATAACCGGATCGGAACAACTCGGCGATTCCTCGAGCTTACTGACAGTCCTCCCGCCGGGTACAATGATGATAATCTCATGTTATATGCGTCGCCTTCGAGTTTCTTGGTTGGATGTGTCGCGATGAACAGAACGGACCTTACTAGTCTTCTCCTTGAATACGGCGCAAATACTGAGATGCAAGCGCAACGGCTTTGTACTGGGCATCCATGCCGGGGAATCCGCTTCTTCTTGACCATGGAGTCAGTATCAGGACTTTTTGGGACCTCACCTCCGTCAACAGGAGATCGAAGACGAGATGGAAACAGCTTGGCTCCCTTTTGCTCGTAGTCTCAAGGAGACACCACCGATGCCCGATTGTACCTCCAGGTTATGGCGTCCGGGGTACGAAAAAGTGACGGAATACCCACAGGTTAGTGAATTTACCAGCACCTGCCGCCCAACGCACGCGATCGTTGCAACCATCAGAGTCCCTGATGGTGGCACCAAAGAAGATGTCCAGGCAGCTCTTGACGCGGTCGATAGTGAGATCGACTAGATACATTATCGAATGCTAGTCGGGAACCGAAATGATGGGAAATGATAGGAGACTGAGGAGGGAAATAAGAGAAAAGGGAAGCAATAATTTACATTTAGTGCTTAGTTCAGATAGGAATTAACTAAGACTGTTATTGCATACTCAGCGTTTCCGGCTTAAGTCACGGGCGATTAGTCTTTTGATAATGGAGCCTTCCGTGGACAAAATAGGCAACTTCCCATTTCCATCGACGGAATGTTCCTATAAGGGCAAGTAAGCATTTCTTTGAACTCATTCACGTCATTCTCCCACTCCTTTCTTTAACCCTATCCCTATCCTACCTCCCTCTATAACACCCATCAACCTTCCCCCCTCACTCTAACCCCTGACCATCTACTCCCAAGGTCTCCAAAGATGCGTCTCACCTCCCTCCCAAACGAGATTCTCCAAACCATCGCCGACAATCTCGAAAAAGACAGCGAAATAAATCAATTCATCCTCACAAGCCGGGAAATCTACTCCCGCCTAAACGACTGGTTCTACCGCCGCAACATCCGCCAAGGAGGATGGGCCCTCTTCGACGCAGCATATAACGGTCGAGTAGACACCGCAAAGCGACTTCTCAGACTCAGCGCAGACTCAAATGCCAAAGGCACCCATCATGACCACCCCCGCTCGCCCGTGAGGACGGTTCTGGGAATCGCGGTGTGGAGTGAACATTATGAGATTGTCAAGTTACTTCTTGCGTACGCTGCGGATCCGAATGATCCAGATAGCCGTGGTCGAACACCTCTCTTCTATGCTGTGGAGAAAGAGAATGTCTTGATTGTGAAGCTCTTGCTTGAGTGGGGGGCCAATGTCAATGTTTACGATTTCGGTGACCCTCCACAGTGTCCGCTGGACTGGGCTTTAGCATTGGAGGATGATCAGGGTGTTGTGGAGCTTTTGCTGGGCGCGGGTGCCGATAAACGTCTCGAGAACTCGGATCTTTGTACACCGGATTCTCCTTGGTCTGTATCGTCTGGATCGTCTTTTGAAAAGGAGTAGGAATCTCTTTCGTTGGGCCGACGTTGCTGTCATGTTATGTTATTTAGTTTGAAGGAGTGATGTACTTGGCGAGGAACATGGATTCTTGGAAATGGCGATCATCGTGTTTTAATTTGCAGATATGGTTGAGGGTAGCGCTAAGTGCGTGCAAACAGTTATTATTTCTGAGGTACATCAATACAGCAAGTCTCCAACCTATATACACATTACCTCCGATATAACATCCTTATCAGAAGTCTTGATATGACTATTTACATCCAAAGAGCTCCCACACATTGCCAACTGGTCCACATCACAGCACAAAAATACCGACAACAACTGCAGCCCCACCAAGCATCATCTCGTGAGCCGTGGCAATCGGCATGGCCGCATTACTAGTCGAAGCCGCAGATCCCGAGCTCGTCTTGGAGCCGGTACCACTAGCGGTAGAGCTCGTACCCGAGGAGGCCGAGCTAGAACTGGCACTGGCACTAGTGGACGTCGCCGTGTTACTGGCAACCGTCGCCCTAGCAGCCGCAATCTTCGACGATGCCGAAGAAACCAGATCCGAGTAGTTGCTCGCGCTGAAAGGAACCTTTGTGAAGCATTCACCAGCGGTGGACCAACCAGCATAATCATCGGTTGATGAAATTGCTGTGGAAGTGCTGCTGGTTTCCACGGGGGGAGTCAGATCGTAAACGCAGCAGAATGCATCCTTGTCAATGACCATCATGTTGCCGTAGCAGCATTTTTGATCGCCGCCGAATGTGTTGGATAACCAGTCTCCCGAGCAGGTGGCTGCCGTTGTGGTTGCCGCGAGGGAGAGGGCGAGAGGGAGGAGGAGGGTCTTGAAAGATGGCATGATGAGACTGGATTGAGTAGGAAATGGATGTTCTCGAAAGTTGAGACTATTCGAGAAGTTCTAATATGGGAAGTGCTTGACTTATATACGCCCTATGATTGCCAAGGCGCTTGGCAGGGCCCAGTTGCCCTGCGCACGGAGCCGCAAGTATTTCCTGCTTGATTGGTAAAGTAATCTCTCATATGCTCCATTCGCTCTACTTTAGCTCCTTCGGCGACGGACTAACGGCGGGGCGGACGACCGAGAACTAGGAAACTGACCAGTAGAAACAATCGGATACAAATTGTTCTGGTGAGGGATTTGGGGGCCACCAGAACCCCTGTTCAACCCCAGCCTTTTTGTGCCCTGCAGGTGAGGTTACATAGCGCCTTGTGAAAATGGAAAGTGTTTAGGCTAAGTAAAGGGAGTGTAAATTGCTTAAAACAGTCGGCAATGCTAAGGGCTCCAGGCTTTCTGCAAAATGAGTTGCTCACAATATAAAGATAGCAAATTTTAGCCATGAGACTCATCCAGGCGAAGGCACTTGAAGAAAACCAGCGCATATCATCACCCAAAGAGGTAGATTCTAAAGTTTCAACATCGGTTGTGTCCAGATATCTCGGGTATGGCTTGCCGAGACCCACTCGGGCTGAGGACCAGGGTCCAGCAGTAGTATAGTGTATCATATCTTGCGATATTTGTTTCTCAATCCGAGGTGATATCAAACGAAATGCGGATGGTTCGATCCTGTCATTGAGACATGTGATTAGTTGCGGGCTGCCTCTTGACTTCTGGAAGAATCATTGACCCGTCAACGGGCGATTGCATAGTAAAGCGGACGCTGTGACACAGAGGCCTCGCAGAAGCAATGGCAGGATAGTCTAGAAAGCAAGAAACATTTGTTCACTCTAACTCAAAATTCAGCGCCGTGATTATGTACAAAGACAGGTCCAAAAGTCGGCGAACCAAAAACGCCAAATCTATGTCCAAAGAACCTGGTATCGCAAAGCCCACTTCACTCAATGCAAATCCGCATGTCTAGAAGAACCAAAGATGAAAGGAAATCTTGATGCAATGTAATGTCTGGGATGGGCAGGGCTCAAGAAATTTCATAATTTTCCCCCGCATGATTAGATCTTCTCGCGGAGGGAATCAGGGAGGATCCGATCCTCGAAACGGCGCATCAGCTTGTTGGTCTGCTCGGCCAAGCTGAGAGTCAGGATCTAAGAAACATGGAGTTAGCATATGAGATGACTTGTACTCGTGACCCAGACTTACAGTGTGTGGGAGAATACGGGCCAAGTGAGCGAAGAAGCCCTTGTAGATAGCCAAGACACCCTCGGTGCGGATAGTCTTGAACAAGCAATCAAAGACACCCTGGTACAGGTTACCAGTCTGGTTGTACATGCGAGCCATGATGGTATCTAGAAAATCAATATGTTAGCCATAGTCTCGCCTTTTATCTAAGAAACCTCAAACATACCAGGAGGATGCATGAAGCAGCACACAACAAATCCAGATGCCGCACTACTAGCCAAATGCAAAGCCGGGCCCTCCTCCATTCCCAAGTGCCGTGTCAGGCGGCGCTTGGCAAAGAAATATGTGGGGAGCTGAACAGCACTGCCGAAACTGGTACGGATCATAGCAGCCCCAACACCACGGTAAATACCCTTCACACCCTCACTCCGGTAGATCTTGCTCAGACCATCGATGGAGTTCTTATAGTTATGCTGAGTACCGACAGGCAGGAATGGCGAATAGGACTGCAGGCGGGTCTTCACCAGGAAGAACGGAGATCCAGCAGCCGCACCGATGACTCCAGATGCTGCACCGGCAAAGACATTAACGCCGAGAGACTGCACCTTAGGGTCGCTGTAAACGGCATTTGTGACGTTGGCACGGATGGGTTCGTAAAAGCCGAGACGGCAGCCATTAAGGAGGACTTGGTAAATGTACTAGATATGATCCGAGTGTCAGATCAGACCAAATTCAAGAAATGGCATCATAAGGGCATCGCTTCACTCACGGCAGATCCAATTCCCCGGAACAGTCCCCGGGGGCCTTCGTTTTGGAGGATAACCTTGACACCGTGCAGGACACCCCGGTACTTCTTTACACCTTCGTTCTTCGCTTGCAATTCACCCTGAAGTTGTAACCTTGAGACAATCAGCACTAGTCCAAGCCCTAGGCGACCAAGGCGAACCCATGCGATAATGCTTACCGAATCTTAACTGTCTCGAAACTGTGAGTGACAGTGACGGCACCGCATGCGGCAATGCCTCCGGCGAGGAAAGCACTGTTTCAAACACACTATATATCAGCACAAAAGCTCATCGCCTTGGTTTGCCCTCAGAACCATACCCAGTTGTGGTAGACATCGTGTCAATGTAAGTCTGTTGCGGTGAGTAACGGATGAGTCGGACGGCTGTCGGGGGGTGATCGGAGCGGGCGACGGAGGCAAAGAACGAGGGGAGCCCCCGATGAGAGCGTGCGAAAAGGTTGGAAGCTGGCGAGGCTTGTTCAGGGGCACCAATCTCTATATATCGAGGGCCAGATTTTCTCAAGACGGTCGGATTAGGCGTCCGGGGGAAGTTGGTCGGGGCTGAGATACATATACCTAATCAGTAATAATCAGTAAAAGCTTACCATCGGTTACCGCAGGCCGAAACTCGGCCTCCGTGATTGGTCAATGGTTCCCTGTCAGTCCTGCCGAGCTCCGACTCCGGGGGCGGTGAGTCGGTGGAAAGTAAATCCGCCGCTGCCGCGAAAAAAGAAGGCGCGCGCGTGGAGGAGCTCTTTGTCTGGCCCAAAGGGGAAAGCGCGACGCTGCATTATGGGCCTGCCGCCCCAAACGACCTGAGCTATCACCTTTGCGCTTTCTTTGTTTCTCTCTTATTACTTATTCTCCACCTCTCCTCAAACTGGTCCTCTTCTCATTCGCGCACTTCTCCCCTGTATCGTCAACATTTGTGCTCAGCACCTAAGCTCTCAATATGGCCGAGGGCCAGCAGCAGACAGCGGTCTCTCAGCCGACTACCCAGGCTGCTCAGCAGTCCCAGAAAATAGCTGATGTGATTCGCGGATATCGTCCCTGCAAGGTAGGACAGCCAATGGATCCTCAATCCATCCCCATGCCGCTGCTCACTGTCTCTATCTAGTCCTTCAAAAACTCCAAGTCGGAGTCCGCGGCAAACTATACCACCTCCCTAGACTTCGATGACCAGGGCGACTATGTAGTCGCTGCTGGGGACGATGAAACCATTCAGATCTTCGATGTCAAGGAAGGCAAATCCACAAAGTCGGTTCCTAGCAAGAAATACGGTGTCCATCTTGCTCGATTCACCCACCACTCTCGTCAGGTCCTGCACGCCAGTACCAAGGTTGACCGTAAGTGCACGGAATAAGATTGGGGACTAGGAACGTGTATAACTCATTCTGTTTGGTAGATTCTTTGCGTTTGCTCGATCTTCACAATGAAGGATATGTGCGCTACTTTTCTGGTCACACAGACAAAGTCACATGTCTGGCGATGTCACCAGGCAGTGATGCTTTCATTTCTTGCTCCAAGGACGACACAGTCACAGTTTGGGATCTTGGTTCCCGCAACCCACAGGGTAAACTGAAATTGGCGACCCCATACCTCGTGGCGTTTGACCCTTCAGCCTCGGTTATCGCGATTGCCTCGCAGTCTACCTCATCGGTCCTCCTCTACGATTTCCGAAACTATGACAAAGCTCCTTTCTCCACCTTTGACCTTGCTCCGTTCGAGGAGATCTACACCCCGTCGACTCGTGGACGTGGCTGGACTAAACTGGAATTCTCCAACGATGGAAAGTTCTTGATGCTTGGAACCGACTACCACGGACATTACATCCTAGATGCTTATGACGGTACAGTCAAGGCTTTCTTGACTGGCAAAGGTGGAGCGTCTGGCCGTGCTTCCCCAGTGTCATCTACTGGGAAACCTTTGGGTCAAGGCGATGCCTGCTTCACACCCGATGGACGTTTCGTGATTGGCGGCAACGGAGATCAGCAAGATGTGCTGGTCTGGGACCTCAATGAGGTACAAGACGGACAACAAAACAATGCCGCGTTACAGCCCGCAGCCAAACTGCCTCACCGAGGTCGGACTGCTCTCATTGAGTACAACCCACGTTACAACATGATCGCTAGTGCCGACAAAGACATTGTGTTTTGGCTTCCTGATGAACCGCCTAGGCCATCTGACAAGTAGGCCTATGACTTACGACTTTGAAGCATTTTCTACAGCAATTCGGATGTGTTTAATTACTGTTGACCGATACTTACGATGCTCAGTGTACAAGACTGGTCTCTTGGAGTACTGTGGTCTCTATCATGAAATATCTATATGTGGGGACATGCCAATCAGCGGTGTGTCTTGAGCAAGGAACTTTGTCTGTTTCTAAAGGAAGGCCTTTGCCAAAAGTGCGCAATCGATGAACACGTGGCAATGACATCGCTCTATTCTTATGCTCTGCGGTCCTTTTCTTTTCCGGCCAAACTTCGAGCTGTGTCACAAATCCAGACCATAGGCCCCTCGACGTCTTCATCATTGCCTCGGTTATTCTCGATTGTCATTTCGATCTGTTTGTCGATCGTGCGATTGCTGGAAATGGTCGTCATTCCAGTCACCCACCCATACATGAATACGCTGTGGTTGATATCCGACAAGCCTTCCGCAACTCGATCTGCCACTGGAGGCAGTTTGCCCTCTTTTTTTGCCGCAGTGATGGCTGGCTGCGCGTCGATGACTTGGATGGGGATCTGCCAGTGTGTCGGCACCTGCCATTCCGACAACTCCTGGAATTTTTGAATGGCGGATTCTCGTTCCAGATCGACATATTGAGGATCACCCATCATAATCTTTGCCCTTTCTTTCTCAGTCTCGGTGCCAATGAGTTCCACAATCTCGCGCATGCGAGTTGCTGCCTCACTGGTACACACCAGCTCATGGTCACCCATGGCAGGCCAGAGTTCGGTTTGTAGCAGCGGCTGCAGCTTTTCAATCTCGATCTGCCGGAGAATAGCTCTATGGAAACTGGGCAATGGTACGATTTCCTTAGCATGTGAAAGGTCAGACACGAGGGCGAGGAGAAGAGTGCAATCCACATTCAAGGTATCAGTGAAGCGCTTGTAAGGCCGGGGCAAGAGACATGTCAGCTCGGGCTTTTTGGCATCTGCGGCTTTTGATAGTGTCTCCTGGCATTCAACCTTCACACCATAACTGCGCATCTCTTTGAGAATATCATCAATTTCAGGAACATTTCCTTCCCCGATTTTAGGCAGCACCACTCGTAGCCGCGGATGTCTATACCGCAACCGGGTAGCATTAGCCGCTTTTCTCAGATCCCGAGCCAACTTGATAAGCTCAAGCTCATCCTCATCATCGTCATCCTCGTAGTCCGATCCCTCAAAATTCCGTAGCACAGTCCGTCGTCGTGGCCCATCACTCCCCTCATTAGACATACACTCATCGTCCTCCGAGTCCCGCTCCCACCCTTTCTTCGCCATCTCGAATAGCAATCTGCTTTCCGACATGGTGGATACTTTCACCCATTCCTCTCCATCATCGGCCACGATATCCACAAAGACACTCTTGCGTTTATCCTTGTTAGGCAGTTTCCCGCTCTTTTTTGCAGCAGCGTTCAACGCCCTCTTCTCCTCGTCAGCACGCGTATGGCCATCCCAGTAGAACCGCTTCCCCAGCGCAAGAAGCCCGTAGCACGAACCCCTCGTGATATCCCACACAGCCTGGTAGAAGGGTAAATTCGATGAGCGCAGTGCATGCATCAGCCGCATTTCAACCGAGTCATCCTCTCCACCGTTTTCCCCGTCCTCGTCGCTATCAGCGCCCTGGACTTGGTCATGGCCTTGACTTTCTTTTTGAACCTTTGTCTCGCTAGCGCAGGTACTCGCAGTACTTTGGAACCGCTGCTCCAGTTTCTGCAACATCTTCAATTCCGATGTCACGTTTGACCGAAACTGGCGCACCTCGACGAGTTGCGGATTGCGCAGGGTGCTCTTCAATAGATTCTGCAGCTCGTCGACTTCGGCGAGGATATCGAGGCATTGTTGATGCAGACGCTCGGAGGTTTTAGAACTGGGCTGGATCGGGAAGGGAATGTAATTCTCCAAGGGTAGGGGTTTGCGTGGGGATATTGGAGTTTCGTCGAGGCTGGCGGGGTCTTGCGCCATTGTGGAACGTGGGATTCTCGGGAGGATGAAAGGGTGTTATGTGTTGTTTTTGATTGATGATGGGTTGGATTGCATGGAGGGAATTGGGGAGGTGTTTTATTTGGCTATTGGGGAATTGGAGGAGTATTCGAGGTTGGTTCGTAGGCGCGTGTGCTCTGGCTTTGTTTTGTGCCTGGTGGAGTGCGGGGCGGGATGCGATATGCTTCTCTTATCGGATAGAGGTTCAGGGCGGGAACCTTCCAAGGTTTGATTATAACGAATAGGAAGAGTCGTGATTGATTTTATGGGCAGTTGAGTTAATATAAACCAAAGACTGGGCCATATAGTAGGATAAATACAAGTGGGAAATTCATAGCGGAGATGAGGCTCTGTATGACTATGACTCAAGCAGTTAACAAGACCCGCAGCACCGATCTATGGACTTCGGGCGGAATCGGCCAAAGACACACTACACCAGTCATTATCGAAACAGCATACCTACTAACTTAGAAGAGGAGTCACAATCTTGTGTGCATCTAAATTTCCAAACATTGATATTTGTACAGGCTGTCAAGGACTATTTGATTTCAGCAGCTAGGCGAATCATCTCACTGCAACAAGCTATTCCAAGTATATTTCGAGGGGTCAACATACAAGCCAAGCCAGGTCGATCCAGGTGTATCAAATTCCCATCACACAAACAAAAAAGAAAGGGAAACCAACGCCGTGACATGCATGAAACTCGAGTTAGGCCCTGGGCAGGTGACAATTTTCCCAGGAAATGCTCGATTGGCCCCAGTCGATGAAGACAGGTTGCTAGCCCAAGACAATCCGAGTCATGATCCATTCTACTGGGTTAGTCTCTGTCTTTCGCTAGAGTTACGAGGAGATTCGTCAGCATCCGACCATTTGTCTCCATCCTCGCCAACGGCGAAGATTGTCTCCTCATCGAGGGAGGCGCGCCGGTTTGACGCCGAGACTGGCTTGGGGGGCACGGGCGACAAATCGCGACGGCCCATGGCAGCGGAGCTGCCAGGGTACTCGGGAGGAGCATCCAAGGGATCCTCCTCGTCAAGACCACTGCCGAAAGAGCGAATCTCGAAACCGTCGTCATCTTGCGCGAGCTGTAAGAAGTTGTCAGTATGCCACTTTCACCCCAAATTTTTCAGATAATAAACCACATACCTCGTCACTCATGGCGAAGCGTCGGTTGTTCGCGGTTGGTCGCCAGAGGTAAGCAACAAACGCGATGTCGAAAAGGTAGACGAGGTTGAGCCAGCCATCTAGCACGAACCAGCGCGTCTTCCAATGCTCCGGGACAAAGCTGGCCTCACTGCGGCCAGCGAACGCAAAGGAGTTGATGAAGAAGAAGCCGAAGATGACAATGATGCTACCGAGGATACACCACCACAGCTTCTTGTACATCATCGCCTTGGTCTTCTGCTTACGATCGATGAGGTCCTTCATGGTGGCGTTGAGCGAGTTCAATGTCCAAACATAGAACGCCGTCAAGGTACCAGCCAGAGGCAGAACGATCAGGAGAACCATCGGACCGGCACCTTCGGGGGTGATGGACAAACTAGCGATCGAGTAGACCATGGCAAAAATGAAGTGGGCAATGGCCAGAATACGGACATAGACCATAGTCCGACCCAGAGAAGGCTTGACCACACCGTATCCCATGCATACAATGAGAAGCAGGAAGAAGGAAAAGGCATTACGGCCAGCATTGAGAATGGCAACAATAATCATCAATGCCTTAGCCATGGTGTTCAACCCATGTCGGTTTTGATAATCTAGAAGGGGAAAAGGTCAGATCGCAGGACAAAAAGACTCCCAAAACAAATGGCATACCATAGAAGCCCCAGGTCATCAGCTGCTCAACAATCAAGAACACAAGGATCGCAGTAATGTAGTTCTGAACAGGCACTGTTCATAGTTAGCACATGTGTCAGCCAACGGACTGGCTATTGCCTTACGAATATCGTGGCGGTTTTGAACATATAGGAATGCCCAGAACCTAGAAACATGTCAGCATTTCACTTCTGTAGTATAGCGAGTCCAATGTCCACATACATTCCAACAACAGCATACACAATCGTCAGAGCCCCGTAGAATGGTAGCTTAGCGATTTGTGCAGCGGGAAGCTCGCCGTACGAGTTACGGAAAGTAACCACCGCATTATAATCCTCCCCAGAGTATGCGTAGGTGCTGACGCAGTAGAAACCAGTCTTTTTCACCGGGTACTTGATGGCATCCGGGTTGTCCAGGTGGATGGCTTTGGAGATAATCGGGCTTTGAGAGGCATCGGTAGCGTTTTTGGTAAGAATGAAAGAGCCCACATCTTCTTGTGCGCAAAGCTTCGCGTCCACGGCCGCCTCGTCGCAAATGGTATCCTTCATCTGTTGTGTATTCTGTCAGTTCCCACTTCTGCCTGGATGTGCGACTCGGGGGCGTACTTCAGCATCATCAGATCGGTACTGGCCAATCAATTCTTCGTCATTCCATTCAAAGATCACCAAACTCGCGAGAGGATCTCCCTCCTGGTTCTCGGCTTTGGAGAATTTGACCAAGATAAAGGGGTCGACACTTCCGCCCCATGCCTTCCGACTATACATCCCTGAGCATCGTTGTCGGTGCGCCTCGTCGGATTTCTAGGATACAAGCATGGTCAGAATTTCATCATTCAAGTATGGAGAAATCGGCTCTAGCGACAATGCGATGCCACTCACAATTTCCACATCATTAGCAAGGACGGAGCCTGCAAGTAGGGCCGTAAGGCCGAGTGTCCGGAGCCAGCCCTTCATCGCGACCGTAATAAAGAAGCAAGCAAGGCTCCAGAATTCGGAGAAGAGAGCTATTCAAGACCACGCCGCATCCAATATGCGCCGAATGATAGTTTGAAAGGGAAGGGTGTCTTTCAGGGCAGATCCACCGAAGCTCGTCCGGAACCGTCGAGCTCAATTGCGTGGCCTGAAAAGCCCGGGGAAGCCGTGCGTGGAATCTTACCTAAGCCGCCCGCCCGCCGCGGGCACCGCCACCATCTACTTTTTTCTTGAAACTTTTGGATATCGGCGATCTTGCGCAACAAATCACAGTTGACTACGCAGCAATGCCGGCTAAGGAGTTGGCACGTCCTTGTATGGACTGTAAAGATGCAGAAGCTATCTTGGATACCCGAAAGAGGCAGTTATGTGGGTATGCAACGCAATATCAACCCCTCTATGTTGTCCATCTGGCAGAGTACACAGAGTACAGAGTACTAAAAGCTTCTATAGAAACTGTTTCAAGCGGTTCGCGGGCCACAAAGTCCTTATGCGCATGTCCAAATATAAAATGAAAAAGGCAAATCGCAAAATACCCAAACTACTGCTCCCACTCTCCCTCGGTGTCTCCTCCATAGTTCTGTTGCACATCATCAACGACGATATTGAACGCCAACTCGCCAAAACGTTTGTCAATGTCGGTTTTGAACTCAATATACTTGTTGTCGATCCATCAACTATCCTCGGCCCAGACGCCAAATATGACCAGGCTTATGAGGCTGTCACAAAGGCTTTCCCGAAGCTTACATTCACCCGCTTGCCATTCCACAGTGTCTTCGAGTACGTGCCGGATATGAAGGAGATTATCCAGGAATATGCTGGTTCAACATTTACCGATGATGAGTCACGGTCAAACGAGGATCGTCTCACGGTGTTCCGCGCTGCGATCGCTACGGCTACCTCCAAGGCCGACCTCGACTCGGTATTGTTGACCAGACTTGTTGTTGGATATGCCAAGAGTCTTGACTGCGAGACTGTGATTTGGGGTGACTCGGACACTCGTCTTGCGGCGAAGACACTCGCTGGTGTTGCGAAAGGCCGTGGCGCCTCGTTGACTTGGTCAGTCTCCGATGGCATGTCTCCTTGGGGTGTGACCTTTGATTTCCTGCTCCGAGATCTATCTAAGCCTGAGCTTGAACAGTTCAAGAGCGTTTGTGATGAGCTTTCGGAAATCATTGTCCCTGATGAGCCCATTTCGGACAACGTTTTGACGAAGAACCTGTCAATTGATGAGCTCATGATGCGCTACGTTCGGACGCAGGGCGAAAAGTATCGTGGTGTCATGGCGAATGTGTCCAGAACTGCCAACAAGCTCGAGTCTACCACCGCATCGGATGACGCTCTATGCCCTTTATGTGGAGGACATGTTGGGAATGTCAAGGGTAATTCTGGAGTCACTGTCGCCAACCAATCCAGCGACAACTACAGTTCCAAGTTCTGCTACGGATGTATGAGGTCTCGTCCAGAAGCCACTTTCTGATTAAATTATTATGGGAGATGCGCTATGGGAACCAAATCGAGAAACCCAATCTGCAGCCGTCATAACCTGAGCCTGTCCTCATCAGTCCGAAAGGGTATCTTGAAGTCGTCAATCTTGCTTGGGGGTCCTTGGGGGCATTTCAATCATCTGCCTCTCTCCAGGTCCTCCTCCCGCTGGCGCGACCCGCCAAACCACCGGCTGGAACCACGATTATCACGGGACTTCTTTGCACGCGGAGGCCTGGTTGGCTCGCTGGTGGCATTGTCTGCGCGTCGGGTTCCTGACATCGCATGCTCGCGATAATCAGGCGGCGAATTCTCGATTACGCCACGCTCCTGCTTGTCCCACTCCTCCGGAAGACTGTGGTCAACTATTCGTTCCTCTTGTCTGTTTTCAATTCCTGGAAGGTCCTGTCGTCGAGCCTGCTTCTTGAGTGTCTTGGCACCCTTCTCGCGCAGATGTTTTTCTAGGATGACAGCATTCCTGGTATTGCACTTGTACACAGCATCTGCAATGTCGCCAACGAAGGGAACCAAGCCGATGAAAAAGTCGACGATCACGTTAATCAACATCATCATGCGCAGACGGGATGGGAGTCCACCATCGATCTCCTCGCAGTTTCTCACCACCATCAAGGCAAGCGCGGCGTCTCCGGCATCTCCGATGCTATCGAAAGGCGATCGGTTAGTTCTTGGTATTTGTGGGAGCACGTTGTTGCAGCCGAGACTTACAAGGGAACGAGACCAATCACGCTACCCCAGCCAAAGCGAACTCCACACAGGTTGAACAGAGCATAGTCGAGTCGGTACGCTCTGCGTTTGACCTGAGTGAGAATTTTGGCATCTTTCTCCGATAAACCAGGGGGGTAGCCTTGCGACGCCTTTGCGTCTTCTTTCCAAATGCTTTCCCGAGACGTGACGCAGGGACTTCTTCGAAGTAAGGGTCCTAGTGAGCGAGACGTGACGTTAGCTCAACTATATCCATAGTCGTGCTAGCTTTTAAATCCATAAACATACCTCAGTTCCAAAGTGGTTCCTCGCAGACTCGGCGAGAACCCTTTTGCCAACCAGAGACCAGAGTACACCAGACATTTTTCGCGTAGTGTTGGAAAAATAGCTTGTGGGGTGACACCGTGTAGGTAGGTGTATGGGATCGAGGGCGGAGCTGAAAGATATACTTTGTCAAGGGGGACAAAAATAGAATGTTGGGCTTTCCTATTTTTCACGAGGGCATTAAAGGGGTTGGAAGTCCAGGCGACTGTGGCTTTCAATGGAGCCAGTAAGGTAAATCATGAAGCGCACGGAGAAGCAGAAAAACAAAGTCAACTGGGTGAGATCTCGGTGTTTAAAGGCACAACGTCATTCCCCAGCATTTAAATTGCGACGCGCCAAAAGCCTGGCACATGCGCCGATCGTTGTGGCGCACGGGCCAGCTGCACCGCCACATTTCTACCCGACGCCACACCTTTCCTGAGTCAGCCGATCGTCACTTTGGGCTGTTCCAACTACCTTGCGCCTGAGCTGTCCGTTTCCCTCTCCCCCCGATTGGCGCTTTGTCTCCTTCAACTCGTCTTCGCAGAGCCATACGACTCTGATCTCTTCTCATTACCTTGCCACCCACGTTACTGGGCCGCTGCACTCGCCCTGTAAGCTGCTCCTCTTGTGTTGAGCCGTGTCTCTTCCCGCGGCCCGAGCAAGCGTCTGGATTCGGTCGTTCCCATTGAAATGCGAAGCTCCATCGACCAATATGACCGAATCAAAGATGCAGCTAGAAGACTGTGAGCGTCTAATAGGATCCTTCTTCGTGATATTCATCTCTAACGTGATGCCGATCGACCTGAACAGGGCTGGATGATCTATGCGTCCGTTTCATCATTAACCTACCACATGAAGAGCTTGAATCCGTCGAGCGAATCTGCTTTCAAGTTGAAGAAGCACAATGGTTCTACGAAGATTTTATTCGACCTCTCGATCCCGCGCTACCCTCACTTTCCCTCAAGGCATTCAGCTTGCGCATCTTCCAGCACTGTCCCCTCATGTCACAATGGTCCCACTACCACCACATGGCCGCTTTCTCCGAGTTCCTAGCATACAAGACCAGAGTTCCAGTTCGTGGCGCAATTCTGCTCAATGAAGAGATGGACTCTGTTGTTTTGGTGAAGGGCTGGAAAAAGGGCGCCAACTGGAGTTTCCCACGAGGTAAAATCAACAAAGGCGAGCCTGACTTGGACTGTGCGATTCGAGAAGTCTATGAAGAAACTGGGTTCGATGTCCGTGCAGCCAATTTGGTGAAGGACGAAGATGCCGTTAAGTCCATCGAGGTCACTATGCGAGAGCAGCATATGCGACTCTTCGTCTTTCCTGGTGTCCCCCGCGATACACATTTCGAGCCCCGTACCCGCAAGGAAATCAGCAAGATTGAGTGGTACAAGTTGTCAGAGTTGCCGACTCTCAAGAAGAACAAGCAGCACGACGAGGGGATGGCTGTGGCCAATGCTAACAAGTTCTACATGGTTGCGCCATTTTTGCATCCGTTGAAAAAGTGGATTGCTCAGCAGAAGAGATCTGCCGCAAAGGACCAGACAGGCCTGAAGCCACCCTTGCAAACTGAGGGCTATGCATCTGTAGATGCGGCTCTTTGTCTGGCCGACTTGCCTGCCTACGGAGGCGGAGCTAGCGATCTCCCAGAGGTTGACGCGATGCCACCGGCTGCAGACGTTTCCTCGCATATTAAGCAGCTGCTCAAGATCGGTGGAGGTCTCCCTAAAACAGTTCAGCCGGAAACTTCTCCCTCTGCTCAGCCACCTGCTGTAGATCAGATGAAGTCAAATGCCCTTCTGACACTTCTCAGGACCGGCTCTCAGGGCACTGTTCCCCAGGTCCAGAAAGAAACTGTGGCTCCTCAAACGTCGATTCCCTCTGGCTTACCTACTACTCAGCAAGCTCACCTTGCACCCAATTTCTTCCCTGGATTCCCTCAGCAACAGCAGCACATGGCGCCATCCAATTTCAACATGCAGCAAATCTCCGTGCGGCACCTACCTGGGCAGCAACCGGGTATCTCCCAACGTGCTATGCACACTGTTCACCACCAGCAATTTCCTAATTCCGGGCAGCCCGAGCTGCCAGGTTCTTCTGCTATGCCCCCATTCCCTCAAATGCCACACCCGAGCTATCATAGCCTACACCCTCAGTCTCCTCCTTCCAATATTACGCCTGCTAGGAATGTCGTTGCTCCATTCCAACAGACCGGAGACCCTCAATTCTCCCAGCCGGCCCAGCCTTCTCAGGCTCCGGGTGCCATTGTACCGCCAGCTAGCAAGCTACCTCCCCCAAGGCTTACTAGTCACTCGCTCGCGCTTCTTGGATTTTTCAAGGATGGGAGCAAAACCCCTATGACTCCCCATGCCGCTCCAGTTCCCGTTCCTGCGCCTGTCCCCGCACCCGCACCTGCACCCGGTCCTAGCCAAGAGCGCAAGACTTCTCTCCACCAGGACAGTCTGTTGAATTTGTTCAAAGGCCCAAAGGGCTCGCCTGCATCTCAACCTGTGGAATTGCTAGGTCAGCCTATCCGGGCAGCGCCACCTGCAGAGAGACAGATTCTTCAACGGCCGCCATCACAGGTGGGACCTCACCAGCAACGCGGTCCTGCCGCATCAAAATCTCAGATTGGTGTGGCTCATCCTCCGGCCACTGTCTCTGGTCCTTCCAACGTCCCCCAGTTCGAGCAGAGTCCAAAGTCAAGGACTAAAAGGATGGCAAATGGATCGAATCGCAGAAGCAATTCGCACCGTCGGGAGCAACCACAAGCGCTGCCACTTTCGTCGCCGATTACCATTTTGCCTCGGCCGCAAAGCGCGAAACGGGATGTACCTGCATCCGGGCCCCCTAGCTCAACAGCCCAGGCTCCGGTACAGCCAAAGGTCATTCAGCCTGCGGCTCCGGAACCAGTGAAGCCCTTCCAGCCGCAGATTTTGCGTCGCTCTGAAAAGACAGGGTATGAGAACCTGTTGATGGGTGCTCCTAAGATGGATAACGCCGAGCGCAAGCCAAGTCTTCCCGGTCTACAGGCAAATCCCGACGAGCTGGCTCCAGACACAAACTTTAATCGCCGGCCTAGCCAGACCCATGCGCAGAAGGAGGCACTTCTCTCGCTTTTTGGAAAGCCCCATGTGTCCCCTTCTTTGCCTGCGGCTATCCAGCTCGATTCCCGGGCAGTAAACCAGCAACCATCCAATGTTTCTGGTCTGGTCAGCCCCCTTTCGTCCCTGCAATTTGCCAGCAGTGGTGAATCTGTTTCCCGTCACGGAACACCATCTGAGGGTGACCACGTCTCGACTTCTACCAACCGAGTTTCTTCCCCGAGTAACAAGGCCTTTTTGCTTAATTACCTGCAGGGGGCTGCCAAGGGCGGCAATTGAACAGTTAACTTTCATGTGTTCCGGCCAGTCATATGGCCGACTGAGTACGAAATTTTTTTTTTTTTATGCAGGACAACCCAATTAAGCATTAATTCGCTGTATTATCTTCCAACTTGGTAGTTTTGTATTGTTTTGGGGTATATGTACCTCCACTGACCTGAACGGAACTGAGCATCTTAGGCAACCTTAGCCTGAAATATATATCTACTCCACCACCCATTCAGTCACTACACAAGCTCGATCAACTCTAACCCAATAATCAAATCAGGCTAGATTTGTTACGTTCAATGGAAAGATTATGTGGAAGTGTAGTGATTTCTAACAACTTTCCCAGAGAGTGAGAATTATGGGTGGAGTAGCAAAAATTTTTCATCTCAATAAGTTCCAACAACATCCAACCATCCTCCCAAAGAAAAAAATTACAGATAGTAGAGACACGAAGCAAAAAACGACAGCTGGCGGATTTGAACCGCCGCCTCCGAAGAGACTTGATAACCCGGAAGTGTTCCGATTCTAGTCAAGCGCCTTAGACCACTCGGCCAAACTGTCTTATTGGATGAGAAAATGGTTGAAATTATGCACTATAACCGGACGGCAGTGTGGGGCGGCGAAAAATTGGAATTTCCCGGAAAAGGAAAAAAATCGACGGCTGGCGGATTCGAACCGCCGCCTCCGAAGAGACTTGATAACCGAAACTCACGTGGTGATTCTAGTCAAGCGCCTTAGACCACTCGGCCAAACCGTCTATGGATGCAGACGGCAACATTTGGATACATAAGGTCAAGGCTTGCAAAGAGCGCTAGCCTATTTAGGCAACACCGCAGCCGTGGAGCCCATTTACGATCTAGACCTGAGATTGTATGGGACTCTCTATGCCATTTCGTCCACTCATAAGAATACTAGTCTCTAATACTACTACATCATCTTGACCATGCGTGGATCTTAGTACAACCAGGGCTTTCTTGCTGTGCCAGGGCCATTCTTCCGGTAATATCGAGCGGCGAGACAGACCTCACACGCGACTAGCGCGAGGGAGGCCTCATGAGCGGTGTAGAATGTGGTAAGGGAGGGTGTTTGCACCCCTCAAACACACACCCAACTCCCCTACTCAGTCCGCTCCTGTACACCCCCCCCCCCCTCCCGTCTTTATTAAGATGGATAGCAACAATCCACCTAATGATCCCTCATTGGATCCATTCTACAATAAACACGTGGTAAATCGAATCCTCGATGTCGTCCGCTCTCATCCCGTTTATGATCAACGCGTAATAGATCAAATCCTTGATATCGCGTCGGATTGCGAGCCATCACCCCCAGCACCGCAACCGCGTTTCTACTATTCACGTGAAGATGGCCAAGAGCATCTGAAACAATTCGCTGCCCATCATGGGTATTCTTTAAATGTCCGGCGCTCAGACAATCACAAGGTTGATATGGTCTGCTCTCGTTGGCCTGATCCCAAGTCAAAAGCAACGGATAATGATGGCACGCCTTCACGAGAGCGGAAATCTAAGGGATGCAACTGCCAGTTTCGAATTCAGCTTAGAAAGCGTACTAGAGGGCTACAGAGAGAAAATCAACCACAGCCGATTTGGCAGCTCCGAATTCAACATGGAACTCATAACCATGGGCCAAAACGACGACGTCCTAACAATCCCGCGCACCCTCCAATCTCTACAGGAATGATTGGGCACGATCTATCCGAGACGGACTTCTCGTTATTGCTCGACCAATCCTTTGGTCTCGCAGAAGATCCCGTGATTGCACCCCCAGAGCCGCCTATCTTTGAACCACCCCCCGAGACCCCAGAAGAAAAAGAGCCCTCACCCCCGGCGCTACCGCCAGTGCCACCCCCAGCGCCGCCAGCACGCTTCTACGATTCGCGTGAGCTTGGTCAAGAGGACATCAACGCATTTGCTGCCAGCCATGGGTATACCCTAACTGTCAGACGGTCAGATCCAACCAAGGTTGACCTAGTCTGCTCTCGCTGGCCTAATCCTGCGAGGGAACGAAAAACGAACGGCACTAACTGCCCATTCCGACTTCAGTTCAGAAAGCGTGCTGGAGCACCGCAGAAACCTGGATATATCATCCTCTCAGATGATCCCCCTCCACAGGCGGGATGGGAGCTGCGAATCCAAAATGGAGAGCACAATCATTGGCCACAGGCTCCCGCAAAGAAGAAACGAAAGAAGAGTGAGATATCGGGCTCATCCAAGCCTCAGGAATCACCTTCTACGAACGTGGAATGTTCACAACCACAGCCTTGATTGGTGTACGCTCATAGGAATATCAGTTTTGCACGAGCAGCGAGGTTACGAAGGCTGTGCATCAAAATTAGAGCAAAATATATCCAGACATTTTTCTCTCGGGTACTGAAAAAACAATAATAACACAATATTACTGCACCACTTCACAGCCGAGCTAGGCCCGGTGGACCATTCATCCCAGATTACAGAATTTCTAGTCTGTGGATTGATCGATCGATTGAATTGATAGGGGTATTCTACTAGTTGATCAGGTGGTGTATTGATAACATAAAAATCGACACGTGGGGCATGTATCTGATATCAATCCGATAAAGATTTGTCTTACACCGATCCTTCATATTTTAGCGCGAAAGGGTTTCCACCAATGAGGTCTACGAGGAGTATTACTCTTTGTGGCATGGTTTAACTTAAGAAGTCTTTCCCTTCCTCCTAGCCCTAGCCTCGCATGTTCCTTACTATCACTACCAGGTCTAGCATCATGACTGACTCAACCACTTTGACGCTCATCTGCGGCCCAACCATTCGTCATGGTACCGAGCATGCATCGCTTGTTCGCTCGCAGCTGATGCGCCCGAGATACCACGAGAGGCGACATCGGATCCTTCGAAAGAATACCGATATTGATTATATTCAAATTAATATTCAACGTCATGAAATTCAGACTGAGACTCTCCCTGCCGGGACGAACCTCGGCAAATTGCTCTCTGCCAAATCGATCCGTTTCTCCCAGACGATCGCAGAACGAGTCATTTATGATTTCCTACTCCATAGTTGTAGGTTCAGAAATATGGTCGTACTACAATAATTTTGTGATAAATATTAAGTTCAATTACAGGTATACACGTTGTACTTCCCACGGCCCGACCGGATGAGTTTGCGGAGCTCAGCCTCCAAGCCTACCTACATCCAGATAGAGATCCGATGGTGATATAATCCCTCTTCTACTCGGCCGCACTCAGCTTGCCAATTCTGCGCGGTGCTTTGAACTTTACATTTGCGCTGGCTCCTGCAGGTGCAGCTGCAATTCCGCCCATGTACCACCTCCAGCTCAAAGGAACCGTTCTAAACAATATCCGCCACAAGCTATCAGCGGTGAACGGCAACGACCTACATGATGACCGAATAGATGACATCGTGCTGAGTATTCTCTATCTCGCAGTCAGTAAGAATCTAGACCAGATAAGGCCCCCGGAAACGAGTCCTTTCTCACCACCATTTCGGAGGCTCCAGTCTACGGTAGCTGTGATTTTCATCATATCCACTGGCAGGCCGCTCAACAAATTGTTTCTTAACGAGGCGGCCTTTCCACTGTCAAAATCTACGGCTTGGACTGGCTAATCTCCTTGTAATTTTTCTTTTGGGAAGTGCTTTTCTTTTCCGCGAGTCGAGAGAAGCTTATATCATTCCTACTAGATCAGGACAGATCGTTGCCATCAATGCCGATTGTAAACCGGTCTTTCCGCTGATATACCCTGACAGAAAGCCTTTTGTCTACAGAGCGCCCCTGCAGGCCCTTGCAGTCCACCAATCGCCTCGACATGTAACGCTCCGATACCATGGCTTTCGGCAGTTGGCTCTCCTCCACTCACCGGTGTAAGGGACTATTATCTGTGTCTGTTTTGATGTGACCGAGATGACACAGGCCCTTCAATATCGCGCAGGACAGCTACGTGGCAGTCGACTCTTGACACTTATTGGCGATACACGATCGAACATCATTCATCGTTTATGTAATCTGCCTGACCTAGAAACAGACCAGCTGATCGATACTCCACAAACGGAAATGCACTACTGAAGACCAAGATAGAGTAATCACGATGTACATCATTAGCCCCCAAACCGCCATTTTGTACGGCGCCAATGTCGTTTTACCGCTCCCCAAACGTCGCTGATCCGCCACAAGATGACCCTAGAGATTCATGAACACATGCTACTGCTGAAGGGGCAGAGAGATGAGACCGAGCTTGAGATCCTTCTATGGTGCCCCATCGTCGCAGGAATCTGCGCTGATACAACACCAATCATCCAGTCTTGGTTCGTTAGAGAGGCCAGAGATCTCTGAAGCGCCCTGAAAATCACCACGTGGGACCAGATTCTTGAGATCATGTAGTCCTTTGCTTGGCTTGACTGTGCATCAGACGAGGCAGGAAAGAACATGCGGTGTCAAATTCAACGGTATGATGGCAACACTGTATAGACAGAAAATATGATAACGTGTTCATATTAACAAGGACTAAACCAAACTAAACACCAGTTGAGATGTTATTTTCTAACTCGCGTGTAAATCTCCAACTGAAAAGAGCTTGTCTGGGAATGGTCACCTCGTTCTTGCAGGGAACACAAGCAAGTGTCGAGACATAAACCGGTGTAATAGGATCTACAGTGTTTAACTCTTCTCTGTCGGCTTCCAGCGCTTCTTTTCCAGAACAGTCGGCTGAAAAACTACAGTCTCCTTTCCATTTATTTTGAAATAATTACTGCATAGCCCGATTCTGTGATGTTTCCCAAATGCAATCTTGCGACACAAAAGATTGGGTTTTCATCATATGTATTTCACAAGAAAAAGTGATATTCCGCAAGCTTGGACTGTTTCTATATCTTCCTTCCTTCCTATATTCGCCATCATCTGTTTCTGCATTATCCTACAATACCAGTGGCTGTTACGCTCAAGCACGAGAGAGATATTGATCAATCAACATGGTAGCATTTGACCAAGATAACTAAGCATAAGAGAAGGAAAGAAGGGAAGATACCGGAATGGCAAGAGAACTATCTAACCCGTGGATGGACGCCTTAGGAACCAGGCATCAATTCAGCAGACGATCATCACAGTGGCTTATTCAAGCTAATTCACATGTTCCTGTAAGAATCCAAAGATCACATCATATGCTGCGGAAGCGTTGCGATGTAGGTTAAGGGTGTGGCCGGCATTCGGTTGGATATAGGTCGTGAACGGCTCTGCCTTGGGAAAGACAAACGGCGAGAGCGAATCGGGTCCATCTAAAAATTCCCCGACATTCCCCTCCACAGAGAGGCAAGTGAGATTGACCCGAAATCATCTATACTCACAATTTTTTGTTAGTAAACGTAATATCTTGCAACCATGTGCCGGGGCTCATATAAACTGGGGGCAAAAGACTTACGACTACGGGGCTGGTGAAATTAGGAGCTAGCAAGGATATGCTTGCGAATGTGAGCATTTCAGCAATAGCAAGTGGAGCCTTTTAGTCCTCTGCTTGCTTCAGAATAGCCGTGTCAAAGAAAGGGTATGTGTAGAATGCGCACTGGTTATCGTACACATCACCCCATGTGAGGTAGCCTGTATTGTAGTTGCGAAAGCGGGTGGGATTGTTTGTGCTCGCCAGCTCATATCCGAGGCAAAGCACCAATAGATCAGTGAATGAAGTATTGTGGCTAAAACCAGTGAGGACAATCCCATCTGATAGGGACGGTTGAGATGCAACTAGGCCATTCGTGATTAAGGAACCAAAGCTGTGTCCTATATGTACCACTTTCTTCGGCCGCATGATTTGTTTAGAGAGTTGGCCGTTTCGGATCATCTCAGAAATTTGGCAAGGATAGCAACTTTACTTGGGACTTGAACCTCAGAGTATGGATCTGCATGCTCAGATTGGCCGACGCCTTGTCGGTCATAGGACAAAGTGGCATATCCGAGAGCAGTTGCAGCGGCGACATAATTATAGCCGTTGCCTCCAAAATCCCAGTACCTTAGAATGATTAGATTGGTTAGCCAAAGTGCGCGGATTGAGAGCTTGGTAAAGTGGTAGTAAAATGAACTAACGATCTGTCAAACCCGACCCCATGGGACAGCACCTGAACCACTCCGTTTGAGCCTTTCTCTGGCTCACAGTATTCAAAATGGATGTTGAAGCTGCGATCAATCTCCGAGTAGCCTCCAATCAAGGAACTTAGATTGGCTGTTTGAGACACAAATGTAGTGAGGAAGGCGGTTGATTCGTAGCTACTGTTGAATTCCGGGAAATTGAACTGCGAAACAGACAAAGACACAGGGATTGGTAGGCTGAATTCAAAACAGGGAGGCTTGTGAGCGAATGCTCCTAAGAGAGACAAAAAGATAAAATGAGCAAGAGAGACATGGCTTTAGTTATACGTGATGCACTGGGAGAGTAAAAAGTTGGACTGGTACCCCATGGATTGATATGGGCAACAACGCTATTATACACGCTTCAAATACGCTCATGGAGACTTGGAAATTCCAATTATATTCCTTAGCGAGTTTACGCAAGGGTGAGCAAGCAACAGCATATTCAATGATAGGACGTGATACAGAGGATATGTTGGTTGTAATACTTCCACCGTTGCCGACTGACCAGCGGTTACCGGTATACCGGGCCGCTAGGTTTATACATATGCTGTACTGTTTCCGTAGCTACTATGGGTCTACGAAGCTGATTGAAAGTCATGGAGAGCGTATCGCAGGCCTAGAAATAATTAACTATAGTTGATTTCGGCTTTCTGTAAGCGAAATTTAGTGTCCTTACGACTAGCGGATGGGCTTTTCGATGGCCTGGAGGAGTAGTTCCATTTTAGGTTGATTTCTTTGGTACCACCATCGTCAAGAATGCACCCTATGCGAGAGGACCAGTCTAGTCCTTTGTCCCCCCGGTGCGAATCAAGCACGATTAGGAATTCGCTGACTGTGCCACGTAAGAAATGACGCAAGGACTTTTGGAGTCACGTAGAGTAAGTACTTTTTTTTTTGACCAGGGTCTTACAGCTATAAAGCCGCTCTTCGCACTCCCGGCAGATTTATCCAGCCAGCTAGATTCTTTCTCACCTACATTCTTTGAATTTAATCTCATCATAAAATGTCTTCCGAGAAGCCTATTGTTGCGGTTACCGGTGGTACCGGTGGCCAGGGCGGCTCTGTCATTGATGCCTTGCTCGAGTCAGGACATTACAGAGTTCGCGCCGTCCTTCGTAATTTGACGCCGGCCAAAACCAAGCCTCTGTCTGACCGAGGCGTTGAGATTGTTCAGGGCGACCTCGAAGATAAAGCAAGTTTGGTGAAGGCCTTCAGAGTACGGAAACAACCATTGTTTATTGTTTGAAAAACAACGACGTCTTGCGTCCATCGCTAGGGAGCAAATGTTATCTTTGCCATGACCGATTTCTTCGAGCCATTCGTGAAATATGGTCCACAGGAGGCAGAGAAGCGTGAGCTAGCCCAGGCAAAGAACCTGTCCGAAGCCGCCGCAGAGACCAGTGGGTTGTCCCACTACGTCTGGTCTACCCTTCCATCGTCAGCCATATTGTCGAAAGGGAAATACCACACACCGCACTTTGAATCAAAGGCCAGTGTTGATGAGTATATTTTGAAGCAATTTCCTGAGCTCACCAAGACTACTTTTCTCTGGATTGCATACTACGCAAACAACCTAACATTCCCACCTTTCACCCCCAATCTGCTCAAAACTAGTGGCAAGTACGGCTGGTACAGCCCGCTGGGCCATCTACTCCAATTAATACCATCGGAGACCAGCGCGAGAACGTCGGAATTTTTGTCGAGGCAATCCTTAGACAGCCAGCGCTTACTCGCGGAAGTTATGTTCTTGCAGAGGTGGAAACACTTACCAACGGCGAACTGCTCGAGCGCTGGGGAAAGGTCACCGGCAACTCAACGGTTTACATCCCAGGTACACTAGAGGCTTACAACGAGCTGTTTCCTGCCTGGGGCTTGGAGATGGGTGTGATGCTGCAATTCTGGGAAGCAGTTGGGGATGCCTCGTGGAGCAGACCAGGAGCCACGCTTCTGCGCAAGCAGGACCTGGGCATTGATACTGCACGTTTTACCGGGTTAGACGCTGCCTGGGCGCAAATTGATTGGAAAAAGTTGTAAATATCTATCTATTTTGGACAGGCTGGTAACATGGGGCGTAGAATGATTTTATCTTTGAAGTCTCCATCAAATTGAGGATTCTGAATTCTTCCATAACGCTGTGAATTGCTGTTTTCACCGACTATTGCGGCCTTCTCCAGCTTCAAGCAACTGATTTCCAAATATCAAGTGTCGCTAGGATCACATGAGGTTCTACTACAGTATGTCTATATTTGTTGGAGGAACAGCTCCGAAGGGTTGAGAAATCATGCGAGCCTCCCTGGCGCGCTGGGCATTTAGAAACAAACGGGTCAAGCAACATTGAGACGGAAAAGGAAACCTACAGTTTGTGTCAACGGAAGAGAGACTCATCCACGTGTAGCTATCTTTGTGCCATCTCGAGGGCTCTAAATTTTCCTCTAGGTGCCCCCTCCTAATATACCATGCAAGCCACCCCAATGGAAGTAAGATCACCGAGGGCTGCAGCCGCTGCAGTCTGCCGACGGGGCCTTTCGCTTGCCCAGTACGGAAAACGCTCCATATACCTGACATGGTATAAATAAGCGTGCGTATCAAGAGATGAGACCAGTTTTAGCGTGTATCAGAGCGCCAGAAATCACAAAAATTGGTGCGATAAACATTCTCCATTGAATTATGAATCCAAATTTAACCTTCCATACGTTCTTGATGTACCAATCACAGGTGTAGGACAATGATCCTGTTTTATCCTTTCTCATAATTTAGAAGCATTCTCCCCCTTAATCCTACAGCACAGCCATCCCCAATGCCTCCACGGCAACAAAATACGCTAAACGCACAACCGCAGGCTCCCTTATTCCCGAAGGAACAATCATCCATCCACGTGGTAAAGGATTTCCGGATACCCATGGCTCGTGGACCCAAGAACAAGCCCTCATCTGCTCACTTTTCGGTGGCTTCGAGGTCGTTGGAGGAGAGGAAGCTTGCGTATTTGCACATAGTGTAGTGGAGCCGCGATACGACGCGATACGACCAGTTGAGTAACGAGAGTTTAGTTGCTTGCTGTCAAGGAATCGTGGTGAGCCTGTAGCAAAAGGTAGCCCAAAATTGTCAAGAAAGTTTGATGTTTCAGATTCTTATGAGGAAATTTTTCAAAATAACGGCAGAATCAGCCATTTCCAGCACCATCACGTAACTGTGTAGTGATGTTGAATGGTGTGACTATCTGTAAGATGTCAAATTCTGCCCCTCTCTACCGCCTAACGTCATTGCCCGCTGCTCCGTCGGCAAAATGGTGGAAGCCCGCAGCTTCACATTATTAGTCACTTCAATCCTCTCGACAATGATGCGGCCTCGCCCCTCGACATGCGGCCGCTGCCTTGTACGCAGGAGGCTCTTCTCGACGACAAATAACCAGGCTGAGCAATTCCAAAATGCCCCTCCCCCACCAGATGTCGGCTACTCTCGGCTCACAAATCGCGGTCTCATATCCATCACCGGAGTCGATAGCTCAGTCTTTCTACAAGGGCTGATCACCCAGAACATGCTGGTCGCCAATGACCCGAATAAGAACATCCGTCGCACAGGCACGTATGCTGCCTTTCTCAACTCCCAAGGCCGCGTCTTGAACGATACCTTTATTTACCCGCTCCCGAACTCGGATGGCAGTGACGTTGAGCGAGAATGGCTGGTCGAAGTGGATAAGAATGAAGTTCCGACTTTGATGAAGCATTTGAAAAAGCACAAGTTGCGCGCGAAGCTGAAGCTACGTGCCCTCGAGGATGGCGAGCGGACTGTCTGGTCGGCATGGAAGAATCACCCGGAGCCACGGTGGGCTGCTTACAACCTCGAGTCCGAGACGGCATCTCCATTTTCCACATCTTCAGATGTCGTCGGGTGTATCGATGCCCGGGCCCCGGGATTTGGGACTCGTCTTGTTACGCCGGGATCTGACGATCTGCGAAGCCATTTACCCGATGAGACGCAGGTTGCTGGGTCCGAGGTTGAGCTGGGATCGTACACTGTGCGCCGAATCCTGCACGGTGTCGCAGAGGGCCAGAATGAGATCATTCGCGAGTCAGCGCTGCCGCTGGAATGCAATATGGATATGGGACGGGCCATTGATTTCCGCAAGGGCTGCTATGTTGGCCAGGAATTGACCATCCGCACCCATCATACTGGCGTTGTGAGAAAGCGGATTCTTCCCGTTCAGTTTTACACCGGGGAGCCGTCTTCAGCGGATGGCCCTGTTTATGACCCTTCGGTGGAGCTCCCTCTACCACCCCATGGATCAAACATTAACAAGGCTGGTGGCCGCCGGGGCCGCAGCGCTGGAAAGTTCCTGGACGGCGTGGGCAACATCGGCCTTGCACTGTGTCGTCTGGAAATGATGACGGACGTCGCGCTGACCAGCGAAGGAACACAATATACTCCAGGAAGCGAGTTCAAAGTTTCGTGGACTCCGGAGTCGGAGCAGCCAGCCGAAGTCAAGTTGCAGGCTTTCATCCCACCCTGGACAAGAGAATTCATTCTCGCTGGTGGCGCACGGAAGCCAGCCCCACGACAAGTTGATCTTGAAGGCGAGCGGGCGCGAGTTCTCGTCGAACAGCTCGAAGAGGAAGAAGCGCAGCGACGGACCGAGTAGGTCGGCGTCTGCTAATGTAACAATGCATCTATGTATGATAAGATAAAACCCATGTAAATAATCAATGTATCTCTATTCATGCAAACTGTGGCCTTTCGTAGACCGGGGTATCTTTTGAGCAAGCCAACACATGTCCCAATTTGAACACAAAATCCCAGAAAATAACATCGCTATGCAAAAATGAAAATTGCTCACGTCCCATTAGCCTTTGCTCTTTCCGCCGCAGCTTCTGCAGCATCGGCAGCCTCGTCTTCACGGGCAAGTTCTTCTTCGAGAGCTTTGCGCTCCTTCTCACGCTGTGCGTTTTTGAGCCGCATCATAGTAATCTCTTGGAGACTGGGTGTTGATGCCTTTGCCGAAGGGTTGAAAGATGGTGCCTGGGGAGGGTTTCCGGCCGCGGAGGGGAACGAGCCGAATGAAGGCGCCTTTCCAGATGGTTGTGACTCAGGCTTCACACCAAGGAAGTTGAACGATGGCTTCAACGATGGCTTAGAGGCTGTACCAGTCGTATCGGTAGTGGGCCTGGACGAGGGTGTTTGGGAGTCCGCTAACGGCGTTGACTCCTCAGCTTTGCCGTTCGTGCCGAATCCCAAGTCCGGTGCTTGACCCGATGCATATGCAACCGAGTCCACCAAAGCCCAATCCCCCTCTGCTTGCCGGATGTTCTTGTCACTATCCAACACAGCCGCCTGTGCACTGACAATCGACTTGAAGACCACGACGCCGGTGCCATAGGTGACCTTCCCTTTCTTCCCATCCACGCGGGCACGTTTATCCTTCAGCACGAATGTGCCTTCAATCTCCCCAAAAGGCGCGCACAGAGCCTTCAGCCATTCCGCATCCCAGTCCGCGCCACGGCCTTCTCGCACCCAGCGGACCTTCACCGAGCGCTCGAGCTCCGAAACATTTGTACCGCCGTCCCGGGACCGGTCAACGCGCTGGCTACTTCGGTCCGCCGCTTTGCGTGCCTCTTCCTCTTCCTCCTGCATCTTCCTCTGTTCTTCTTCTAGCTCCCGCTTCAGCTTATCCGTCGCCTCGCGGCGGCGACGGCGCCCATCCTCGGCGATCCGCTCAATCTCCCGCTGCAGCTTAGCCTCGGCATCGTCTTCGCCACCTGGCATCCATGGCCGTTTGACACCCTGCTGAGCCGCAGCGCCAGCACGCTCTCGTGCTTCGAGGTCCTCGCGCATCTTCCGCTTCGCGGCGTCCATCTGGTCCCGCTCGCGCTGCTTGCGCATACGCGCCTCGCGCGCATTGTCATAGAGCTGTCGGATTGCTGGATCGGAGAGGACATCGTTGGCGATCTGAAGGAGGTGGAACTTGTCGATGTCGGCGGCGGTGGGGTTGGAGATCTTGTCAGGATGGTATTTCAGCGCCGTACGGCGGTAGGCGCGCCGAATCTCGGATTCATTGGCCGCAGGGGAGAGATCTAGCAGCGCGTAGAAATCTTCTTTGGAGGCGGCATGCGCCTTGAGGTCGTCGTCAGCTGGCATCTTAGCGACTGGGTGCGATGCGTGGATGGAAGAATGCGGGAATAACTTTAATTCGGAAGAAGGCCATCGAGCACGACTTAGTCAGCAATTCGCGACGGGCCGCCTCCAGCTGGTTGGAACAGGCATGTGGGCTCATGTCATCAACACCCAATCAAAAAAGCCGTGCAAGTTAACTTGAAGTGCTTTCTTGTTAGTGTAAAGGAGGTTGTAGAAATAAAGGCTCACCATCTATTTCAATATCATGATCACATTTAAGACATGAATTATTGCATCCTAGAAGGATCAAGCTTCTATCCCAGCTCTAGCTGATACGTATCGAGTTCCCATACGATTCCAGCAGATATAGTGTTTGTATCAATTATATACTCTGGACATGACTTAGATTGACTGTCAGCAGTAGCCCCTTCTTTGAGCCGAGCGGAAAAGAGTTGAGCTATTCCTGTTAAGAAGGTACAAAGCTGAGATCAGATTCGCCACCACTTCGAGAACGTGTGGATATGGCAAACGTGCAGGCAGTTCTTTCAAAATCTGAAAGTGGCGATTCCTCTGTGATTGCAAATGAAGCATACAACGGGTTCTATGCATGCATAAGCGCTCTGAGGCATGTCTTTAGGTACGATTCTTCCAAGTCTTTAAAGGTATAGCTCACACTACTTGTAGATGGGGTACTATACCTGTCGTGAAAGTTGCACAGCTGGACAAAATCATCAACTTTCCGACAGAACTGGATCTGCCATGGGGCTTCATCCGTCAACGTTATGGTATCACCTCTCTAGGAGGAAATCTTATCTCTAATTTTCACTGCAATATGGACCATGCCAGAGGGAAAGTTGCGTATGCAATCAACGAGAGCATGCCAGAGCCGATCCCTTCAGCTGAGTACTACTTTACTTACGCATTTACTGAGCCAGAAAGAAAGGTGTGCTGTATCTCAGATATTTTCAATATCACTTCTAACCAAACAAATAGGCTCTGCCAGTCTATTATCATCTAGTACAATCTATCGGATGCTACGAGATGGGCCAGAAACAGGCATGCATTGAGCATCTTCAGGGTGTAAGCGTTCACCTCAAATCTGTCTTTCAGATATACTACGAGTACATTGTCGAATCAAAAGACCCTCGACATGTCTTTACAGCCTACATCCAGGGCTTTCACGGTTGGGCTGCCGGGGAATTGATAAATGACGAGTACGTTGAATACGATGGGAGCTCTGGTGCCCATCTGGTGTTATTTAACGCCCTTGACTACTTTCTGGGACTGGAACCCTTCTTCCACGAACAAGATTTCATAAAATACTTTTCTTACTCACAAAGGAGATTTATGGCTTCTATCAAAGCGCACGCCTTCCGGCCCGCTGCAGAACAGGCTGACAACACCGGTTTGGTGCAGCAATTTGAGAAAATTGCGAAGCAGCTTCGAGTAAGTTTCCATGAAACTTTCATCATTTCATAGCTAACGTTAAAATCTTTTGGTCAGACTTTCCGGAGTGCACACCGTAAGCGTACCAGTCAGTACTTGAGCGTTGAGTGCCCCGAGCGCCTGGTAATGACCGCCGAATCTTCGACGATGGACCCTGAAGCACATGGATTGACTGTACAAGATATTGTGAAGCATGTGGATGATGGGTTGAGAGAGAAAATGGTTTGTACTAAGTGAGTGGCAGTGGGTATTATGGGAAGGAGGGAGATTATGCATAACTAGAATGATGCTCTTTCGTCAACTTATGTCTAGAGAACCAGACAAATCTCATGTAAGGACGTCTCAATTAGAGCCTTCAAAAAGTGAGAATTTATAGTCAAACCGACCTCATATCAGAGCAGCCTGGACCATGTTTGCTTCAGAGTCAAACGGGGCCGACGTTATCTCAACTGGGTTTCTCTCTTCATCTGCTTTCATTCCATCTCACCGCCTTTCCCCACATTTCCCACCATCCAATCCACTCTTTCATCCGAAATGGCAACCCCGAGAGTGGGCGTTCAGGTTGTTGAGCCTCCAAAGGCTGTACTGGCCTTTGCGCTGGCAATCGTGAAGAACACGCCAGCCGACACGACAGTCAAGGGTAAGTGAATTTGACTGAGATTCATTCGAGAAATACGTCATCTCACTCATCGCGCCAGAATACATCCTTGAACTCCGAAAATCTATCAGTGGGGCGGAGGATACTAAGCCCATCCTCACTGATCAGTTCTTTGATAGTGTGAGACACTGGCAGAATGCCTACCGGAAGTCCGAGCTTGAACAAATCAAGCTGCACAACACTATCTTCGAGCTGAAGCAGAAGAATGAGGCTCTTCTCGCCAAAGTCAAGGCGGAGACCCCACCAGCAAAGCGTAAAGTCTTTGCTGAGGTTGAGAATGAGCTCGAGGGTGGCAAGAAGAGTGGAAACCCTCGTTCCAGAAACCAGCCCCGGCATAATAACGAAGGCCAAGGCCAGGATGAGAGCCGTGACTCGGAACCCGAAAAAGGTACGAGGCTGCATTGAATGCTCTTTTCGGGTAGAGAGTGACTAATAAAATCTAGGCGTCTCCTTCCTGAGACACCTTTTTACCTTTCAGCGGACGCTGCAAGCAAAGCGTCGCATGACCAAGGCTCTGGCCATTGACGCAGTCATCCTCTGCAAAGAGGCAGAGCGTGGGCTTTTGAACGCCGTCCAGGGCGAGATCACATCAGCCACTCAGCCACCGAAGACTTTCCCAATCCCGAGGCGCAAGGAGCCCGAATTCAAGGCCGTCGTGAATGCCGTCAAACAATCGTTTCAATTGGTCTATCATGTTCTCCACAAAACCCCTGAAGCGGCGGACAATGGCAAATCCCAGCCCAAAGTCATCTACTACATGGTGTGTCTCTTCGAGTCTACCATGACTGGCCTCACCCAGTATTGCACTGCAGTGTCGAAGGAGACCGAGTCAGTCAAAGCGACAAAGGGTACCACTCAAGTCAATCGGAAGCAGAAGAAAGCAGCTCCCCCAGCGAGAGGCTTGACCAGTGCAAGGACCGACACAGCACGTGCCCTAGCTGAACTGCTATGCGAAATGGCGCTTTCACTGGAGATCAATGAGTCGTGCGACCGGAAAGTGATGGAAGGATACCTTCACATCGTACTTGAGCGACTGGGAAAGATGCTCGCTCTCTTCACCTTCGATGGCATGAAACTTCCAACCAATACCAGCGCAAAGATGCAGCCTCCGGAAGGCCTGGCAGCAATGAAAGCCGAGGGCATTTCGCAAAAGACCGCTGAACTGGAGGCAAAACAACTCATTCACTTCCTCGACAGACTCTTGAAAACCCAAACTCTCTTCCTTTCCACGTCTACGATCTCCGGTCCTCAAGCCCCTTTCAGTCTCAAACTCCAGGAATCGATGAAGAAGACCTTACTTCAGGCGGTGTTTGGAAAGGATGATCCTCTATTCCAAGGCGGCTTGGAGCGGCCTGCGACCCCACCTCCAACTGCGCGTTACGCCCCCCCAATGAGAAATTGGACTTTTCCGATTGGTTTGCAAGGGAGTTATGGCGCCTCGTTGGCTGGGACATTCTAGCTTCCGCCCAAAACCCACGTCCCTGATGATTCAAGCGACTTGACTTGATCAAAATTACTGTGCTCGACTGCGGATGTTCGAGCCAAGTGTGCTCTCTTCAAAACTGATTGCGCTCATCATGTCTTTACTGGAGCATGATATCTTGTATGATTAACGAGCAGAAACTACCCAAGATAATGAATAATGAATAATGTGATTTATTTCAAATTGAGAAGGCGAACAGCGTTTCCTCCCAGTACTGCTGCCACGGCATCTTGATCCTCCCCAAATGACGCACTAATGGCCTTGTAGTTGGTAGTCACACTGGTCCATTGGTCTTCTTCCTCATTCAGAGGCGGGAAGAATGGATGATCAGTACCTTTAGAATGGTCAGTATCAGGAACGTCACCAAGGTAGGAAAACGACTCAGTATCTTACCAAACAACAGACGATCTGTGCTTCCCCCACCAGCCTCCACGGCTGCCTTCAATCCCGCAGTCCCATAAGTCACAGCATCTAGATAAATATTGGTCTTCAACACATCCCAAATATCCCGTTGTGGGCCAGGAATACTGCCCCCATTCACTGTAAAAATCCGCTCATGCACAATACAACTCTCAATCCTCCCCGCGAGGAATGGCAGCGTACCACCCGAATGAGCCAACAAGATCCGAAGCTTGGGGAATCGATCAAACACTCCACTTAGATACATACGCGTAATGGCAATGGTAGTCTCCAGCGGGAACCCCAGCGCCAACGGGAGAACATGTCCATAGCGACGAACAATTTCAGGTCCCCCGAATGCCTCGTCCGGCAAGCCATAGTGCGGATGCAAGAAGAGCATGAGCTGGGTGTCTTGGAGAGCTCCCCATACCGCTTCCAACTCGGGGTCATCCAGACCATGTCCTCGCCCGGTCGTGCCCATGATGACTCCGCGGATATGCGGGAGCGTACTGATTCGATGCACTTCATCCGCAACGGCGACCTGCTCCGTCGCACCTAGTGGTAGAGTGCCGAACGCAAAGAGACGAGAGATCTTGTTTGAGCTGGCAGCGGCACCATTGACCTGTGCACAGGTAGATTCCAGGTCATCATTGATCTTTTGAGCCCATTCCGAGGCTTGTTCTTCGCCGATAAAGTCTAGCCATGGATTGGCGAGGGAGATAACGCTGCAATCGATGCCGTGTTTGTCCATGAAGTCGAGCTTGACCTTGATGTCGGAGTATGATGAATCGACTGGTCGGCCGCGCTGATCGAGTGGGATATTTGAGTCATCGTCCGATGAGAGGATGATTAGACGGGGTGGGCCGCTGTCCGATGGGTCGTGGATATAGGGCACCTTGTTACGGGCGCGGAGCATATCGATGTATGCGGGAGGGTAGACATGTGTATGGATGTCGACGATTAATGGGTCGGACATGTTGGCAGTCTTTTTCAGGCCTGGATAGTTCTTTGAAGGAAGGAACGATGCGAAGAGGATGAAGGATGAAAGGGAAATGAGGGGTAGAAGACGAATATCTGCAGCCTTTGTTGGTCTACCAGGGCAGATAAGAGGTGCAGATGCGGGGATCTCCAAAGTCCCGATCCGCCTCGATGTTACCATGTAAGCTATCTAAGCTTATCCTTATCTCTTCGGAGCTAAACTTCTGATAAACGCCTGTCTAGTCAAGCTCGGTTAGTGAATAGTGCAATCGGATCAACTGCGATTTAGAAAATGTCATCTGTGCTGATTGCCGTGAGATCTACTCGAATTGTTCAACAACGCATTGGGAATGAGTGACCATAATATCATCATCCACCCCGAGGTTATGTGAAACAGCCGAATTGAATATACTTCAGCTAGGAAAGGTTAAAACTACTGATCGCTCAAGTACCTTCCAGGGGTCTCAGCTTCTGTGCATGCACTCAGGTACAAAACTGCATTGGACTGGTCCTCCATATAATAAAGTCATACATTAAATCGTCATCTACATCAAGCCTCTAATTCACCATCTCAAGGCCTATCTATGGAAATAGTTTCCCACCAACCAGGCCTATCTCTATGAAGTCAGCGAATTGAGCAGCAAGGACGAAATTTAAGAACACACTGACCATTTGACATAGAATCAATCAATTAAGAGATCTCCTGGCTTCCAATAACGCTACCGGCCAAAGTGATGGGCTTCTTGTTGGTGAAGTTGGGGATATCACCGAAGACGATAGCCGCCGCCTCTCCGGCGACAGCCGCCTTGACGGCCTCCTCGCTCTCCCAAACCAGAGTGGCAGCAATCAGGTACTTGGGGGAAGTACCCTCAAGATCACGCTCGTACTTGACGACGCTCCAGCCCTTCAGGCCGGCGGGTCCCCAGTGCTGGGCCACCAGAGGCATATGGGTCTTCAGGTAGTAGTCGGTATCGAACGTGGTGTCCGGCTCATTGGGGTAGACGACGACAGCGGTGAAAGTCATTGTGATGGATTTGAAGGGAGATAATTCGTATAGAAGATACAGGGATTTTTAGCGTGGGACAGGGGTTGTATTTGAGAACAGATGAGGGGCAGCCTGTTTGTTGTACAAGATCTGGTAAGATCACCGGCTTATTAATGTTCACTGTCGCGGGTGGATCTCTAGGTGTCCGAGGTCCGTTGAACACGTTGAGATGCGCCCCCCTCTATACATGTGGGCCACCATTTAACGGAGATTTAGGGAACCTCGGTGTACTCTCGGGCGATTATTCCACCGGTAGATGGCGAATGATAATGATGAGTTGTCGAATATGTGGGCCATAGCTGATGCTATATACATAAGACTGCTGGAATGTAGTAATGGTACATTTAATGCACTCGTTGTCAGCATGGTGATAGGATCGATGGTAACTACATACTTCTAAGCTTATTGTATTGTGAACATTGCTTTTCGGCATCTTACTGCAGAACAGACCACATAGATTATGCATTTATGTCTAGAATTAGGCTAGCGTACAATCCACTTGTCACGATATCCAGGGGGAAATTAACCGATTAGTTAATATACCCGGTGAATGCCCCCTGAAGTTTGAAATATCCAACCAATTTCAAGTCGGAGAATCAGCCCAAATTGCAATTGCCGCCCCCTAGGACCCACGCAGAACCAGGCAACAGTAAGCAGCAATGGCCAGCGGTACCCAGCGGTGCTGGCCTACCAGGGCCCTTCGAGGGTCTACCATCGAGGGTCTACCAGGATCGACAGGGTTGAGACTGCCCCAGACTTTGGGCCCAGGGCCCAGGGCCCTGAAATATGGACTGCTCGCGTCTCTGACACCCTTCTACCCGGCGCTTCCACCCCATGGCGACCAGCGTGGATCGGCCAAGACGGCAATATCTTGGCCTGCTGCCATGGAGTACAATAGCACTCGTCATAGCGATCGTCTTCGGATTCTACTTCAACGGTCGGGTCCCCTCATTTCTGAGTTTTGACCGATCGGCTCAGGCCAAAGACAGTTCTATCTGGTGGTGGAGATGTTCTCAGGTTCACCACCCTTTCATGGAGGGTTGTGAACATATTTGGCTGGATCATCGAGACCGAAAGCTCTACGGTGCTTGTACCAATGCTAATTCTCCAAAGGACTGGAACCCCGGAGGCGCTGCTACTACGTGGGCGAGATCTCGCAGAGATCACATCGCGGTCTTGGAATTGGATTCCTCCGGTCGGGAGAATGAATACAGGATTCAGCGCCTGGTCATTCCAGACAACTTTCATCGGGAGTTGAATTTACATGGCTTCGACGCTCGCCGTGTCGGCAATAGACTTCGATTCTGGCTGACGAACCATACGCCAGTTTTAGATCTCATGACAGGGAAAGCGCTTGATGTTCGGACGGAATCGAGTATCGAGGTTTTCGATCTGGATCTGAAATCAGGCAAACTTGTCCACATCAAAAGTATTTCCAGTGAGGCGCTGGATTCGCCCAACAACCTGGCAGTCGACAAAGACGGAAAGGGATTCTTGGTGATCAACGGCGGTCGCACCAAGCTGGGACCTTTTCGTGGTGGACCATTTAAATTTGGCAGCTCAAGCATCTCCTACTGTCGAACAGAAACGGGAATCTGCCGGACTGTTGCCAGCCAGGGCTTTGATCTTGCCAACAGCATTGCCATGGGCCACGACGGCTTAGCTTACATCTCGATGTCGTCTACTGGGACTCTGGCAGTCTACAAAATGGCCGGCAATGAGCTTACTCAAATTGATGCTCTTTCCTTGGGCTCAGCACTCGATCACCTTTCCGTGGATGCCCGAGGAAACATTCTCATCACTGCATTTACGGACCCTGTCGAATTGCAAGAAGCATCAACAAATCCACAAGCCTCAGTGACTGCGGGAACAGTCTTGATGGTCCAAAAGAAGAATGGCCCATCGAAAAAGCCGGATGAGGAGCAGTATATACTTCAGCCGATGATTGAAGATGAAGCTGCAAAGCTCATGTCAACGACCACAACGGCCGTACACGATGTACAGTCCGATCGCATATTTCTAGCTGGTGTATTTTCGCCGGGTATTAGTATATGCGAAAAGCGATCCTGAAACTACTCGGTCGCAGTTTGTGATTTATCTGGAGTTGAGGTCTCCTACGTTTATCTGCCCAGGTGGCACATGATTAGGAGGGATTTGTGTATCATTATCAGCCCATTTTATGCTTTTTTTAGCCTATCGCATAGCAAATTTGGAACATTTTCCATGGAACAAAAGGTCTAAATTAGCCTATCAATTACATTCACGAGGCAACCAGCGCCGAGGTCTGAGCACTGGTTGACTCGAGCTTATCTTGTGGTCTTATCATGCCTTTCATCCTTGGAGCAGGGGTGCATCATGCACCTGCATTTCCCCTCTTCTTCTCCGACTTCCTTTCTCCTTCTACTTCATAAATCACTCTTAGAGACTGTTAGCATTCATTGAAGCGGCGAGAAGCACAGAAGGAGGCCCTATTTCCACCAAATTTAGCGAGAGAATGGCGGGAAACCTTCAAGAGATCAACCCAGCATCTACTGCAGTGGCCAAGGATGATCTGGTGATCCCTGTGAGTCCTCTCACAACACTCCCCTCAGTCGCAAATCCCCAATCAGCGTAAATTGGATCTAATCCGTCCACAGCTCATCGATTTCGGGCCCTTCTACACCGGAACCCCGTCCGACAAGCACGCCGTCGCCTTATCTATCACAAATGCATTCAAGACCTCCGGCTTCGTATACCTGAAGGATCATGGCATCCCACCCTCCGTGGTATCCCGAGTCTTCGCCTCATCTGCTGGCTTCTTCCGTAGACCCCAGAGCCAAAAGGACGGTCTAGGCTGGACTACCCCACAATCGAACCGTGGTTATGTCGCGATCGGGCGCGAGAAGCTAGCTACCCTCGAAGAAACGGGGGAGATGGATGTACTGCGCGGATCGGCGCCTGATATCAAGGAGACGATGGAGATAGGTCGAGAGGGAGTGGAAGGCTTGCCAAATCAGTGGCCTGATCATCTTGATGACGAAGGGAAGGATTTCAAGGAGACGATGCTATCGTTCTTTGGTATGTGCAAGGATCTGCACAAGCAGGTTATGAGTGCGATTGCCCTGGGCATGAATCTGCCAGAGCACTTTTTCGATGATTTTGTTAACGACGGAGATAACAATCTTCGTCTGTTGCATTATCCTCCGGTTCGCAAGGATGTTTTCAAGCAGAATCCGAATCAGGTTCGGGCCGGCGAACATAGCGATTATGGCTCGATTACACTGCTTTTTCAAGATCGACATGGCGGTCTGCAGGTGCGAAGTCCCAAGGGGACGTTCGTTGATGCGACTCCCATCCCCGATACTATCGTCGTCAACGCTGGAGATCTCCTAGCTCGGTGGTCTAATGATTTCATCAAAAGTACCCGCCATCGGGTTATTGAGCCACCTAAGCCGGAGGGAGAATACCAGGATGATACATCTGATTCCTATCCTGCTCGATACAGCATTGCTTACTTCTGTAATCCGAACAATAACAAATTGATCGAGGCGCTACCGGGCACGTATGGGGAGGAGATCAATGTGACCAAGAAATATGCCGATATCACGGCAGGCGACTACCTGGTCCAGCGACTGACTGCCACCTACTGAGTGGCTTTGGAGGTTTTCATTTTTTGTTACGCCTGCATTTTCTGACTTTTACTCCATACTATCCTCTGTGCCCGATACCCGTTATATTGCGGCGAGTTCTATCATCTGAGCCCTAGTCATTTCGAGCCGTTCGTAGCATATATACCAATGAACTGTCTATTCCGCTATATCATTCTATCATCTGATAGGGCCTTTCCAACTAGGCAGTGGATACTCAAAATCACTCCCAGCAATCAACAGACATTCCAACTTCTAATACGTATTCGGGACTGAGCTGATCCGACCACCGTCAGTAAGCAGCATGGTACCATTAACGTAACCGCCCGAGTTGCTCGCCAACCAAATGACCAAACCAGCAAAGTCCTCCTCACTCCCACCTCGAGTCAGAGGAATCATATCTCTCGGGAACGAACCCTCAGAGATACCACCGCCCTGAGTACCATTCTCAACGAAGACATTATTGGCCATCTCGGAATCATACAGTCCCGGTGCGAGACCATTGACTCGAATATCATACGAGGATAGATTAGTAGAGAGCATCTTGACGAGATGAGTGACCGCAGCTTTGGACGCATTGTACGCATAGCTGAACGGCACTTTCCGGTTGAAACTCGCAATGGAGCTGGTGATTATGACCTGCGCGGTCGGAGCCGTGAGCACGCCCACCTGTGGCGCGGGTCGCTTCTTGTTGGCTGCCTCGAGTAGCGGCAGGAAGGCCAGAACAGTATAGTATGAGCCGGTCACGTTGACATTTAGGACGTTCGTGAATTCCTCCATGGGGATGTTGAACAGCTCGTCGCGCAGTTCTGACAGAGATGGCGGAGTGCCGTCAGCCTTGGGCGGAGGCGAGCGCATGAGCGGACCCAGGATACCGCCATTGGCAAAGAGGATATCGACATGGTTCGTCTGTGCTGCAACAGTCTCGTATGCCGATACCAGGGACTCGTTTGATGTGATGTCGCACTTGACTGGGACGATGACACCGTCTGCTGCCTGGGCAGCTGTCTCACGGAGCGCATCCTCTCGGCGACCCAGAACAAAAATCTTCGAGACACCGTTGATAGCGAGGGCTTTGGCCATGATACGGCCCAGACCTAGAAGAATAGCCTTCTGTCAGTCTGAATTCGATCAGGGTGGGATGTATCCCCAGACTACCCCCCTCAGTGGGGCTTACCGCTGCCTCCGCCAGTGATGACCACGACGCGGCCCTGGACCGAGAAGAGGTTCGAAGCTTGAAGATTTGACATGGTGTCTGAAGATGAAGCGTGATAACTGCCTGATAATGCGAGATCGATGCAGATTGAAGGAAATGTGTAAGAGTGATGGGGTTACACTACCCCCCGCAATCGCGACATTGTCGTGCTCCACCCTCGATCGGCGCTGCTCCGAAGCGGTTCGGCTATCGCTGCGACATACAGCTCGGCGTATTTTTGTCTTCAGAGTTAGTATGACATCGAAGTCAGGCCTGTTGGAGAGAAAATTCGATGAAATTGAAGGCTGCTTTCAATTTGCCGCTCTGTACATTTCAGCCTGGTAACATTAGGAGCTGTTTTTGATGTGAGCCGAACGTGCAAGGCCGGGGTACTGTAGCATCCTCGTGGACGCAGGCATTGGAGATGAAAGACTGGAGCCAAACCGAACAGGCGCAGGCGAGATGATATCACGATCGCTATGAGATTAATAGAAGTCCCCTGACTTTATGCAGCCAAGAGACATTGGTTCTTGGTATACGTTGGACCGTGCACACGCGACATGGGCGCGTCCCAGTCTAAGCTTGAAACCTTCACCAAGGACGTATGCTAACTTTACTGCTGCTGCTCAACGAAAGCCTCGACTGTTCGTAAATTTCTCCATCATTTGATTTTTCCATATCCAACTCTTCCCACATCTGAATTCCGAAGCATCCGGGGAGCGGAGATGACTTCCATCTCAATGCATTTGCCCTTACCATGGGACTCGACGTCACCACCGTCTCCACTATGAACCGCTCACTACATTTTCTACTTAGTACACCACATAACCTGTTTAAAATCATGAAGTGCATGCGAGCAATGTATCTTAATGTATGAAAGATTTACGTGGGATCAAACGACAGTAAGATTACTGATCTCATGCAGGATGGCCAAATGCTGCTGCCTTCACAATATTCTGATCGCTTGAATCGAAGTGTCTACGATCTGTCAACGCAACGTCGGTCTAATATCCGAGATCTCCGCTGGTTCTGAGAGGTTATATACTCTTGCCACCCGCCAAGATCAGATTTTCCCCTGTGGAGTAATTTGTATGACAGCATTGTGGGCATTGCCTGCTATTCAACCAATGATGCACTGGCTCATCGCTGCAAGCATCGAAGATTGATCGAAGAAAGCAAGAATCAAAACCTAAAAGGCCGCGCAATCGCAGATTTTCAATCGGTTGGGAATCTATCCCGCTCACAATCCTGCATTACCTACGACTGACCTCAGCTTTGGGGATCCCCACTGCGTTCCTTCGTCTTATGGTCGTCGTTCGACGCATTTGGTAGCTAGGATGAGGTCGTTGACTTCATGGGTGTCGGGCCAGCGCGCAATTTGACACCAAGAAAATCGTCGGAGGCCTTAATGTGTTGAATTTTGCAGCCTGATTACCTTTGGTGCCTGAATAATGTCGCAATTCGGACCTCGACAGACCAGGTTTCCTGGATCAATCGTCACCTATGCCCGTCAATGTAGGGCTCATGAGAAGCTGGCACTCCCCTGGGACCTTATATGTACTTTTGAGGATGTCCGCCCTCATCCGAGTTCCTGGATCTTACATCCATCTACTACACGCGGCCATATTTCTGCAAAGGAGACACTGGCTTTATTGAAAGGGAACTGTCAAAATCATCTTCAATCACGATGTGGAACTTTCTTCCACTACTGAGCTTGCTGGGCTCGGTGCCTTTTGTTTCTGCAATTCCAAATGGAATTGTAATTGCTCGCGCAACTACTGCATCGTCGGCCTCTGTTTCAGCCCCACCGGTTCGAAGCTATCAGTCTTCCGAGCCGCATACGCCTTTCAGCGGGACTCCGTCGACTACTGGCGCATTGACTGCTTCTTCAATTGGAACTGGCATTTCCAGCGGAGGTGTGGCACCAGACGCTACTACTTACCCCAGTGATGGAAAGCTTCATAATGCCGAGCCGGCTCCTTATGTTCCTGCTGGAGGAGTTGGTACCAACGGATCAACTCCTGTGTATAATGCCAAGAGTGATTTCGACTATGAATCACTGGTAAGTAGTCAATTTATTGCTCATTTCCGTACTCGTACATTGTCGCTGACTTCGAACCCTAGGCCCTGGCATTGTACCAGGAATGGATTGAACTAGATTTATTCCGGGATGGATTGAAGCGCTTCTCGGCGGAAGATTTCAAGGCCGCTGGTTTGAACGCTGCAGACCGGGACCTGATAGAATTCATGGCCGAGCAAGAGGTTGGCCACGCAACTCTGATCAGCAATATTCTTGGTGCCCAAGCGCCGCAGCAGTGCGCCTACAATTACCCATATACCAACGTCCACGAGTTCCTCGACTTCTGCCAGAAGCTGACTCGGTTCGGCGAGGCTGGTGTTTATGGCTTCCTCGCTCATCTGGACTCTCGCGAAGCAGCCACTCTGTTGACACAGTCCATCACGACCGAAGCGCGTCAGCAGATGATCTTCCGCCAGTTCCAAGGTCTCTTCCCTATGCCCGTATGGTTCGAAGTTGGTATCCCGCAGTCCTGGGCTTGGACCCTCCTGGCGCCATATATCAGCTCTTGCCCCAGCAACCAGACTCGTCTGGTGTGGCAGAACTTCCCAGCTCTGAGGATCCTCAACCAGCCAAGCATTGCTACCGCCGGTGGCACCAGTAACAGCACTGGGCTCAACAACACTATCAGCTCTGGTACCAATGTTGTTAAGTCACCCAACGGCTCGTCCGGCTCCAACTCTAGCAGTGACTGCGGCGCCACTGTGACAAGTGACATTGGAGCACTCTCGTTCCCCGGTCGCCAGGTGGCTCTGCAATGGGAGACTGCAGGCAAGGGAGTTGGTCCCAATAACAGCTACATTACTTCCACCCAGGCAAAGACTGGCAAATATGTTGCCTGGGTCTCACAGCTGAACGTGACATACACGCCTTTGCGTGTCGTCAATAGCACTGGCAATAGTACTGGCCGTGGATACACCAGCCAGCCTGACTTGGAGACCTATCAGGGTGACCCAGCAATCAACGGCACAATGTTCATCGCTATCACTGATGATAACCCTGTCCTGACTCCTTTCAACCTGAGCTTGATCAACCCACATGTCGTTGCTGGTCCTGCTGTTTACCAGGCTGGCTAAATTCAATATGCTGGTTCGTGAAATAGTGTGTATGCGGGAGAGATGGTCTTTAGAGGATTTTATGTTAATTAATGGAAGTTGAGATGGATTAATGTGATGAGGGAATGAGATACGGATGGTCGTGAGGTTGAATTGTTGTCTCTGTATCGCACATATGCTTTTGAGCATAGTCGAAGCCCAGCAGCTACTTGAACTCTATTTGGAACGAAGACATTCTCTTCTTGCTGAGTCCATAGCTAGTGTCTGGAAAGAATGGCTCTTTATGGTATAAGCATAAGTAAAAGTTACGATGCAATTATTCTTTTCTATACTTCGTGGTCACTGGGGCAGTTTTGCCGATCGGCCGATCCTCCGAGTCCGCCGACCCACTCGCGTGTTTTTGTTTCTTGCCAGCTCATCCACTTCTTCAATCTCTCCACAACGCCATCCCCATAGCATGGAGGCTCCAAGGAATCGAAAGCAGCGCCGTGCTGCCGCTGCAACTATGAACACAGCTTCCGGCGAGCCAGATATCCCCCTCGCTCTTCCAGAACGCGGCGATCCGAGCAAGAAGAGCAGCGAGCCAACACTTTATGACATCATTGAGAAGCGCCAAAAGGAGCTCCTTAAGCAACAAGAAAGCTCAGGGAAAGCCCCGGCACCAGCATTGGGCAAAGGAATGCCCTCAAAAACAACCGGCACCCGATATGTGACCGTCGACGCGTCGGGGAACCTGGTGGATGCCGACGGCAATATTGAGAGCGAGATCTCCAAGAACATGGGCACACAAAAAGCCAAACGAGGCCGCAAAGCACAAGCAAAAGACGTCAACGAAGAACCCGAACTCGAAATAGACAAGCCCTTACCTCCTTTACTCGATACAATCCTCCTCGCAATCCCTCTCACGACCCTCCACCTCACCCTCGCCTACCTCGCCGCACACCAATATGCTGAATCCATCAACCTTCCCGGCCTCATCAAAGAGTCGATTTTCATCACATTCCCGCTCCTAATTTTCCTCGTCCACTTTGTCCATGGCCATATCGTCTCTTTCAAACTACATACCAGCCTGGGCTTCCTCGCAGCACAGCCAGTCTCGGTCCTCCCTCTCACGCGCGACAAGTTTACACTCTCCTTCCTGCGGCGTCTGGTCTTCCCACCGACTCTCCGGACTATCATTCTGCTTCCTATCGCAGCACTATTGGGGGCGCATCTTATTACTGTCACAAATGGGGAGCCATACTATGCTGTTATGAAGAAAGCGCCGGCGTATGGCACTATGTGGATTTGGTGTATTTTGGAGATGTCTTTTGGACCAGCACTTCTTGGGGCACTGGGGCCCTTGATTTGGGGGGTTTATTGGATGGGATACGGCATTTTTTGAAGGACTACATGGCGAAGGAATCCATTGAATTTGGAAAAATGTGTCTGTTCCACGCCACAGCGAATTCTTTTAGAGCAACCTGTCTGATTTGAATCTGACAGTATTTCACATAGCCTAAATAAAGAATTGTACAAAAATCCTCAGATTGTGTCATTGATGATCGATCATTGACCAGGCAGATGTGGTTGCAGTACTTCCAGAATTTCCTTCCATACTTTCTTCTGCAACGCCTTGCCTCGTGGACTTGTTACGAGCTCTCCCTTGCTGTAACCTAGATTAGTATGGTGTATAGCAAATGATAAATACCATTACTTACCTGAAGAATGTGTCGGCACTCCACAATTGACCATGCGATTCTTGACCCAGGGTCACTCCACTGACATAGGTTCTGGCTCCTTCCTCGGCCGAGCGAGCAAGCACAGTTTGCACGAGATTCAATGGAATCCTTAGCCAGGTCGAGAAATTCCGTCCAAGATCGGTTCGACAAGCCCCTGGACAAACAGTATTGATGATGACGCTCGAGCTGCTTGTAGACTCCACCAGCCCATCCAGAACATAGAAGAGCAGGAGCTTCGAAACATTGTACTGCTTCTGGAACCCGAAGAAATCAGGCTGAGTGACCTGGTCCAGGATTTTGGCATCGGTCTGCGAGAATGTATCGGCCTTGACAGCGCGACCCATAATACTCCCGACAAACTCAAGATGTGAGGGCGTTCCAGAGATCGCAGCTGATTTTTGAAGCTGGGATAAGAGAAGCATTCCCAGGAATGCGGTTGAGAGTACCATCACTTGTAGGCACATCTCGTATCCTTCAGGGCTGACGTGATAAGCGGTCGCCATGAGCCCAGCGTTGAGGACTGCGATGTCCAGGCGAGGTTCTTTGGCAACAGCCTCTGCAAAAGCTTTGACAGAAGCGAAAGTGCTCATATCGAGTTCATACAGCTGGATATTACTCGCGTCGTAGCCGGTTTGTTGACATATCTGAGCTCGTGCATCTTCACCTTTGCGGAGTGACCGAACCCCAAAGATAATGCGTGAGGCACCCAGGGCAGCGAATTTGAGAGCCGCTTCATAGCCTAGCCCGGTATTGGCGCCGGTGATTAGGACTGTTTGACCTGCAAAAGAAGTCGTTGGATCTGCTGGTGGGTGGCGGGCTGCCCACCACATCATGTTCAGGCCCTCTCCATCCGGGGGTGTGGAAGGCATGGCGTCGAAAAACCGGATGAAAAAGATTTGGGGAAACTGGAAGATTCCAGAATAGCATATCCAGCTCATCTTTGCAGCCGGAGGCCCTTTATAGCACGGACGCGGCATGTCCGAAAAACGTTCCGATCATAGCATCGGTATTCGGAGGGTTTATAATCAGCGAACTTGATGTCCATGATCTGAGTCTCGAAGGCTGGCAAGAAGTTCTTTCAATGGCTTGCAATGCCCCCGGAGTGTATATAATGGAGGTTGTTCGCTGGCCTCCTCTTCTAGCATCATTTCTAGCAGCTGGGCAGCCTTCCCAGGTTTGGGATTGTTATCTCCAGCCACGGAGACATCGCTAGAAAGACCGAACCTGGTCTCAATGCTTCTCAGCATATCCTCACTAATTTTGACTAGAATCTGTACTTGAAGGTCGACTCGAGCCTCGAGTTTGAACCCACCGAGGTGCATGCCCGGAAATAATTGAGGAGTTGGATGCTGAATCCCCAACAAGTGCGGCAAGGAGTCCACGATACACCAGAAGATGGTCCGAAAGATTCGCACCAAGGAAACATAGCATGAAACAAGTGTGATCATAATAGGTGTATCGCATGACAGCTCGAAGACATGATCATCACATTTCGGCTGGAAACAGTTCAGAATATCAATGAGAGCTGTCGAATGATCTAGCATATGACCAACCAGGACATTCTGTGCAGTGATAGAAGTGGCAGCGATGATCGCCTCGGGACACTTATCAGCGGTCCTGCAGTATTTCACAGTCTCAAGATCGGCAAGAATGCTGGTTTGAAGGTCTGCTAACTTTCTGAGGACTTCATTTGGTGTCGCAGAAGGCGGGGTGATAGGCATATCTTCATTCTCAGCTGTGGCCAAATCTTCAGCAGCGAAAGAGTGAGACCATATCTCGTTAAAGTCGTCGATGTCAGCGGGCGACAGTAGACGGTGTGCTTCCGGGCCTGTTGCATAGTCTTGGACTTCTAGGGGTGCATCGAATGAGACTGGCTGCCGCATCGAAACATCTGTTGTGATATTTGCGACCAAGCTTTGATTTGCATGCCCTTCCACCGACACCAAGCTTACCGGCATCGATATGGGTGGACTGTTGGAAACCTGAATGGGCCGGCCAGACCTCAGCGCAGGGCCTATGACACACTGGGCGTGGGCTTTCTCACAACGGTGGCAGCTCCCGGTGGCCCCCTTCTCACAGCGGAGCTTGTGACGCCGACACCGGTCACAGGCCGAGCGCCTGTTACCAATACTCTCTGGTGTATGGTTCAGCATGTTTATGCCGGGGAAATATCAAACGTTCGGACCGCTTGTTGATGGGAGCTCGGAGATGAGTGGATCCCCCGACTCCGACTCCAACTCCGAGATTTACCAATGTGAGGTGGGGGCCATTGACGCCAAGGCATGGTAATCATCCAAGATACCTAGTGCCGAAGATTTTCTGTCGAGAGACGATACAAGAAGAAGAGAATTACCTTCATCGAGGATTAAGCAGTGTGGTATCTGCATAAGCTCGAATCCATGTTTTTGTTTGGTTGCAAGACTCCGGAACAAGGCGCAAAGTTGCTAATAGTCATCAGTGCCGCAGAAATATATTTGTCGGCCGAGCTTTCCCTCTGAAATTTGACTAACACCTAGTGTTGGCGATCTGAGATCCAATGGAACTCTTCACGCCAAGTCCAACATTCACAAATATGCCAGATGGCACAAAAGATTCTCAATTTCCGGAAATTGAAGGACGGGTGGTGAAGAGGCTGGCAGCCAGCTAAAGGGCTTACCGGTCCTAAAATTGGCATACCAATTAATTAAGCCCGAATGGAATTACTGAGCCGTCCTAATGAAAGGGATATATATATTGTTCAAGATCAAAGCTTCTGAATAAAATTAAAAAGGAGGAGGGTTGAGGTCCAGTCCTTCTACTGTCAACTTGAACTCGCTCCTTGAATAGCTTCCAGCAACGTCCATGTCAAGTTTGCCTCGCTCGCAATCCTCCACGTCGATCTCCTGGATCAATAAGCCATCTTCGCCTGAGAATTCACCCGATTTGGAGGACTCAAGTACATCATCAACACAGGTTTCCCAGATGGGACCGGCAAGGACTTCTCCGAGAGGGCCAACAATGCTAGATCCTCCACGGGAAATGTACTGGTCTCCTATGTTGTCATTCTGGTCAGAATCTCATGTTCACTAGAACGGACAGCAGATACTCATACCTTCAAGTGCTGTTCCCTCTTTCTCAGCGTGATCGGTAATCCATGGCGGCAACTCACGGTACCGGACACACTGGTTAGCGGAGAGGACGAAAGTTCGGCCTTCACCACCAATTGTGCGCATGAGGGGGAGCCAAGTGTCTCGACTATCAGCTGTTGGGGCAAGATAGATGTTGACATTCTGGGAGTACAGACTCTGTCGGAGCAGAGGCATGAAGTTTTCCCAGCAAATAGCGGCGGCGATTGTAAGCTTCACTCCATTCAGTACCGTTGTGACAGCTTTGAGAGAAGAAGGCGAGCCCTGGCCCCAGATAAGACGCTCAGAGGCAGTCTATCGACATATATTAGATTGAGCGAGCTATACCCAGGCCAAGATACTTATTAGAATAGACTTACCGGCATCACCTTTCGTCGCTTTCCCAAGACACCCGAGTTCGGATCAACGTAAAGCGCAGAACAGTACAGAGTGCCACCTGCCTTTTCAATCACACCCGTTGCGATGAAAACACCCGTCTCGCGGGAAACTCGTTCAAGAAACTCTCTTGTGCCATCACCGCGACGATCAGATCCTTTAGCAACGGGCAGTTTCCGTTCCACCCAGTCATCTCCAGCACCTGTGGGAGTATCCCCAAGATCTACTGCGTCTTGGAAATACCGCAGGAATTGCTCTCGTCCATGAGGAGCACGAGCACCAACCGCGGTTCCGAAATCACAAGTACGAGGATAGCCTCCTAGGTATGCCTCGGGGAAAAGCAGGAGGCTCACCCCTTGAGCAGCTGCATTCCGAGTAACGCGCTCCAACGAAGAGAGTGTAGCGGAGAGGGAGGGGCAGGTGCGGGCCTGCGCCACGGCGACCTTCAACTTTTGAGGCATTTTGTAATGGAAGTAAGATATAGAAAAGGGTTGTTTTTTTGTAAAATATGACAGACTCTATACTTATAGAAAAAAAAAAGGTATAGGGCAAATGCCGAGGTGAATAAAAGAACATGGCCATTCGAGTCATCATCGGCATAAATACTCCGATGCATCGGGGCCAGAATGTCCGAAGGAGGCTCCACCCCTAATTCATGTACTTCGAGTCTAGAACTCGGCTGAGCCGAACAACGCAGGAAATATAATACTGTCATCAAATGCAGCATACGTGTCGTTCAGCTCACCGCCAGTTACGTTGTGAGAGTCAGAGCTCAGATTCATCATCGAGTCAAAAAATGTCGTTCCATGAAACATCGCACAATGTTCGGAGCACAGGTGATTGCCTCTTGGAGAGTCTGTTTGCTGCAAATAGTCTTGCGGACTCGATGGAAAGTCATCTGTCATTATCTCCTGCAACATGCGAAGCACCACTCGATTCCTGGAGATCTCTTGTATCACATGCATGTGCGATTTGATCAAAGCGACCGAGTCGGATGTAATAGGCTTCGAAGAAGAACTCATATCGGGATTCTCGTGTGTCGGAATCTCCTTTGCGAGAATATCAAAAACATCGCGCAGAGGTTCAGCTTGCGTCCATCGCTCAGAAAGGATGGCCAGTGCAGTCGAACAAGCCCGCAGCGCCTCTGAGACCTCGGCTGCTCGGTACGCTGGGGTACGATATCCAGGCGGTGTTGCCCAGAAGCAATAGAGAATCGTGACACCAACCGTGAACTGGCTCAAGAGCTGATCGAAAAATTAGCGACCAGATCTTATCTGGGTAATTGAATCGAATTAGAACTTACCCCGGGCCAGAGCTGGGCTGTTTGTCGATCCTTCTGAAAGGCTCGGAAAGTCAATGCAAGCTGAGTAGAGGCTTGGATCGACCGGTCACCAAAGCCATTACAGACGTTTTCTTTAGTGGGCTGATGTAGCAATGCGATTGTATAGTTGTAAGCCATACCGACCCATCTGTCGCTCAAGTACCCTCGAGTGGCCCTGTGACTCAGTCGTTCAACCTGAGATCTCCATGTTTCCAATTCTTCAAGCATATGCTCTCTCCACGTTCGAGATGAATCGATTTTGGCAAAATCAGACCGCAACATGGTGCTGATTATTCGAGACTGAATGCATCTGCAACGTATGAGATGCAACGCGGGCGAGATGCGAGTTCTTTGTAGCAGATCCCGAGTGGGAGGCTGGGCCAAGTTGGCGGTGTTTTGAGAGAGACTTGCATCATCTACATTTGAGAAAAGCTACTCTTGTCAGCAAGGCAGAGTTTAGAGAGAGCATTCATAACATACCTCCACGGTGATGTGCTCGTCAACCAAATTATTGGGAATATGATAGATCCAGCTGATAAGCCGGTCTATTGCATAAGCAGACCAAAAAACTCTGCGGCGAATTTGGACCTCTTGTGAGAACTCTGGGAACAAGGGCCTTGGGCTCATATTCCGATAAATGAAGATTGCTAATAACGCACTGCCGCATCGTCGCCGCCACCATGGTAATGATCATTTGGGAAGACGGGGAGTGAAGGGCATGTAGTGTCATGAGAAGGTGCGCTTGAACGTGGAGAACAGGATCTGGATGTGTAAAAACAAAAGTAAGGTATTTTATCGCCGTGTTATAGAGGATCTAGATTGTCAGTAATTGTAATTTAGAAATTCCCCTTGCACAAACTTACCTGTGAGGTTGCGATGTCATTCTGAGATACCTGTGGGGTTAAGAGAATGCTGACAGCCTGGACCTGAGACTCAAGTTAGCATCCTTTAAAGGTACAACGGCCCTCACTCCTTTGACCATACCATTGTTACGAAGAAGTCCTTCCATCTGTATTTCTGATTTGGTATCGGTTGCTCCTTAGGACGAGCTTTCCATGTCTCGTACCATTCCAAAAAAGTGCTAACATGAAGGAAGGGATATCGAGGATTGACTCTTTCCAGATAAATCTTGATGAGCGTATCCTCAACATGTTTTGGAAGCCGAATAAAATGATCTGGACTTAGCAACTGGGTTGCAATGTTGGGAGACAAATGGACATGACTCAAGGCACGATCTCCTGGAGGAGAGATCCCACATGGGGCCCCCTTAGTAAGGGTCGCTAGAATACTGGTAAGGAGGCTCGTATGGCCGCATTGATCGCCGGGGATTGACGATGTAATGAGGCCGGTGGTATAAAGGGGAGAAGAAAAAGTGATTCCGGAGGTTGAAGTGCAGCTTGGAACCACAAGGTGCTGAGCGTGTTGAGTTTCAAGCGCAAGATTCGCCTCGTCGAACGCATGAGTGTGCGAGGAATCTAGCTCGGCATCCAGAAGTCGCACGGAATTCCGTACTGGCTCAGATTCATTTCTCTCGGGGTTTCTGTCTACGTCATCCAACACGGTTGAATCATCGATTGGGGCAGACTGGATGACCACCCGTTGCTGTGAATTGGAGGTCTCGATTTGGTGGGTCTGTGATAATTGAGCCTCAAGTTCGGCGATCCTTTCTTCAAGAGATCGAGTATATCTGCAAACATTAACATTGAACTGAAGGATCCCCATACTGATGAAGACGACTCACTCGGAACTGATTTGAAACTTTCGAGCGACAGGCTCACTGGCGATACATTCTGCATGATGGTTTTAGCTATGTACTATGTCTTTGTGGTATGAACCTCTATTCGAACCTTGATTGGCTGTGATGCAATTGTTGCATGGCCGTGTGTCACCACACTAGTAAATTTTTAGCTCTTTGAATTGCAGCCAATTGTGATCAGGCCAACATACCTTCTGTTTTCTAGAGCGGCATCTTTGGCAGGATAATGTCTTTTGCCTCTTCCGTGGAAACTCGGTGCTCTCGTCTGTCGGACTCATTGTTCAATGCCATGCGGTCTCTTGAATTTCGGAGTTTGATGTCCGTCGGAATAAAGTCGCCGACGCTGAAAGTGGGCAAAATCCCGAAATCGGGTCGGAAGGTGCGGCGGCCGAAAAGACGTAAAGCAAACACGTCATCTGGCACAGTGACAGGAATCCTTAGACCACTGCTTCTGGATTGTTGTAATTCAGCTAGAAGATTCGGAAGTGGAGTATCGAGAATCAAAATTTCATTCTTGAGACCATGGATGCGATTTCCCATCCTGTTTTACCTAAATGTAGCCTAATTTTGCCTGAATGCCTTGACATCAGAGACGACGCTTGAGATAGTCACTAGTCACATGACCTTCGCTGCTCACCGTATTGTCCTGCCCCACACTATCGTCTCCATACGGCAGGTGCTGCCCACATCAACACCAACCTCATGTATGCTTTACTATCCATAGATCAATCCAGCTACTTTTCTTCCATCGTCTTGACCCCGATTTTTCTGTGCCTGCATCTCCCGTATCCTCTTCATCATACATCTGTCCGGTTACACTCAAGTGACTCTAAACCACTGTGCTTCTGGTAGCTGTGTTTACCTTACATGGCCACTCTGAAAGGTACGGGCTCACAGCGACCAGCACTCAAAATTGGAAAAAGGAGAAATGGAACCATTGAAATGGGTTGCTCTTGCTGCCCACCAAATTCAACTCTGGCTGGAGCTTTGTCTACAACACATTTGCTGTGCTCCTAGCCCCCGGAGCATTCGTGAAAGTCAGGATCCCTCCTGAATTCGCCGGTCTGGGTGAGCTCGTTAGCGCATTGCCGGTCAAAATCGCTGCATTGCTCCTGACATGGACCAAGATATAGTTCGGACAACAGGCTTTTGGAGTCGATCGAATCATTCGTTTGAAAGATGTAGACCTTAGCAAAGACTAACATTCTTACCAGCGGAGCAGAAGCAGATTAATGAGGGAATACTATTCTTGCACAATATTGTATGACAAAGCCTAGTCTCAAACAAGAGTAATCTTCTAGACTGCCTATGGAGTAGATTATATTACAGTATGATTCAGAACTGGACCTCTGACAATGACGGCGTTCTTCAAGGCCACATCGAATCCGATTCCAACCAGCGATACTCGTGCGGGCTAGGGTTTGAATACTATAGCTTAAGCCTAAAGAGCCAATGCCTCTTTCTCTGAGCTGCAGCGTTATTAAAACAGTACTTGGCTTTTCTACACCTCGGAAAAGGGTGATGGCTACAGGATCACTTCACAAGGACTATGCTAGACCTAAAATTGCCTGAGTAAAGGGTCTGATTTGAACGGTTATATACACATGAAACTCAACCTTTGGCCCAATCTAAGTATCAGAACCCCAGTTGGTGCTTGGTGTCAATATGACGCTGGAGGGTATCTCGTCGCATTGGCCCCTTGCCCCCGTTTGCGGAAAATTTGCATCGAGGATAAGGACAATAGACCATAATGTTCCCTGTGGACACTTGATACTTGTGTACTGATTGCATATGTCGCCTGAGGTCCTTAGGGGTCGCGAACCTGGCACTGCATGTGTTCACTGTACACTGGCAGGGACGTGTGTGTGTTTTCATGTGCTTGCTTTTAGATTATTAGGATCAATTTGGGGGCAGGAAAAAGTATTGGTAATAGTGAAGAACTTACTTCAGCTCTCCACGACTCGAGAAGTTCTTTGAGCAGTGTTCACACTGTGGAGAAGACACATTGTCTGCCGTTGGAGGTGATTTAAGCCGTTCAGATCGCGTTGAGGCAAAGCTTGAGTCGAAAACATGATCCTCTTCTTCAACTTGCTTATCTTGAGAATATTCGTCTCGTTGTTGTAAAGTGAATGGCTGCTGATGTTGCTCTCTGTCATGCGTTGCGGCAATAGGAAACTGGGGTTGGGACGTTGACCTCGAAAATGCACGTGGACCAGTGTCGTCCAACACGTGAAGCCACGCGGGGTTGAGATGTCCAGAATCGAGAAGCTGTTCGTGTAATTGTTGTTCAAGATGATTGGACTCTCGGTCGGTGACTTTTGGTGGGGCCTCTGGTATGTGTCTTTCCGCGAGAAAAGGATAGAGCGAGAAACTTCACCCTTTTAAACAACCCCTAGTATACAGATTGACCACAAACGGGATGACTTAGAGAGATGAGTTGATACTCAGGGTCCCAATACAAACAACAAAGGGCAGAATAATCTTTTCAATAAAAAAAATGAAGGATATAATCAAAACAAAGATTCAAAGTCACAAAAAATGAATGGCAGTGGCAACGGGTGAAGAAAAGAGCGAAGATGACAGGCCCAAGGCCCGCGAGAAGAAAAAAGAGAAAAGGACAAGACGAGATAGAATTGTCAGGCTTAATAGTTTTCGAGCGCCATACTAAAAATGATCAGCTAGTCCCGAGTATAGACACCCCACTTTAGGGTAGCCTTTACCTCAAGATGGTCCCAGCCAGGAGAGGGGCCGTGCGAGGGGGGCCGCAAAATCCAGTGTTCTGATTGGCAAGGGTCGACAATATCGCAAATCGTTTGAACTACTGAGCTGGAATGTTACTATCCGCCAACAAATATCAATTGGGAAAAGTTATGAATCGGGCATCGATAGAGCCGATCAGAAGGGGGCCTCAAAATGAAAAATTTTAATTGAACCATCGGCCCTGCAAGATACCAGATCAGTTGACATACATCGACATTAGAATATGCAGATGGCTGTCATTGTCTGTCCAGCCTACAACAAGACTCTCCCATCAGGAGCAACATGGGTTGGAGAATGGATAGTAAGAATGCACAGGAAGTCGATCAAATTACTCGAAGAGCATTATAAGAAGATCATTCCCCTCGAGCAGAAATGTTTCTTATGATCATCCAAAAGACAAGTACAACGACCAAGAAACCGGACTATAACAATGTCTTCCATTTTTTGCTGCTCTTCTCCATCTCCGTACCGGCCAGCCCATCTAACGCACGAGGCCAAGTTCTCCCCATTCATCGCTTGGGCCAAAGGAACTGGATCATCTCCCTCGGCTGTTTCCGCTTCGTTCTTCCAGGGTCCGGATAAAATGCCACCGTACGCAATCCAGTTTGTTCGACAAATCAATTTTGGTGCCATCGAGGCCAAGAAGTACTTTGTTCCGTACTCCGAAGCACCTGGGGGTCGGGTGGATTTTGTGGAGGTTACCGAGCAAGATTTGATCGCTTGGAATTTCCAGAAGCTCAATTCGTAAGTGCCATAAGTAGCTGATCTATATCAAGATACATAGCAAGCTTATCAAACATAGATATAAGAATTTCAAGTGCACTGCGCACAACAAGTTCTTCGAGATCAATCTGTACCAGAAGGACCCGGTTAACCAGCACCACTGGCGATTGAATATTGCTCGCCCAGCTAGTGAGATTGATCTTTAGAGCACTCTACGGAGGAAAGTCCGGGGGCTTTAACTGTGAGGGAGGAGATGCAATAAAAAACTCGCTGGCTATGGTCAAATTTCTCAACTCAGAGTATAGGCAATAACACATGCTCTGCTTGCTTGCTTGGTTTTGACCGATGGAAGAAGTTCAGATTGATGAAGGAGTGATATTTTTATGCAATATTGTACCGCAATATGTAGTCTGAACGGCCACTGAAACGTGGCTTACATTTCTTTCACAAAGCCCACCTCCACCACCCTGTCAGTCTCCACATTTAAGTGTTGAACTTTAGTCCGACTGGCATCTCGCATCCACAAGAATGCCCAGAGGAAGAAGCGACGAACAATATTCGTCTTCGCCGGAATCTTCAATTGCTCTTTCCCCACGATGTAGATCACCTGAGACTTCCAAGCCCGATGGAGTGCATCTAATCTTTCTATATTGCTCTCTGGTGCTCCCGAATTCTTTTGGGAGGTCAAGAAACTCCGAACCAGATCAAGTACTAAGATTCCAAGATCAGGTGTGACTATCTCGTCTGTGTATCCGTGACGAACTATAAGCCTGTAGCAATTCGGAATGGCTTGCTTATTGGGACCGGCGCCGTATGTGTAGCAACGACTAACTGCATACCGTTCGTCTGGAGCGACGATAGGCATAGATAGCGGTCGCAGATGAAGGAACACGGTCACCTCGGGTGCCGCGCTGAACTTTTGTAGGAAGTGAAGGAAGACCGTCGGCGTGTTAGAAGAGCTGCCAGATTTGTCGAAAAATATTCCCAGACCGTTGATAGTGGCAATGGCAGAATTCTCGGACCCGTTCCGGAGGGCGAGCTTGTTTTCTTTCAACGCGGTTGTTTTGGATAGAGGTGTGTTATCGGACTCTTCTGCTTTCCACTGCTCCTCTTTCCCATACCGCCAGAGGACAAAAATACAGGTCAGTACAACAGCTATCACCAAAGTAAACCATGCACCATGGGGAACCTTGCTCAAGGCGGCTGAGAGGAACATTCCATCCCAGAGCGCGAAAATGAGGAACACAGGAAGGACCACGTATATTGGTAGCCTCCACACAATGAGTGCGACGACTGTCACCATGCAGGTCGTGAGGAAGGAGACAAGTATGACACAGGCTCCATAGGCTTCGCCGAGGGCAGTGGTCTGTAGCAATGTTAGCGAGATGGAAATGAAGCACAGTCAAGGGGGGACATACATTATTGTAGACGGCTGTGACAATGATGCTTCCAATCATCATAAGCCAATTGGCGAGAGGAATGTATACTTGCCCATGGAAAGTCTTTGAAGTGTGGTAGACTTTCACTTGAGGGAAGTACGATAACTTCATAATTTGGGAAAGCAACTTGAGGATATTAATTACCTGCTCAGAAGGTTAGGGTTTTTGACATACTTGAAACGATCCAGTGACGACGGCCTGGCTTGCAACGATACACGCGAGGATTGCCACCACGAGACTTGGATATAGCATACCAGGCGGGACAGTGAGGTAGAATGGATTAGCGTATGCGCTGGGCACTCGGCTAATGTAAGCGCCTTGGCCAATGTACTAGTCAAGATCAGTCAAAATCTTCATTTGTGATGTGTATATCAAGTTTTACGAACTTACCGACAGCAGAAGACATGGATAGACAAAACAGAGCCACGAGATTCGGATTGCCCTGGATGAATTGTCAGTAAATAAGGCAAGCCACCCTGAGAGCATACACTTACCGTTGGCTAAATGCTCCAAGATCTGCAAACAATGTCTCAACACCGGTGAATGCAAGCAAAATTCCTCCCAATTGTAACCATCCATCCTTTCCATTGCGCATCAAGAAAGAGCCCGCAAAGTAGGGAGAGAAGGCTTTGAGCACGGACGAATCATACATGACCAGATTCTGGAATAGAAATGAGAGATCAGTCTTGCCCATTGAAATTTTTGAATGTCTCACTTCTCACTTACATAAATTCCAAATGAGAAATTAAAGGCCATCCACAGTATCACAATTGGAGCAAAGGTGTTCGCAATCTTGCTGGTTCCAAAAGGTTGGATGGCAAAAACGAGGACGAGAATTGCGCACGACACACCAACGACGGTGGAGGAAGAGATATTCGGGTTCACAACAGTAATCCTAGAAAGACTCAGCTTGTGTGGGTGTAATTTGTTACTTTCGGCCCAGACTTACCCTTGAATTGCGCCAAGAATAGACTGTGCAGGGGTTAAAACTCCATCTAAAATGCGGTGTTAGTTACTTGATCACCCACAGAATAGTCAGGGAATGGTACTTGCCTGCAAGAAGAAGTGACACTCCAAATGCACCGACAATTTTTAATGCCCATTTGATGAATGCACTTTGCTCCATAAACTTGCGAGTCATCAGATTCGGCTTTTGCAGATCGTTTGTATTATGCCGCTGCATTTTAAGGAGATTGGTGTGGCGAGGGTCGTGTCGAACGAGTCTAGCCTAAGCATGGTTTAACAATGTCAGTCAAATGATCAAGTGAGGTTGCTGTAGTGTATCACTTACATATCGTGACAAAAGTGAGTATATAGCGAATGTTCCTCCTTCACCCTCATCATCTGCATGAAGCACTATGCAAACATATTTGATTGTGACCATGATGGTGAGTGCCCAGATGACAAATGACACAGCTCCCAGGATATCCTCATAGCTCGGTTCGCTGCTGAAAGTAGACGAGTAGACATATAGAGGGCTTGTTCCGATGTCGCCATAGATGACACCTAGTGACTGATAAGCGAGCCTATACAGGGAGAATTTCTGAGTTAGCGTTGAAGAGAGGAGCGAACTGTGGGATTATGGAGTCATCTACCATGCCAGTGTCCATCCTTTGAATACCTGCTTCTTGTGGAAGTCTCTCTCCTCCACTTCTGGCGCTTCCAAGACAGATGCGACCTCCAGGTCAACCTCTTTAGTATCTGTAACCTTTTCTCCATGGATTGAAATTTTGCGCTGAAGTAAACGGGAAGAAAAAACGCCTCCTGCGCTGGATGTGGGATGGATATCCATCATGCGATCCTCTGGCGGTTCATCTTCGGTACTGGTAGACATGATGGGTATTTCTTGAGTCTGTTCAGTCTGGTGTCCTTGATATGAATAACTGAATCCCTACTTAATGTTTTGGGAGCAACACAGTATTTAAGCTTAGCTACCAATTGCTCTTTTGAGCTGCATGACTATCATTCTTATCTCTATCCAAAGCCTATAGTAATGCCTGTCAAAAAAAACGTGGGAATGAGCCAATTAGATTGGGCATTTCGACTATGGTATGAGATTAGGGAAACATGAATAAGAGGATCTAGAAAAATACCGCATACAGAGAGATAGTTTCTTAATACGGAAGGTCACCCTATGGACTCTAAGCTGACTGAACCACTTCAAATAATGCCTCTCCTTAGAGCCCATAACAAAGGAAGAAAAATGTCAATATCGACAAGTAGAAATTTTCGTCGACCGATGCCTTAACAATGAGCAAGAGAATGAGGGACTCGCCTTCGATACAGAAGGAGCTCAAGATGCCATTATGGCGAAGTTCTACGGGACAAGTAGCCTGACATGCGGGAGAAATTTTGTATATACGAGGCATTTATATTCTCCACACAACCATATCGCGCGGGGGAGGAAGAGGCTGACGCCACACTTTGGCCTATCGCTGAAATTTTATGGAGTGAAGTAATGATCATTGTCATATCAACGATATCTATTTCTATGATATGAATCGCGTTTGAGTCTTATTCTTACTCGAATGCTTTGACAATTGATTCTTTCTGGATACCTGGAATCACAGGCAGCAGGATCCCAGCCACCTTGATGACTAATTAGCATAAACGCCTCCCCCATGTCACCTGACACTCGTAAACAAGTCACAGTTCACTCGTCAATCATCGATTGGCCAGCCGGCAACTAAATACTAAATACTGGAGGAGTCTGAAAATATTCGAAGTACATAATATACGGTGTGCCCTGAGGTGCTTGAAACCCAAGCAGAACTTTTGTTTTGCGATGGAGAAGCTTCTTGGCGCCGGTGTGACAAAAGGCATTCATCTTCGATGATTTGAACTGCAAGGGTCAGCTAGTCCAGAACGAGTTCTTTCCCATTCACCACCTGACCATTGGCTTGAGATAATTTGCGAATACCAATATAGCCCTTGTGCAACATTGAGCCTCCCTATTATAGCGAGACGCAAGGGCACGATTCGGACGACTTTCCATATCTAACCCAGGGCGAAGGTTAGAAAATTGATCAGGTGCTGAGGTGAGGAGAACCTGGCTCCTGGATCTCGGAACCATGGCCGTGGGGAAGGTTACACACGATTTCGATCTCGGCGGATCAGCCCCGAACAGGGCCGCGTGGAGAGGCACGTCGTCATGGAGGGTGCGGTGTGCGAAAGGCTTATATTTGCTTATTCGTCTCCACCTTTTTCATGCATGCATTATTGGGTAACTATCGTGTGGCTGGAACTTGGAAGAGCGGTAAGAATCCGTGATGTAACGACTAAATAATTGCTTTTGAAATGGTTTTTATGATTCATGTTTATGATTTCGAAAATCGATTATCGTGTGCGTAAATATCGTTAAAGAACATGTCAAAACGAAGTGCCCACCCGGCCATGCTGAAGAAAAACAAAAGATGGACCCCAGTAGATAGCCCCATCGTCAACAAATGAGTGCCAGACATCGAAAGATGGTAATAGAAATGTGTCAAAAAAGCCGTCCGAAAGAAACAAAAATAGAGGACTGAATCTGAAAAACGCCAGCTTCGAAAACGCAACGCCCGTTGCCACGATAACACCAGGGTCAAACATGAAAACAATAAAGCGAATATCCGACCATTTCACAATAGACTGCCTCGTCAAATAACCAGACATTTCACGCAACACCAACGGGGGGAACATCGGCACTCGAGGGCAGTGCGTGACCCACCGCCGAGGTTCCCCCAGTTTCAAAGCGTTGGAGTAGAGACGCAACCATCTCCCGGTAGTCATTCATCTGGGAGAGCTTGAATCGCTGGATCTTGCCACTGGCCGTTCGGGGAATCTCTTCCACGAAGACCACACCACCATCCAGCGACTTGTAACTGGCCAGATGTTGACGGGCGTAATTGTATACTTCTTCCGCACTCAAGCGGCTCACGGATGGGTCGCGCGATCGCACTACAAATGCTCGTGGGACTTCGGTACTGCCATCCTTCAAGTTCACACCGGTGACAGCGACATCTGCAATTCCGGGATGCTGAAGCAGGACACCCTCGATTTCAGCTGGAGCGACTTGCCATCTGCGAAGATAGTCAGTATATCTGAGGAGTAATTATTATGGGATGAATAGCTCGAACTTACCCTCGCACTTTGATGAGTTCCTTGGTCCGTCCAACGATAAAATAATGGCCTTGCTTCATAAAGGCCACATCGCCAGTGCGGTACCAACCCTGTGCCTCCTTCGCATCCGTACGGCCCTTGTATGCCAAAAGCAAGCCGGGACCCCGCACGTAGAGTTCCCCCGCACGTTCATCACTCCGGACAATGTTGCCGTCATGATCAATCAGGCGTACCTCGTATCCTCTCAAGCAAGTTCCAATACTGCCGGGGTCTCCATGCTGACCATATCGGGTCTGGAAAGCAACACCGACCTCCGTCATACCCCACAGCTGGCATGCATAGGCCATTGGGTGGAGACGGCTTCGGAATTGCACGATTGACGGACCGTCGATGGGAGCTCCCGCGACCCCCACGTAGCGCAGTGACGCCAGATATTCCGAGACAGGCAACGTGCAGCGATTGATAGTGTGAATTATCGCCGGGACCAGATAAGTCTCGGAGATCTGGAATCGGTGGACTGTCGCCAGGAATTGCTTTGTCTCAAAACGTGACAAAACAAAGAGCGGGTGGCCATAGCGCACAGGGAAAAGATGAGTCCACAATGCGCCGAAGAGATGGAACATGGGAAGCGACATCAATCGGCTGACGGGGTAAGGCACATCATACTGGATCGATCGATGATGCGACACGATAGCATGGTGAGACAGAATGGCCGCCTTGGGTAAACCTCCAGTCCCGGAAGTCGAGAACATGGCTGCTGGGGTGTTCTGCGCCGACATGGGATCCGTGAACATCACCCAGTCACTTTCACCATAGCAAAGCATATTGGCGAAGTTGAGGTGTCGTCCATTATCGCCGCCGGCCTTGGCGAAGAAATCCGTGCCAGCCGAATATCCTAGTTCGTACCACAAGAACAATTGGGCGCAATGGTCGACAGCACGGTCATCGACCACGCAAATCTGCTCTGGAGAGATTCCACGGGTTACAGCAACCTCTTGGACTGTTTTCAATGCGTCGCGAGTTGTAAGGATCAATTTGGGTTCGGCAAGGCCAACGATATGGTCCAATTCCTGTTGTTGGCTGCGAGGGTTCGAGCCCATGTACACGCCTCCAGCGCCGATGATACCGAAGAAGAGGGCAGGGTATAAGATCTATGCGATACGAAACCAGGCCGAGTCAGCATTGCATAATCTCCGAATCGGTGTTTTTGGTTCTCGACCAGTCCACATGACCAGACAGTCGTATAGTCTCGCTTACACTATTGCCCAAATGCAGCAAGACACAATCTCCCTGTTGCACATTATGCGCTTTGAAACCAGCAATCAAAGTTCGAACTAATTGTCGGAATTGTGTCGCGGTAAAAGATCGAGAAGGATCCTCGGCATCGATAAATAAAGGTTGGTTCGGATTATAGGGCGTCGAACCGCAAAAAGTAAAGGTCAAAAGGTCCGTATGTAAATCCTGATGCAGCAGAGGGTCTGAGGCCGTACCGGCTGCGACAGACATGTTGGGATTCCAATATCCCATTTTGAATGATTGAAACAGATTTCAGGAGGTCACCAATAAAGGCCTTATATATGTGGAAATGAAGTAGTAGTTGTAGAAAGTAGGGTATAAAAGGGTTGAAAGGAAGCCAGCACCGAACCTAGTGGGGTGCCAACTGAGAGGGATCCCTGCCATGGGGTTTTATATTAGACAGGGATATGATAGCGGAGCCCAATTCCAACTAGACACAATTTGACACAATTTGATTTCCTGAAGCAAGCGCGATCCTTCGACAATTGGGGTGGAGGGCTGATTTGGAATACTTCGTGCTGACCTAAGCGGGTCCTGGGTCACTTCCAGTCTTCCAAAAGATTCCAGCCAATCAGCTTCATCAGGGAGCTGTCAGCCGTTCTCTCTTCACTGGTCGTCTGTTCTATACTTTTGGAATTTGTCAAAGGTCCTTCTCCCAACTTCTAACTTCCCGAAAAGTCCACACACACTCATCTATCTCATGATGCCGAAGGATACTGAGTGATTTCTCATGATCATCAGACCATGAATGTGAAATCATAATTGTGAAGAAAGGGAGCAAGACACCATCCAAAATGGGTTGAGATGTCCGGACATCCGGATTCAGCAATATCGCAACAAAATATTACAAAAATCAGATCAACCTTCGCAAGTGTATGTGTCATTGGACGGGTGGACATGATCGCGAACAGGTCCGTCCGGTCCCACTTGAGCGGTTCGGCGCTAACCCGACAAGACTTGACACTAGTGGCGCAACACTCGCGCCACGGGCCCCTTTCTTCATTGATTTGATGGATCATCGCGCTGGCATGCTGGAAAAACCAGCTGAGCCACAAGCTCGGATCACCCAGTCCGATGGTTTCACACGATTCCAGCTGCTTCCTTACCGGGATCATTACATTTCTCTGACCCGAGGCTACGGGCCCGATGAGACCACTACTACATCCTACATACTGCTGCATTGATATTGCTACGTCGTACGAATCCCCATGGAGCCGAAGGGGCCGTGATCGAGGATCGCAGATCGCCAGGCAGCAGATCGCATGCCTGCAAATCCCCATAACCTAAACCCACACTTTCCAAAAATTGCGGCGAGCCTGCATGAGAAAAGACCGGCACATCGGTCGCTCGCTGCAGCCCTCCCTCGCTGCATCCACAGCCATTGGCCACTAGTTGAATCGGCATTACCCCTCTCTCCACGAGATGAGGCGGATCAGCGCTCTTCAGATCGCGCCAGACAGGGATTATTGACAGTGGCACCGGGGAGACTGCGGCCCAACTACTTTTTTGATGATGTAGAGCACAGCTGAATCCCGTCCTGTCTCCCACCAATGAGCATTTGTAAAAGCCTCGTTGTGCTGTTACCCCCACTCCATGTCATGGCGGCTTGACAATCTCAAACCAGGGTACCAGAGGGTGATCTTCCGTCCGCAGGATCCATGGGTCTCATGAGTCTCGAAGCTCCTCCGATAATATCTCTTTCCCTACCCCTTCAGTCGGTTGCAGGACATTCCAAAGGGCTTTCGGTCTGCCCGCAGTGGAGCATCTCTATGGTCAAAAGTCCCTAAGGTTTCTCCATTCCGTGTGACAACCCCAAATGTCGGCTGAGAATGAGACAAAAGTCTGTTTTTCTCAGATCTCGATCGACTAGCGATAAGGATGCGCCACACGGATGCAATGCGCCCTCCTTCCAGGCTCGTGGTGCAGCACGGGTTCCACTTTGGTTTCCTGGGATTGACGCCCTGTTTCCCATGATATTGGATTAACTCTGGTCGCATCGAATCTGGAAGGGTGCCGGGCTCCCCCGCTGCAAGGATCGACCGTACCGTGCAGGAAAAGAAAAATAGGTAACTTGCATTGCAGGGATGTGAGGCACATGAGAGGGGAAACAGCCTCGGTGACCAGGATCTGAAAGCCTTATTGTATCGTTTTCGTTTGATAATGACCATTATTATTTTCTTTGACGAGGACAAACAACCCCCCGCTTCCAAGGATCTGGCTCAGCCGGGCGAGGCTGGTTCATTGTGACCGGGATCGTCAAGGCAGCAAAGGCTCACCATGGGCATTATTGGGTCATCGTGCATACTAAGTCGATTCTAGCGAGGCTCGCTTGTATGCACAAGGCTCCATGTAGGAACGCGATACCGGTGGTGGCAACTTGCATGACAATAAAGCAAGATGTCCGTTGAGGCCGGGGCTTCGGTCGAAGATCCGGTCAAGCAGGAGTCGTGATTGGGTTACATCTCGTTGGGCGAACGATGGGGCTTCGTTGACATGGTTGCTCATTCCGGTCTATCCCGTATATCCCGTGCTTCTCGATGATAGTGTCCACATTCGACACTATCTCAGAGACAGCGGGTCTCATTGTGACCCCATCCGGACGTCAAGGCCGTTCGTCCGGTGGTCAAGGGCGAGTTCAGAGACCAGTCGAGGAGGCCAGCATGCGCATTCATTGGCAATGGTTCATTCCCACTAGTTTTGACCGGCGATGTGAGCCGGCATGATGGTGTCATACACTGCTGAACTTTGTGAGCCAGGATGAACTATCCTATCCGCAAGGGGAAGGACCACCGAGATAGTTGCCCAACTTCGAGGATCATCCGGTGACCGGATATTGATCTTTCTGCAGGTGGGCCAGGATTGATTGGAACCAAAGGGCATTGCAGGGGGGTTGAAAGGGATTGAGGATGTAGACCGAGGCGGGACAATGAAAGTGGCCAGGATGATGATAAAGATGATAGGACCAACAGGACCAAAGAAAGCGAAGCATCCAGGCCGTGGAGAACATTTTCCCATAGCCATCTCGCAACTCTCTCAGTCCAGGAGCGGGGATATCACAGCTGAACAGCATCTCCACTATCCACACACTTGTTCACTAGCACAGAAGTGGCTGAATATCATAATCCTTCCATTCCTTCGTTTCCGTCCCTGCCTGTCCCCTCATGATCCACATACTGGCTTGCTTGTGATCTTCCATGAGGCCTCACCCTAGTCAAATTGACAACTCCTCGCCCGTTCTTGCATTCAGTCATCTTTCGAATCCATTCTAGCAAGTATTACTTGCAACACCTCCACGCCATGTCGGTCTCGGAGAAAACCCCCATCACTATTCCTAAGCCCGCGGTGACAAAGATGGTGACCACCTCAAGGAGTCCTAGTGAGGTGACCCTCACCGATGGCGATAACAGCCACATGCTCGAAAAGGTCCTTTCCAAGGAGATGGGATCTATCGGGACAGGCTCGCATCATACCATCGACCTCGAGGCACAGACCGTTAACGTTAATCCAAAGCGGTTTGCGTTCGTCCGATATGCCATCCTCACTCTGTATCGACGCCTCTTCACGCTAGTCTTCCTTGCCAACGCTGGCGTGTTCATCTGGATCATGTTGTCCAACCAGAAGCTCCTCGCCTTGGTCAATGCAACGGCTGCCAACTTGCTTGCATGCGGATTGGCCCGACAGCCACTTGTTGTCAACACTATATTCCGCGTTGTGTTGTCCGTGCCGCGGTCAGCACCTTTTGCTTTGCGCCGCATCGCTTCCAAGGTCTATCATTATGGTGGCGTGCATAGCGGCTGCGGCGTCGCGGCCCTAGTTTGGTACATAGGGTTCGTCGGAGTCATGTCGCATCAGTATTGGACGCCTCCCTCCGTTAGCGCTGCAACGGTCGTCAGCTTCTCAGCTGCTCCGGTAGCCTTAGCTTACATCATCCTCGTGCTGCTGCTGGCCATTATTGTAGTGGCTACCCCCACGTTTCGCATGAAATATCATGATTATTTTGAACTCACCCACCGTTTCTCAGGGTGGCTTATCGTGAGCTTGTTTGTGGCGCTTTTATTGGTCTTCGCGCATGAAATCAGCCAGGCACAGGGGCAGAAATTGGGTCTGTTCCTGGTCGAGCTGCCTGCATTCTGGTTCTTGATCTTAACGGTCGTTGCTATCATCCAGCCGTGGTTGATGCTGCGGAAAGTTCCGGTGCGTGCGGAGGTCCTGTCAACGCATGCAGTGCGGCTGCACTTTGACCACGCCGTTACCACCTTCGGCAAGGGTACTCAACTAGCCAAGCATCCTTTGCGCGATTGGCATGGATTTGCCACCTTCCCCGACCCTAGTCCAGCGGGAACGCGCGGAACACCGAGCTTCTCATGCCTGGTGTCCAAAGCTGGCGACTGGACTGCGGACACGATCAAGAACCCGCCCACCCATCTCTGGAAGCGGGGTGTGCTTCTCTATGGCTTTGCATATTCCATGCGGGTTTTCAAGAGGGTGATCGTGGTAACCACAGGATCAGGTATTGGCCCCTGTCTGTCCTTCCTTGGCGATGATAATCGCCCCGAGCTGCGTGTTATCTGGCAGACTCGCGCTCCGCTCAAGACGTACGGGCAGGGGGTGATTGGCCTCGTCCACCGAATGGATGATTGCCCAATTATTATGGATACCAACAAAATGGGACGAGTTGACATGGTCCCTATTGTGCATCGACAATTCGCAGAGTTCAACGCTGAAGCGGTGTGCGTGATCAGTAACCCCGGACTAACTCGCCGAATCGTGTATGAACTCGAAGCCCGCGGGGTCCCAGCATTTGGTCCAATTTTCGACTCATGAGTGCGTTTATGTTGTTTTTGTTGTTATGTCTGGTGATAGTTTATATGTGTTGAGACTTGTTTCTATTTCGGTCTGTTCATTCGTCGTTTTGCCTGCATTTCTGTTAGTGAATTTCCCCTCTTATACCCCCATGGAATCTCCCTGGCGTTTTTCGGTACATTTCTGGTTGTTTTCATGTTACCTGGAGTTCTCATTGTCCAGATCCTCTCTATTAGATGCTCTTTGGGCACTTCTCTGCCGTGAACACATCATCGTTGTCAAGGGTTGAGGGGAAAAGCGTGTGGTGGAAGGATTTGGAGTCCCTGTCACCAGCTGTCTTCCCCATTTTTGTCTGGTGGGAAATTTGTGGCCAGGGGTCGCTCGGACCCTGGGCTCAGGGCCGTGCAGCCAGGTGTGCAGTCAGGCATTTAGGCAACCCATGCAGGTAATGGAACAGACACCAAATTCCCGCAACCTTATGCACAAATTGTTCTTCGTACGTAGTGTGCTTCTTGGAATTCCAAATCGTATTGCTCCACTATGTTGTGGAGGCGGGTTGTAATTGGTCCGTGGTAGCACAGAGTGGGACCCCAATGTATTTGCAACCTGCCAAGAGTTGACGTTTTCGAGAAGGTCATTCAGAAGGAAAGGGGGAAGGAGTACGAGAAGCTCAATGTGCTTTTTGGAAATAACTAGAGCATCTCTGGATCCACGTCAGAACCTTCAACATAACCTGTCTTCCGATGATGTAGAATTATATTCCCAAATTGAATGATAAGCCCAGTCCGTCAAGGAGGGGCATGTGCATACGCGCAGAGGTGCAGCGAGAGGGCGGGCGGGACGTACCCCTCGTACATCGTTTATCTTTCTTGTAAAGAATATCAAGATCGTTATTAAAGCTAGGAAAATGTATCTTTCCCTACTTTGGCAATTTTCAAGGATTTTTGGGGGTTGTAAAGGTAGTACTATATTTGTTGCATGTGGCATTATGTTGGCATCAACAAAGTACCCGATTATAGCGAGGGTCGAGATGGGAGCATCGCTGCACGTGGTTGATATGGAAACGAAGGAGATAGAATATTGCCTCGTTAACAGAAGATTTAGTCATTTAGCAGGGTTTAGGAGATCTTGCCACTGGAATTTTGAAGATAGATTGGAGGGTATGCGTATAATTTCCCTCGGCTTTTTTGTTTGTGATCCATATTGCTGTCAATAGATCGGTGATCTATGTAGCCACATGGAACAGATCCATGAGGTACTGCCAGCCTATCAGTTATTAGCTCGTTGGCCGGCTATTGAGTCCCTAATGGTGTTACTGTATGGCAGTAAGTGATAGCACCAGTGTGGGGTACAATATGCACAGGAGACTGTGTGTGACAAATACCTCAACTGATGATCACGAGGCTGATGGTTGGGAAAAGAAAAAAAAGGGATGCCCACTAGCTGCCATTAAAAACCTCATTATTGTATAGAATATCCTGATTTCGAGACTGCAAACCGGGAGGGAGGGCTCATCAATTTACATATGAAAAAGGTTGAACGATCAGAACACGTCAAATTAGGAGTATATAGAGATCTATTCTACTGAATACTGTATGTAGCGTGCAGTTATAAGTTTGTAAGTATGACCTATCTAAGCATGGCATCGCGGAGACCCGAGGATGCTGTTTTGTGGTCGGTTAAGTGGAACAACACAAACGACTTTGCTTTAAATGCTTTGAAGGTTTAGGGGTCGCAATAATTACCCCAAAATTGCCCTGTATATCATCTTCTCAAATATCTCTGGTTGATTTCTCAGTCATCGATTTTCCCATGATAAACATGCAGGCCTTATGATCCTCTCTCTATACCTAACGTTGTAGCTCCCCCAACGCGCGGGGCTTATTTGTGAGATGGCCAAATCAAACCCCATGAAATAAGCGTGGCTCTGGTTCCCAAATATTTTATTGGCTTTAACGACGAGTAATGGAACGTTTGTTTGTTTCCTGAAGCTGTAAGAACGTGTCGAAACACTTCCCCAAACGGACTAGCCTCATCGCAGGATCACAACGCCACTCAGGCTAGATAACTGCAACTACTGAGGTACAAATACCATTTTAAGCTTGCATTGCTAAACATATAAGCTCAAAGCTTCTACAGTCGTGGTCGAAAGATTGCTGACTCGCCACCCCGCGGGCCTCCGCGGGCTGACATACCCAATCGGGCCATATCTTCGCGGAGTCTAAGGGCCCCTGGAACTATAAAGCGCGGATTCTCACTATCTGATATCCCAAAACCAAATTCAAATGTTCTGAATACTTGACTCCAAATCTATTCACGATGTCTCCAAGTCGAAAGGTACCTCATATCTCATGCACTCATCCAAAAAAATGTCACAAAGCTGACCCACTTCGCAGGCAATCATTATCGGCGCCGGTCCTGCAGGCCTTGCAGCTGCTTTGCGTCTGCACCAGCAAACAAACATCCAAGTCACAATTTACGAGTTACGTGCAGAGCCCACCACTCTGGGTGGAGCTGTTGGCATCCTGCCCAACGGCCTTCGTCTCCTGCACCGTCTAGGCGTCTACCAGAAAATCGCAACTCGCGGCTTCACCAGCTCGAACTTGACCTTGCATTCTATGCAGGGGCATATTGTTTTTCAACAAGACTTTGTCGGCTGGGCACGAGAGAGAACTGGTTTTGGGTACATGCGCATCAAACGCACGGATCTGGTGAATGTCTTGCTTGAGGCGGTGCAGGAAGCTAAGATCCCGATACGATTCAACAAGCGGCTGACGACGATCGAGGAGAGCGATACGGGTGTGCAGGTCACGTTCGAGGATGGATCAAGTGATACTGCCGACATGTTGTTTGGGTGTGATGGCATCCACTCGTTCGTGCGACGTACCTACGTCGACCCCATGAAGACCCTGGAGTACTCGGGCATGTCGGGTCTTGGATCTATCATTCCCACCAGCGTGCTATCACCCACGACGACCGCTCAGATTACTGGCCTGGATACCACGTTGACAGAAGATGGCATGCTTGCTGTGAACCCGTGTACAGCTGGGAAAGACGAAATGTTTTGTTTCTTCTCAAAGGAGGTCACGCTCCCGGAATCGGGGGATAGTCGTGACGGCTGGGAAGTACACAGGAAGGAAGAAGTCGATGGTTTTAAGTCTACTATGTTGGAGAGTCTTGAGAGTGCACAGGGTGAATGGGGAGCCGCTCTGAGGGAGGTTCTCAACAATATGTCCTCCGTCAACTTCTACCCAGTCTACAGATTGCCTCCCGGTGGAGTCTGGTCCAAGGGCCGGTGTCTTCTTGTCGGCGATGCTGCTCATGCAATGTCCCCACATGCTGGACAAGGTGTTTCGATGGCCCTTGAGGACGTCTTCTTGCTATCACGCTTGCTGGAGGACCCCAAACAACCGCTTGATAAGGTCTTTGATATCTATGATAGGATTCGCCGACCTCGCATCAATGAGATTTTCAAATTGGCTGCACAGAACGCTGGAGTGCGAAGGAAGACTGGTCCTTGGGGTTTGTGGCTCAAGGAAGTTCAATTTTCAATGGCGATGATTCTTTCGTCGGTCTTTGGTGCGGATAAGAGAGAATTGCGACAGGGCCATCTGGTGTACGATATTGATGAAGTGGGCTTGGTCTAGAATTGTTTCTTTTGCCTGGGCTTGTGGAATTATTTGGTAGAAGAGGCGTAGCTACAGCAGATAGAGCAGGTAACATAATACTAATCTCCAATCATTTGATCAACAATTATATTGTTAATCAAGCCTAAGGTAGTCAGAATACCTGGTTATTATGTGTTATTATGTGTCTCCCTTTGAATTACACTTGCCTATTCCGGCGTTAGTGCCCTTCGCGGCACCCAATAAGGCGTCCAAAATGTGACGACAGCTTGAACAGAATCATGAGAATTCAACGTAATATTGCCATCACCAATCAAATCTCCAATCATTCTAAAAATTAATTCCATAGAAATACCCGCTTCTCCTCGATCAAGACCTACGAGCGTCGCCAACCACGTAGCTCGTCAAAGCTTGACCCCAATAATCTTCGCCCCCAAATCCTCCAAAGTGGGGCTGAGGCCTGATGATAATATCAAAAATTCCCCCTGCCAACAACAACGATTCTACTTCAGTTAACTTATTAATTCAAGGCCTGTGTCATAAGGCCGAAAGCCCGAGGTCACAGCAGAAGGGTTCGCCTTGCATGATTGATAATCGATAAATCTGTCTGCCACGGAATGTTGGTTTATATCAGGTGCTATGCGCGCCTATATATGATGGCCATACCCAAGTATCCCAGGCCCCCTATTCCCGTCTCTGAAGGAATACCTTTATGATGTCTGAAGAGAAAGAGAGAGAGGCTGTCCTGAGCAATGCCTCCCCTCCGGTGACAGTAGCCAATTCTGATGGATCAGAAATTGAGAATCAAACACCCAATAAGCCCACAACACCTCCTCCGCCTCCCAATGGCGGTCTCACTGCCTGGCTCCAGGTGGCAGGGGCATTTTTCTTGTTTTTCAATTGCTGGTCAGTCACTAAACTCCCTACCACAACAACCTAGAAATCCAGCGCTAACAGAAAGGTTTAGGGGCGTAGTCAACACCTTCGGTGTCTACCAAAGCTATTACGAAGACACTCTGCTACCTAACTACTCAGCGTCTTCGATTTCATGGATCGGCACAGTCCAAGGATTCTTACTCTTGATGGCAGGAGTAGTCGTGGGGCCTATCTATGACAAAGGCCACCTCACGTCTCTTCTTGTTGTGGGCACGTTCCTAGTCGTGTTCGGTCTGATGATGACCTCGCTGGCGACGAAATACTATCAGGTATTCCTAGCGCATGGTATTACCACGGGACTTGGGTGTGCATGCTTGTTCCTGCCGAGTGTCGCTATTGTAGCGACTTATTTCACATCGCGGCGAGCGCTGGCGACTGGTATCACTGCCTCGGGCGGTAGTATTGGTGAGTTGATACGAAAAGAGAAGTCACTCTGATAGTATGGTGGCTAACTCGCATATCTAGGATCTGTGATCTACCCTATCATGTTTCATAAACTAATCAACCCCCTGGGCTTTGGCTGGACAACCCGAATCATCGCCTTCGTCGCTCTGGGGGGACTCATCTTCTCCATCGCCGTGATGAAACCCCGTCTCCCACCACCCAAGCAATCCCGATCCCTGCTCGACATGTCCGCTTTCAAAGATGTACCCTTCCTTATCTTCTGTATGGGTCTCTTCTTCTCCTTCGTCGGCTTATACTTCCCCTTCTTCTACCTCCCGACCTACTTCACCTCCTTCCTCCATTCCGATGGCAACATCGCATTCTACATTATCGCCATTCTGAACGGTGCCTCCGTCTTCGGACGAATCGCACCCGGGATCCTTGCCGATCACATCGGCTCCGTCAACACCGTTATTCCGATTAGCTTCAGCGCAGCCGTCCTAGCTTTTGCATGGATTGGAATCCGAAATGAGGCGGGTACTATCGTCTTCGCTATTCTGTATGGTTTTGCCTCGGGGGCGATCGTATCTCTACCGCCGACTATACTTGCCCGACTCACGTCGAATATGAGTATCTTGGGTACAAGGATGGGAATGTCTTTTACCTTTGCGGGACTGGGGTTGTTGATTGGGAATCCTATTGCGGGGGCGTTGCTGGATATAGAACGGCGGGTTTTCTGGAAGGGGCAGTTGTTTAGTGCTGTGATGGTTGTTGTTGGGACTGGACTGTTTGTGTGCTTGAGGGTTTTGAAGTGGAAGCAGGGTGAAGGGTGGAAGATTTGATCCTGGTGGGTGATAGATGATTTATAGAGCTGTATTATATTATTGAGCTTTTGAATACACGATAGACATTTGCATTCGATATTGGAGATAGATCGACAATTTCAAGACAATCTCACACCACATTATTTTCATCCTCAACCATAACATCAAACAAAATCGTGCAAATAGTAAACTTATTTCATCCCTGCCAACCACCCTCAAACCCCTCACCCGCCCCTTGACTCGACCGCCGCGCATGATCATATTTCTTCGAAGCAGCCCAATCCGCTCGCTCCTTCTCCTGTTGACTTTACCGACGCTTCTCCCGTTCTTCCACGCTCGGACGACGGAACCAGCCCAGGTTATGGTGATGAGCAGGTTTATTTCCTACGTCAGCCATGACACATCAGTACACCTATCTTCTAGCCTGAGCTCCAGCGACACAGGAAGGAAGTCCTTACCAGCTTGATCTTTACTCTCACCGGCCGCAGCCTCAACCTTGGACTCCTGCGGCTCGGGCTGCGACACAGCTGGGATTTGTGGTTCCACTGGCTCTTGCGGTTCCTGGGCTGGATTCACGAGAGAATCCTGGTTGACAGAGTCCTCAGAACTCTTCCGCTGATGGTGGTGGAAGGCATCGGATGCCCTGCGGAGGAGATTAGACATGATTATGAGATGATCAGTTGTACGTTCGATAAGTATCGTGAATATAGACGATATGTTTAGAATCCTTGGTAGATTCACGTATTCCAAACCAGCAACCTCCTATTATAAAACCTCGTCCAAAGGATGATGTCATATCGCCTGATGGAAGCTTAAAGCATCTCCTAGGAGTTAGGTGGTCATGCGACTACTCTCAAGCTCTGGGTCAGTATAATACAATGGTCTCCCATGGCCAATCATCAGCTGGTTCGAACTCGATGATGTTTTGAGTTTGAAAGTTACATTGCATCATCGGTGGAGAATTGTGGTCGGGAAGCCGGGTCGAGACCTCCGAGGTTTCCGGCCGAGTTTGTGAATAATGTCATTCATTTTAGTTCTTATTATTAAACTAAGGTTTCAGGAGAGTTTGGAGGGATATGTCACTTTTGGTTATTTGTATGCGCTTGTTGGGTCGGGTTCTTGGGTCGAACATATGAGTCAGTCAGTGTTCGTTCATGAATCAAGGTGGGAATCTCCATGACGATATGATCACTGTTGCCTAGTGGATATCCCGAGGATAGCGGCGATGGGGATCCACGGTGGGGTTGTTTGTTTGTTATGATAAGGCAATCTGGGATAGTATTGGTTTATTATTGTAGTTGAAGGCGCCAAGTGGTAGTTTATTCAACGCCAAGGGCCCACGCAGGAGATAACATGGGGCGCTGGTGAGTGTATCTCAACCACAGTCTAACTGGGTAAGAACAACTAAGTGTGGAAAGGACAAGCTTACAAGGTTACACAGTTTACAATTGTTGAAAAGATGGACCATTCAAGTCAATATATTAAGGTAGATATCAAGAGTAGAGAGCCCATTGGCAACATGGAAATCATGCGTTTCTAAGACATATGGGGAATAAGACTCGAAAATTGAGTACACAGAAACAAATAGAAGATAGATATGCACAGAAGAAGTGAAAGTGATGGGTATAATGCAGGGGTGGAACGAAACCCGTCCGTCCGAGCCAAGAGATGCACGCATGCAACCGAGCCGATTATGTTTTGCCGTTCAATCTTGATCCCATTGCGGACCAGATACCAGTTTTTTTGCTTTCGTTGAGAGATCCGCCGACGCCGTTGTATGAGAAAAAAATAAAGGAGATCATATGATGCGGAGACATTGTTCATGAATCATGAAATGCCCCCCGAGAAGTTGATTATCGTGAGATGAGGAATGAATAGAAAAAGAAATAAGAAGGTTGTGACAAGTCCGTGACTTTGGGATATCTTTCTTTTGGTCGTGGAGATCATAACGTCATGGCGGGAATGGTAAATGAGAAAAGAAGGCGAGGCGGGAATAGTAGTGTTGAAGGGTTTATTGGCGGGAAGAGTCCACTGAGGGAGCGCGCGAGGCAACGCGGGAGGTAGGCTCAGAGGGAGGCGGGGTCTGCTCAGTGACCAAGTCGTCAACTGTGAAGCGCATGCGGCCGCGGTTAGAGGTGGAGTTGGCAGTGGAGTTCGCGGAAGAGTGGGTTGAGTCACTGTCCAGACGCAGAGACTCCATGCGCTCCAGCTCGTCGTATTCGGGGAGAGGGAGGGGAGAGCCTTGGTAGTCCTCCATGACGCTGCGGGCGTCGTCCAGTCTGAAGTAGCCGGGAGGGCTGGCAGGGACGTCCTCGTAGACAGGAGGCATTTCCTCGTCCCAGCTGATACCGAGACCACTGCGCTCGGTGACGTGGAGGTTGAATTGCATGCGCAGGACACGAGCAGCGCCGGTGGGAGTGATCAAGCGGGTGTTGCGGTTGGGGCAGAACTCCTCGGCGACGATGAGCTCAATGACGAGGTTGTGCTTGACCTCGAGGCCACCGGGAGCCTCCATATCGCAGACCGGGTTGGTGGTGGGGTTGATGCTAGCATCGAATTGCATGGTGATTTCACCACCGGCAGTGTCAAAGTCGGTCTTCCAGCCGGTCTTCTCCTCGTTGTGGCCGATGATGCGGGTTTCCTGGTGCAGGACACCCTTGTTCTCGCCGCCAATCTTGTGGGCGTGCTTCTGGCAGGCAGTGGAGACGATCTTCTGGTGTTCCTCGATGCGCCACATCATCTTGCGCAGGCGCCAGCGAGTCTGGGTCTCGTCGCCCTTGTCCACCACGCCGCTCAGAGTCATTTCTACGGGGAAGCTTCCAATGGGGTGAACCACGGAAGGTAGGACGATCCGGCCAGTCAGGTTGGTAGGAGGGAAAATGCGAATAGAAGACTTATCGTTGCCGGGAATCAGGGCACGACGGACGTTGAGGGGCAGCTTCAGGTTAAATTCCTCGCCGATGGTGCTCTGGGCGTGAGCCAGCAGGAAATACTCCACTTGGCCTAGGGCGCCATTGCACGAGGCAGGCAAGTTACCAGGGAACAGGTAGCTGAAAGGGAAGTCGTGCTGGCCAGGCTTCAGGCGAAGGTTCTCCGTGAGGAAATTCCAGCGGGCCAGCTCCTCAGTGCGAGTAGCACAGCTAGGGCAGTGGCTGGAGACGGGCTTCTTGGTGGTGTTCTTCGAGATGAGGCGCACATCGAACTGGCTGAGGATGACCTCGCCGGCGCTCTCAGGGATAGTCACTCGCAGACGACCAGAGAACAGAGCACCAGTCGAGTTGCTTGGATTGCCATAGCAGACCAAAGGAGGAGACTCGACCAAGACCTCCAGCTTGGCGGAAGGCTTAGCCAGCTCCTCCTTGCCGAGGCGCTCCTTAGATCGGCCGGCGCGTCCCAGGCTGCGGCGCTTGTCCTTGCTGTGGTCTCGGTGGGGGTGGATCAGGTGGTCCATGTTGAAAGAGAGGCGACGCTCGGGAGAGCGGGCTCGGTCTGCGCGATGCGCCGGCTTCTTGGGGTGTGGGATCTCATTGACGGAGGTGGTCGATGACGAATTGGAGTGGATGGGAGTCGATGAGACAGATGAGTGCAGGGAGCCAGAGCCCCGAACAAAGTTGGGGATCAGACGGCCCGGCATTTTGAGAGTATCTGTTCTGATAATTGATGACGGTGTGAGTCAATAGAAGAGTGAGGTGGTAGTGATGAGCTGAAGAAGTTGTGATGTCGATAGAGATTGGCTTGGCTGATGTTCAGGAAGCAGTGCGGTGTTGGTGTAGTTGAGAAGTGATAATACCGGCAAACCAAAACATAATCCAGACTTCAAGTCAGTATGTAAGAAGGGGAAGGGAGTAGTAGAAGCAGAGCATAGGAGGCGATTTGCGCTGCTTTTGAATCTTTGTAGCAGGATCATGTGCTTGAGCCTAAAAGCCACCGAATCCGTGGGAAACTTCTTGGAACCAAAGAAAAATTTCTATTTGGTTCCCACTTTGTCCACTTTGTCCCATGCGGCCAGCCAGGTACCGGACGGCCATTCGTTCTGGTCTGGCCACCATCAGTAGAAAATGTGTCTGAAATGGGAAATTCAATTGACTAACTGGAAAAAAAGAAAGAGAAAAAAGAATTAGAAAATTTAAAAAAAGTCACAAAGTGGGCCGTGGCTCATCGTCATAGTGGAGTCTGACCATACGCGTACCACTGCAATACGACATCGTTACGCCGTCCATCTTTATTCTTAGATTTCTTTCTAAGCAAGAATAAGAGTACTTTAGGGTTCTTGAGTGATATTAGAGTCAAGCACGCATTCTATGCATATGATGATTGAATTAGAGACTATGGCATGAGAATAGATCTATGTTATGTCCTCCCCGAGGTAAACCCGTTCTCTGGGCTCACACTCCACCCTGGGCGTCGTGAATTCCCCAGCCTATGATGACGGTGAGGAACTTTGACCATTCAACTCGGCTCTGGTGCCGGCAGACTCAATAAACATTTCACCCAGACACCCCGAATAACCTTCTCTCTCGACCGAGCAAACATCGGGGATCGCCTGATGCCAGCCCAGGCAACTTTACCCCACATCCTATTTGGTTGATGGTAGATTGTGGACATCATTTTGCGATCATCTAAACTTCTCGACTGATCTAGTCTCTATCGGGGTAATGAAGTTCAAGACCACCTGATGGTGCGCATGTTGGAAACCTTCGGTGTCGATTACCCCTCCCGATACCTTGTCAAGGATGTCAATCCTGGATGTTCGATGTCCGAAATTCCTGGAGCCAGCAAGGTCAAAGCCCGTGCGCAGTGAGTCACGGTCGGCTAGAGCCCCGGCATGGTCTCGGTGGATGAGGATGGGATCTCCCCCTAAGGATTTTAGGGGGACGCCTTCCAACAACTCGGGCCAGATGGCATGTGGCCGAGGGGCTGACGGCGGGGTATGTGGCCGATCGCGGTCTGCCTCTTCGGCTCCTTGAGAGGGCATCTTGAGGGCATCTAGAGAGAGTTTCTTTCTATTAGAAATACATACCGTCATTATCAATATAGACACTGTAAATAGTATGGATTTAACCATACTATTATGATATCATTCATTGGGTTTCTAATGGTACAGCACATGGCCTACATAGTGTCATCATCATCTAGTTAGTTAACTATAAGCTCATGCTTAACAATCAACATTATTGACATCGTTCTGTGCTCATTTACCCCAGATATTGAGCACTACCCGGTCGGACCTCCCTGCATCGGTCATATCTGCAAGTGACGGACTTTCAAAGCTTCTGCATCTGTGTCGGTGTCTGCACTCTACAACTCTACACGTCTACTCCGTACTTCATCAGCGCATTGACTTTCCCAAGAGCCTGTGTGAATACGGAGGCTTGTCCGATCACCTGAGCCTTAGGGCCAGGCGGGTTCATTTCCCCGGCTTTGTGGTGCCGTTTCGCCCAGGGTAGTACCGCTACTACACCGAAAGTCTTCTAGTTCGGTTTGGCTGGCTTGTGACTTGCCGCTATAGAAACCTTGCCCGCGGAACCCGAGGAGATGCAAGGACTTGCCCCGGACAGAGGGGCCGTCTACGCCGCCACGGAGCCGAGTCGCTCGAGTAGGAACCTGGAGCCGGACGTCATATAGAGAGGGGATCTATAGAGGATGATAGTCCCTATGAAACTACGAAGCATACTAATAATTAGCATTGCAGGCATTGATGCTGACTTTGCTGTATGATAACCTGGCCCGAGTAATTTACTACCATCCAATCCCTAAGCCTAGCATGATCAGCTCCTACGCTAGTCATTGCTAGTTAGCCCTCTCAATGGAATACTTATAAGTCATTGAATATGAAATCAGTAGTAACAGAATCATAACATGTGCTCCGTATACCAAGGACTCCGAGACAACTCCGTCCAAAGGAGGCCACGATGGCCATTGAACCATCACGTGGCGCCATCAGAGGGCCAGCGACGGCCCGACCGCTGGGTCTTTGTTTCGGTCACAATACAGGGGCGGTATCTTTCGCATACAGTGTAAAATACACCCGCTAGTGGCAGATCCTCAAGATGAGTTGCGCTGAGAATTTTTCCTGCTTAACCGCTTTGGGCAACAAAAACGCGTGCCAAAGGCCCCAAGAGTCCACAGGACCCTATTGCGCTCCACTTTTCTCTGACTCTTTGCTTTTTTTCACTCTTCGCCGGCTTCGTCGCCAAACCACTCACCATAACCACCATCGACACCACCACCATTGATTCACCGTTTTGGGATTAGTGGCTGGCGGCGGTTCTCTCCCCCCGCACTGCACGCTGGCGCCATTTTGCGGGGCGCAGACTGGTCATTCGGCGCTGTCGCAATTTTCCAGCTGGGGGCTTCGTCATGATGCAAAATCAACTTTGAAATTTAGAGAATGCCAGAAAAGTCAGGTACGATTGATAATCGTTCGAGAGGAGCTTGAAATTGATCATCACGCCCAATCTAGCCGCTGGGAGCTGTCAAGAGTTGCTCTGTGCTTTGAAGCAGGGCCATGGGCGAATCATGAATTCCCCTGCCCGCACTAATTACATAACAGTTTGCTCTTTTGCGCGCCATGGCCAACCCTGTTGACGGGAGATCCCTCCTAGATCAGCTTCTTTTTCCCCTGGCGACGGGTAAAAACAAAATAATCATGAGAAAAAAATGCCACAAAAAAAGCAGAGACGGTGGTCCACTTGGTATCAGGTACCTTCTCTGACATGCAGCTACGAGAGCTGCGCGTCTCATGGTTTAATTGCTCATCACCGTCTTTCTTCTTGGAGCCCATAGCGGCCTATGGCCTATGCAGGACTGCGATGCTGAAGAATCACGTTTATGGCTCGTGCGCACCCGGGTGGACGGCATTCTTGATCTCTTCTCACCTTCCTTGGCCGCGGACCAACGTGCCCTCGCTCTTCCTTGCGGTGAGACGGGGACCCGATCACGCCATGGAGATGGACTCCTCCAGAGTCTAGGGGAGTCCTCCCGTCGCCAAGTGGGAGGAGCCCCGGACGGAGAACATCGTCGGAGTCGCCCGCTGGCCCCTCTCTAGCCCGCAAAACCATAGAAAATACTATGCTGGTCGCTCTCGCCTTGGTTCTATCGCGACCGCCTCGCGGCTGAAGCAGGATCGGGATGGCGATCCATCGGGACTAACTCCATAGTAGCCAGGCCCCTCCTCGTTCTCCAGTTCCGCGTAGAATAGCCGATTTGAGGTAACCCGTGGGAACTGGAAATAGCGAGCTCTAGAAAGAATTATCAAAGTAAAAAGCAAATCACCCGTTTCAGTATGAGTACCGCGGGCATGCGCAAATCATAGCCGCGCCCTGTCCCAGGTGCTTGACAGCTTCAGGATGTAGATAGACTCTGCTGTGCCGAATACTCCACAAGAGTTGCTATACTGTATTCTCTTCGAGTCTTCGCGCCTTACACCCTACACCTTACAATAAGCACCGACAGATCGGGCATTTCAGCCAATAGAACGCGGTGACATGCCGTGAAGATCGAAATGGTCGGCTCTCTGGCGAACTTCCTCTTTCGGGTCGATCTCGGAGACGCCATCCGATCAGGATTGAGTCACGCCTTCTATGCTTCTATGGAGGATTCTGTATACTCGGGATATGGAATATGAAATTCTTTACTCCGTACTCCGTACTGAGATGGGTTCAAATCCCGGATTTGACTATCATTCGGCCAATTACTTTCCCTCTTCATTACTTTCTGAATCTAAATCTACGAAATATAAAATAGATTACACTCCTAATCTCGAACCATGCGCTCTCATTCAACCCTGCAAGCATCACACTATAACTCAGCTCGAGTCTTGCCAGAATTCATCATCACCCAAGAAATTGCGTATCCCATCCCATCCATCCTTTCCATATCCAAACCCCAACATCTCTCCTCCAACCCTCTATTGCACCATTGCACCCATACTAGACAAAATAACAACAAGAATACAACATGATAATATTAAAATAAATAAATAAATAAACGAAAATAAATAAACCCAAGAAAAGAAATATCCCCCGTCTCCCATTATCCATTCTCCATAGTCTATACCACCATCAAACTTTTCTAGTAACCCGGAAAACTCCCGGGTCCCCGCCCGCAACAAAGCGTGCCGCGCAGAAATTTTCTGTTAGGCCGGTCTTTCTCCCAGCGGTACATCGACTCGGCCCCTCCCTCACCCTTCTTTTTTGGCTTCGTTACCCAGTGAATGTTCTGTTTTTCCCCCTTCCACCCCACCTATGCCCAGAACTTTAGAACTTTATCCTGGGCCCGACGCAACGTGATGCTTAACAGCTCCGCCAGTGGCGGCGGCGGGTACGCGTGGTTTGTCCCTGGTTTACGTGTCTTCATAGGGACATTCGATCTTCGTGTAGGATTGTAGTTTAGGTCTTTTGTTAGGTAGAAATTGTGGAAAGATTATATACTGGTCTGTAGGTAGGAAATACCTAATGAGAATCATATATCCCTCTTTCACGTGCGAGCTAGTATATACCATATGGGACACGATAGTATGGAGTACAGTAGTTGAACAATCGCACAATAAGGCGGTGAACCTGGTCAAGCCCGATGGCGTGTTGGAATTCCACTTGACTGTTGTCCGTCGGGAAACTTGTAGGGTCTGGGTGAGGCTTTTTGAGTAATTTGCCGGGCCGATGGAGTCTCGGTGTGCCGGGTGGGTTTTTGGTTACACTATGGGAATGTGGGTGTGTGGACTGTGTCAGGTTGATGTGGATATTTTGTTTACATACTGGAGTATGTAAATGTAAAGTATCTTTGTGTGCATGTAGACCACTTGTCTAGATGTTGATCGTGATGATCTGCATCTGCTAGGTGGGGGATGGATGGCGTGGTTATGTTTCACGATGTATTTGCTGGAATCGGGCGTTTAGGGTTTGCAAATCATATGTCAAAAAGGTGTATTAGGTCCTTGATTGGATGTTGGGAATTGAGTCATGGTGGACCGCGATATTTTACCATTTTGACGTCAAAGGATGGCGCAAGACGAGATGATTCGATCCGAAAGTCTCGGCTACACGTCATCTTTAAAAATGACTTGGACGACTGTCGCTGGTGAATGCTCGCTATAGTAGATAGGCAGGATATGGTCAGTTATGAGGAGGCTATTGGCCATTATCAGTAACTTCTTCACTGTATACAAACTTTTCCTCGAGACCGGAAGAGAATTCAGGAATGCCACTAGAACTTTTTCATATACCCAATTAGGCAGGTACAACAGACAGGGCAGACCGACGGGGCAGACCGGCTAAACTTCTAGAATCTCGTTCGAAGATATCAAAGCCAGTTGGCTGACTGAGCAGAATCTTTCCTATGGATTGCACTTGAATTTAACGTATCTGAGGTCAGTGCTCCTAATCTGCAGGGCGGCCATTAAGCGCACGTCGATCCTGGAAAATAGCCTGATAACAGATCTCCCCGCATCAGCAGACCTCGTGGTCCTGATAAGGGCCACTTCACTGACAGCCATTGGATTCTTTCTATTTCAAGTATTTCCATAGATAAGAAACCCTACAAGGCACATGATTTAATCAATTTAAACTCAAATATCCTGTGACTCTCACAATGCCTCAATGAACCCCTGCCACGTGACCTTAATTCCGGGGGATCGTCCCGCAATTAGAATTCATCAATCTGAGCTTCCCCCTATTCCGGCACTACAAGCTTTCGGCCACCGTGTTCTTTCAACATGGACGAGTGATTCGCCCTCCAGACATTTTGTCTCCTTGGAACTGTAGGCTCGGTGCCTGTTCAGGTGTTTCCCATTCAATTGACTATCGACCTGTGTGTCTCCCGAAGATAGGCAGCTTCCGCGTTCGCCGCAATCCCATCTCCAACACCTCGACCAAGTGGGATGCTGGTTATACCCCACCGTGCCAGGGTCAACGGTTGAAACAGCGCATGCCTTGATCCACAATCCTCCGAGCCTAAAGCCATCGCCCTTACCTCTCGATCTGCCATCGAGATAAGCTTCAATTGAGAAAGTTTGGAGATCCGACACCCTCAAACACAGACGTCAATATAGACGTGGCTATCGCGTGAGCAAGGCCAACCATAGGCAACAGAGGATCGTGCCATTGCCTTGAATTGGATTTGCTGCCGTCTTCTTGATACCAGCTCCCTCCTTCCACAATGTCGCCATCATTCAATGTGACCGCGCTGGCGATTGCCATTGCCGCAGTCTTCCTCTTCTGGACCATCTCCTCCACGTCGTCACCTTTTACCCGCTCCTTCCCTAAACTCCGCAATAAACGCATCTGTCTCTTGATCGCCCATCCCGATGACGAGGCCATGTTCTTCTCGCCCACCGTGCTGGCGCTCACCAAGCCCGAGCTCGGAAACCACCTGAAAATTCTCTGCTTCAGCACTGGTACGTCATCACCACCACCAATTCCGGCCATTGAGTTTACCCAAGCATCTCAAAACACCAAACCATACCCCAAATCCAACAACAAATGTGCAATTCCACCGAGAAACACAGACTAACCACCATCCCTCTACCAACAGGCGACGCAGACGGCCTCGGCGAAACCCGCACAAAAGAACTCCAAAAATCCGCCCTCCTCCTCGGCGTCCGCGACGAATCCGACGTCTTCATCGTCGACGACCCCGCCCGCTTTCCCGACAGTATGACCGCAACCTGGGCCTCCGACCAAATAACCTCCCTCCTCGCCTCAGCCTTCTCCCCCGACCTCGCAGCAACGCTAAACGGCACCGCAAAGAAGAATCCCAAAAAGGCACCCACCGCCACAATCGACGTCCTCCTCACCTTCGACCAACACGGCATCAGCAACCACATTAACCACCGCTCGCTGTATCATGGCGCGGTGCATTTCCTGCGCACGCTAATGACGGATAAAGAGGGATTTAATTGTCCCGTGACGCTTTATACGTTGACGTCTACGTCTATGCTGCGCAAGTATGCTGGTGTGCTGGATGCGCCGTATTCGATGCTGTTGGGTGTTTTGGGGAATTTGTTTGGTGGGAAAAAGAGTGGGACTGATGATGGGCCTGCAAGGTTGTTGTTTGTTAGTTCGGTCGGGGAGTGGTTGACGGCGCAGTCGGCTATGGTGAGGGGTCATAAGAGTCAGATGGTCTGGTTCCGGTGGGGTTGGATTACTATCGGGAGGTATATGACTGTGAATGATTTGAAATGGGAGAAGGTCTAGTGTAGAACTGGAAGGGGTTTGTCTCTTTTTGTTGCTGCGTTATCGTGGCGAGGAGAGATGGGTGTATTTGTATGATTGGACGGATTTGAGTTCGTGGTTTGCGACTCTTGTACACAGTCTGCTACTCGGAAAGTTTCGAGAAGCTTATAATGAATATAATATGCTACTACATATCTGTACTACTAGTTTGATTAGAGTATCGATCCCAGGTCCTGCCAATCAGGCAGCTGAGGTGTGCATGTAGTGCTCCGGGCAGTAGAGCCCTGAATGTCTAACTGGAGGGCAATGCTTGAGCTCGATAGGCGTGGTCTAAAAATCAGCGAGATATCAAGCAATGATTTCTACTATGTTTTAAACAAAAGATTGATGAATGATACATTCTATTCAAGGCAGCTGGGTATACAGTACTATAATATGACCAAGCTCAAGCGCTTGGGACGCCCCTTCGTCACTCTAGCCATCCATCTTGGTGGGTATCAGCTAGAAAAAAACAACTCTACCAGTAGCGAACCATCTCAGCCCATCTAAATCCAGGATTGCTCATCCAACAAGAAAACACTCTTGCTCTCCCTCGGCTTAAGCATATCCAACGCCGCAAGACGACCATACAACCCACTATGAGGGTTCGTCTTCGTAGACAACTCATGCCCATCCGGATACTCAGTCCAAGTATTCCGCATTTTCTTCACAACCTCGTAAAACTCATCCGAAGAGCGTAATTGGAACAAAAACAGTCTATCCAGCGGTGCCGCCGTGCGATCCAAGTAGGGATGTCGCGCGGCAACATCATCCCATTTACCTTGCTCGGTCCAGGGAATCCGCATACCCGCATCGAAGAGTTGTTTCTGATCGGATTGGCGGCGTACGGGAATCCCGTTGTAAGCGGAGGTGTAATATCGACTGCCGAAGCCCTTAGCGCCGACTATTTCGATGTGACCCGTGTTTTCGCCGTAGAAGAGTTGGATTTTGCTGGGGATGAAGTCTACCCATTCTTCGAGCATTTTGGGTCGTTCTTGGTGGTGCCATTCTTTGTCTGAGATGTCTTTCCAGCTTGGGACGCGGACGGCGACGTACAAGACGCGCTGGAGGAGGTAGAGTTGTTGCCAGACTTCGAGTCGGATGATGTCGTAGGTTTGAATTGCTTCGGCGAGGATGGGAGTTCGGAATAACTCTGGATCCGGCCTTGTAGCCCCTTGTCGCATTTGTTGATGCGCGGCTTCAAGGGCCGGTGATAGACATCTCATTACGACTGTGCGTGCCTCGGCCTGTCGTTTCTGAGTTTGCTCTAAGAGATTGTATGCGCCGCGGATGTAGTCTTTGCAATCTTCCAGGCGACCGTTGTCAATGCTGGTGTTGATCATGAATCGCCATTCTTGTAGTGTCGGGGTCACATTGTAGGGCTCGGAGGTCATGGTGTCAAAGATTGATTGCACGATTTCGATGGAGACTCGGCCTACAGAGTTTGCCCATTCGGTATATTTCTCGGTTCTGCTCGTTTCCCTTGCTGATGATCGCTGGCGCGAGAGAACGTACGCTCGCTCGAATAGCTCGTGCCAGACTTTTGCGGGAATCGGGATATTGTATGAGGATGAGATGAACTGGACCGTTCGTATCGCGCCCGCAATGTCATTGTTCACTCCCAGGCCGTGGGCCACGGCAAACAGCAGATTCTCGGTCGGATGCAGTGCAGACCATTGGTCGTAGGGTGTTACTGGTGGCACCTTTGAATTGTCGGGCTCCAGCTTTAGAGCTTCGGTATCCACATTCCAAACTTCCTTCAGAATATGTTTCATCCCCCGGTTATGGCCTACCCGCGCTGCAGCGAGCATTAAGTTGATATACGTGCGCTCATCACCCAGGTGACCCTCGGCTTGCATCTCACCAAAAAGTCGTAGGGCAAACTTGCGAACACTCCTTTGCGCGGTTCCAAAGCCCTGCCATCCTAGCACTTGCTCCTCGCTGCGCCGCTTCCTATAACCTTTTGGAGACACGCGCATGCGGTAAGCTTCCCGTCCGGTATAGCAATGATCCCATACTTTTGCCTCCATGTAGTGGTTGTAGCACACCGTATCCGGAATCACTTCCATCTTACTCATAGTCTCCCAGACCTGATCCGCGAGATTGCCATTGCCCATGGACCGGGCGCAGTCCAGGAGGTGCGTAAATTCCGCCAATTGCAAGTTCTGACCGCTCGCTGTGCGATAGCGGACCACGGTGAACAAATCCTTTACGAAAGTATCAAAAATTTCCTCGGTACGCCGGAGGCCATTGACAAGCACGGCCCAGTTGTGTATGGGGTGGTGGAGGTCGCGGAAGGGCTCCACAAAATGGGTCGGGGAGAGAAGGTGGAGCGCCTCAAGGAAGACAGTCTGGGGTAGTGACCCGACCAGCCCCGCCGACCGTGGGTCAGTCATTGCTTTCATCACTTGATCGGGCTGGCCACTTTCAATGACGCGAATGAATTTCTCTGCATATTCGTGTTCTTGTTCGGGGGACTCCCAGGTGGGAAAGATGACTTCGGCTTCGAAAAGGGAGGCTTCGTCTGGTTCCTCCTGCTCTATGGCCTCGTGTGCGGAGTGGACAGTAGCGCTAAGATTGTTGTTTCTAGTATTGAATTCGCGGACGGTGTCGTTGGGATGAGTGTCGCGTCTGCGTTGATGACGGGAGGAGGACAATGGCTGAGAAGATGATGAGCTTAGAGAGGAGACTGCTCTTGTGCGCCCGGTGGGATTGACCACCCTGTGTCGCGTGGTGGAGTTGTAGACATGGAGACGGCAGTCTAATGCTCTCGGTCGGGATGGATATAGCCAGGGAGAGGAGAGTCTCTCGCCGGCACGGATTGTCCTCCTCATGACTGCAAAAAAGATGAAGGAAAGAAGATGGAAGTCGCACAATGACAAGACGCGAAGAAAGAAATAGAAATGCAGGGGGGAGAGAGAATGAGGGGGTGCGCATCGACTCCGGCCACGCCAGTCCAGTCCAGTCTGGGGGAGGGGGTCCCTGCAGATGCTACGTAAGTACATTATATATACTTAATTACGACAGGTACTTGTGTGCGACTGGGCAGACCTTAGTTAATGGTTGACCTTGAAGTACCATACTGCCTGTCTAGCTCAAGGAGTGGTCTCACCTACTGAGGACTCTATTTTCGTTCTTGATAAATACTACAGAAGCAAGAGTTGACTACAGTCTGCACATTGATTAGGTGGGCCCGTAGTGGAGAGTGGAGGAAGAGTGGAGTCAATCAACAACTGGGGAAAAGTCAACGGGAAGTTCGAAATTCGGGGTGCCTGGGGCCTGGGGTGGCTAGGGACTCGGTTAATCTATAGTTCCGGTCAGCAACAAACAACCAACTAAGAACTGAGTCCTACCTCTAGGTATTGAGGTAATTCGTGGTTCATTATTGTGGGTATATTCGTAGGTAACTATGTATAACAACTATTACATTTGGCGTCCCTTTACTCCACCATTATGCGTGAACTGCTGATTACATAGAGATAGGTTCTATGGCAATTCGGAAGTGTTCTCCCCAGTAGGCAACTGGTGATAATACACTGGATCTGCATGCAGCTCATTCCAAGGCCTCGACAGTGTAGCCGCCAGTTCTGCCGGAGGACGGCCACGACCTGCGAGTTCCGCGACGTTAGCTTTTTGACCGGACAGCTGATGAATTTGCTGGTTTCCGTCGAGTCCGTTGTTATATTCTGCGCATGATGTTCGCTGATCGCCATCGGGTAGCTGATGGACATCCTGGCTGCCGTCAAGTTCATTGTTATATCCCACCCGTGATGTTCTTTGGTTTCCATGGTCAGGTAGTTGGTGGACATCCTGCCTCGCGTCTAGTTCGTTCTTATATTCTACCCATGGTGTTGTCTCATCGCCATGGTCAGAGGGCCCCGGCCCGTCCCGGGGCAGAGGCTGCTGTTGGTCTCGATCTGGGACATCTCGGTTTCGCTTTCGGCTTCTCCTGGGGATCACGATTACCATAACGAGAACCAACAGAACACCAACCCCAACGCCAGAACCAATGCCTGCCTTGGCCCCCGTGCTCAATCCCGACGCTGTTGAGGAGCCGCTGCTCGAACTGCTATCACTGGAGAGGAGAGATGATGAACCGAGTGTGGACGAGGATGTCGGGGTGCTGTTACTGCCACTGTTGCTATTTCCGCTCACTTGCCGAGTCGCAGTCGCGGTCGCCGTGACGGTATTCCCACTGATCGTTCCAGTCGCGCTGGAAGCACTCTTTATGCTTGTAGCTTTGTCACGGTCAGACACGGGGTGTCAACACCAATAATCGGCGTCGCTTGGGCATGGTTACCTGCTGTTGTACTCGAAATTTCAAAGATAGTGGAGCATGCGCTCGTAGACACAGGTGTGAAAGCAGCGCCAGCTCTAGAACGCACCCGTTATCAGTTGGTCGTTCTATGTATGCCATTCACTACAAGTACTTACGCGGCACAACTCGCGGCGGCGGCATCCGTGAGACCTAAGCCAATGTTTAGCCATTTGTATTAATCCCTGGATTGCATCTCTCTTACTTGAGACATTGCTCGAATCACAGAGCTCCCGTACGCAGCATATGTACGTTTCGTGGAATATCTCGCTCTGACAAAAGCAGAAAAAGTCATCTGTGTTGCATGTTGCGACGGTCTTCCCCTCGATTTGGCATGTTTCCTATGATCAAGTCCTTATCAGCAGTCGCATTTGTGAGAAAGCTGCCAGGGATCGAACCGAGCATGCTAGTGTCGAGTTTAAAAATTGCGGCTGAACCAGCTTCGCGAAAAGCAGTAGATATAGGAGATAGAGATGCTGGGCCATGTGTTGGAGCGAGCCAGTGGAAATCAAGGAAAGGGAGTTCAAGTAAAAAAGTAAATTGTAAGAAAACGGAAAATAGATTTCAAGGATGGGGAAGCGCCGCAACTATGACTACTTTTGTTGATTATGCCTCACTACATGGGGTAGTAGACCAGCAGTCAACAATTCGTTTTACTGTTTTGGCTTTTGATATCTAAACCCTGAATGGAAGGGAAATCTACTCCATACATCAAATAAAGGAATCTTAGACGAGGCCAATAGCTCTCATTGGTCTCATTTACAGTAGCGTCGGGCTCGACAAAAGCCTTTGAGGGGCTTAGCGGACCTTCAGCCTCAATGGTTAGCTCAAATAGAGCTTCGGGCCGCACTCTTTTACCATGGATCCAAATGCCAAGATCCGACCGTAGATACCATACATAGAATAAATTCTTGGATATCATTGAAGCACAGAGCACTTGGAAGGAACGGTATATCTCAAAGAACGATGAAAGCAGGCAAGTCGTGACAACCATACTCAATCGAGTTCGGACTCCGGAGATTAAGGGCCAGACTACTTGAAGATGTTGGCCGATCGTGCATTTTAGCCTAACGGTTCTGCCTTGTCACGAGGAACGGGCATATTCCACCATTGAGCTGCATGTCTAAGGAGCAACCTGTGGCTAGGGAGGCAGTTCTTCTGTTAATCTGATGAGGCTACTATGCCGTATTTCCGGACCTTGACCCTGGTCCTCCAGGGGCCATTCCAGGGTCAATAATAATAAGTAGCAACAGTGAGTGAACGGTGAACTTCACTTGGGGGGGGCCATTATTGGCGCTTTCCTAGATCTGTACAGCTTAGGCGAGATCGGGTTCTATTCGAGCGCCACAAAGGCTCCACCCCTGGTAGCAAGAACTGAAAACTGAAGCGATTGGATATGAAGGCCTGACTTCCTACAACTTGGAGACTGCCACCACCGAACTTGATAAGCAGGAACCAAATCAGTCACCGAGATAATATTCACTGAATAATTAATGAATTGGAAACTGGAACCATACCCCACTGGCTTACATTTCACAACAAACCCCTCTTGGAGGTGGACCCAATCAGCGCCTCCATATCAATGGCTTATTTAGAATAAGCCGCACAGCTGAAAGCTTGGTCCCTGCCGAGTACGCCCTGTTATGCTCTTATGCTCTTTTCATTGTCACTGGGGACTCAAGTTCTATCTACCCCGATGGAGATTGGGGTAGTCTGCAGGCTACATGACGGGGGTATAAGAGGAGATTGATCCCGGACTCTTCCCTTGAACACAAACTGCGCCAATTCACAAAATGCTCTCTGGGACAATTCTCGTTTCGTTGATAGCCCTAGGGGTTGTCAATGTTGCTCTTGCACAGACCAATATTACTGCCAATGTCTGCGCAGACCCCTCTGCCTTTACCAGCTGCATAGCACAAGCCACCACGGCGAGTAAGGGGTGCATGGACATATGCAATGGAAACAATATCTGTGTTCTCGGGTGCGGATGTGCCATGTACCAGTCCTACATCAATTGCGTGGCCGAGTCATGCTGGAACCAGGTACGTTATTTGAGTTACGACCTTCCTTGACTGCTTCTGATACGTTCTATAGGTCTACTCCTGTGAATATGATGAATTGATCGCAGATTACTTTGTCAATTGTCCCGCAGCCACCGAACCAGTTCCATTCTGGCCAGCACCAGACAATGCTCCCGGCGGCTGCTCGTGCAATCTCGGCAAGGTGTTGCACTCGGTCATGAAAGCGGAACAGGGGTATAACAGTTGCATCACGAACAACACCTCCACCTCGATCGTCCAGTTGAGCAATAAAAACACTGCATGTGGATGTTGCGAGGTTAGCGCCGGGCTATCAGCGTATGTACTCCCTCTACGTTCCTCGACCTCACTCATACTAATGAAACAATATCTAGTATGTACGAAACCTGCCCAGACACAATCCCATCCGCCATGGGTGCAGACAGCTGGCTCAAGACAGCAACCCTATATGGCGAGCTGATCAACTGGGGCACCTGTGGGAGTGTTCTTGACAAGTACAGCTGCCCGAATCTAGGCTTTGCGCCTCCATCGTCCAACTCCAGTACCTTCTATAACCCGAATAATCTTCCTCCGAACGGTACATACACGCTGTATAATACTGGCGGTGTGAATGCGCTTACTGCGCCGGCTAGTGGGTCGGTGTTTACCTGGTCGCAGACCAGCGTGACGTATACGGTGACTGCGTCGCCATGGAAGAATTCTGCGGTCAAGGCGACTGCGGCTGGTACCTCTGGTGGTTCTGTTGCTTCGGGGACTGCTGCAGCTGCTGGGGCTACGAAGACTTCGGGTGGAGCGAGTTTATCGTTGCAGCTACCAAGTGTTGTGGTTTGGTTATCGGTGCTAGGTGTTCTCGCCAAGATGGTGCTTATTTAATCAAGTGATGGATAGGTTGCCGGGCTGAATGAGATGCTATGGCACCTGAGATGGTGTTAAGATGTGCCCAAGGCGTATGACTGTCTAGTTAGTTCAATCTGTAGGTCTCGTTGACTCGTTGGAGCCTTAAACCTCGTGCCAGGACCAGCAAATCCCATATGACTAGCCTAGATAAGGTTTGTACGAAATGATGTCCAGCCATGTCAGATGAGGCGCATGAAAGCAGTACCACGGATTCATTGAATTTGACACTACCATTACTCTCTGTCTCACAGTTGGATGACTGGCTTTGCATGATTTGATCAATTCTGTTTCCATTGATACCTCAAAACCCGGGGTAAATAGCGATGACTCAGCAATCCCCTCCACCACGGCGCTAGTCCCAATCAGGCAGCGGACAGAGCTCGCCGATTCTGATCTCCCGCGCGAGCTCGAAACTCGGTGGTCAGTGTGAACATTATTGCCCACCACTCACAAAATGGCTGACACCGAAGATGTTGGTGCCTCCGTATCGGAGCCCCTCGACCTTGTCCGTCTATCCCTGGACGAAATTGTGTTTGTGAAGCTGCGCGGTGACCGTGAATTGAAGGGCCGCCTTCACGTGAGCTCCCCTCCCTACCCAGTCATGTCCCATGCCTGGCTTGATGATTGATCGCGATGACTCTACAGGCATATGACAGCCACTGCAACCTTGTTTTGGGTGACGTGGAAGAGACCATCTACGTGGTGGAGGAAGATGAGAATGAGCAAGAGATCACAAGGGTAGGGCGCACTTGCGGATATCGTGGATGAAGGGTCGCTAACTAGAGGCTGTTTCGGCACTGACAGACAATTAAGAAGCAAGAAGAGATGCTATTTGTGCGAGGTAAGTCGCTACTCAATCTCGGACTCAAGTCTATTTACTGACGCAGTCTGGTCAACTCTAGGTGATTCCGTCGTTTTGATCTCTCCCCAGGCCTGATCAGCCACCCACGAATTGATAGAGGAATCGGCGTCGGGCGAGAAAATACCTGCAGGGAAGGAATGGAGGAAAATACCGTCCACATACGATCCCGTCGCATAGATATGAGACCATGAAATTGGTTTATGACCCATCCATACCAGTTCTCCTCTCGTAGCTGTGCCCCTCGCAGAGCCGCAAGGCTGTACTACTCTCTGAATGGTGACTCTAGCACCTTCTCCCTGCTCCACCTTTCGCTGTTAGTCACAGCGCCAGTTCTTTTGGGTTCTAAAGTAGTTTCCATTGGGGCGCAGCACCTGATGGAAGACTTCCCAAGTGATCGGGCGGCTGTTTTGGGTAAGTAGTTAACCTTAGTTAACCTTAGTGGTGGTCGGTTCTCGATGACTCAAGCAAGTGACTCGACCTTCTTTATCGATAAAGCTGGGGTCCGCCCCCTTCGAAATTATCGACTCTTTTCTGTTCACCACTTTCTTTCTACCGGTTTATTCTCAATGCTCTGATCTGATTCCAGCAGATTCACTCCTCTACGATACTCTGTTCTTCTAAATTAAAGAGCAGCGTCAAGCGATGATCCTTCGAATACACATCTGAACTTCCGCCAGAGCCTAAAGGCGAGAGATCCACCCCGAACCGCCCGCAACGTCACTACCCCAAGGAGCGGTTCACCGTCATTCGACACGAACCCAATTTAACTACTTCCTCTACGATCCAACCCCACACAAACATGCCCCAACTGAAACCAAAAACAAACGCCGAGGAGAGGAAACGAGGCGAGATCGTACGTATCCCACGATTGTAGCGCTAAGCGGGGCCCCTACTCACATGATCACCAGGCGCTCAGCGAGTTCGCCGAGTACGCTGAAAAGCAGCAAGCGCATCGCTCTGCCGTGCCAGTCCCGCCCAGCGACAGCGGATACGAGACCGGAAGCGTGTCGCGCGATGTCGAGGACCATGCGGAACTCGACATCCTCGACCAGCTCGGCCTTTCGGATGCACCCCGCACCGTCAAGCTGAAGGAGCTCCTCCTCGGAACGGGGGACTCGACAGCTGAAGATAGTCTACAAGTACTTGCCTCAACGATACAAACGCGAATCGATGAAGGTCATGGAGAGACGATATTCGATTTGGGTCTCGAAGATGGTGGCGATTCAATGGGCTTTGACCTTGCGCAATGGGAGACGGCGCTGCAGCGTCTACGGGAAGCTGCAGAGACGATACCTGCACACTGCCGAATACTGCTCACGTATAATGTCGGCGGTGCTCAGGAATCGCCCGTGAAAAGTGACCGTATCAAGGGTGCATGGGGCAAGGTTCTGATTCGCCAGGTTGCGACCAATATCGAGGAGGTGGGGGAACTGCGCATTGCGGTCGTGGGCAATGTCGACGCGGGTAAGAGTACCATGCTTGGTGTGCTGGTAAAAGGCAGCCTAGACGATGGACGTGGCCGAGCGCGAATCAATCTCTTCCGTCACAAGCACGAGATTGAGAGCGGGCGAACCAGCTCCGTTGGTATGGAGATTATGGGCTTCGACAGCCACGGCGACATCGTGGGTCACACTGGAGGCCGGAAACTCTCTTGGGAGGAGATTGGGAAGCGCTCTGCTAAAGTCATCTCCTTCTCTGACCTTGCTGGCCACGAGCGTTACCTGCGCACCACCGTCTTCGGCATGTTGAGCAGCAGCCCTAACTACTGTTTACTTATGGTTGCTGCCAATAACGGCTTGATTGGCATGAGCCGTGAGCACCTGGGAATTGCCCTGGCGCTGAACGTTCCTGTCATGGTGATTGTCACCAAAATTGACATCTGTCCGCCTCAAATCCTCCAGGAGACTCTGTCTCAATTGGCAAAGATCTTGAAGTCGCCTGGTGCGCGCAAGATTCCCATTTTTGTCAAGGATATGGAAGAAACCATCAACACGGCGACCCAGTTCGTCAGCCAGCGGATCTGCCCTATCTTCCAAGTCTCTAATGTTACCGGCGAGAATTTGGAGCTTGTTCGAACATTCCTGAATATTCTCCCCCACCGAGGCCACTACGACCAGGAAGCTCCATTCGAGTTTCTGATCAATGATACTTTCTCGGTGCCTCACGTAGGCACAGTTGTGTCGGGGGTGGTCAAGTCCGGTGTCATTCACGCGGGCGACTCGGTAGTGGTCGGGCCGGACTCGCTTGGCCAGTTCACCACGACTACGATCAAGACTATCGAGCGCAAGCGAATACAAGTCAACGCTTGCTTCGCGGGCCAGTCTGGCTCGTTCGCCCTAAAACGCGTTCGCCGCAAGGAAGTTCGCAAGGGCATGGTAGTACTCAAGAAGATGGACAATCCTCCCAAAGTGTACCGCGAATTCGTGGCTGAGGGTAAGCTATCGTAGTCTGATTTGTTATTGTTAGCCTTTTGTGACACCTTCATAACCTGCCATTCTAGTTCTGATCCTGTCTCACGCAACCACCATCAAGCCCAAGTACCAGGCCATGCTGCACGTTGGAGCGGTCAGCCAAACCTGTGCAGTGATCGACATCGATCGCCCCTTCATCAGAACTGGCGACCGCGCCCTCGTGGCGTTCCGCTTCATCCAGCGGCCCGAGTTCCTTGCGCCTGGCGATCGTGTCCTTTTCCGGGAGGGTAAGACTAAAGGTCTGGGCATTGTGAAGAGCATTGGCTATGATCCTGCACATCCTCTGAATCCCGACTTAGTAAAGAAAGAGGGTGAGGGTAGTTCGGAGAAAGGGAAAGAGGAAACGAAAGAGAAAGCTGAGGAAGCGACTTAAGGGATGACTGCATTACGGAGTACGTAGTACGGAGTACGTAGTTTTATGGTGGTTATGTTGTTGATTCCCAATTTTTATTTTTAGTTGTTTTTTTTGGACTGCTCCAGTGTTAGCCCTTGTCTCTACACGAACATACATATCGCTAGGAAGTGTCCAGTAGTATTGTTTTCACTATACGAGTTCCAGTCTTCAGTCTTGTTCCATCCCAGTTTATACTCGATCACGTGACATGACGTCAGATGATGCCATCCGTCCATCTCGATCATCGAGAGGATCCGCCCGATATTCGCCATCCAATCAATTCCCCAATACAACCAATGACCACCATCATTGAACAAATCACACATCAATTCCTTCAATAAGATTCTCATCTGCAGTCTTCTCCGTATATCCTGGGCACCACTGACGTAGTTCTTTGGATCCGGGCCTCCTTGCGGCGCCCCGGCCCACATCCTTACTCTTACTGCAGACGCCAGCTAATCTATTCCCCCAGCCATTGATGACATCTTGACCTACTCGAAACAGCTGCCCTTTATCTATACTCTCCTCCACTTGTCCTACCCCTCCTATCTAGTGCCTTTTAAATCCTGCTTAAGTCTCCTGGCTCCTTGGGTTTCTCTACATATTTTATTATCTACACAATCATCTATACTCTCCACCATACATCCCTATATCATCAATTCTAGCCCAAGATGGACGCCGTTAACAAAGTCGTCAATGCAGCCACGGCTGCTCTCTGGGGTGACGGCAGCACAGCCCAACAGCAGACCACACCACACGGCGAAGAGCCTATCGCCGGTGTCCAAGGCAAGGGTAACTTCAACGACCCATTCGACGCCGGTAACCGCGAAGGTAAGTCCCAATATCTACATCTACACCTACACCTCGTCCTTTAAGAGGATGCAATCCAGCCACCCAACAATAACTCAAAATAAGCTAATCAATCCCCATTCTATCAGAACAACCTCAAGCACCACCATCAGACGGAAACACCGCTCAACAAGAGCCGCGTCTAGACGGCGCAAAGACAGATCCAACCCGCAAGGATCTAATCGCGGATATAAAGACCGACAACGACGTCGATCAAGAGAAAACTAGCCCCACCGCACCAATCCTCGCACCATCGACTTTTACTTCTCCTGCCTTCTCACCTGTCCCTGTAACGGGAGCAGCAGCATCGTCAAGCGCGACACCCGCCGAAGCAGGTGGAAGTCGTGCCGCCGTCACCGGCGAGCCTAAGACCACTGAGCATGAGCAGCGTACCACTGAAAGCACCTCAGGGCAGAGTAGCCAGGTCCCTCACCCGGCTAAGCACCACGAGGCGAGCGAGGAGGCACTCAAAGGTCCGCAGGGCCCGGCGCCCTTTTGTGCGGAGGACTTTGAGAAGGAGGCCAAGGGGATGAAGCCCGTGAAGACGGGTGGTGGTCCGGTTCAAAATGGGTCGTCGAAGAGTAGTGAGAAGACTTCTCATGGGAATGGGAATGGGAAGCATAGCCCACTGCATAAGATGAAGGAGAAGTTGAGTAAGGTTGTGCATCCTGGTCATGGTAGTCACAAGGCATAAACTTGCGGATGGATGATGTACTGGATAATTGGATTGATGAGTTGATGTTTTGTGTTTCGTTTGATTGAATTATATCCCCGATGTCTGTTGTTATGACTACTATCGTCTATGCCTTCTCGGTCTTGTGGTTTTCTATTGACTTTGACTTTGACGTCTCTGCTTGATGTATTATTAGGCAATGAAAGCTTTCTGGACTGAATGTTCCCTACCGGGTGTGCCCTTGGCGCTTTGTTACTACAACTGAAGTGAAGCGAAGGAAGAGGATAGAGCAGTAATTTCTATGTTTGTCGCTGAGATAGAACGACCTTGAATAGACGACATGACTTTTCCACCATTCATAACACCACAAAGAGGGTATCCGTCCAGGCCAGATATGTAAGAAGCCCTATATACCCAAGAATGCGGCAATGCCAGCCGTGACATTGAAACTCCCAGATTATTACTCGAACAGCAGTCTCAACTCCTCAATGCGATCCTTCTTCTTATCGTCTTCCCCTTCGTCACCACCCACGCGCAGGCCAAGTGAACCAGCGATGTTCATCTTCCGCTCCTGCACACGGAGCATCCGGCCTTCAATCGAATCCTTAACGATGAACCGTGTCACAGACACATCACGCAGCTGACCCATTCGGTGGACGCGGTCAATGGCCTGTGCCTCGATGGCAAAGCTCCACCACGGATCCATGACAAAGACGTTACTGGCGACGGTGAGATTGAGACCGACACCACCGGCACGAAGCGAGATAAGCAGCACTCTCGGCGTAGGCTCGGAATTGCTCGATTTCGAAGCTGAAGGGCCAGTACGTGATGGCGTTTCGTCCTCAGTGTCGATGATCTCGTCCGTGTACTCCTCCATCTTAGTGAATTGAGCCAGGACTGCAGCGCGAGCTTTCTGCGGCATGGACCCGTCGAGGCGGAGATGGGTGATACCCACTTTGGAAAGCTGGGGACCGATGAGATCCAGGAATGAGGTGAACTGCGAGAATACGACTGATTTGGTGCCTGGTGGAACTTTGGAGAGACCGTTGATTAAGGCGTGGATCTTTGCTGAGGTGTGCGCCGAGGGAGAGAGGGGGTTGATACGGCGAAGAGAGATGCGAGGGGCATGCTGGGAGGCTGATGGTGGAGTGTCGCTACCAGCAGAATCCTCCATGGGCGTGGCGAAATGGGAGAGCGGGTGCTTTACGACTTCGAAGATATCTCGGGCATCGACATCTGCACGGCACGAGAAGCAGCGAGCCTGTACGCCTTTGTTCATTTGATGCCGTACAAAATCATCGAGGCATTTCTTGCATGCGCTGTGCCAGCAGGCCGTCACCGCGGGGTCGATCATCGGCTCCTCGCAACAAATTGGACATTCTCCACTAGACTCGGTTTGAATCTGCCGGAGAGCGTGCGCTGTAAACTTGACAGACCGATCTTCGGTTTCTGCATTCTCTGTCGATGCCGTGAACTGGTTGATCAGCTCTTGCAGGTCCATGTCATCCTTCAGATTATTGGTAGCATCGAGAACTGCAGCAGCATTTTCTTCATCGGCAACGATGTCCTTGTTACGGGTGAGGATAGGATGACAGCAGGTCTGGCGGAGGCGAAGTAGCTGAGCAAAGATGGTAGTGTATGACTTAAGGAGGGTGCCCGCTTCGACATTGTCGTTATACGTTCTCTTGGCACGAGTGTAAATGCAGTCGTAAATTTCCCGTTCTTGTTCCGAGAGCTCAACCTCCTCGATGGTGACGGTACGTTTTGGCAAGGGGACCAGAGGTTCGCCTTCCGGTGTCTTCATTGTTTTCGTTCGACGAAGCACAAGAGGCTCCAAGACACTTTGGACTACATTGAGGGCGCGGACGAATTCCTTGTTCTCGAACGGCACGGTGATGAACGTTTTCCAGAAGGAGAAGTTGCTCCACGGTTCCACCTTCAGGAATCGCACTAGACTGAAGAGGTCCTCCAGACGGTTGACAATTGGCGTACCCGTGAGAACCCATCGATGAATTGCCTGAATTTCGTAACATGCTCTGGCAGACTTCGAGCGGCGGTTTTTGATCATATGGGCTTCATCTAGAATGACACGGAAGAATTCAACGGAGAAGAGGCCACCATGGGCAGTGGGGGCGAGCGAAGATTGCGCTGCAAATTGGCGGAATTCTGAGAGTACAACACCGTAGCTGGTGACAATGACATGGGGCGCGGCTGCATAATTGGCCTCGCAGCAGAGATCACGTAGATTGACATTTTTGTCAGCGCCGTAGTAGAGGAGAGTTCTCATAGAACCACGCTCGGAGGCTTTCAACGCTTCGCTCTCCCATTGAGACAGTAGTGACGTTGGCGCAACAACAAGCGTGGTATAGGGCGCGGGGACCACACCAGTGGATGAGGTAGGAACCCGCGCAAGGTCGTTTACAGAGTTCATACCGTCTGAAGCCCCAGATGGAGGCTCGGATTTGTGGGAGTGGACAAGACTAAGCATTTCGATGGTCTTTCCAAGGCCCATCTCGTCAGCGAGAACACCGCCAAGGCAGTGTTGCTCTTGGGCAGGGAAATCAACACTCAGGTCGCCCGAGTAAGGATTGACATAAAAGTGGTCTATGCCTTCGACAGAGGGTAGGTCTTTGTCATCAACATCCTTGGTGGGCCAAGTGTACGCCTCCCACAAAGGATGCATGGACCTCTCACGAGCTTCTTTCTTGTCCTTTTCCTTCGACAACATCCAGAATAGAGCCTGCTTTTGATACTTGCGGAGATTCATTTTAAAGGTCGCAGCAGGCTCAGCCTCTGGCATGCTGAAGTCGAAGGATTGGGCCTTGCGATACAAGGTATCAAGCTGGTCTTCTTCTAATTCGGCGGTATCGTCTTCTGAGGACGAGTCATTGGGATCTTTGTTGGATTTTGATTTCTCTTTCTCCTTCTTGACTCCGTCGTATTTCTCTGCCATTTCAGCCGCGCGGAGTAAGCCATCTCGTTTGTGCTTTTCCGTCGTGGGATTGGTGGAGGTTGGATGGAGATTGATTTCATGGAATAGTTTCACGAGAGCTACTTGTCGAAGACGCAGGTTCTTTTCTTCTGTGCTCTCCTTCTCTTCAAATAGGCCCATGGATCGATTGTCATCAACAGTTCCCATAAAAGGACCACGCTGAAATGCTTCCCGGCGCAGATAACATTTCAACTGTATGTAGATCGTATCGTTCACTCGTACTCTGTCCGGGATAAAGACACAAACTCCCTCAAACTGACACAGCTTTTGATCAATCAGAGTTGAAACCCATTCGGCCGTCTCATGGGGAAGTCTTCCAATCTCCTGCCCGGCAGAATTCGTGAAACGGGTCAGAACATCCCCCTTATTGTTTGTGAAAAGCTTGCCTCCACGGCCACGTTTTGCAACGGGCTGCGACCGGGCACGTTCAATATTGACCGGATCTCCATGTTTGAGAAGCGCCAGTCCACTCCTCGTGGCCCAGCCTCCTACACCAAAGGCTCCTATATATCGCGCGGCCGGTTGCCTTTGCAAGACGGAGGCATGCTCGTTTGAGGTATCCGGGGTATTGGCAGTTGGAATGGCCGTCAATGTTGTACTCGGAGTAGATAATACTGGAAGAGCTTGCCGTATTGTCGTAGTGCCCCTACTAATGCTCGCCTTGGCAGGCTTCTTCCACGATCCATCGAAGAATATGTTGACCGCTCGCTCCACGTTGTTTGACGAGGCGGATTGGATGATCTTCAACGATTCAATAGGCAAGGTTTCTCCAATGATGCTGAAGAATAGATCTGCATCGAAACCGTTCGATGATGAGGACTGTGTCGGTGGAGGCGCGCTTGCTTCGCTGGGGGCTGGCCTGCTGTGCAGCGGGGATGTCGTCGTTGATGGATCCCCTGCTGTGTCATGCCTAGGAGTTTCTGTGGATGATAGCCCATTGATAGGGCTTGTTAGTCCACAGGCCGCTGTACCACCCTTGGAAGGGGTCTCTGGAAGGTTGGTCTGGCCAGCCTGCTCGTCCAGGCTAGGGAAATGGCGAGGCAAAGACGCGTCTCCGATCCCCGCAGTGGAATCTGGCGAGGAAAGGGAGCTGTCAACGAAGAAGCGTTGCCTTTTCGCTGGCCGGTGCTCCAGATCCTCGTTCATAATCGTGGTTGACACATTCGAGTTGAGTTGAAGAGAAGAAAAAGAAGAGTTGGGGAGACGCGCCGAGAAACGCGAAACGGGCGCGATCGACGTCAGCGTCCCCAAAAAGTCAAATTTCAATTAACCGCGGAATCAAGCTTGAGCTGTGCTAGGCTATGATAGATTACCAAGCCTACTTTACTCAAAAAGTATTTGACCGTATCCTACAATCTTTTATTTGTAAATCATTGGCCTCTAATATCAATTATTCCTTTATTTAGTGGACTAAAAGGCCCACGCCGTGGACCAATACTCTCGGGCGGATTACATTTCTCTCGGCGCAACTTCAACTTCACCTTGACCTTTGTACACCTCTCCAATGTCATTCCTCGCCCAAGTCGCCCAGCCATGTCGGGCCACAACGACATGTCGACTCATATCCAGGGCCGCATGGCCTCAAAGAAGGCAGTTCAGTCGAACTGGACCGGTCTCCGCACCTCTCACGGCGGAGGAAGTTCAAGGAGCGCATAAATACTGCGTTTCTCTTCTCTCGTATGCGACACCCTGCCTTCTTCACCGAAACGATTCCTTCGTTAGAATCAATTATCTCGAGAGAATAAAAAGCTAACAAAAGCTACACTAATTCCAGAAAATATGACCGACCCTCCTATACCCTGAGCACCTTCATCCCACCCCACGCCCGCTCTTTCTACATCGCCCTGCGCGCATTAAACGTCTCCCTCTCCATGATCCCCGAGACCACATCCTCGCCCACGATCGGACTCATGCGCCTGCAGTTCTGGCGCGACGCAATCACCAAAATCCTCGCCGGCGCCCCACCCAAGGAACCCGTTGCGATCCTCCTCGCCTCCGCCATCTCCGAGCTCAACGAGCGCACCCAGGGCAGCGCGAGGATCACCAAGGGCTGGCTCACTCGGCTGATCAATGCGCGGGAGCAGACACTCACTAATGACCCCTACCCGAATATCGCGGCCCTCGAGTCGTATGCCGAGAATACTTACTCTACTTTGATGTACCTGACGCTAGCCGCATTGCCGATGACATCTGTGACGGCGGATCATGTGGCATCGCACATTGGCAAGGCGGTGGGTATTGCGGCTGTTTTGCGAGGTTTGCCGTTGGTTGCGTTCCCGCCGCCGACGCCTCAGTCTCCCAGTGGACCTCCCGGTGTTGGTGGTGGGGCTAAACAAGGTGCTGTGATGCTGCCGCTGGATATCATGTCGCAACATGGTGTCAAGGAAGAAGAGGTGTTGCGACGGGGTGCTGAGGCGGAGGGTCTTCGTGATGCGGTGTTTGCTGTTGCTACGCGGGCGAGTGATCATTTGATTACCGTTGATCAGATGTTGAGCAATCTTCGTGCTGGAAAGGATGTTGGACATGACTTCGAGCACGAGGGTGAGGAGGGTCATGAGTATGACACTTCGGCGCTTGTTGGGGCCCGGGGGAGTGAGACACCCTTGGATGAGGTCAACAGGGCATTTGGCGTTTTCATGCCTGCGATTGCTACACGTCTGTGGCTTGAGCGACTCCAGCAGTATGACTTTGACGTTTTCCGTCCTGAGCTGCTCAGTGGAGATTGGAGACTACCGTGGAAGGCTTACATGGCGTTCCGGCGCAAGAGCATTGAATGAGAAAATAGGTATAATCGTGTATATTACATGTGCTAATAGATACAAGCCCCAAGGATGGCTGGTGCCAACAACAATTGTACAAAAGACCAAAAGGGTCTCTCTGTTTCCCCCCGCCCGGGACACATGACAAAGTCATAGCAAAGGACAAAGCAATGCCCAGGTGCAAATCACCTCTTCTTCCTCTCCCGTCTCTGCTTCCGAGAGCTAACAATGAGTCGTCTCTGCGCGAGCATGACGGCATAACGTTGAATTTTGTCACGCATGAGCAAAAGAGTTGTGACAAAGACAAAGGGGACAGCGATCTTCCAAAAGTATCTGTCAAATGTATAAGCTTGCAGTCAAATGAGGTGGGGGTAGGAAAGACTTACGAGTCACTATGCTCGATTCCTGCAAAGTCTGTAAAGTTCATTCCGAAGTAACCCTAGGATCATGATCAGCGAGTGTGACGGCGATTACAAATGTATGAACAGCCACTACATACCGTCAAAAAGGTCATTGGTAGATAGAGGCAAGTAACAATGGTCAGTTGTTTCATGCTCTCATTCTGATAGGCTCCGATCGTGTTGAAAATCAAGTCAATCATGTTATCAGCTGCACGGCGCATTTGATCATATCCCTCCACAATCGTGATACAATGATCGAGAACATCCCCCAAATAGGTATGACACATTGAGCTAATCGTAACAGTCGATCCTCCAAAGCTTTTCAGGTTAGGGGTGATGGTACCGATCGTGGCAGGAGGTGGTTGGAGGTCAAATTCGCCGGGTGTAGAAGTTGGGCTGAACATCCCTTTTCGCAGAGCGCCAAAGCCTGGGGTACCAATTGGTTCGGATCGATGATCACGGAGTGCATTGATCACGGCTACCATTGGTTGCATCGAATTGCGCAGCACCGCGATTTCAGATGTAAGGATATAGAGACTTTTTGATTGGTCAATATCCGGATCGGTTAGGACTTCAAGTTCGAGGTCTCCGATTGCATCTTGATACGCCATGGTAACTGGTATAGCAAGATCAATGACAGCATCGAGAATAGCCTGCAGAAGCATACTGGCATCGCATGATTGTCGGAGAATCGTCTCCGGCGAGCTAAGTCGTCGGACAATAGGAGCTTCGATATCGTCTGCACTTGTTTCGAAGAATGATGTGACGGTGTTGTCGGCGTGCAGAAAGACCGAAACTTGTTCCAATGTAACACATAGACCCTTGGAAGCTAGCACAGCATGTCGTTCCATAAAATCGATTCGATCCTCATTCGGGCCACCGCGAAATCGCTGGAGAGTCCTGGCTGTTGCCGCCCGTGCAGGAGCAACATTTCCAAATTGAGACGCCCGCTTCGAATCTGATCGTCGCGGACCAGGACGAACGCTGGCCCCAACCGTTGCTTTCTCTTTATGCAGCTTTGATGGATTTTTTGACCGGAAAATATCTTTCAGGGCCTCGAGAATGAGATGTCGCTTGGTCAATCGCCTCGTCGACATTGAACTCTTGTCGCTGGCAACGGAGCTTTTGCGATCCTTGCGGCTCCATTCGTTTCCGTTGCCCTCGTCCTCCGAGTCACTACTATCGGCTTCTTGGATCTTCACCAGCTTCTGCAAAGTCAAGGCAACGAAAGCGTGGTCTGAGTACCAATCGGCTTTCGTGCGATTGGTAGTGTGGACGATGTCCTCGATCGCCAGTCGATGTAGCCCCTTGTGACTGCCGACGCATTTAATCACGTCCCAGCTCAACCCATTCACGTTGATCCAACGGCATTGTACCCATGGCTCTCGCTCCCGGGCGAGGAATTGCGGAAGGGTCTCGTTATCCAATTCATATTGTCGCATTTCATGCTGCGAAAAGTCGACCACGGTGATCTCGCTCTCTCGCTGCAGGTTGCCCGGCACGTTCGATGCCCATTCCGAGCTGTACGGGGGCAGAGGTTTTGTTGGGTCGATACCAGGTTCCGTACCTGGCTGCCAATTGATCTCACTCAAAAAGCCATCTGGATGGTATGATCGCGCGGTATTCGAGCGTCGCGCTCGGCGTCTCGCTGTATCGGTGGAGTTGACCCTGGCGGCCGCGGTGGTGAAGGCGTCTGTGACTGACCCCTCCCTTTTCATGGGCGAGATGGGGGAGCTTGGCGATTGCGGACCGGCTTCGAGGTCCACTACTTGGAGGATATCAGATTGAGGGGCGCGCTGCGCATAGTCGAGAGAGTGAACGCTCATGGTGACGGAGGTTGAGTCGGGTTATATGGTGTCGCGATGGTCGGATAGGGCGTTCTCATCGGTCTCGACCTGGCCCCTTGAGAAACACCGGACCAAAGACGCTGGTGGTAGTGGTTCATCAACTAAGAGAGCAAAACAAATCAGACCCTGGAAATCCTGTGACAACTGGTATTCAAAGTGGCTATCACCGCGACACAGTCATGGCAGGAACGGAAAACATGTCGGAGGTGGCTGCGGGGAAATGACGTTAAGGGGATGTGTATGTTGGACAGGATCCTGGATCGTCGCCCAACTGTAATTTCTGTCCGTCGGACTTGAAATTAGCTTTGCAGATAGTCCTTTGGTCTGTTCCTTCCTCGAGTAGACAGAAGAGAAGAAGTGCGAAGGTGTGAACAAAAGGTTGGAAGGTGGAAAGACCAGCCTGCGGTCCCAGAAATGCAGAAATGCTGGGCACGTCGGGTTCGGGCCAACAACATGGAGCCGGTGGTTCTTAACCAGCGGAATGCTCCTTCTGGGACAGTCCATCAATTTAACTAGTTTCTAATTTACAAAGCCAGGCGCAGTTGAGAAAATTTGGACTATTGTATGTATTATCAATCTGATAATGCATCGCTAGCACAATGCTGGTGGGTCAGTTGCTGCAGTCGGAGCTAATGGCTAATCCACACCATCCAGCCAGTCTGATGTGCTCGACAACTTGAGGGACTCCAGACAGTAAAGTTGTCAATGCCAGATGTCGAATGGTTGTCCGAGGAAGTTTCAGGACCCTAAGTCTCTTTCTCAAAATCCTCACTATTATTCCATTGCCGTTAAGGTTGCTATGGCCGATTCTATCATAGGTATTGCCTCACATGGAGCACCCGAGTGCATAAAGCGAACAACATCCAAACTCTTCGCAGCCACACCTAGCAAGTCATTCCTCTCCGTCGTAGTGCTATCAAAGGCAATGATGAGCAGTACCATCGTCGCAGCAATGAGACGGTGGTAGTGATAAGACCAGTCATCGACCCTCGCAGATACTTGGACCTGGTGGTCGAAAAAAACCTTGTGAACTAGCAAGATGGACTCTTGCGCAGCCCCAATGCACGTCTCTTTAGCTACAGCGGAAGAATTGAATTCCGTTTTAACCTCCTTGCCTACAAAGTACGGGCGATGCATAATCAGCATCATATGATTGAAGCCTAGTGAACGGTCAGGAAATCAGCGATGAATTGTAAGAGTCCATTGGTGACCCATGCAGCTCAATCTCAAAGCATTGCCGCTGCACCCAGGAAATATCCCCGTATGCCCGTAGGCCTTCAGTCAGCGCATTGTCTTGGTGCCGCAGATGTGGAGGAAGCTCTGTTCGCTAGTTTATCATATCTAAGCGACATTCCCTCATCTCGCTTACGAAGTCTCGCGAGACAGGTCCCAAGCCCCTTTGTTTGGATATCTGCGAATTTTGGTGAGTACGATTTCTCGAATGTTGTGTTCAATTGGAGTTCATACCAGATCACTGAATTTCCGAACGATCCGGCTGAATTTTGCCATCTCGATAATGTACGTGATTCCGCTGATGCTTGCGCCGGAGTCCTGCAACTAGGTTTAGTAGATAAACGAACAAATTATTCGTCCGTCATCAGGTCTCTCACGCATGTCTCTAGTGGATACAGCGCATTGGCATCGGACTCGCGAATACAGAGTGGCTTTCCGTACTCTACACAGAGATCCGATTCTAGACTATAAAGAGTCCATCAGGTTCTCCGTGCAACCTCCAAATCGATTCCAAAGTCAGCCTGGCCTGGCGTCCAATTCTCGTTGATTCAAAGTGAGTAGGCGTATCGGATAGCAAATCCAAGAAGATTCTAGGTAACTCTGACTAGAGGTGAGTCTCATACTCAGATGGTGTCTCTATTCAGACATACTGTGTGGTTTCGCAGAATGGTGAGCATAAATTGCCTACTGCATTGTCAGTATCTTTAATGACAAACGATGAGTTCGAGGTTGTACCACCAACATTGTAGCCTGTATAGTTACCAAACAGTTTGAGGCATACATAAATGGGAGAGTGTTTCCAGCCTCCATGAAGTGCCGCTCCCTCCATATAAAAATGGGAGCAGTAACGGTCGATAGAACGGATAGAAAGACGGGCGCACCCAGTGATAGAACGGAGTGGATGAGACACGTTTCTGGGAAAAGCAAATTAAGAAAGGGTGTTTTTTCGTCATCAACGTTAAGGATCTCAGAATCCCAACAGTGATTGTGGAAGGACCTCAACTTGTCTTTTCCCCAGAGAGGTACAATGTCGTAAGAGTTATCCGAAAAGGTTTGGAAGAAATTACCTGCTAGCACTCGCTCGATCGGGTCTTCACAGTGCATCGGATGAGTTGCGGTGATATAGTGTATCTCATTTGAGAGGGTTTGGATTCATCGTCCTTCGCTTTTAGGACACTTGGGGAGGGGTTTGACTTATTGGGCCCTACGCGTGCTCTTTTCCTGGGAGGTTCATCGGCGCCTCCTTGCCTTTCAGACCGATGAAGTCTTCTCTCTAGTTCTACCAGAACAGCAAAAGTGGAGGTAGTACCATAAAGGCTGTGGAATCCCCCCTTGGGATCAAAGGCCGGACCATAAGGTCGTTTGTGTGGGCTTGCGCCTTGCCTGGGCCCTGTTGCAATTTGACAGACCATACTAGGCGGGCTTGCCGACTCTTTTGCTTGGCGAGTCCTTTCATGGAACACTGCACGCTCGAGTTCCCCAACTCTCTCCGTGAGGGCGTCGATACCCCTGAGATGTATGCTGTTAGCATTCGACGTTTCTTTGGACTTTCACCTCATCTTAGCATACCCAGTTATTCTGTTAACAGTGAGTACGGATATTATGGACAAAAAATGGCTCTTTCAGTTAAATTTGCAGGCACCTGCTTATCACACTACCCAGTAGATCATTAGCGAAGGCAAACCCAGGAAACTTCGGTGTCTGGTTGGTATTGTCTTGGAATACCTCCAATTTTCCGCGCAGCAAAGACCACAAATCTCTATGATTGGACTCAAGGGCAAACTTGACAATTTGGCGCCCCAGTGCAGCCTCAGGATACGTTTCTTCTTTTTCGCGTCTCAATAAAGTTGCTCGTCCACTGACACGTCCCAGGAGACCTCCATCCCGCGGGGGGCACCTTCCCGCTCATGTCATCACTCCTTAATTTAGGTGGACCCGCCCACCTAAAGGTTGGTGACTGGAAGGTGGGAAGGTTGGAGGATTACTTTCCTTTACTTAACAAAGAGAGAATAATCCATTCTGCTTGCTCTGGAAATTCATAGCTCCTGCAATATATACTACCTAGGTATTTAGTGTTACTTTTCTGCTGTCATGAGGCCAAGTTTTCACCATGCCCATACATTTAGGCGGACTTGAGCTTAACAGGAACGAAATACGTACATATTGAAAAAAAGTAAGAACAGAGAGCTCGTAGATAATACCGCAGAAAGCTATCAATTTCCTGGGTATCATAAACATGACCCTTGCTCAATGGCGCAATGCGAATTGTGAGGTACCAAGAGAGCAATTCGACTTCAGTGTGTGGTGGAATCAGTCACTTCCGTATATAGATAGGTTTGAGTCTTCGTCTGAACAACCACACACTTAATGGAAGCGCGCGTCATGAAGGACATCCAATTGGTAGTCTAGCTAGGTAAGACCCCCAAAATTCACGACTAACAATGATTCTAAGCGAACTTAGCATGGTCACCCTTGCTTGCGCCATTTTAGCGGTTTCTTTATTGAAATGACGAGAAAGCCTCGCCATGAAGCACGCGAAGCACGCCATTCAACTAGCAATCTCCTAGAAAAAGCTAGGCGCAACCATAATGAGATATTCTCGTTTTATATACTGGAAAGAGTAATTTTGAATGACTAGCTTGCCATAGTGGGACTAAATTTACTTGTTTAAGTTCAAGGTATCTCGGCCGATATTTCTAAAGCTCGTGTAGAGGCTATGTACAATAAGTAGAGTACCTAAAGCATGAATATTATACTCTAAGTTTCTCTTTCACTCTTTCACTTTGTTTAACGTCTAAAGCCATGTCTGAAATATCACCCCCATTGTCACAAGGTGTGGGGTATGGGGTTGTGATTGGGGTTGGGTTGGCCTTTGCGGCAGGTAGGTGGTAAACATAAGAGCTCTCAACAAAAGTACTAATTTAGCAAAGGAATGATGGTGGTCACCAAAATATTGAAGAAAACAGTTGGTGAAGATAATTCAAACGTCGAAACGTATGATCATCGTCATATCTGTCACAGGGTTTTGTCTAATCATTACTAGATTTATGGTTGCCAATCGATCGGTTGGCACCGGTTTAGTGGCCTCGGCCGTCGTCTCAGTACGTCTACGTGACAGCTAGAATCGCTCAAGTCTAACTCCCTGATAGTCATGGCTCTGGAGTACAGCATTACTTAGTGCCGTTTTGGTGGCCTATCAATACGGCATCAGTGGTCCATTCTGGTATGGTGCTGGGTGCTCACCCATGATTGTTTGCTTTGCATATCTCGGAACCGTCTGCAAAAGGCGTGTGCCTAGCGCGCATACCGTTTTGGAGATCATTAAGCTTCGATATGGTCAGTATTTGCCTTGTGTTCCAATTATATCAACGCTGATGATATATCTCAGGGACCCTTGCTCACCTGAGCTTTACCTTTTTGGCCGTGGTGAATAACTTATTTAATACTATCAACATGATTCTCGGGGCTTCATCAGCCATTACATATTTGTAAGTCAGGCAGGAAATCCACAGATACTCTTCAAAAATGACTAATAAAGAAAGGACTGGAATGCACATAATGGCATCTACATTCTTGTTACCACTCGGAGTGGTCATCTATACGCTCACGGGAGGCATCAAAGCGACGTATGAGTGAGCCTGTTTGTATAAAGGGGCTCACAACGCTGACTGTTGCGCAGGTTCTTGACAGATTACATACACACTTTCATCATTCTTATTCTGTGCTGCTACCTAACCCTCAAAGCTTTGACCAGCCCAGAGGTTGGCTCCATCGGAGGGCTCTATGATCTTGTCGTGGAGGCTCAGCCAAATCACGTTATTGATGGGAATTATCAAGGATCACTCCTGACGATGACATCCCAACAGGGAATTTTCTTTGCAATCATCCTGTTGGTGTCAAACTTTGGAGCCGTAATTGTTAGTGCCTTATCATGCTGATAAGAAAGCGAAGTAAGACTGACTGTGTGCAGATGGACACTGGGTACTTTACAAAGGCCTTCGCTGCTTCCCCAGAAGGTGTCGTTCCAGGCTATGTTATTGGAGGATTATCATACTTTAGTATACCATGGGCGCTGGGAACTGTGATGGGCATGGTTACACTTGGCTTGGAGACTACAAAGGCGTTTCCCACGTATCCTAGAGTGAGTCTGACCAGCCAACGAGACATTTCCAGGGAGCTAACAGCTGGTCCTCAGATAATGACCAGTTCAGAGGTAACCAATGGACTGGCATTACCATATGCTGCAATTGCGGTAGCAGGAAAGGGAGGCGCCGTGGCTACCCTTTTAATGACTTTCATGGCTGTCACTTCTACACTGTCTGCGCAGGTGATCGCTGTATCCTCCATTGTGGCTTTTGACGTCTATCGGTCCTACTTCAACACGAGTGCAGGAAACAAGGAGGTAATCCTCTGGAGCAGAATAGGTGTTATTTCATTTGGTCTCGCTGCAGCAGGTCTTACTGCTCTATTTCACTACGTTGGAATTGATATGGGCTGGACACTCTACATGATTGGTACGTTCAAGAGACTCAAGCCGACTAGATATTTGCTGACCGGATACTACAGGAGTTATAACTTGTCCTGGAATCTTCCCGCTTATCCTGTCAATTCTCTGGAGAAAACAGAGCCGGGTGGCGGTCATTGCATCCGCGTATCTTGGTTTAGCGACCGGCCTTGCGGTCTGGCTGGGAACGGCTCATCGTTTCTATGGTGCTGTAACAGTTGCCTCGACAGGACAGACACTTCCATGCATGTACGGCACGGTTGCGTCTGCATTCAGTCCTTTGCTATACTCGGTGCTCATCACATATCTTGGCCCCGAGGACTTCGATTGGACTTCGCTGAGCAAGACCAGCCTTGCTGTTAAGACCATCGATGAAGTCACCGATAACATTGAGGCTCATGCTAAATTCGATGGTGAAACGGATTCGAGCATGAGACCTCAGACCACTGAGATCAACGACGAATGCGAGGATGCTTCCGAGGCAGCTGGAAGAAGATGGTCCCGATATGCGTTATTTTGGGCCATTGCTACCTTCCTGGGTCATTGGGTCCTCTGGCCGCTTCCGATGTATGCTGCAAAGTTTGTGTTCAGCAAAGGAGTAAGTGACATTCAAGTAAAGAAATCAGAGTTATCAGCTAACAATATCTAGCTTTTCGTTGCATGGATCGTCGTTGCTGAAATCTGGCTGTGGGTTACATTGTTGATAGTCGGCTTTTATCCTTTGTGGAATGGACGCCATAAAATCCTTCTCATCGCGCGAAGTATTACCGTTGGTGCATAGGTGGTAAAGGATCAACGTGAATGACTGTCTTCATTTAGAAAATGCATCATGACATACTATTGGGATTGACTCTAAATAGTTTATATGCATTGAAAACCGAGACTAATCCGAAGAAGTGACATCCAACGAACATTCTATTTCATGTCCATCTATAACCTTCAATTAAATTTCACACCAAATGCCTGTAGTTTATTCATCTGACCTTTTCATCTAAAATTTCACCAAATCCCTAACCTGAACCACCTGCCCAGTACGAATGGCCTTATTCGCGGCAATACCCGTCAAGATCGACATAGCCCCATCAACATGCGAGGCAGCGCGATGGAGATTATCGGCCGTGGGCGTACCGAATAGATCATTGAGCAGAACAGGATCTCCACCACCGTGGCCACCTTCCCCCTCGACAATGGGCACCTCATAGGGTGGCGCGAACATGGGATGCACGGTAATCTTTGTATGAGCCACAGCACCCTCTTGTGATTGTTCACCACCTGCGTTGACGTAAGATTGCTCCAATACATCCATTTCCAGACGGCCCTTAGTACCATTGAAGCTGACCCGGAATCCTTCCCAAGGGCAGTATGCAACAAGGCTGTAGGTTAGGATCGCGCCGGATTGATAGCTGACCAAGACGCCCATGGTGTCTTCAATGTTGATTCCATCACCGAATACACTTTGGTCTCGGTAATAACCATCTTCATGCTCTGCATCGAGATACATGGCCTTGAGCTGAGGATGATCTTCCATGTGGAGAGCGAATGGGTCATTCGCTGCCGCAGGGCTGCCATGGGTCCGAGAATAGAACTTGGTTTCTCCACGAAGCTCGGCATTTTCCTTGCCATAGAACTTCAAATCTCCTTGAGCAAAGACAGTGGCGGGCCGGCTGCCTAGCCAGAAGTTGACTAGATCGAAATGGTGGGTAGACTTGTGTACCAGAAGTCCTCCACTGTTGCGTTTGTCTCGATGCCAGCGGCGAAAGTAATCAGCACCGTGTTGAGTATTGAGCAACCATTCAAAATGTACCGAAGTGACTCTCCCAATGGTATCATCCATCAACAGCTCTCGAACTCTGGTGTTGTGAGGAGCATATCGATAGTTAAAGGTAACGCGTAGTTGCCGATTCGTGGCTTTGACAGCATCAAGGATCATCTGGCATTTGATCTCATCCACCGTCATCGGCTTTTCACTAAGAACATTGCAGCCCAGTTCCATTGCTCGAATGATATACTGATGATGAGCTCGATCAATTGTTGTCACAATGACTGTATTAGGCTTTGTTTCTTCGACCATTCGGTCAAACTCGACCGCTTTGAAGGTCGGCAGTCGTGATAGACCTAGTTCCTGTACTCGATCATTGGCGACATCCATACGAGTTTGATTGGTATCACAAAATGCGACGAGCGTTGCGGTCTCCTTAAAATCCCGAACAATCGCGCTGTAGAAGAACGAGGCGCGGCCTCCAGTGCCAACGACAGCATATCTGGTTAAAGCCATGTTTGATCTCAGCAATTCCCACGGCGATACTATTGAGACTGAAGTAGATCAAACGTGAAAAAGAAGCAGAGTCACAGTGACTCGCGCAAGTCAAGCAATTTTTTGTTAACTCTCGTGTCGTCCTCGGCCTGCTGTTGGCACGCTGTACCCCTCACAAACTTAGAAAAGATCTACCCCGCGAAAGTGCGTGGCTTGTTATTTTTCCGTCAATGGGAAGCCTTACATGACTCGAAGAAGCCTTGAGATATCCTGGGATCCAAAATGTACCCCACAAGAGGCAATGGATCAGACCCCCGCCCGGGGTAAGCTTTCGGGACTGCGGGTCAATGAAAACCGACGGTATTTCTACGTTAGTATTGAGGGCGATTCGGTGGCTCGCTAGATTCCAAAGCTATGGATTTGGCTGTAAGGAAATTATACCGCCTTTAACTTGGCGAGAAGCTTGACGTGATGGTCTGATAAATGATCGAAGCGGTTGATCGAAAGAAATGAAGTGAAGGTAAACGCACTGCGTATTGCTTAGTATTGTATCTACAGAGGAGATTCATCTACTAAAAGAAAAAAAAATTGTATAGCTCTCTCAACTAGTCACTTAATCTCAGATCTATTTAAGAAATTTCCCGATGCTCGCAAGGTTAGAGATCGCAGATACCCCGTACCGAGCAGCTTCGTTAGTCGTAATCCAGGGCGCCTCTTCACCATGAGTCAGATACTCAGGAGGTGTAGATTTGATAACACCCCAATCATGTTGAGCAGTATACCCATCTGTGTTGAAAAATTGGTCCCAAGCAGCATGCGCTAGCTTTTCATCATCTTGTTCAACAGCTGCAAAGGCCGTGAGAGTAGAGTGACTTTGTCGCCATGTTGCATGCGATGGGAACTCGAAGCCAAATTCTTCGCGCTGAACGTCTGGTCCGCCATTGTAAGCTCGGCAGTATGCAAGCCACACTTTCATAAACCTATCAACGGTTTCTGGAACCTCTTCTCGGGCAAAGTGGAAAAGCTCGGTGATGATCTCTGGGAAACCAAAAAGCATGGATAGATGAGAGATAGCCCACTCTGGTGTCGGAGGTGGACACTCTCGCACCTCCCCACTGGTCGGGTTCAGCAAGATCGCATTGTTCCCAATACCATGTTTGAGTCCAGCAATACCATCAAGTAACTTGATAAGAAGGTCCTTGTAGTGAGTCCATCCCTCAGAGCGTCTCTCCCATGCAAAGAGCCAAGCTGCAATAAGTGCTCCGCAGTCCAGACCGATGTTTGTCATAGCGAACCCATCAGGTATACCGGCATGTTCTTGGACTTTGCGATGTGAGTCCAGCACAAGCAGTGTGTTTTGACAATCTTGAAGCTCTGAGATCAAATCACCGGTGCGCTCGTCTCCGGTCAAGTAGAAATAGATCCGTCGATAAAGGACATTGGATATACGAAGCTGCTTCGAACTATCGCTGAAGTGCTGGACACCGTGTCGAGTACCGAAGCCTTTGAACTTTCCAGAATGGTAAACGTCAACTTCGCCGGTGTGTCGAGTCATCGCTTCGGCCATCTTGAACACATCAGCCCTTCCAGTCTGGAGGAAGTAAAGCCACAGCCAGAGGTCCGTCGAGAGCTCGGAGTTGTCCCATGCAAATCCGCCGACATCATATCTCCAGGCATGTCGATAAGGGTCATAGGTATGTTGCACGTCTCCATGATCCCAGAATCCGTACCAGCGGTGCTGCTCAACCTGTCCATGATAGTAGTTGAACAAGAGATCCAGCTTGGCTTCGACCTCCGCTTGTTGATGCGATGGTGTCAGACCCAAGGTCTGAGAATCGGGAGCCCAGCACCCATGAAACGCGCCCGAGGATTGCAGATGTTCTGCAGTGGCAACCAAGCGCGGTGGATCACGAACCAGGGAAGAAAACGAGCCGAAGTCTTCATTTGATGGGGTATGAAGGAAAGGTCTCAAGAAGAGCTGATTGGTTCTCCCAATCCCATTGGCAGAGACGAAGCCTGGCTCGAAATCCTCGTACGTCACATCGAGAGCCTCCAACTGCTTCTGATATGTATCGAGCCCCAATCCATCATGATACGGAGTTGTGTCCAAGGGCTCTGCAAGTGGCGAATATAGCCACACAGTGATAGATCCCTGCTCGGTGGTCAAGTGGTCCAAGTCGAGCTGAGTAGGATATCGCTCCCAAAAGTCGGACATGCCGACCGCGAGACCTCCGGTGGAAGCCGATCCAAGGTATGCAGTTCCATCGGCTCTGCCGCCACCAGTGACTTTGACCCATGAGTAGCCCGGCTTGGTCCGCTTCTTGATTGTGAAGCCATCCGAAGAAAGTTGAGCAAGCGAGTAAGAATCCCATGACGGAATATAAGAGAGTCCTTTGGTGAGATCTGTTCTAGCCCACTCGGCTTCTTGCAGAATGACATTTCGCCCCGATGTTTGATCAGTTCGATTTGCAACGGTTGGACCGTGCCGCAAGCCGGAGAGGCCCTTTACTTCCTCTTTTAGAACACCTCCGTTTGATCCCCCGAGTCGGACGTGGCGATTGTATAGCTCGGTCTGCCCAAGCGGAATGCTAAACCGTAGACCCAGGGACGTAATAGCATCCTTCGGGTCTAGATCATGGACGAACGAGTGACGGACTCTGATTGAAGTGCTGTGAGAATAGATATAGAATCGGAGATCGAAGGGCAGATGAGCGCTGTGACTTCCATCCTCCACAACGCCAGAGATTTTGATCAGAGCTCTGCTAGGAGTGGAGTTCTCCACATTCGCCGAATCCACTCGAGTTCTGTACTCCTTCTCGTTGATGGATGCGACAACCGTGGCAGCAGAACAGACTGTCTGCCCATTAATATCGAGTTGCTCGAGAATCAACGAGCTGCCAAGTGCCGCGAACCTCAGATACAACCCGTTTGGAGAATTCACCGATAGTGAAGACTCCCGCTGCTCTATTATGATACTCGCAGTGGGTTCCGGTGCGTGTAAGACGCCTTTGACGGTGTACTCGTTAGAGTAGTCAATGTCACCACTAACCGAATGAGCAGTCCATCGGAGAGAGCCATCTGCCCAATAGGCGAGTTCACGCGAGTCAAGAGGCCATTGTTGGGCATCATTCGCTTCGATAACGAATTTTTGGCCTGGTTGGTACAGGCCTCGTGGCCACGGCATTCCAAACGAGACGCCATCAGATAGAGCGTGGGGGCCATTTCCCACCAGCCAGCGTAAATTAGCCGGAGACATGACCACAAACAAAGAACTTGGTTGTAATTGGAGGAGACACTTGTGATTCGTGGCGTTGGTGGCGCTCAGGCCTCTTAATCAAGCAATACGGGACAAGACAGCCAAGCCCAGCCTGTGGAGTGTAAACAGGGGATATGCAAAGTTGGAGGAGTATAAGCCAGAAAGGTGGGTAGTTATACAAAAGCTATCACGCAATTGGAGCGGGGCTTTCGAAGCGAGAGATGGTCAGTAATTACAGTCGTAAGCCAAATAATCTTACCGAGAAAATGCAACGGTTAAACGCCATCTTTGAGTAATAAACTAAACTTCTTAGTGCTCGTTTGACTCGTGGTAATCGCCTGCACCACTCGGTCCAGCTGACAGCGATCAGACAGATAGGATTTCGGTATATTCCTGCCCGAATTGACAAGGATGTGTCCCAATTTCGGTTCATAATTGGCCCGTTTATTCCGGATAAACCACGGTTTTGACTCTGTCCGGGGTATTCGCCCCCCAGAAAGCATATCTCCACGCGGTCTGGGGATGCGGAGTAGACTAGTGGAGATGGTGGAACCGTGGCCTACAAAGAGGGCCAAGCAGTCCGGAATGCGGGGAGAATCATTCGACTTGACTTTTTTTTCTCCGTATTGGTCTTTTCACTCTCAAGACCATTCGAGATGGCCGAACATCAGGAGGACATCAACAACCAGGCCACCACAAGGGTGATTCGGGAGAAAGATGAAGAGGCAATCGAGAGTTTCGATGATACCCTCAAGGGAGCCCAGAGGGCCACTGAGGATGAGCATGGAATGGGCCTGAGAGAGGGTATTCGAAAGTACCCCAAGGCTGTCTTCTGGTCAGTCTGGTTCTCATCGGCCTTGATCATGGAAGGATTCGACCACGCTTTCATCACTGGTTTCTTTGCCTTCCCTGCCTTCCAAGAGCATTATGGAAAACTGCAGAAGGATGGGACCTATCAGGTTCCCGCCACCCTACAGTCCGCTATTGGCAATGGAGTCAATGCTGGAGAGATCATCGGTCTTCTGCTGAACGGTATTCTCGCTGATTATCTCGGTTACCGCTGGGTCATGATTGGCTGTCTCTTCCTCATGATGGCGTTCATCTTCCTGCAATTCTTCGCGAACAGCATCTATATGTATCTCGGCGCCGAAATCCTCCTAGGTCTACCATGGGGTGTGTTCCAAACACTCACGACCACATATGCTGCCGAGGTCTGCCCTAATGTCCTGCGACCCTACCTGACAATGCTGGTATCGCTTTGCTGGAGTATCGGCTACCTGCTTGGAACTGGTGTCCTGCGTGCCTTCCTGTCGTCTACTGGACAGTGGGCTTATCGCATTCCCTTTGCGCTTCAGTGGATCCTTCCGATTCCCCTTGCAATTGGTATTTACCTGGCCCCCGAATCTCCATGGTGGCTCATTCGCAAGGGCCGTCAAGAAGACGCAAGAAAAGTTCTGAGCCGACTGCGAGCAAAGGACAGCCCAGAAGATGAGATTGCCGATACCGTGGCCATGATGGTACAGACTGTCCGAATTGAGAATGAAATGAAAACTACCAGCAGCTACTGGGACCTGTTCAAGGGCGTCAATCTGCGCCGTACCGAGATCACCGTCTTCACTTATCTCATCCAAGAGTTGTGTGCTCCTCTCGTTGGCTATATCGTCTATTTCCTCGAGCAGGCCGGCCTTGATCCATCTGCATCATTCGACTTTGGCATGGGTGAATACTCTCTGGCTATCTGTGGTGTCTTCGTCGCATGGTTCCTTGTGCCCCGAACGGGTCGACGCACTTTATTGCTCAGTGGTACGGCTTTCATGACCGCTACAACGTTCGTGATCGGCTTCATGGGTATTCCAAGCCTCAAGACACATCCGAACATTGGCTATGGGATTGGCGCCATTCTCTTGGTGGAATACTTTGTGTTTTTCATCACTATCGGTCCGATCATCTACACCATTGTGACTGAGATTCCGTCCAACTTCCTCCGCAACAAGAGTGTTGTCCTTGCTCGTGCAGTTTATAACGTTGGCGTTCTTGTTTACGGTCAACTTGTACCTCATATGATGCAAAAGGCGAGCTGGAACTGGGGTGCTAAGTCTGGGTTTTTCTACGGAGCCATCATGGGCCTTGGTTTGATTTGGGCATACTTCCGTCTCCCTGAGACCAAAAACCGTACCTTCGCTGAGATGGATATCCTGTTCAAAAATGAAGTAAAGGCGCGAGACTTCGGGAAGGCTAAAGTAGATATTGCCAGTGAGACTGTTTCACTGGATTGAATGGGTCATATATTGTCTACTAGTTACAGCCAGCTCCGAGTAATAATTGAGTTTCATCGACCAGTGAAGCAAATCCATGGTTCCCTCCAATTTCAAGCTCTACTCGTAGGAAATATTTCCCATTGTTGAGAACTTCGGATAAAAATTTTAAGGGACTACCTAACATGGCCAAGTTCAGGCTGTACTGTGATAGATGCGACAGAACTGAGAGTCAACTTGCACGTGTATTTCCAGCGAAATTGAAACTCATAAAAGTAGGAAAAGGGCAATGAAACAAGAAGACGAAGCTCAGCTAAACTCAGAATGTGAGGAATAGGGTGTCTATCTCTACCTATCTAGAATTAAACATTAAGTATTAAGAAAGAAGCAGGAAAGCCACTGAACTCGGACTAGTCCTCGAAGCGCTGGTTACCAAGTTCCCGGCCCTTGAGATCTATCTCGTCCAGGAAGATTGAAGTCACCAAGCCCAGCGCGCCCATACCGGTCATCACATAGAATATCGTGCGGAAGCACTCTAGATAGACCCCTAGGACCTGGTCCATCGTTGAAATAGACACTTGCAGTGATCTTAACGAATCGATGAATCTCACAGCGTTGGAAGCATCTTTCAAAGGCGCCAAGGCTCCGCTCAGCTGAACTGTAGTATCAGCGATAGCTTTGGAGAAAACGTTGTTGAAAATTGACGAAGAGATGGTGAGGCCGACAAGACCACCGAACATGCGAATAGTTAAAAACTGTGCGATAGCCAAGCCTGTGTCATCAACATTCTTAACACTTGCTTGCATAGGAAGAAGATTGAGACGTAGTAGCGCAACACCTTGACCCCACAGAATAGGAAGCCCGTAACGCATTGATGCCGAGGACCCTACGTCAAAGAGGGCTAGCAAACCGGATCCTAGTGTCAGGATAACCCACGAAAGTCGTAGAAGCCACATGTAGCCTCCGAACAGCGGTACCATCATCATCGAGATGGCGGCGAAAACCACGCTAATTATAGTGGTGGGGAGTAGGGAGACGGCGGATGAGATTGGGCTTTCGAGCTCCACGGCTTGATAGAGCAATGGCAAGTACTGTAAGAGGGAGACTAGTACCACGCCGTGAAGAAAACCACCTACTAGGGTCACATTTCCCGTCTTTGAATGGAAAATGCGATGCGGAACGATAGGATTGGCAGGCTTTGCCTCGTAGAAGCCGAAGGCGACAAGTACTGCAACTCCTAAGAACATTGGTAGGAGTGTCTGCCAGGAGGGCCATGGATATAAGGAGCCTGCCCAACTCATGGGAACCACAAAAATAGAAATTCCGATGATAAGAAGTGCCATTCCGATCCAGTCCAGGCGCTTCAAATTCATAGCCAGCGTGGCGTCGAGTGGAACAGGTCGAAGTTTGAGGAAGAGCATAACCAAAGGTGTCCCAATTCCGAGCCACGGCAGGTTGATCCATCCTATCCACCTCCAAGAGGCATACGTAGAAAACAAAGCCCCGACAGTAGGGCCCATGATATTCCCGATAGCCGAAGGAATGGCCATCAAGCCGAGATATTTCGAGCGTTCCTCCAGAGTGGTCATATCCGCGAGAATAACCTCTGCCAGGACATCGATTCCTCCACCTCCGAGACCCTGGAGGACCCGCCCAGCAATGATGGTGGTCATATTTTGCGCCGTAGCAAAAACGATTGAACCGACAAAGAAAAGACCCATAGACACATGTAAAGGGGGTTTGCGACCGAACGCGTTGGAGATGCTCGCCCAAACTGGTTGCATTACCAGCCCACAAAGAGTGTAGGCCAGATTCGCCCAGAATGACTCTAAACTGGTGGCTGTCAGGTCACCAGCAATGGTCTAGTAATGGACATGAGTATTTGGGGTAACACGCAAGCAAGATTAATTTGAAGACTCACTGGCAGGGCAATACCCAAACATGTTGCATCTAACTGGAAAACGAAAAGACTCGCTGCCAACCCTATGAAAGCGAGCTTGAAAGAAAGCGACTTCTTGGTCGTTGGCTCAGCATCCTCTTGATCGGGTTGCTCTCTTGGGGAATTGGTTCTCCCAATCTCAGCCACCCGTTCCACGCCCTCAGATTTCTCCGGGTTTTGTTCCAAGTCTGGTATAACGGAGTTCTCGGCACCCTGGCTGGAGATGACCTTAGAATTGCCCATGGTGCTTCCCGAAAAGATGGGCATGAAAGCAAGATAGCAAAGATGCTTGACGAAATGACAGAAATGTAATGGATAAATAGACAATTTAGAGGCAAAAATTCTCCTTATTTCGGGCCATTGGTTCTTCCGGTTGATGCCTGTTGATTCACTCGATTAGTGGGACAAGGTCATATCGAGACCGTTTACTCGGACGGGAAACATGATCCAAAAGCAGCAAGTCTAGGAACCACAATCTTATACACACCACTGACAACAGCGACAGTCTCCACGAGGAAGATCAAGACGAAGGAAACATGAACCTGATGGGTTCGACTGAAAGCTGAAAGAATCAAATTCACGGGTGGTCTGCATCCAATAACTGACAAACAAGGCCCTCACAAGGCTGTGGTGTCCTAAAAGCTCAGGCAGCGAGGGCTGTCAACAACTACAAGAGCATCTCCTTTCCACTCTCTCTGCCTGCTTCCATCCTTACATTCATCCTTGAATTATTCATTCTTTTCTAACCTTCCGGGCTGTTAGGTCAGTCAACTCGACAATATCTATGAGATTCAGCCACCATCATCTTTGACATGTCTCGACGACCACTAGAATCAACTACAGTAGCGACGGGGAAAGCAGCCGCCAAATCCAAGATGAGACTAGACACGGTCGCGAGTCCGCCCTTACAACTGTGTTTTATTGACATATGAGTCCCAATTGCCGTGCCACCATATCGAAATTGCCGGGTCGCCAGTTTGCTAGACATTGTTGCAACCTCATGCCCGAGGCATGGGTGAATTGGGGCGGGGGCTCAAACCGTTCAGGTTGTTGGACTGCGGATCATCACCGCAGTGGGGCAGTTGTGGAGGATTTGATTGGCTCGCGGCGATCATGTCGCAGCTTGGCGATGTACACACTCCTCAACCCTCCGAGAAATCGAGGTTACACACGCTCTTTTATCTCTGCAGCCCCCAGTCAACGCCATTGAAAGCAATCAACCATACCATAACCACGCCTTTAACGCCTGAACATCATGAGTGAGACAAGAAACAATAAAAGAGCTCGTTACGACGAGGACGTGAATGGAGACGATGTCGGCTTGAGTTCCGCGGCCGAAGGCTTCTTTGAAGCCCTATGTAAGTACAGTGTTCCTATATTCCAACCAAGCTTGCTAAACTCGCTTTGAAGCCGAGGCTGGAGTCACGCATTGCTTCGTCAATTTGTAAGTCATTCATGCATTGACAGCAACAAGCGGGAAACCTGACAATTTAAACAGGGGGAGCGATCACCCTGCCATGCTGGAGGCCATGATTAAAGCGAAACAAGGTCTGTTCAGAATGGATACCATAAATGGAATCCTTTTATACTAATACAATTGAACCTAGAAAACTCAACCACCTTTCCCAATATCATCACCTGCCCTTCGGAACTGGTCGCCCTCTCCGCCGCCCTGGGCTATGCTCAGGTCACCGGAATTCCTGTAGGATCATCCATTCTGTCCACAATACCTTCATTCTAATAAACTAATCCATACCAGCAATGCGTGCTTGTCCATGTCGACTGTGGTACCCTAGCATTGGGTCAATCTATCCATAATGCATCGGTCGGCCGAGTGCCGGTTCTGTGCTTTGCAGGTCTCAGTCCGTACACCCAAAGAGGTGAACTGATGGGCTCAAGAACAGAGTACGAGGACCAAAATCTAATCCCATTCAAAAACTAACATTTCTCAAGGTTTATCCATTGGTTGCAAGATGTGCCTGACCAGGCAGCAATTCTCCGTCAATATTGCCGGTATTCCGCGGAAATCAAGACAGGGCGCAACATCAAGGAGATGGTGAACAGAGCCTTGCAATTCTCTCTGTCTGACCCCAAAGGTCCAACGTATCTTATGGCTGCTCGAGAAGTGTTAGAAGAAGTATGTCTCTGCTTTAGACAAGAGTACAAAGGAAGACCTTACTCACAAAAGAATTACAGAAAGTGGACCGGAAGTTCCTCGAGGAAGAGACCTTGACGCCCGTTCTGCCTAGTGCCCTTCCTGTGTCAGGTAAGAAATATGACTTCCAGTAAGTACACAATTCTAACAGACACAGAGGTTGAATTGATTGCGACGACTCTTATGAGCGCAAAGCGACCCCTTGTTATCACGGGCTATCTAGGCCGAAACCGCAACGCACCCCCTCTGTTAGCAGAACTCTGCGACAAGCTACCAATCGGTGTTGTTGAGATGGTTGGGTCCGACCTTTGCATCAGAAGCGACCATGAAGCCTATCTGGGCGTGACCGTTACTACGCATCCAGCAGTTCTTGAGGCCGATGTCATCCTCATCCTGGACTGTGATGTGCCATGGATTCCTACCGCGGGCAAGCCCCAAAAAGGTAGGACTTTCCCTCTATATTAGCAGCATCTGCCAACTGACTACGACAGGAACCAAGATCTTCCACCTTGATGTTGATCCGCTCAAGCAGCAAATGCCTTGTAGGTCTGACTAGGTGTTTACTTGGAGTATAGCTAATCATTCGCTCCAGTGTTCTCTATCAACGCCATACGCAGAATTAAAGTCAGCTGCGAACTTGCACTTAAGCAGCTCAACACTTTCTTGGACCAACAGAACCTGAACAGAGCAGACTATGCGGCCGAGTTCGAGGCTCGCTCAACGCGTTACGCAAAATGGCGGGAGGAGCTTCGCAGCTTGCAGTCCCCGCCAGAAGATGGTGTGATTAGCGTCCCATATCTTACATCTCGTCTACGACAGCACGTTCCCCAGGATACAACCTTTGTTATGGAGGCTGTTACTAATGCTGGATTATTGATTCATCACCTTAACTTAGTGAATGTAGGCCGTTGCCCCTAACCCCACAACATTGGAATGACTAACAGTATCTTGTAGCCGGGAAGCCTCGTTGGTAGCGGCGCTGGTGGCCTTGGTTGGGGTGGCGGTGCCACCCTGGGAGTAAAACTGGCCCAGCCGAGTTCGTTCGTCTGCGGAATGTGCGTAAGTCCCAATTGAGATCTCAACACGATACTGACATGATTCCAGAGTTGGAGACGGAGTATACCTCTTCTCGCAGATGGAGAGTGTTTATTGGATCGCCAGACGCTATAACGTCCCATTCCTGATGATCGTCTTGAACAACGGGGGCTGGAACGCACCTAAGGTGTCGGCCCTTCTGGTTCATAAAGATGGACTAGCATCGAAGTCCAACAGAATGGGTTTGTCATTCTTGCATCGGACTTATTAGGATGTTTGCGGCGGAAACTGATAATCTCTCATCTAGATCTCAATATCTCCTTCGAGCCCTCTCCTGACTATCCAGGAATTGCGGCTGCAGCAGGCAACGCTTGGGCCGCCACAGTGAAGGTGCAGAACGATTTGGATCAAGCTCTACAAGAGGGAACCAGAATCGTCCAGGAAGGCAGATGCGCTGTCATTGAGGTTGCGTAAGTGGAAAGAGCCTTTCATGTCCTAAGTGAATTGTAAACTGACTTTCATAGTGTTCCCTCGATGTGGAAGGAGACGTGAAATCGATACATGGAGGGTCACGCCAACCCGGTGAACCGGGGACATTTACATTCCCAACCATTCAACCAATTTGGGTGAGGGGGATACTATTGCTTCAAGCCAGAACTTGGAGATGCATATGCATTTTGTACACTATCGTCACAGTACAGATAACCACTTCGACGCCGTCCCAATGCTAGTCCGTCTCCAATGCAATCCACATAAAAGCTTAAAACATAGAGCCGGCCCGATTTCAAACAAGGTAGGATGAAAAGAGATTAGGTACAGAAAGAGAAAGGAAGGGGGTGAGGTAGGATAGAATATAAAAGGGATAGTAAAGGAAAGGTGAAGAAATAGAGATCAAGGCTAAGCGCGAGCAGTAGGCCGAGGCTTCCAAGAAGACCGGTACATGCCAACCTGGTGTTGCTGCTTGCTATTTCCGTTGGAGGATGGACGAGGGTTTCGGAAATCGGGATATAAGCCAGATTCCATGTCCATCAGGACCGCGCGTTGGGGCTCTGCGGACACCCAGCCAGTGGACTTGCTTCTAGATTTCGAGGCAGAGGAGCGGGGTGGTGTGGGCTTTCCTGCACTAGCAGCTTGTGCTTTCTCCCTGATGATCTCACGAAGTTCCTTGTCATCCTTGGTGATCTGCGCCTTGATAAACGCAGGATCATTGGATGCCTGCAGGGTGGACATGACCGACTCGCGAGGTGTATAGTCGTATTTTTCGGGATTAGGAGGGGATATGGGGACGATAGAAGGATCTAAGAACGCTGCTTCGTTCTTTGCCAGAAGTTGAGAAATGTCCAAAGTCTCGCCATGAGGAATTTTGTAAGGGTGTGAAGGAGTAATGCAGTCCATGTCCACCTCCTTTCGCAGGACGTGATCAATATCCACGGCGGAGAAGTAGGCACAAGACTGGGGGAGGTCATCGATGCCAACTTGCTGTGAGAAGATGGCGCGAGTCCAAACGTTGGCAATTTGGAGTGCGAGTGCAGCGCGGTACTTGTCTTCATCCTTGACCAGATAGCGAATCTCGTCGTGGACAGTAATGGACAGGCGGGCCTGGATGTTGAAGCGCCGGATGAGATAATCCATACCAACAATGAGGAGGTGAAGATAGTCAACACCGGATGATTGAATAGCCCAGTTGATGCGAGAAGTCATGAAGCTACCCTTATTGATGAAGCGGCGCATGAGGGCTTCCGTGATGCCAGCGCCGAGGGCCGGGGTTCTTGGCCTCTCCTGGTCAGCAAACTCTTCAAGCTTGTTGAACACAAATGACTCAGTGCCACCTCGCCAGAATGGAGTCTCGCTGAGGGCACGACGTGAAGTTCGAGTGCCCTTGGTCTCCTTGTAAAGGTTGGCTGCGGTCTCCTGCGTTTGCCTCTCCGTCAAAGAAGGGTTAAACTGGCGCAAAAGCGTGGCCGCAAACTTGACGCCGGCTCCATAGATACGACCGTAGTTGAACACTTTGGCGTCATTACGCGAGATGCCCAGGATCGAAGCACTGCGGGAATGCAGATCGGTCCCTGCAGCCTTGGAACCTTCCAAGGTCATAAACCCGATTGCGTTACCCCCATGGAGCTGGAATGGCGCATCTCCAACAAGACTGGCAATCCACAGCTCTTGAGAGTCAACATCCGCACCAACAAAAACATGGCCTGGAGGCGCCTTGATCATGGCTTTAAGCTCGGATCCAACACGATTGGACTTTGCATTGCTTGCAGTGAGCCAGGTGTTCTCCACCGCGCGGCGGGTAATGGTACCCATAGGGATGACCTGAGGCAGGATGAAGCCTAGCCGATTATCGATTGGATTTTGTGCGGAGCCATTCTTCTGGGTTTGATCTTCGTAAACCACCATCTGGCCCATGATTCGGTCTCTGGCACTGATCCAATAGGAGCACGATGCATTCATTTCCAATGCTTCTTTGGCAAGCGCGAACTGAGAAGACAAGATTCCACGCTCGAAGTACTGCATGTAACCCTTCCCCAAAGGATTTGTGCACCGAGCCTGCGGGCCATCCTTGTGAGGGATCTTGAAATAGGTATTCTTCCGATCATCGCGTAGCTGCAGATTCTTTTCCTCCTCTGCCATATTGCAGACAACAACTGGTTGATTCTCGTATTTTTTGACCTGGTCACGAGGAACCCGGAAAGTCCACCCATACTTATCAGACCAAACAAGAGGGTAACCATCCCAAGACAGTTTGAGCAAAATGGGAGCAATCCTTGTCCGAACAGTAAGATTGATGTCGGCATTGCTGGAAGGGAAAAGATCCTTGTACCATTTCGGCATGCCCGGTTTCTTTTGCCTTGCAGCGGGTCGAGGAGGATCGCCCTTTTTCTTGCCCTTGACCATCTTGATCTCCTGGCCAGACCAGTCCAGCTGTTGTAGCCAGGGATCACTCGTGTAGACATCTGGTTCTGCTTTCACCTTCAAAGCCTCGTCGCACAATTCCAGTAGTTTCCGTTGGACATCGTCAAGACGTTTGTGGTAGGTCTCTTCGGCTCTGGTGAGATACTCCTGCCAGCTTTGGTTCACGGGAAGGATAATGGAAGAGAGATGTCGAAGGGCCCCGAAACTAACGGGATGGGGACAGGTCTCCAAGAAATTTGGAAAGACTTTTCTGAAGACCTGATGTGTAATTGCAACGTCGGCAGCGCAGTAGTCGAGTAGTTCATCCAACTTTGTGAGGAGGGTTCCCCGATCAAGCTCGCCGAAAAAGTCTCTTTGAGCCTTGTCTATCGTGACGTCGCAATGAAACTTGGCGACGTCCCGCAAGGAGTTCACCGAGCTTCTCCCCACCCATAGTTCCTCCTCCTCTTCTCTGAGCATGTTATTCTCGAGCAACGCGGCCAATTCCACCGAGTTGTGCTCACTTGCAATCTTATCCCTCAAGTCCTTGTTTTTCTTGTGACGCATCCAAGTTGGTCTCTGCTGAGAACACATGCCATTAACAGCGACGTGAAGAGACATTGTATCAAGGAAGAAGTTGCGAGTCTGTTTCAGATCATACTCCTCCAGAACTCTAGCACGATCATAACCAATGTTATGACCAACCACAATCCGTGGCTGCGAGGGGTCTCCCAGAGGTATCAGTTGCACCTTTTCTTGAGATTCCCCCAAAAGCCAAGGAGACAACCACGCATACCACGCTGTTGGACTCACGGCGCAAGCCATGACCGCAAATGGGTTGTCCTTGTACATCACCTCGGTATCAAAAGTCAACATTTCCTCGTTGGGTGCATCCACAGGCTCCGATGAGCCGTCTGCGTTATATTTTGTCCATCCACTGCGCTTGACCCATTTCCGCGGCTTTGTCGGGCAGCTTAGGGCTGCAAATGCTTTGGCATTCGTCAGATAAGGCTCCGATGCGTCCATTCCAAGCTTATGGAAATGTTCGTCAAGTGTCTGACCATGGAGAGGTGGAAGGTCAAAGGCGATCGGGTCTGCTCCGGTCTGAGATTTGCCAAGAAGGTCGTGTCTGGCTAGGTGATCTTTTGAGAGGGCAACGAGTTCGGGGTCGGGAACCCGACCTTTGTTCGGGAAAACCTGCGTGTGTACATAGTCGCTGAGATGCTGAACACCGATCTCGTTGAACCTAGGTAAAGCAGGAACTGGGCCGGGTCAGCCTATCGATCTTAAGAAATTTGACTCTGCTTGCGACAGGTCTAATTTCAACGGCATACCTGAAAGATATCTTTTCTGAGTAGTCTCATCATTTACTGGCGTAGAGTATAGCCTTGCGCGTCCTCGTACAGGTAACTGCCATGTCTGCGTCTGGACAACCAGTGCTGGGCGCAATCTCAAGCGCACCGACCTCACGACACCCCTGGAATAAGGAGTGTAGGAGGGATTCCAAGATAACATCATACAGTAACTAAGTTTGCGCGTTTCAGGTCATGGCAGCTCGTGCGACTGCAGCCTGGTCGAAGACTGCGCTTGGTATTGAGGATAAAGTGATGGCGTGTAGAAGTCGATCGTGGAGCAGTTTCCATATCAGTTGCTATCGCGGTATCTGAGCGTCATGCAGAAGGCGGAAGAAATGTGAGGCCGATATCGTTGACCGCCTACCTCTTTTAGATGCCTTATCACTAATCGATAACGACCCATGCCGCCATTTTGCCATCTCCGCTTCCTGGAATCCTGAACCATTTTACATACAACTTGGGTTTGCTCCGTCTTTGTCTCCTTTTTAGCCTTTCAGGCGCCAGGGCGCTACCTATTATCAAATTATATTTCCCATGGGACCTTCCGGAAAGGCAGGGCGATCTTCTATACCGTTCTAGTCAGGGTCAACCCCACTTGATTCGATTGTCCTCCGCGGCAAGCGCCTAATCGACCGTTTCGCCTGCGCTTGCTTCAAAAGTATCCCACGATGAGTCGGCGGTTTTCAATTGTTGACCTCACCTCGGCACGGGCACATCCTTCCCCTCGCCACCTCCGACAAATTTCCTCATCTCCATCTATCTCCTCCATATCCTCATCGTCACCAGATCCCCACACGATGCCCCGAGGCACCAAGCGAAAACGCCGGCACGACGAAGATGCTACCGATAGCGAGTCACCACCGAACGGCCCGCAAAGTCCCATCGAGTCTATCGACCTGACAGAGGTTGAAGGCTCCTCCGCTCTCGCCAAGGCCCTCGCAAAGCAACGCGAAGATGCCGTCAAGGCGCAGTCAACAGAGGAAGGAGACAAAGCTCGCTCTATGCTGAAAGCATACCAGTGTCCAGTCTGCATGGATACTCTCGAGGATGCCACTAGCACGTCATGCGGTACGTCTCATCACTCCCATACTCTCTTTGTTACATGGCCCTCTTCTAACATAATACTTTTCTGACGGCAGGTCACCTCTTCTGCCATAAGTGCATCGTCGAATACCTGCAATCAGTCGACGATCAACGAATCGACCAAGGAAAACAGGCCAAGGGAACCTGCCCGGTGTGCAGAAAGACAATCACCCGGAACGAGTCAAGTGGACCTCGGAGAAGTCTCATACCCTTGAAGCTCAAGGTGACGACTAAGAAGCGGCGCCCCCTCCCTTCAAGTGAAGCGTGAACCTCTTGAATACCCTTCTTTTACAGCATGGCGAATGGTGGGGGCATGGGCTAGCATGGCGTTTACTACATACAGGTGTCCCATTTTTCTAGCACTTTACGACAATGATGAGCAATGCATTTTCTGGGTGTTATGTACTTTGAGTACCTACGTTTTGGACTCTGTTTTACTCCTTTCACGATTATGTTTGATTGATGATTGAGATTGGAGGTTATATTACTGTAGAGCGACTCTTAAATTCCTTAGATTTCTTTGTTCGTTTCCCCCTCTTATTTATCTCGCCGGCCGGGGTCCAGGGTATTTCTCCTGCCCAGACCACTCCCAAGACCTCCACGCACCATGGCATCACCCTTCTTTCCCAAGACCACCTCGAGCGCTTGAATCAATGCATTAGGGTCATATTTCATGCCCACGCAAACCTCCTTGCCCCCTTCAATGGCTGTGACTTTGCGTCCATACAAGCGCAAGGTTTCAATACCCATCTCTGCCAGCCTTTCCCTGTCCACTTGGGGCGTTCCAGGGCCGTCTAGATGCAATATATGGGTTACGTAGGCAGTATATGGAAGAGGGGCGCGTGGCCGAATGGTTTTCGGGGAGGATGGCGTCTCTTCGTGGTGGTGAGAAGCTCTGTGTGGATGCCGTCCACGGCTTTCCTCGCAGGCACGCGCGATAGCCTCGACAAAGTCGGATGCTAGGAATGGCTCAGATGGAGGTCCAGTCTCGCGGTCTAAAGAACCATTGAGAATGAGAATCTTATGGCGAGCTGGACTGGTCATGATATTTTTGCCAACGCCACGGAGGATGATTGCTGGGATGATGGAGGTATACAATGAGCCAATACTGTAGATGATAGCTTGGGCATCGCTCAATGCCTCCAGAACACGCGGGTTTGCGGGTGGTCGAATTTCTTGTCCGTAAGGATTGATATACCAAATCCTGCTGATTCGGCAGGATAGGTCTTCGTTCTCCGTTTTGCTGAATGAGATATTCTTGTTTCGCAAAGTAGCGAGGGACCCGGGGAGATGATCCGCTTCATATGAGAGGGTATCAGATGCGTCAGAGGCGGTATCTTCTAGATCATCTCCGTCCGCAAGAAGTAAGCTAGGCCGTCTCGGCTTGTTGCCACGGTCGGGCTGGAGGGCTGTAGTCTCGCTTGGATGGGAAATGCTATTTTGACCAACAATGACAGTGCCATCGGCGAGAGTGGCAGATATGTGGTGTGAGAAATTGGAGTTAATCGCGGGTATAACCCGGACTATATCCGACTGTACTCCGCAAATGCTTCCCAGGAGGTAGATTGCACTCTCAAAACTCCCACTGAAGAGTCGCGCACCCGTAAGGAACAGATTTCCAACACTGGCAGAAGTGAAGTCGAAAGTCGAAGACGGTGGACGAGCCCGCTTGAGGATTTCCAAGTTGAGCATGTTGAAGAATGAGCGGATCAATTCTTTCTTCGCGGGGGTGATGGACCTCCATAGGCTGGACGTGCCATCTACGATGGTGAGCCATTCATGCGCCGCTGCCCCTGCTTGAGCGGGCAAGCGATGATTGAAGAGCGTTTTAATCGCAGTCCGCTCTGAATTGGGAGGTGAGTCCGGAATTAATCGAACAAGGCGACCTGTGGTTATAGAGTCAGCCAAATATACCCTTCGGCAGAGTTCTCGCGGGGTGTCGCGTGTCAAGGAACCTACTTCGAACATCACCGATTCCAGGACCCCCAAAGATTCGGATCAGCTCCGACGAGGAACCACCATTGTCGCTAATCGGGATAATGTAACTGAGCAGGCAGTTCTTGCTGTCTCGCACGGCATCGAAGACATCCACGAGATTGTTCGCGGCACTACCTCCTGAAATGACGACAATTCCTCGATTGGGCGTGTCAGCCATGGCAGCGGTTATTGAAGTTGATTGGTCAAGTTGTTTCAAGTATTCAGGATGTGCGATAGATTAAGGTAGAAAAAAAAATTGTAGTTGAAGATCAAAGCTGGAAAGACTCTGAGCTGATATCTCGAGGGGCTGAGCGATATGGAATGTTTTGGCGCCGACCCGGCGATGACACCTGAATTCCGGAAACGCCACGAAGGCCACAACAGCCGTTGAAGCTTTGACGCCTCAAAAGCAGGCACCCAAGACAGCTGGTGGGCTAAGCATAGTTCGCACGCAAATAAGGATTTAAAGTGCGACAGAACGATTCGATGACAGATTCAAGACATCGATGAGGCGCAGCATTTCTTGGTGTCGGCCTTCTAGACCGGCCGAAAAAGGCTGTCCCCAACCGTGAAACTCGCCAAATCTCTTGCAAGTTAGGTGTCCTAGTCCAAGATCGAATTCACCATTAGATATAGTTTGTTGAAAACATCATGAATTGATATGTGATGTTGAACTGGTAAATGCATACATAGTCTCTCCCTTTTCCATTTTGAACCCTCTTCCACTAGCTGGTCAGTATAGGAGAACTATACTACACAGACCCCGAATATTGAGAATTCTACGAGACTAGGAGGATCCAAATCTGCTCGAGAAGCAATTGCATTGATACGAGCACTCCCGGTGCTTGTTTTCCTTATAGACATTCATGGCGTTGATGCAATAATTACACGCTGAAAATCAAGCCCATGTTTCCTTCAAGCATAAGAGGCCCACCCTAATAACAGGTTAGCAAATGACACGATCAGGGCCACACACACCAAAATAACATACCACAATAAAGAACAGCCAGATTTTTCTCATCGGTTGCTTGCTGGATCAACTCGTTCACTGTGGCAGTGACACTCAGCGTTTTGCTCAACTTCTTCGCCACCACAGTCAAAGCTCTATCAGCCTCGCTTGGTTCGTTTGTGGAAGGCTTGACTTGTGCGCCAGGCAGAAGAGGGGGGCCGTCACCAGCGTCCTGGTTGTCTTGCATCTTCTTCATTCGAAGTGGAGACACGGTCCAGCTGTACAATGGATCATATCGGAGCACGTCAAGAATGGTCATGATGCTGTATGATTCTTGCCGAAGTGCCTCCAAGGTGAACTCGCAACAGCGCCGGAAAACACCCTCCGTCTTGGTAATGCCGAACCCATCAACCAGGTCTCGAGTCAATCGGAAGGGCACCACCTCGGGAACAGGGAGAACCCGTCCTTGTTCAAACGCCACACCCAGGTCAATATGAACCACCTCTCCTGTTTTTTCGTCCAACAGGATATTGTGACCATGTCGATCACCAAGCCCGAGGACGTGACCCAGAATGGAGATCACAGCAGTACTCCGCGTATATGCCAATCGTTTGCTGAACCAGTCGTCCGGGTTACTGAACTTCTCCATGAAGAAGTATTTCATCACAGGGTGAAAGTGCTCCGTTACTTGGCGGTAGGTTCTGACCCTTTGTTCAAACGATCTGGTCTGTACATCGGCAATGTGCTTGCGGCAGGCGCTGGGCTTCATATCCTTGGGGAAATAGCGCTGATGCGCGGGCATGAGATAGTCGTGCAGGGGGATGGTGTTTGGAACGAATTCGATGATTCCAGCATTCAGAGTCAACGGAAGAACCTTGTACGTCCGAATTCCTAGGTTCCGTTGGCGTGTAGGCTGATGATCTTTCAGAAGGCTGCTAACTTGCTCGAATACTTGTTCCATGATTGCGTCCTGGCGTAAATCATCATTTCCTCCTTTGAACTAAAGGTTTGTTAGCAAATGCGACGAGTAGAGCGGAGGACAAATAACTCACCAACTGCTTGTATCGGACGCCGTTAGTTGCAACGGCGCTCACAATCTTAGGAGCACTAACACCAGATGCAAGCGTAAACTCCGAGCTAAATCGAGCAATCGAAGGAACATCGTTGTAGTCCATGTCTGCGCGGAGATCAATTTTCATTGTAGGTGGTGGCAGCTTATACGTTTCCGCATCTTTCCCGAGACGATCTCCTGTGGGTAGTTTCTTCAGAGGAATCTTCGCGCCGGTCTTGAACTTGTTGTCGGGCTTGTCAATGGCAAAACGGACATAAGTAATGTTCATGTTGTGGACTGCAATCCAGGTAGGCCCAATGTCCTTGTCGTTCTTCAGGCGGTCCACGAGCTTGTTTGCAGCCCGGAAACGAGAATGCGAGGATTGGTCTTTCCCGCCCTTTGACTTGCTGCTAGCAAAAATCTGATTCATTCCGTGGAATGGATGTTCTGCGCAGATTCGGAAAACTAATCCAGTGAGAAGAGACTGGAAATCATCGGTGACATCGAGGAGGCGGGATGACAATTGATTCATAAGAGGCGCAAATTTGCGACTTGGTACATCGTTGACATATCGGGATACTGCAGTGTTTGCAGTCTTGCTGTCTGATTGGTCAAGCCAAAGCGCACAGAATCGGAGAGCATCGTTGTTGTAAATCTCACTTTCCCGCAGGGCAAGCAGGTAGTTTTCAAGGCACTGCTGTAGAAAGGCCTCTCGACTTCGCAAGAGACGCTGGTATTCACGGTCATCGAGATCAAACCATTGCTTTGCTTTGGCACGGAAGATTTTGAGAGACTCCTTTTCTCGACCTTCAGCATTCTTCATCATTTCTTCTAGGCCGAGAAGTTCTTTTTCTTTGCGATCACGTAGTTGCTTGACTCGTTTGAAGTCTTCCAATCCGTCAACGTTCAGGAGTTGCTGGTCACAGAAACTTGCAAAGCCGTGGTAGACCCGCCCAGCGGACTCCCCTTCTGAGACACCTTTCAGCTCCTTGACTGCCGGATACAGGTAGTCCTGGAGGATTGATTCGGGTTTCTCTAGTCGTGCCTCGGCGACGTGGTGCCCCTTGTGAAGATCTGTTAGACACAAAGGTTGGCAAGGTTTGTGTCATGACTTACCAGGGTCACAAGCAGTTCCGCACGACTGAGTGGAATGGCTTGTTTATGCAAGTCGCCTTGTCCCTTCAGCTGCTGCAACATGCGGATCGACGCAGTCATTTCCCCCTGGTCCCAAAGAACGTTGGCAAGGTCAAACTTCGCTGCACCGTCAATATTCATTCCCAGTTCAGCGCAAGGCTCGGCAAGCTTTGACAAGCTGATTGCGGACTTCAAGGACGCCTGGGAAACACCATGACTCCTTGTGATCTCCAGTGATTGGCGGAAAACCTTTGCCTCGAGCAGGCGCGAGTCTGCTGAACTCAGGTTTGACTTGGACGTTAGCAAAGCATTCTTCCTAATCGAAGAGAACAATGCTTCGTGCCAGCTCAATATCGCTCCAACCTCGGTATAGCTATTTCTATTAGATTATGTTGTCAAAGTAGGGAGGTTCGCAGTAATAGGTAAACTCACCTTTCAGTCTTCAACCAACTGCTTCTAGCCATGACTTTCTCCCATTCGTCCTTCATCTCCTGAGCTGATGAGACTTGTAGAACATCACTCATCTCGGTAATGATCCCGAGTGCACGCATCGTGTTTCGCAGCTCAATTGTTGATTGACCGGTTTCGCTCATGGTCTTTAATGTTGTCAACAGGCAGTTGTCTAGTGAAACAGCGACTTCAGGCAACGATGCTGATGTATTCAAGCTCTGGAACGCGCGGAAAACTGTCGCCGAGGGTGAAACATCCAGTGGTGAAACTGGAACATCCCACTGCTGGAGACTTGTTGCTGCCTGCAGCATGCTGTCAAAAGAAGCCAGCACATTAGTAGCACTGCCAGAGGCAGACAACATTGTGTTGGCTATGCCTTGAAGATTTGTCGCGTTCAATGCCCTCAAAACTCCAAAGGGATTGGGACTGTCGGACATCTGAACCTCGCTGTCGTATTGCGCACTCTGGAAGAGAAGGTTTTTCAGGCCCGAGCTCTCGTACTCCAGCCTCTCCATCACGGTTGTCAAAGATGAGCTTTGCTGGATGCCGTAGAAAAGGTCTGGATCATCGATGTTCTTGAAGATGTCGTGCAGAAGCCCAACAGGTGGTTCGTACTTGGCCACCGAGGAGCGGCGAGATCCGGAAATCACCCTGGATGCCTCGATTTCGAGGAAAAGGAGAGATGTCTTTTGCAGCCCGCATTGATGTGCAGCTGAAGATGCCTGGTCATAGTCGATTTCAAGCCATTTATCGCGGTCAACGATCGTGGATTCGCCGGGAACAGGCTGGTTTCGAAGATACAGGATGCAGGTGATGACAAGTCGAGCATGCGGCATGGTTTCCTCACTGACTTTACCGAGAATATTGTTGAAAAGCCCGGAGATCGCCTGTCGAAGTCGACCTTCCCCATCATCTTCGGACAGCAGCACCTCGTGGATGATATACGGCAAGACCTGCACTGCCAATCCAGGAACTACGTGTAAAACCGCGCGCAGAGGTCCAATGACGGGGTCCTGCGGAGTAGCGCTGGACAGTGAGAGAGTAGCGTTGCGGGCCCACTCAGCAAGAGGTGCAGGCTCAGCAGCTTCTTGAAGACCAAGGTCGCAGATTTCAAGCTTCGCTCTTGGAAGTGAAATTTTCGGGCAGGAGTATGGATTCCAAAGGAGAGCTGGCATTAGAGACTCGGGAATGATACTGGCGTACGCCTGGAAATCATCGGCCTCGGTAATGTGGCTGATAATAACCTGTAGTGTCTGCTCAATTAAGCCGGTTTCCGCGTGATCTTGGGAATGAAGCTTGCTACAGAGTAATTGAAGGATAGTATTCTTTGACTGATGAGCCGGATCCGTGGGATCATTTGAATACGGTGTTTGAAACAAGAAATGCTCTTGCTCGCGCATCAATCTCTCATTGATTTTTCCCGTTGCAGCAAAGGAGCGCCCAATGACTCGAGCGGCCCATAGCTGGTACTCGGGGCAGTGGTTGAACTTGTGGAGTGTTTCCCACAATGAAAAAATGTGGGACCCAGGATCCAAATCACTTTCAAAGCTGCTATTGCCATCTCTCGTATCTCCTCTGAACTCGGGACATAGTAAAGAGAGTACCAGATCCGCAATTGGTTTGCTCAAGAGTGACGTGGGGGAGTCGCGATCTTTGAGTATAGCAAAGACAAGGTCATTTTCAATTTGGAAATTTGAGGAGTTCGTTAGGGAAGGCAATTGCCGTGCCAGGTCCAGTAGATTTGCAAAATATTGCCTAGTTTCATTGCTCCGATCTGAGGATTGACAGTCGGCCATGAACCGACGAAGCCACTCGCGGAAGGCTTCTGCAGTCGAGAGCACACCTTGAAATTGACTTTGCTGCGTGGTACTTTCAGGGGATGACAAAAAGAGCCTGCGAAGGGTCACCAAGGTCGAGAGGCAGATGCCAGCTGTGAATCCGGGGTTCTTCAGCAAATAATCCTTCCCTGCCTCGAGAAGGTACCAAAAGACCCCCATGGCATCTTCAGAGCAGTGGATATCGACAATGAAAGGGCGAAGGGCATTGAGGATCATCTCAAGTGGGTAATTCTCAAGCATGATTGGGCCTGCAAGGCACACAAGTACTCTAATCTTCCGGATAACGGAGCACGTATGTAGAGATCCCATTGCAGGATGTATCGACTCCAGTAGAGACCGGCAGACAAATGTAGCAAGAGCTGGTGACCATATTGTTTCAAGCTCAAAGCCCGCACGTTTGCACAAGAACTCGAGCTCATCTAGCAGGTAGCGGGCTCGGAAACATGGTTGCTGATTTGCTGGCAGGGAGTTCTGCGAAGCACATTTTTGGCTAATTTTGGTCTGGATATCGAGTGCGTAGTGAAAGCTTGGACGCTTTGAATATTCTCGCTCTATCTGATCATGTCGATCAAGAGTCCTGAAGAAAGTCGCGATGATCTGCGGAAAGTTTTCCTCTATTTGGGCCATAAACCTCTCTGGTCCAAGCAATTTCCTCAGGCGGATCTCGACACCTTTGGGCTGGCTTCCCTGCTCGGGGGGTGTGCTGATGTCTCGCGCAATACTGTATGCCTCCGCTTTATGGAATGATGCCTCAAGAAGTTCGACATGAGGTATGTCAAGGAAGCTTGCAAGTTCCTGGGTTTCCGATTCCTTGGCACGCATCATCATCTGTCCAACGACCTCATCTTTCACATCAATGAGCATCTCTTCAAGGGTGCCATATCCAAAGATGCCGTACGGCATGGACATAACGCTTTGTGTCTCAGTCCAGGTGTACAGTATCTGAGATGCGAACAGTCGAAACAGCTCTCTTCCGTCTCGCAGCCCAAGAGCAGCTGATGTAGATGCCATGCATGTTTGAGCATATCCGAGAGAATCCGGAGCTTGGGCTGGAGTCTCGAACATGTGGTAAATGCTCCTTCGCAATAAGGTATGCCACTTGGAGGCCAGTCTTGACAACACAAGAAGGCGAATAGCAATCCCTTCGGTCCAATCTGGATCTCTTGGCAGACTCTGCAGAACATCATCAAAGATTGCGTCATGATCCTTGAGAAGGAAACGTTCAAACAATGTTGGTAGAAAATCAGCGACGCTGAATTTGACCTGAGCATCACCCTCCTGCAGTATCATGAAAAGGGTAGTTCGTGGAGATGGGAGAGATTGCTGATTACCATATGATGGGCATAGTTCCAGGACCGCTTGCACAAGTGCAGAAAGAGCAATGTACACATTGGTTGATGCCCTCTTCTTGGAAATCAGAGCTTCCATGAACCAGCTGTACAAGTCCATAGCTGATTCGCTTAAGTGGTCGCTCTGTGGATCTGTCCATGATGCAACCAAAGCAGTCATCATACGAATGCAGACGTTGTGAGAAGCTTCGCAGCGCTCCATCTCATACGACTGTAGGCATTTCTCTCCGAGATCCTCCAGAACCTGGATCAGTTCATTCTGCTGCAGCTTTGAGCATCTCTGATAGACTGCAGGTAGAGCTCCTTGCGCGGATAAGAGATCGGACTCGTCCAGATCCGTAAGATACTCCACAATGGTTGACAGAGGGTCGTCCAAACTGACATACTCTATTTGTGTCCTCAGAAGTATTGACAACCGGATTGTCTCACAACGTTGAAAGGTGTGTGCATCAGAGAAGAGACAACACGCCGCTCGGTTCGAAGCGAAGATTGCCTGGTTAACAGAGACCTCATCTCCGTGATGGGCTAAGCGATCGTCCAAGTCCATAATATCTCTCTGGTTTGGTGAGTCTTCTTTCGAAGTTTGACGAAGCTTTTCGAGTATTTCTGCTAACGGGCGGAGAAGTGGACAAAGAGCGGCCCCGATGCCGAACATCTCAAGTTCAGATTCCAACACAAGGATTGGCGATATTATCTCAAGGCATGGTTGAATGGCAGTCGACTCGTGTGTTGACACGAAATGGCAAATGGAATTCCATATGTTATTGCAGTTCTGTTGGAGACCTTGCACTCGAGATCGCGACTGCTGAGGAAGGCATGCTTCGAAAAGGGAACAAACAATACAGAAAGAAATCAAAATCTGCAAAGTATCTGTGGTGATATAAAGTGACCTGTCTTCACTTATCGTGTTCCATGATTGAAGGAACAGTTCGGACTTTGCTCGCAAAATTTCGATGATCACCGAGTCATCTGCATCTTGGCCAACCGACGGCTTCAAGGACCATGTGTCTCCGTGATTCCAAGGGTTGGAATGAAGGATTCTACTACCCGGGCCGAACATGTACTCCAGAAGCTCTGCATTTTCGTGGAAGTAAAACCACATCCGAGTAATGAGCCCGGATGGTCCACGATATCGGATATCAGGGATCTCGAACGGCCGATTGGTACATGCCATGAAAAGATTGAGCAAATCGAGGGGGCGAGCAGAGGTAGCGATCTGGGCAGTTTGAAGTCGATCTGTGACATTGCCTACAACAACATATTAGTGATTCAATTTTTCTGAGACAAAATTCGTTCGGCTACGTACCGATAGTCCATACCTCCCTCAGCCAACTGCAAATTTGCTGCGATGCATGCTGCGCGGTACCGGGGCTCAACTGCAACTTTTTCCGGGCTATCGATGCCCACATGCTTAGAGCCGAGTCAGAAATGGCGGAGGGGCCGTTCAAACTTGCAGACGAGAGCATTGATCGTATGTTCTCTGACAGGATGGAGTATTCCAGCAACTCTGCCTCGATTGTTGTGCTCAAGAACTGGCAGGCTGCTCTAGACGTCACAGTGGAGGAAAACGCCCGAGTCGCGAGATCTACTGCTTGCGGCCAGTATCCTTTGAGTTGATGGTGCCGGGCGCTAGGGCCTTTAACAACACTATCGGAAGGCTAATTAGTACCAGCATCTGAATCAGTGATATGCCTACTCACCTTGTCAATGCTATCATCGTCCAAGTCGAGACTGTGCTGTTATCATCGAGGATACTAGGAATAACTCGCTTGACAAAAGACTCCTTTGTGTCGATGTCAATCTCGGCCTCGAGGAAAGGGACCATTTGTAATGCGCAAATCCTTTGCGCGCCTGTGCCAGATATCGCATCGCGAAAAACATCATCTATGCACGATGTAAGACGTTGTCTTTTGCTAGAGAGCTCTCCAGAAGCAGCTTGATCGGTTTCTTGAACGGCAGCTTTTGCTGTCAGTTTCAGCAAGTTTGCAAGCGCCCATATCACAGTCCAGCTGTGTTCTGATCGTGCATTTCCCAGGCGAGGTCCATAAACAGGTCCATCTCCTTGTCCATCTTTCCGGTAGAATACTGTTTCATCAGCTTGGAGCAACTCCCTGTCTGACCGCTTCATGTATTCAGACTGAAGAGAGCCTGTCAGTCCTTCAATTGAGCGAACTAGGGATTCAGATGGCTTCTTATGAGCCGCATCCACGAAAATGACCAGGCACAACATGATTGTGGCAAGAAGCTCATCCTTCAGGCTCGGGAGCTTAGTACTCCATAGGCGTCGAATTACTGGGATCAAATCTGTCAGGGATGACCGAGCCAGCTCAGACTGGTCAAACAAGACTCTGGAAACAACTGTATTGATACTACTGAGCGCCAGTTTGTGTGCATTTCCGGCCATTATGGATGGGGACTTGACAAATTCCACGAGCCCTCGCAGGATGCTCTCCGCAGCAGCCTGTATGGGGGCGCTGGGGCTTGAAATCAGAAGCTGGATACAAGCTAGAACTTCTCCGACGGTATTTCTGTCGCCAACGAATTTCTCTCCATTGCCTGGAGCAGGTGTCATTCTTTGGGGGGTCGAGCGGCCGTCGCTTGCATCCAGTAAGTCATCTGGAGCAGACCGATGTTCACTGCGAATGCTGAGCTGACTCCCATCGCTCTCTTGTATATTGATCACATCGAGGCAGTAATCAATCAGCCTTTCCCAGTCCGAATCGCCCAGGTGCTCGGTATGGGGAGGGTATTGAAGAAGTGACGTTAAGGATTTCGTGTAGTCCACACTGAGTGGCTCCCATAGCCCATCCCTTGGAACTGGTATGGTCTCCGTAATGTGATCAATGATCGCGCGGACCGTTTTGGCTCGGATGTTGTGCAGAAAGATGTCGACTGCTGTACGAAGCACCGAGGCGCATGTTGACAAGCGAGTAGCTGAAGGGTTTTTGGTATTCGACCGTTGAGCGCGGATGTAAATCGGCCGTTCTACCGCAACCAAACGGAAAATTGCTTCAAAGATCTTGTGGCAGGCTTTGTCACTAAGTTCCAGTCTTGAAGTAATCCAGGTCGCGTGTTAGCAGGTCCATTGAGGGGAGGTTGCATTGATTTGATGTCAGCGCTTACAGCTTTGAACTCTGTTTGTTTTGCTGCAGGATATGTTTGAGATCTGAAGATTGAATTAATATTAAACCCTCTCGCGGTTGTGAGAAGTGAGAGGATCAGACCTGCTAAGCCATCAGCTCGTTCCTTCTGCTTGTCCGAGGACAGCAGGCCGAGCGCCTTGTCCAAATAGATCTCCCCCATTGCGCTGGGCAGAGCAGCCGCTCAATGGAAGCTGTCGCACACAATTCGGCATCAATTTTCAAGCCTCTCACAAATAAAATGTTTCGCCTCAGCCAGCCATGTCGTGGTCAAGGCGTTCGCGTTTCGGCAATGGCTTCTCGTCCGTTGCGGTGTTGTGGAGCGGCAGTACTTCTAAAGCGGATGACCGCCCGGAATTTTGATCGCGTTCCGTCTTTCAGGAAACAACAGAGCTCGAAGCTACCCTTCCCACTTCCTCCACCACGCGCCGTCATGGCAGAGCTTCACGAGAACCTGGCAAGCCTGCGAGGCTTGTACCAGGACCTCTCGGCCATCCCCGACAGCGCGTTCCTGAACGTGGAGCGACTGGTCATCGAATTGGAAACGCATATCCAGGACTTTCAAAATCTCCTAGACAAACCAGCGAAGAGCAATGCTAGTCGCCAAACGGTACTGTCCGGTAAGTGGTCGCCAACTGTTTCACTGCTCTGATTCGCACAGTCCGAGGATGTGTCTCTAACCTTCATCGCAACAAAATAGGCAAGATCACGGTTGCCGACATCGAGTACTCCATCAATGAAGACTTCCAACAAGGCGCACTCCAGCTCGCCGATGCTTTGAACATTGACGAGTTGGAGGCGGCGGTGATGTTCCTAGCTGCTCAGGACGACTCCCAAGTCCTCGACCGATCTCCTCTTATCACCGCGATTATGCGATTCCACGAGCGCCGCCATTTTCTTCTCGAATGTTTACGCTTGATCTTCCGCGAAGCTCTCGAAGCAGAAGGGCCTGAGAATATTCAGCCTATCATGCAGGAGACTATGGCACTCGTTCTGGACACCAAAAACAGACAAATGCAGAACGCGTCTCTGTTTGCCAGAAAGGTCTTGGGGTCCATGGGAGACGTCGAAACGTGGCTGTCACTTCTCGGAGACCAGGTCCAAAAGGCCTCTATCGTGGGACAGGAGGAGGACCGTGACATCATGGAAGCTATTGAATACCAGCGACACAGCCTACAACAGCAGCATGAGTCGCTCGGGGCCATCTTACTCTACCTTTTCAAGGGTACCTTCACCAGCGCCGAGGACTTCCGCCTCCTGATCGCCCATCTGAAGAAGCTAGATCGTCTTGATGGGCTACTCATCCACTACTTCCCAGTTGCAATCGCGTCCTTTGTTCGTCACGGTTCTCCCGAAAGCTCTGGTACTCGAGCCGAGGCTCGGGGTCTGCACGATGTGATCGCCAAGGCCGCGGATGGTCAAACGTGGAAGCTCCCGAATTTCCATGCTGCTATTACCGCTTTGTGGTTAGCCATCTATAGCGGGTGGTACTTCGACGATGGCCCATCAGATCCCGTTCCCAATGTTGATCCAGAGAAAGAGGCCGAAGAGCGCACAAAGATGTTCATGGTATCTCTTGATGACGGGGCACTCGAGTTGATGTTGGCGATATGCGCCAGCGTCAACAGTGAAGAATGGGCAGATCCCGCGCGCAGTGAATTAGTGGCATTGCTTTTGAAAGAAAGTCCCATCAACCTACCTGACTCTAGTTCGTGCAGCGGTTACATGAAAGAACTACTGATGCAGAGTTTCGAGGTGTTTGTGGAGTCGTGCATTGCAAACATGCCTGATGCTGTTCGAAAACTCAAATCAGAAGAAGACAACCAACGTTTGGATCAAATAACTGCGTTGAGAGATGGTCTGACGTCGAGCACGAACCGCGGTCTGGTGGAAGCACGAACTCACCTCGAGTCCCTCTTGATGATTATTTCATTTGCTTTTGAACATCGAGAAGATGCTGCGCAGGAATTTTGGGGTGATGTGGAAGGTAATCTTTACGGGTTCCTCCAATGGGCGTCTAAGCGTCAAACCGTCCCCCGAGTCAGTGCTTTTTGCGAGATGCTCTGCTCTATCTCGGAAGGAGAGGAGAATGCCGCTGCTGCGCACAGGTTCTTAACAGAGGAGGATAAATTCCTAACTTCCAAGTTGAAGCGATCTACGAATATGAACTGGATACAGATGTTCGCCGAATTACATCTCTACGCAACAAGAGTCACGGAAAAGTCTCCAGCCAGCGGCCAGACCTCACATACTGCTCAAGGCCTCCTACGTGCTCGGAAGCCGGGGCCTGTGGATATGAGCGAACCTGAATCCCCTGTTATGCTCACCTGTTACCTCCGCCTCATGGGTCATTTGTGCAAGCAAAGTGGAGCCATCCGAGAATGGATGCTTCAAAATCAATCATTCAAGGTTGCAGAGGAACTTCTCATGTTGTGCAAGGGTCCTATCCCCAGTCATCTCAGGGCAACAATTTTCACTACCCTCTCCGCCTTGATGACCGACAGAACCCCGGGACATGGCAACGATATGTGGGAGTCGATCAACACCTTTTTGATCAGTGCACCAGCAGGGGAGACGTCAACCCTCATGAAAGCCCCTGCACATTCCAATCAGAGCCTATGGTACGAACAGCAAGCGTTGCAGAAAATTGGCGAGAGTTTTGATCAAACCAATGCCTTTGTGGTTCTTATCAATTCCCTAGTCACGCCCACCTCGGACCTGAGTGAAAAGCCTTTGTCCCTTACGTATCCGGAATCTTTGGGAGCCGCATATCGCATGCCTGGAATTGAACCTTACGTCGACTTTATCCTGGGTCATGCTCTTTCTCGTAGAATCCAGGATCTCAGTGGCTATCAATCCCGTTTGTTGACCTTCAGTTGCTTGGAGTTCGTTGTGACAACTCTGCGGACCTTCAACGAGGATCTCGTCACTGTTCTCAGCCAACCCTCTCTGGCCGAGTCTGCTGCAAAGGCTTCCAACCTTGAAGCCTACGTCCGCCTGCATGCCTTTTCTCGTGTGATGGAGTGGCTTTTCAACGAGGACGTTCTGAAAGCGCTGTTCGCAATCAGTCAGCTGGATATCTCAGAAGTCGCTCAGGCGTCGTCAGATTCAGTTTTGGTCTTGACATTACTCCGCAGTGTTGAGGTGATGAATTTGATTATGGATCTTCAGTCGACCTACTTCAACGTCGTCAAGCCCATGGTCAAGTCCAAGTCTGTGGGGCACCGTTCCACCGTGGCAAACTCGTCACTCGCTTCATTTGAAGATAGCGTGCTCAACAACTTGTCCTTGGTCCCTGCGCTCTGTCTTTATTGCGGTACGGGCCATGAGCAACTTACCGTCACATCTATGGCTCTGCTAGAGAAACTCACGAGTTCACGCAAACTCAACAAGATGTCCACGTTTGAAATCACAAAATGGCAGTCCTCGAACAAGATCGTGGAAGTCCTCGCTACTGAGGTGGATGTTGACAGTGTAGCGCGCTCACTCGTCGCCATGATGGACCCGGACCTAAGAGAACTGGAGTGTGGGCCGCGGGCAGCTGGCTATGTTATTCGGGAAAGCCTTCTGGCCCTCTTGAACAGCTGCTTGGGTATGATCACAGATCGCCCCACTGTAGCTCATCTCCTGCTAGGCTTCAGTTGTTTAGGAAATATTCTTGATGTACCTGCGGATGGTTTGTTCGCCAATCGGATGTCGTTGCTACACGCCATCATTGGCTTCCTGCAGGCTTACCCTGATGAGCTGGATGGAACTATTACATCATACACGGTGCATCTCAAGCGCATGGCCTTTGAAGTCCTAAAACACCTGTGGTCCTCGAAGCTCGCGTTTTACTTCACTTTGACTGAGATGCGCGCGCATGGCTTCTTGATGAACATGTTTGCGGGACAACCCATTATCGGGCCCAATACCCCCTGGAATGGCCATCCCATTTTCACAGACGAATTCTGGGTCACCGATGCGACTTCAGCATTGGCGGAATTCCTTCTCTACCGAAGCCATCTATTTGCATATGCTGCCACTGAGATTCGCTCTGCCGCAAAGGTCGGATCACCCACGCTCCAGGCCGGTATTCTCTCAACTCTTCTGGGAAGCTCGACATTGGACAACGGTGAATCTGTCTCTAATGCGTCAGTGTTTGACCTTTTTGACTTTGCAGACCTTGATGTCTCACGCAACTTCCAAGTGCCTCGGCTTATATTCCTAAACAATATTGGCATTGAAGACTGTGCCAGCCAAGAACGGGACACGTTGGTTCTTTACGATATTTCCAAGGTTGAGGAGTTGATCCACATTCGCAAGTCCGAGTTACTTGCCACCTTCCCCGGACGGCCTCACGCCGAGGAACAATTCGACACTGAAGCGGAAGGCTTGAAGATCTTCATTCTGGCGACCAACCAAAGCCGACAAATTAGTTACAACCGCTATCTTGCCCTCCGCTCGTGGGCAGAGCTCGTCACCACCATCACTACTTGCTCTGTCTTAGATGACGCGACCAGGCCGACCTTCATCCTACATGCTATTCAGATGATTCTTCCCAAGCTTGAAATCTCAATTGAAAGCGAATCACTAGAAGCTATTGAACTCGCACGTTTGGGTGAAACATTGATCAGCAAGCTTGCGTCCGATCTTCCTGAAGCCCCTACCTCTCGGAGTGGAGACGTGATCGATGAAAAACTTCACCAGCTCTTCCAGGTGTCCGTCCGCGGTATCATGCTGGCTTCTGGGAATGTGTCTTTGAGAGAAGTTCTCTACAGCATCTGCTCCCACTACATCACTCGCATCACATCATCTGATATCGCACACGAGAGCCTCCGCCGTCACAGTCAACAAATTGTTAAGACTGCAGGCCCTGGTCTTGTAGAGGCCGTCTGCGACGATGCTTATACTGGGCAGGAGGCTTGCCGTGCTTCGGCGCTTCTATTCTTGAACTGTCTTGCAGCTCTGGATAGCCGAACAGACTGTGTTCTTGCTGAGCTGATATCTCAGTCGAACTATCTTAGTCTGTTCCTCGATGCAATCAGGTCACTTCCCGTTGAGCTTCGGAATGCCCAGGCAGCTGGTATGTTTTTCTCTTCGCCAAAATCCTGTGCGAAAACTGCTCACCACCACGTTGCAGATACTTCTTCCCTGTTGGCATACTATGAATCTTTGCTAGCCCTGCTACAGCAGCTGTCTCAGACCAAGAGTGGAGCCACTTATGTTCTCAAGTGCGGTCTGTTCGACTCTGTCCGTGAGTCGCAGCTGTTTGCTGCGGATCCCGACATTGGCATTGGTTGGTCTTCGTCAACTCACTTTTGCTTCTTGATCCCCTTACTGACATGAACAGATATTGATAATCCGGATGCCCTCCGAAAGTACTACGACTTGCTTCTATGTGTGATCCGTGTCATTGTCTCTGCCGTGTTCTCCAGGGGAGCCCACAATGAGCAGATCAAGGCACAGACTCGCGCCTTCATCGCCGAGAATCGGCCATGTATGGTCGGTGTGTTTAAGCGGTTTGCAAAGATTGGTGGCAGTACCAGTGCCACTCATCATGAAGCCCTCTGCGAACTCGTCAAGTCATTTATGGCTCTTGTGACCGCTACTGATTTCCTCGAGGTTTGTTTTCCCCTGGCTGTTCTGACATGATTATTGTTACTCACGCTGGATTCACAGTTCGAGGATCAAGAAATGCAGCAGCACACTCGGCCCGCTCTGTTCTCATGAGCTTGCCATCAGGATTTTGCATGGACAATGGAATAGGTCCAGGGGAAAAGGCGTGTAATATATCAGGGGAGTAGGAGGTTAAGCGATTTTCGAGGCATGTCTCATGAATACATTACATTTGATTTCGGCTCGACGATGAATGAATATATTTGTCTAGCCAAGCAAATTTACTTGGTGGAATATTGTCGGCCTTCCATGGATAAGATTGTAGGTCTCAGTAGATCAACAGGTAGGGTTTTCAGTAGGTCGGGCTTAAGAAGCAGGTGGCTGGCGTCAGACAATGATCTCGATATATTTCTTGCATGTCAGCAGAGACTAGTGTGCCCGCAGCGTGCATGATGATGGGTCACATTTTGGGACATTTAGATACAACTATGTAGAATGTGAGCTTACGGATTGACAAGATAGAAGTCGTAATGGCTCATTGGAGGGGGTTAAATATGTTAGGAAAATCAGTTCACTGACAACTATGACGGTCACCAGCACACGGACCCGGAGCTGTTGCTATCTATCTTATCGCCGTGCGGAGGTTGGAACCTTCGGCCAGAGAGGAGCAACATCAATTCCCCTCAACTCCCGAACCCGCACCACTCCGCCCAGACCGCCCTGGCGGAGACATGATCGATCTATCATCGCGATCTATCCATTCACTGTCAAGACCCCGTGTCGGATTGAACCGGCTGGATGCAGCAGAACTCGAGCGCCGACCCCGATCAGCGGAGTGGTAAGCGCAAATCCACTGGCAAGAGGAAGCTTTCCGATCAAGGAGAAGCATCACAACCGCACTCCCAGCGAACTATCTCGGAGCTTCTCTCCTCGAATCCCTCGCGCAACACCCTCTCGCAGAACCTCTCTCCTTCTTCGAAGCGGACCCGCTTCTCCGTCTCACCTTCACGCTCCGCCTCTGACCACCCGGTGTCACCAAACAGGATGTATAACTTCTCTGGTTCCCCGCCCAAGAACGGCGCCGCTTTCGTGCGCAGCATGGCAGGATCAAGTGCGAATGCACCAGTAGCAAAAGCACAGGCATTCAGTGCAAACGGCCGTCAGAACAACTTCAGTCCTCATGCTGGAGCAAAGAAGCTTGTCGTCAAGAACCTTCGCACAGGACCGCGGATGAACCAAGAGCCATACTTTGACAAGACATGGGCACAGCTGGATGCTGCACTATCAGCTATCTTCGATGGCCAGAAGCCAGAAATCTCGTTGGAAGAGCTATACAAGGGCGCGGAGAACATTTGTCGGCAAGAGCGAGCGGCCCTATTAGCCAAGAAAGTACAGGAGAGGTGCAAGGATTACGTCGCTGGAAAGCTACGGGACAATCTTGTGACAAGAGCTGGAGGTGGAACCGATGTTGATACATTGCGTGCAGTGATCGAGGCATGGTCGGTTTGGCACTCGAGACTAGTACGTCATTGGTGCCTCTGGAGGTTATTGCCTTGAGAGCTAACTTGTTACAGATTACTGTTCGCTGGATATTCTACTACCTTGACCAGTCATTCCTCTTACACTCAAAGGATTTCCCTGTAATCCAGGAAATGGGACTGATCCAGTTCCGTGCCTACGTGTTCGCTGACCAGAGCCTGAAGCCCAAAGTACTACGAGGTGCCTGCGATCTCATCGCCGTCGACCGTGGCGCCGAGACCAGTATCATCCCCGACGCAACGTTACTCCGAGACGCTATAGAGCTCTTCCACAGCCTCGATGTCTACGCTAGCGAGTTTGAGCCGCTATTTATTGATGACTCCCGCAACTTCGTTAAATCATGGGCCCAGCGGGAATCCAGCGGGGATCTTGCTTCATACGTTGAGAATAGCCAGCATCTGATCGAAAGTGAAGTGGAACGATGTGGCCTATTCTCATTAAATCGAAGTACAAAACAAAAGCTGTCCGAGCTGTTGGATGAGATACTGGTGACAGAGCAAGAGGCAGTTCTCCTCAGTGAGAATGACGTGCTCGGCTTGATGCGATCGGGCAAAAAGACCGCTCTGAAACAGCTGTACAGTCTTCTCACCCGGCGAAACCTGGCAAGCAAATTGAAGTCTGCATTCAGTCATTTCATCGTCGAAGAGGGCTCCAACATTGTGTTCGACGAGAAAAATGAAGCGGATATGGTCGATCATCTACTGCAGTTCAAGAAACAGCTTGACGATACACTTGCCGAGTCGTTCGATCGGAACGAAACTCTTGGTCATACTTTGCGCGAGGCTTTCGGCCAATTCATGAACCTTGGCAAGAAAGGGGAATCCACTGCTGGCACCGACAACCCCAAGACCGGAGAGATGATTGCCAAGTATGTGGATCGGCTTTTGAAAGGAGGTTGGAAGATGCCTGCTAGTCAGCAAGAGGGTGCAATGGCGGACGAGGATGCAGAGATCAACCGCCAGCTCGACCAAGTCCTGGACCTATTCCGATTTGTGCAAGGGAAGGCAGTGTTCGAAGCCTTTTACAAGAACGACCTTGCGAGGCGTTTATTGATGGGTCGAAGTGCAAGTGACGATGCCGAGAAGAGTATGCTGGAACGTTTGAAGAGAGGTATTTACTCGTCCAATCCCATTTTGGCCCTGCTTTTCATCTGACTGACATTCACTAGAATGTGGATCAAGCTTTACGCATAACCTTGAGACTATGTTCAAGGATATGGAAGTGGCGCGCGACGAGATGACGGCGTACACTGCTTTCAACCGAGAGCGTAGTCGCAAGGAGCGCCCACCGATTGACCTCAGTGTCAATGTGCTCTCCGCCGCCGCATGGCCAACATATGCTGACGTTCCCGTCCGTATCCCATCGGTCATCGCGACCTCGATCAATGACTTCCAAGAATTCTATTGCAACAAACACACCGGTCGCCGGCTCAACTGGAAGCATCAGCTTGCCCACTGCCAATTGCGGGCCAAGTTCCCCAAGGGATCTAAGGAGCTGGTGGTCAGCTCGTTCCAGGCAATTGTGCTGCTTCTCTTCAACGACATCGGCGCGGATGAAAGCTTGCCCTACTCGGAGATCCAAGCCGCGACGGGCCTTTGTAAGTGATTCTTTTTACTCGTTGTAGTTGACGCCTAACTGACAATCCCTTCAGCGGACCCGGAATTGAAGCGAACGCTGCAGTCACTCGCGTGCGCCAAATACCGCGTCTTGACGAAATCGCCAAAGGGTAAAGAGGTCGAAACAACCGACAGCTTCTCCTACAATACCAGCTTCACCGACGCCAAGATGCGCATCAAGATCAACCAGATCCAGTTGAAGGAGACCAAGGAGGAGAACAAGACGACTCACGAACGCGTCGCGGCCGACCGGCACTACGAAACTCAAGCAGCGATTGTGCGCATCATGAAGAGTCGCAAGACTATCAAGCATGCCGAGCTCATTGCGGAGGTGATCGAGGCCACTCGTCACCGCGGCACCCTCCAGCCCGCCGAGATCAAGACCAACATTGAGAAGTATGATTCAAACAATTTGGCTTCATCTGTTATGAGTTCATTGAGCAGCCGTGCTAACCACTTGCTTTTACACAGGTTGATCGAGAAAGATTACATGGAGCGAGCCGATGGCAACCAATACAAATACGTGGCATAGAGGGTAATACCTTAGGCTTTCTTTCTTTCTTTCTCTCTTTTTCTCTTCTCTCTTAGCGGTGCGTGGGATTACCATTTTGGGACCGGAAGGGCGCAGGGCGCGTGGCTTTGCCGTTTTTTTTTCCCTGCCTTTTCTTTCCCACCGTACAGTTCCGGGCTGGCGCTTAGGATTGTGCAATTGAGTACAAATGAACAATCGAAATAATATTATTGTCATTAGGATTGTACATGTATCTGGTATGATAATTTATTCGGTGAATTGAAACAGTTTAAACTCCCCTACTCATACTCTCACGAGAAGGTACTGTAGTTTTTTTCGGTGGAAGCCGAGTGGAAGACAACAGAAGTCTACAGGATCGGAGTAGCTCCGAGTCCCCATATGCCGAACCCCAGGATACCAGATACAAGGGACGCATTAATGATTGGCTACTAACTGGGCAAGTAGTAATTCGTATAATTCAGTGACAGTAAATTACACAAAAGGAGTGTAAAATGTCTACGCCCGTATTAGTGATATCCATTTTTCCCTACAATTTAAACAAGAGGCTTCCGAGCTAACTCTCTAAGCCCGGACTGAGCAATCGAAGAAACAATCTCATGAATATCTCGAGACACAAATTCTTCAACTTCATCGTTCAATCGCCTCCAAAGATAAAACTTATTGTCCGACAGGAAAATCGTGTGCCACCCGTCATTATCCTCCATAACCGGCTGTCCTGGTTGGAGACCGTAGGATCGAGCTATGATTTGACCTTCGGAGTTGGCGCCTATCCATTCTTTTTGATAATGGGGTCTTGGGGGGTTCGAGCTCCAGCCCCGGGGAACGGTGAACTGGTAATATGTCCTTGGCGATGTGATTGAGAATGAGAGGGAGTATGTCAATTAGTAGTACTTACTGGTGGCAGAACGGAGGGGTTTGTAGGGGACTTGACAGGTGAAACTGCTATAGAAGGTCGAGTAGACATTATGTATCGCAACAGTGGACAGGGTTTCAGGATTGTTAGGTGGAGGGATCATTGATCATTGAGATTGTTACGGGTAGTTTTGTAAAGCCTGATGTAACTATTAGTAGTGCATAAATGCAAAAATAACAAACAAAGCTGTTCTGTATGTATGTTCATCTCCTTCTACTCGGCATTAGTGGGGGAGCCTCGGTCAGTATGGACTATAAAGTTGATAAATTTCTCAAGGCCAAGGCCCAGGCCTTGGTGAAGAGCAAGTACAGTGGCTGCTCAAAAGTCCGAGGCTAGAAACCAGAAAAACAGACCAACCGGGCATGCTTCAATCACTTTTATTTAAAATATCTTTCTAAGTGTCTTTCGAATAATCTTTCTTGATAGCACAGATATTCTTTCTGAGTTTATCGTTCAAATCCTGACTATAAAATGATTTTGAAAATTTGTCAGGGTTTTAAACTTATGGAACCCCACTGTAGAACACAATATTCAGGTACCCAAGAGCACGGCACAGTCTATGCCAACGTGCTCGAATCCGAATCATTGAGATATGCTCTGGAACAACCCTGAAGCTCATCTGCATGTTTAATATGCGTCCGGCCCCGCTGGGGCTGCTCGTGACTTTGTGGTGGGGCCAGCAGAGGATTCGTGCTTCAACAGGATCATTATTACTTCTTTGATGCTGCAACCTATGGAAAGAGGACTCAATCAATGGTATGAATGCTAACAACATAACAATTTGAAATGTATTAATAGACAATACATCGCCACCTCTTTTTAACCCATAATGTACTTAACACTTTATAGTGGGCACTATACCACGACCAATTAAGCCGATGATTAACCCTGCGCTATTCTTATTCCCATGGGAAGAATAAAGTACGGTCGAACCTCTCCCCAGGAGACCCCACCTCGGCGATCTGACAGCGCGGGACTACAGAACTACGGGTGCGATCTGGAGCACGCCTTTTTTTTTGCTGGTCTCATGATTCCCTTCTGCCTCCACCCTATGCATCTGGGGCCTTGCGCTGGTCCCCGCTTTTGACTGGACAGATTTGGTAAGCATAGACATACAGTATCATAGCTTGAGCTCAAGAAAAGAACAGAAATCATTGATAATAGGTATGGATTTCAGAATTAAGAGATTATTTATGGAGTAACCGCTACAACTAGCATTAACGAGTTGTTTATGCGATTACTGATTTTAATGTCCGCGGCACAGAGTACATAGAGGTTTTACTATTCGGCAGGTGGGCGGTATAGCCCCGGCTAACCTACCGTTTGAGCCTCCCAGGGAACCAGGCGTGCAAGGAGTAGGAGCAACATCGTGACAGTACTACTGGTCTACTGTACTACTCGGGCGAGAATCAACCATTGAATGGATCTATCAAGTCATGGAACGGTTGCACCCGTTCTTGCTAGCCGTGTAATGTATCGGACGATAAGCTCTTCCCCGCTGTCTCTGGTACTAAGTCAGTATTACATCGTGGTGAAGTCGTGGCTGATTTCCAGCCGGTCGCGGAATGTGGTGCCTGGGCGGGTTGGCGGGATATCCGTAGAGGGTAAGCCGAAGCGCCCACGGTCCAGACTCCAGCCGGAGCAGGATGGGGATGGGGAATCAGTTCATGTGAGCATCAGAAAAATAAAAAAAGAACAGGGTAAATAGCAAGAACGTGGCAAGTGGGAATTGATAGTTTAGTTAGAGCTCGGCATAAAGAGGAGGAATTCCCCCTCGTCGTGGTAGTCCAAACTTCTATTGACCTTAGTGGTGTATATACTCGGCCTTCGTGTATACTTCTTCTATACTTCCCAACGGGTATAATTACTCTTCTCTACTCCCCCAATGCTTTACATATGAACAACCCCCACTCGAGACACTCATGCGTCCCCCAAAATCACAATCAATTCCCCATCCTCCCCGGTCTTGCTGTTGGAAATCAGCTAACATGAATAATAATCCCAGTGTCCCGCTGCGTCAACTCCCCACTTTTTCCCCGCCTTCGCATCGCTTCAAGTCCAATCCGCGAGCCGCTGTACAACAGTGATACCAAGTTTCATCAACGGGCTCTCGGACCTGTGAATTACACGACAGTTTGCCGATTGGCGACTTGGCTTTTGGCGGCACCGTACGACGAATTGCGCATAGGAAACGATTGTACAAATACGACTGAGAGTCCTGCGTGGAGTTCCCCGGATTTTCGAGATCGATATACCTCAACGGTTCGCATTTGGATATACATTGCGAAAGTGATCGACACCAACAAAAACCGGAAAATTCGACTTCTTGATCAATAATAATGCAGAGTATGTCTCCTCGACGTTCTTGTCCCCACCATACTTTGGTCACCAATTAAGCAAGCGCATACTGCGCGATGGGGCAAATGCGCCCAAAAACCAGACAAGAAAGCTCAAATTGACATTCTCCCCTAGCCAAGCACTTTTTCTCCGATCCGAACCATCTGGTTCTGACCGCACTCAACTCTCTCACCCTCACAAACCCTACGCTAGCCTTGGACGTCCAAAACAAGATCATCTTCCGCCGCCCAGATGCTCCCCGCAGGCCCGGCAAGGTCTCCATCATAACCGGTGGTGGCTCGGGCCATGAGCCTGCTTTTGCGGGCTTCGTCGGTAAAGGTCTCTGCGATGCGTCAGTTGCTGGAACTATTTTCGCCTCGCCTTCGGCAGAGCAGATTCGCAGAGCGGCAATTGATAGAGTCCCCACGGACGCTGGCGTCCTTATTCTTCCTAATAACTATACCGGTGATGTGTTGAACTTTGGTATGGCTGCTGAGAAGTGCCGTGCTGCTGGTATTCGTACCGAGTTCTTTGCTATCAATGATGATGTGGGTGTTGGTCGGGAGAAGGGTGGTAAGGTCGGACGTCGTGGTATTGCTGGTGGTGTTCTCATTTTGAAGATGGCTGGTGCTCTGGCTGAGACTGGGTAAGTTTGGACCGATTTGTATAGATATTAGAAAGTCGATGCTGACGGTATATCTGCAGTGCTTCCCTGGAAGAGGTTTACCAGCTTGTACAATTCGCCAATGATAATTTGGTCTCGATTGGTTCTTCGCTAGAGCATGTCCACGTTCCTGGCCGTGGTGTGCCGGAAGATTTCATCCCCGAAGGCGAAGTCGAGATTGGCATGGGCATTCACAATGAGCCTGGCTCCCACCGCGCAAAGGCCGATCTGGTTGAGACAGTCTCGACTATGCTCAAGCATCTGCTCGACCAGAACGATGCTGATCGCGCCTTCGTGAAGCGCTCTCCCGAGAATGAGTTCGTTCTGTTGATCAACAACCTGGGTGGGGTTAGCCCTATTGAATTGGCTGGTATCACCGACGAGGTACACCGTCAGCTGGTCCGTGATCACCAGGTCAAGCCCGCCCGAGTGCTTCAGGGCACTTTCTTGACCAGCCTGAACGGTATGGGCTTCAGCATCTCGCTGCTGCAACTGGCCGACAATGGCATGGGTCCTGGCAAGTCGATGCTCGAGCTGATTGATGCCCCTGCTGAAGCTGTGGGTTGGGCTGCTCCCATCTCCGCCTCTGCATGGAACGAGCGCATCGATACATCTGTGGAACTCAAGGTATCCAATCTCGTCGACGAAACCCCGAGTAACCTGGAGCGTAAGTCCAACATCTACTCTTGTCCCCCATAACCCGTCCCTGAATAACTAAAACTTAACCCCATCCCATCACAGTCGACCCAGCCATTATCAAAAAGGTCCTCAGCGCCGGCCTCAAGCGCGTTATCGCCGCCGAACCCGACGTAACCCGCTACGACACCATCGTCGGCGACGGCGACTGCGGCATCGGCCTCAAGCGCGGCGCTGAAGCCATCCAGAAACTCCTCGACAACTCCTCCCCCGCCCTAACCCCCGACGCCGTCACCACAGTCCTCCGCATTATCGACGTCGTCGAAAACGTCATGGACGGTACATCCGGCGCCATCTACGCAATCTTCCTGAACGCACTCGCCCACGGGCTCCGCGACCAAGACACCGGCTCTAAACTCCCCGTCACGACGGAAGTCTGGGCGAAGGCGTTGAAACACTCCGTTACCGCATTGGCCAAGTACACGCCCGCGAAGCAGGGGGATCGCACGCTGATTGATGCGTTGGTGCCGTTCTGCGATACGCTGCTTGAAACGCTTGATGTGCGGGTTGCGGCTGCGGCGGCGCAGCAGGGGAGTGAGTCGACTAAGAGTATGAAGGCTAGTCTGGGGAGGTCGGTTTATGTTGGTGGGCAGTCGGAGTGGATTGGGAAGGTGCCTGATCCTGGTGCTTATGGGTTGAGTGAGTTTTTGACTGGGTTGGCTGAGGCGGTTTAGATTTTGATATGATAGATCTGTCTTGGGCTTCTTGGTGGAAGGGGGAAGATGGCTTTTTCGTTCCTTGTTTTTCGATATAAATAGCGTTTCATTTGGCTCGAGGACCTTGGTTGTTTCTCGTGGTCTTGTTCTAATATAATCTCATGGTGATGATGATAATGACTCTCGAGTTGTCTGATTTAGATTACCGGGGCGTAAATAGTCCTGGCTGTAGAACTCCTAGATCGTTATGTCGCCATGGTATTTCGGCGTCAATATGGATGGTATCTAGGTGAAAGGAGATGTAAGTCCGATGATGTGCCGAGCAGTGACGTGGCTCAGGGAGGGCGCAAGAGCTACTGAAGCTGAGTGATAGCAGTTACTTCGTATGATATCTGCTCTACAACCAATCAGAGTTGCGCGTATACGAATGAAAGTACTTGAAACGTCCATGATCTCTAAAAATTCCATTGCTAACAAACATCTCCTACTCCAAGGACATGACGCCGCCCAACGCTTACCTCTAGAAGCGTGGATCCATCGAACCCGAAATACACAACTGAACGCCGGAGATAGTTTCATTTTTATCCATCCAACTTTTGACCACGAGCTTCGGCCGAAGTAACGTTACAGACCGACGTTACCTCTTAAAGGAAAACAGGATGTTGATCTGGGAAGCGCTATCGGTGTCCAGAAGCAAGGGCGGCAGGAGTTGTGTTGTAGAGTCAGGCAAAAACTAGATAAGAAAAAGGGTATCGAGATCGATTACATGAGGGATCCTTTTTTGATCCCACAAAGCAAAAAGCGAACAAGGGCTTGTTCTCTTTGTGGGCATTTAAGCGGCGCACGATGCAGGAAGATCAACCGCCCTGCAGATTCGGATCCCAGATCCCGGGGGCTGCAACCCGGGTGAGATGAACGTGCGCGATAAAAAAAATAGGATGACGGGAAAAGCGCTCAGCTGAGCAGGACAAGGATGACAGAGTCGCCACGCAGGAACCTGGTTGGAAGGGAGAAAGATTAGTTGATAAGAACTCAAAATGGTCCAGCTCATCATCAATCCCGTTAAGCCGTATCGGGTAATCAAGATAGCGCTCAAGTCATCAACCGTCTCAGTCCTGAACTTACATCTTGCTGACGAAGCGGTCCTTGTTCACACCCTTGCCTTTGCCGCCCTTGGGCTTCTCGGTCCACATCTCCTTCACGTTCTCCAGCACCATGTTGCAGTGTCGGTCAAAGGCCTTGACACGGGCCAGCAACTTCCGATTGTTACGGCAGGAGATCAGGACCTGAGTGTGTGTGCGGGTGGCGGTCTGCAGAAGCGAGAGGGGGCCGGCGGTGAGCTCGTGCTCCTCGACGAGAGCGACCTCATATTCTCTGTAGGATGCGCGATGCACGATTAGTTTTATGTACACTTTGGCCTGCATGCATTGGAATGTGATGGCATCGAGGGGAGAGCAAGAGATCGCGGTCGGAGATACTGTCAACCCCGCATTGCCGGAGACTAGGCAGCACTCGGAAAGAAAAAAAGAGGGGGTAACAAAGATGCTCATCGGTCGAGCGAACGGGCAACATCAGGGTGGTCGGGCTTGGGAGGGAAGTGGAAAGACATACGTGAGCTCACTCTTCGGCTTGTTGAGCAGGTCTCTGTGCGGGAAACGGGTCAGCTGAGATACTTCAGTGTATGATGAGTCATTGATTTTGAAACGTACTGAATCTTGGGGTCCGGAGCTGTCGACATGGTGTGTGTGGAAGGTGGGAATATAAAAGGGCCTTGATGGTCTCGTCGGAGTTGTTGAAGATCGCGCGGCCGTCAAGTTCGACCTATCACGTGATCTGGCAAGCTGCTCAGTTGGCAGCCTGAGATCTCAGGCCATTCACTGCGCGATTGGCTCCGTCACGTCGCGTACACGCTTGTTGATCGACGGATAGCTTCAACCCGCGTATGCAAGGTCTCTTTTTTACATCTTCTCCCCCGCCTCTTCTTTCTTCCTTACTCCCTCCTCACTTCTTCCCAGCCTTTCTTCTCCCCTCTGCAGGTGTATGTCCCTTCTGGTCTTCCAATTCCTTTTTGTCCTACGTAACCAATCCATCCTAAGAGGCGGTCTATAATTTGCACCCTGCCGAGGAATCGCACTCTCAATCACCCGGCTAACATTCCAATGCCTGCAGTTACTCCACCACCTGCAGCATATCCTATCGATTCTCCCGGACGACCAAGTTGATTAATAGTTGGCTCGAAACTGCCCCGCTACCACCTAACCATCCCTTCCGAGTACTCGAGTTGTATGAAAACCAGCTTTATTGCCCTATCCTGTCCGATTCAATACCCACATTCATACACTCCCTACCTACTGGCAACTACAACCCTGCCTTCTTATACCTCCGAAACCCGCTATCGACCTCCCATCCCTCTTAAATCTTCCCGATTTTCGACATCGTCCTCCAACCCGCTGTCGTGCATGGTGTACAAGCTGAGTTTGTTGAGATGGAATCTCAGGACGGAATTACCGTCCGGCCGATGAGGCTAAAGGTCTTGTACACGTTTGACAACGAAAACAAGACGAATTGCCTCGCTCGGTGGCCCCACGTGCTCGATCTCCAAACTGCCTTTTTGGATGAGCAAACTCAGATCGGTGTGATCGAGTTGAAAACATGCATTCAGGCAATTGTCTCTGCCAGGTTTGACTCCCTTGCCCCTTATACTGTAGAAGGTCTATTGGAATACTCACACGGACCAATTTAGCCCTGAGCTGGTGGCACAGCTGGGAAAGGACTACACAGTCTACGCCTACGATTACTCCGAATACGAAACTCCCTTGGTTGGACAGGGAATGCTATCATGGGTCCTCGCTTCCGCCTCGCCAACACCCGATGCTCCTGCTCACCAATCCAAAACGATGGTAACAGGCCGGGTGTGCAAAAACCCTCTAGGACTGTTCTCGAAGGGCGCCCAGGAGACATTGGAAGTCAAATTGCGGCTGGTCCCAGTCCCTACCGTGATGCAAAGCGAATACATCGACAGCATGCAAAGGTACCGCGAATTGAGCAATGTTATTCCTCACGATTTCGATGCCCAGTCATGGACGAATTTTCTCCGACAAAATCCTGCTCTCCTGGAGGCCTCTCGGAAACAGCAACAAGGTTGCGTGACTTCGCCAATGGATCAATCGGGTATCGAACGTGTTCACCAGCTCCTGAGTGAGAGTACCACACCGCGGGATTACTCCAACAATTACCCTACCAACGAGTCAATCCGTTCGTCATCGCCAACCCACTCCTTCGGTCCGCCTAGTCGAATGTCTACCCCCGCAGGAACTCGCACTCCTACACATTACCAACAGCCTCTGCAACCAAAGCAGAGCTTTTCTCACAGTGACAATATCCGCCCTTCATCTAGTGCTTCCATGCAGGACAGTGACTTTCAACTTCACCAATTTGGTAGCCAATCCCGAAGAGATTCGATTCATTCGGGCTATGGTAGTGGAAATGAGGATGCAGTGGAACCCCAGCAACGGAAAAGGGCCAAGTTGTACCAAGCTGGATGGCCCGGCAAGTCTGATATGAACATTGAACGACAGCCTAGCTCCCTGCGAGTGGCTGCTAGCACTGCAGCCTCTGTACGGATCCACCGTCCAACCCCAGTGAACCCTGCTCTTTCCGTAGAGCAATCTCACGAGGAACCCGTTCGCCCTCCGACTCCTATCTCTCGGCCTGGAGATTTCCAACGCCGAGTCCGACTACCCTCTAGCCTGTTGCGGGAGAGCTCAACGCATAGCAATAGCTCATATACATCTCCTTACATTCATAGCGATGATGTAGCTACCGACCAGACAGCTCATTCTCCAGAAGACCGGTACCAAGGTCTATTCGAGCCTCCCTTCAACATGCCTTCTTCACCTCCAGTCTTGGAGTCCCGCTTCCCGTCCCGATCTAGTCCCAACTTGCCTCCTATCTCTCTGGATACTGACTCTGGTTTCATGAGCGGTGGTCTGGATGATCTCCTGGATGAGGGAGCGGGCACCCCTGTGGAGGATTCCCAGAGAGCCGACTCCCGGCCTGTGACTGGCGAGAAGCGCCACCGGTCAGTTCGCTCTGCAGTACAGGCCACTCCTCCTGCAAGTGCCATTGGTCTGGTATCAGAGGGTCTGAACGATTCCATGCTAGTCAGTGATGGTCTAATGGAGCCGAAGTCCAATCAAATACCACAACTTCCACGTCCAAACACGTCATCTGGCTCTAGACCATCTTCGCGAATGAGCTCCCGGCCAACACCGAAACCACTGGCACCCGCACCCATGTCACAAAGTGAATTGGAACAGTTCAGGAGGGCCATTCCGGCAAGTGACTCTGTCGCTCCTCCCCCACAGCCGTGTGCCTTCTATTCGCAAAATAGCGCGGGGCCCATGAGCGATTTCTCTATTGTCGAGACGCCGGCACCTCAACCTGAGTACACTCGAAGAGCTCCTCGTAGTGGAGGTGCAGCGAAGAGGGCAATGCAAGTCCAGGCTCGGCTGGACGCGGCGATTGCCAGTGGTGGAATTCCACCCTACTGTGAAAACTGTGGAACTATCGAAACACCTACATGGAGACGGGCATGGACCAAAGATATCACTGGTAGTGAAGAGGATGCGAAGGGCATGATGAAGACGCGAGGTCTGCTCTTCTGGGAAGTGCTGGAGCGAAATGACAACAAAGAAGTTGTCAGGTTCAAACTCTACAAGAAGGGCCTAGGGGTGACTCCTGAGGACCAGGGATGGACCCAACTCCTGCTTTGCAACCCTTGTGGCCTCTGGTTGCATAAGTGCAAGACTATGCGCCCAGAGAACCGATGGAATCGGCAGCCACCGGCGTGTGGCACCGATGGCAAGCAGAAGCGTCCCTCTAGGAACCGCAAGCAGAGCGGTGGTCCCTTGTCCAAGCCCTCTACCCGCACTCGCAGCAAGGCTGTGTCGGTTCGGACTGCACAGTCTTCTCCTGCCCCCACAGAAGCATCCTCCGTGCACAATGAGGAGGGCGCTACTCCTAACGTGGAGGATCATGCGGACGAGGGCCAAGATCAGGATCAAGCCCAAGACCCGGATGAGGAAGCAGAGTATCCCAACAAGCGACGCCGGGCAAACAGTGCTGAGCCTCCACGATCCAGCGAGAAGCCTCGCTGGGACCAGGAGGAGGCCATTGAGGCCCTGCGTCTTGCTATTCAATCCAGCCCGGCCAGGAATATCGAGAATCGCAACTTCCCTGCCCCAGATGAGACCAAGCTCACACCCAAGCCTGTGCGCCGCGCTCTCTTCGCCTCTTCTCAAAAGGAAGGGCCAATGAAAGAGCTTGGCGCATCGTTCGTGAATAGCTGCTCGCCTCGTCGCAGCCCTCGCTTCACCAAGGGTGAGAAGCATATCCAGGAGAAGGAAAATCAGGCGCCTACACCTCAGAATGATCTCGATGACCTCTTCGAGGGTCCTTCTCTGGACTTCGATCTGCCTGTCAGCCCGACTCCTCGACGCCGCCACACTCGCCCAGGTGCCATGCACGAGAGACGCCACTCTCTGCCCTGCAACTCGCCAACTGCCAACAGGCGGAAGGATGTCGGGGTATCTACAGCGGCCGCTCGGGCCGCTCGCCTCACTGCTGAGCGATTGCAGCGCGTCCAGGAGGGCGCAGATCATTCTCCCCGCTCTACTCGTTCTCAGACTCGATCTCCTGCCAAGCAGGGTCTTCCCGCACTGCCTGATGCTGGTCTGCACTCCGAAGCCTTTGCACCTCTGGATGGCATGATCCTCGACATCTTCGAGGAGGTCACTGACGAAACCAATGCTTTCCAGCTTGAGAATGACAAGTTCTCCGGCAACAACTGGGCAGACTGGCTCCCCACCGACTACGTCTCTCCCACCGCGTCCGATGAAGAAAACAATCCATCCGACGACCTAATCAACGCAATTCTTTCGGATCCGGCCATCCTGAAAGAGTCTCTCCACAACTCTGAATTCAATCCCTTCAACTTTGACAACAACGTCGTCCCCGACTCGGGCTTCTTCAGCTCCGATGCTCTCCAAACAGACCCCGGGGGTCTAGCCACTTCCCAAGCCAGCAAGCCTCCCAAGGAGCGTGGCCAGGCAGCCACTTCCCCCGCATAATCATAAACGGCCTTGTCTTGTCGCATTTGCTCTTAATGTTTTATTCTTTCTTATTATCTCCCCCTGCATCCTTCTGGGTCATTTTTAGCGTTGGCGTTCAGGCTTGCGAGGTACACACTATCTTGTTACCTTTTGTTTACATACCGGTCTTCACCTACGGGTGGTCCTATGGTTTTTACGTGATGATTCTCTTTTTTATTATTTGTCATGACCAGAAGTACCAGATAGATGGGCTTCGAAGCAACCTTCGTTTTTGAAGAGAAAATGAACTTTTATTGATCGAGTCAAGTCATAGGGCTTTCTTTCAACGTAGACCGTGGTATTGTCCATGTGACAGAGTAGAGCTGAGAGCACACTTCGGTCATGTTGAAGGCGCAGAAAACGCAGAGGAATTCTTGAGCCGCCCTTGAAACGTGCGTAAAGTCAAGCCGGAAGGGTGTCTATATGATGTGAAGAAAGTCCCACCTTTCCAATGAACATCAGCATTGTTTAATCAGCTCATGGCTAATTACGATGTAAAGCTCCTGTCTCATTTTACGTTTACACCCATTGTGGGTAAGGACCGTAGTATAGTTGATACTGAAAGGTTTGCACTATCAAACTTGGACATCTCTCACTTCGTACTCTGGGTCAGATGATAATGCCACGAGATAGGTGCAACAATCATCAAACTCCTCGAGCATGCACTGCGAGATACCTAGACCATAAGGCAGACAGATAGATCATTAAGAGTTAAAATTTCAAGCCGGATGGATTTTCTGGGCTTTTAAAGACGCAGGGTCATACAACCAGAGAGCAGGTCGATTTCAAGCGGGTATTGGGCAATGTTGTCGTGGACAAAAGTTCCATTGATCATGAAATCGTACGTGATATGCAAAAGTCCAATGAGGACACGAAACAAGTAAATGGTAACATCGAATCACCCCATCCTCTAGACATGACTTCTAACAAATATTCGGATCCTGAGAACACGGCATATCCTTCATCCCACCTCAGCTCAGTCACTTTTTACTCTGCGTCGTAGAAGATAGACTTGAAGCGGTGGGTGGCCTCGACGACCTGTTCGTAGATTTTGTAGTCTGTAGGGCATGACATTAGCATCAACATCAGTAAAACAAGTCCGAATCTTTCGCGACTGTGAAAGAGAAAGAAAGACTTACCGCAGTCCGAAGGGTTACCCCAGTCCGTCGTGCCCAATACCCGAATACCAAGACCCTGAGGAGACAAAATTAGCTCTTGTACTATCGCAAGACCTTCCTTCCAAATATCCATTCTTCACGTGCAACTCGTATTGCACGAAGAAGATAGCTATCGTGCTTCAACATACCTGACCACCCTCCAAATCAGTAACCTTCCCTACAACCTCCACGAGCTTGCCCATTTGCAAATGCGAATCCGGCTTCAAGAGGAGAGTGACATCGCCATTATTACCACATGTAATTGTGGCTTGGTCGCCACGGAGTCCGGTCACTGTGCCTAAGATGCGGACGGTGTGTGTTGAGCGTGGGGCTGAGCTGGAGGGGTGGAAGGCGTTGAGGTGGGAGGGGAGGATGCGGGGGGTTTGGAGGGACATTTTGGTGGTTGTTGATAGAGACTTAAAAGAGGGGTAGTGAGGCGATCAAGAGGCTTTCGAGGTGTGCGAGTAGTTGGTTTGGATCCGGAGTTGTCTTGAGCTTTGAAGCTTCTTGGGGTTGACGCGGTGCGCGGGACGCGTGATCACGTGCGGATCGTGATGCACTTACGGCTGATAGTGTAGGTACTTGCCGTAGAGAGAAGGTTTTGAGAAGAGGTTTGAAGAAGAGTCTTGGAGGCATGAAGTCGCTTTCTTACAGTCAATATTGACGATATCAGACTCCAATCTTTAACTTAGGGTGTATCTTCCAATTCCTACTTAACTATCCCTCTAGTCGCAATCTGGTATCATCACGTGATGATATCAATTTCATCCCGAAGCTCTGCTTTCTCCGACGAGTAACGTCGACAGGAAAGCTTCAAGTCCCCTCAACCCGGACCAGCGGGCCACTGCCTTATTATTCGGCTTTACATTGGAGTCACCATAATTATCCTTCACCTCGTTGCGCCCAGCTTCAACCATTTCCCATCCACCTCACCACAATGCCACCTCCGCTCCCCTCCCAACATCGCGGAATGACCGCGAACCCACTTAAACCTGTGGGTCGGTATCGCCCCGGAAAGGCGATCGCGGAGGAGCCATCATCTGAGGAGGAAGAAGACGAAGAGGAGGATATCGAGGCGCAAAAGGAACAAGAACGAAAGCGTCGAGCAGAAGAGCAGCGGCGAAGACAACAAGCGCCCAAAGCGAGCTCATTCCCCGCAGCTGCCATTAAAAAGGCTCAAGAAGAGGATGAGGATGAAGAGGGATTCGTGACGGATGAAGAAGAGGATGAAGCATCCCCACCACCTGCAAAGGCTACCCCCCAGGCCCGAATCGATACCGCGCAAGCTTCGGTGCCACGAACCGCGCCTAGCGCAAAGCTTGCAGCAAGTGACGAGGAGGAAGAGGATGACGAAGAGGAGGAGGAAAGCTCCGAGGAAGAGAGCAGTTCAGAGGACGAAGCGCCACGACGCATGTTCATCCGGCCTACATTCATTAAGAAAGATAAACGAGGCAATGCGGGTGGACAAGGCGCAGAAGCACCAGCCCGAGCACCGATCAGTGGCGCCGACTCAGCCGCAAATAATGAAGCTCGACGAGCTCAACGTCAAGAACTAGCAGATCAATTGGTCCGAGACCAACTCGAGAAAGACGCGATCGCAAAGTCCGCCGCAAACAAAGCCTGGGACGACGACGACGACCTCGCCGAAGCCGACGAAGAAACCGCCATCGACGACCGGGACGATATCGACCCAGAAGCCGAATACGCGGCCTGGAAACTGCGCGAACTAAAGCGCGTCAAGCGCGAGCGCGAAGCCATCGAAGAAGCAGAGAAAGAGCGCGAAGAGATCGAGCGCCGGCGCAATCTCACCGCCGAAGAACGAGACCGCGAGGACCGCGAGTTCATCGCCAAGCAGAACGAGGAGCGCGAGGCAACCCGCGGCCAGACCGGGTTCATGCAGCGCTATTTCCACAAGGGTGCTTTCTTCCGGGACGATCAAGTGCGCGAGGGTCTGGACCAGCGGAATGTCATGGGTCGGCGGTTTGCAGACGACGTCGCGGTCGAAACGCTGCCTCAGTACATGCAGATTCGCGATATGACCAAGCTAGGAAAGAAGGGACGCACGCGCTATCGCGATTTGAAGACGGAGGATACGGGACGGTTTGGCGAGGGCTATCAGAATCGGAGGCGGGAGAATGCTCCTCCTGTTGGAATCACGGACGAGCGGTTTATGCCTGATCACGGCGATGATCGGGATCATGGACCGACGGGACCGACTGGTGCTAATGCCAGTGCTGTACGGCCGCGGCGGAGGTCGAGATCGCGGTCTCCTAGGAGAGACCGGCGCGAAGACAGGAGTCGATCGAGGGAGCGGAGGAAACGTAGCCCGTCGCCATATGATGACCGGGATAAACGTCGACGAGTAGAGAGCTCTTAATGAGGTGGTCTTTTCATCTTTTTGTGGGCGTTGGTGGCGGCGTTTTCTATTAAAATCTTGCATGGCCTGGATTCGAGTCTATGTACTATACTGGCATTTCGAGCAGCAGATACTCTTGTTTTATATAAGATATGGCATACCCCTCTCCTGGAGGGTTCATTATGTTCATCTAGTTGGCCAACCTGCCAGCAAAGTCTTTGTGCATGAAAAATCACTGCCTTCATGACGATCCGATTCTCTTGATCAGCATTGTTCCTGTTGATGCATGAAGTCAACAAACACAGCTGAATCGTCGGCCTAGGAGGAGTTGTCGCTCCGAAACAAGAACACTTATGAGTATACTCGAGTACGCAAGATAGCGTAGTAATAACTCTCTTCCATACCTGCACCAATGACCAGCAGATGAGCAGGAAGCAGACATCCATCCCGAACTGAACCTTCCATAGAGGGCCAGTCATTAAACAATCTCTCGCAAACCCTTATTTAATCCCCGCCCTCTCAAGCACCTTCTCCCTCTCCATCACACTCTCCCCAAACCCAAGCAAAAACACCGTCCGACTTGGCCACATCTCCGTCGGCTGATTATGCGCCGAAACCTTCGCCTCAAAACCGCACCCATCACAAACACCCTCGATAATCCCTGCCACAAACGCCGCGCAATTGAGCTGATTCATCTCCCGCGGCACGCTGATATACGTATTCACCAGCGGATCGTTGTCCGTGATCATGTATTCGTTGGGTGTGTCGGGAGAGACGGAGTGCTCGAGGGCATCGGCGGAGCGGCCGAAGAGGAGGCGCCAGAGTGGGCCGTGGATGAGGTGGAGGAGGGTTAGGATGCGGAGGGGTCGGTTTGGTGGGGAGGAGGAGGTTGAGGAGCTGGAGAGGGCGGAGGAGGAAGTTGTTGTTGTGCGGTAGAAGAGGAGGTCGAGGAGGCGGAGGCCGAGGGGGTAGCCTTGTTCGTTTAATCTGGGCGGGAAGGTCAGAGGATTTGATTCGGGCAGATATGAGATGTATTGTTCAATCTCTGTGAATAGCGTACCGTTTCTCGAGATCTTGAATGCCCGTTACCCGTCGCTGGGCATATGTGACCATCTCGGCGAAGAGATACGCGAAGCTCGCCCGGCTGAGCTCTGCATTTCGACTCCGGTTCAGGTGTCGGTCGTAAATGGTCTTGCGGTTTGATGGGACGCGGAGTCCTTGTGTTGGCTGGGGTGTTGAAGGCGGCTGTGCAGTCTGTGACTTGTCGCTTGATCCAGATTGCGGCGTTCCTACGGCGTTGCTCACGGATAACATCGCCGAACGCCCAGGCGGCGCGGCCATGGTGTGTGGTGGGATTGGAAAGTAACGGGTGTATGCGAGACAGTCGATTGAGGGAGACCAAGAAGGGGAATTGGTTTGATTCGTGATCTGTACGGGATCAGAGGATCAGGGTATCTGGATTGTGGTGGTCAGGGAGGGGAGATGAGTGAAGCAGGGGTCTGCCGCGGCGAAGCTGTGGATGCGATCTACGGTGGAGCACATCGCCCGGGGGTGCAAGTCTTGGGCATTTTGCAGTTTCAAGGAGCTACGTCCTGCTGCGGCTCAGCTCAAGCTCGAAGCAAGAAAACTCTATTGATTTGAGGGTTTACGAGGGGCATTTGTTTTGTGAAAAATATTTGTATTAATTTCATAGATTCTAGACACGATAGCTCTTTCTACTCCCGACACAGCTGGTCCTTTGGTACAGAGCCGCCAACCAGACTGGAAAAAAAACTTCCAACCAGCTAGGAGCACACGACCAAACCCAGCAGCACCAGGGGCCAGAAGCTATATATCGCAATTGCCAATGGCAGCTCGAGAAGAGCAAAGGAGATCCCTGTTAAGTTCTAAGAACCAAGCCTGTTAGCAGGGGGTTCCACCACGACAGAAAAAGTCGTCATAAAAGATCGACAAGCGACCAGCAATTTCAATCAGACATCCAAGGAAGTTATGCGCTCAACACCATCTATGATTTAGGTTCGGCGATGGCTAGCGTGGAAACTGCGAATGTAGGAAGTTTTTCATCATAGAAATGAGGTCGTCACTTGGTGAAGAGACGACCCTTGCTGGTCGAGTGCGATGCAGAAATGACAACAGGAATATGGTAACTTACCAAGTCAGTAGTAAAGAAAATCGCAAGAATAGTTGACTGAGAATATTCTCTTCCCGTCACCCGAGCAAGCAGAGGAAGATCACATTAGACTTTCTTTGTTCGTTGGGTTGATGGTTTGAAGATGGGAGAGGGAAGAGAAGAGAAGAGCAGAAAAATTATCGAGAGGATTTTATACCGGCGAGTGGATTGGCGGCGCGGAGTGGGGCTTTCCTGCTTTGGTTTAGTGTGTGAATCACGTGTGATTCATCACGTGATAACAGAGCATCAAATATGGGAAGCTCCACTGTAGCTTGAGCAGTGGAAAATTCTGGAATATCCACTTGAAAGCTGTTCGGAAGCTGATGGGATCGAAGGAGATACGTAATGAGAAGGGAGAACGAAAGCAGCCTCGGTAGACCGTGTCATGAAACTTCCATACGCGAGTCTCTGAAATAGGAGGACTACTAAAGACACGAAACCTCGTTGAAATCCACTTCAACAATATTCAAGCCAATGTTAATTCCACTATGTACCCTGTATGTACTCCTAGCCAGGCCATCCACTGACCATCGTGGCCCAGCCAAACTCAAATCAAAGAAAAACGAGAACCAAACCAAGAATATGGCCAAATCCTATCCTCACACCATGCTTCCATTTTTGCTTCGAAAATCAAGGCCTGGTAAAGCTCTTTTGCTTAGTCCGGGAATTCCAATTCAACGTTTTAGATATACTGTGCACCCAGTCTTCGCCACGCCGATCCTGTGGCAACACACCGGCGAATGGGTATCGCGATGCAGACACGGTCACGTAATCGCCGGGATGTAGTTCGACTCTGCAGATAATAGATTACATAGTCAGCCAAAATGATACGCGTTACTCAAGACAAAGCCAACAGATATTTAAATCTCGACTCACCTCTCCCGTCCATCGAAACTAGCCCACGAACTGGTCCTCGCATCGTAGGGCACACCCATGCGTAGCACAATAGTGTCTGGTAGGATAATCGGACGGAAGGATAGGGTGTGGGCGCAAATGGCGGTTACCAGAATAACTGGATTCTCCGGGTGTGACAGCGAGCCGCCGGCCGCGAGATTGTACGCCGTCGAGCCCGTCGGGGTTGCAATGCAGATTCCGTCTGCAAGTAGGGTGGTGAAATGCTCGTCGTCGCCAAACAGTTCGATTTGAGACATGGCTGAAAGGGTTTGTTAGATATTCACAGTTGCGAGGAAGAGGGCCACTGGGCTTTGGCCTGCAGGGGTATATAGAGTAACGACTTACTTGGATTGGGACCGCGGTCCAGAACGACGTCGTTGAGAATCTCGTAGACTCGGTCCGGAGTATGGGTTAATGTATCTTCTCCTTCCTCGCCAATCAATTCTAATACCAGATCCCGACTTGTGAGAGCCCTTGAATTAGGGTCCTTCAACCGCGCTTTGCTCCGCATTATGGTGCATTCAAAGCGCAATCGGAGGCTGACGACAACGCCCTCCCGGAAAGCATTTTCGAGGATTTTTTGGTGGTCTGCAAAGTCGAACTTTGTCATGAACCCCAGTGAGCCGAGCGCAAATGATAGAACCGGCGGCACGATACGCTGGAACAACCAGCTCGTGTAGAGGACCGTCCCATCTCCTCCAAGGGTAATCACGAAATCGAATAGGTGCGGCTGTTCTTGCGCAAGCTTGGGATCCCAGTAAAGCAGCCGGCCCTTAGCCGAGGGCTCCTCTTGCACTAATTGCAGAGCTCCAAAATCCGGATGTGTCTCGAGGCGGCGCTCCACATAGACATTGTACGGCGCGTCGCGGTCCTTGGATAGCAGCCACCGAGTCACTTTCCTAGTCAGACTGACCAACGACTCATCATGTGTTTTGCTCACGATGAAGACGTTCTTGACCGTGAGCTTAAGCTTGATGCTACCCAGTTTCTTCGACAGTTTCCGCACGTTCCATGCCATGTCAGATAGTTGTCGCTTCGTCAGGTGGCGCGATTGAACGACTGTCGGTACCGGCTTGAGAACCTTATTGTCGCTATCAATAACAGACACCACGTCGTCCTCTTCGCCAGACTTTGTGTCGACGTTGGGCTCCTCGTCACTAAGTGTCCGGATCGCATCCTGGGTCTCGTCCACATGGGTCGACGGTACGGCCCATTCGCCAGCGATAAGGGAATGCACATAGCAAGCCGTAGATTTGTCGTACTGATCTAATTGTGGTCTGATTCGTGGTTTCTCCATCATAACGAGGGAGGATTTACGGCGGTGATTGGAGTCGGGGTAGAAGACGACCTGGCGGGGTGGCCCCGAAGCACGGGGATTGTCAGAATAAACATCAATGTAAATGAGTAATCAGGAGAACAATCATACCTCCAACTGATTCTGCAGTATCTCCGAATCGCTGATCCCTCCGTGACTCTGTGAATGCATCAAATCGAATCAGTGACTCGAGTCTCTAACCACAACCCCGCGCCTGCACTGTGACCAACGTACCTCGCCGGTGCCGCCCGGAGACGACCACCCGTGATCTTCGGCCATCGCACGCCAATTTCCAGGATTATTCTACGCCGCTCAGGCTGTCATTGTGGGTGCTGTTTAACTTCCGACTTGGCCGATACAAGGTGGGTTGCAAACGGGTTGGAATTCGGAGAAAGTGGGTATTGGTATGACGTCGCTCTACCCGTTCCCTCGTGAACCCCCGCCATCTTCATTTGTCACTGTTGCTTTGATTGAGAGTGTGGCTTTCTGTCTTCCAAGGCCCTTGATAGTCCAGAATGTTAACAAGTTTCAGATTTCTAATTATGCCCATTATTTACTTGACTAACCGAGGCCATTGGTGGGCTATGACAAGTCTTCTTTGAAGAATACTTGGGTACCGCGACACAGAATAGTATGTATATATAGTATGACCGCCGTTACTAGTAGTCTGCATTGCCGCCGCTTTTATGAGGGAGATCAGGTTCAATTTCACTGAGTACATGCCAATTACCCAGTGATCAATTCAAACACGCTTAACAAGCTTTCTCACCAACCTATCTTGGACTATACTCAAAAATACGTATCCCCACAGGCCAATCTACAATGAAGACGACGAACAGGCAACCAGAGAGTGCCATGTACATGTCAACAGGCCGGCCATGGGAGCGCCAGGGTAAGAGATCGCGTACACCCTGTGGAAAGCAGCGGAATTGTTTAATGACGGGATTGCTCTTGATCTTGTCATGGTGATGGTGGATACAAATAACTTGTCAGAATGGTATATAGGTCTACAGAGTTGTAGAAATTATCAATTGGAGAGCCGGACGTATGCTCAGCATTCACAAGTCCAGACTACGATGCAGCCCACGGAGTCCGTCTCGGCAAGGACCTCGATTCCTTTTACCCATATAACCACTCAGTCACCTTGTCATCTGATGGGGATTTCCCTTGAGAAGTCCCCATGGAATTTTCCCTAGAGACATTCAGGCCGAGCTTTTGCCGATTGCTTCGGCCCTTATTCGCATCGTAGTTTTTCTTCCACTTCTCTTTCTAGATGGTTCTCACGGATGTCTCACGGCTGTTCGAGCCAGATTGATAGATATGTTATCTGCTTTCTGTGGGTCGCAGCACCATCATTATCGGTATGTTGACTTCTGGTAGGTGCCGGAGGAGACTCTGGGCGGCTATATGGAGGCCATAATTCCTGAAGCCGGGCTTCGATTTGAGACGGCCCTAGTTGCCGTTCGCTTGGAGAAAGTAAAACATTCATAAGCAGAAATTCAATCGACTCCCTCATCACTCTCAAATAGAATCCCCCGGAGGCTGACTTTTTCAAATGAGTAAACCATTCAGCTACGGCAGGCTTAACTCGGGGCGTCTTAGCATTGATGTAGAAGTAGTCGTCATACTGGCTGTAGTAGTCAGCAGACTTGCCATATCGTCTTTTCGAAAATTCGACGATACCACCGTGACCTCCGTCATGAAGGTGAGAACCAAGCTGAATATGCAGCTAAATGACCACACATCACTCAAAGCGCTGACCTTCTCATAGAGTACTTCGCACTCCGGGGCTAGGTATGTCCCCGCCAATCTTGGTGCCAGATTTGTTCCCCTTGCTGCACTCACAGTTGAACGTCTTTAGCGAAGTTCTACCATTTAGCTTTCTCTTCACATCTTCTGTGTCTTTTTTTACCTCTCGGATCCTACTCGATTCAAGAATGCACACCTGAGAGGCTTTGCCGGCTGAGATATCCTCGGCAGGAGGTTGATCCACTAAGGTAGTTTATCCGTACCTAAAGAGCTTATTCGGCCAATGGATTAGCTCCGAAGTATAGCTCAATATTAGAACAGAAGCATCAAGTCTACAGCAGAGAAGAAAAATAGAATGATAAGCTAGTTTGATTGGGCGAGATCGTGTTTGTCATCGCCAGCTATTGCTTTGTTGAAAACAGTAAGAAAAGGTTGAGCGACTGCTTCCACGCCGAAGCTATCTGACTTGGGTAAGTCCCAAGGTATCCTTCCATGTGTCATAACTCCAGAGCAAATAAAATAAAAACCAGAGATAGAAATGTCAACTCCACGCTATGCTCGCTGTAAGGCTAAAAATGCAAAAATAATGATGATGATGGATGTGTTGAAGCGGTAGATGAGTTCAGACCCATCCGTAGCCATAGGTCATGCAGGGTTGGTTCAGGTTGGTGAATGGCTGCCCAGCAGCCATGGCGTGCTGATCAGAATCGTCGTGATCAAAGAAGAAGGACTTGTGCAAGAGGTTGAGAGCTTGCTTAGAGGACTGTTTCGGGATTGAGAAGTTCGAGTGCTGTGCAATGGGGAGCTGCTCTTGTGGGCTGAATTGTGGCTGAGTTGGCCCGGGAACGTTCACTTCCTCATCAATCTCGCCCTCGGCATCCGCCTCATCGTCCTCATCGTCAGATGGCGAAAAAGTCTCCTCCAGTTTCAGACCTTTGCCGGGTGTTTCCTGGTGAACTTGACCAAGAGCGTTGGGCTGGATGTAGAGGCCCATACCTACAAGCTCTTCCTCAGGCTTGCCGGCTTTCTTCTGAGCGAATGATGGTTCGTCGTCAAAATGTTGAATGGGCAAGAAGTCTGGTGTCGATGGACCACTCATTTCACCGGGAGAGGGTACACTAGCGTAGCTAGGGCAGGTTGTCTCTGCCGGAGGAATGTTGTTGGCCATCGAAAGCATATCCAGGGACCAGGTATCGGAAGGCTGATACATTGCCGAATAGTCGGTATTGGCGGTGGTATCCCAAGTGATCGGCTCGACCTGCGAGCCAGCCATGGAAAGCGATGATGTCTGTTGCGGGAAGGGCATAGACTCCTGCAGATCCGAATATGCGGGGAAATACTCAGTTGGGAAAGTAGGTCCCGCGGAGACCGGATAGGACATCATGCTGTCCGTCGGTAGACAGTTCATAGGCTGGTCTGACATAGTGGTCATGACGAAGTTCTCCGAGGCATAATCCGGCAGGCAGACTGGGTTGGAGAGCCCACGGGACCTGGCCGAGGAGGGATGCCAGGAGGTCGGTCGAGAATTTCGTGTGGTCGAGGCGAGGATGGCCGCCTCCAAGGATGACTGGTGATACTGATTGGGGATTCCATGCATGGCGTTCTGAGCAACGGCGGTGCGTCTCCGGATGGCCGACGAAGGGCTGTTCCCCGCACTACGGGGCTTCATGACCCGATTGTGTCGGGGTCGAGGGAAAGCACGAATCCAGTCTTGCATTTGAACGGTGAAAGGTTGACTAGGCGCATTTTCGGGAATCCATTGCGAGCCTGTTGAAGAGGCTTGCGGTTGTTGAGAACGGTAGTTAGAGTAATCGGCCATAAAAAGACAGGAGAGTGAGTTGACGGATGACTTGATATCACCCGTTTTTGATGAGATTTGATGATGACAGGAAGAGTTGACTCGAGTTTCAGAGTTGTTGAAGTAAAAGAGTTGAGGTGAGGTTGGCGGTAGATAGAGGTGGTGACAGTGGTGGTGATGGTTGATAGAAGGAAGGAGGGATGGTGAGAGCCGAAGTTCCTGTGAAGGAACGACGGCAGGAGAGGAGGTTTTGTATCGTGGGGATGCTAATTATGTCGTGTACGTTGAATCATTCCAATCAAACCAGGAGGCTGCAGGGCGGATGGTATTGATTATAAGGGGAGAGAAGATCCAGGGAGCCTAGTGATCGCCCCAAACTCCACGATCCCACCGCACATGCTAGCTTGCTAAGATGACACGACGTTGACACTAACGAAACGAGCCTAGTCCAACCAAAATCCCGAATCCCGAATCCAAATTTCCAAAAAGAAATAAAGAAAATGCAAAATAAATCTAAAATATGACCCAAAGTCATCGATGAATCAGAGCTAAATGGGGAGGCGGTTCCACCGTTTCGGCTGGGGACCCAGTCGCTAACCAAAGCCAACCAGAAACCAGCTCAGGCCAGCTAAACTACTAACGTTAGTTGGTTCATTAACCAAGGAGAGTGGGCAAGGGGAATATTCCGGACTGTACCAAGACGGGCCCAAGTGGAGGGATGATCGGACCTATACGTCGTAGCGCGGTCTGTTGAGGCGAACATGGGGAAAAACAGCCCAGTGGAGGGGTCCACTAGACTTGCGTTTTGGGGGTTTCTTTTCTTGGTCTTTGAGTCGTTTTTGGGTCTTGGAGGCTTGGAAAAACTGGGGCTTGGGATTTTGAGTCTGTATAGGGTGCATTTTATCTGCTATTATTCTTGTCCTAGACTCTGGTTACTTGAAATAGTTCATATTCCACACTTTATAGTCCATCGTATCTATACTAGGAAGTATGGAGTGTACAGTACATACTCTTCACTCTGGTGATTCCTGTATTAACTGTACAGACTATAAAGTGGACCCTCACACACGGGCCCAGTCTGGGGCTACACTTTGTTTGACTTTCTTTTCTTTTCCTCTCCATTAGTCCATAATTAATTATTACTATTATTACTAGTTCAAGTTAGTCTCCTCCTCTCTTTCTCAAGAATTGTCCCAAGAGCCAGGAACCTTGGCCCTGTACCCGCTCATGGAATGCCCGCCTGGCTGCGATCTGACTTGATCGGCGGTCACAACTGCCTTTTTTAGCGAGGCCCTTTACTGCGATTTCCTGTCGGTTTTACGGAGATGATCAGCCCTGCAATAAGAATGTCAGTTGGGGTCTTACATTACATACTACTATTCTCTCCGTTACCTTGGTGGGCTTGCACTATAAGAAATTGATCCTCTTTCGGTGATCCATGAGCTGCACTCTGTACTGGAGACCACCAATACTCCCCTACTATGGATGTATATCCCGGGGGATTCGTGTTCAATTGCGACCAAGGTCAAATCATCGTATTATTAGCCGCTCCTCCTCCATAGCGTCACGGCCGACTCCCGTTACGCAAGGGTGACAGACAATGTGATGGGCTCCATAAAAGAGATCGACTCGCACATCCTTCGTGTCGCTTCCTGTGCATATCGCACAGGGGTGATGGTCCTCAGTCCTCACACCCCCAAAAGAAAGACAGCGAACAAAAAAGGAAATTAGAAAAAAATCCCATGAATCATTATTCACCCTCAAAGAAAAGGAAAAAAAAAAGTGGAGTTCGGTAGAGGACCTCCGTCATGATGGTCTTAATTATTATTATACTTCGACCTAGTCATGTACCCGCATCCTCTGAACCGAGTACGACAGGGCGGAGGCAGATTTTGATGGTTCTGATGACTCTCGTTCGCGGAGGCTTTCCCAAGTGGTCTAGACCGAAGAGAGTTACTAACCAACCACACTGCAACCAACAAGCGGAAGCAAACTACAACCCAGAAACATCGGTTACCTACAAAAATATGCGTGTCGGTCAGCCATCAGCCACCCTTACCTTTAGCCCCATCCATATCCAGTCAGACGCAGAGAAACGAAAAAAGAGCACAGCAATGAGCAAGCACTTGGGCCCTTCTTTGTACCGTGCATACCCGGTGATGTTTCTTTTCTCCGCTGCAGGCGCCCTCATCCATCCGCGGAGTACATGATGCAGGAGATGCATCATCGCCGCTCCCGATCTACTACTTACAGACACGATAATTTGCGAATTTCCTTTTTTCCCCTCCGATCCCCAGCATTCCTCTCCTCGACTCATGACTGGGCCCTTTATACGCCCGCCCTGGAAATATGCTCCGTCGGGGGGTTGTGGATAATAGTGGATATGCCTGCATTGAGCATTCCTTCCTGGCTGAGCGATCAACGCCTAGAAAACAAAAAAAAAAAAAAAAAGCCCCCGCAACCAGCAAAGTCTTTTTTCAATATCACCTGAGCCTGGCACAGAGGCCGACAAGAAAAAATGAAAAGAGTCTGTTTTTTTTCTGGGCTGCATTGACTGCATTACCCGAGGAGGCGTTGTACGTAGTGGGCCTGTTTCAATGCCCGTCGTACCGCCACCGGTGTTCGCCCGTGTTCTTAACGACTCTGCTGGGCGGGAAGCTCGGCAATCCTAAGCGTTGCGCGTGGACCTTTACCTTTAATTTTAATTCATTCAGCATTTTTCCCTCTCGCCCGGGAGAAGGAGTTGATGGGGTTCTATCGTTTTTGACTTTTCTTGAGTTCTATGGGATATTGCCTAGGGAACCGAGCTCTGAACACAGCCAAAGTGACTCAACGAGGGGGTCACCTACGTATGTATGTCCTTTATGGGGGGAGCACGAGAAAAGTACGTGACTTGTGGCAAGGATTCGAATGTGATCAGTCCCCTTGCTATCATGACTCCTGCCTGAAGGGACAGATGCGAGATGGTACTCTGTACACATGCTAGATCGACTAGCATATCTAGGATCTCTTCTGGATACTCGATGGAGATCTCTATAACGGTGACGGTGTGACCGACAGCCTGGGATCATCCAAGGTCGGAGCTAATTTCCAGAAGATAGGATTCCCGCTCACTAACACACTAACGTGGGCCCAAGACGGGATTAGTTTCAATAAACATCGTGGCCCGCGTGGTCTGTGAGCAGATTGACCAAGAGCCCTATCCCAATCAAAGGGAAGAAAAAAAAATCAATCAGGACAAAAAGGAGTGAAAAATAAAAAGGGAAAAAAGATTGGATCAACCTTTCCTTGGATCAGGAAACGGGCGGTAGAGCCACCATTCACAACGTGGCCGGGCGGATCTGATCGTGCTTAGCGCCGTGCCGAAAGACCAGCCTTGGCTCTTGGGGTTCCTTAGTTCCTTAGGAGAGCCCGGGCCCTCCGGATGAGCAAGTTTGACATTTCGGTTCCCTTTTTTTATTTTTATTTTTTTTTTCAGTCGTTTGAGGTGGTCCCCTGAGCGCCATTGAATCCCTGTCCAACCGAGCGAGCTAAACTTGATTTGGGGGTTGATGGGTGGATGAGGTATCCCATGATGTTGCATAGAGTACATAAGCTAAGGGACCATCGGATATGTAAGTACATATTTGTAGACTCGATCGAGGATGACGGAGTATGCCATAAGGGGATATGGTTCTTAGGTAGTTCTGTCTTGACTGTAGCGATGCATCATCAATCTAGGTACAGTACAAGTCTACAATGCGAGGGATGCTTGCTTATCACGAAACAAAAGGAAAAACCCATGCTTCACGATGACCATTATTGGAACTATCCTCTATACAGCAAGGCACAAAAAGCAACCAGAACCAATGCAAAACACCCTCCAAAGTCCACCCTGACCACATCATTCCGCAGCAGGAAAGCGATCCCAAGGCCTGTACCGCTCGGAACGCATTTGCAGGGCCCACTTTCTGCACTGCTAGGCTCCACTATGGACAGCGAAAAATTGGAGAATCAGTCATCGTCCACGCATCCACCAACTTCCAGAAGCCTAGGAGTGTGGTTTATGTGGTACTGGAGCTGTCTTTGGTGGAGCCCTTTTCCATCCCTTCTTGTTGATATTGGAGACTCGGGATGCGATTCGCATGAAAGTTGCCGATCTTGAGAGTATGTGAACATACCGCTGACCGAAACGGCACGAATGTCACCACAGGTTTAGGGGAAGGGGGAAATAAGCTGGACTAGCAATGTTTGTCCAGCCATTCGCAAGGTAGGCGTCCAGGATATTCAATCTATGTGTGTGGACGAGTATACAAAGTACTGGGTTGCTCACCCAACATTGATGTTTCTCCCCTTTATTGAGAGAGGAACTTCGGCTCGTGTAAGTCAAGACTCTCTCACAAGCAGCCCGGCGAGCTAGCAGCACCAAATAAAAACCTTGATAACCCTGCATACCTGGCAAGATCCGAGGCCCCGTTCCATGTTTCTTGGCTCAAGTCCCGAATGATGCAGAATAATCAATAATCAATGAAATAGTTAAATTTCGCTTCTACAACGAAACTCCGTCCTCCGTCCTTCATCGCTAGAATGAACAATCACGATGTTTATCACTACTAACTACTACTTCATACTCTAGCAAAGTAATGGCGGTCACTCTCCGAGACTTGACCACGCCAGAACGGGGCTAGATCTTCCTTCGTTACACTCCTTTGGCTGTCAGCCTCTTTTTTGCTCCTTTCCCCTCTTCGGTCTCTGCGCCACCCCACTCTCCAAACCTCCAATGTGTGCTACATCCGCTAGTCGCCCGTCAGGACGGAGCAGTCACTGTTTAGTGGCTTGTAGGCTCGTTCCTGGGCGAACTCCATTCCTGAGTCCACTCCACCACTACCTACAGTGGCCATGTCCTCGTCCATCCCTAAGAATCCACACTTCCAGACCACAGTCACCACACGCGTTGTGCCGATCCAGCCCCTTCTCGCCTTTCCAGTCTTTGTCACCTCCCTTCGTCTTCCAGATGTTTCACCTGGTCTTGATGATTGATGATGATTGCCTGAATCCCACGCGCTTTCCCCCTCGGCCTCCACCCACCTTTTGTCTAGCTCTGAACCTTACCAGCTTCCTTCTTAGCCTCATGGAATTGCAGCGGGAGCAGCTGTGGGCTACAGTCGACTTGGCTTGCTCTAGTGGTATGTCATCTCATGCCTTTGCTACGGTGTCCCTGGTACCATGTCACATCAGTCTCGGGAATGACCAGACCAGGAACAGGGCCGGCACAGGAATGGATTAAAGTATGTCAGCATGGTCGGAGACTAACTCAGTTATCTTCTTGCGAGGAGCTAGTCATAAAGTAGCACTTGTTAGTTTGTTTTCAGTCAGTCCCATAGTTAACCTATGTACTCTGTACTAGTCATCACGAAATCCTTCCTACTGTATTCCATACACACCGTGCCTCGGTCGGGTTTCCCACTCCAGCAGGATTGAGCGTTGACGAACAAATCAGCCAATGATGTGCCCAATTCATAGGGCCTCCCAGGAGCTGTTTTGGTCCTCTCTTGATTTACGAGTGTCACTCGTCCAACAATATTGGCCCCCCCCTTCCTATTGCGTTTGCTCCCGTGGAGGGTCTCGACGATCAGTGTGTGGCTTTGCGCTCCATTGATTATCCTCCGAGCGTGACCTGACCTTCCCTCGAAACCTACTCCATCCAACAAACTAAATGACGGTGGAGCGTCCAGCTGGCCTACAGTACTCCGTATCTTTCGGACACGTTGCTTCTGTGCTCCAAAGTATAACCGAATAACAGGATCAGAAGGATGGCTGAAATTAGCCTGCCGGTCTCCGGTAGGCTGCAACGAACAGACCGCCAGGCTGTGCTTCAGAATTGGACCGTATCTTTGGTGGAGGTTTTCACTTGGTGAGAACAGCAATGTATGTTGGATGTAGATGTTGTACTCGGCATCTCATGCGTCGCACGAAGAACGGGCCTAGTTCATCATATTAATGGATTCGATGCTGCCTGTGATACCGCGCCTCTCTTGGTCCCGGGTCTTATCCGCGCAGGCTACAGGTGCATTGCCGATAGGGGCGATGCAGCCTCAAGAGTCGAGGCTTGGTGAGATTTCGTCATCGGGGAGCGCGCATATCTATTCTCGACTGAAGACGGAGTATGTAAATACGACGAGGTGTACTCCGTCCAACCTGCATATATGATATACATGTGATATGTATGTACTCCGTACACGATCGGATATGAGATATGAGATTTGGGGGCCAATATCAAGATAATCTCCCAGATCAAGCATGACGACGTCCGGAATATATTAACCACTGACCATTGATCAATCATAATCAGGGACGATGACTGGAAAAAGAGTTCCAAAACTCTCGGTTTTACCCGTGCTCCGCGTCGGGCACCGGGCCCATCATGCAGGCGGCCCTTCTTAGTAGGCTGTAGCTCCAACTTAGCCAGTTCCAGTTCAGGAGGGCCCTGGTTGCTGGGTCCTGACGAGGCGCGACGCCACAGAAGGTCCAGGTGCAGTGTGGGTCGGAGACGATCTGGCTGCCGGAGCCTGGGATCGGGGCCTAAACGGTGCGTCACGCCCGAGTCCACAAGACACTTGCGACGCTTGGTGGCGGAGCGACGACCAGGATGGGAGTTGGATGAGAAAGTATGATGATGAAGGTGGTGAAGTGGTGAAGCTAAGAACAGTACTCCGTAGTAAGACGAAGAATGTTGTTACCTGGAGGGAAGATAAAGCAGAACCTATGAGCCTATAGGCGAGTACGACGAAGCTTACACTAAGAATGGTATACTTCCTACGGGTCTAAAGGCACTATACTTGGGACTATGGCTTATAGCGGCGGTGCTACCATATACTTCGTAGACTGCGTCGTCGTCTTCAGACTATCTGGAGTCAAATCGGAATAGTGCATGTACATGTAACAGCTCCGTACTCCATCAGACCTGAGGGAGAGGAACAAACGAAGCGGTCAAGCCCAGCAAGAACTTACCCAAGACAATAACCCGACCACTCAGAGACTGTTGCTCGTGGAAATCTCTGTCCAGGATCTTCTCCAAGAGTCAATCAAGCTCTGTTGTTCCGCTTCTTTTTCAGGTCGATTCCAATTCCAATCTGTACGGCTCTTAAGGGGGTAATCGACCACGCAGGGGAGGCTGGGCCAATCATCACCACCCACTCGACACTTTTTTTCCTCCCCGACAATCGGACCCCCTTCTTGACCTTCCAAAAAGCAAAAAAAAAAGAAATCAAAATTGGCAGTCCTCCAATCATGATCGGCATACAACACCCTGTTCAAACCCACCCCAGGTTTTTCTCATGTCCTTTCCCGCTGCTTAACCGCTACCTCGCTCCACTTCATTGTTCCCGTGGCCCCTGCACCCGCGTCAGCTGGGGCCTGAGCTATACCTACACGCAACTGTACGACGAGGTCAGGACGGAGACGGAGGACGGAGCTAAAGTACACACTCCTCCTGCTCCATCAGGTTCTCTAGACGCCACTATTTACTTCTGTGACGGATCTCCGTACGAGGAAGGGCTGCAACTAGGCTTCAATACGGAGTAATGCTGAGCTCATGCTCATGCTCATCCTCCCTACCATGGAGTTCCGTTCCATCATTCGCGCCCCAATTCCCCACGCCCATCCCATGCAGGGGCTGAATAATGAATTTCCCTGTTATGTCGTAAACTCGAACCCATCACCCATCGCACATCGCACAACTGTGACACTCGGACATACCGTTTATTTCTTTTCTTTTCAAGGCGTCCGCTGCCCTGCTGCTGCACCTTCCACCAACGCACGACCCATAAGCCCCCCCCCCCCATCATAACCCGTTGCCACCACCCCACCCCCAAACGGGTGATCAGTGCAGCTGAGCACCCGAGCAAGGAACAGGGTAAGGGTTTGGACTAGCTCTAAGGGTGTGAGGGTGAAGGGGTGTATGTACCACTGTATATACTGTCTTTACAGTATTGGCGCGATGCAGTGAGATGGCACATCCTCAACCTGCTCAACCTGATCTGACAGATCCGAGCTGATTGCTGATCTACAGTACAGTACTGTGCTTCGGAAGAAGGGGGCCTGCCGGCTAGCCTGATAGGCAAGGGCATGGCATAGGGTTCCTTTCTTTCTTTCTTTTCTTTTTTCTTGATTCATGTTTGTCCAATCGAGCGCTGATTATCGTTGTCATGCAGGTGATAGTTAGTCCGGATTTTCGACTGTACAGTAGTCCGTACTGTCCACAGGTGAGGGGGCCAACGTGCCTATTATTAGTGCCGATTAGCATCGTAGTCCTAAAGAGACACTGCGGCCCCAAAAGGAGGACCTGCATCCGCTTACGAGGCGAGGGATTACAGCACCCGTAGCGTGAACTTAGACATTCTCACATCGAGCAGGGTTCTTGGAACCTGGGTTCGGATTTGTGTTTCTGTTATGTACTGACACTATCAAATCGATTCTCTAATCTTGAGACTATTTCTTTTGATTTTAAGTCCCGTGTGGGCTCCCACAAGAAAGAGAGGGCCGAGTCGATATCGGGGCTGAACAAATATAGTATCACAGTTTAGTGGGGTCTGTTGTTGTTTTTGCTCGTGAGTCCACACGACGATTGCAGATACGAAGGAATACAATACTTTCTCTCAATATACCCTGTGCAATACTAAGCATTTCTACAGATTAAATTCGGCATGATACAGTGATGTTACTCAAATAACACCCCTCGAGTGTTATTCTCCATACTCGGCATGACTCTTCTACGATGCTCATGTCATCCGGGACATGGTCAGAGTCGAAACACCTGGCACTTTGAACTAGATCACCCTAATAGCGCCAGATAAGACTGCGAGCTGCATTGATCGAGGACCTGCTCTAAAAAAGATGCCCAATCTACAAGTACTTCACACCGTACTATTGAGCAAGTCGTCTCATGACGAGCAAGTCTTCACATCCAGTCTTGGGGCCATGCTGCTCCTGTAGGTAATCTTCTCTGCCATGCACTCCTACCCAAGCCAGAGGCCTTCAATCCGCCGTTGTCAAAATGGATTCAGGCAATTAAAACCAGCAGGACATGAACTCATCACTTGCTGCAACGTGGGTTCAACGTTACCTACATCGAATCATTGCAGAAGCCTTGAGCGAGGTACGCTAGACCTGAGAGCTATGTGCCCTCGTTTGAATCACAGGGACTGATTATGTCGAGATGTCTCTATATCACTATATGGATGGATGCATAGACTTTTCATCATAGACTCGATCCCCGGGATGCAAAAGAGGGACGATGCATTGTACAAGTCTGCAGACACGAGTGAACTGGATCATGGCTCATTCCTTGGATTAAAGTAGATATTGTATTTTATTGATAGTGAGCAACAGACTCTCGTGATGATTCGCTATTGGGGCTCTAAACTCGCTATCGACCGTGGTAGTCCAGACCAGGTGTTGTCCCCCTTAATCAGAATTCCACGGATTGACTTACTTGCAAGCAGCCTTCAGCTCTTAATTCTGGAGAATGATCTGATTTGTCTTATTATTGAGTTTGTATCAATTCTATATCGAACGACCCTCTGGATTTCGATCCGGTATCGGCAACGACTAGGTTTCCGTTCCAGACTTGAAGGAGCAGCAAAGCCTAATTTGCCGAGCAAGACTTGACCGACTCAAACATTATGAGTTCGCAAGCAACCCAGGAAAATCTTGATGCCTGCTAGAGTGTGGTGGCTGAGTCAAGGTCTTTGGCCCCAAAACTACCATTGTATGTACGAAGTAAATCATCCAGCACTCACCGTATATTGTACATCACACTCTAATCCAGACTAACGACATCCACGTCCCATCTGCAACATTATTAGAACCAAATTCAGATCCACGTACGCCTCGTGGCACCACTTCGGGCAACAGTCCTTCCATATACCCGGGGATCTACAATATTACTGTCCTCCTCGTCGAACTTGACACACACCTCCTCTCGCCCGCGCAGCGCCCAGCGCCACCGATACCAATCCCAATCCTATTCCAATCCGTGGTTGACCGTAGATTTTAAGGTCTATCCAGATTCCAGAAATTATACTCTTACCATACCCAGCGCCCCCATCACGCCAAAGAACGATCTTCAAATCTTCATCAAATTGGTGTGGACTCACCCCTCCCGAGTAGTCCGCCCAGGTCGCCCACGCCCAACCCTGGGCTCCACAGCACACTGCCCATCCTTTCCTGAACAGATCACAAGACGAGGAAAATGGCAATTGCCGTGGAGTAGAAGTTGCCCGTACCGCTGATGTGTTCTCCGCCCAAAACCCTCAAGCCCGTCTGGGTTGAAGCCAAAGAAGCCAAAAGCCAGTGGCCAAGACTGGCTGGGATGGAGTCATGGTAAACTGAGAGGGGGTCCTCGTGCTAGTTTCCCGACCGTGATGCGTGGAAACTAGACGGAGGAATGAAGTAACTACCCTAACTTGATGTGCTACAACGGAAAACCGGTACCGCACTTGCATGGTTTAGTGGCTTTGGTACAATAAGAAAACGAGAACGGTTTCCCGCGCCTCCTCACTGACTTGATGCCCGATAAAATATGCCGTGTGCAACTCGACAATGTCGTTGATCGAAAAGTGGAGTGAACTTTTTTTTCTTCCTAGCTCCCTTGAGATTGTGAATCCTGGGCGTCCGGTGGTTCTCCGAAGGGACTCTCACACCATGTGCTTCGATCTGTGTCCACTGGCTGTAGCGTGAAAAAAAGGCCATGCGGTAGTGCGTTGATAGCGTGGTGTTTAGTCCAGTCTAGGTCTAGACCGCCCGCTTCTAATCACTAATGGATGCACCTTTGCTGTATGCTTTATCGGCCGATCAACGGGTCATGTGCGCCCTGGCCCTATGAGTACTGCAGTATGCAGTTAGAGTAGTAGTACTAGCAACTGTGGATTCGCGCTTTGAAGTCCAGTCTGTGAACAGTTAGGGGTCTTCTAGGGCGTTAGATCCACGCTCGGGATTTATGTAAAGATCTCAAGCCCGTCGAAAAAGTTGGATCATCACGGGGCGTGTTTGGAAGAGATTTTTACTCTAGAGGATCTGCTGCCCAGTATGTCGAGCGATATCCGATACATTGTAGGTACATAACGCACGATGTGGAAACTGGGTATTGAACGAGCTAGCGCTATGTCCGGTGAATGCCTTTGTGTAAATTTTTGCATTAATTCTTTCCTTTTTGGAGATTATGTGAAGTAGTTATTGTATTGGTATGGGTAGAACCACGCAGGATATATATCTGTCAATTCACCAGCAAAATCACCGTCAATCATTAATAGGTGTGATGAATGATCTCGGTGCTTCTAAATAATATTCCTACCAAACAATGACAGTTTGCTCCTCTTATATCTAAAACCATAAGAATTTCGATAATCGCTCAAAGTGTCAGCTGTGCAGAAGGGAATTTCCATTCCCGCCTAACGCCGCCGTCAAAGTCGCAGACATGGCTGCCATTGTCTGGGAATTACAAGCATTCAAGAATCAAACGAAATATATCTGGAATGGTTCAAAGGGGGTAGATTATCGCTTCGATTTACTCAAAGTAAAGCGAAAGACGCATTTAGTATCGAAAGCCCGAATTCGAACTCTGCAATCATTGTGACGTCAAATGATCCAGGTCGGAATGGACATCATCTTGATGTGACACACATCCAAGGTGCAGACCTATCGATTCTACAAAACGAACCTCATAAGATTACCTTGAACCCCTCTGAGCCACCGTTTTCCAAAATTCTTCTTATTAACCCAGCCATATCTATATCTCGACCCCCCAAACCGATCATATCGAATATCCAGCCAAGATGACATCCTGTGCGAAGAACTCCGTATCGGAGTCTAGTGAGATCCCAGGAGAACCGCGCACGGTAAAGAGTCGCATACTCGAAAGTGGCGCTGCGATGTCCCAAGACTTCACGCCCGTCAAACAGATCTGCGCGCATCTAAATGCATTCCACGTTTACGCCGATGATCCGACGCGATGCGTCGAAGCGAACCATTATTGTACACACTTGACTGAAGGTAAGCATCCAGAGTCAAACCAAACCACCCAACATGATCATGGGAGCCATCAGTTGACCTTCAACTAGATGTCCGACAATGCTTGATCTACGACTCGCCCGAGGCCAACGCACGCCTCCTCGGCGTCGAGTATATGGTCTCACCGCGCATTTTCAAAACGCTTCCACCCGAAGAACGCAAGTTATGGCACACGCATGAGTTTGAGGTTAAGAGCGGTCTGCTAATCATGCCGACGCCGAGGGGCATGCCCACCGCTGTGTGGGAAGCAGCCGAAACGGCGGAGATGGAGGATATCGCGCCGGTGTATGGCAAGACATATCATATGTGGCAGGTTGATCGTGGTGATCCGGTGCCTATGGGCCCGCCGCAGTTAATGGGTAGCTTCACATCGCCCGAGACAGTTGAAAAAGCGCATGAGGGTGGGATGGATGGGTTGCTCAAAGATCGAGATGAGAGGTTTGGAGTTGATTATCGGACGAAGGCGAAGAAGAGGGAGGGCATTGCGCCTGTTGAAAAGCATCCTGGTATGATAGTTTATAACTTGATTGCTGGAGTCGAGCTGACTGGAGCGTTGTGAACAGATGCCGACGCAATGTGGAAGTTGGATCGGAAGAATGAATGAGACGGTCATACGACTACAGGCGTCAGAAAATTCCACAAGGTTCAAGTCAAACTTCCGGATTCAATTGGTTATATGCAAGTAATCTAAGATACGATAAGAGGTGTCTCCCCACTACACCAGCCTCAAAGATCCAGTCCCATAGTTAAATGGGGTCAAGAATGAGACCAATTGGGGGACAGCCTTGTCAACCGACAAAGCCGTTTGTGTTCATCTTGCTTCATTGTCCACACTTGCTCGTCCTGGTGATAAATATCGACGACGGCAAGCTCTAGCATTTGTAGAAGCGGTGGTTCTCCCTACAGCGACAGGGAGAGGGAGAGTATCCGGTAAATAGGCATGCCATTTGATTGATGGCATACGGTGTTATGGCCAATGATATGCTCAACCATGATTGACGAGCTCCTGATTCTTGAGATTCAGGGCATCGACGAGAGGACGTAAAACTCAATCATGATCCCACACATTAATGGGGTGATTGAGTTGATCACGATGATCAAGTCGATGGCTTGCTCAGACAACAGTGCGACAACATCCTCGCATTGTATTGCAGAGGTATTTGCCGACTTGGTAAATTGGATATGCGGAAGGAAGAAGAGGCAGGAGCTCCAAGAAATTTTGATTTTTAAACCGACAGGTCACATGACCAGAGCCTCCGATCCCCGATAACAATCCAATCCGATTGAATGCGAACAGCTTTCTTAGCTGCTACCAGGGCATGCAATTGCCGCACGATATATGGAACAATTTCTCCGATCTGCGCTGAGCATCAGCCCGCGGGCACTCGGCCGATTAGCCTACACGGGCGCAGGCGTGTTCTGCGCCTGCACCTGGGTATGGGAGCATCTGGTGACCATACAATCCAGCGAGGGACCTTCGATGTATCCGACTTTCAATCCGCGGGGCGACTGGCTTTTGATTGCACGACGACATGCAAATGGCAAGGGCATCCAAGTCGGAGATGTGGTGCGATTTAACCACCCGAATATGCTCGGCGCGCATGCTGCGAAGAGGGTGCTTGGATTGCCCGGGGACTTTGTCTGTCGGGATCCGCCCTATAGTACTGGGGCTGGGACGCAGCCGGATATGATACAGGTTTGTTTGATGCTGAAGCCATGTTCACAAATTGAAAATCTAAGCCTAACTTCTTCGTTTGTGCTTCAGGTACCCGAAGGACATGTGTTCCTAGTCGGCGATAATCTTCCCTGGTCGAGGGACTCGAGAAACTTCGGACCAGTCCCATTGGGGTTGATTAACGGAAAGATCGTCGCGCGAGTCTGGCCGCCATCGAAGATGGAATGGGTGCGCAATACCATGCAACCGGTGGAATCGGACTAGACACTGGGGGTGTGGAGTACTGGCGGAACTGTCATTTGATACATATCATCCTGTTGCATTTACGAGGAGTTGGGTTGGGTGTCTTCAAAAGGAAACTGGATTGCTGTGCATACTCATACATATTCAATTGTACAATACAAATCTATACTCAAACAAGGCTTGAACTGGAGATGAGGGGAGACGGAAGAAAAGCGTTCACCTAAAGGAGGAAGGGTTTCTCCGCTTGTAGGGAAGAGGCTCGACCCTCTTGCGGCGGAGCTCGAAGTCAGCTCCGCTGTATCCAATCTCCTTCATAACCTCCAGAGTAGTCTCATCCCACTGGCTGCGGAACAGGTGCGCACCGATAGCCTTCAGATGGTACCGGGCCTGCAGAGTGCGCAGCAATGTGTTATCCCGGTCAGTCTCCTTTGCCTTCACGGCGGCAAAGTCAAGCGGCTGGGAGTCCTTCTGCTCCATGATGAACACGGAAAGACGGTGATAGGGGCTGCCCTTCTGGGCGACGGGGGGCAGCCACGGGAGAACGACCTGCGAGTCTGCCGCAAGCTGAGCGAGGTCCACCTTGGTGTTGACAGCCGAGATGGGGACATTGACAGCCAGATAGTGCATCTTGAAATCGAAGCTATCCGCCTCCACGTTGGGAACATCGGGGTCGACGACAGCGATTGTGACGAGCTTCTCGCCACGCTCGAACATCTGAATGTCAAGCTTGGGTGCCTCGGTGCTGACCCTGGCCTCGACGTAGTCGCCAGGCTGGACCTGTCGTTTGTTGAAGTACAGCTTAGTTTCGACGATAGGGTCGCAGTGAGGCAGGACATCGGGCACGACGTTCATTTGCGTGATGCGCTGCACCAGGATCTTGCGGCGATATTCCCGCCATTTCCGGTCGGCCAGGAAGCGGTAGATGGGCTTGCTCATGTCGCCTGTAATAGAAAGAAGAAGATTAGCATCAATTGATGAAAGACTTCCAGGAAAATAAGATCATACCAAGTCCGTCCTCAAATTTCCGCTTGACCAATGGGTCATTAATGTCCGCGTGGATCTTGAGACGCTCCAAGTGCAATTGCATGGCGCGCACGCGAGACTTTTGCACCTGTTCACCTCCAGCCTCTTCGACAGTCTGGGCCTCAACTCTAGCAATCTTTTGCCTCATTGACTCAATCTCTTTCAGCTTCTCTGTACGGTCCTCTAGCAGGACCTTTCGCGCCTCCTGGAAACATTGGTAGGGCAGCTGCTCGAAGGGGAGATTGGCGGAACTTTGAAGGGCCGCACGACGACGACGCGATCCAATGGGGTTGGTACCCTGTCTCATCAGCCGTCGCTCCAGTCGGGGGCTTGAGACCAGCGATGGGTCAGGGTTCTTGTGGAATGGTTGGGTCTGTTCGGCTTGAGCCTCTGCAACGGCTGCCGACGACTGGAAGCCGCGCGCCTGAACGGCAGGCAAGCTTCTAGTATAAGTGGTCCGAAGGCATTGGAGCAGCGGCTTAGATGCCCGCTCGCAATGAGCCATTGTGAGAGATATCCGATGGGGATGTTGAGGATGGGATTTGGCGGTTGATGGTGTTGTTGTCCATGGGGGAACTTTTTCTGCTCGAGCCAAGACTTTTGCTGGCGCCCACCGCCCTCCCCGGAATCAATCAACTTTTGCTCTTCCCTACCTAGACGCCGAACATCCACGACTCACGCGATCGGCCTTTTGCAGTCGGTTGTTCACAATGCCTGGCAGTGAAACTCTTCGGGCGCTGCGGCTGCTGTCCCGCAGCTCTGGTGGCCTTCTTCAAGGATCAGAGAATGTTACGGTATGGTCCAATTTTTAGCACCTCCGGGATCGCGAGGCACCCAATGAAGACAAGACATTGACTGACATTCTCTCCGCTCCCAGCGACGATGCCTTGCCCGATCAATGGCTACAGAGGCTCAGGCCACTTCGTCAACTACTTCCGATGCCCCTAATCCCTCGTTGCTTGCCCCATGGGACCGCCCCGTCAATGTCATGACCTACTCCTTCCCTTCCATGGAGCCCGTTCGATTGGTCAACTACACCCAGAAACAACTACAGATGCCCATCCGCAAAGATATCCTCCACCGCGCAATCATATACGAGGGTGATGCCACCCGGCAAGGTACCGCCAGCACGAAGTGGAGGGACGATGTGCATGGAAGTCATAGAAAGCTCATCCCGCAAAAGGGCTCTGGTCGTGCTCGTGTTGGTGACAAGCAATCGCCAATTCGAAGGGGTGGTGGTGTTGCCCACGGTCCTCAGCCCCGCGACTTCTCGACAGACCTGCCTGCCAAGATCTACGATCAAGCGTGGCGCATCGCTTTGAGCTACCGCTTTCAGCGGGGTGAGCTGATTGTCATTGATGACAAGATCTCGCTTCCCTCGAAATCTACCCCCTACCTCCTCGAGAAGGTTCTCGAGGCCAATGGATGGAACACCAAGAAGGGCCGGTCGACATTCATCACGGATGAGGTGGACAGTGAGATGTTTGAGAAGGTGGAGAAGATGAACCGCTATGCGACCATCATGGACCGTGCCGATGTGGATGTGAAGAATCTTTTGGAGACTGCGCGGGTGATTATCGAGAAGAAGGCGTTGGACATGATCCTCAAGAAGCACTCGCGGGATCTGAACAGCAAGCCTGCCAGCGCAAAATACCTGTAAGTGCTTTTTGGGGCGGCGGCGTGTGTGCGTGCATTTATATCTCTTTCTCTTCATCTCTCTGTATTCTGGCCATCTGTACAAATAGAATGTGATTCACCAACTCTCAACGAGTCCCAATTGATCTCATATACCTAGTTGATGTATACCTTAGCTCCAGGAACCTAAGTAAGCCGAGAATAGTACGCCACCAATTGAACGACATCGAAGCTCAGTAAGAGTATTCAAGTCAGTCAGCATTCTTCTTGACACCCGATTATAACCACCTGAACATGCATCTTAAATCGGCACTTTACGTAAACTTGATCGAGGGGGAGTGTTGATCTCATCGCGGTTTGAGGCGGAGAAGCGGCCCTCGGACCGGAAGAAAATCCAGTCCAAGAAAACTCCCGAGGTCAACGGTAAAGCGGAGAACATCTGATTGTCCTTTTAGCCCACCCTATTCCCTCCCGTTTCCCTCTTGGCCTAGGTGTCTAGTCTTCATGTTGCTTAGACACTCTTTTTCACGGTTACCTTCGCCGCCGAGCTGGATCTCGCGGTGCTCCTCGCCAGCAATGCCTCTACGCGCCAAGGTGACGAACCCTGCCTTCCGCGCAGCTGCTTCGGTAAGAGCACTCTTTTCATGACTGGAGCGATGAGATATACTAAGATTTTGATTGTTTTCTAGATGTCTACCACCCCCGAAATTCCCAAAGAGCTCCCCGGCGATGAGCCCGACGATGTTTTGTTCAATTCCATCTACGGTCTCCGCAGCATTGAGCTCAACCGACCCAAGAAGCTCAACTCCCTCAATGGCTCGATGGCTCGCAAGATTCTCCCTCGATTGAAGGTCAGTTGGCTCGTGGTGCTCTAGGAGATCGGTCAAGTGCTAAACAGCGGTGGTTACATAGGAATGGGAGAAGTCTCACCTCGCAAACATTGTCCTCATCTCGGGAGCTGGAAACAAGGCGCTCTGCGCTGGAGGTGATGTGGCCGCTCTGGCCCTGCAGAATGAGAAGGGAGTGGAGGGACAGCGCGAATCTACCGACTTCTTCGGCCTTGAATACCGTCTTGACCACACGATCGCTACGTACTCGAAACCGGTCATCTCGTTTATGGACGGAATTACTATGGGTGGTGGCGTCGGACTCAGCATGCACGCTCCTTTCCGTATCGCGACTGAGAAGACTGTCTTCGCTATGCCTGAGACTACGATCGGTTTCTTCCCTGACGTTGGTGGCTCGTTCTTCCTCCCTCGCCTGGACGGCGAGACCGGTACTTACCTCGCCCTGACCTCGGAGCGTCTCAACGGTGTGCAGGCTCTGTACTCTGGTATTGCTACCCACTACCTGCACTCCAGCGTCCTCAGCAACATGACCCAGCGTCTTTCCGAGCTGGTCTTCCCCGATCACGTTGGCCTGCCTGAGCGGTTGAACATTGTCAACAAGACTATGGCTGAGTTCTCGCTTGGCCTTCCTTCTCTCCAGGAGGAACCCATTCTCTTGGCCGGTCGCCTGCGCGCCGCCATTGACCGCTGCTTCAAGTTCAACACCATTGAGGAGATCCTCCAAGCCCTGGAGAGCGAGACCGAGCAGAAGGAGTGGGCCCAGAAGACCCTGGAGACCCTGTCCAGCCGCTCCCCAACTTCCCTCAAGGTGACCCTTCGCCAGATGCGCCTTGGCAAGAAGTGGAGCATCACCGAAACCTTCCAACGTGAATACGACATTGCAGCCAACTTCATGCGCCACCCTGACTTTGTCGAGGGTGTCAAGGCCCGTCTAATGTCTAAGCCTCCCCGCCAGGCCAGCTGGCAACCGGCTACTCTGGCCGAGGTCTCTAACGAGACTGTCGATAAGTTCTTCACCATCCCCGAGGGTGAAAGCCGTGTGACCCTTTTGAGCGAGGGTGACTACAACCGCTACCCCCACGAGCGCTTCGCCCTGCCTTCCGAGGCCCAGATCGAGAAGTTTGTCCGTAGCAACGGCCAGGGCCAGAACCAGGTCATTCAAGAGTTCGTTGGACAATGGAACCAGAAGGATGGTGTCCGTGAGAAGGTCTCTGAGGTTTTGGCCCGGCGGACAAAGAGCACTGCTCAAGGCCTGCAATGGGTTGAGTAAGTGGCTGGAGACGATATTTACAACGTGTAATTTTTTATCTTGGTTCTTGATGGCGAATTGATAGTCATCCTGTGTATTAGAATTATCCCCTGGTGTTTCAATCCATATATCTTTCATTCCTGGCATATGCACGCGTTCTCTTGGAACTCCAGTTGGGCAAGACATGATAGTCTCTAGGGTATCATGCTCAATACTCTGGCGGCTCTCAAATACGGTGCAGGTAAGTGTGCATTGCCCGCGAGTTGATCCTCTGCAACGCAATCTGATAGCCATTGAATATCACCCTGTAAGGAAGGAAATGTGATGGAGCGGGGCAGTACAAATCGCGACTGGTCAATCAGTCGCAATCATTGCCTGTAGATATTCGATGACTCCATTCTACTATTCCATATCAGGTAGTATAATTTTGGCCCCCGCGCAAAAGGCCCCCAACCGGCTCTCGGAAAGATGCACTGACGTCAGCTGAGAAGCTTAGCATTTGAAATGGTACCCTATATAAGCCAGGAGAGGGGGTGATTGTGATTTTTTAACCTGAAAAGGAAGAACGACAAACTCTCGTACAAGCAAGAACGGCATAAGCATACCAACATTGCAGCCATGGCAATCGAAGAGAATGAAGTCTATCGGCTGGCCTGCCCAGAGGCCAGAAACTGCCCCGACATGTACATCTCTTACGGACTACCATTCACGCAGTCCTGTGCCAAACACGCAGAGCAGACCTTCCAAGCCAAACGTGTCTACATCATCGCCTCTACAAGTCTATCCAAGCAAACTTCTCTAGTCTCAGACCTGGAGCGAGCCCTCGGAGATCGACGCGCAAAGACTTGGATTGGGATTCGCCCTCATACACCTTGGGATGACTTAGTGCCCATCATCAATGATATCCGCAAAGTAGAGCCTGACCTGTTGGTCACCCTTGGCGGAGGGTCTCTCTCAGATGGCGCAAAGGTGATTGTCTACGCCGTGGTGAACGGAGTCCAGACAGTCGACGACTTGGACCGTTTGTACCAGGCCAAGGCTGCAGATGGGACTCCCATGCGAGACAGAACCGGTGTCGGCAACGAGCCCACTTTGCCAATCGTGTTTATCCCGACTACACTCTCCGCTGGCGAGTTTTCCTGTTATGGAGGATCAACCAACCCAGCCACCCTCCACAAGCGGATCATGAAACATCCCAAGATGTTCGCTCGACTCGTCATTCTGGATCCTGTTTTGACACTCACAACGCCGCAGTGGGTTTGGATCTCTACCGGGGTTCGGGCTATTGACCACTGCGTGGAGTCGCTATGCTCGAATGATCCGCTTTCGAAAGAATTACTCCAAATCGCAGAAAGATCCCTCGCTACGCTGGCGAAGAACCTTCTGCTCACGGTGAAAGACCCATCTCAGCTCCAGCCGAGACTGGACTGTGCCATTGCCGCAGGCGACATTGCAGGTAATATGCTCCTGGAGCCGCAGGTCTCCGTCGGCGCGAGTCATGGAATTGGACATCAGCTTGGACCTCTTGGTGTGGGCCATGGTCAGACCAGTTGTGTGATGTTGCCGGCTGTTCTTCGCTTTAATCGACTGCACTCCCACCCAGATAGTAACCAGGCTGAGAAGCAGGACAGAGTCAAGCGAGCTATCTGGGATAGTGACCCTACATTAGCACAGATTTTGACCGGTGAAGGTGGATTGGATAGAGACTCGGCGGATGCGAGTATGACGGTTCGTGGGCTGTTTAATGCACTGGATATGCCGAGTACGCTTAAGGCTGTTGGTGTGGATCGAAGTCATTTTGATGCTCTGGCTGTGAATAGTTTGGATGATGTTTGTACTACTGCTAATCCTGTGCCTTTGAAGAAGGAGGATATTTTGAAGATACTGGAGAGCGTTGCTGAGTGAAACTAGATATGTTGGATATGTTTATCAATAGGTATACGATACAACTTTGATATAGTTGTGGTATTCAACGTCTCTGTGCGATGTATGATACTTCATAGTAACAAACACGGCGTGGGTAGTAGCTGCTATCGATGGAGGGGCTTTTTACATCATTTCTATGAATAATTTCTAACCATTGCCCGCCGGGCTTTAGAATTATTTGGAAGGAGATCAGGAAGTTCATCTTCAGGTTGCTGAGCTTGCAGCATGAACTAGTATATCACCGATCATCAATCATCATCAATTCATCGCCAGGTACCCGTCTTGAATTAGCGGCTCAGGAACCACGTAGTCCTGATTGACCACGTGGGAGTCTGAGAGTCGTGCATGTTCCCCTGGATTATTTCATTTGAATTCTTATTCTCTTATATATCATGGGTATGGACGGGCAATGTTCGAGTATCCCCTTGCTGGGCCCCTGAACCCTCATCACCAGGCCTCCCGAGCTCGTCATCGAATCCACCTTTGCCATCACCCGTTTATCGTGTGGACCTGCGCCATTGCGGGGAAATCGGTCACGGCCGACGGACTTTACTTCTTTGCCAACTGAACCCTCAACCAGCGCCGACTATGCTTCTGGCGCTACCAAAGCTGGGACCACTTGTTCCATTATGGAGGTATACACTGCGATCTACTGTAACCCTGAGACTAAACCCTACCAACATGGCGCAACTAACACCATTCCTTCGGCTGACAGGTGCCCAAAGCCCGGGGAGCAGGCAGATCTGGTCCACGCCGACGGACAGGTTGTTTGACGTGCCGGGCTCGCAAGGTTCGCTGTGATGAGACAAAGCCGAGCTGTTCAAATTGCGATCGTCTACGCCTGCATTGCGCCTACAAACCGCCCATCGCCCTCGGTAGCCCATGGTCGGCCTCGTCTCGACTAACCCACGACCAAACCACAACTGCAGTGGCACATGCGATCTCACAAACTGGACCGGCACCAGCGCTGGGTCCGAATACGGCGGCGGCGGTCGTTGCGGCTGCCTCGCAGCGCTCGCCTGACATCAACTTCTTTAACACCGTGCTCCGCTCTGACGAGCAACATCGTGGAATCGCCGCGCCCGCAGCGCCAGTCCGAGGGTTACCGACAGACCCTGTTTCGTTTCCGCCTGAATTGGGAGGCTCGTTTGATATGCTTGGATTCATGGGAGGAATCACGTCCGAGTTGGAGCAGAAACATCTCGACTTGACGAGCGGATTAGCCGCATTCACAACTAGCCAAACACCCCGATCATTAGCGGCAGGTATCGCAGTGGCTACGTCGGAAGAAGGGCAGCTTGTGGGTGAGCGACGGTCACCGCTAAGTCCGGATGGCTCATCCTCGTTGGTAGATGGAGTTTCCATTGGTAGTGCCTCGGACGCTGCGACTACCCGCGGGAGCTGGCCTGATCCTGGTAGCACTACGTACGAGGAGCAGCTTATCCAGCATTTCCTAGCGATTGATCCGCCAGCAGCAATATTTGGGCCGGTGATGATGGAGTGGAAATACGTTCGGCCGTCGATTCTCGCTCATGCGCGAGACTATGGCCCGCTTTTGAATGCGTTATACTGTTACTCGGATATTCACAAGGCGATGATAGAAGGGAAACAATGGCGATGGGCGCCGACTTACTACCGAGTAGCAAGCTCGGAGATTCAGGCGTGTCTTCAAGGGGAGGTAACCGATGCGACCTTGGTTAAAGTATTTGCGACAGTGTTCTTTTTGATGTTATCGGAGGTACGTATGCACCGCAAAAATGAGGATCAATGGCTAACCTAGAAAACTGTAGGTTTTCTCATCGCCGGAACTTTGTGCTCCCGGCACATCATATCTTCATTCCGCCTATCTTCTTCTTCAAAGATTCGATGATCGCACTCAAGCCTGGACTGGCTTGGGACATCTATTGGTCTCATGGGTCTCACTGCTTGACGTGAAATCACTTATCGCGGGCCGTGACGGCGATCCATTAACTGGTTTAGGCCATATAGCCGAGCATGAGCAAGTAGGAAGAATACCAGAGCAACCCCGAGGAACGGCTTCACCTGAAGAACGCAAAATGGAAGACAGCAACGAAGACCCATTCCGCAGCCCCAGCTATCTTGTCTACGAGGCCATTGTTGGCCCGGCATTCCGCTTTTTCTTTAAAGCACAGCAGATCGTCCGACGCATCGTCTGTATCGACCTTCATCATCGCAGCCGTGGCACACTAAGCGACGAATTCGAAGTCCTCCAGATCGCCCACAAAGTGGGAGCAGACCTCGAGACACTCTGGCACCGTCGACCCTCCGTGATTGATGTCTACGGTAATCCAGATGCCTTGACTGATACGCTCTGTGCACCAGTCGCCCACGAAGTCTGCCGTACTTTCAGGCAATACATGGCCACTTTTCTAGCAAATTTCATCTACCTTCACCGCGTGGCGTTTGCTATTTACCCGCGCACTGACCGCGTCAATGGCGCCGTCAAACAAATTATTCATCTCGCCACGGTCGAATCCGCGGGCTTGGAATCCGGACATCTGCCGGTTAGCTTTTTATGGCCATTATTTGTAGCTGGTCTGGAAGGCTCTCCCGAGCAACGGCAGTGGATTGTCCAGGAAATGCAGCGGATGGTGGCAAGTCCTGACTCGGACCCGGCCAGCTCCATTACATGTCATCCCTCTGCCGAGAAAGTCATTGTACTATTGGAGGAGATGTCGCGGAGACAAGATGTGTCGCGCTCATGGGCGGACTCACGGTGTGTGCGGCGGGAGTTGTTTACGGATTTCTTTTTTATGATCTAATTTTCGGGCATTGTCATTTGTATATCCCTGGAACCATAAGACTGGCGTTTATGTATTTAGCGAGGCTTCAATCATGACTGGTAGTTAATTCGGGTTTAATAAAACTAGCTATACCCATGGAACCATAGCTGCTCTGTATATAGGCCTCAAAGATTCGTACTTGTTATTTTCATGGTACCCTGGCGGATCCGTGCAGGAAACCTAGATGAAGTTCTCCTTCAGGTTGTAGACCACCTCAATGGGCTGAGAATGAGGTAAGTAAGACCTGTATCCCTGGTGCTGATATCGACCTATTTCAACTGACCACTGGCCAAAATCCCCAAAATTCGAGATTGACAAATTCTTCACATCCATGAATCGAACCCCAACCTTGTAGCTCCCTATATACTTCGCCTGGTTAGTGCATCTCCATCCAAGGACACTGAAGAACATCGCCAGTCTCCAACGCCGTCTAAAGCGCTATCAAAGAATCGAAATCAATATAATACGATATTGTCAGGTAAAATTCACTATTAAACAATATTATTACCAAAAAGATATCTTCAAAAAATAAACCTCCCCCGCCTAGGGGTGTGCGCGGCCGTCCGTGGAGCTTGAAGCGTCAACACTGGCCCAGTATTTTTTTTCTTCTTTTTTTGTTTGCCCACTCCTCCAAGGCACACAAATGGTTCACCAAGTTATGGTGGATACCAACTAGGCCATCGCCATCGGAGGGGGGAGGTGATCGTTTGACCTGGAAACCGGTGATAACCTCTATTCTTGCCTGATTGGGATTATGATGCTAGCCTTGTTAGTGACGAGTGTAGTGGGTGTTTTAGGTGCTATTTGATGTTCTTACAGTATCCAGTTCAGTAGAATACCCAGCCAAGAGACTTCTAAGAAGCATGAGTAGGTACCCCAGCGAAATTAAGTTGTGACGACGAGAGAAGTTTCTATTCTATTCATGATATCATCAAAGCAAGATCAAAGGTATCATTAGATGCAATATCAAACCATTCCCAACCTCCCTAGAAAGGATTCACCACTCGCTGGAACCGTGGTGGCTCCCTAGTAAACTTCTCCGGTGTATCTCTCGCACCCTCCTTCCAATAATCAAACTCCATCCACGCATTCTCCGGCATCTGCGCCTCCGTAGCTTCCAAAAACTCCCCCAAATCAGGGCACAGCGGGATCACACCAGTCTCAAGGACATACTGATCCCACAACTTGAGAAGCTGCTTGAGTTTCTCAGGCTCCTGCTCTGACAGGTCATTTACCTCGCCGGGGTCCTTCTCAAGGTTATACAGCTGCCAGCGCTCAGGACCCTTGGGCTTGGGGATGAAGACGATTTTCCAATCTGCGCAGCGCAGCGCGGCCCGACCGCATGTTTCCCAGCCCTGGATGAAATCTTTCGGGTGGATGCGTTCGGAATCGCCTGTGGCCCAGGGGTAGAAACTGCGGCCGCGCATGGAGACAACTTCGCGGCCTTGGTAGGTGGGTGCTGGGTGTTTGATTCCGGCCATGTCTAGGATTGACGGGGCGAGGTCCATGACTGTGGCGAATTGATCGGTGATACCGCCTGTAGCAGCGGTAGCGTCGCCGGGCTTGAGGGGAATGTTCTTGGGGAAGAGGCAGGTGAAAGGGACGCGGACGCCGCCCTCGGTGGTGTAGGCCTTGTAGAGACGGGATGGGGCGGTGGCAGCCTGTGCCCAGCGGGGACCGTACCAGATGAATGAGTTTCCGTTGCCTAGATTTTCCAGGCTGTTGTCGTAATACTTTTGCAGGTGAGGCATCACCCCGTTCTTCACCATAGGGTAGGCCTCGTAAGCGGCACCCTCGGCGCCATTGTCGGACATGAAGCATACGAAGGTGTTGTCCAGCTCTCCGATCTCTCGTAGGTAGTCGACTACCTTGCCGACGTTGTAGTCAATGCATTCAACCATACCGGCGAAGACCTCCATAGCAGTTGCGGACTTTTTCTTCTCATCGGGGGTGTACTCATCCCAGGCCTTGACTTCTTCTGCATCAACAGGATGCGGCACAACATCGTCGCGGATCATACCAAGCTCCTTTAAACGTTGCAGGCGCTTCTCGCGCAGAACATCAGGTCCCTTGTCATACACACCGCGATAGTGGTCAATGTATTCCCGAGGAGCTTGTAGCGGCCAATGAGGCGCAGTAAAAGGAAGATACCCAAAGAAAGGACGGTCCCCATTGCCGTCTGGACCGGCACTCCCACCACTCTCCTTCCACTCACGTAGATAATCAATCATCTTATCCCCATAACCATCGGACGAGTACCAGCCCTCAGGAAGCTTGCGCACGTACTTGCCATCCTCCATATGGAGAGCGATATAGCTCGCCTCAATAAAAGTGGGAATCTGATCCTCATCGCGGAGTTGAGGCTCGTAGGCGTAGTGATTGGAGCAAGCAGGCAGGTGGGCGAACGACCGAACAAAGCCACGCTTATGGGGGGATCGCTCGGGGGTAAGACCCAAATGCCATTTACCCGACATCACGGTGTGGTAGCCAGCGTCTCGCAGGAGTTCGGGGAGAGCCACGACTCGTTCGTTCAGATATCCCTCGTAGCCGGGCATACCACGCTGTGGAGCCGTGCTCATAGCGGAGCCCTTGGGACCATTTTGGCCGGAGATATTGGTCCATTCGATCAAGTTGCCCAGGCCGGCGATGTGGTGATCAGTGCCTGTCATGATCATGGCACGTGTGGGACTGAAGGGGGCAATCCCTAGTTAGTATTTTTGTACTGGCAGGTGAGGCTCGAAGTTATCTGATTGTATTGACTTACGAACATGCTGCCGCAGCATGGAAATCTGTAAATCGCAGTCCTTCCTCTGCGATCTGGTCAATATTAGGTGTGCGAATCTCGCCGCCGAAGCAGCCCACGTCGGAGAAACCGAGGTCATCGGCGACAATGACGAGGAAGTTGGGGCGTTTAGCCATGATGAATGGCAGTAGTCAATCTAAGCTAGGCTGTCAGAACAGAATAAAAGAGAGCTGCCGTATAGAAAGTCCAGGCCAGGAGAAAAAGAAAGTAATGGAGAGAGAAAAGAAAAGCACAAAGGAGAAATAAATAGAGGGGTACAGCTGCACGCGTATGCAGTTTTATAGCATCCCCGCAGGATCGGCCTCTGCTCCGATCCTTGTAGACATTGCAGGAAGGTGGGTAAATCATTCTTCAAATTGCTGTTTATTGTACTACTCCGTAGTCTTGTCTCGTGCTCGGCTGCTATCAATCGCCCATCGGCAGTCGGCTGCAATGGAGTCAACAATGTGGAGATCTTGATAACTTGGTGGATCCAGTGAAGCGATTCGTGGCTGCCGCGTAATTGGCTGTAAGATTACATGCGGGGAAGCTTATCCTCATACTAAAGCAGCCAAGAATACCCGTTATGGAGGTGTATAGAATACGACCACCTGATCATAGCAGACTTAAGGATTCTCCAATTTTCTCGTCCTTCTTCTTTGTTTGGATCTGTCCTGGTTCCTGAACCTTGTCTGTGTCATACTTAGGAGGACGATCAGTATCTCTCTCACATTCATGAATTATTCCAGTCTGTCTAGTGCACATGGCGTGATCTCTCCACTGACTTGCGTGTCGGCTCTCGGCAGTCCATGACATAATACACTGCAAATCCGGAGATCAACATCGCCCGAAACAGCTGCTGGTTCTCCTAATCTGGCCGTTTCGAACCGACCTATTCATTTCTTGGAGTATTATTTGGATACAACTACACATTTCGTTCTTCCCCCCCCCCCTTCTTCTTTGGGAATATGCCTGACCATGTAATCCAACGCTCTATATCAAGAACCACACCCGCCCAACTGGCACAATCCACTGCTTCTCCTGAATCAATTGCTTCGTCTTGGCGGACCCAAATATCAAATTGGTGGAACAATAATTCTGTCTCAATTGCTTCATACTCACAGCTTCCTCAACAATCAGAGCTTGTCGATAATCAATCGGACTGGGAGAGTGACGAGTGTTCTACTATGGAAGCGCTGAGGCTATCAAAAGCCCGATGGCGCACATACTGGCTAGCCGCAGTGCTTTGCTGCGGTGGTGCTCTCTTCGGTTATGATTCAGGTGTAATTGGTATGTACAGATCTTCTGATTGTAGCATCAATCCAGTTCTAACCAAATCTAGGTGGCGTCCTCACGTTCAAGTCCTTCCAAGACTCCTTCCAATTCACAGCTGCCCAAAAAACCCGTGTTAGCTCCATCGCCGTGGGCATCCAACAAGCCGGCGCCCTAGCTGGGTGTTTCATCATCTGGCCCGTGACAAACCGGTACGGACGACGAATCGCCATGATGCTCTGTTCCCTAATTTTCTGTCTCGGTGTTGTGCTTGAAGTTATCGACACGCACTCACTCCCAGTGTTCTATTTCGGGCGAGTAATTTGCGGTCTAGGAATTGGTGGCTCTGCAACTATCATCCCGATTTATATGGCTGAGATGAGTCCGAAAGAAATCCGGGGTCAACTTGGTAGTTGCTACCAATTAACCTACACAATCGGTATCCTGGTCTCTTACTGGATCGATTATGGCGTTGAAGCAATGCCGAGCAGTGCAAGTCAGTGGCAACTACCTATTGGACTGCAGCTTGTTCCGGGTGCACTAATGGGCTTGGGCATGTTCTCGCTCGACGAGAGCGTGCGCTGGCTATTAGCCCATGGCAAGACTGCCGAAGCCTGGCGTAGCATGGTTTGGATCCGGGCCGGTGATGGGCCAGCCGTGATGGAGGAATTTGAAGAGATGCGCCGTGGTCTGGAAGAAGAGCGTCACGCGACGGCTGGTTTCCGACCTCGTGAGCTTCTCGAATGGCCTAACCTGCATCGATTGTTGATTGGTGGTGGCCTCTTCCTGGCGCAGCAGTCGACTGGCTCGACGGCTTTGGCGTACTTTGGCCCGCAGTTCTTCTCTCTGCTTGTCGGGCCTGGTGATAAGAATCTCCTGCTGACGGGTATTTTTGGTGCTATCAAAGTAGTCGCTTGTCTTATCTTTGTCATCTTCATGTCAGACCGATTCGGGCGTCGCCCGTTGTTGGCCAGCGGGGCTGCTTTTATGTCCGTTTGCATGCTCGCCACTGCGGCCGTGGTTAAGGAGTATCCGCCAAAAGATGGAGCCGTCACATCTGCCGGTATCGCTACTGTAGCCTTGATATACCTCGACATCATCGCCTACAATTTCAGCTGGGGTCCACTACCTTGGCCATGCACAAGCGAGATTTTTCCCACGCGCATCCGCGAACCGGGTGTTGCGTTTGGAGTGGGGTCTCAGTGGCTGTTCAATTTTATCTGGAGCTTTTCCACGCCCTATATTATAGCAGGAATTGGGTGGGCGACGTTCCTGCTGTTTGGGCTTTTGGATATTCTGATTGTTGCGTTTACTTTCTTCTGTCTAAAGGAGACGGCAGGAAAGACGCTTGAGGAGATTAATGAGATGTTTGATGGGGTTGATTCTGATGCCGAGCGTGGTTGGAAGGGTGATACATTTGATGCTGAGACTGAGGGATATGCGAGTCCTGCGCAGAATGAGCGGGGCCAGTACTTGGATCGCGCTGGTTCTGTGAAATCAGGCCAGGATAAAGATGGTGCTATGCATTTTGAGCAGTCAACCGCTGGACGGGCTTGAAGAGATGGAATATGATGGACCTACAAAGACTTTTATCATACTCTCAAATGCTTCCGAGTATACATAGGTTCTCTATAGACCTCAATGATCATTAGATAGAACTTCCTGAAACAAGACATCTGCAAATGTTCCTAGGTATAACCATCAACTAAGAAACCTCGAAATGGTGCAATCCAGGAGAAGTCCATAAATTGTTCACTGGATTTAGTATAAGTGGTATCGTAGACGTGTTAGTATCCTTGGTCCACCGAGGGGCGACGAAACATGTTTTGGACCGCTAGCCCGTGAACAGGAAAACCAACCACATCGAGTATTTCACAGGTCCCTCGTATACGATAGCAAATCACATACAGCATACAAAATCCAAGAAAAGTAATTATGGTAGTCCAGATCCATTCCTAAGGTATTGGAATCAAGTCCTACCTAGGTAGCTTCCAGCTCATCAACACAAAGAACGACAAAAGACACCAATCCAATCCCATCGACCCATCAACATTAACAATAGACAGACAGCCGCCAAAGAAGCAAGAAAGACCTCCCACTCCAGGGTAACCTTGAAGAAAACACAAGAAGCCAGAAAAGAGACAGAAAAAAGACCTTCAGAGTTGAAAAGCGTATAGAAACATCATCGCCCCGTCAGCTGGCTGTATACTCCACAGCAGTTCCCTTTCAAAGACACAAACAAACGCCAGACACCCTCCAGCCTCTCGCTAGAGGTAAGACTGGATCGCACATCAGAATACAAGGGGAAAAGAAAGGAAAACAAGGATCCAGGCCACGCTTTTCATCAAAAAAGCCTCCAATAGCCGAGGTAACGCCGCGCTGAAAAAGCCTCTTGTCCAACGCAGACAAGATGAAACAAAGCGCGAACCTCTCGTAAAGACACATCGCATAGCATAGCACAAAACAACCAACCCCCTCATCATACATTAATCAAATCATCAAAAGTCTCATCCGCGGAAAACGCATACGAAGACTCCGAAACCATCGAAACCTCCGAATCCCTCCGCAACTGCTGCTCAAACGCCTCCGCCGCAGCCGCAGCAGCCGGCTCCAACTGCAACGGATCATCAAAGCCAAACGAAAGCGCCGTGGACGCCATCGGCGCCAGCGCACCCGTCGCTGTCGGTGTAGGCGCCGTATCTTCCGGCGAACCGGGGATTTGATCCGGTAACTGGATAATAGGCGGATCAACCGGTACAGGTACAGGTACAGCACCACCACCACCCCCACCGCCGCCATCGATGTCAGTGATCTTCTTCACCATCTGGGCTAGATGGAGTTTAATCGGTTCATCTCCACACTGGGCATGTTTCAAGACTTCATTCTTCAAGCTGAGGATTTCAGAGCGGAGACGGGCAATTTCACTAACTAGTAACTCTTTTTTCTCGGATTGTTCTTTATACCGGAATTCGAGTTGCTGGGTATGTTCTTTTTTTTTTTGACGGCATTTGCTGGCGGCAAGACGGTTGCGTTCGAGGAATTTGAGCCGCTTGGCGCGGTCTTCTCGTGGACAGTCGTCTAGGTCGGGACTTAGGCTTGCGGCGGCGGTTTTGGATTCTCTTGCGCGGCGGCGTTTACTTGCCGGTTCGGCTTCGAGACTGGATGTATCACGTAGATGCTGATCGTCGTATGGAGGGGGTGTAGGTTGGCCGTTGCGGACTTGGGCGTTCTTAAGATCGCGCTCCAGCGCGGCGCCGGCGAAGGCGGCTGTGTCGGCTTTGGTATCCCAGCCGGCAGTGCCCATGGTTGGTGAAATTGGACTGAGGCCCCAGAGATGTTCGTCGTCTGGGATTGGGAGGCTGAGAAAGTCGCCGGAGAAGGTGTTGGCTGTTGTGAAGGGGGATGTGCCGATGGCGCTGATGGGATCCAGAGCTGGCAGGCCGATTGGCAGAGTCACGTTGCCGGTGGACATGGTAGGAGACATTCTTCGTTTTTAAGCGAGCAGTGGCCGGGGTTGCACTAAAGTAACGGCGGAGAGAGCGATGGTCGGTCTCTGTTTGGAAGTGGAAACAGCGATGGAAGTAGCCGCGGAGGTGACAAATGAAGCTAGATGTCTTCCGGTAGGGGTAATTGTGGAAAAATTGGGGAGGTCGAGTAGGTTTTGGTAGATCCAGAAGATCCAGAAGATCCAAAAGATCCAGTCAGTGCAATAGATGTAATAGGTCCCGTAGATTTTGTGAGTTTCCAGTGTATCCAAGCCGTCCGTCCAACGTAGGATTAGGATTCGAGGCTTCGTGCTTCAGGCTTCAACTCCAGAGCTTCACAAAGCTTCAGGTACAAAAGAACAATTCATCAATAGTATGGACCCAGCTCAGCTCCCAAATACAGAAAAAAAAATAAGAGAGGAGGCTTGGGCATCAAGACCGGCAGCAGGAATCAGCAGGATCCCGTTCCCAGGAAACAGATTGGGAAGACTGAAGACAATGAAGTCGAAGCACGGGTGTCCGAGGTGGCCCGGTACCTGAAGAGGCGGATAGAAAGCTAGAAAGTGATGGAACTGGCAGTGTCAAAGGTTCCAGGTGCGTCGGTTGACCAGGTTTAGAGCCACGGTCGGACAGAACTTCCAGCGGTCCAGCAGATCCGGGCGAATCCCCGTTGAGAATGGTTAATGGTTATTGACCAGAGAAGGAGAAACTTGGGTCGGTTGGGGAAGGTTGAAGTGGGACAGAGAACCAGGATAGTAAGTAAGAGGGGTGATACAAAACACGAGATGGTAGATGTTAGAAAGAAGATTAGAGACTAGAAAGTAGAAAGTAGAACAGTAATGTAAAAATGATAGCAAGATAACAAGGTACCTACCTGATCTCTCTCTCTCCCCCCGCCGGCTATATGGGCCGATGAGGATAGATGCAGGAAGTGGGAAAGAAAACTAGAGTCGAGCATCTTACGACAACCGACTAGGCTATAGGTGGGGAGCTCCACCTGTTTGGGGCTGGTGGTCTACTGTATATCCAAAGGCCTGGCCTAGGCCGTGCGAGAGTAGCCATTGGAGGATTCCTACTGGTCAACAGAGCTTCTTGTGATGGCCCAATTAGGCCTCTTGGTTTTCTTAGTTACTTAGTTCCTGGCTGGGGAGAAAAAAAGAGGGGGGGAGGAGGGAGGGGGAGTCTTTGACATCACTACAAAGAGTAATAGCTTCGACCGAGCCAGCTATTTGGCTATCATGTATTCCAAGATAGAGCTAGTATACTTGAGCACCTTCCACCTGGTTGGTCCACTTATCCAAGCTCTTCAACCCTGGACTCTGACGGGATCTTAACCCGCCCAGTCGCGCCCCTAGTGGATCCCATCCAGTCTGTCTGTAAACCGGGTTTAATGTGGAGAATGCGACATTCTGGAGCCCTTGACCCTGGCAGGAAGGAGTACCTATACTTGGATGAAGATTCTAGAGCATACTAGTCATGATTCGAGTGTAGTATAGTATAGAGTATAGCTCCTGATACTATAGACAGCCTACTGGAATATTCCAGGATTCTATCCTAGTCGAATGCAGATCATTTACTCCAATTAAGTACCTCGAACAGTCCCGATCGTCTCCTCGCGTCCAAACAGTCAAACGGACAAGGTAGATCAATAGACAAGCAGGTTTCGGATCTTCTGGTCGATACAGTACTCTCTACTCTCTACAAGGAACATCAAAGACAGAAAATTGTAAGAAGAAAAATAATAATATTAAGACTCCATGGTCCATATTGAAGTTTAATACCTGTCGAACAGGAATACCTGCCGAACATGGCAAGAAATCGAAAAACAACTATCGCTGTCACAGTCCCTGACTCAAACAAAAAGAAAGAAATCCACCAAGCTTCAGTCATATTCGGCAAGATGTGTGGTGTAGATTTTGGCCCACCCCCTTGAGGTTGTAGCTGATATCCGGCCAGAGGTCAAGGAGCATCCCCGCCACGCGTTCCGCCTCGATCTCCCGCTTCACCTGGGCGGCCCCTTTGACCTGCACATCTTCGCGATCCCGCTCAGTAGCTTCCATCCCAGTTCCGGTTCCTTTCTCGGTTCCGGTCAACAGCGGTCCAAATGCCCACGCCAGTCCATCAGCCCGCGAGGTACTTGCCACCTCCCGGAGCGGGTACCCGGGGGTATCTTCAAGCAGTTCAGTGAGAAGCCCGAAGATGGCGCAGATCAGGGCACACTGCATTTCCCTGGTAGAAGCCACGATGGCGAGAGAGATGAGCCGACAACGGATCGCCCTTGGAAAAGCCTCAGCGGCGGCGCCCTGGAGATGATAAATCTCCTTCAAGGTGTTGTACAGCTCAGTAGACCCAAGGATCCCTCCAGGCAGTCCAGCCAGTAAGGCTTTCATGGTCCAGCCAACACTGCGTGCTGGCAGTTTCTCAGCCTTTGCCCAGGTCGGCATGGTAACCACACGCATGTTCACTGCGATTCCGTGCTCATCGTTGGCAGCAGACAGCACATGGTGCGCGAAGTAGTCGTACAGGCGAATCGCTTTCTTGAGGTTGCCGGGCTCAACGAAGAGATCGCCCCCATAGGTACCGTTGCCTATAGGATTTCATCGTTAGTAAGTTCTGTTAGTACATCTAAACAAAACATGGGATGAAAAGGAAGATCAGACGAAAAGGGCACTCACCAATTTTCCGCAAATACCTAATTGATTTAGCAATGCAATTAGGCAGCTGTACTGGGCATGGTGCACAACTGGAAGGCAACCAGACGAAATCCTCCCCTCCAAGATAAGCGAGCCTCTCGACCTCGATGCCGCGGAGCGAAGTCATCGGCTCGGGACGACGGAGGAGGTCCGCAAACGTCTTGGTTCGGCGCAGCTTTGGAGAGGGCGCCGGTGCCACCTGGGAGGCCTTTGCCAACACCATGATCGATTTTACCGGGCGAAGTCTTCCAAGGGACCGGTGTCGGCGCTGGGAGGAGTTGCCAGCGCCGACGTTCTCTTGGATGACTGTATAAAATGATCAGAACTGAGGTTTCCAGAATGAGAGATGGAGTGAGATGAGAGCTATCCTTACCTTCAGCAGTCGTAGGCTCTTCAGCGGGGATTCTCAGCCGGAGGCTGAGCCGAGCTGCCATTGCGTTGAAGGCCTCTTTTGCTCTGGCCGGGTCCAGTCGATTCAGGCGGCTGGGTCTGCTAGACTCACTACTGAGAGAGCTGATGGGATCTCTCTCAAGAACTGAAGCGGGGCGAAGATGATAGTGAGAGCCGTAATGGCTCTCCCCTCCGTCAGATTTCGCCGGGTTCTGGCGAAACGAGCTTTCACGGGAAGGCTCGGTGTTGATAGGGTCTTCATGACCCGAGGAAGAAGGAGAGGGAGGAGGGAGGAGGGTAGGTGTACTCCGACCACTTGCAAAAGCACCGGTCTCGTCACCTCGAGGCCAAACTGCAGCGCCTGGGATGCGCTGGAGATGCGCACCCAGGACATCTGTAGCTGACTGGGAGCAACGCAGCCAAGGAAGACGGGGCCGAGCAGGTGCATCTGCTTCTTGCTTGTGTGAGCGGAAGAGGTTTCGGAAAAGAGACATTTTGATACACGTGGTGGATTCTATGATGATGGGTAGGGTGCACGTGCTTCAAAGAGGAGTCGACGAAGGAGAGTTGATGTTAGGAGAGACAAAGTAGAAGAGATGAGAGATGAGAGACGTGAGACTGGGCTTGCTATTGCGGTGCTTGCCGGCGCCGCGGCGCCTGGATTTGACTCACAAGACCTTCACTTAGTCGTCATATAGGATAGGGCAGGCACCAGGTTGCTCCTTCCTTTGGCTGTAGTCAGGATCAAACACATGCAAGCCTCAGCAGAGTATAGGCTGGTCAAGCTACCCTCCAGATTACCTAGACTATCACTCTTCAAGGCACACAGAGCAAATTGTCAAAGAAATCTATTTCTGACCAAATATCCAGTCTTGTCACCACATTTGATAAGAACCTGTAAATTATCTTTGTACATTCATCAGAGGCTCAACAGTATATCGAAATCAGAGACCAAAATGGTTGGCCAAAAGCCTTGGAGAGACTCAGGGTCATGTACCATCAGGCGCCTCGCAGAAAGATACGAACAAGAAAACACATCAACGCCAGAACCATGCAAGAAACCAGAGAAAAGGTTATGTATAGGCGTGGGGGAGAGAAACATTTGCGGCCATACTTGATCATACTTCGTCATTTTCTCCCTCGAGGAGAATGTAATGGAGGATATCACTCAAAGTGAGCACTCCCTTGAGCTTGAAATGCTCATCCACAACGACTAGACGGTGGACCCGAGATTTGCGGATGGTGTCAAAGATGGTATCTAGACCGTCGTTCAGCGAGCAAGTGTAGATTCCGGGGAATTCCTAAAAGCCAATTAGTATCGTCTCATCGATTTGAACACGACAGCAGGATCAGTCAATTAGACATACCGGCGAACGCTTCTTCAGCACCTCGCCCACGGTAAGACCTAGATCATCGTAGGTACCGCCCCGAATGAGTGCAATGACATCGACCGCTTCAAACACATTGTACACAACACCTATTCAGTCAGACCCGTTAGCACTCACTCGTATTTGTTGAGACGAAAGAAGACGCCCTAGGGAGACCTCCAAGCATATATACGTACCCTCTGAATTCAAAATCGGCACGCTAGAAATACTGCGCTCGACCAGAATATGAATCACATCGATGACCGGAGTATCCATCGACGCCGTGGCGATATTATCATATGTGCCAAGCAACAGCTCCCGCAGCGGACGGCGCAGCTTCTGCGTATCACCGACATTGACGGCGACAAACTTGAGGATTCGATACTGGGTAATGACGCTGAGGACGTGGGATCGATCGGTTTGACTGTCATTCGTAACGAGAGGGATACGGCGAGCACGAGACTCGAGCATGCGTCGACAAGCTTCGTAAAGGGGACGTTCGGGGTCAATGGAGATGGTCTCGGGTGGCGCGACGCCCAATGCCTTTTCCACCTCTGCAAGTAATCCCAGATTGGTTAGTACTGAGCCGCATGACAAAATTGGCGGGGGAATGAAGTACGCACCACGCAAGCTATCTAGTCGGAACTGGTCAATTTGGTCGAGCGCGGCCGGGTTCTGGAAATAGTATTGAATGACGTTGATGTAGTCGGACGTGGTCAGAAGACCGGCAAACTTGGATGCTTTGGAGTCCCACAACGGGGCTGAAACGATGCCTGTACCTCCCGATCATTGCCCTTGCGGTCAGCGGGTGTCTCAATTGTCTCGAATGCGTTCTCCGATAAATTTTCCCGAGGAACATGAGGAGTATGGGGGAGGAAGTGCGACATGCCATTTTGAATGAGAATGTTCAAGCTTTCTTTCACGGAAAGCCCGGTGTCGAAGATAATCAGGCGAAAACTGAGTGGGAGAACGTCATAACTAGTGCGGACCTTGAGGAAATTGCGAATGGCACGCTGTTTGACGCTGCGTTAGTCAAGATCTTGATATAGGCGGGCCACGAGCTCGGAGCGAGGTTTGCAATTCCCGGGATATGCCCCTTTGTTCCTCTCTGCGGTTGATCCCCCAGGATTCACTTGGTTGAATTATCATTGTCCCTGTCAGATCTTTAAATCTGGGGGAAAGGGGAAAATTGTGAAGCGTTTCCTGAGGGTTGCGCATTGTCTTGGAGGGGTGCGCGACAAAAAGCTTCGGTGCGGGGCGGGGGATTTGGGATGGGGATGGGATGGGAGCACGAAAGAACAGCAGACGGCAAAGACTCACCAGGCCCTGTCGCTCTTCGACATCGATTGGTCTCTCTGGTTGGGAGGCCATTGGAGGGCGAAGGTACGAGGATGGCTGCACGAAAGGCGCGTGACCGAGGGAAGTGAAGACCCCGGAGAGGTGAGGCAGAGTGTCTTCCGCCTTCGTCATGTTCGCTTTTCAGTGGGGGTGGGTCATGGAGGTGGTAGAACTAGAAGAGGGGAGGGAACAAGAGAGGATAGAGAGTGTGGTGGTGAAGGGGGGATATACGAAGAGGTAAAAAAGTATACAGCCAAAAATCCTGATCTACAAGATATACCAAGTTATAGTCTTTTTTTTTTAATTGCCCCTCTGTGCTGATGCGAAGGATGAGACTCAAAACTAGTCAAGTCAACTAAACTAACTGTGACTTGGCCACAGGGCCGATGCTGGAGTCGCGGCCCGATTTCCCAGGCTACCAGGCAACCAGGCCACCAATCTCCAGTGACTGGCTCTCAAGGATAGACATACTAGATATACTAGACATAAAACATTAACCATAACTGGTTCAACGACCTGAATATTCTCTCACCCCCGGCAACGTCGAACGTACAACACCGTCCGCGAGAAATTGTCATCATCCTCCGCCCCAAAGTCAAACAACTCATACTGCTCCATCATCGCCCGCACCCGAGGCGAGCAAGGATCAGTGCTATATACTTCAGATCAGTACAAATCCACAACTCCAATTCCGAGAAAAGAAAATGATCTCTTACCAAGACATCTTCCCCTCCTGATCCCCATCCATAAATCCAACCCGCTCCCAAATAACAATCGCGGGCCGAGCAATATCGGCCACAATCTCCTTCACCGGCACATTCGGACTAACCGAGTACACGACAGACTCGTCGTCAATTTCCAGCCACGCCCGAGGATCATCAATCACCTCAATTCCATGCTCATTCAATACCTCCCTATCAACAGACCGATAACCAGGATCTTGAGCGTAGCACACGACATCCTGCGTCTTCTCACGCTCAACCAGCCAGTCCCGCAGGATCAGTAGCAAAGCATGTTGGATATAGCAGCGCGGACGAGTATCGTAATGATACGAAATAGCCCCCAAAGCAAGACCCACAATCTTGGTGATGGAATGAGTCGCCGCGTACGTATTCAGGAACGGAACAAGCTTCTTGGCGACCTCGGTCTCTCGCCAACCCTTGGAATGGGTCTGGAATGTCTCGGCCACTTTTTCACGGGGTTGAGTCGGCCATGGATTGACGGGTTCTTTGGTCTTGGTGTTGAATTTCAGTGAAGGATGTTGGATTGTCAGACTGCAGAATGGAGGTCGTTCTTTTCTGATACCTGCCCACCAGAGATGGTGTTTCAGATGAGCGCGGCAGTCGTATGAAATCACCGGGTCGAGGCTGTGAACGATATTAGCATGAGTCGCAAAGAAACACGAAGCTACAATAAATCAGAGCTCAACATACAGAATGTACTCCAATTCGACACCATCCCTCTCAATTTCCCCCTTGACATCCCCCGTCTGGCACTCAAACTCAACCAACGCCCCAGTGATGTCCTTGACGTAGATCATTTCACCGCGAGGAGGTTTGCGCTTACACTGCTCATAGACAAAACGAATGCCCTCCTTAGAAAAGAACGGGACTCCAGACTCATAGAGCTCATCGATTCGCGCCTGTACTTCTTCCATGGTTTTGAGTTCATCAGGAGGAGGATCAGACCAGCGCAAGCGACCTCCAAAGTAGTGATTGCTGATATTCACATTTCCGATGTTGATTTTGTAGCGTGGGCGTTTATCCTCAGAAGCCATGTTGATTGTGTTTCGCGGAGTTTGTAAAAGGTAAAAATCGTTTGTCGCAAAAGTCCCAGCTCCCAGGTCACCAGATGTGTTGTCAACCGTGTTGGGCTCTCATGCTGGAGGGGGCTGGTTTGCCGCCGGTACACTGTACAGCGCTGCAGGACATAATTAGGGCCTCCTATCACATCAAACGTGACTGGGCCAGTGCGCGCGGCTACATGAGCTTTTTTACTTTCCTTTTTTGGTAGATACCGCTTTTTGACTGGTGGTTGACTTGTCTTGTGCTCTGTGGAATTTGGCCTTGCAATGTCTAGTCGGGCCTGCAATGTAAATATACTGTTTTGGTATCACTAAGTCTTGGAATTCGGGTATCGGGGGCCAAATGTTAATGGAGATCAATTGTATTCAAATAAGGAGCCCCAATCCTTCAAACGCCACCCTCGCAGCCATGCAACGCGCTAAATTCAAGGTATCACCGCCGAGCAGAGAACTAAAGAAAAAGAAAACATAAAAGAAAAAAAAGCAAACCCAAAACATACACTCCTCCCTAGCCTGGATATAGCAAGTAAAAAGTCGTTAGAACTGGCGGCATGAAGGGTAAAAAGGCATAACACAGAACTCAGAAACAAGCATCACAAGAACGAGAAGCAATGATCTATCTATCTATATACTACCCGCAAGCTCACAGATGCCCATGGAGCTTGAATCGGTAGATGCACGTATGATTCGAACCCCAATTCGACTTCATCCGGAACGTGAGCTGATCCACCCGAAGATGAGGAATCTCGATGACGCCGTCAAATGCGAAAGACTGTATATTGTTCTCCCCGTGAATGTCATACCTCATCTTGCCGATGCGGTAAAAGCCCGGACCCAGCTTGGGATCACCTGAGTACTCTTGCTCGGGTACGCCTTTATTGGCTATACGCAAAGTGCTCATCACCACCAGAGGAAGGGTGTCTTCGGTGACCGGTGTGATTTTTGCTGTTTCCGAGTTGTGCTCGGACTCTGCCGCATCCTGTGTCTCGGAGATCCAGCGGGTGAATTTGCTCCAGGTGAGAGGAGTCTGCGATACTTCCTCAATCGGCGCCTCCGGGGAGGGAAACACACCATAATGAGCCCAGACTTCGATATCTTTGGGTGCAGCATACGGATCAAGGGTGGCGCTGAAGGGGATGTGTTCAACAACAAACTCCTCGGGGACGATAGGGTATTGGAGGACAACGCTCAGCTGGGTGACGCCATCACGAGGGGCACCGCACCAGCAGTCCCCAGCGTCCCTCCAGGGCTCGAGGGCAGTCATAGGTTCCGGCGCATCTCGAACACCGGTTGTGGACCCAAGCCAGGGTATATTTTGCAAGGTTTTCTGAGCAAACGATCGCTTGTGGCCAGCGGTTGGGGAAGTCCTATGGTCTCTCGGGTCAATGATCGCCCCTAACCCCGGGGCCAGGAAATTGATCTTTGGGACTGGCTTAGGAAGCCGGCCGGGGTCGACGATGCTAGTGGTGCGTGGAGATTGAGCGAGTTCGGACCGCAATGAACTGAGTTCACGGGATAGAGATGACACTTGCGAGTTCATGTTCGTCACTTTACTTTGTAGACCGTGGAAGGCTGCAGAGTCGGTCATATTGGACGAGAAGTCTATTCCGGATCCCCCAAATGGCAAACACCAGCGGATCCTCGCCATAGTGCCACCGTGGAAACTTCGCAGAATCTCATCCTGATACAAAGCATATAAAAGGGCCAGAGGAAGTAGGAGAAGGATTACTCGAAGCCATCTGTTCCTTTTAGGTGTGAAAGGTTTCGTCGTACGGCTGCCAGAGTGCTGTGATGACATCGCAGCCCAAACCTGTTGAGCGAAGCTATCTCTGCGAGGGCCCTCGGTAGAACTCGCCGAGATGGTTCTTGACTCGATTTCTTGTGGAATGATTGTCCGCACTGGCGCGTCCCATTCCCCAGTCTCAGCGACTGTGTCGAACTTCTTTGGTGGCTGAGAAAGCAGCTCACTAGGCTCTTCGTCTTCTTCCAGAATCGTGTCCTGAATCATGGAGAGGCCCGATGGGCGTCGAGGGGGTTTTGTAATATTGCGACCATGGGGTTCTCCTCGATATTTGCTTGGTCTCGTTCGTTGCAAGTTGTCTTCATGAATGTCGCGCTCTAGATTGAACGACACCTCAGACGCATTGTCGACCGAGCTCTGCCGATCCGGTGTGTTCCGCTCAAAAGCATTATTGTTGGGGTTTCCAGGTCGCTTGAGCGGTGATGGGTAAATAGTTTCGTTTGATGATTCAGACAGTCGTCGTGGCAAAGGCGGCTCAACAGGGGGACTCGAGTCTGTAGAGACTGTCTGTGCGATGGGTGGTGTAGGCGTGGCATCAGTTGCAGGTGGAGAGTTGGTAACATCTCGCAACGATTGCATAAGCTGAGTCTGGTCTGGAGTAGGTTGTCGCTTGGTCCTTCGGGGAACAGGGGCGGCGTTTTTGGCAACATTTTTCCGATAACGAGGCCCCAAGGGCTCGAGGTTTCCATTTGAGATTCTCTGCGAAGGGGGACTGGTCGATCGTTTTTCTGCCAAATCGAGGCCAGCATTGATTCTCTTGGCCACTCGATTAGCATCCAGGGCTGGCTGCAAAGCCATCTTTCGAGGAAGGCCTGTCCCTGCGGTAGCACCGTAATTCCACGAGTTCGCAATAGGTACAGCAGGCAAAGTTGGTCCTGGCACAAAGTCCAGTAGAGTCTCAACGGTTTCTCCGTCCTCTGGCTCAGAGGCGTAGCCTTTTTGGCGGCGACGCGGGCGTTTGGACATCCTAAGCATAGTATGTTAGCTCCAATTCGTTCTGAAGGTTTGTAAGTTGACATTGAAAAGAAGGTTTGTTTGGAAAGAAAGGCCCCAACAAATTTATTAGGTAAAAGCAAGGTCTTATGGGGGTGGTCTAAAGGGAGCAAAAGATCCGGCCAACAACCAGCCAGCTTTGAAGATGAAACCTGACCAGGAAATGGACCCTCTTCAAGTTGAATCAAGAATTCTGAGGGAGACGGGTAGGATTGAAAAAGCGACGCAATGTCTTTTGCTCATTTGCATCGAGTAATAAGATGGGTGATGGGCATCATAACAAGAAAATTGACACTTACTGAGCAGGCACACAGTGCTAGCCGCCGTAACAAGCAACAATAGAAGATGGGATCAATTCCAATGACCAACACACCAGATCTATATGCACACAATTGTTAGCGATGATCAATCTAGACTTCATACATGTTTGCATCCATTGGTGGGGGAGGTATAGCCGCCCAGAAGGGGGTCGCGCTGCGCAAGCGGAGCATCGAAGGACCCCAAGGATAGCAGGCGGGAGGCGACAGGAAAGACACTCGGAACTTACCGGTAGCAAGACAAAAGCCAAACTTCAATCCAGCATACGCCCGTCGTGATCAATTTTCCTTGATATCGTGGCTACTCGTAGATCGCGACCCCAGACCTGCAGGGGGCGAGACGCGCAGAGACGCGACGGAACGTGAAAGCGGCCTGCTGGCTAAAAGGGTGTGGAGTCCGCGCCAGTGGCAAGATCGAGAGTCGCAAGAAGTAGACGGATTTGCTGATGTGCAAATATTTCGGACTTTAATATGTCGCGATCGCAGTAATATAGGGAGAAGGCGCGACGGAATAAGTGCAACGTGAAGAAAAGAGGTGTTGGAGTGGAGCGGTGATCGGAGGTCGAGTTGCAAGGAAGACTGACAGCGGCTCAAAAAACCGCGGAGTTGGCCCAAGTTTATCTTTTGAATATCGGTCTTTCATCTCTTTGTGTCTTGCCACCAACTACATGCCTTCATGTTCGGTTCTTTTATTTCTTTGATCTGCACGCCCTCGGGTGGTTTAGTTCTGCGTGCTATTTTTATGTTTCTTTGTGACTGACTAACGCCCATGTGGCGCATACCTGGAGATGGTCTCACCTACATACACCTAGTACAGACTGAGAATCTCGACTATCGAGTCCCCCGTGAAAGAAACACAAAAACTTCAATGGGGATATTGAGCTAGACTTCGTTTAATGGCAGAAATTATGTCTTGAGTAGATAATAACAGCGATTGATATCATATTCCTTGCCTCTCTAGGTGCGCCAGTTTGCTACATCCAGACTCTCTCTCTCTCTCTCTAGACATGGGGATGGAATACTATACAACGGGCGTGGAGGACAAAGAGGAGAGAGGACCCCCAGCAAGGAGACACAAAGCGGGGATGGAGGTGATGGAGGAGGGCGGGAAGTAGATGCTATAATCAACAAAAGGAGTCGCTTCTTTAACAGGTCCAAGCGGCCATAGTACCGTCTTTACGTCCCTCGACAAGGTAGCCGTCCTTCAGGCGCACACGCTCAACGGTCGCAGGGAACGGACCTTCATCGTCGACGCCCACACCAGCGCCACAGTCCCAGTGGTGGCCATCGGCCTTGTCGTAGACCTTGACCACGCTATCACCGGCAGCGGCCACGATACGCTTAGAATCGAACATCATGCTGGTGATCGGCTTGTCGTAGGCGTAAGCATCGTATATGGATCCAGTTCGGAGATCCCAAATCTGTATTCAGGGGTTAGAATATTCGTACATTTCTAAACAAATCAGAAACGAAATAAAAGCTTACCCGGATACTGCGGTCCAGACTGCCCGTCACCAGATGCACGTCGTCAAACTGTAAGCAGGTAACCGGCCCAGTGTGGCCCACCAGACTGCGATGCACCTGGCCACTGCGCAGATCCCACAGGCGAACCATGCCGTCTGCAGTTCCACAGGCCAAGGCTGCATCGAAGCATTGCACGGCCCCAACAAAGTCAGCCGACGCGTCTGGAAGACGACCAGACGGGCGCCAATTGCCATCTCCGGACATAGAGGAGGATGACTGGGTGGCTGCCCACAGAATGTCTAATGTTTGAACGCAGCGGCCCTTGACCAGATCCCATTGTCGCAGAGTCTTATCTGCAGATCCCGAGATGAGCGTGTCGCCCTTGAAGTGCAAAGCGGTGACTTCGTCAACGTGCGCTTCAAGCGAAAAGACATGGCAGTCCTCCAAGTTCGACGAAGGTGGCACTGGTGAGGAGTGATCGTAATCTTCATCTAGTCCGTCACGTTCATGCTTGTTCAATCGGTTGTCGCGACTAGCGGGTCGAGCACGACTCAAATCCCAGAGTCGGACGGACGCATCCATCGAACCTGTCGCAACGATGTTGTCTTCCACTTGCAAGGCGCGGACTGAGGCATGATGTCCCTCCAGCAATCCTGAACAGCGGCCAACATTCATATCCCACACCCGCACGGTATCGTCTAATGCTGCGCTGACCATAGTACCGAATGGATAGTCAAAATCAATGGCTGTGACCATATCAGTGTGTGCTTCAATCTCTTTGATTAGAGATCCGGGAGCAAAGTGTTCGTGGAGGATCGGCATAGATCGTTTACGGATCGACCGGTGTCGTAGGCTTCGAGGAGACGTGGTCGGCAATTTCTCATATATCGATTCCGACATGAAGGAAGCATCCATGGCAGGGTCACCGGAAGCACCAGTATCATCCTGAGCTTCAGACGGTTTGGGTGTTTCGGCCGTTGTAGATGACTCGGGAGTCTCCTCTTCCTGGAGGTCTTCCAGTTTGTTATCAAGTTCCGTAACTATCAATCAAGCTCGGGTTAGAACGAAGTCCTTTCTCTTATCAACAACGCGTCATAGGTGCAACTCACTCTCAACTTCCATTGCTGCTTCATCCATTTCCAGCCCGGCTAATCGATCAAGCACAATCTGGCGCATCTTGTGCAAATTGGCGATCTTGTTATCAATCTCGTGAATCTCGGCGCTGCACATGTTCTTTCGAATACCCATGAGGTCCAACCGGCGACCCAGCGCTCTTCGTTCCTCCCTCAATGCCGCAGGGCCTGCTGTCAACGTTCCACCTTTCTCAGCGTCCTTCAAAGCCTTCTGCGCCTTGGAGCTGCGTCTCCTGTGCTTCTTGTGGCCCCGTTCATCCTCGGGAAGGGTCGCCTGGAAGCCCTGGAAGAGGGAGTAGGAGCTTGAATCTTCGGGGATATTCGCGAGAAGGTCATCTGGAAGGGAAGAAAGCGCCCGCGACTGGATCTCGGAGGTTGACAGCTTCGATCGGACCAGGTCGGTCGGGGTGGTTTGAGTCAGGGAAAAGACCTTTCGCTGCGCCGTCGGCCGGCGCAGTTCGCGGTGGATGTCGGATATCGCATTGTGATAATGGGTGCTGTGGGATTGGTCGGTCGGTCCTATCAAGTGTCCAGCCGTCGATGTGACTTTTCGCCCAAAGGCCTCAATGTGTCGGGTCTGTTATCGAGAGTTACACTGGTCAGCGGTCGCGATGCCGAGGGAGGCACGAGGCGTGTTCCCGTTAAACAAGAGAAAAAAAGCAGATCCTACCGTTAGACCAGTGCCCAGCAGGCCTTCGCCCTCGACAATATCTGAGAGACCAGAAGGCGAGTCATCGCGGCGGTGGTTCTCCATGCCCGGAGATTGTCTTGCGGGGGCTCTCAACCAAGACCCATGCGCGGTTGAAGAGGTGGATGATTAGCGGGTGCGGGAGTTGGCAACGGGGAGAGATAATTGTCATGTGTCCACGCGATGATTTACCGCGTTCCCCGGGTACGGCCCTGCTTGATACGGTACGTTTACGAGCTGAAACCAGGATCTGATTCCAACGAGTCAGCTTTAACCCTACTTCTATGCAAGCCGATATGAACTAGCGGGATGCAAGGTGTGCTTTCTATCCCGGTTGGCACTTATACCTAATAGGTACGGATGATGCTCGTCATTCCCTCTGCTGAGCTCGGTACAGGCCGAGTACCGAATACCCGATAGCGACACAACCAACACCATGGCGAGGCTCAGGCACGATTATAAGGGAAATGGATACATGCATACGATGGATAGCAAAGCTGATCCATTGACTCAAATGCAAATAAGCGACATGCTCTCACTATATACCCTCCTCGGTGTCACACAAACAAACCCACAGCACTATAGCTCCTCCCTCCGAAAGATCGACTCCGACTTCGCAGGCCCCATCAGCAACTTCTTCTTCTTCAACCCACCACCTCTTGAGCCATGGACGCCGCCATTGATTTGTCTGATGTCTCCAAGGCATTGGACCTTGCCAACATCCGTTTCCAGCTGATGTGAGTGCTCTTGACTCGTTAGACACGCTCCCAACTGTTCTTTGCCTTCTTATACTGCTTGAGCTATTGCTTCAGCTTCTTCCCCGCGCCCCCGCCATGATAGAGGCGCGCCACAAAAACCTTCCACTACCACCACAATGAACAATTACAGCTATATCATGGACTGCTATGGAATCTGTGGCTAACATTGCAGCTGACCAGCCGCCTGGAAGACACAATTACCTTCCACTTGATCGAGCGAGTCCAATTCCCGCTCAACAAGACCATCTATGTCCCCGGCGGCGTCAAGATCCCCAACAGCGAGCACAGTCTGATGGACTACATGCTCCGCGAACAAGAACGGATCCAATCACGAGTCCGCCGCTACCAGTCCCCCGACGAATACCCCTTCTTCCCCGATGTCCTCGAGGATCCAATCCTGCAGCCGCTGTCCTACCCACACATTCTGCACGAGAACGACGTAAACGTCAACGACATTATCAAGGAGCGCTATATCAAGGAGATTCTGCCTGCAGTCTGCCCACAGTTTGGTGGTCGGGAGGATCGTGGTGAGACGCAGGAGAACTATGGATCAGCCGCGACTTGTGATGTGGCTTGCTTGCAGGCGCTTTCGCGTCGCATTCACTTTGGCAAGTTTGTGGCTGAGTCCAAGTTCCAGAAGGATCCTGAGACTTTTGTGCGCTTGATTCGTGCGGAGGATCGGGAGGGTATTGATGCTGCTATTACCAATGCGCAGGTTGAAAAGAAGGTTTTGGAGCGTCTGGGTCTCAAGGCTAAGACTTATGGTACCGATCCTGCTTTCCCGGATGAGCAGGGTTCGAAGATCAATATCGATGCGGTGGTGGCCATGTACAAGGTATGGATTGGGAGAATTGACGGTCTCGATCTGCAGATTGCTAACTATTGTTTCCTACAGGAATGCGTGATCCCGCTGACCAAGGTTGTCGAGGTCGAATACCTTATGCAGCGTCTGAAGGGCACTCAATGGGAGTAAAGAGAGGTTATCATGAAGTTATGAACTTTTTATATTTTGAAGATCTCTATGAACCACAACCGCATACAGATGCGCGCGTGGCAATGGGGTGATACTAAAGCAGAAAAAAAGAAAAGAAACCAACAGATAGAAATATTTCGTAAATGGGACATGAATGAAATGACCGAACGGACCAACAAGCCAAAGCCAGCTTTACATGCCAGGCGGCTTCAAGTACTCCGTAAGCGCCTTAACCGTATTCTCAAAGTTAGCCCCATCAATCAAAGTCAAGCTACCCTTAGTCCGAATGCCCAGTTCCTGGAACGCGCGCTTCGAATCCGCGTGGCCGTCATCTTGCTTATTGGTATACTCGATAGTTCCGGTGCACATAGCATTGCGCTCCAAGACATCATCCTCGGGGTGGAAGAAGAATCGCTGCGAAGGTTCACCGCCCTTCTTCTTTTTCTTCTGCGGCCGGGATTCCTCCATGTCAAGCTTTGACTCGATCTCTTCGTAGTTCTTCGAGACGATCAGGTAGTGCGAGAAGTTGTAGGGTTCCTTGTCCTCGATCGCCCAGGCAATCTCCTCCAGCAGCATGTTGTACATGGGCGGGATGACCTCGGAAGGCATGTTGATCATGCGCTCGGTGAGGATGAGGCCGATTGGGGGAATGGGGGTTTGCGAGAGGAGTTGGTTGAGGGGGAGAGGGCGGGGTTGGCGGCGGCTTTGGCCTTGAAGTAGTTGATCAGATCTTGGATGACGGGTTTGTCCTGTTAAGTTTTAGTCCAAAGATCAATTGTGTAAGCCTGGGGGGTGGGACCATACCTTGTGCTCCTGCAGGTTCAAAACCGACAAGAACGCATATGGGTCCGACTCATTACCATCCACCTTGACCGTCGAGCCCAACGTCGGCTGCGACAAGATCAAATCAGCCAGCGCGGACAAATCGAACATCTGGGCATCATTGTCGAACAATTGACGCAGGAGATTCTTAAGACCGTGGAAATCAACGGCGGGTTGCGGGTCAAACCATTCGAAATCGACATTGACCATGTCCACGTCCTGGACAGAGGTTAGCAATTGTTTGCAAGGCGCGGGGTGCGGGCAAGGGACCTCACGTCGTCGGAGTCGGAGTCGCCGGCCTGCCCAGTACCACCCATTGGCACATCGCCGAGGTCCTGCTTGCGTTTCCCCATGATTTTTATAGTTTTTTTGTGATGATGAGGGGAGCGGAGGTGTAGAAGTCGTGGCAGTTTGGTGGTGTCTCGCCTCACGGCCGCTTGCGAACTTTTTTTCTCTTATCGCTTGTTATCGGAGCCTGAGATCTATCTACGTCAATTGCTGGAGCTCTTTCACTTGTTCTTCCAGAGGTCTTGAACTACTTCCAATTTTCTTCAATGAAAATGCACCATGTCATGCAGTTTTTGGTTCTGCTTAGCTGATGATTATGTATTCGTGGTACCAGATATTTATTGTTAGTTTTCTAACTGGATTCTACTTGTATATTTCAACACGATGCTCTACCGTCTATCAGTCCGAAAGAGGTATAATGGCACGCACATAGCTTCTAAAAACATCCATTTGAGCTATTAAACTTGGTCGACTTGTTATATACCCATCTAGGCATCCCAAGAATCCAATTGTAAGCCGAGATGGCAATCTCACATAGGTACTTTACCATGCATATTCTTGATCTAAACATCATACTCCACCTGCTCAACAGTAGGCACTTTATTCAACTTAACATCAAAAGACCTCGCAACAAGCTGCACACAATCCCAAATAACCTCAACCTCCTCCTTAGGCAACCCCAACCTCCTCGTCCCCCTTATATGCCAATGGGTCTCATTCGGCAAATTCTGGCTCATAATCCCCGGCAACACAACCAATTGCGTATCAACATCATCCAAAACCTGCCTATCAGACAAAAACAACCCATACGTAATTTCCTCCGACAACCACGAGAAATCCTTATGCGCCGCAAAAAGATTCAACGTGCCCGTCGTATCCCGCGAATAAAGCTTCTGCATCCACGCCGTGCCGCGCTCATGGTTGTTTTCATCGCAGTGCCACCCAGACCGGGTACAGGTGTAATCTTTATCTTCTTCGCGTTCGACTTTGCCGATTGAGAGGATTGCTTCGATGGGTTTGCAGACGCCGACTATGGGGACGGACTTGATGAGGGCTTCGCGGAGGCGCCGGACGATGGCTTGTCGGCGGCTTGGGGTTTTGTTGTTTGGTTGTGAGCACAGGTGGAGGTAGAGTTGGTCGGCGCGTTCGGGGTCTGGACTTGCTGCTAGTGTGGCTATGGCGAGGATGTACCATTTTTCAGGGCCTAGGGTTGTGGATTGGAAGCGGTTTTCGAGCTCGGTGAAGAGTTGTTGGAAGCAAGGGTTGACTTCTGTTGTAGTTGAAGCCGTGGAGGAACTCATTGCTCGGGTGAGTTGGTTGTGACGGGCCTGGCAATGTATGTGGAATGATGATTTGCGAGATTGTATGGGTGAATCTCTAGATTGGGAATTGGGACCCGAGGAGGACGAGATGTGTGGGCTCAGGCGTGGAGGAGGTGTGTATAATAGACTTCGGTGGCCGGAGAGGGTCGGGCATTGCGACGTCCATCCTGTGTAGCGTGATACGAAAAGTGCTCTGCAGAAGGGCCTCGTTGGACTCTTGAATGCCATTGAATATGCAATGAACATCTGCAGCTCAAGAGAAGAAGCCAATCAAGAGGATGACAGGGGACAAGGTCTAGGCCAAAGGAATGTATTCCCTGGACTGAGCCCCAGCAACCCTGGCGGAAGCGGTATTGGCCGGTACATCCAAAAGGAGAAAAGTATAACCTAAACTCACCTGGTAAAACGAAACCAACCCATTGACCATAAAAAAGCGACCTGTCGATTATCGATTCAATTGCATAGGCACAGTCCTCCAAGGCAAAAAGTGGAGTAAATCGAGTGGAGTATACAAGTGGAGCATCGACGTTGTAAGACCTCAAACTAGACCCGCTGGATCTCCCCTCGACGATGTCACAACGACCACCTCGTGCCTTGCTTATCGCTCTCACTGATGCAAACATCTCCAAAATTGAAGGCAGACCCATCGCACACGATCAAATTCCCCATCTCAGTCATCATGTTAGCCATTCCGGCCACCCTGGTTCTTCGCCCCACTGTTATGATCTCAGTGACTCCAGCATGACATCACCCCCGATTACCTTGCTAGATATAAGACTGAGGTTTGTCCACACTCACCAAGAAGCAATTAAATCACAATTACCATCATTCAATCTTCTACCTCTCCTATCTCACATTAAACAACTTTTCAAATCCCCCCAAATCAAACATCCAACATGTCCCACGCATCCAAGATCACCCACGGCTCCGGCCAGTCCAGCGTCGGCAACGGCTCTCTCTACGAGGCCGGTGACCAGCGCAACGAGCCTCAGTCCGCCATCAACGAGCGTGAGCGTTACAAGGAGGGTGTCAAGGGTAGCCACAAGAACCTTGATTCCAAGGATGAGCGCTCCATCGCCAATAGGCTCGCCTCGCAGGGCAACAAGCCCGACTCTTCGCACCATCACAACAACATCTCCAACCCGGAAGCTGAGTTGAGCAAGCAGGACCCTACAAAGCCGGTAAGGAAAAACAACAGAGCAATAATCACCCTGTCTGTATGTGTAGCTTTTGTGACTAATGTATATTTTATTGTTTTCCAGGCCAGGATGCACGGTAACGCTCCCTCCAAGGGTGCTCAAATTGACGCCGAGCTGCAAGCTGAGGATGAGCAGCGCCTGCGTGACAAGGGTATTAAGAAATAGATTGTGATTCAATCATGCTGTTATGAAATGATCATGATACCCCGGGATGACATGTCTGGGTCGAACTTTTGTATCTATCGGCCAAGATGATGGTGGGGCTTTTGTGTTTTCCTGTACGATATGACGAATATCAGGGCCTCTTGCCTTTAAAAGCATTGAGAGCGTCGAATGAACTTTTCTTATGCTGAGTCTTATGCTGAGACTATACTATGCAAGTATTTCTATTCGTGGGCTGGGAATTGTGTTCATGATTCGTTACGTGGTATTAGGCATTAATATACAGCTGGCTCGGGGTGGCCAGGTTGCTATTGTACAAAAAATTTTGAGGTCCAATGGGCTTTGCTCTGCAAGCCATGAGCAAAGAAGCGAGAGCCGCACTGCTTCCCACCGTCTTCCCATGTCGAGAGGACACTGGCTGCTGCCAATTAGCACCCTTCTCATATCAGGGAAGAGCTTTTAACATGGTAGACCTGACACAAGGCAGGTCCTGATGGTGGTGTGCTTGTCCCAAGACAAGGTGCATTGCTTCGACGCAAGTCCAACGCCCGAGGAAGATGCATAGATCCCGGGTGCCGGGGTATAGACTCTTGACCACACATGTAGCCCGAGGTGAAAAGAAAGACCCAGTTGAATACTTGATCAACTTTCTGGAGTAAATTTGGGGTCATCGTCATGCGGCTCAGCAAACACATTCTTCCAATAGTCCTCCACCTTCACACAAAGGCCGGCCTTGTGCTCCCATGACTTGAACACATTTTCTAGGTGGCAGGTCACCCATTTGATCTCTTCCCAATAAGCCTTTTCCACATCATATCCGAACCGGCTCAAGGTGTCGGGTGGCGCAGTCCACGCACGAGTATCCGATCCATCCTCCTTGATGGTGGGAGTGGTCTCCCAGCCCATGCCGAACACGTTATCCCCCGGGTTGAATTTCGGATAATTGGCATGGATGAAGAAGATGTGGGGAGGTGGAGCCACAGCAGGATCCTTGACTCGCCATTTATCTTGCGTAGTGAGAGCGTGGTCTTCACGGGGATCGGTCTGCGCCATGGCTGATCCGGAGAGCTTCTCTCCGTTTTGATGTCCAATGGCTTGGACTCTCTCGCTCACAGTATAGAAGGGGGCGCCAAGGGCTGTGGCAGCGTGAAAGAACGTCTCCTTGTCACCCTCACCTGGCCCGCCTTGAGTCAACAGTCGGAAGTAATGTGAGGGGCCATAGAAATTGTAGTAGGCAGCCAGCAGCAGGGGAAAAAGATGGGTCTTCTTCGAGACCAGGAAGACACCTGTCTCTGAAGACTGACGTGCACTCATTGGCGGTGCCTCTTGGCGCGAGATCTTGTAATATAAAGGAGACACTGACGAGGCCCAAAAGTCAGGCCAGGTAACCAAGCCTGTCGACGTAAAAGGTTCCGAGTCGAGAAGTTCCTCGGGTTTGCCCAGTGGGAAACAGTCTGCATCCATCCATACGATTTCCTCAAATGAGGAGAACAGAACGGCAAAGATTTTGAGCTGATAATGCTCGATGACATTCTTCCCCACCACGTCGGCGAGCACCAAGCACCGCGCATCGAGGTTGGGGAGGATATCATTGCACACGTGCTTTTCATACTCGCCTGTATCCTTCATATAAACCTCCACTGGCAACGTCGACCCAGCCCGGCGAAGCATACGCAGAGTCGAGACGAACACAGGTAGGTACGTCGCGCCGGCAGTCGATACCAAGCCTCGCTTCCCCGGGGTATGAACAGGTTTCAAATCCTTCCCAGCCTTCTTGATATCCTCTACAAAGTTGGCATGCGCATCTTCCATGGCTTTCTGATCCGCTTCGCTCATCACCGTCAGGTCCGGTCGCGGGCTGTCCTTGACCGGGTCGAAATGATTTGCGCCGGCATCGCCATTCTTCTCGGGAGACGGGCAATTGGGATTGTGACGTTCGAGAATGGGCTGGAAAGCCTTCCAGAAATCTTTCTGGCGTTCGACGAGCGGGACTTCGAAGGCGGTACTTGGGACGACGGAGACGGTGGAGGATGCGACGGTAGGGGTCCAATAGAGGTATACGATGCACACAAGGATTGTTGCGAGGAAAGCGAGGACTAGGGACCGGACCCGGCCCGGCCTAAACATCCCCATTGCGTCTTGAGTCGCGGGCCAGGGTTCAACGAAGTGTGGAGGCTTGAGATTGTTCGTTTAGCTTTTGGTTTGCGCTGGCGAACAGGGGAATGTAGCCGACAGCGCACGGGCCGATCAACCGCCTAATGGAAGTTCGAATAGGCGATTAGAAGAGGATATAATGGAGTGACGGTTGGGTGGCTGTCAGGAGGATAGCATGATAGGATAGACAAGCAGAGAGGATGATGCTAGACAACTTGTAACTTAGGGCGGATCAGATCCGAGGAGAAGGTTGAAGTGGAAACGGGAGCCAGGCCCGGCGGGAAGAACATCGGGATCCTTGGCGAAGGCATCATGGCGATTTAAAGCAGAGATACGAAGATTGGGAGGAGATGGATGCGTTTGAAGTTATACAAAGTATAGAAAGTAGAACAGTATGTATACAAGAGATTTCAAAAAACAATTTGTTGAAGTTCTTTCATTTCTCAGTTGCTTAATTAATATGCTAGATAACATCATACCTAACTAGTTCGTTCTCCGCACCTGATGACCCTGAGACATGAGACAAGCTATTGAACTAGCACCTCCAACTATTGAACATTCGACAGTCTGGAAATCCTAGTTGAAACCACTTCAAAAAATGAAACACGCCCGTCTGCATGGCTTCGGTGAGGCTTCTAGCTCAATCCTGCTGGGCTAAAACCCTCCGTTCTCCTCGCCGTTTGAGGTAGATCATCTTGGATCATCATGATCCGACTAAATAGATCAATCAGTGGAGCGCACCGTTTTAAGTTAATCTCCAGTAGTATCGTAGTCTTCTTCTGGTGCTCAACTAAACTGCGAATCCTCCTCCACTCAAGGAGATCTCATCTTAACTCATGGACTGAACTGTAGTCTACAATTATCCACCGCCCCCCTCCAAAAGCCAAACCCAAACCCAAACTCAAAGTCCCGAAACTCAAGATTACCAACGACATCCGAACACCCGACTTCCTCCCCCAATCTGAGATCTGAGATCTTTCCTCCCTCCTCTCTACCTCAAGCTCTCTTTTTCAACATAGTCGAATCCCATTAACTCCTATCGCGCCCGTCGCACTCCATCGCCATCCTTCGAGATCCCAGTCCGTCATCGCCGAGGGCTCAGATCCTGGCGCAAGCCACTCATTCGCCTCCCGGTCTCTTCTCCTCCTCCGCGGCCGACGACGCCTCCTTTCCTCTGACCGGTGCAAGCCTTCCCACCCATGGAGCCCCGCGAGGGTCTATCCTCCTCAACTCGCCCATAATGCCCGAGACTCCGGCCCGCCAGACTCGGGAACCTGCGGCCAAGGGCAAATCCCGCAAGACGGAGCCAAGCACGGCACCTATCCGAAAGCGCCGCAAGAGAACCGTCGTGAGCGGTGCTCCCGATGACTGCTTTGCATGCGCCAAGCGAGGGGCTCGGTGCGACCGGCGCCGGCCCTACTGCTCCCAGTGCCTCGAGATGGGTCGCGAATGCTCTGGATATAAGACTACCCTGACATGGGGAGTGGGAGTTGCCAGTCGAGGCAAGCTGCGTGGTCAGAAATTGCCTGTCATGGAGGCGGAAGGGGATTCGTCGGCGAGTGGCTCCAAAGGAGCGCAGCAAGCACCTGCATCGAGCAGCCAGAGTCCGCCCTCGTCGCAAATACCTTCAAATCCGCCTCCGCTATCTGCTGCGGTACCTCTGACCGGGATGACTGCCCCCATGATGGAGGCGCCGGTGCTGAACTCCATTGAGTCAGATCCGAGGCATCTATCCGCCATGGCGATGGTCCCAGATATGCCAGCAGGCATGTCATGGGCCATGGACATGCCTGATCCACATACGTGGTCCAATATCTCGGCTGCGGCACCCCAAATATCTGGGCTTCCTTTACCTAATCGACCAATAGTCGCCAATCGCTCCAGTCCTAGCATCAATTCAGAGGCCTCAATGCACTATGCACCGACCTCGAGCCCCGAGGCCAATTTCACCGCTCCCGTGTGGCCAGTCGCCCAAAATTGGCCGGCCCCAAATGCGACATCGCCAACACAAGATGTGGACGAGGAATATGAACGAGAAGACTATAAACGCTCAATTCTGTGGGATTCTGGTCATAGTCCGTCATATTCGCAGATGCTTCTGGCAAGATCAGTCGGGCGCACCCCGCGTCTACGATACCTGATCAGTTATTTCGCCGAAGTCATTGCCCCTATGATTGTTGCCTTCGATACTCCTTCAAATCCTTTCCGCATTCAAATTCTCCGCCTGGCTCAGGATAGTCCCGCGTTGCAAGAGGCAATTGCTACATTGGCGACAAGCAATCTGCGCCAGCGCCGGGAACGAAATCATACATCCACCGAGCGAACTTTGCCTGCACGCATGTCTTCGATGGCCCATCGAGCGCTGACCGACCAAGCATTCCAGGATCGATATGGTATCTCAGTTCCAGAGGGTTACGCTCGGGAAGAGAATCACCATCGCGGAATGGCCGTGAAGGCCTTGAATGCTGATCTGGCCGACCCTCGTCGCAGACAGTCGGACTCGGTATTAGCAACGCTACTGATTCTTTGTCTGTTTCACGGTTGCGATACTGGTGTGGCCGAGTTTCGGACGCAGTTTGCCGGAGTCACGCGACTACTCGCTATCCGCATGCGCCATTCTCCTATCATATCGGACGATCTCAAGTGGTTTATTCGCATGTTCTCGTGGTTTGATACCTTGACTGCGACCACGAATGATCGTGATGTGCAGCTTCGCGGGAAGTGCTTGGAGATCAGCTCCATCACCGACGGAGAATGGGGTCTCGAGAATCTGGCTGGCTGTGATGGCCGTTTGTTCAAGTTGATCTCTCAACTCGGCCGTCTGAATCTGCTCAGCCAGGACCAACAGCCGACTGAGTCTCGCCCTGCCGATGTAACCACTCCCACCGCATCTCTCCCTCCAAATATGGTGTTCCCTGGCTGGAACACCGTCACTCCCGGCGCTGTCCCTGGGTCCGTACCATATGGCTCCTCAATACCTACTCCCCCGCAGAGCAGCGATCAGGCTAGGAAACCGTCGTCTGCCGCATTCTGGACCGAATGGTATTCGCTCCGACAACGCCTCGAATCCTGGCGATTCGACCCACCAGCTCAAGCCTCTTTCCCCTCTCCACCTCTATCCAATTCACACCTATCCTGGAGTCCACACACCTTTATACCCGCCCCCACCACCCCCTCGATATCATACCAAGTCGCCCCAGAGAACCTCCAGGATATCTACCAAATCTCCGAATGTTTCCGACACGCCGCACTTCTCTACTGCGAACGCCTCGCCGAACCAAGCCTCCCCTCCCAACACCCACGCATCCAACATCTAGTCCATCTCGCCATGCACTGTCTCTGCGCCGTTCAATCAGACGTATACCTCCTCTGGCCCCTCTTCATTGTGGGCTCGGAATGCGTACAGGAAGATCATCGGGCTGCCATTCGCGCCCGCTGTAAGGATATCTCCAAGGACTCGGGCTTTGTAAATAACCTCTCCTGCCTGGAACTGCTGGAAAGGATCTGGGCAGATCACTCGGACGAGTCGTCGTACCCCGTGTATCCGTCTGAGATGGGCCCGCCGCCACTGGATGGTAATGGGAGTCCAGCTCCGTCACAAGTTTTCCGTTGGTCTCGCGTGATGCAGGCTAAACGGGGGGATGGAGAGTACATGGTGGTGTAAATAGCTTTGGATCTCTGTCTATATTTCTTTGGATCTAGCCCACAACTCGAATCTTTCTCCGGGCTTTGTAATTAGAGGGAAAATTTGTGAATACCCTTTCTATGTTGAAATTTTGGATCATGTTATTTGTCTGGTCGGATTGGTCGAACTGGATGAATGGCTTTTTTGGTCGTCCATAAGGTTCTCGGAGTGGAGCTTGGAGCTTTGCAGCTTTGATGAATATGATACCATTCTACTCATACCTACTGTATACTTTATCTTCAGTTGACACTGCTTGTGACATATTGCTACCATAGTAGAGTCAATAATTGTGCCGAAGAGAGACAAGAGTGCCGAATCAATCAACGCCCTTAATTGTGAACCATAGCTATCCCCCCAAATAGCATAGCTATACCTCCACCTTAGTCTGCTCTGAAGAAATGTGATTCTCCATTGGACACTGGAAAACAAGGGAAAGAATAGGCTCTGCCCTAGTCACCATGCTCCTGACAGATGTAATCTATGCCCCTCGGAGGCTAAGATGGAGATATATTTCTCTGGTCATGTTCTAGCTCTGTGGGGTAGATATGTAGTTATACATCAGCCAATGCCTGCGACTTCCCTACTCCTTCAACTTAGAAACAATTCAAGAAATACCTCAAACTTTATTCCTAGGACCGGAAATGTTACATTGTCAAGCCAACGTTTGTAGAAGAAACTTAGAATGTCACGAAGCTCATAGCCGACTAAAGCAGCTCTAAAGTCTGGGGTGCATCAACGACGGAGCTTGTGTGGGGCACAATAGGCGCGAACAGCTCCAGTGGCTGTCTTCTATGGAGAGCGACTCCATCGGACTCGAGACATCGACAATTTACTTTATGAGTCCATACAACCACACCTTTCTACCCACGATACTTTACCGAGTAAACACTCTCGCTAATGACTATAGCCGAGCAAAAGATTCCAACAGCCCCTTTTTTCTCTTCCAGAATGTGACCACGAGCTAGGGTTCAGGGTAAGGGCAGCCACAGCGCGGTATGTGATCAATGCGCGCACAACGCACAGTCATTCGAAATTGGCTATTGATTTCCAAAATTTCAGAAGGAAAAGATGTCTGACTCTTGAGCCGCATCTCTATCCATCCATCACTTCTTCCCAGGTTTGCCTCGAGACTCGACTCAGACCTGACCAGCCCATACTGTGCTTTGTTTTGATTTCCCAGCAAGGGGTGCTGTGTTTCCATCAAAATGATTCATCAGATGTGTGGGAAATCGACACCGAGAAATCGGTCCTATTGGATTGTGCACGCAGAGTTTTTTCTTTTAATTAAACACCAACCAGGATTGCGAAATTAAAAATTTCAGAGCATAGACCATCGCGGCTTGATAATTACTGGATTCCGAGTTGTGACCGTTCGAGAAAGATAGACTGTGTTTATGGACACGCCCGGGATTTGGTGCCCCTGAATTCTTTCTGTATTATACTATTGGAGAAAGTTTAACGAGCTATTAATCTGTCATTGATTCATTGAGGTTGCCCAAAGACCTGTTACACTACGGAGTACACGGGCTATACAGTAAGGTAGTACGGAGTACAGTACGTACCGTAGTCAGCTTACCAGAATCCAAGGCTGTCGCAGAACCTCGTTCGCATTGTGATGTGCATATGTATAAGCGCTGATACATTCATTGTGATATCACTTATAATCAAAGCTTTCTTGCATCTCTACACAGGGAAAATGCACCTGCCAGGCTCCATGCCGATTCGTGCAAGCAGATGTTCCTACATACTCGCATCTAGGCTATGCCAAGGGAGGCTGGACGAAAGACGGATATGCGCTAGGCTCCTCTCCCTATGCGTCTTAGAGGCCGCAGCGAGCCGGTTGGCGCAGCCCCGTTTGAACTTCTTTGTTGCGTTCCCCGGCGGTCCACTAACCCGAATTAATGAGTGATCAACCCCTGCTGTGCACGCTGACTGTTTCCTGGTGCGGGTGGGTGGGCCTTGCAGACTACCGGCCCGCGGGACTGGGGCTTTGTTAGGTCTGATTCTCGTTTTCTGGAAGGCCTGGCTGTACTTCCACGGGAGGACAGGCCGGCTGAGCTCAGGTTGGTAGTGTTTTCAGCGCTGTGTGTTCCTAGCTGAGGGTGCCTGGTTCAGCTATGTGTGTAACTACTTTGCCGGTTTCTTTAATAATAGACGGCGTTGATTTGAAATAAAAAAAAGAAGGAACAAGAACAGTCTAGAGTCCTCCGTACTTGTGAATGAGTTGATATGTCGGGCGTGGGTACTCCGTCTAAGGTACTCAGTATACATGGATAGTGCCGCACACCGTTCTGGCCGAACGATAATGAACCAATATCAAAAGCAAGAAAATTTAATACCAAGAAAATAGATAACGACAATAAATCAATCAGACTTTAGTTTCACAAAGCCGAAAAAAAGCAAAAAATAAAAATGGACGCCATGTGCGACAATGACTGATCGGCGATACCTACCGGTGACGCAGGCGTATACTCCGTTTGGCTGCCTAGGAAGAAATCAAGACTCAAGGGGGGCAGGATTTTCTCGAAGGTTTGACTCATCGATAGTAGAGAAAATTGAACTGACCAGTGAGATGAGAGCGCATAAGGTCGCTGTCCATAGCCCTTGATTGAATACCCAGGTTTGTCCTGGAATGCCCTTGATGGCCTCTGTAAGGATTGCGGTTGGACGTTTGGGCATTTGCATGCTTTATTTTTTGTTTATTTCATCCCTGCGGTTGGTGCGTGAGCGTAGGGGAGGGTGGTCAGCAGGTATTATGAGGCTCTGGTATGAGTTTTTCACTGGATTACAGTATGTAGTTCCCATGAATAAGTGTTCTTTGTGTGGATGAGGGTTCGTTGGGTGGTTTGATCCACAAGGGTTGCTTCGTGAGGTCTGGCAGTGGACCCTAGTATTGGATGTCATAGCCCTGAACTATGGGCGGAGATGGGGTTTCAAAGTAGCCAATCTACTTCTAGGCGAGCCGGCTGACTCGTAACTCGTTAGTATGGGAGTCGCTTAGGGCTGGACTGGTGCGGTCGCACTGGCGGTTGACCCACGTGAACAATGACTGTACTGGAGTTATTGGTTCATGCTTGCATCCGAGTAATCCATATGATGAAGATGAACTGCTATGACATTGTGAAATGAAACCTTATATGCGAGCAATCAAGTGTGAGAGACACTGTCTATGAGATATTCGCCACTATCCGTCTATTTAGTTTCATCTGTTCTCCCATACCATCATGGCCATTTGACCACATGATAATACCACTATTTTTGTAGTGGGCTGAGCAATTTTGAATATTTAAATCCCACACAAATAAGTTCAAGTCTAGGCTCTCAATAGGCTCAACTAATATAGTACTGTCCTCCAAGTTGCGGTCTGCGAAACCCGTCTCCATCAAACCCCGTTTTGGCCCAAATTGCTGCCCAGCGACCTCGCAGCGGTAAAGCCCATGCGTGGTCCGTGATGTTGCCCAACAAGTAGTATCTAGGTTTGTGTGTGTGTCAATAAGAAAGCTAGATGGAGTTGGTTCTTTTGTTCTAAGGGTAAAATTGGTTAATTAGTTCCTTTGTTCTTGCCATGGCAACGTGCTCTGTATAGTGGACACCCAACGAGATAGCGGTTTGAGAAATGGGTCTGTGGAGTCAGAACCGCTGGACGAGACGGGACCGCCCGTTGAAAACTGACTGGATGCGATCGAGTTGCCGCGAGCCAACCATGGAACCAAATGGATATCTTCAACGACTAGAAGAGTTGGGTGTTCAGGTGCTGTGCTCTGGTATGTCTGCACGTTTGCTTATACCGACATATACCAACATACCGACATACAGTACATCATACATGATGTATGTAGAGTTAGTTGGGTGGTGCTGAGGCTCATGTTGGGCAGGTCAGGTTTTCAATAACTACGAGGACTGGACTACTTTCCAACCTTCTGCACCCAACATGCCGTAGTTTACTTTCCAAAAAAAAGTCCTGTAGCGAGTTGTCTACCCGGGTGTTCATGTAAAGTTGAGCTGTACAGGGTGACATGGCCCATCGATGTAGTACCCATGGTTTCTGGAAGACCGGCACATGGGCGACCGATTCCCCTATCCAACAAGATCTCGACACGCTGTCTAGTGGTTGATATTTGGATGCACTAAATCTAGCTGGGCCAATAGGGCAGTATATCAGTACGGGCTGGGTGCTGGGTGTATTTAGTGGCGACATCAGCCGCCCCATCTGGATCTTTTTTCATGGTGCAAAATATAGATCAATGATGGTCATCGAGTCATTCCGATTTCTTAGTTAGAGTCATCGTCAGGTATCTGCCTTGTGTCTGTGTCGCGATCCCAACTATCTAAGCCTGCAGTTGGCTGGTGCCCGAAGGTCAAGCGGGCATAACGAGCAGAGAGAGACCCAGTCAGCAAGCGCAGATGCTGGTGTCGTATCTAGGGTGTTAGTTGTGAGGTTGAGATGTCTCCATCTGGACTAGCCTGAGGGGTAGCCCTGTGGACAGGCTGTGGGAGGAGAGGGGAAAGAGCAACTTTGATAGATTGTTTGTTGAGAAACTGGACTGTTTATAAGATCAGAATGATTGCTGTTAGGTCGAGTTGAGTCATAGTTAGTGTCATGGGGCATCAATATCAAACCTTGAGCATATCTGGGATATCTGTCGAGGGAAGTATAAGAAGGATGGTCACCCTCTTTTGTACTAGGTAAATCATCATTATCTCATTTCTCTGCTGAGCATTTTTGGTACTTTTCCCAGGAAATCCGAATACCGGTAAATAATCCTTGCTATTGCCACTTCCCATAACGCCAAACTGCACAACCCCGGCGGACCTGGCCTCCCTGATTGGCACTCCAGTCCAACCAACAGGCACCCAAAGGTCCCAAAGCCCCCAAAAAAGATCCAGAAAAAAGACCCAGAAAAAAAAACGCCTCCTAAGCGGGTGCTGACCTCCCTGGGATCCATCGCTCTCCCTTGGAAATTTTCCACATCTCCACTTTGTTCCCCCGAATCCACAAAACACACACACACTCTCACTTCCATCTTCCCCTCCTCCTTCTCTCGGTTATCATTCTTCCACCTCTTCCCTCTTCCCCCATATACCGGGAAGTTTTCACAAACTTGACTGAGACTAGACTCGTGGTTTATCGAGTCCTTCATACTACGACAAGATACCCCTGGATCTCGACAAACCCGAGATCTAACCAATATCTACGACTTCGCTAGGCTTCATACCTGCTTCGTCCGCCAACCTCGACCCCTTTCGCGTCTGTCTGGTTCAGACCGAACAACGTTCAAATGCACTCTCGGCACATTCAGCTTCAACCCTCCTCCTCTCTCCGATCGGAAACCGTACCACGGTGACGGTCCTACTCAAAAAACATATTGGGACTTGCTTTCACCCTTCGGCGTCGTTTTGCTCTTTGCGCACGATATCCTGTATAATATATCTGGGTTGATCGGTTTCTGTTTTTGCTATTGTTCATTTTGCGTCTGATTTTTCGACTTGACTTGGTTCTTCTTGTCTTAACTGGTTTCATTTCGGTCCGGTTTATTCTTGGGGAGTCATATCTCTTTTGGACTTAACGTCTTACTCCGTTTACTCGTCATTATCGCCACCTCCTAGCGCGAACCCAACGGGCGAATATCACTCCGAACAACTCACGACTTGATATCGCCTTATATCGAATCACTCTATATATCAGTCTGCGTTCGCCTGTTGCCGATGCTCGTTCGATCTCGATAATGTATCATTACTCCAGTCCACCCCAGGGGTGGTCGACCTACGACTACACTCAGTCTCCTCCAACATCGCAATACTACGCGCAGTATGCCTCTCAGTATGCCAACGCATACGCTTCGCCACGAGGTACCTCGCGACGACACACCCGCAAGGCCAGCTACACGGCCACCACCAAGGAGCCCGGCTGGCACTCGACCTACCCACAGTCTTACTACGAGGCAACGCCCGAATATGGCATCCCGTCGCGCAAGCACGATCATGTAAGTGCTTCTTTTGCGGGACCCAAGCACCGTCGCTCCCGTACGACGGGGCATCCTGCGGGGATGGCCTAGGCGCCGGCACCGGCTTCAAATTTGGTTTCCATCCGTCATCACAGCAACCGCCCATCTTTGTCGATGTGGCTGATGCTTTTGATACTCCGCACCATGCCTCTTTCCACAAGATGCAGCCGCCGCCGCACGAGGCCCAGCCTCAGCCTCGCCCAGCCCGCCATGGCCGTCCCCCAGCAGCTGCTGCCCAAACCTCCACGCCGCGAGATGGCCCCGGCCAGCATCGTCGAACCGCGTCGACCTCTTACCGCAAATCGTCAGCCGCTGATTCTCACTTTTACTTCACCCAGGCTCCTAACCACGAGGACATCGAATCAGCTCGTCGCTCCCGCGCCCGTCGCCAGTCCACCTCCACCCGTACACCATCCAAGCCCAAGCCAGCACCGCCGTCTTCGAAACCGCCACCCGTTGCCACCGAGGAAGACGCCGAGCGCGCCGGTATTCCACCCGGCTACTCGACCAAGAACTGGGACCCGACTGAAGCTCCCATCATCCTGCTCGGCAGCGTCTTCGATGCCAACTCCCTCGGCAAGTGGATCTACGACTGGACGGTTTTCCACCACGGCGCATCAACCCCCATGGCCGATGTCGCCGGCGACTTGTGGCTCCTCCTGATCAAACTCGCCGGCAAGGTCAAGCGTGCCGACGAGTGTCTCCCACGAATCCAGAGTCCCGACGCGCAAGATATTGTCGAGGATTTCCTCGAAAGTGGCGACCGCCTCTGGAACCGATTCAAGAAGCTGCTCAAGGCTTGTGAGATGTTCATGTGGAAGGCGGCCAAGCGGGAAAGTGGCAAAGGGCAGGTTTCTATGGGTCGCAATGCGGGGTGCGAGTTTGTCGACTCGATTTTTGGCCGTGATCGCGAGCTTGAGAATACGGAGAAGCTGATGAATAGTATCCGGTTGTGGAATATGCGGTTCGACGCTAATTGCGAAGATATTCTGCGTCGGCCGTCGGCGAAATAGATGATCAGAAAATCATCATACATCCACAAAATACCGGGAAAGAGACAATCTATCAGCATTACCGGCTTCTTCGTTCGACATCCTTTCTTCTGCCATGAGAAGAGTGATTTCATAACCGACATTTGGGGCTTTTTCTCGTCTGTTTTTTTCTTCCTTTTCTGTTTTCTATTACTGGAGAGCATTTGATACTCTGGTTGAATTGCATTTGCAGCGCGATGGGTTACTGGCACTGGCTGGGTTTCCTCATTACAATGGCCGCTTTATTTTTGCGTCTGCGTCTCTGCTTATTTTGGATCAATCGGTGCTTATTTGGATCAATCGGCAGCTCTTTTTTTCATCACCCAGTCGGTGGTGATTATCCTCATCCTCCTCTACAACCTCCACCTCCATCTCCCTCCCTCTCAAAAAAGCTCATGGTTTCGGCGCCTCATTTTATCCTGCATTTACCACTTCGTTCTCGTTTCCCTCTCAGGGCGGCGTCTTACTCTTTTTTTTCTTTTATATTACCCGGCATGGCGTTATCTATCCATGCTCTTGCGCTTTATTTCTGTTGTCGTTGATGCTCGTGTCATTCTGTCTTTGGTGATACCATCTCGCGATTTCTTTTTCTCCTATCAGGCTTTTGGATTAACTTTTTCCTTTGTCACACACCTCTTTCCTTAATTTTGATCTTGTGGCCTGATTTCTGTTTATCTCTTTCTTTCCTTTACTTCTCGCCTGTTGGCGACTCTGTTGAGGTCGGAGGAATAGGGTTGTATATAGCGAAACTACGACCTCAGCAGCCCCTCTCGTCCGAACAGGCCACAAGATATCCACTCGTTTAATTCAAAAGCCATTACCATCTGCCTTAGACCTTGAATTTTAAAACTTGAATTCAATACTCTCTTTATCTGCGCTTATCATGCACGTCATCTTATTTCCACGTGTAGTCGTATCTCTCGTACATAATCTCCTTATCTATTCTAGTCTACAAAGGGAAAAGAAACCCAACCCCCCCAACTCCCTTCTATCCAACACATTCAACTCCCGGCACGATCAAATCCTGTAAATCCTGTATGCCTATGTACATGTGAGACGTCACAATCCCGCCCAACATACGCGCCATAAGCACCCAACGCAACCTTACACCATGCACACGGCGCTTGCCTTCCCTGCACATACATCATAACCCTGGCCTACTATCCAATCCACATCTATCCCCGTCAGCAATAGAAAAGCAGGTACTAACCCCGCCAATGACGGCACATCTGATGTCACCCCTCCCCCCCCTCTGCGCCGTAGTCGGTACTTAGACAAGAAGGGGTCCGGGCGTCTGCATAGAACTTGCATGGTGACGGGTGTGAAGGTGATGCTGAGTGGTTGATTATGAGCGTTGGTGCCGCGGGGCAGGGGGTGTTTGGGTGGTTCCGGTGGGACGGGAGGGGTAGGTAACTTACCAAGAACCTACTAGACGGTGGACGTATTTGGTGGTTGGTTGATTTGGGGCCTGGGCTGGAGTTGGGCGGAGTAATTGGGTGTGGCGATCCTATTAGGGAGTGGTGAAGGTTGTTGTGTGGTTATAATGTGGGTGAGTGGAATGGAAGATGGGTGGTTAATCATTGCCCAGTGAATGTATGGATGAATAATTAATGGGATGGGATTACTGATTACAGTAGTTGTATGAGAAGAGGAGGGGGAGGGGTGAGATTATCGTGCTTATGCCAATGCTTATGGTGCTGATGCTGATGCTGATGCTGACGCTGCAGATGCAGTGATTCTGCTTCTAGAATGTCGAGTATGAAGACATGTGCATGGGATGGAGGGTTATGACTGGACGGTCTATTTTTAAAGAATCTTATCTCTATACATACTACTGTACGGAGATACAAAATGCATATACAGTCACTAAGGCCATGATGTATACAAGTCTATTTAACTTCTTTCGAATGTAGTATGTAAAATCAAAGCAAGTCGCCTCATTCTATTATGGTTGTGATGCAGTCATCAAATCAAGACAATCAACAAAACAATATCTAGCTAGATCTCATATTCGTAAATAGTTCATATAACCTCAATAAATAGAGAGCAATTAAATAGGCTCATCGCGAGGCTCAACCAAAATCTCATTAACAGAGACATACTCTGGCTGGCACAACGCATGCACAATCGAGTTCGCCACATCAGCAGGCTCGAGGATCTTCGCGCCAGAGGGCTCTCCGTATTTCTTCACGGCCTCGGCATCAGTAGACATGCCCAGCAGCGGCGTGGACGTGTTACCAGGCTGAATGCTAGTAACTCGCAGACCCATGCCAGCTGTCTCGAGACGAAGAGCTTGCAAAGTTGCCTCGACGAAGAACTTGCTGGCAGAGTAGACACCCAGACCGGGGAAGACCTTGCGGCCTGCGTCGGAGGAGATGGCTACGATGTGACCCTTGCCGCGAGAAAGCATGCCGGGAACGGTGGATGATAGAGAGTTGAGGATACCCTTGCAGTTGACGTCGACGGTGCGCTCCCACTCGTCTGTCTGGACGTTGGCCATCATGGTGAAATACATCACACCAGCACAGGCAACGAGAATGTCGACTGGGCCGAGCTCGTCATTGGCGGCCTGAATAAGCGCTTCCGTCTGGGCTTTGTTGGTGACGTCTGTTGAGACGATAATACACTTAACACCGTGAGACTCGACCTTGCGCTTGACAGACTCCAGGACATCTTTGCGGCGGGCGCCCAGGGCGACAGAGCAGCCCTGCTTGGCCAGAGCTTCGGCCACAGCGGCACCAATGCCGGAGGATGCACCAGTGACGACAGCGACCTGGCCGCTGAGTGGCCCTTTCTTGGTGAGCTGCACCGCGCGGTGGAGAGCATTCTGACGGGAAGGAGCCCGGGGAAGCCATCCACGCGCAAACCAATGGCGAGTGTAGGTCTCCAGTAGCAGACTATCCACCTTGGGTCGCTCCACAACCGCCCGGAATGGCCTGGTTAATGAGTTATCGAGAACGACAATGCCGCGGAGGAACTCCACCGTCGGCATACCGCTGCGCAGAATATCAACAGTGAAGGAACCATCACCACCCTTGGTCGTGCCTCGCTTCTCAAACCACAATGCCACCCACTCATCCCAGGAAAGGGGTTGCGTGGGATAGCCAAGCTCCTTCAAGTTCTCAAACACGGAGCGGGTGTTGACAGGGTTAGGGTCGCCCAGATGGAAGACGGTCTGGTCGGCCTGGGTCTGTGTGGAAAGGTGGACGATCGATTTACTGACAAAGTCCACAGGAGTCATCTCTGCACGCCAGCCCTCGACCTCTGGAGCATAGCCGAGGCGGATTGACTCGACGATCAATGCAGTCAGAAGATCCCATGCATTAGCAGAACCCGTCAGACTGTGACCGCTGATAGTACCGCAACGGTGGATCTTGACAGGCAGGCCACGCTCACCAGCCTTGAGGACGAGTTGCTCAGCCACCCACTTGGTTTGGCCGTAACCATCCAGCAACTTGGTGGGAACGTCCTTCACATCCATCATGGTATTCTCGGACCAGCCGTTCTCACCAGATGGCGGCAAGACACCATTAGTAGAGACGTACTGCACCGTAGCACCACCCTTGGATGCCAGACGGAGAATCTCCCGAGTTCCGCCGATGTTGGCTCCGCGCAGCGCAGCATAGGGGTAGACCAGGTTAACGGTAGCAGCGGCATGAACAATGACTTGAACACGGCCTGCAAGCTCATCGAATGCCTCAGAGGACAATCCAAAGTGAGGACGAGACAAGTTACCCGGAAGGATCTCGACACGCTCCATTAGGGTGTCGCGCCAGAGGCCCAAGTCTAGCAAGTTTCGGCGGATACGGGCTACACCTCCAGCCTGGTCATCGTCTTCCGGATCAGTGAAACGCACGAGACAGATGATCTTAGCGGATGTGTTTTCAAGCAGATCGCTGAGCAAGAAAGCGCCCAAGAAACCGGTCGCGCCAGTTAAGAGCACGGTGTTCGCTTCGGCGATCGAAGTGATGGATGCATTGGCAGGAGGCTTGATATCCTCGTCCAAAGTGGAATCAGCCAGCAAGACGGCTGGGAGGTCTGCTTGCACGGCAGCAGTGTGGCCATCTCTGACAGCGCGCACAGTCTCCAAGTGACCAGCCAGGGTCGTGTTATCTGCAAGACGGGGGATGGGGACGCGGAATCCAAAATGCCTGGAAAGTCGCGAGGCCAAGTCAGCCAGAGACAGAGAGTGACCACCAAGGTCGAAGAAGTTATCCTCGGGCTTGAGGAGAGTCTTGGATGTTTTCAAGACGGTGGCCCAGATCGCGGCAATGTCGTTGATTCCAATGGGATCCTTGTCGACCGTCTGATCGCTACCGCTGGGGCTGGCGCTGCGAGGTGGAGGGAGACTCTTGAGATCGACCTTGCCAGACACTTCATGCGTTGGCAACTCACCCAATTCAACCCACAAAGCAGGGATCATGTAGTGAGCAAGGTAGGGCTCGAGAATGCGACGGGCCGCGGGGCTGTGTCCAGTCTCGTTGATCTCCACTGCTGGGCGCTCGCCAGCAGCCTCCTTATCAGCCACGATGTATGCAACTAGCTGGCGCTCCAGTCCCTCGCCATGCGCAACCACAGCGCAATGGCTCACTGCCAGATACTGGCAGATATCACTCTCAACCTTGGCCGGCACCACTGAGTAGCCGCGGAGCTTGATCATCGAGCCGACACGACCAGTGATTTCCAGAAGGCCCGAAGGCAACTTGCGGGCCAAGTCACCCGTTCGATACATGCGCGCACCGGGCGTGGAATCGAACTTGTCAGGCATGAATGCTTTGGCAGTGGTCTCGGGGAGGTTGAGGTATTCCCGCGCCAGCAGATCTCCTCCAATGAAGAGTTCACCTGCCGTGCCCGCCTCGACCTTTTGTCCACTCTCATCCAGAATGTATGTGTGTGCAGGGTCGAGAGGAGCACCCACCGGGCAGTAGAGAGACTCGGTGTCGATAACTTCGCGGATATCTCCGCACGCAATTTCGTGGGTTTCACAAGCGCTATAACAGTTGAGGAGGCGGGTATTGGGGAGGGCTTTGATGGCCTTGCGGGCGAGGTCGGTGGTCACCACCTCGCCGTTCAACCAGAGAGTACGCAGCTCGGGTAGGCGAGCGGCAATTTGAGGATAGCGAGCGAGAACGGTCGCTAGCAGAGTAGGGGTCATGAGAGTCTCTGTGACTCGTTTGGTGGCCAGTAGGTCCACCAACGCGGCCGGGTCATAACTGGCATCGTCGGGCACCGCCACGACAGTAGCACCTCGTAGCAGTGGACGCAGCATCTCCCAAATGAAAAAGACATTGCAGGCCACTCGGTCCCCCGGCTGCAGGTCCTGTACACCGAATCTCAAGTTGTACGAGAGTACGGGAGCCCGCTGTGGGTTCGCAATACCCTTGGGCTTTCCCGTCGTGCCCGACGAGTACGAGACAAAGGCTAGACGATCCAAATCGTCTTCAGCCGGTAGAGGAGCTGCCTCTTTAGCATGGCCATTAATCTCTTCCGCTGGCTTATCCAGGACAATCAGTGGGCATTGCGCCTTGACCTTCTCGACCTCGCTCTGGTGGGTGATCACCACAGCGGGGTTGGCATCGCTGATGACGTCCGCCAGCAGACCCGCGGGATAAGCCAACTCCAGCACGAGGAAGGCACCGCCAGCGCGCAGAGCTGCCAAGCAGGCAATCACATAGTGAGCACTGCGAGGCAGGAGCACGCCGACGAGCGAGTCCCGACTGACGCCAAACAGGCGCAACCGACTAGCGAGCGCTTCGACCTCGCTGTCGAGTTGCCCATAGGTGTATGTGATGGCGTCATCTTCCAGGGCGATGGCATCAGGCGTCGCCTGCGCTTGTTGTTTAAACAGGGTCGGCAGATCCTTGCCGATGTCGATAAAAGCCATGTTGATCTCGAATGTTTCCCAAGATGAGGGTTTCTAGGATTGTAGGAAGTTCTCCAGGTTCACTATTCACAGATATTCGTGAGGAGGTAGGAAAGAATGTTGGACTGGCGAGTTCGGTCTCGGACGACAAAAGTCGTATGCCAAAAAGCAAAAATGACGCCGGCGTTCGGTATTGGGTTGGGTCCTCGTCGATGACTACCAGGATTGCCTGCGGAGGGATCTGGTCATGGGTGTTTGGACCACACTGTCTGTCTTCCTCGATGCTGGTGGAAGGTTCGCAAAGAGGCACACTGAAATGGAAAGAAGGAAAGAGACCACCAGACCCAGAGAAAGAAAAAAAAAGAGCTGGAGAATGGAGAAATAGCTCAGGACAGCTAAACCCAAACGAAGCAGCCAAGAGGCTGGCCCGAACGGGGAAAACGGCCAGGTCCTTATTCCCTAACTATGGATCAATGGCTCTGTGACCTTGCTTTGCCCTACCCACCTTTTGTTCTCAACAGAATCAATTCGATCAAAATTGAATATTAAATATTTTAATCTTTACTCAAAGTGTCCAAGATCAAGAACAGTCAGCTAAGCTACCGGGAATGAGACCAATCAGACTGTAAATGGCTGCCCGTCTAGCCCACGCAACCTTGGAATGGACCAGAGCTAAACTTCTTATCGAGAACCAATGAATTCCCTAAAGACCACCCATCTGTCCCTGAACCTGTCCCGGTGGCACTATATTTATCCTCTTCATTGCCTATATCGCTCTTTAACTTGCTAAACTTGCTAGGGCCTCGTCCGATCGCCCTAGGATCGGATGCACGAGTGGCTTTCCTAGGCTGGTCGGAGTACATGGTCATTCTTCTGGATACTTTTCCCTCGTACTGTTTAGATGCTGATGGAATGCCCCGCGTAGACAAGACATTTGCTCCATAAAAAAGGTGTCCTTTTGGTCCTTGAATCAGTCCAAATTGTTCTCTGTAGACCCGTCAACCCCCGTGTCTGCCCCACTTGAAAAAGAGGGGAACTTTGCATGTGAAAGTGTCTGTGGTTCCCAACAGTTTTTAACACCATCATCATCATCATTCATCGCCACGGTGTCTTTTCCTGTTAGTGTGGACATTATTAATGTCGCGTGATGAAAGGTTCTTTGGCCGATATAGGCGATCCCGTATATAAATGCTGGTTGGCCTGTTGGCCCCGGCGTCTGCATGATGCATGGATGCTGCAGCCCTTTTGGCCCGTTTAGTCGACGGTCGCTTGCTTGCTTGGACCCCGTCGGGTTAGTTGTTAGTCGGGTTAGCCCGGGCTTGCCGCTTTTGGCGCCTTCCATTTGTTTCTCTCGTGGTCTTTCTCGTCGGCTATCTTTTGGACTCTTTGGCGAGTCATGATTTTGACCGCCTTGACTGGATAGTTTCATGCATCTTCATTCCAGGCTCTGATGGCTCGGTTTTGCCGAGACTCCGCCGATTCTCCGATCTCGTGGAGCACGTGTTCTTCCATGAGAACCCTGCGCTCGGGCCAGGTCCCTTCTTGTCATTCTCTTCTACATTGTAGTTTTCCAGATTCTCAGACTCTATACGACAGAGAACAAAGGTAGTGCCTATTGTGTTCAACTCAGGACTAAGTATTGACTATCGTGGATCAACTTATCCCGGGTGAGGCCTATCTTAGGCATGTTGAAGTAATTACTCGTCGGCAATTGGGATAGTTTATTCTCAAAAATATATTCTGAGCCTCCTAGACTCAACGGCTAGTGACGCCTCCAGTGGGTATCATCCATTACACCAAGCACACCACACGAGACCTCTTACCGACTCAAGTTAGAAATCATCTACTGTTAGAACTGAGATTAGGTCCAAGGTTATGAAACCCACCTTCTAGGCCTAAGCTTTATGCTCGGGTCTGTACCCGAATTGGCAGGACTAGGTATGGGTTGGAAGATTTCACTCAGCTCTGTCAAAAACCGACGTTCAAAGAAGCTGAAGCTTAGAAAAGCAAGACTTCTATTTATGCTTATTTCACTTTTTCTTCTTTCAAACTTCGAGAAAGCTAGTAAATGATGATGACCCAGGAGCAATGACCTATCGTTTCAAATGTGGGGGGAGAGCGTGAGAACCTTAAGCAAGATCAAGGGCAGGCGTTCTAGCGTCTTCTGGACATTGAATCGAAATCTAGAACCATGAATGATTTTTCAAGACTGACGGGGCTCTTCCTCAACTTTGGAAAAGAAAGGTAGCGTGGGGACCAGTGGCTTGACCCATAATTTAAGCATCCGAAAATTATGTCTTGATATTTCCGAAAGATGGAACTTAGGGAAAAGCCGACCAGTGTCTACTAGGCTCCTTACTGTGACATCTAATAATAAAGTCCGTATTCAAGCACGCTAGGTTGATTCTAAACTCGGGACCTTCCTGATTGGATCTAATAGCTCATCGGGACAGCCACATTACGGGGGCTGCCAATGATGCTGGGAGGGAAATATGAGCCTCATGTCATGTTGGCAATATGAATGTCAATCACGAGGTATTAAGTAATGCAACCTTCTTGACTCCGTATATGCATGAGACTTCGCTGTGCCTGGATCAAGGACTGACCAGACACAATGGACTTGACCAAGCCTACCGACTCGCCGATCTCGACATGTAGCTATGGCATATTAATTAACATCCCATAGATTGTCCCTTATGACTACCATCAAGTCGGCAACGCGACTCTGTATTTTTGCGATGACTCCTGAATAACTTAGGCGAAGTTGCTTGATAATGAGCTGGACAGAGTGGCCACCCTTGCTGATCACCTCGTGTTCTTCAGCCTCGGTGGACCTCCAAGGGGAAGCGCTCGTCCTCTCGTAATGCCCCAAACACCCTGCGCCTAGGCCTGTGCTTTCCTCTTGACTGGGGTTTTATTGGACGGGAAAGCAGGGACAACCCAAACCAGCACAGCCTGTGCCGTCTTTAATTCTTGGCATGCAACTAATATCCCCGGAATACGAGCTTTTCTTGGAAGGAATTCTCCGTGGTTAAAAGTAGACATACCCCATAAAATTTTGGCTTTGGAACTTTATGTGCGACATCTCCTTTTGTTGGCTACATTTGTGAGAAGAGTGCCATACATTATCATCATTTACAATGGTGGCCTCATCATACCTTCTTCTGCCGCTCTATCTGGCATATGTCCCCTCGGCCACGGCATGGGTTTTTAGCTGGACAAACTCCACAGGGGGTTTACTGATCGATCACGGGAATGCAGTTCAGTCCTGCAAGGCAATCGATAATCCCAAGGGAAACATCATCGATTGGGACGCCAAGGGTGGAAACTTTTGCATTTATCTCTACAACAACGGAAACTGCTCCGATCCATCCTCCGGGTATACCTGCAAAGCGTGGCCCTGGAGCAACCATGTCGCAGGGTCATATATCCATTCGTACGAGATCGTACTGAACAATACCGATACTGCATCTACCGCATCATCAGCTTCTTCCACATCAACAACCTCAACCTCCACGACGAGTAGTTCCACTCTGACATCGGCCAGCGCTGCTGCTACCACTGCTGCAACGAATACTAGCTCAGCCACCACGACGCCAATCGCCGTAAACACCAACACCAACACTAGCAAGAGCTCCTCACTCTCTGGAGGTGCTATCGCGGGAGTAATCGTCGGCGTCCTGGCTGCTCTCGCGATTGCGGGTATTTTATTCTTCTTCTTGTGCTGGCGACCACGCAAGAAGACACAACCCTCGACCATTTCAGAGCGACCGATCCCACCCATGTCGGAACTGGGTCAATACGATTATAAGCCTTCTTCGCCTACTCTGAGCTCTCCCACTTCTCATGGACAGGGCTCAGATGTGTACCAGGGACAGAAGCTACGTGAATTGCCCGGGTCTGGTGTCGCCATGGAGATGGGTACTGGTGTTATGAGGGCCGAACTTGATGGTTCGACGACTTGGAAGAATTGAGAGGAGGGATAAAATTGGAGCCTGATGTACATTCTAGACATCATGGATGTTGGTCATGGAGAATTTGTTTTGATGGGTTGCATTCTCTTTCTTGTGTATATATTGATCTCCTTTAGCGTGAAAGATACCTTGTCCTTTTGTACCTACTACCTTCCTATTTTATTCTGAGAGTTACACATCATTTGCAAATTGAGTTTCAGATCTGCTTTCTATCTCTAAGTCGGTAGTCGATATTTTCGAGTACAAACAACAAAGACTTGTGGGTGGGAGGTGCATGAGGCTGTTGTGGCTGATTCCGGAGTGAAGATCCATGTCACAACTTCGCCTTCGAAAATCGAAGATCTCAACGACTTATTTACGAGTATCAAAGATCTGAACCTCTTACGAAGTGATCTTTAGTTAGATCAGATCAAAGGCAACGGCAAAATCCCAGATGAAAGATCAGGCCATGCATACTGGTCCCACAATAAATCGAACGCTAAACTTTAAACCTCCACCTGCTCATATCCTAGCTCTGGAGATACAGTCACCACGAAGTATGAATTCTTGATGTCCATGGATTTAAACCTAGAGTATGGCATCTGATTTCTGCATTGTTTCATTTCACGTTGACAAGTCATCCCATTCCATCGCATGACCCCGGATCGTTGGCGGGGAAGAGTCACGGGACTGAAGATCGAAGCAACGGAAGGATTTTTTGACATGCTCGTTGACATCATCTGTCCTGTGTCAAAGAAAATTTGTACCTCACTTATATACCCTTCAACCATTTATATTTTGTTATGCATAATCTCTCTCCCCAAGACGACAGGAGCTCCACCTCAGATCTTGAACATTCAAGACCCCACTGCGGCTTGTTTGTCTGTCAGACATTACTCATTCATCACGTACTGCGTACACATACCGGAAGGCCAGGGATGGAGTCTTGAGCTCCCCAACCTTGATAAATTTGGCGTTACTGCTCTTTTTCAGTTGGAACATTTGATCTCATCCGCTTGACACCTTCTCAGTCGATTTTCTGGTGTCATCGCCCTTCCCTTCTGCTTCCGGTCGCAGTGCATGGCGCCGCCATGCAGAATGAGTTTCCTCCCCTTGCGGCCGCCGCGAACGCGACCACGGCTAAATTGTCACGATGGGAGCGCTTCTCTAGTCGGTTTCACATGAGGCCTCCAGAGGATGACGAGCCTCAGTCGTGGTGGATCGCCTCAACTGCTATCCCCCTTGTAGCTGCGGCTGCCGGGCCGCTGGCCAATGTCATGTCTATTGTGGCCCTTGTCATGCCGTGGAGGAATACGATTATTTCTAGAGAGAAAGGACCTGCTGGAACTTGGGTTCAAGAGGGCTATAGTGACCCGCACTGGTGAGAACTGTCGAGACTTGGGGAAGAAGGACCGGGCTAACAAGGGTTATAGGGTGACAGCGATGAACGCCATATCACTTTTTTTGGGTGTCGTTGGTAATATGTTCTTGCTGCTCAATTTCACTCAGACTGTTCGCTATATTATCGCCTTACCCGTAACGATTGTTTCTTGGTTCCTGGCTACAGGAATTGTAAGTGAACGTGACTTGCCAAATTTGACTCGTGGCTAATCTCTTCATTAGCTCTGTGGGATTACTGCATCCTTGCACATATACAGTCCACCTACTCCACCAAATGAATTGTACTCGCAGGCGTATTGGAGCGCTGTCATCGCGGCAATCCTTTACTTCATTCTGGGCTCTCTCTTGATGATCAACATGTTAGGCTACTTCCTGGGAAAGTATCCCCAGCACTTCTCTCTCACGGATGACCAGCGGACCCTTATTTTACAAATGACTGGATTCGTGGTCTGGCTGCTCATCGGTGCAGCCATCTTTCAACGAGTGTTGGAGGTCTCATTTGCCGATGCGCTATATTTCTGCGATATTACCGTTTTGACCTTGGGCTTTGGCGATATCACCCCACATACAGCTGTCGGAATGGGTCTGATTTGGCCGTATGCGGTAATCGGAATCGTCATGCTGGGTTTAGTGGTGGGCAGTATCCATCAGTTCGCCCGCGAAGTTCACTATGACAACGTCGTGCGAAAGCACATTGAGCATAAGCGGCAGACCACATTCGATCGATCTGTCACATTTGAACAGTTTCGCACTGCTAATAAGCCGTCGGAAAAGGATATCGTTATCCCGAAGTCTGCGGGCCATCGATCCAGGACTCATCGTAACCGACACCATCGGCATAATCAGCACCAGCACCACAGACATGGACCGATTCTTAATACCATTAATGCTCTGGCGTCCAGTCGTCGCCCCAGATTACTTGTGATGAGGGAGGAGAAAGATAGATTTGACGCGATGCGTGCGATTCAATACGAGACCATGCGTTTCCGTCGCTGGAACGACTTGATTATCAGTATCATCGTGTACGGGATCGTGTGGACGGGTGGTGCCGTCGTCTTCTGGAGACTGGAAGACATGTCATACTTCGACTCATTATATTTCTGCTTTTGCTCACTGATTACTATCGGCTACGGAGATTTCACACCCCAGTCAAATGCAGGACGACCTTTCTTCGTCATGTGGTCTCTCATCGCCATTCCGACTATGACCATGCTCATCTCCCAGATGAGCGATACTGTGGTTGCAGGGTACAAGCATTCGACCGAGAAGTTCAGCGATTATTTCGTTATGCCTCGCCAAGGGGCGTACAAAGGCATTCTCGGCCGCATCCCACTTCTCCGACAGTGGATACAAATACACCAGGAGAAACAGCGATTGAGACGCGGGTTTGAAGTCGGCGCGGAAGCTGACGAGGCTGCCGAAACGGAGGATAGAGCATCCACAGCCTCAAGATCTCAAGAAAGAGCTCCAGTCGTACCGCTTCGTCCTCGACCAGGGGATGATCACCCATTACGGACCATTGAAGAGCTCGCCCGCGATGAAAACCCGTCTCCATTCGAACTCGCCGAGCAACTTGCCTTTGCTATTCGTCGCACTACACATGACGCAAGAGAAGGCAAACGGAAGAGATACACTTACGAAGAGTGGGTCGAATTCACTCGGCTCATCCAGTTCACTGACCCGCATTCACGTCCGAGTTCCTCCTCTGCGGATCGTAACAAGCCTTTCCACAGCAGTACTAGTGTTGACGAGGATGAATATGGTGTCTTGAATTGGGACTGGATTGGTGAGAATAGTCCCATGCTGGCCCACCAGTCAGAGCCAGAATGGATTCTGGACAGACTCTGCGAGAGCTTGGTCCGCTATGTGTCGACGCAGGAACAGGCCAGGGTTATCGCACGTGGTCAAATTGATGATGTGATAGAAGAGCCTACGTTAAGGAAGGAGAGGGACTTGGGGATCGAAGAAAGTTGATGATTTGAATGACTTGATGAATTTTTTTTTCTTGCTTGATCTTACACTCTGGCTAGGTTGATAGACACGTTGCCTTGCAAATACCCTTCTTCTAAATGAACACCGTGTATTTTATCCCATGTTCGATGCCTGATCAGGCAAACTCCATTGCTTTTAGCTGGAAGTTTAATGCTGGATTCATTTTCTCATACGTGGTAGTTATGCAAGATCCCACCCACCCTGTTTGACCGCAGATGATGGGAGGCTTAAAAGGATACTTTAACCCCACCTTCCCTTGATCCATCTCAAATTCACAAACAATCCATCTTTCAAATCCCCAACAACCATGACTTCCAACATCCCCGAAATTCTTCTCCTCTGTATGGAATCCGAGTTCATCACGGCATTCGATGAAGCTATCCAAACACATTGGCCCGACTTTACCCCGGACAAAGTCAAGATCACCAAATTCAACACGCGCCTGAACAGTCTCCCTCCATCAGTCAAATTTGATCTAGTAGTCTCGCCAGCCAACTCCTACGGTCGTCTAGATGGCGCATTTGACCATGCTATCTCGTTGGCATTCAGCCCCCGGAAGGACTACCACGCGCTGACTCGTGCGGCTCAATCTGTGCTGTACGACAAATGGCGGGGCTACGCGCCGCCGGGGTCATGCACTCTTGTGGAGTTCCCCGAGGATCTCAAACAAAACGTTCGCGACTGCGGCTGGGTTGCTATCTGTCCAACCATGAGGGAGCCAGAGAATGTGAACTGGGATCGTGAAGTGGTATACGAGTGTGTCTGGAGCTTGTTGTGCCAGCTTGAAGGTCACAATCGTCGTAATGTGGACAATAGGATCGATACTATTCTTATGACACCGCTGGCTACTGGCATTGGGAAGGTTAGCAAGGAGCGCTGGGCGGCGCAGGCGGTGCTGGCATTGAAGCATTTCGTCGATTCACTTGAGAAGCCTGAAGAATGGAGCTCTTTGCAGTGGGATACTATTGAGAAGATTGACGACGAGGTGCGTCAGACTTGGATGCCGAAGGAATAGAATACATGTATGTTTCGTTCGCGATCTATTTACGTTTTAGGTAGAAATAAAACTTCCCAGATCGGCCGAACTTCTTGCTTTCCATGATACCGGCCACTATGTCTGGTCGCACAGCTCGATAGTACACTATCACAGGATGGTCATCATAGATCAGTGCAGCAGAGACGGTGCCCTGATATTTGATCTCGTGTAACTGCGTGGCCGAGTACATTAGCCATGCTTCAAACATGCAGTTTTCTTGAATAGAACCCCCAAGAAAACTCACCGAAGCACGTCCCCAGTCTTCATACGGAACGTGCCTTCCATTTCTGAAAACGAAAAGAGGAGCCACGTCCTTAGTTGAATCGAAGGTATGCCCGAACCAGTTGAATTTCTCGAGCTCAGTTTCAAACGGATGCCGCGTGCCCAAGACAAAACCGTCCCATTCTCCAATCAATTTCTCAGGTAGGATTGGCTTGAGATCACAGAAGACACTGTCGATATGTGATGGGCTGAGAATTTTGGGATTTGTGGTCAGCGCCATGAATTTTCTAGCGGGACTTGATCGAAAAAGGTCGAAGGGGATATTGGGAAACTGGAGAGATATGCTGGAGATGCTGTAGAATAATGGCTCGACTGGCCGGCTTTGGGAGACTTCAAACGCGCGAAAAGATCTTGACTTGATTGAAGGAGACGCGAAACGCATGAACGGCCGCCTATAGAGTCCTCCATGTCCAGTGTAGATATTGGCCGATATCTCGGCTTTCAAGAGCGGGTTATACATCGCGTGAAGTCATTGGAAAAGGAAGAGTTGCAATGTTTGAGTCTGGGGGTAGGTGTGCCTTATTACCCTCATTTTGCTACCCCAGGTTCATAACACGCCCTACAACCCTTGGATTCCTTAGGATCATGGAAACAAACCGATTCGTTCTAGCCCGTTCTCGACCGGTATGGGTCATCCCTTCCAAAATGCCACCGATTATTGAACCCTAGAAATGCGCCATACTTGGGAAATAACGTCATTTGGTTTTTTGATTACTACTTAATCTGACAGTATGCACACATTTCGCCTACCTTATCTGATAGTCAAGTTATCTGATCGATCACTCGATCGGGGTTCGCTCGGTTAAATGGTCTCGTGCTTTCTTTACACTGTTGCCACATTCCAGTGCTGCCCCCCCCCCCCCCCGAGCTGTACTCCTGTCGCTGCTGTGGCCATCCATGGCATAGAACAGCTTTCTACTAAGGCTAGTTGTAGCTGTAAGTCTGCCACTGAAGATTCCACGTCAGTTGCTATTTGACAGCTAGGAGATATCGAATGAGCGGTAAAGTATTGAAAGATGTCAATTCAATATTGAGGCAACAGAGTGCTACAAAATGTTGTATTTCTTCAGTGTCCAAGACCGAATCAAGATGAAAGTTAGCCTCCTGCACATTGAGTGGCAATCAGTGGAGGTATTGGTTGAACCAATGAACAGCAGCAATCTTTGCCCGTACCAGACCCTTCAACTCAGCCTCATTCTCCTTATTACCTCTCACAGCAAACCCATGAACCAAAGCAGGAAAATGTTGATAATCATAATCGAGACCCAGCGAAGGTATAACTCGGTTAGAAAATTCCTTCAACTCCGGTGTAAACACTGGATCGATCTCCGGTGCCAGAATCTGCACCGGAACATCCACATTCTCGATTTCCTCCTTGATGAGCCAGGATGGATGCGCAGTGGAAATGCAATCGACTAATCCTCCACTTGTTTTGGCACCAAGACGAAACACGGCCCAGCCGCCGAAGCAGAAGCCGATGGCGCCGACGCGTCGGTACTTGCCTCGCAATTCTTTTGCAAAGGCAAAGATCTCGGGCTCGCGCACTTCTTTGCTATTGCGGGCTGTCCATCCCACTTGAAGCCTTTTACACAGCATTCGTTCATTCTTTCGATGGGGAGTTTCGTCTGTTAGTCTCATACAACATGAAATAACCAAAATTTGCTCGAGGTATACACCGGGCAGCTAAGGTTTATGTATCATGCGTGCAAAGTGTTGCGAGAGGGCTGGGCATCTGGCAACCCCTGCAGCTATTCTTGGAGACTGATGAAAAGTGCAGGGTATATGCAGCTGTGAGTCACTCTTGGTACGTATATCCCTGCTGGCTCGCCCCGGTTCATGTAGGCCAGTGCCCCCATGTGTCTCGGGGCCGAGCATATTAGCATCCAGGCTCCAATAGAAAGGCGTGATAAGTGGTTTTAAGGCGACCAGCCGAAGCCCTGAGCCCAACCGAAGGATCTCATCTATGATGGGGAAAGATCTAAAGAAAGATCGCTGCTCTGCACCGTCTTCAGCAGAGCAGACCATCGCCGGTGGAGCAGCTTAGATATGTGCACTACAAACGCAGAGCAACGAAAGCATAACTCGAGACCTAGTAAGACCTAGTCGCGATACCCAAAAGAGGAATTAACACCTGACACAGCCGGCTTCTTTCTCCCACGACTGACAGGTTGACCCATTTTCTTCCGCATTTGTGTGACACCAAGATGCCATATCCATGCCCACCCTAGCTTCATTAGTTGCGTTTGCTTGAATGAAAGCTACAGTAGCTCCACAGAGCGTATTTTGCCACCGATTTAGCTACTAATTAAAGCTAAGCAATAGGGAAATACCTACAAGGCCCAAATGGGATAGCTTTGTGGCGACCAACGTACCCCATGATGTCTTGTTATCCGTACCCGTGGATTCGCCTCAACCTACCCATGCTTGGTGACACCTCTCCGGCCTTATTATAACTGGCCAACCGGCCATGAACTAGCTTCGAGAACGAAGCAGAAAACTGGTGGCACCGTTCAAAGACACCTCACTGGTAAACTGCGGAGAAGCGACCACGGTGGTGGTAAGTCTCGTCGTCATAATCGTATCATGATATGGCCTCGCCCGCCACTCGACCCCGGACTCGTCTCTCATAAATATTGCAATGAGGGCATTCGTCAAGAAAGTTTGTTCATCACTTCTGATGATCTCGGTTGATTGAAATACACAAGACCTGGTATGTTCTCCCCTCGATCACCCCTTCTATCGGCCCACGCTGGAGCAGGGAGGAAAGAGAGGAGATGGCCGAGGTAGATTGTTTTTGGTGTCGCGTGAGGTGGTAGAGAGGCCTATACAGTCGTCCACTTTGAAAAATCGACGATACTAACCATGAAACTTTCCAAGACAGCTTTAGGACATCCACTATGCCTGCCTCCAAAACAGATACTGCGATGCGGCTCCCCGGCAACGAGGACCAACAACGTCGCACCTGGACCACCCAGGACAAGAAGGGCGCGGCCAAAGCGCAGAGCGAGCTCAGCTCTGGCAAGAACAAGTCTCAAGAAAGTACGACTTGGTCCCCCGAACAGCTGTTGGCTTCCCATATGGACGAGGCCGGCAACCTTGTGCCCGACCCAATTACATTTGGCGACGGAGCCAAGGCCAGCAAGAAGAAGATGGGTAGCATGACGGACGAAGCCGATGTGTTCGAGGCTATGAATGCGGACACTGCGGACTTTGATTAGGCTCAAAGCCTGAAAGTATCTTCTCGTCTTTGTGATGCTAGCACCCAAAATATGCGTGTGTGTATTATGCTTGACCGCATGCGTGATCTATACCAAAAACTACCAGCAAAAACAAATCATTTGAGCATGTTATCAACGCTGGAATTCCTCGAGAGCCGCGACAGGGATCGTAAGCAGGATTAGCGTAGTTTTCAGCTAGTAAATACCTGAACTGGTTAATTAAAAGTAGTTCGTTAGGTCGTTAGTCCAGATTAGTTTGGGGTGAGGCGGGAGTTAGGCTGCTCGCATTGCCCTGGCAACGCCGACCGTCTATCGCCTTAGAACATCGACCAAAGCAACCATCCCAGCTACGTCAAATCCAATAATATCGCCTTTTCTTGTATCCTTCTATTCTTCAGTTTCTTGTCTATTACTTTTCATTCCAATTGATATTGTGTTAGCAGTGCATTAGCAGCATGTCTGTCTAACTTCCTCCGCGTCGAACCGTGTTTACCTCCGATCTTCCCCCCGCGGGGATGACCAGTCGCTGAAACGTCAGCCTCCAACTTCTCCAACTTCCAGAAGGAAACAACCAAACGCGCAACTGTACCGACCCCCTTCCTTTCAATCTCTGCTCTCCTTTTCCCATACACTCTTTTGCTTTCACCCAACGACAATCGACTTGGCTCGATCTTTCCTTTATCCCCCCCACCTTTCCTGTATTACCGATTCATTGCATGTACACTCATCTTATCGAACGACGACGCGACGCCGTCGACAATTGTGTTCATTTATTAAGGGAGTATAGCAGAGAAATGGCGCTGGACCCGCGCTTTTTTGGACACATCGGCCAGAGCTCCGGCCCTGGCTCGATCTCGTCCGCGACATCCTCCGACTCCTCCGCCCTCACTGGCATCACTTCGCCAAGCGTGTTTTCGACCTCCGCATCTGCTGCGACAATGCGATCAACCGCATCCAGTCCGTCACTTCGCGCTCGCGAAAGCGTCTCCATACCCGTTGGTCACCAAGATGGAATCGCCAGCCCATCGCCTGGTGGTAACGTGCGCGTCGTGGTGCGAGTCCGGAAATTCCTCCAACGAGGTACGTGGTGGAGAGAGAGTGTTGCGCAGTGACAATGGAGCAAATGGAAACTATTAAAAGGAAAAGAGGGATGAAATAGCTGACGCCGCGCTTCCAGAGCTCGACCGTCAAGCAGAATGCCTTATCGCGATGGACCCCCACACTCAAATGACTAGCCTAAAAGCGCCCAAGCCGAGCGCCGGCGATCGGGGAAAGCCCAAATCACAAGCACGGGGGAAGATTCTCGAAGATAAATCATTCACCTTTGATAACTCTTTTTGGTCACACGATGAGCAAGACGAGCACTATGCACACCAAGAAGACGTATACAACTGCCTGGGCGAGGAGTTTTTGGACCACAACTTCGAGGGATATCACACTTGCATTTTCGCCTATGGCCAGACCGGTTCGGGTAAGAGTTACACCATGATGGGCACACCGGAGCAGCCAGGCTTGATTCCTCGGACTTGCGAGGATCTGTTTCAGCGCATTGAATCATCACCATCCCCCGACATCAGCTACAATGTTCGAGTCTCTTACTTCGAGGTCTACAACGAGCATGTCCGAGACTTGTTGGTCCCCCGAACAGACCCGCCACATTATCTTCGAATCCGCGAGTCTCCCTCTGAGGGCCCATATGTTAAAGACTTGACGGAGGTCACCGCCAGGAACTATACTGAGTTGATGAAGTACATGCGCAAGGGCGACGTATCGCGTACAGTTGCCAGCACTAAAATGAACGATACCTCTTCACGATCGCATGCCGTTTTCACCATCACATTGAAGCAAATTCACCACGATCTTTCTACGGACGAAACAACAGAGCGCACGGCTCGTATTCGATTGGTTGATCTTGCAGGTTCTGAGCGCGCCAAAGCAACTGAAGCTACTGGTGCACGATTGCGCGAAGGATCCAACATTAACAAGTCCTTGACTACGCTCGGTCGGGTCATTGCAGCTCTGGCCGACCCGAAGAAGACTCGAGGAGGCCGAAAAGGCAAGGAGCTGGTGCCCTACCGTGATTCAATCTTGACATGGCTCTTGAAGGATTCCCTCGGCGGTAATTCCAAGACGGCCATGATCGCCTGTATTTCTCCCGCCGACTACGAGGAAACTCTTTCGACTCTCCGCTATGCCGATCAGGCCAAACACATTCGCACTCGCGCGCGCGTCAACCAAGACCAACTCTCGGCTGCCGAACGTGATCAGCAGATCGCCGAGATGGCAGAGACCATTCGCACTCTGCAGCTGAGTGTGAGCCAGGCACATGCCAATCAGCGTGCCACAGAAATGCAAGATGAGAGATTGGAAGAGTACCAGCAGAAGGTGGAGAAGATGCAGCGACTCATGGAGGAAACCAAGATGGTCAGCGAGTGCAAGATCCGCCAACTCCAGACCGAGAATGAGGCTCTCCGCATGCATCTGAAACTCGCCCTGGAGAGTCTCAGAAACCCCATACCACCTGTCAGTCTTGAAGGACGCCAGAGCCTATCATCATTAGCGGAAGAGGATCGATTGCCTGAGCGTGATCAAGAGAACCGGGAAGGATCGCCTATTGTTGAGTCATCCGAGTCCGAGCCAGAAGTTTGGGAGGATGAGGAGTATGAAGACGATGACGACGACGAAACAGTGAACCTTGAGAACAGCGAACAAGAAGCATACCAGATGCAGGAGCGCATGCAAGATTTGCTCGGCGATCTGGGAGTTTTCAAGCGCAAGCTCGCATCCGACCATGAGCGTTGGCGTCCCAACGAGCATTCGAGAACTCGGAAGCGACGTGTGCTCGGAATAATCGCTGCTAACAATCGCTAACTTGGATTCATTTGATTTTTTAGCGTGTAAATATGGTGTTGGCGGCATACTCCTTTGAACTTGTCCTTTGTTTGGGCTGAAGCCACACTCTCGGGCAGGAAATCGCCTGTCGTGGCTCGAGATGACTGTTTCTTCTACTGGGTACACCCTTGTTTGTTCTTTATTGCCTATTCCTTATGTTAGCGAGAGATTCCCTGCGATGAATTACGAAACCTGACATGATTCATGTTTCAAAGTGGCTATCATGGCCTACTTTCTGCCCTTTTGGTCTGATTCTTTGTTAATACATTGACCTTCAAGTAAAAAGCGTCTATCAGATCGTAGTTCCATTCTAAAAATCACTGTTTCTAGGCATCTCTACAGCTGCCTATTTCATCCTACCTTAATATCAACCCCAGCTAATGTGATGAACCTGCAGATGCGGAGGCGGAGATTAGGGCAGATGCGCCGGGCAGTGGGCCGCTTATGGCATCACTTCTTTTTCCGTGAGTCAACTCTCCCTCCCCACCACGCGCTTCAAGATCCTCAACCAAGACCCCCTCGCATTCCGAGAGATCGAGCCATTCACCATGGCGGATTCCGTTGACCCGGCGCTGACGTCCTCATCAGCTTCTGCGTCCGTCCCAGCGCAGCCCGCATCCACAATAGCCAACCCCCCTCGCAACAGACGCAAAACCTCCCCATCCGCGAGTCCAAGAGCGCAAAGTCCCCCGCACCGTCGGACAATCAATCTAGCAAGAACAAAGATGCCTCCAAGCCTGCAGCGGCTTTCTCTGATGCCGCTGCCGCTGCGGGTACCGACAAGCCGCTCACCCCCGCAGAGTTGAAAAAGAAGGCCAAGGCAGAGAAAGCTGCTCGGCGCGCGAAGGAAAAGCTCGCCAAAGAAGCCGGTGGAGCTGGTGCTGCAGGCGGCTCAGCTCCTGGAGCTATTCAAAGTCGTCCTCCGGCGACCCCAAAGAAGGATGCCGCCGGAGGCGCATCGCAGAAGGGACAGAAGGCTGCGCAGCCCCCGCCGCGGATCTGCTCCTACTGGCCAGACTGCTGCGGACGAGCCGACGAAAAAGGAGGATAAGAGTGTTGCTGTCTTCGGACATCTTTATGGCCAGCCGCGTCGGACGACAATCGCTGGTGCTGGCAAAGAAGTACACTCGGCTGTACTGGCCTTGGGTTTGCAGCTGCGGGACTACGTTGTATGCGGCAGCAGTGCTCGCTGCGTGGCAACCTTGCTGGCCTTCAAGCGGGTGAGTTGAGTGGCTTTTGAGGTCTATTCGCCCATCTATGTATGTGCTAATCCTGCGATGTCTTTAGGTCATCGAATCCTACACTACCCCCCTCGGCACCTCGCTCTCTCGCCATTTGACCACCCACCTTTCCCACCAGATCACCTACCTCTCGACGTGTCGACCCCTCTCCATCAGCCAGGGTAATGCCATTCGTGCATTGAAGCTGGCTATCGCCTCTGTCGACCCATCAACCCCCGAACTCAGCGCCAAGGCCACGCTTTGCGAATTCATCGATAACTTCATCCGGGAGAAAATCACTGTGGCTGACCAAGTTATTGCTCAAAGTGCTGCCCAAAAGGTCCAGAATGGCGACGTGATTGTCACATTTGCCGGAAGCTCCATTGTCAAGCAGACCCTTCTCACAGCACACAAGCAAGGCAAGCGGTTCCGCGTCTCAATTATCGACTCGCGCCCGCTTTTCGAGGGCAAGAATCTTGCCCGCGCTCTCGCCAATGCCGGCTTGGATGTGCAATACTCTCTCGTTCACGGTATCAGCCACGCTATCAAGGATGCCACGAAGGTTTTCCTTGGTGCGCACGCTATGACCAGTAACGGCCGCCTCTACTCTCGCGTCGGAACCGCACTGGTTGCCATGTCCGCCAAGGAACGTGCCGGTGGTGTCGAAGTGCCTGTCATCGTGTGTTGCGAGACAGTCAAATTCACAGACCGTGTCGCTCTCGACAGCATCGTCGTCAACGAGATCGCCGACGCCGACGAGTTGGTCTCGGCCCAGCCTCTACAGCAAGTCACCGGCCTAGTTGACCCAGAAGCCCCCACCAAGCCCGACAACAAGAAAGGCGGCAAAGGCGCATCCAGCGCCCCTAAACCCGACCCCTCTGCCTCCCTTAACCCGTCACCTTCACCTCTCAGCAACTGGAAAGACAACCGTAATCTTCAACTGCTCAACATCATGTACGATGTCACGCCTGCCGAGTATGTGGACATGGTGGTTACCGAAATGGGCAGTCTGCCACCCAGTGCGGTCCCCATTGTCCACCGGATGAGTACGAACCTGTGAATTATGAATTATTCTTTTTGTTAGCATGATGTCAAAAAGTTGAGATAGGACTTTCTTTATCTCCTGGATCTCTTTATTCCTTCCTTTCTATCCCCGGGAATGATCATGCACTGGATGCGGGCTTGTTTCTTTGTTATACTAGTTCAATGATGGTTTCGTGTTTCATCCATGTTTTCAGAATCTGGATCGTTAGACTCGATATAGAGGAAATGCCATACTCTGAATATAGTCTTGTCCTCGTACTGCTCTTGAGCTCAATGGCAGAGCTGTGGGCTATAGTAGACACGTGACTACGTGGAGCATTGAAGGCGGTAAGGTTATGTAGATATTCTGCCGCCTGATGTCAACAGTCAGCCCGCGCGCATTTCAACTTTAACCATTCAACAAACCAGACAATTCTTAATATCTCAAAAACTGCTCATATCCGTGTCGAAAACTCTCTGAGGAATCTGAATCTAAAGCCAAAATGGTATTTACCAAACATTTCTCCCCCAAATCCCCTATCTCCAACAAAACTAACACTCCCCCAGAGTAAAGACTCCTCCGTAACCCACCTACACATGCACCAACCCCGACTAGCCGACCTCTTCGAAGAATTCACAAAACCACACCTGTCCAGCGCCGGAATCTCCTCCGGCACCCAAAACAATCTAACACAATCCTCGACAAACAACCCCAACGCAACAACCTATGCCTCCTCCCCATCAACAATCCCCTCCTTCCTCCCCATCGAAGACATCTACCTCCAACCGCAATACCAGCCGCCCAACCCGGAAGACGAAGACGATGTCGTCCCGGATCAACATGCTGCGTTTGGGATTGCGCGCGCTATGGAGCGTAGACATGAGGCTGTGTGGAGGGATTTGGGTCTTGAGGCTTTGGTAAATGGGCAGGGTCATGGGGGTGGTGCTGCCGCTGTGAATGGGGGTGTTGGTGCTGGCGGTGCTGGTGCTGGGGCGGGACCTGGGGCGACGTTGAGGGGGAGTGGTGGTGGTGCTGCTTCGGCGGCGTCGGCGGCTGTGAGGGTTAGGAGTGCGGGGAGGAGGATGGGTGGGCGGAGGACTGTTAGTTTGCGTTGAGTTGGTGGAGGCTTGTTTTCCTCTGCTGCTTCATTTGGAGGAAGTGGTGGGAGTTTGTCTGCATTACTGGAGTTTCGGTTAGGCGGGTTGCATTCGACTACGATACCAATGGGACGGACAGGAATAGTCAGGTGCAAGATATGTGTTTCATTGATCCATTTCGTTGAATATTGACAGCCTTGGATACAATTTAGAGCCCCGTAGGTTAACTCTATGCCGCTGCCATTCGCATTGCGCCCCCAACGCCATGTGAGAATGCGAGATGATTATACAAATTGCTGCCATTGACTCGCTAGATTCGGTTGATATCCACGCGAGATCGCTCATATAGCTTGTGGTCGAGTTGCTTGGACTCGCGCTCCTCGTCTGTCATATTTCGTGGATGGACAGCCATCTGCGCATAGGAACCAGCGGCTCGGCGCTTGGACAATGTGCCTGGGTTGATGACAAGGACGCTGTCGACGACCTAGAATGGAATGATATTGTTAGTAGAGCGAGCTAGGGAGGTGCAGCTGTCCTGGGGTGTACATACCTTGACAAAAGGCGGCAGCATACTGGGGACGATCAGAATATCTGGGCGGACGTTCCACCATTCTCCGAGTTTCATGTAGGGCAGGTCCAACATTGCGCCGGTCGCCAAACCAGTATCGGGACCAGATTTAGGAAGGTTGGCACGAGCAGTTGGAGGGAAGAGAGGGAAGAAGTGGCGCTGCTCGACGAGGTATTTAGGCAAACGCGTGAGTAGATTGCCCTCAGTGGGTCGGCCGTGCAGGACTTCCTCGCGACGGAGCTCAGAGAGGACATCGTGAGAGCACATGCCTACGACGATTTCGTTGAAGGACAATGTCACTGGGTTAGAAACCATGCGGACTTGCTTCGGCAGACCCATATCCTTCTTAGGCAACTGTTCCTGCGGCCATGAGACATGACGACTCATGATATCGCGCACGGATGGAACGAACAGAATTGTGATACTTGGAACAGCCTGTGCAAGACGTGCTAGAGGGGCCGAGATACAGTGACGGAAGACAGTGGTCATCGTTGCTGTGTCTGGGTCAAGTCCCTTGATATCTGGCAGATCAAAGTCGCCCGAAGCGAGCAAAGGGTGCTCGATGTCCAAAAAGGGACCCAACAAGACAACAGCGTCCGCATAGCTGTCTGCAGCCTTCTGGCACAGTTCCTGAAGGGGCTCGAAGTCCAAATTGTCATCGGCTGTGTACGGACCTGCCGCTACCATGACATTCAACGGCGAGCTACCACCACTCTCCAAACGTTCATTAATATTATCCAGAGTCACTGCCGAGGATGCAGCAGGAGGCAGGAGAGGGATAGGAAGTATTTCCTTGACTGTAAAATAGTCGCCCGAGGGATTGATTCCTCGAAGGGCAACGATCTGACCAGGGAAAAAGCTCAACGAAGGGACAGAGTCCACCTTCAGAGGAACACGTCTTCCAGCACCAGTGCGTCGGGATGTCTCAAGCACCAAAGAGGCCGGATTGAGCTTCCCTTCGAGAGAGTCCGAAGCAATCCGGCCAACAGCGATAATCTCACTAGTACTTTGAGTCGCGGCGCTGCCGAAGGTAAGGTCGTCGGAATTGTAGTGTTTCTGGAAAATAGCGGCAAACTCGTCAATTCGATCGTCGAGGATTTCCGAGGCTTCAGACAATCGCATCCCCATTGGCTTGTATCCGAATTTCTTTAGGTCGGTGTTTGCCGTGGGGCGAATACGCGCTTCCGAGAAGGGTGCCATTGGGGTCTCTGGCAGTGAGAGGTGTGCATTGAGGGTTTCCAGCGTCTGGCCAGGATTTGGGCGCTCGGCGAACGATACTGCGGGGCCATTTGCCGTAGAACTAGGTGTCTTTGCACCGGCTGGTGTTCCAGTTTTCTCGAGTCTTCCGACCTTTGGCGTGGCAGGAGATGTGAACTCGGCTTTGCGTTTCACTGAACCACTTCCATTCATCGTCCGCGCATTCGCGGTATTGGGCGTCAACTCGTCTAACCTAAAATTACCATACTTTGTTAGCCGTTTCCAATTGGCATATACTTTGCTTTCGTCATCTTCGTACATTCCAAATACATCAGTGCCCGCTGCCGCGCGCGGGGTTGCCGTGAGAGTCGTCCTCTTCTCTGTCTGTCGGCCAATCTTGCCTCGACTTTCACGCTCGAGAGCTTCTTGGACGTCCTGCTTGAAGCCTCGGACGGTCTCCATGCTCAATTTCACCTCTTCACCCATCTTCATGCTGTAGGACTCCCATTTGTAAAAAAGCTCCTCCGGTGTGATCAAATGGATCCGCAGGATGGACTGAAGCTCAGTCAGGATATCTTTGGGCACGCCATTAGGGAAGGTGGCCACGAAGAGCTCATTAAGCTCAGCCATCGTGTCTGTCATGTTGGGGCCGTTTGGACCGGGTCCTGTCGAGGGCAGAGTGTCGAGTTGGCACTTATGTCGTTGTCGGATACTCTCGTTGAGCACTACTAGGACCTCCGCGACGGGACGCGACGCGTGAACGTGTTGCTGACATAAGCGTGTCCCAAAAAAGTAAAATGAACTTGACTTTGAGAAGATCGAAAAGTGGGCCAGAGAATCGGCCTTTTGACCAATCAAGCCGAATGACAACTTATCCAGCGGTGTCTCAAGATCAACTTGCTCCTTGAAGCTATCCCGTGCATCGCGCAGAGAAACCACCGTCGAGCGCCATGACTGTCAATGATTCCACTGATGTCAAAGCGGCTGTGCCGTTGCCCAACAATGGTGATGCCTCGACTGCCCCATCTGTGGTCCAGACGCCCATCGCCCACCCCGTCGACACAGCCAAACCCGAGCCGCCTGCGAAGCTCACCCCAGACCAGCAAGCCAAGTATGAGACTGTCCTGAAGACGGTCTCTTCTTGGACCACAGTTCCAACTACCGCCGATAAGAATGCACAGAGTGAGCCAATTACCGACGACGAGCGCATGTGGTTGACCCGCGAATGCCTGCTCCGATACCTTCGTGCGACCAAGTGGAACGTCTTCGAGGCTGAATCTCGCCTTCAACGCACATTGACATGGCGTCGGGAATATGGAATGGAGAAGTTGACACCGGATTATATCTCAATTGAGAACGAAACAGGCAAGCAAGTGATCATGGGTTATGATATCCACGGTCGGCCCTGTCTATACCTTCTGCCTTCCAACCAGAACACCGAGAAGAGCGAGCGCCAGATTCAGCATCTCGTCTTCATGCTGGAACGCGTTATTGACCTTATGGGACCCGACCAAGAGACTCTGGCTCTTCTGGTCAACTTCAAAGAAACCAAGTCTGGCCAGAATGCAACAATTGGCCAGGCAAAGCAGACTCTCGATATCTTGCAAAACCACTATCCCGAGCGATTGGGTCGTGCCTTGGTGACCAATGGTGAGAGAAATACGCAATTTGATTCTGAAGCCCTTACTAACCTATATTCTTCGTAGTTCCCTTCCTCATTTGGGGTTTCTTCAAGTTGATCACCCCTTTCATCGACCCAAACACACGACAGAAGCTCAAGTTCAACGAAGACCTTCGCCAACACGTTCCTCCCAGCCACCTCATGAAGCCCGTGGGTGGCGATCTCGAATTCAAATATGACCACTCTATCTACTGGCCTGCCCTTAACGAGCTGGCCAGATACCGCCGTAAAGGCTACCACGAGCGATGGGTTCAAGGTGGCAAGCAAATCGGCGAGTTCGAGAACTACCTCAAAGGCGAGAATATCCCAAGTGTGGCCCAGGTGCCGAGCACTACAATTGAGGCCGAGACCGAGGCCGAAGCTTCAGTCTAACCCGAGGATCCTTTATTCAAATTACTGTTATTTCGGTCGTGCGCACATTTAGCATTCTGGCTTTCATATACTCCATGTGTTTGCACTTTTTCTTATTTTAATTCTTGACATGTCAATGTTTGCATGGTATTGGACAGCCCTTGCATTTTGTTGATAGACACAATATACCTCTCGGATTCTGCAATTAGTTTGCTAATAGAAGTACAAATATACTACGGCATTGATTGGCACCATGCACCTGTTTATTGTAAAAGAAAGGATCGAAGCTGGCCGAAGACCGCTATAAAAACCTCGAAAAATATGAATTCAGATCGCACCTGATTGGTAGGAAACATTTGCATTGCAGTTTACTTATTCACCAAATTTATTCCCATGCACATTAAATTCACAACAAAAGACCCGAAAAGATTAAGCGGTCCCAAACTCCTGATTGGTGTGGTGTGTAAAGTGGAAACAGGCCATCCGTCAAAGCTATCTCCCTCCAGTGGGAAATAGAGAAATGATTTCCTTTTGATAAAACCAAAGTCAAAATTCAAAACGGCGGTCCGCATCTGTCTCAAGGCAAGTCTTTGTGAGGAAGATTGGTCTCCTCATTGCTTGTAGCAGAAGCAGAACTTGCAGCCTGCGCGGACTGCTCAGTTGATTTTTCGCCTGCGGCCTTTTGCTCAGCCTGAGCCCTCATCCGATCAGTCTGAGCATCGAGCTGACGGGCAGACTCAGCCGCATATCGACAATGGCGTCTGATCGCAGGGCCGTACTTGTAGAATACCCAGGGGAATGGGAGACATGCAGCCGCGAGAAAGGCTGAAATCGAGGAGCCCCAATGGATACCCAAGCGATCGTACATCGGGGTCGTGAAGAGAGGGCTAAAGCATACGTTGTTAGTTCGGACATTAGATTATGGGGAGAAAGGCTTACAAGGCTGCGCCGAACAAAGCACGAATGACAGCATTTCCTGCCAACGCCGAGGCAGCATAGACAGTGTAGCCGTCGACGAGGTAGTTGACCACGCTAAGGAAGATAGAGACGTGAGAGAACCCAAAGAAAACCGTTCCGATCTGGCAGACAATCCAGTGGATTCTGGGAAAGTTGGTCCACGCAAACCAGAACAGGCCAATAGGTAGCGTCACAGCTCCGACCATAGCAGGGATCAGCCGTGCCTCGGGTGGAGGACGACCATAGCTAGTACTATCAGCGATCTTCTTGTATCGGCGATCGTCCAGAATAGAATAAGCACATCCGAGTATTTGGCCTATCATCATTCCTATGAAAGACAACCCAGAAGTGCTCTGTGGCCAATGGCGGGCTTCCTCAAACACGATTGGGAAGGCTGCAAATTCCATGTACATTGTACCGTAGACTAAGGGGTAAGAGATGAGCATGATCAATCGCAGTTACTTTCAAACGACTGTTCAACTTACTGATAGCCATGTAAATTGAAAGGAGCAACACGATTGGCTCCATAAACAACAGAATCCACGGGCGCACCATTGTCTTTGTAAAGACCTGGCTGGCTGTTTTAGACCCTTGTTCCACATCCAGTCGGCTCTTATACACAGCACCGGTCATCTTGCTGAGCTTTGCTGCTCTCTTTTGCAGGAGAACGGGAGAGTATGTCTCGGGAATTAGGAAAATTCCCACCAAGAACACCACTCCGTTAAAGATTGTAGTGAGTCCTTGAACCCACTTCCAACCCTTGGAAACCGCCAGGAAGTCGCAAGCAATAGGTCCAAGGCTAGGACCGAGGAACGGAGCTCCAATGAACGCAATGGTCGCAAGGCCTCGATCTCGTGCGGTATACATGTCGGACACTACTCCACCAGCATTGGAGATGGCAGATGATCCAAATGCGCCAGACAAAAATCGGAGTACTAAGAGAGTTGCGATGTTGGGACTTGCGATAGTCGCTCCAGCAAAGAGAGTGGTCATTCCATATGTGATAAAATATATCACCTGTCGACCATATAGCTCCGAAAGAGGCGCCCAAACTGCAGGGCCAATGGCAAAGGCTAGAACGAACAACGAGGTATCTGCAACCACCAGCTCGGAACTAGCCCCAAACCTTTCCTGAATCTGGGGATTGGCGGCGGAAAGTGCAGACGAAGCGAATGTTATAGAGAGGAAGGAGGCGGCTTGGAGAAGAGTGATGGACCATTTGAGCCATTCTTGCATTTGATGAGGGTCGCGTGGATCGTCGTGTAGCCACTCCACGAGATACGGGCTTTCAGTCGTCCCTTCTCCTTCCCATTGATGTTCGAGAACATCGTCGGTGATGGTACTCTGCGACACAACCAGTCTGTAGAGAGGGAGCCGAGGACGCTGAGATGTCTTTGAATCTTCTATCGCCATCTGTGATTGGGCCATTTCAATTAAGTCAATTGGTGCCGATAGAGCTATGAAGGGTGTCTTTCTGTATACTTACCGTAGCGAAGGCCCGCGTGGAGGACTCGATTGCTCAACACAGGGGATCTAGATAGATGCTTGAAGAGACACTGGTGAAAAAGGTGCTTCTCAATGTAACCAAAAAAATCTTACACTCTCGAATGTTAGGGGGGCGACTTATGGATGAGTGAAAAGAATAAATGAAAAGGCCGAGATAAGCGAGCCTGACGAATTGGGGGGAATCCGGTCTGTTTCGCATTATTAATCATTATCAATGCAGGATGCTGTGATTTGAAATCAAATTGCCAATGTTTTTTGGAATGCGACAGAGCTGTAATCGGGGGGTGTTCAAATGGCTGTTTTCTGGCCTTTGTGAAGCTGTAATTTTGTATAAATGACGATGCCCTGATTTTAAGGCTCTGCCAAGCTTTTTGAAAATGGAGATATGACGAATTCGGACCAATAATAGAAAGAGGCGTGCCCCACCGGATTCCGTTCCCGCTAGTACTCGCCCTATTTAGCTGGCTAGTCCAGACTTGGGAATTCCGGCGTTGCGCAAGGATACGAAAAGGGCCCGGAAATGACGCGGGTGGAATTAAGAGGCGGGTGCCCCCGACCAGATCTTGGCGGCAGGGATCATAATAGTGGATTTAATTGTTGACCAAATTACGCTTTTGCCCAGTTCATCGTTCATTGAACAGGGACTTTTGAGATTGTCAATCAACACCTGTGCATAGCTGACCTGTCGGTGACGGTGCGAGATAGTATTTTGACATTTCTTACACAAAAATGCAATGAGTCTTCTTGCTAGTGTGGTATTTCTTCGTAGTAGCGCATTAATAGGGCATGCTCTCATGGCGATCCCTTTCTAGATCTGCCACTAGAGTATGGTAGGTAGCATCGAAGTGTTTAGTAATGTCATCATATTCATCATCGGTACCTGTTGTCATCTGGTAGCACGGGCAAGTCTTGTTTAATAGTCAAGAAAGGTCTAACACTAGCGAGAAGATATTCTATAAATCTTGGGACCGTCTCATCGCTGAATAATTTCCCTGACAGACCCCTCAGTGACGAGAACTGATCGTTGTAAATCCTCCAGAACAAAGTGTACGGGCCACTTCTCGCCATGCTGGGATTGAAAAGATGAATCAGAGACTCGTTCAAGATAGCCCATCATGGACTCGAGGATAGATTTAATTTTGCTCAACGCCCGAGCAATTAGAACGTCTGTTAAGAATGCCTGTTCTTCTTGCGGAACCTCGAAGCTCCCAACTCGGATTGTGTCTTTCATCAAAGTGCTGGAACGGTGGTTGATGTTGTCAAAAATCATATCTCGGTTGTTGACTCCATTTATATGCGTGGTTGAGCCATTGCTGAAAGCTGCTGGGCCGTGCCCTGAAATTGCGTGCTGGCCCGAATTTGGATGAGGAATTGAATGCTGCGAGGATTGGTGATTTAGCATCAGGCACTGCAGACCTCGGATAATGTTACGCAAACCCATCGCAAACATCAATACGGCCACTGAGTCACGATCGCGTCGACAGCAGGAGCAATGCATCAGGCGTTCCCAGAGAACCCGGCTATCCTGAGTTGCTTGAAGAATGACAGGAACGGGTGCCGGGGAATATTTGCCCTCCATCTTTTTCAAAGTCGACAAAAACTTGGCCTGGTTTCCAATACATGCACAATGGTCCGTCAAACCCATGTCATCCGATACTGATTTCGATCGTGGAAAAGCACTAAAAATAGGATCTTGAGGCATAAGAGGTCGTTCGTTGAAGAAAGGCAGATCCGCTGCCTGCATCGCACGTCGAAAGTCATCTCCCTCTCCCTGAAGAAGAAAATTGATTGTTAGGATATATATAGATCGCAAGGTGTTTAATGAGAAGTAAAGCTACAAGTTGACCATTGAATAGACTCACCAAGGAAAACATGGAAGTGCTGAGACCTGGTGGTTTGAGTCCCATTCCTGCATCTAGACCTTGAAACAATTCTGGTGCCTGATCCCAGGAAGTCTCTGATATAGGTGCCGATGGGAATATGGTGTGGTCATCTATGTCGATAAATGCGCTTGGGTCCAGAAAGTCATGCTGCCCGTTCACATCATCTGAAGAGAGTAGCCCGTCTAATCCCAAAGCTACCTCGTGTTCTGTCGGGGAAGGCCTTGGTGATGAATCCGACTCCAGGGAGTTTGTTCTGCCTTTGTCTCTCTGCTTGCTGCGAGGGCTCTTCGATGTACTGCATTGCCGTTGTGACTTCTTATTCTTGGAGCCCTTCGGTCGGCCCAATCGATTGGGTTCGCTGTAGATGCAGGGCTGTTTGGATCTTGCACATCCAGTGCATGGATCTCCCCCAGAGCATTTCATCTTCAAGGCATGGCATATGTCACAGGCCGATCGAACTTTGCGCGAATTTGATCCCTCCATGCTTCGGTGTATGTTTCAGACTTCTCATGCAATATTGCTGGGAAAATGGAAATGGAAGCACTGGGATTAGAGACTAAAGTGAATAGATAATGTGAACTTTTTTGACAGAGTCGGATGTTATTGTGCACATGCTAGCAGATAATTATGCCTTGCGATACAAACCATCTACCCTTGTCGAGTGCTCCAAATTCCCTGCCACACAAACCGATTGTTATTTTGCTCGGCCTATCGTCGATTGCTATCCACACACTGTCTGTTTCCTGCGAGCTCGGCTAGTTAGTGGAGACGTCACGAAGCGAAGGGACGACTAATTGGATCTAGACGACATCCCACTGTTACCTAGGAAGTATGATGACACTTTAGGGCCAGATGTTGAGTATTGATCGACATTAGCCGTGTGTCGAGTTTCGTAGGTGGCAACGAACGCCACCTAATCCACGCCTCAATGACCCTTATTGCCGATTGCACAGCCCGAAAAGTGCTCTGAGCCGAGTTTGGCAGAGTTACAGGGAAAGAATTAGACTTATTCAAGGACTCCATGTCCTCCTAGTGCAGCCCTAGCGGTATCGATATCGCAATGTTTTTACTTCTCATTGCTCCTACCTACACGATCCTGGCAAGTCTGTCGTAATCTGATGGGTGGATCTGAGAAACCTCTTCTCACCATCTCACAGCTTTTCAAGTTTATTGTTCATCTCTGCAATGCATGAAACACTCTCATGGGGCTAGAGCAGCTCATATGCAGTAAGACGGGTTCTCCGACCACGCATGAGGAGTGATTGACGTGCAGCACGCCATTGGGGAATCGTCAAGCGGTTTGGGGGTCGTTGAGTAAGCATGAGATGGCGCTGGTGGGCTTGGCAATCATCTGAAGATTCCAGTCTGATTGTATCTTCTTCTGATGCCGCTAACACCCTGAATAGAATTAGAATATGAGAATTGTCGTCGCAGTACCTCTGATCTCGCTATAAGGCATACTCTCGCAATGACCAACAACCCTGATTGTCTATGTCCAGATATGACTACTGTATAAGTGGCCTGAACGAGCCAAGACTTCGAATTATAGACTAGCGAAGGGTAGTATCAGCTTGCAGAGCCATTTAACCTGCTAGTCAATCCTTTTCCTGGATCGACCCCAATCTCAGCTGTCTCACCCGCTACAGTCGTCGGGGGCGGCCATCGAAACCTATTAGGTAAAGATCATAGCTTGGCAGTCGCTTTAAGCTCTCAAGGTTTCCAAATTCTCGCTTATCAGGTCGTTTGTTCTTATTCTTCAACCAAAAAGGTGGAGAATTTTGATAAGACGGTTCAAATCTAGGTCCATCTATTGGACGCCACTACTCGTATCTTCGACACATACATGTCGATCTTAGGCATAACTGACCTGGGTAGTATCAAGATATGAAGACGATGTCACTACTGCAACGGCGGAGATGAGCAAAGGTACTGGTTTATCTTGGCTAAAGGCTGCAGAAATGGCGTAATCCAAACACAACTTGTACATAGTACTTTACTTACAGTAAGGGCCCCGCATTCCGGGCCAGCACCGGGACATCGGAAGTTTGGAACTCTCCGTGCTTAAGTGGTTCTAGCCTCGGAAGATTTTCTGTTTCGATATAGCGGTTCTTCAAACTATGGGCTGATGTTTCCCATTGGCAGAGCTGGCCCAAAGATCTGCTGCTCCTAGCCCCTATGTATACTGCTGTCACATCGCTTTTCGGCCCGTCCCGACCTTACCTGAACTAGCCGGGACGAAATCGTACCCTTGGTTCCATCGGCCAGGGGAAAGCGAATCGAGCTATATTATTACGAGCTAGCAGCTTTTTCACTTACTGAAATAGCATGTCAAAGGTACCCAACTTGAACTAGATGCAATGTTTGAGAGTGCAAAGATAAGTGATTCGAGACTGTGTGAGAGAAAGTAAAACAATTTTATTTCCATCTCCATCTCCGATAGAATCGTGCATAACAGAGAACACCATAACCAGCGCAAATATTCGACTATGTAAGAGCCGAGAAGATTTCTTTTCACAAGACTACAGGTGGGGTCTTCCAGCTGGATTACCAACTCGTTTAGGAAATTTCTGCCAAGCCTCCGCGAACCCAGCGCCACGAATGAAATCAAAATGTTTTGTTCCATCCATGGGCTGCGAGCTACCGGAGTCAATAGCCGCAATTCCTGCGGTTAAGAAAACAGACTGTTTGACCCGAAACTCGGGCAGATGATCATATGGCTTCGAGGTGTCCTGGGCGTGGGCCATGCACCGAATAAGCTTGCACATGTGGCCGTCGTCCTCGTGGTAGCACGCCCGATCAAATACCTCATCCCAACCCTGATTGGGTAATCGAGATGGATGCGATGACAACCAGTCAAGACGGATCTCCGGACACCCTTGTCCAGCATACGACAGCAAGTACACTCGGCCAGTGTATTCTAGGAGCCGAGCCTTTTGCTCGGGAGTGAGCGAGGGTTCTGCAAGGAACATTGTGTGACCAATACTTGATGTTACACTGTGCAAGAGAAAAAAGTCAAATGCGCAAACGTACGGCGGGCGCTGAGCTCCGGCCGTCAGATATACTGCGAGTAGAAGACGATACCGTGATTAGCCATTTTGCCGTCACTCACCTGCCTAGGGCTAGAGACTCAAACTCACCCGCAGTGTTTTGAAGTTCAGCAGTTGCTCTCCCTAAGTCATTTGGGTCGACGCGATATCGCGCAGCAACCCGAATTAAATCTGGACCTGCGTTCTTCAGCACACCATCGCGAGCGGGCTCAAGATCGAGGCACATTTCTCCAGTAATCTTTCTCTTTTGCATATGGTAGTATGGGCTCGAACAATTGCGAATCTTATCGTTCGCCCGAGCGAGATCCACACAAGCACTTAATGGGAGCGGGGGCTCAACTTGTCTTTTGGAAAGCTTTTCCGCTTCCGTGAGGTAGTCCGTATACCACCAATCGTGATGGACGCATGCCTGAGCAAAACCCTCTGCAAGCAATCTAGCCTGTTTGAACTCTAGGGCCATGCCGATATGGATGATACCGTGTACGTAGCCTTTCAATTATCGAAGTATAAATTCATCAGCATAGGAGATTATGACGATCATGTGGGACGTCACTTACCCATATAAATGCGGCATAGGATATCATCAGCCATAGCACTGCCATCAACAAGGTATCTTTGCAATACGGCTTGGTACCCAATGCGATCGATCTCTTTCTCAAAGAAAAGACAGAAATTCAGAAAGTTTTCTTCCCTGCCAAGACACCTCTTGAAGACTGACGGTTCAGTCATATCCTCAACGAGTGTGTTTTGAACTTCCATCGCGCCTCTCTGATATAGACTGTTACGATCATGTTGTGATCGAATGGTCTCTGGGCTGGCACCAAGAGCCCAAATAGTGATATCATGGTGTGCGATATGGTTATGAAAGTAAACCTGAAATGATACGACCTGTCAGTTCTGATAATCGTCACATAATGGTATAGATCTACCTACACCTTTATGGTCTTCGGTTGTAGTGAATATGTGGTGGTTGGCGTGATTCTCCTCCAGAACACGCTCAAGCATGCGGGAAGACTCCTCTGTTACATTTTTTGCGTGCTTTAATCCAGCATTTGCGCTTGGACTGAAGTGGAAACGCGAAGTAGGTTCTAGCTCAAGAGCCATTGAATATGTAGCAATTGGAAGGATTTGGAGCGTAAAAAAGTAGTAAGCAAATGAACATGAAACAATCCCCATCAAACGTGAGCGGAGAGGATATAAAAAGAACAGAATACGAATATAAGGTAGGGATGAGGGTAGATTACGTTTTGGAATCGAATAAACGCAAGTGTTTTGAGGGCTCTATTGCCGTTGAACACCATCGCGCACAGAATTTTATTTTCTTCGGTGACTATGGGGAGTTATCCTTGAGGGATTGATCGGCAAGGGATGAGTGCTTTTTTTTAAAGGTCTCGAAGAATTAGTTATCAATCATATAGAATCGTACGACTTTGATCACTAATAATTGCAACTTCTACGATTATGGAGTCGGCGCGGAAGAAAACCGCACGCGACACATAGCTTTGTGTATCTGCACTCCACTACTCATAAATCAACTGCCAGATATGTTAGCAATTTTCCAAGGCCCCAATTACTAGGAGAGAAATGTAAGATAGGTGAATGATAGTTAGTCTACTGTGTTGACATATTCCCCGGCGAATATTTATGTCTTCTCTAATAAAGTCGCCGATAGTGGAGACTTCCAAGATCGACATTTGCCCGGTCGTTATTGATTAGTGGCAGGATTGATAGATGTGATCTAAGTGAATAAATGTATGTATATGAGACTGGAGATTGAAACTATCAATCGATATCTATATTGCTTCCACGGAACTTTGATTTGAAATATTTTTTTATTCTTCCCAATGCCCCTCAAAAGTCGTATTCGATTTCCCGACCCAGAGTTGAACACCTTCACCACCTCGAAAATGGCTTCCAAATATCACAAGCTCGTTGGAAAACATGTCTTGATTATCGGAGGCACATCTGGAATGGGTTATGCTGTTGCCGAAGCAAGCCTTGCATCTGGAGCTCATGTCACCATTTCTTCCTCGAATCAGGGTCGTGTGGATGAGAAAATCAAGAAACTCAAGGAAGATTATCCTGCCAGCAAAGTTCAGGGCTTCGTCTGTGATCTTTCACGCAGCAGTCTCAAGCAAGACATTGAAGAGCTCTTTGCAAAGGTCGGAAAGCTCGATCACATTGTTTTCACTGCAACGGAGCCGCCAAAGATGCTCACATACGACGAGATCTCACTAGAATACTGGCGCGATGCGGGGCAAATGCGTCTTTTTGCGCCTTTTTTTGTGGCCCAAGTCGGCGCAAAATATTTGAACCCTGGGCCCGAGTCTTCAATCGTTTTGACCACCGGAACCTCCTCTGAAAAGCCAATTGCGGGATGGCCAGTGGTCGCCTCTTATGCGGCTAGCCTTAAAGGGCTGACCCGGAATTTGGCTTTGGATTTGAAGCCAATTCGCGTCAACATTGTCAGTCCTGGGTTTGTTGAGACGGAATTATGGGATCATCAAGAAGCGGACGCTAGGAAGGGTCTCTTTGATTGGATCAAGACAGCCACAGCTCTGCAGAAAATCGGGTCTCCGGAAGAGGTCGCAGAAGCCTTTTTATGGCTCATGAAGGACACCAATGTTACTGGCAGCGTCGCAGAGACCAATTCTGGCATGAAGTTGGTGTAAAAGTCAACTGATGGGACATATATTCATATATTCTCTAGAGTAGCTTCTAGTCATCTGCTAGTTAAAATTCGAAGTCCAAATTCCCAAGGTTGCATTCCATTCCTCCGTGATCCAATCATCAAACCTGGCGATGCTTACCGGCGGTTGCGAGGGCGTTCTTAAATATATCTGCACGTCGATCTTCTTCCGCTTACTCTTATAGACATCCCCGTTCTAGCGTACATTTTTGGAAGAGAGAAAGATAAATCCAAGAAAAGGGCGAATAATTATCAGATAGCTACAGTTTATCCAATGCTACATCAGTCTTGTTGAGACTCAGACGTAATGATGTACCTGCCCTTGACTCTCGTTCTTTATGCTAAGTACTCTTTTTGAATGCTATATTTTGATCGTTGTATCTTAGCTTCAAAGCCTATCTGATAATTCTTTTTTTTATCATAGACGGAATTTTTCGATATGAACCTATTTCTCGGATTGCCACGAGGCCTGAACTTTATCATAGTCACGGGGCCGCATACGACATATAGTATAGCACCGATAGGGCTTACAAAAGCCACCATTGACTGCAACCCCACGAAATGGTAACTATGGAATCGTTGAGTCAAAATCAAGTTAATCATCAAATTTCGAATAAATCTCCTGGACGACCGGCGCCAGAAACAATAGTTAGGATATACATCAGATTTTCCGGCGAATTTCTGTTATAAGTCTTGAAAAGGCGCTACACTACAACCGCGAAAAGTCTTCAAATTCGTCTTGCCAGTCGCGAGATTAACAAATGGAATCAGTTACTGTTGCCCAAGCCACTGAAATACAGTTACAAAAATCTTGAAACCAAAGGAGGTCAAAGGGGTCTGCTTAGGAGGTTTCCTTGGTCTCTACATTCAGACTTTTAAACCGTCACCATAGTGAATTCAAGGTATGCAAGTTGTGGCTGATTACTTCAACAGTAAAGGACTTAGCGCCGGCGAGTAAAAATAAACCAGTACTCGACAAGGAAGTCCCCCGTATTTAATCAGAATGAATGTGAACAAATTCCCCGGTTAGTCAAGTCCTGGGCGGAAGAACGGATAATGGCATTAGGCGACAATGCAGTGGAGCCACAGGTAAGCACCTGTCTCAGCCACCTGCAGTCAAGGTTAATGATCAGTGGTGTACTATAACATCAAATTCATGGTCATAGATGGTATCTAATTAGAACTACAGTGAGTCAACTTCGGAGTAGACTTTCAACAGTTTACGCCTCTCCAAGATGGATTCTAGCGGGAATATTATCTTCTTTGGGGACACCACCCTACCAATCATATCCTCTTTGTCACAATTACTTGAAGCCCAGGCAAGGGATTCTTTACTTGGACGTTTCCTTTCGTTGTCCGAAGAAGTACTACGGGAAAGTATCGGTCACTTCCCGCAGGATGTGCAACAAGATGCTCTGCGATTCACTCGGCTGTCCGATATTGTGGATGCCGAAGATAGCGGGTCTCCAGCTCTTCGTGTCTTGTCACCAGCACTTTTGGTGATTGTACAATTGGGTCATTTTGTAGGGTGAGTGATTTCAGTCTGAATTCAACTGTTCTCCGCATAATCTAATAAGGGCCCAGATGGTATGAGAATCATCCAGAATGCGAATTCCCTTCTGTCAACAATAGTGTTTCCATCGGACTCTGCGTAGGCCAGCTATCCGCGGTTGCAGTCAGTTTAGCGAGAAACCTCCATGGACTTATCCCTATAGCTGTTGATACAGTCCGACTTGCGGTACGATTGGGGTCGTTGGTTTTCACTGTGGGTGGAGACTTGGAAGCTCAGGGAGGCAAAGATTCGTGGGCACTCTTGATTGAGAAAGATGTTTTGCCTATGGATGGACTGTTCTCAATACTCGGGAAATGGGTAAATTTACCGATATATTGAACAAGAACTCTTATTGACATGCCATACAGGCAGAATCTAATCGGAAGCGACCCTATATCACAGCAGACTTCGATAGCACTGTCACTGTTCAAGGACCTCCCACAACACTAGTTTCTGCCAAGAAGCTAATCTCTGAGTTTCTGAATTCAACACAGTCAAATCGTGAGGGTCGCCATATTCCCATATTTGCACCCTATCATGCCTCTCATCTTTACAGCGAGCGCGATTTTGCCAAACTGGTCGAGGGAATAGCTAGCTTTGACGAAACCCCGGGACTCAACAAGGAGTTGAAGCTTAGCTCTGCACTGTTGTCTCCATATTCGGGCTGTCCAGTCGGCGGCAAAAGCCCACCAGATATCTTGCATGATGTTTTGCAGGACCTGTTGGCTCGACCTATCAAATGGTCTGATCTCATGAAAGGGACGGCTTCGTACCTGACTTCATTGAATGTCACAAAATATGACATTCATTGCTTTGGTCCAGTCCATTCTCACAAATTGTTTGCCTCGACCATGCAAAACTTACTTCAGTCAAAGGTTGAACTCTGCGACACAACGACTCAAAGTTACGGAGAATCATCAAGGAGGGCTTCGAATATTCCAATCGCAGTTATTGGGATGTCGGGTCGCTTCCCGGACGCCAATAGCGTGGACGAGCTTTGGAGAATCCTTGCTGATGGCGTTGATTGTCACAAAGTGGTAATTTTCATCCCCTGCAACTTGCTGAACAACAGAATCGGAGCTAATGGTTAATAGATACCAAGTGATCGGTTCAGTCCATCAACGTATGTCTCAAAGGACGGAAAAGACAAGAATAAAAGTGCAACAGAGTACGGAAACTTCATGAAAGACGCGGGGAACTTTGACGCACGATTTTTCAACATGTCTCCTCGAGAGGCTATGCAGACAGACCCTCAGCAGAGACTTGCCTTGGTCACAGCGTACGAAGCATTGGAGGCTGCTGGCTATGTACCAGGTCAAACACCAACAACGCAGATGGAAAGGATCGGAAGTTTCTATGGACAGACAACCGACGACTACAAAGACGTGAATGTAGTGCAGGAAATTGACACCTACTATGTCTCTGGGGTAATTCGTGCATTCGGACCTGTAAGTAATCCCAGCCCACAATTTACTCACAAGAGTGTTCACTATGCTAATCCCTAATCTTCAAAACAGGGACGAGTCTCTCGTGCAAACCAGCTAGGTAAATATGAGCAATGGCCCGATGACGCGTATCAAGCTAATTTGAATGTGATCATTCCTAGGTGGACCTAGTGTGAGTGTTGACACCGCTTGCGCATCTAGTGCCACGGCCCTCAATCTTGCCTGCACATCAATCTGGAGTAATGAGTGTGACATGGCCGTTGTTGGGGGAATGATGCTTCTCAACAGCCCGGACATGTATGCAGGTCTCTCGCGTGGACATTTCGTCTCTAGTGATGGGCCTTGCAAAACCTTCGACGACGAGGCAGACGGCTACTGTCGTGGAGAGACAGTTGCTACCATAGTCCTGAAACGTCTTGATGCTGCCAAGGCAGACAATGACAATGTTCTCGGGGTGATACTAGCAGCGGGCACAAACTACTCGGCCTACGCAGCGTCTATCACACAGCCCCACGCTGGGGCCCAAGAATCTCTTTTCCGCAAGGTGCTTCGGGAGGCTGCAGTTAAGCCTACAGATATTGACTATGTGGAGTTGCATGGAACGGGAACTCAACTTGGCGACTCAACCGAAATGGCATCAGTGCTGAATGTCCTCGCTCCAAACCACTCACGTCGACCGCCTGAGAGGCCGTTGTATGTCGGGTCAATTAAACCAAACATTGGGCACGGAGAATCCGCCTCTGGCATCTCGGCCTTGATCAAAGCACTTTTGCTGTTTAAGACATCGCAAATTCCACCCCATATTGGAATCAGGAGTGGTCGACTGAACCGAAACTTTCCGTCTTTGGAGGAACGGAACGTGAAGATTGCGAAGACGCTCACTGACTTCCCATCTAACCCTGCCCGAAAGCGTAGGATTTTGATCAATAACTTCGGTGCTGCCGGAGGAAATTCTAGCTTTGTTCTCGAAGAAGGCGAGTCTTCTCACCATCGAGATCTTGAGCTCGCGACTCCTGTGCACGACCATGTCATCAGTGTGACTGCCAAATCAATCACATCACTTCACAGAAATTTAGAAAATTTGGTTGCTTTTCTTGGGGAATATCCCAGTACGGACATGAGAGATCTCGCCTACTCCACTACTGCACGCAAAGTGCAGCACCCACTGCGTGTCTCAGTTATCGCATCAACCTCCTCTGAAGCCAAGCGTCAATTATCAGCGAGAATCAACAAGAAAGATATTGGATCATCGGTTGGACTGTCCAAACTGATCGTTGTTTTCACTGGACAGGGGTCTCTCTATACGGGCGTGGCGAAACAGCTATTCGAAGCCAATCCAGTATTCAGATCTCACTTGTCTAGACTGGAGCGGATTGCCACAGACCATGGGTTTCCTTCATTCGTTGATGCCGTCATCGAAAGTGGTGATGACATCCATAAGCTACAGCCAGTACAGTCACAGTTGGGACAAGTCGCCTTGCAGATGGCACTTTTCACTCTGTGGTCTTCGTGGAATATCAAGCCCTCGGCTGTCATAGGCCATAGCCTGGGGGAGTACGCCGCCTTCTATGCAGCTGGAGTCTTGTCAGCGAGTGACACGTTGTATTTGGTTGGTCGGCGCGCAACTTTGCTACAAAGCCTGTGTGAATCTTCGACGCATGGTATGCTGGCTGTAAATCGAGGTCTGGACCACATCCGAGGTATTCTTGCCGATAATTTCAATCATTTGGAGGTCTCCTGCCACAATGGGCCGACAGATGTGGTGATCAGCGGTCCGATCGCAACTGTTCATGAAGCGGAACGAGCCTTGAAAGCCCATGATATACGATGCACCCTTCTTAACGTCCCTTTTGCTTTCCATTCTTCCCAGGTTGAGCCAATACTAGCCCCCTTCGAGAATGAAACAAGCAGTGTCTCTTTCCATGCACCTCAGATTCCAATTCTGTCTACCTTGATGGGAAGCAAGTTGACCAATCTCGATGACCTCGGACCGTCCTACCTAGCGCGCCATGCGCGAGAGCCAGTCCAATTTGTGCAAGCAGTCAAATCGGGGCTTTCAGAGAACTTAATTGCTTCGGACTCCGTTTTCCTTGAGATTGGCCCCCACCCTATCTGTCTCAGCATGATCGCTTCCTCTCTACAGTCTACATCACGACTCCTCCCAACGCTTCACAGGAAGGAACCTCCACTGTCGACTATTTGCAGGACCCTGGCGACCTTGAGTGAAGGTGGGCTTTCCATCCACTGGAGAAACTATCACAATAGCTTTGAGGGCGCCCCAAAGCTTCTTAGCCTTCCAACATACGCATTTGATGAGAAAAAGTATTGGATCGAGTATCGCAACGACTGGCTTCTGCAACGGCACGGCAACAGCGGTCCCCTGCAGGCAACTCAAAGTACGCCGAAGATGACAACAACTGTCCAAAAAGTTGTGTCTTCAACCACAGACGGTCCATTTGTGTCTGCTGTGTTTGAGTCAGATTTCACCGATCCAGCACTACACCGGTTAGTTGCAGGCCATGTTCTCAATGGGATTGCGTTATGTCCATCGGTAAGTCACTAATCCTTGTCCTGTCCTTCGGTGTTTCGAACATATCCAAGGACGCTGGTTTATTTGAAGTGAATCTGAATCCTTACTGAGTGCTCGTTCTGGAACAGGGTGTTTTTGTGGATATTGCCCTCACTGTGGCGGACTATCTTCGAAGAAACTTCACATTCGACGGCCCAGTCTCTGGTATAAAGGTCATTAACTTGCATATGACAAAGCCCATCACAATGCCTGTGGAGATACCAGAAACCCCTCGAATGTTTCGAATCACCTCACGCGCGAACACTCAAAAAAGAATTATCACTCTGCAAGTGGGGACAAAGAGCGAACGAGATCAAGACATTGAGGCTCATGCTTCCTGTGAAATGGAGCTTGGAGATAGCGCTTCATGGGTGAAAAAGTGGAACAAAACTTCATACCTGCTATTGGAGAGGATTTCCCACCTCGAAGACGGCGTTCTCAGGGGGAATTCGAGTCGCATCTCCCATGACATGATTTACAACCTCTTTTCCACCGTGGTACATTATGATCGGCGGTATCAAGGGATGAAAGAAGTCATCATCGACGCAGATAAGCTGGAAGCTGTTGTTTCACTTTCTCTGAACCAAGATCAGGATGTGGGAACTTTCTTCTGCTCTCCCCTGTGGCTTGACAACCTCGCTCAGATTGCCGGCTTCGTCATGAATGCCATTGGGAAGGTCAACCCCAGGGAATACACCTACATCTCCCATGGCATTGGCTCATATGAGATTGGCGAAGATCTTCGCTCGGATCTCTCATATAAGGCTCATGTGAGAATGCTGCCTGAGACGGGCACGGTCTTCGCGGGTAATGTCTCGATCTTCCAAGGGCAACGCATGATTGCCCACTGTGGGGAAGTCAAATTTCAAAGAGTGCCCCGCGCCATGTTAGAGAAGATTCTTTCATCTCCGGCCGACAACCAGTCGCCTTCGTCTCGACCTTCAAAAATTCCCTTCAAAGCTCTCCGACCGCAAAGCAAACGCAATACTCCGCCTCCGAGCGAGATAAATACACGATCCATCATCGATGATGTCAAGGAACTGCTTGCAAGGCAAATTGGTGTTCCTCCTGAAGAGTTGACAGAAAAAAGCAGCTTTCAGGAGCTAGGTGTCGACTCCCTGCTATCCATGACGATCTTGTCTCAGATTCAGGAGGTCTTTCAAATCCATTTGCCAGCATCTACGTTCACTGATGTGTCCACCTTTGGTGACTTGAGAGGCTACATACTCAAATATCTGCCAGATCAATCACCTGGCCCTCCCACACCTGGCTCGGAGAGTGGCGACTCTATGATTTCTTCCGCATCGACTAGGTCTCAAGATTTCCCAAACACCCCACCCGATACACGTCTCTCAGAAGTTTACTCCATCATTGCGAGCGAGATGGGTGTAGACGTGGAAGAAATTCTAGCCGCAGACGACCTATCTTCACTTGGCCTAGATTCTATGATGGCAATCTCCATCGTGGGGGCACTGAGCGATAGGATTGGAATTGAGGTTCCTTCAGGGTTTTTTGATGCCTCTTCGGCCAAGGAGCTTCACAGCTCCCTAAATCAACTCTTTGGAGCTCCAAAGCTGGAATCGCCGAGGGATACTCAAGGTCCGCAGCATAAGAAGGGCCCGTCTCGGTCACTTCCGGATTCTATAACTCTTCAAGGTGAAAGTCACTCAACTAGTAAGACGCTTTTTCTCTTCCCTGACGGGAGTGGTCTTGCCACAGCATACGCTAAGCTCCCTCGAATTTCAAGGAATCTTCGAGTCTGTGGATTAAATAGTCCCTTGCTACGGAAAAACAGCTCCGAGCCCACAGACATTCCAGCTACTGCCTCCAGAATGCTTGAAGTTGTCCGGCGGATTCAACCTCACGGTCCTTATATCTTGGGTGGCTGGTCAGCGGGTGGCATGTACGCATTTGAAGCGGCTCGTCAAATCCTCGAGGCTGGAGAGCAAGTAGCTTCACTGATACTTATTGACTCACCTTGCCGCTTACTATACGGAGCAATGCCTCGTTCGCTGCTGGAACTGTTGTCGGAGAATTTGGCCTTGGGAAGTGAGATTAAACAGCACTTCCTGCAAACTATTGTGGCTGTCGATGGATATACCCCACTTCCATTGAAGAAGGACCCTTTTATGCGAGTGTCAATAATCTGGGCAAAAGATGGTCTTGAAAACACGATGGCATCTGTACTAGAGGCCACAGGCTTGAACTATGATGAGGCCATTGTGGAGTGGCTTCTACGACGGGATGGCCCCTTGGATGCAATGGGTTGGGATAAGCTTTTACCTCACTTTGATCTGGATATCAGGGCAACAGAAGGCAATCACTTTACCATGATCCAAGGTCCAAATGTGAGTAATACAGTTCCTGACCGATAGACCGATATGTGACGAATCGCTAACCTTGATTGTCCGGAAGGCAAACGGTCTCAGTTACGCGATATCATGTGCCTTACAGATGTCTTGAATGTATCCATCGCGGAATATAACACACTATTGGACTATAGAGTTTGGGTAGGCTACGTTTATTTATTTACCAGTACCAATGCATCATTTGTCTTTAGATGACTTCCACCTCCACGAACCGTGAAAGTTTGACATTCCCGAGAGACGTGGTTCAAATTTTGGTTATTTTTTATGTGCTTTGGTGAATCATTTCTTGTTGGGCTTGAAACACTGGGTCTACATCCGTTCCCAGCCCAGACGTATAGAATCGGGGGCCTAGGTCCGGCCACTTCCGTTTTGATGACAACGGAAAATTGCGAAAGGAGCATTCCGCAATCCTTCAATAAACGAGAGAGATAGCGAAACCATCTCATAACTTCAGAGTACATCTGCAGTGATTGGCTCCCGGATATCGGCACGGCTGGCCCACGTAATCAACGCATAGGTGTGATTTAAGTGTCAAATTTCGTGATCGAAATTGAGGGAGTAGATTTTTGGTCTTATCTGACAGCAGCGATTTCGAGAGAGATTCAGGAACCAAGCCTTGCCTTAATTTCAGCCGATAGCGCCGACTTGTGCTCTTCTTAAGGAGCGATCTTGATTTAGTAGGCTGGCTCGATACAATCTTTCATTTTGATGAATGAGGTCAATGGGATCGAAGATGCCCAGAAGTGATTTCGGTATGGAGGTTCTCCGCGTGTACCATGAATGACCCCGCACCTTTCGTGGCCGGCAAGCTGGTAGCTTAAGATGCAAGTTCCACAAGACATGACGTGATTTATCGGAGAGCTGAACATCAACATTTATAACAACTGACCAAAGACTCGATATTCTATCAAATCGACTTACTATTCTTTTTCATTTACTTTTGAACAAAGCTCAAATGGCTCCCCTAGTGCATGACCCTGCGCTTCCTTTGCGCCCTGGTGATGGCAGCTCCTCAGAACAGGTACAATATCCTGCGCCGTTGCGCTTGAACGGGGCGTTGGACAAATTCAATTCCGAGGATACAACGCCTGCGATCGGTCGTGAATTCATCAACGTCAACATCGTGGATGATCTTTTGAATGCCGCAAACTCAGACGATCTTATCCAGGATCTTGCCATCACGAGTAAGTTTTTCAAGATTCGGTCAAAGTTTCATTTCTGACAACTCTACCCAAGTTTCCCAACGGGGTGTTGTCTTCTTCAGAGCCCAAGACAATCTTACCGATGATCTACAGAAGCAGCTAGTTCACCGACTGGGCCAGTTGGCTGGAAAGCCAGCCGACTCAACACTTCATATTCACCCGGTGCTAAACAACACAAACGAATTCGGAGTCTCGGACGCCCAAGTGAGCACCATCAGCTCTCTTGCCCGAAAGAAGCTGTTTCGCCACCAAAATCAGCCAAACAAGCGCCGTTACGACTCGGCTCAGTGGCATTCCGATATCCAATTTGAGCCTGCTCCGGCTGATTATACCTCGCTTCGGTTGACCCAATTGCCAAAGTCCGGTGGCGACACCCTTTGGGCATCCGGGTACGAGCTTTACGACCGGTTCTCCCCCGCGTATCAGAAGTTTTTTGAGACCTTGACGGCGACCTATAGCGGTGCAGGGTTTATTGCAGCTGCTGAGGCAGATCCTGAGAACGTCAAGATTTATACTGAGGCACGAGGGAATCCACTCAATATTGGGAGAGAGTTGTCTTCTGTGCACCCTGTTGTACGCACGAACCCAGTGACTGGTTGGAAGAGTATCTACGCTGTTGGGCCATTCCCTAAGCAGATCAATGAGCTCAGTTCCAGCGAGTCAGAAGAGCTCTTGAAGAAGTTTTATAACACCATCCTTGAGAACCATGACCTTCAGGTGAGATTCAAGTGGCGGAATGCGAACGATATCGGTATGTATCTTGCTCTTATAACGATATTCATTGTCTTACTGATTGTTTCAGCGATTTGGGATAATCGATCAGCTTTCCACACTGCCACATTTGATTACGAAGGATTAGGGGAGCGCTTTGGTCACCGAGCGGTTGGTATCGGTGAGAAGCCGTACTTGGACCCACATAGTACATCGAGGGCGAAAGCATTGGCAGCTGAGAGTACCTGAGAGAGTTTTGTTAGATCATATGCTACACAAAGGCAAATAAAAGCTTGTTGTACCATACTGCAAAGATTATCATGTCTTATTTTTATCGAACATGATTGAGCATCGGCACCCCTTGTAACCAAATCTTTTCACACGATAGCTGACTTACGTAAGATAAAGCATACCAGGTTCTCCTTAGAGCTTCATTCCTACGAGTCTATTATCATGTGCGGCCTCATGCACCAATGCACATATTTTGATACGAGTTGTTTACTGGATGCCCCTTCAACTTTGGCATAACCACCATGGCTGCCGGTTGGCTGCCGGTTGGCTGCCGGTTCCTTTCGCTTGGTTTCTTATCATGGACGTTTAGAATATTGATGCATTTAGAAATAGAATCAATTTTTATGATCTTTGTTTGTTTCTTTTCTTATTTCTAGAACTAATGATTGTTACTAATCTATAGGTTAAAGATAGAACTCTAGTCTTGAGAAAGTGTCTTCAATGTCGCCGGACGCGGGGCACCAACGGCGCTTTCTAGATACTCGCCGATTAACCCCAGTTCCACCTTCTCGCCGATTGATGGTGGTCAAGTCGCCGATTTTGAACTATTTTTGAAAACCTCTGTAGCTTAATTTGGGGACAAGAATACATTCTGGGAACTGAAGACGAAATTTCCAGAGTACGCCAACAAGTGAAGCCAGTGATACAAATACTGATTGTGGGGATCAGTCAATTCTCAGGCAGCGTATCAGAATTTTCTAGTCGGCACAAACCAAGATTACAGTACAGAAATGGCGGAGTCAACATTGGAGTCACTGGCGTCCAAAATCTATGGGAACGCCCTGAAGCTTGCCAGTATCGCAAAGGAAAATGGAGTCACTCCGAGTCTCGACGACCCTGTCAAATCAGACCTGACCAGCGTAACACCTTTGGTCCTTCGTAATGAACTCATTCAGGCTGCAAAAGACTTAATTTATCTGTCGATGGGTCCTGCAGACCATGTTCTCAGTTTAGCGTGGTCGGTAAGTTGATGCATTCCGTGATTCTGAGGCAGCTTTCATCACACTAACTTTGGCGTTAAACAACTCCAAGGCCACAGATGCAGCGAACCTTGATCTTCTCACACGGTTCGAAGTCCCGCAGCATGTTCCAATTGACTCCTCCATTTCTTTCCCGGAGCTCTCCAAGGCCACGCGGCTCCCAGAGGATGTCTTGACTCGTGGTGTGCGCTATGGAATCGCTAATGGGCTCTTCCGCGAGACCGAGCCTGGTCGCATCGCACACTCTGCTGCTTCGGCGGCCTTAGCCAGCAATCCTCATCTAAGAAACATTGTGCATTTCGGGACTGAGTTCCTTCAGAATATATTGATGAAAATACCCGAGACGATGCTCATGCAAACGGACGAAACAACTGACAAAGTACCTGAAACCGCCTTCAACCTGGCTTACCGAACCGAAGAGAACTTGTTCCAGTACTTTGCACACTCGACGGAGCTCAATAGAAAATACCATGAATATCTCATGGGTCGCGTGAATACTCCCCTGTGGTCTACTGATAAGCTTGGCGCTGCTTGGGACTGGTCCAGCCTTGGATCCAAGACGATCATCGATGTAAGTGACATACATTAGGCCCATTGCGGATTTTGCTCTCAAGTTCCATGGTGACTAAAAGTAATAGGTTGGTGGGTCATCCGGCCATACCGTCCTGACTATCGCGCCGTTGGCACCGAATGCCCAGTTCATAATTCAAGACAACAATACCGATGCACTGGACATGGGCAGAAAGCTCGTACTGCGCTCACCAGACTCGAGTTTGCGATCGCGAATCACTTTTGAACAGCACAATTTCTTTAAAGAACAGCCTGTCATTGCGGACGGATATATATTCCGACACATTCTCCACGACTGGAATGACGCGGATTCAGTAGCCATTCTCAGGGCTCTTCTTCCTGCGCTCAGGCCTGGAGCCAAGGTGTTCATCAGCGAAGGAATTCTACCAGATCCGCCAGCGAAACGAATCAACACCCTGACAAACAAAATGATATTGTGCGGCCCTTGCCCTTCCTTTTGATTCACTTCTCTATGTCTAACAAATACACAGGATCGAGGATCAATTTATGCTTGCCGCTCATGATGCTCGAGAGCGAACTGTAAGTGATTTTGTGCGACTCTTCGAGGAAGCTAGTCCAAGATTCATCTTGAAGGGGGTCACTTCCGGAGCCGAAGCTGGGTCGTTCAACTCGTTGCTTGAATTTGAGTTCCAATGATCTTTTGGATGGATTCCACACAGCGCTCTTTGATCCTTGATCGTTGATTTTCCAGAAATATATATATTGGTGTACAGCGATCGATGCAAGGAATAAATTATACGTATCTCAAACATCTGTTTCCAAACTTCTTGTTTTTGATCATCAAAAAATAAAGATTGTTCCTTCACTTTTACTTTACAAAGCCTAGCTCTATCTACATCAAATGTCGCTTGATAGGCAGAGCCCAGTATCAAATCCACGAGCTTCTTATACTAGCTAACTTGAAATTGAATAGTATGGGATGCGAAAAATGATGAAGAGCTCAAGTGGAATCTCTCATAGCGTATAGAATCGAAAATTAATGTAATCATGCAATAGCGCAGAAGAACAGGAATTCCGAACCGCCTATCGCCTCATTCTAGCCACAGATGAATGACTGAGTATGGAAATCGCGAAGAATCTCCAAGTAAAAGCATACTACTGACTCACATCCATTCTCTTGAACGCCCTGTGAACTTGAGTCTCCCAGTTCGTCAGTGCCACGAGAATCCACTCCAGGGTTCCAGCGCAGTATAGCGCAACGCACTGGCCTATCCAAAGCCCTTTGAGCCCCCAGCCATGGAAGGCCAGGTATATACCCAAAGGCAGTGCAAAGCAGTAGTAACTGACAATGTTCACCGCAGCACCCAGATGCTGACGACCCATCCCTCGAAGACTTCCACCGCAGCTTCCATTCAATCCATCTGCGATTTGGAACAGCGCAACAAACGGCATGATCTCAGCAGTCAATTCGACGACTCGGGGGTCACTGTTAAAGATCTTTGCAAAATGATCACGGGTGCCCATCAAAACAGTGAGGACCAATGCTCCATATATCACGGACAGAGCAGCCGAGGAGTGAGCGGTTACTGATGCGCCCTTCGCATTGCGTGCACCCAGCCGGTTACCGAGCCGAGATGAAGTTGCAACGCCGAGCCCAAATGGAATTGTATTTAAAATTCCGTCAGCGGTCATGATAACACTTTGTGTAGCAAGAGGGATTGTCCCAAGTCGCCCAGCTACCAGAGCAACGATCTCAAATGCCCACCATTCAGTGCCGACGTGGAAGAATCCCAGAATGGCCAGTCTTGTGAAGGTTCCCAGGTTTTCCAAGGCTGCCCATGACCATCCACCCCAGCATTCAGAACCGGCAACAAATCGAGCGTACAACACCAAGAGGAGGAATGACATCCAGTATGAGATTCCTGTAGCGATGGGTCCCGCCAGAAGTCCAAAGTCAAGGGTGTAGCAGAGGTAATAACACAGGCCTGCGTTTAGTGGTGAGGTAATCATGAGAACGTAGGTTCCGGCTCTCATTATCCCTGTATCGTAATATGTTAGAACATCCAATACAATCACACAACCATCACAACCCGTTTGAACATTCTCTCACCTTGAGCTTGCAAAAACTTCTTCATGGTCTCGAAGTAAATATATCCCAGGCCGCCGGGAATGAGAGCGGTCAAGAATCGAGAAGTTTGATAAGAGAGCTCAGGGTCCTGACCAAGAGCCTGGAAAAATGCATTTGAGAATGCCCATAGAATGCACACTGGGATGTAGAGCAAGCCAAGAACCAAGAATGCACGCTGGAGGAGAATTCCAAGATCATGTTTGTTTCCGCTCCCGGTGAATGTGGACGAAGCGAGAGTATCCAGAGCAGTTGTTCCGCCGAGTGCAATCATCCAGCCAGTAACAAGTGCAAACATCATCGAAAAGGCACTGACTGCCAAATTCATTGGAGATGAATGTCCGATTATGACAACAGTGGCGGTTTGTAGACTCATCTGCAGCGTGTAGGCCAGTATGACAGGAACCGAACTTGTCGTCAATTTCCAGAACTCGATCAACAGTAGTTTCGTCCGTGTCACTTTGCAATTCCCTCGTCGCCAGACATGATCTACTTGATTCGCATCTTCTTCATCTATCGGCTTGGGGAGAAGCGAAGTATACTCGTTCGGAGGTGTGCCGATCGACTCGTTGGATTCTTCATCGAGAGCAGGTCCATGAGAACCCTCGGAAGCGTGAGGCATCTTCGTTATTATTTAGAAACGTTAATTCAGAAACTGGTTAAATTGTTTGTCAGCACACGAAAGGCATATCAAGGCAAGCCAAAGAGCCATTAACACCCGCTCTTACAGTGATTTGAAAACCTTCCACTCGGAAAAGACGTGTACAATGAAGGTGGACGTTATGTTGGTTGGCTGAGTACCTCTATTCAAGCACAGCCCACCTCTAATAACCAAAATGCAACACCAGTCAGTACCTACAAGCTCCAAGACTAAGGATTCGTCTCGAAAGTGGGGGACTCGGAACTATGCTGTGCGTCCGAGATCGGGTGTGGGATATCTCCTGGACAGATGTCGAGACGGCAACCTCACTCTCATCGATGCTTTGCATTGAAGCGGAACGGCTAAATTAGGACACCAATGTACCTCGATATTCTTTAGATATCAAGAAGCTTATCAATTACGTGAACAGAAATCATCGTCATGTAGTTTTCACACCGTTGGGGTTGCTATCTTGTCTTGATGACATGGCGGGGTTTTCGTTCTCCAGACATTATCCTAACTAGGAAGGTTGATTGAAAGGCGAGAGGCCTTAACGATTGGCTGCGATTGTTAACATGCAAGCCCCATAGAGACCACTTGATGATTGGTTCGCAAGCTACACATGCGAACATCTTTCTACCGCCGTTCCAATACGTCCCGCTTCGAGCCAACCTAGCCAGCGCATCTACTTCGGAGCAATCAGAGGAAGAGATAAGGCAAGCGTCACTGATTGAACTACGATCGCTTGGAAATTTTATCTCGTAAGATCAACACTTGTTCATGCATGACGCGCCTATCACTGCAAGTCTTTTCAGTTCGTGCTGGTAGTTCTTCTGCCCCAGAGGCCTGGGCACGGCAGCAAGCAACCGGTTACGTAGCCGCACGAGCAACATTATTAGAGTTATTTGACTTTCAACTTCTAGTAGAATTTTTCCTCTGCCAAGTCTTGTAAAGGATTTATATCTGAAATTCTCGGTGATTTGATTAGATCCGCAGACGGTATTGACAAAACGACTCTGATCATTCGGCTGAGACTTCACCAACAATATCATACTCCGGGTTGACCCAGGATGGCTGCGGCCCCTTAGTCCGCATTAGTCCCCCATATTTTTGTAAAGCTCCAAATAGCAAAGATCCCCCGAATAGAACGATCAAACCTTGCGCTGTAAACGTCCAAGTCCAACCAACTGAGGCCTGCCAAGATGCAATGAAAAACTGGCGAGTCTAAATTAGCGAATTGTTAAAATTATCCTGACTATGGCAGTCTTGACTCACTGGGTTGATAAATGCACTCAGGTTAAGAAAAACGGCGTAAAATGTGATGACACTCGTAGACTGCAAAGGATAGTTGTCGACAATATAACTGCTGGTGACAGTATTGCCAATCTGAATCCCTGCCGCAACTGTTCCGTTGTCAGTTTCTTCAACTGGGTTATCGCATATAAAGTCATGTCTTACATAGGAAGAATGCAACTTGACCAACCATCCAGTGGTAATTTTTGTCGATGCTCACTCCCCACAAAATTGAGCCAACTACGCCATTAGTCAAGTCTAGCAAACTGGGTCCTCGGTCAAGCTTACCTGCAGTAACCAAAATGGCGGGATAGACTAGCCACAACCGCATTTCTGCAACGCGGACATTGCCTTGCTTTTTTGCCAACTTCTCAACAATATAATCACTCAATCGCCCAGAGCAGAAGATTTCTGAGACTATAGTGCCCAAAAACAATCCGAGAAACAATAGTCCTTGTATAAGCGGGGTATAGTTCACATATGCGGCTGGCACCATTGTGATCACTGAGAGAACCCACCAATACCAAACGAAAGAATATCCAATTACTGCGATAGAAACTGTAGGAAATTGAAATGTGATGAAGAATCGAGTGATCGAGTCCCACGGCTTAGGGTGTCGCATCCCTGGAACAGGTTGCAAGTTCACGAATGGTAGGGATTTTGTTCGGCGGAGGTTTGACTGGAACTCTCCAGAAAGTATCTCTGTTGCTTGCTCGGGTCCCTTGCTTTCCTGTTTCTCGGCGGTAGAGGAAGTATTCTTAATGGTGAGTGTAGTGCTTTGATGGAGGAGCATTTTCTGTCGGGGATAAAGCGTCTCTGGCATAAAGAATAGCTCTAGTACCAAAAGAGCGGCAAAGAGAATCGCGTTGAACCAGTTAATCCATGCGGAGCTCACAAGGTCAAGAAAGCCACCCACTAGCAAATTGAGTCTGTTAGTATGGTCACCAGCGAGAAAAGTGGAGGAACCTACGGGTTGGTCCGAGAAGGAGTCCAGAATCTATCGCCAACACCCACAACCCAAGCTTCTGTCCTCTCTCATAATCAAAGAACAGATCGTTGACTATTATTTCCTTAGCGACTGAAAAACAACCGAGTAATCGGAGAACTAACCAACAGCCATGCCAACAGTCGAAGCAGGACTGACACCGAACCCTTGGAAAAATCGGGCAGACATGTATCCGGAATAGCTATCCGCGACAGCAGCTCCAATTGTCGATACCAAAGCAATAGTCGTTCCAATTAGGAAGATGAGTCGACGTCCATATATGTCACTGAAAGAAGACCATATCAGAGGGCCAACGGATAGACCGAGGGCGGGTACAGCGACGGTCCAATTCACTTGTGCATAAGTGATCTGATACTGGTCTTGAATTTCGGTGAAGGAAGGCACCGTCGTTGTCGTGAGATACGTGAAGAGGAAGTATCTAAGGCAAACATTGCCTGCGTTAGCATATTACGTGGGACTCTGTTGCTCATCGAACGCGCAACACGGGAATTGAGTAAAATTGAAAAGGACTCACTTGAACATGACAATTGCTAGTATAACATGCTTCTGCATAGTTGGCCAGTTTAATGGATCCAATGGATCAGTGGTAGGCTGTGGGTGGACTTTGGACCCATCTGCTGTACCTCCTGCATTGCAGACAAGATGAGTATCGCCCTTTTCGATTGATACCTGTATCTGACCAGAGGAGGTACTGGGACCAATGCCATGGGAGGTTTTTTCTATATCTTTCTCTTCAGTCATGGTTGCTGATTGCTGGATCACGTTTCAATAATCAACGTCAGGGGCATAGACGCGAACAATTGTTGGTCTTCTTGGACTCTGAAAACTAGAAAACAGGGATTGGATAAAAATTACACAGTTCGTTTTCTCTAACATCAAAGGCTGAGTCTATATCTACTTCAATCCTATCTAGATTCTAATAATCATATAGTTGGAGGCACCTACATACCCAGCATGGGTCTTATCAGTGAATTGACGTCTGACCCCGGAGCATTCGAGTTTCTCAAGTTAAGGGCGAATGAGAGGGAGAAAAGTAATCTTGGGAAATGAGCTCTTGAATTGAATAGAGTTCCAGCCCCGTTGGAAAATTGGTCAATTCTCCCGGTGGTCCTTGTTTTTCTTCTTCCAACGAGAAGTAATAAGTCGTGTAAAGCTTGTTGTCCTCCGCGGGGCTTCGATCTACATGCTGACTCCGTTCTCGGACAGGATCCTCAAAAATCACCAATGACAACCCCGCGATAAGCCACGTCAAAGACCAACCCCAAATAGAGACTCTTATCTTATTCTCCGCGTATTGACAATTGTCGCCCTCTCCCCTGGCCTTCCTTTTTTGTAAATAGCAATTGTTTTCTTTTTTCATTAATCGTTTACCCCATGTGGCCTTGCATAAGGCCTTACATAGCCAAGCCGCGAACCCCCGCAATGCGCAGTTCAGCCAAGTACTCAATCGGGAAGTAAGATAGAGAGGACGGCATTGAGTAGATAGTGATTCAATTTCATGAATAAACTGCGAGACCAACAATCGGGAGGTGACGTGAGTTTGCACCAAGCTAGGTTTCAAAGCGGTTGCTGAATATGGGCAAAGGGAGGAGACAGAGCAATGCCAGGTACGATAACGCAACTCTCAGCGAAATCTGCGGGCAGTAATTACATCAAGGGATGTACATTGGTCAAGCAGAAATTCGGAGTTCATCGTGATATTCTGCATATATATCTCAAGCCAAACTGCATTCTACGATGTAATAGATTGGCTCTATGGTTTGTCACTAAGAGCTGAACCTTTAATCTACTCTGGATCCTATCTTCTCATACTACAATGATTACTACTACTCTTAGCCTTTTCATTTTCTCTGCGCTATCAGCGGCGCATGGAGATCATGGACAGACTCCCATGTCGGGGCCACACAAAGGACTATGGTACAACACGCTGCCGGGAGATGGCGGCACGCAGGTACGAAATTTGGCTGTTACGAATGTTTAAACACGGAGTGGGTTCAAGTACCTAACATTGAAACACCACCTTTAGGCTGACTCGGTATTCTCCGGCATCTCCACGTTCGGTCGCCTTCCTTACTTCCCATGTCTTTCTAGCGAGGACGAGAGCTACGATATTGCCTTCCTAGGTGAATATATCGCCACTTCGATCCATTCTCCAGACAACGTTCAAAAACTCATATTGCTCTAGGAGCCCCCTTCGATACCGGTACTTCGTATAGACCAGGTGCTCGCTTTGGACCGAGTGGCATCAGACAAGGCTCACGCCGACTCAATCTCTAGTATGTTTCAATCATCTAGGTACCCAGGAAGCAAGTTCGAGATTTGACCATCGAGAAATAGCGGTGGATACAACGTGCCCCTTCAGGCGAACCCGTTTGTTAGCGATTTGAAGGTCCTGGACTGTGGTGATGTCCCAGTCACTTCGTATGTGCCCTTGTTAAACTTCTGATATATGGAGAATCCAAAGCTGACAGATATTTCTCTCATAGTTACGACAATGCCTGGGCTATTCAGCAGATCGAAGAAGGTCACAACAGTGTTCTAATGCGCAAGCCGTTTACCGATGCTCATAAGCCAGGTCTGTCCCGAGCAGGAAAGACACTACCCCGCGTTATCACCCTCGGAGGTGATCATACTATTACCCTGCCCTTGCTACGGAGCATCAACAGAGCCTACGGGCCTGTCACTGTCATTCACTTTGACAGTCATCTGTAAGCTAGCCTACAACCTTCCAAGTCTACCAAGGGGAGATAGAATGATGAGAACACGACTCTGGCTAATTATTACCCAGCGACACCTGGAAACCCAAGGTCTTCGGTGGCTCGCCCAGCCAAGTCGCTGCCATCAACCACGGCACTTACTTCTATCACGCTGCTATGGAGGGCTTGCTGAGAAATGACACCAATATCCACGCCGGCATCCGCACCACTCTCTCTGGCCCTTCGGATTATGAGAACGATGGATATTGTGGGTTTGAAATTGTCGAAGCCCGAGAGATTGACACGATTGGCACCGACGGTATCATCAAGAAAATTCGGGACCGTGTCGGCACGGAGAACCCTGTGTACCTGTCAATTGACATTGACACCCTCGATCCCGCCTGTAGGTCATCCCTCAAACTATTTTGCGATCCCATGTTCTGATCAATTACTAATTTTGAATATCCAGTTGCCCCGGCTACTGGTACCCCCGAAACTGGAGGTTGGTCTACACGCGAGCTACGAACAATTATTCGTGGTCTCGATGGATTGAACTTCATCGGTGCGGATATTGTCGAGGTTGCACCGGCATATGATACCAATGCCGAGCTGTCCACGATGTGAGTTTTATTTTGTCCTAGATCTTGTAGAAGTCGGAGATTACAGGCACCGAGCTAACCATTTGGCCTGCAGGGCGGCTGCGGATGTGTTGTACGAGGTTCTCACCATCATGGTGAAGAAGGGTCCCCTGTCTGTCGAGGGTCGGTCGCACGAACTGTAGAAAGCATGGCTACTTTTGAAGACTTGATTTCGTCTGTCTGATGTGCAATTGGAGGTGTGAGTGGAGTTTGTAGGTGGTAGATGGTTGTTGAGCGGAGGACTTTTTGTATGGGATGATGCGATCATGTGGTAGTGAAGCCGTGAAAGAAATCCCAGTACCTCTATGGTACCTACTATTCAACATTTTTCAATAATTTCCATGGTTGAAACGATGGAAGTGATTATCCACGTTAAAAATTTTTTGACAAGAATATTCAGCTTCGGCGGTGGAACGATTCTAAATGCAGGCGCATCCACAAATGAGAGAAATATGAAGCCTTGGCTTCCTCTGAAAGTGTAGCTACGAATCCCTGTAGAGTTTTTATCTTTGAATTACGCCCTTTGGAGAGAAGTCATGGGAGTGAACTCTCTTTTATCTTAAGAGCGCCACCTGGCCCTTTCCACTTTGGGAGGGATCAAAATTCAAGTGCATCGAAACCTGGAGATTTGATTTTCGGGTTGCAGTATATATCTCTGGCCCATGAGCGTCAATTCGACTTCGAAGCCCACCTGATTTTGCTAGTATTTCGTAGAATGAATTTAAAAATCGACTCAGAACGGTCACTAATACATGTCTCTCACCTCCAAATACAGATTCTGATCTCGGTCATGCCAAGAATAGTGACTTTCGTGAGCGATTGAGTTATCACAATCTAAATTAAAAACCTTGTGCATTGTGGGTCACAACCTTAGCCCCCGCCCCTGGTCAACTCGAAGAAGGTTGTTTCAAAACACGACGAACCTGTGCGATGAGAGCTGTTCTGAATGCTGACATTCAACTGCCCATTCCGAGACAAGCATGACTGCTTCTTAGTATTGAGACCTCAATCTTTGATATTTACTGTAGCCCCTGAAACCAAGTCCATGGCAATTTCAATGGTGATGCGATTGCGAGCGCTTCCAGCAAAGTGGAGAGGATGAACCAAGCTCGAAACCTGAAACCAACGGCGGGCCCGGTCAATGTAGTCGCTCAGGACCCGGCTCTTCCGGCATGGCCTGGACACGTTGGATACGGAGTGCGAGCTGGCAACGAGTCAGTTAAATTGAAGCTGTAGAGTAGGAGCTGGTCTGTTCGTGGTTTGCGACGAAACGTGGTGTACGGAGTCCAGGTAGTCGAGATATTCTATGGTATACCGGATGAAACGCCTAAGAGATAAAATCTTGGTTGTGTATATGTTCAATATTCAAGGTACAAAACCCTCACTCCCTTTCTACGATCAGTCACAAACTCGACAAGCACGCAACTCGACGAAGCAAATACAAGCATAGCACCGATGCCTAACAGCCCAAAGATGGGCTAGGTCTCGATGGAACCATCTACCTGTCTGTCAGCCAGCAAAGTGGAGTCCAGCAGAATGAGGATCTCTCTCTGATCGATCCTTCATATTTCCAAGCCCTACCGCGAACCTTACCTCACACGAGACCGATTCGAGATGCGCTCTACCTATTAGTGTTGATAGGTTGTGCAAGGGGGGCGCTTCATTTTATTTCGGTCCGAAGGGCAACCGTACAAACTACTCCGTACGGAGGTCCATCCAAAAAGTATTGCGCAGCGCACGTACCACTATTAAATTACATTAACGTACTACATAGTATAATTTACCGGCCTTCCTTATATTCGTTCCCCCCTTCTAATTCAATGATCTTCTTGATATGCGTGGGTATACGCTCAATCCAAGCCTGAATCTTTTCCTGCGGTAGCTCTTGCTAGGTTTTATTCTATATAGCAATAGCTTCCTGTCTAGACTTAGGCGCTCCCTTTCTAGTAGTCTTTCGTTTCATCCAAGGCCACGCAGGCTCAATAGCATTGAGATCAGGCGAATTTGGGCACCACACTAATCGCTGCACCTGAGCTATATCAAATACTCGCTGTTGAATATAATGATTATGCGCTGGAGCTTTATCTTCCTGTACGATCGTTTTTGGCCGCGTTGTAGTGCATTCCTTAGCAAAAGGAATAAGCTTTGGTAGAAGATTTATCTTTTGATAGCGATACCAATCAATTCCACCCTTAGATCCTCGTGAAAGCTTTCTATTCTGCTTATTGAATCTCTATGTAGGCTTTCTACCAGCAGGCTGTCGACGAAGATTAATACGCCGTACGCCAGTCTCTAGCTCCCACTGTTCGCGTAGAATTAGTTCGATCTCTTGATTAAGAGCTTCAATCTCTTGCTCTGCTTCACGTTTTTGTATAGCAGTTTCAGGGCACCAACAGTGACAAGGGCCTTTTTTATCGTAGGTAAAACAGCCCCAAAACATAAACTCAGAAGAGCCTTTCCAACGCTCACGAATACACAAGCGTAGAAAAGCTTCATCCTTAGAACGCCAAACACGATAACCACCACGGCGATGTAGAAGAATAACCGAGGTTTCATCAGAGAAGATCACATTCTTCCAATCGTCAAGAGTCCAGTGCTCGTAAGCTAAGCACCAAGCTAATCGTTCAGCGCGCAACTTCTTCGTCAGTCCAGGCTTCCTCGTCGGTTTCGTCTTGCGTAAACCGGCCTTCCTGAGGATAGTCTAGACAGTAGAGGATGAAATTTCGATCCCTTCCTGGCTAAGTTCTCCAGCAAGATCAGCGCATGTTTTCTCTCGACCAAATCGATCAAGGCGCACCTTCGGCAGAATAGTGTTAACAGTCTGAGGATCTTGCTTAGTTAGCCGACCAGAGCGAGCACCGTCTTGAACGTATTCGTCGGTGATCTTTGTATGGATTAGGTCAAAACCGCGCTCTATCGCGCGCGCGTAGATACGATTAACAGTAGCAATTGATAGATCTACTATCTTCGCGATCTCAGCAGACGTTTTCGTCGTATACGCCCTTAATGCGACGACAGTCACACGATCAGCAAGGGTTGATTGTTTTGGCATAATGGTAGATGTAGGCAGCAGTAGTAGTAGATAGGTAGTAGACAGAAGATGAAGACTATTCTATTCAGGGGGATTGTGTGTATTCGCTTGGTATAACGCTAGTGGTAATATAATGGTGGTACGTGCGCTGCGCAATACTTTTTGGATGGACCTCCGTACTGTACTTCATAATTAAGGCTACGGATGGCGTTGAGTTCGTCCATGTTCGTTCAAGAGAAAGTTCGTGGCACAATGTGTTTAATAACGAACGCGTCGATCATGCGCCATCTGGGCGTGAGCTCGGCCCCCGCCTGTATGGATTGGGGGCTTGGTCGGCGACCGAGGGACGCTGTGTTCGAAAGTTGGAAGTGCTTGAATTGCAGTTTTATCAGATTTGATGCAGGAGATTTGGATCTCAATTTTGGGCTGGAATATGCTGGTTGAATTGACTGCGCCATGTGAAGTGATTTGACGCAGGGTTGTGATCATTGAGGAAATCTAGTAATTAAATGGCCATTGCGAAGCACTCATAGTCAGCGATGATGTGCGGCTACTGAGCGACTTCTTTTGAACCATTCCAAGAAGACTTGCCCTCTGGCCTGGATGTTGAATTCCGGAGCGTCTGGTTAGTTAATTAGGTCTCAGCCTCGCTGTCAGGGGAGAGATCGCGGCGCCGGCGGGCTGGACGGTGGAGCCCCGAGGATCAGAGAGGAGAATTGCCGTATTGGTCGGCTGGCCCGTCTTCGTCCCTGGCCTGGCCCTGGTGTCCATTTACGAGTGGACGATGGACGCGAGAAGATCGACATTTGAAGGCCTGCGTGCATTCGGTACCAGAAGAGTGGTGGGAGTCGGGGTATCCATGCGAACGAGAGCGGGAAAAGGGGAGCGTGGCCAAGAGACATCCTCGGTACGGGGTGCTAGTATTGTTATTGTGTGGAGGTGGCAGGACAGAGTCTCCGAGCGACCGGACCAAATGCGCCGTTGGTGATAGCTAATGACCTAAAGTACGAATCTGAAACACTCACTGTAGAATAATGTACACACCAGGCTAGAGAACGAGTGGGTGCTTTGGTTCCTGGTGGCTGCGCGATGTTGATCCAGTATTGACTGGGTGCATATCGATTGTTTCAACTGTCAGCGCATGGATGGAGAAGGGAGAGACCAAAAGTACGCGGTTCAATGGTTCTGGAATGGCGACTCCACTTGTGAAGGATCAAATATCCCGAGTTCTCCGTCCAGATTGGCAGATTCCAGGAAACGCGCGTGGTTGACTGAGAACCGTGGAACACCCGTGGGGCCGAGCCGTTAACATTCCATGAGATGCATAATGATGAAGATGAAGATGTATTGACTCTATTGATGCATTATAGTCAATGCCCCCTCGCCTCGGTCGAGTCTGGATTCCTGGAACATTGCACAGAGTGGACGGTAGGGGGGTCAGCGTGATCTAGGGTCAATTAACCCAATAAGTTCATTAGTGTCTGGGGCTGGTCGGCGAACCGAGGTGGCGGCCGTAGTGGAAGTAGTAGTACGGCGACGATACCCCATAGTTGCCTAGTGATCAGTCTCATAGGGTTAGGCCATTGTGAGGGAGAGAGAATAGTTGTTGACAAGTGACAATAGTGAACTCTAGTCAAAAGTGAATACTCCGTAGTAATTGTAGTAGTACCTACAGTTCCGTACTCCGTACTCTACAGTGTTATTTCCCCTGAACCAGACTGGACTTTCCACTGGAACACTCCCGCAGCGACACGTCCAGTAGAAAGTTTGTATAGACCCAAGGGCTTTTTACTTTGTACTGCTCTCTCTGCTCTCTGCTCTCTCTCAAACTCTAACTGTCCTTTTCTCTTTTTCTTGATTCTCCCCTTCGCTTCTGGACAATCACTTCCATTGCCAATCCATCCCCCATTCATCCACCTCATCCACTGTTTTTTCTGGCCCCCCCCCCCCCCCAATCCACTTGTCCCCTTGGTCTCTCGGAGTCTCCACCATCATCAACCAACACCGAATCCTCCTTCATCTTAATCGGAGCTAATCCACCTGCAGTTAGCCCGTGCACGGCCTTCTCCAGACGTTGCGCGGTGCTTTTACACCTCCTTACCCTTCCTCTCCTGCCTGACTGGGGATTTCATTTCTGGCAATTGCTTGTTTCTTTGTGAGAGAGGACCGTCTGAACCATCCAGGTATGTGCTCCCTCCATCCTGTTGTTATACCGATTCGCGAGGCTGGTTGTGCGACCGATTGTGAAGGCGCTACCTAAGCGCTTTTTTTCCGCCGAAAAATTTAAGGGGTTCTTGGTTCTGGACACTAATCCTCGCAACTCTCCACATTCTAGACAATCCGTCTCTATTACTCCTGATGATCGTGATTCTTTAACATCCACGAAACAATTCGACTCTCTCTGACGTCTTTCAACTCTCACTTTTTCCCACCCGGCGTGGTCTCTCCTGGAGAGAATGACCGTCTCACCGCCAGCGTCGCCGACGGGTCCCGCCCCGCGGCCCATCAGCGCGCTGATGCGCACGCCGCGCAGCAACAGTCGCATGAGCATGAGCAGTAGACATGGCGGAAGTCGCGCCTCGGACGAGGATGGCAAGACTGCTGTCAAAGTTGGTACGTCCTCTTTCAAATCCTACCGCTATTCCCGCCTGCTGTGCGTACGTACAGCAGCAGCATGGCCTACTGCAGTACGACTCGGGGGGAGGCATGGATCAGGGCAACACAAATAGAGACATTGGAACAACAAACAACTAACGGCCGCAACAGCTGTCCGAGTGCGACCACCTCTCAAGCCTACCGATCCCGGATACGAGTTGATTCCCCAGCGATTCCAACGATCCATGGTTCATGTCACGAGCCCGACCAGCGTTGCGGTAGATGTTCCCCAAGGTCGCAAGTTATTTGTGTTCGATCGCGTTTTCCCCGAGACGGTGGAGCAGGATGGTATTTGGGAATATTTGAACGACAGTGTCAACTCTTTCATTCAGGGATACAATGTTTCCATATTGGCGTATGGCCAATCCGGCGCTGGAAAATCATATACAATGGGTACATCAGGGGAACAGGAAAATTCTGGTGCGATGGGTGAGTTGGCAGGAGTCAAGGAAGAAGGACAGCACTACGCAGAGCGGCTAGCTGATTGCAATGTCCCATACAGGTATCATCCCTCGCGCTGCGCAGGCCTTGTTCGAGAAACTCGATGGGCCAAAACACGCCCGCAATGGCTCCAGCTCAACCGGCCTCCGAACCCCGCAACGATACTCCATGAGCTCAGCCTCTAGCTTTGGAAAGTCGACTGTGGAAAAGAACTGGCAATTGAAGGCCACATATGTTGAGGTACGACTCCATTCGCTACAGTGCATGGTCATCAGATTTCGAAGCTCACACTCTATATCTAGATCTATAACGAACACCTGCGTGACTTGCTTCTTCCCGACTCGGTCTCCGCAACTGATCGCGGCTCTGTTACCATTCGTGAGGACGCCAAGGGCCGAATTCTTCTAACCGGCCTCCACCAGGTCAACATCAATTCGTTCGAAGACCTGATTGGAGCTCTCACCTTTGGATCGACCATTCGTCAAACCGACTCGACCGCTATCAACGCCAAATCTTCGCGTTCGCATGCCGTCTTTAGTTTGAATCTCGTCCAGCGCAAGACTGCTACTCAAACGATGTCCCCCAAGGAAAAGCGCATGTCCATGCCAGTGGATTCTTTCTCTGGTGGTGAGTCTGTTACTGTGGACAGCAAGCTTCACTTTGTGGATTTGGCGGGTAGTGAACGTCTCAAGAATACCGGTGCTTCAGGTGAACGTGCCAAGGAGGGTATCTCTATCAATGCTGGTCTTGCTGCCCTTGGCAAGGTCATTTCGCAACTTTCCTCTCGTCAACCAGGCTCCCACGTCTCCTACCGTGACTCAAAACTCACCCGTCTTCTGCAAGATTCCCTGGGTGGGAATGCAATTACTTATATGATTGCCTGTGTCACTCCTGCAGAATTCCACTTGAGCGAGACCCTCAACACCATTCAGTATGCGCAACGAGCACGAGCAATTCAGAGCAAGCCGCGGATCCAACATGTTGCCGATGAGGGCGACAAGCAGGCTTTGATCGATCGCTTGAAGGCAGAGGTTGCTTTCCTCCGTCAGCAGATTCGCAACTCTGAGGGCTCTGAACGCAGGGAAGCAGCATCAACGGAACGTAATGAGCGCAAGAACGAACGTGAAATCCAGCTGCAGAACCAGCTGCTTGATGCCCAGGAGAGCTACAACGCCCTCAGCCAGCGCCACACCAAGCTGATTTCACAACTGGCCAATGAGTCGACCACCAATGGAGAGGCCGACGGACACCCAGATGACTTGGGCAAGAGCTCCATTGAGCGAATCCAGCGGTCCAAATCGTTCGCCGAATCCGTGGAGCAGGTCGTGGTCGAGTACGAAAAGACCATTCAGGCCTTGGAATCGTCTTTGTCTGAGACACGTTCCTCCCTGGCTACCACGGAGAGCACCCTTCTGGAGCGCGAGTCCAAGTGCACCTATGTCGAGACAGTGAACTCGCAGCTCCAGTCCCGTTTGCAGAAACTGCTGGACCGTGAGGCCAGCACCGAGACTTATCTCCACGAGTTGGAATCTAAGCTAGACGGTGCGTCCACTGGCGAGGAGAAGCATGCTACTATCGTGGCCGAGTTGCGGAAGGAGCTCAGCCGTGCTCGTGAGAACGAGGCCGGCTGCGAGGAGTACATCTCTACCTTAGAAGATCGTCTTGCCGAGTCTGATCAGGATATGGAGCTGATGCAGCGCGAGATGATTCGCCTGGAGCATGTTATCCAGCGCCAACGAGGCCTGGGGGCCCTTGACAACCTGCTCCACGATCTCGATACTCGTCACCAGCAGCAGAACGGCGATGACCAGCCGCGCACCAACGGCACCGACGTTCCCCACATCCCCGTTCCGGTAAAGACGTCCCACCACAAGCACACCCCGTCTTTGGACGTTCTGAACGAGGCTGCGGAAACCGCGATTCCCGAGTCTGACGAGGGACTGACCGAGCCTATTCTCGAAGAGGAGGAGGAAGAGTCTGTCGAGGAGTTCGAAGAGGCCACCGAGGAACCCGGCGAGGATCTGAAGGTGCTTGAGAACGTAACTAGCCAGCTCCAGGCCCGCCGCGCTGAAGCTGTCTGTGAAGAGCCAGTTGCCAGCCCCGCTCAGTCCAAATTTGTCGTTGACAAGCTTGAGACCGTTACCCAGGAGCTTTTCGAGCTTCGTCTCAGCCACGAGAACACTCTGAGTGACTACGAGATGCTCGAGGCCAAGTACGAGCAGGCCCTGAAGGCGCTCGCTGAAATTCAGCAAGACAAGATGGATGAAGCTCGTCATCCAGCCCCTCTAGCTCAAAACGAACCCTCTCGTCCCGTGTCTTTTTTAGAAGATACGACCGCTCCGACCTTGAAGTCTGGAGCACAACACTCATTCTCGCAATCACTCTCCTCGGAATTGTCCTCGGCCGGGGAGTCGCCTGCTTTGCGCGAGCTTTCTGAAGAGCCTAGGGATGGCGGTGTCTGCACGCCCGCCACTCCTATCGTCCCTTCTGTCCTTTCTCCTGCTGATGCCGAAGAGGCTGAGAAGATGCGCCATGTGCTTGCTGAGCACCAGGCCGATGCTGATCGGATGACCCAGAAGTATGCCGAGCTGCAGACTGAGCACGAGGAGATTCTCGCCCTTGTTGAGAAGTTGAAGGCTGAGGCTGAGGCCCAGCGCCACAAGCCCAGCCCACCTTCCACCCCTGGTTTCAAGATGATCCGCCGCATGACTAGTCAAAATCTTCTTTCCGGCGTTGACCGTGCTCACCGATCTCTCACCGCGCTGCGCACAATCGCCACCGAAGAGCTCTCCAGTAAGCCTGACGTCTACCAACACTTTGAGGCCAACCTCGATGCCACCATGCACGAACTTTCTTCTCGCATGGAGCGTCTGCAGTCCCTTGAAGCTGAGAACCAGAGCGTCAAAAAGGAGATGGAGATGAAGGCCACTATCATCTCTGGTCTCACCCGCGAGCGATCCAGTTTGTCGGGTGCCTCTTCTGTCGACATGGCACTTGTTACCCAACTCCGTGATCAAGTCGTCAACCAGGAGAACCAGATTCAGGAACTCCGTGAAGCCCACGAGGCGCGTGAGAAGCAGCTGTTGGCCGAGATTGAGAACCTCAACGCCCTGTTGAAGAGCCAAGAAGTCGCGGCCAAGGCCTTGGATGCTGGCGCCGAGGAGCAGGACAAGAAGATCGATGCTCTGGAGGGTGAATTGTCGGAGTGGAAGGGCAAGCACCAGAGTGCGCTGCAGTCTCTGCAGGCCTCGGAGCAGCAGCTTGCCACTACCCTGGCTGAGCTGGAGTCTTCTCTCGTCGCGGTCGAGGCGATGCGTTCGGAGCGCTCTCGTTCCGTTGATGAATCTCCTGATAAGGAGGCTGCCGCACAGGCGTCTGAGGCTGAGCGTGCGCAGCAGCAAGAGCTGGTGGATAGCCTTAAGAAGGATATCGAGCAGCACAAGACCACTATCTCCACCCATGTCGATACGATCACCACCTTGGAGAAGTCCCACGCCGATCTCCAGGAGCAAATGCTTGCACAGTCTTCTGCTACCGATATCAACAGCGCACCCGTTGATATGACCCGCATCGCCGATCTCGAGCGGGAGATTGCCACTCACAGGTCCGCCCTCGACTCCCACAAGGGTGACTTGGAATCGCTCCAGGAATCTCACAAGCGTGAGCTTGCCGAGCTTGAGGAACGGACCAAGTCTGCAGTTCAAGCCGAACAAGATTCTCGTCTCGCCGATAAGGACGCCGAGCACGACAAGGCGATGGCTGCTCTGCAGAAGGATATTGCCGATTCCCGCGATGAGCTTGTACACTTGCTCAAGGCTGTCTCGTCGCTCCTCAACTCCGATGTCACCAGTGCAACTCTCACGGACCAGATTCAAGATGTTTTGGCTCAGAAGCAGCACTTCTCTGAGAAGTACGCTGAACTTATGGACACCAATGAGGATCTGCGTAAGCAGCTTGAGGCTGCTGGTGACATTGAAGAATTGAACAAGAAGAATGCCACCCAGGAGGCCAAGGTTAATGAGCTGGCTCTCTTGGTTGCCACCCTGGAGGACACTCTTCGCCAGAAGGATGAGCAGGTCAAAAAGAAGGAGGCTCTCGTTGAGGAAATCACCGTGGAGAAGCAGAAGAGCGTGCGCCTGGTTGAGGAGCTCGAGGAGCAAATCACCAACAGCTTCGACCAGCACCACAACCGTCTCTCTGTCATCCAGCAAGAGCGTGACCAGGCTCTTGAGGATGCCAAGGCTAGAATCGTCATTCTCGAGAGAGATATCGAGACCTACCGCGTGCGTATCGAGCAGCTCGAGCTTCAAGTCAAGAACGGAACTTCCGACGGTTCCCATGACCGCAGCAGCTCCCTCACTTCTAACCTCCGCAAGAGCTCATCAGCAGCTTCGTTGCCTTCACCTCCCCCCGCCATTCCTCTTCCTCCTCTTCCCACTATCGCTTCTGCCGCTAACGGCAGTGGTAGTGTGTCCCCGCCAAGCTCTCGTCATGCTAGCAAGGAGATTGTCAACGCACAAATCGTCGAGGACCAGGAAGCCCGCATTCGTACAATTGAGAAGCACCTATATGCTGAGAAGCAGCTGACAGCCACCCTCGAGGAAGCCCTCGGCGACCTCGAGTCCCAAAGCACCAAGCTCAAGAATGACTGCGAGAACTGGAAGAAGAAGGCCTGGGGTCTTGAAGACGAGCTCTCCACTCTCCGCAAGGAGCGCAACTCCGCCCGTCTGTCTCTCCAGGCTGTCGAGGAGGAGCGCAGTGCTCGTAAGGAAGCCGAGGCTGCTCGGGCTCAGCTTGAGGAGCGCATGAATGCGCTCAACAAGAAAAAGAAGAAGAGCACTCTCAACTGCTTCTAAACTGGATGAACCAGCCTACCTACCATCTTTCACATACTCGTCCCCTCCAAAAGCGTGTTGTGTTTTAACATTTACGCCTGTCATTACCGCTCTTTCACTCTGGATATGTACACTTTCTTCTTCTTTGCTTCTACTTGTTTCATACCCTTTTCCCATTTTTTTTGATTTTTTTTACCCTTCGATCCGATTTCCTGTGACCCGTTTTATGCCCTGCCCTGCCCTACCCACCGCCACCCCTGCCTCACTACTCTACCTCCCATCCAGCAAACACCCTCCTCACCAATTCCCTGTATTATGACACGTCCCTGCTCTGCTGTTCCTTTCATCGTCGATTTCTATTTCTTCGATACCTCCTCTGCCCTTTTTTTCTGCCCTGTTCCATACATAGTAAACCAGTGTTTGACTTTATCGATACACGGTTTTCTTTCTCTTTTCAACCCACCCCTTTTTTTCTTCTTCCTTTTTACATATTTCTATTTTTTTGTGGTTATCTTCTTGTGAGCTCGCAACAACAACGACAACCCTCGTTCTTTTATGACTGGTAGATTCTAAAGTCGCGTCTGGATTTTCTCAATTGTACATTTTCTTCTCTCTGATGGATGTCTCTAGATTGAATAGTGCTAGTGCTTAAACGGTTCCCTCGTTCTATAGCCACGGTGGAGGTTTTCATGATGTCATTTCAATGGATATTCATCCTTGTTCTGTCCCTTCTGTCTATATATTGCTGCCCTCGATGGTCATTTTGTTTTCTATAATTCATCGTGTTCATTTCTACTGGCCTCTTCCGCTGGACCTAGCTACCGCAGTCCCCTGACTTAGTTGAATAAATGAAGAATTCGAAAAATTGTTCTTCCAAACATGGATGCGGTAGGCTTTGAGGCATTGTCAGTAACGAAGAAAATGTAGAATGGAGCCGAAGGTTGGAGGAGTAGCTGGGAGCTACACCCATGTTAGTGACAAAGCCACCAAGACAGCCTTGTAATCTTTCGCAGGCCCCCTTCCGTACATGACTTGATCATCTCTTTTCACAATCACCCCAAACGTACCATGACACGCTCTACTAGTTCTGTCCGCTTTTTTACATCACAGGTCTCGTCTCGTCGTCGTTTTTCTTTTTTCACAACCCCTTGGCGCCGTGCCAAACTTGAGTTCGGCCCCTTTGGACGCTTTGGCTCCACAAAGGCCGATAACAATCGTATCGAGTACAATTGGATCAATAACGCAGAAGTTCTTGAATAATACCAGCCCGGGGGCTATCATCCCGTCATGATCGGGGACGTGCTACATGACCGATACCACATTGTAGACAAACTTGGCTTTGGAGGGTATTCGACCGTATGGCTTGCCCGAGACTCTCATCTACAGCGATACGTTGCCGTCAAGATCAACGCAGCAATGCTCCTCCGCGCGAGACAAACGTTCTCAGGGCTCTATCTACTCCTATTCCAAGCTCTTCGCTAGTATATCCTGGGCGTGGCTCAATACCTGTGCTCCTAGATGAGTTTAAAGTACGAGGGCCTAATGGAGAGCATACGTGCTACACAGTGCCCCAGCACAATGCAACTTGAGAGAGATATCCTTTAGTCGCCTATTTCCTCTCGAAGTTGCTCGAGCACTATCATATGGACTTACGCAGGCCGTTGCTTATATGCATTCCAAAGGCTATGTTCATGGAGCGGCCAATTCAATATATTACTCAGAAGGGGAAGGTTTATTTTATGCAGAGGGATGAGCGTATGGACGAAAGGGTGGCTCAACAGTATGTGGATATGAGCAGCATCGATAAAGGACCACGGCCCTTCTTTTCTGATTTGCAACATCCTCACTTCTATGATGAAAATGGGCAACGTATCGAGAACTGGGAGGAGGCGATGGCTGAGTCACCGGAAGGAAGTGAGCCTGAAGGGAATACCCTCGAGAAGAAGAGTTAGGGTAGGGAACCAGAGAGGCCGGCAGCGGCTCTAATTAGAGTTTAGATGTCGAGACGACGCAATTCAAATGAATGCTCTCCCTTCACGACTGCTTTTGTTTAACTGAGCGCCATTCGATCAAGAGACTTCCTACAATTGTTGTGCAAGCTAGTGCGACAGTCAGGTACCAGGTCCGAACCAAGCTCCGATCGATCCCAATCACGGCCTCATCCCACCGCTGCACGGGGACAATCTTCTTGATATCACCGAGTCCATGGTACGCAATATCCGCCGGGGTCAGGCCAGGTACAATGTCCCTTAAACTCGACGATAACTCATTCGTAAATATCACCTGGGCAATAGCGATAAACACCGCTGGTCCCATACTCTGCCCGAACAAGATGACCCCGATGCCAAGGTTGACATCTGCAGCACTTAATGTTGCCTGCACCGCGGTTTGGGAGCCTTGAAAGCCGATACCACCGCCGAAGCCTGCAAATCCCGAATAGAAGATGATCTTCGCAAGAGATATGTCGGGACTGTAAGTGGTCATCAAGCCGGCGGCAATCGGCATGCATATAGAGCCAAAGATCATGAAGGGGGCATAATACCCGAACGTGGAGGTGCCGATGCCGTGAAGGAAAAGTCCGAGCATCATTCCAGCTAGGATTGGAATCATCAGAAATCCGCTCTCGCTAGGGGTCTAACCGAATATAACATGATTAGTACTTCTTTTTCGTAGTCACGGACTGGCCGTCCTACCTGGGACTTACCCGGGATTGAACGACTTGATAATATGTTGGTAAGTACCACTCCAAGACGTTCGTCATTGAGTTAGTACAAGTTGTGAAGATAAAGCCGGCGATGACATTTCGGCTTTTAATAACGCGAAAAGGGAGCGCCGCAGACTCCCCGCGTCGATACTGATTAAGGAAAAAGACGATCAGTAACACGCCAAATACAACAAATAACCCAATAACTTTCGCGTCCGACCAGGGGTACTTTGTTCCCGCCCAGGACAGCGCGATGAAGAGCGCAGTTAGAGACGGGATGAACAAGAAATTGCTGACTAGATCCAGCGCTCTAATCTTCTGGGCAAGTGTGAGGTTGTCCTCTCGACGGTTTGGGGGGTCTGATAAAAGAAAGACCAGGGCCGCTAGACTAATAGCACCAATTGGAAGGTTGATCCTGATTATCGGTTAGTGTGAGGCCACCTTAGTTGTGGGGTCAATAGAAGCCAGCCTGAACCAAGCCTGCAACAATAGAGACATACCAGAAACACCATCTCCAACCCGCAGACTGCGTCAATGCACCGCCCACTATAGGCGCGGCAATTATTGCAAGAGATTCAACGCATGTCATTAAACCGACATACATTGGTCGCTTATCTAGTGGTATAAGTTGCACGGCGACCGCGAAACACCCCGCCAAATTGCCCGCAAACCCGAGGCCGGTTACTGCTCTCCCGAGAACGAACATCATGGACGAAGCCGCCGTGGCACAGAGCAAAGAGCCGACAAGGAAGATAGCAACACTCATCAAAAAGACCGCTTTAATGGAGAAGAGCTGATACAGCTTGGCAAACCCAAATTGGAACGCGCATGTGCAGAGTCGAAAGGCAGATGAGTACCACCCGACATCAGCAACCGTGTGGAAGTGATCAGTGATGCTGGGCACAGCGGTCGCGACAATGTTGACATCGAGGCCTCCCAGGACCAGTATCACGCAGACTGCGAGGATAGTGAACCAAAATTCAGTCCCTTTTGGGTAGTTCGGTTCGGTGTCCAAGTTGGATTCGAGGTTAAGAGCTTCAATTGGTGATGCCTCGGCTCGGGTAATTGGCGGTTGTTTTTGCGACTGCGATTGATCGGGCAAAACTGGTGACACCTCATGTTTGCGTGAATGATCCTCTATTGAGGCTGGATTCGCCATTGTGCGAGATTGAATCTGAAATTAAGAGTGGAATGTGAGACAGGAGAGAGAAGAAGATATTGGACAAAAGACCGTAGTATTACCGGATCGATCGGCACCCATGTGATCCCGGCTATGCTTTCTTTCTCAAAATTACGAAGCATTTAATGCAAAACTGATCATGATCGGATTTTTACATTTTACGTGATGACGGAATAAGTGGGGGTATAGGGTGATCGATACTGAGGACATGTAATCAATCCAAATCTAGAAAGTATAGAGGGTTGCCAAGGCGGGCCTCCTCACGCTATGTGATGAGGGAAGTGGACATTATGTATTCGGCCGGTTCAGAATTGGGATATACGAGGTTTAAGGAGACTGTAGACATTGAGTCTTGGCCAACGAATCATGGATTTTAGAGATTCGTGGCCTATAACTTCCACGTCCAAGTCTTTCCAGCCGCGCCCTCAATTCTGACCCACAGAGTCGCTGCACTTGCAGCGAAGAGCAGCACCCCGACAGTTATAGTTGCTTTTTCATAATTGAATGGATCAGACTATGCAGACTGTCCAGGTAACAATAGTCCAGTCAAAGGTGTTCCGAGCAATGCACCCACTCCTCGAATGAGATACAACGCTCCGTTCACTGATGTAAAATATTGCACGCCGAACAACTCAATCAGACTAGCTGGGAAAAGCGAGATATATGCGCTGCCAAAGCAGCCATATAGTATAGCAAACAGAATTAACAGCACATCTGCGGCTGTTCCAGAGATAGCGGTATTCGCGTAAGTGGCAGGAAGCCAGACCGCAAAGACAGCAATCGAGCTCAGACTAGTTGTCAAGAAGAGAACATTCAACCGACCGTACTTGTCAGCCATGTATCCAATGACGATATGAGAAACAAAATTAGCCGCATTGCTGATAGTAATGAAGTTGTCCACCATGCTCTCACTATACCCAAGGGATCGCGCGAAGGCCGCGTAGAAGAAAGGTGGCGTGGCATATCCAGATGACTGTAGGAAGCAACCTAGAGCCTGCAAGACAAACGTCTTGGACTGAGCTACCCGCCAATTGACCAGTGGAACATTGACCCAGCCAGTCTTCCTGGAAATTCCAGCCGTCTGTCCTCGAACCTTGGTGTTGAAGTTGGGCTCCCAACGCAAAGTAAAGCCGGCCAGAGGAATAACAAGGCAACCAGAGATACGCAGCGCATTCCGGAATCCAATATGAGAGCTTATAGCCCGCAGGACGGGTGGCCAGATCATTCCGCCACATGCTGAGCCTGAAATTACGATGCCCAGGCCAGACCTCGACGGTTGTCGAACCATGTTGGTGCAACAGACATTGTCGGGACGTAGGCCATACAGGTGCCCATACCGACAAGCACGCCTTGTGTCAGGGCGAATTGCCAGACATATTCGCTTAGACTGGCGAGGATGCAATTTAGTCCGAATACAATACCGCCCGACATGATGACTGGTTGTGGACCGTATAACTTGGCCCAGGTCATGGCGAAAGGCCCGCCCATGGACATGACGGTTATGGAAAGCGTTCCAATCAAGCTGATAATTGACGATGATGTCCCTGTAAATGGCGTTCGAGGTTGTTTGGCCATTTCTTCATAGATAACTTGGTATACACCGTAGGCGAAGATGATTGCAGATGCCATGAACATGACTATGAAGCCTGCTCCGACTATCATGGCTTGACGCCTAGGTTGATAGGTTAGTTTTTCCCAGTCAAAGTTGGCTATGTACAGCCTTTATAAGAACTTACATTTGGGTTGGCGGAGGTAGCTCATTTTGTGTGACCAGGGCTTGAACTGCGCGCTCAGGAGCAGCACCTTCGTTATATATCTGAAACCCGTTTTCTTCCTCCATGGAGGTGGCTATATGGGTAGTATATGGAATCCATATGCAGAGGCAGTGATCAGGAAAATCAATTTGGTTTTGACCTTGGGACCACAAAGAAGACCGAGCTAGTACGGACGGATACGCGGCACTGAGGCTGTCGAATTTCAGCCGGTTGGGCGGATGCCCCCACAACTCTTGCTTTCCCCAGATTTTGGTGATGGGAGATGTGGTTACCGTAGTTTTGGATTATTATTTCTGGACATTGTGTTACTCTTCGTATATTTGAAACAATTTAGTAGGAATCGCATGACAGTCACTTTCTTGAGATTCACTTTCTTGAGATCTGAGATGTTGATGTTGAAGTGAGGCCGGTACAATCTATATCCATCGGTAGATACAGTAGAGCAAGCTCCGATCCGACTGGCCGAGCTCGAATACCTCAAGCAGGAATCAAAACATAGATCTATAAGATCTAATGAGCGTATTATGATCCAAATTTCATGATGAATACACTTATTACACATAGTTCCCATATTTGAAGCTGGCAGCCCCAATCTGGTAGCTGTTCCAATATAAATAAAGTTGTTTCAGGTCGTCATGTGATGACGTACTACCCACGTGTCTTTATCGCAGCTTTCGCGGGATGTGATTAACGGGCTATCGTTATCGACACAAGCACTCCAACAGACAAGCTTACAGCAAATCACCCATTATGTCGGGTCTTGCGCCCTCCAATGTTATCATCATCCATCCTGATTTAGGCATTGGTGGTGCGGAACGTCTCATCATTGACGTTGCGCTGGCCCTGCAGAAGCGAGGCCACCGAGTGACAATCTACACCTCCCACCGCGACAAGACGCATTGCTTCGAAGAGGCGCGCGATGGCACACTTGATGTCCGTGTGCGGGGGAATACGATATTCCCGGCCCATGTCTTTGGAAGATTCCATATCCTCATGGCGTCGCTGCGCCAGCTTCACCTGACTGCATCGCTGTTGACGGAGCTGGGATCAAGGGGCAATTCAACAGCAAAAGACAAGTCTGCGCCTGGGGAAGAAGATCAAGACGATATTTTCATTGTGGACCAGCTTCCGGCGTGTGTGCCTATTCTCAAGAGCCTTGGCCGACCCCGAAAATCCAGACGCCAACGAATCCTTTTCTACTGCCATTTCCCCGATCAATTACTTGCACGACGAAACGAAGGCGGCTCGCTGTTACAACTAGCAAAGCTTCTCTACCGCTTTCCATTTGACTGGTTCGAGGGATGGGCGATGAGTGCGTCTGATAGGGTTGTTGCTAACTCAAACTTCTCACGCGGAGTGGTCCACAGTGTGTTTGGGACCGAGAAGCTTGGGGATGTGGATGTTGTCTACCCTTGTGTCGATACGAGTTCCGCGGTGGAAACACCTACAAAGGAGCCGGAAGATGCTCTTTGGGGTGGAAAGAAAATATTTTTGAGCATCAATCGCTTCGAGCGAAAGAAGGATATGGGTCTGGCGATTCGTGCTTACAATGGTCTTGGTGCGGGAAAGAGGAAGGGAACACGGTTGGTGGTTGCAGGTCAGTCATTCCATTTTCTTCCTCGTGCGATCTTCATGCAATATATGGAAACTAATTCAACGTCTACATCCAGGTGGCTACGACAATCGCGTTCAAGAGAATGTCCAATACCACCAAGAACTCGACAATCTTGCGAAAGACCTCGGCTTGCGGACAGCGACAACGAAGACGGTAGTCTCCGCACTCTCTATCCCTGACGATATCGATGTTCTATTCCTCCTCTCCGTTCCCACGACCTTTAAAAATACCTTGCTTGCCCAGTCAAAGCTCCTACTATACACACCAATCAATGAACACTTCGGTATTGTGCCTGTGGAGGCCATGCTTGCAGGCTTGCCTGTTCTGGCCTCAAATACGGGCGGCCCATTGGAGACTGTTGTTGAGGGCGAAACGGGCTGGCTCCGTGACGCTCACGCGGTTGAGGAATGGACCGCGGTTATGGATAAAGTTCTCTACGGCATGTCCCAGAAGGAATTGGCCAAGATGGCGGCTGCCGGGAAAGCAAGAGCAGAGCGGGAGTTTTCACTTACTGCTATGGGAGATCGATTGGAAGAGGAAATCTCGACTATGTTGTTGGTGGAGAGGCGTCCTTTCCACGGGTGGCAGCCAGTATTTGCCCTGCTGGTCGCCATTTGCTCTTTCCTTGCTGTGTTGGTTGCTTTCTTGCTTCGCAGAGTGTAGTCGATCTGATTGTCAAAATAATACCCCTTTCTTTCTTGTTCATAGTTTACTTCACTTTCACCTTGGTTCTTCAATCATCTGCTCGTATATCCGATAAGGGTCACATGACTACGTGACGTCGCGTTTCTCCCGCATCGCGCCCCTCGTGTCACTGGCATCATCCAAAATGCGCGAGGTCATTGACCTCCTCTCCTCAGATCCACCCCTTCCTGAGACATCCAGACTGCAGCATGCGCTTGCTCCGGCGCGACGGGCTGGGGTCAGGCTCGGAGCCAACTCGAGGTTGATTTCGTCCGACTTCGTCGATGTCTCTACCTTTACCGACGACTTCCAGGACAAGCCCGCTAAGAAACGCCGAGTCAGCGCCGAAAAGCGCCCACCTGTCCGACAAAGCACTGTGGCCCAGGGATCGTCACGGCCAGGCCCATCTCTCTTCTCCTTCTCGGACGATGACTTTAGCCTACCACCCTCGAACCCCAGGGCGCAGAAGAAGTACCTGGGACGCGACGTCGATGAATCTGATCCCATTGTTTTCACATCATCTGCACCAGAGCCGTCCAAAAAGCAACACTCCACCTGGTCGAAGCCGAATCACTCCCAAGCCGAGGTAATCACGCTCGACGATGACGATGATGACCTATGGAAGCCCATGGGAAATGGAAGCTCAAGCCGTGGAAAGCAGGACGAAATACAGGAATTCAGCGACCCATTTGGATGTGCCGAATTCGAGGATTCGTTCGGCCTTTCTGGGCCGGGTGTTTCCGCCTCTACGTCGGGGTTCTCCAGCAAGACCGCTGCTTTAATATCTGCCCTCAGTACAGCACCAAAGGGAAATGGTAACCGATCCAACATCAAGTCTGGATCTTGCTCTCAAAAGAGTAAAGGTGCCACAATGGATGCAACGCTGATTGGAGACTTCTCGGATGAAGTGGACGGGCCTGCTCCACGACAACCGGCGAAGAAATCAGGCAAGCTCACTACGGAAGAGAAAGAGGCCAGGGCAAAGGCCCGAGCTGATGCTAAAGCACAACGGGACCTTGAACGCCAACTCGAGCGCCAGATTGAGAAGGAACGGAAACAAAAACTGAAGGAGGAAAAGGCCAAGGAGAAGCAGCTGGCATCGGACATTGCTGAAGTCAATAAACTCAAGGTGGATAAGAAAGATTCTACCGGAGAGATGATACTGGACATATCGAGCTCCTTCGAAGGCAGTAGCGTTGGCAACCAAGCTGTTGAGTTCATGAAGCGTCTCAAAGTCGAGTATCATTTCTTTACTGGCCCAGTTCCGAACGTGGTCAAGTGGCGGCGAAAGATGAAGGCCAGATACAACGCAGATGCTGGCCATTGGGAACCGGCTGCATTTCATATTTTGGAAGAAAAGCATGTGCTCTGCTTGTTACCTGCGCAAGATTTTGTTGATATGGTCATTGACTACCCACCTGGGGAGGAAAAAGAGTCATTGGATATGCATGTCTTGAAGATCAAAAGCGCTTACCCGAGCTGCAAAATTATATACCTCATCGAAGGACTCATACCCTGGATGCGCAACAACAACAAAAGTCGCAACCGGGCTTACGTAGCCGAGGTGCGGGCTCAATTCGAACCAGAACCACCTACGTCCCAGGCATCTGCAGCACCGCGTCGAGGTAGGAAACCGAAGCGCAAACCAGAGACCACTCCACCAGTCGATGACGATACGATTGAAGACGCCCTTCTTGCGTTGCAAGTGACCCACTCGTGTCTCATTCATCACACTGCTGCGCCCCCCGAGTCAGCGGAATGGATCAAGAACTTTACGGAGCACGTCTCTACGACTCTGTATCGACAGGAACGGATGGAGGCTCACGATGCAGCTTTCTGTATGGAAAGTGGCCAGGTCAAACCTGGCGACGATAAGCTGGATACTTTTGTCAAGATGTTACAAGAAGTGAATCGAGTGACCACCTCAATGGCCTATGGTATCTCTTCACAATACTCTTGTGTCACCGACTTGGTTCGCGGTATGCAAATGCATGGACCTACAATGCTGGAGGATGTCAAGGTATGTTGCAAATTTTGTCAACCCTTGTCATTGCCCTTTTCGGAGTTCTTCGATTTTCTAACGGAGCGTCAATACATATAGAAATCTGCAAATAGGAATGGCGCTTTGGCTGAGGCCCGCGTCGGCCCGGCTGCCAGCAAGCGATTGTACAAAGTTTTCACCGGGCTGGACCCAACTTCTACGGACGTCTAGCCCGTCTGTGATGATATGCTAGTTGGGGTCATGCGTACAGTACAGTACCAAGGCGGGTTAATAAGTTCTTGAAATTTTTTGATCACCGTCGTTGGATTTTTATTCTGTTTGCCGCCTGATGGCAGGCAATAAATACAAGTACATTCTTTCGGGCTTTGTGGTGTAGCCCATACATGTTTCAGAAAATCTATCTACCGTTTGCCTGATCCATCAACCATATCTCCTCGCTAGCTTGTAAAAGACCCAGGTTCTCCTAAAAAGGGAGCAACATCATTCAACCAAGCACTGTACAGCGACCATGCAAGCCTTGTAGGTATTGATAGATCAATTTTGGGCTTTCCACAGAAAAACTTTCAACGACACGAGCGTCGGGTGGGATCACTGCAATAAGCATTGCCTAAAAGCTCACATTATTCTGGTTGCCCGGGGATTATTCGACTTATTTGATGCCAGGTCGGTCACAATTCGGAGATTGCTTTGCGGTACTTGGGCCTTCTGTGGGAAGGCTCGGCTTTCCAATCGGTTACGATATTCGTCGGCAGTCTACCGGTCAGTGGACCTGGACAACTAGCAAGGAGTGAGACTTGAGAAGAGGAGGATGGACACTACATTGTGTGCATGCACGCGCTTCCAAGTCGTCTTCATCTATTCGAGATGCTTGACAGTCGCACCCCGGACTATGGATGCCAGATGCTGTAAAAAGCAACACCATGAAACGATCTGAGATGACTTACGCCTTTCCGTTCAAGTGCTTTTGTAATTTTGTTGCCTATCGGCGTATTCTCGTCGAAAATGTGGAACTTGGTGGAAACTCGGCTCGCAAGATGGTGTTTTGCGAGGCCGCCATTTGCCGCACATCCGGCTAAGCTTGCCCTGGCAAAGCTTAGCCTGTCGTAGGGCTGCAGGGCTAGATCTGTATTGTCACTATCGTACCCAAGGGGGGCTGGCATTTTTAGCAACTCCCTTACGTATTACACACCGTGTACAATGTCTGTCAGCACTATTTATGCCCCATCGGTGGATCCGTGGACAAGCCGAGCGAAGACTGTCGGCTGACATGGCTTTCCACATTCTTCGCCATCTTATTTTATCTGATTGATTTGATCGATTTGATCGATTTGATTGATAACTCGACACCAGCCTGCCACCACACCCCTTCTTAACATTCGAGTAGATGAAGTCGCCAACATGGCCGCGACTATTCCCAGGCGGACTTTGAGCCCGATGCTCATTTTCTCAACGAGCTTGCTGGTCGTTTCTGCTTTCAACTATGGTTTCAGCGATCAAGCCTTTGCTTCTTGTCAAGCAATGGATGCATTTGACCGACAATTCGGCTTTTATAACAAAAAGACTCATGCCTGGAAACTACATCCTTTGTTTACGTCTTTGTATAATAGCCTGAAAGCTGGCGGGCAAATTATCGGTGCGTGATATTTGAATCGCTTCCTTGCAATAGCCGGTAGGGTCAGGACATGAATTGCTGACATATTTGGCTTTGTAGGTGTGTTTCTCGGAGGATACATCAGCAACAGATATGGTCGACGGATGTGCATATCTATCATGAGTGTATACGCTCTGGGCAGTGCCTCGGTAGTGATAAGTTCGCGAACTGAAGCTCAAATACAGGCTGGCAGAGCTCTGCATTGTGAGAAAGCCCTGATCAATTGATCTTACAGCTGTTAACTAACCTCCTATTGCGAAGACATCTACCTGGGAATGCAAATGGCGGTCATCCCAACAACGTTGACTGAACTGGCCCCCGCTAAAGTTCGTGGAGGAATGGGGGTCCTGTACTGGCTCAGCATCAAAGTCGGCGGCCTCGTTGTCACCTCGATCACCCGTGGAACATCCAGTATCCATTCAAATGCGGCCTGGCGAATCCCATTCGGTCTCATCCTAGTCTTACCATTCATAATCAGCTGGTCTATCTGGTTCGTGCCCGAGTCTCCTCGCTGGCTCCTTCTTCGCGGTCGCCACGCCGAAGCTCTTGCCTCTTTGACTCGACTCAAGCCCAAGGATACACCCGAGGAGACTATCAGAGAAGAGTTTGAGATTATTTCTCAGAAGGTTGCCCACCAGCTGGAGAAGAAGCGCTTCCGAGATCTATTCACGCCGCAGAATCGACAGCGCACGTGTGTCGTCGTTACTGCGAATTTCTTCCAGCAAGCGACGGGTCAAGCGTTCGCTTCGCAGTATGGTACTCTTTTTGTAAAGCAATTGAAGTCTATCAACGCGTTCAGTGTTACGCTCGGCACTAATGCTGTTGATATTGGGGCTATTGCCATATCCGGGTCACTTATTGACCGCGTTGGACGCAGGTATATTGACCGAAGCTTTCCTTGGGCCCATAAGACCGAAATGCTGACCACGATTGGATAGAACTATGTTCCATATCAGTTCGACCATGCAGACAGCAGCATTAATGACAATGGGTGCATTGGGAACCGCAGACTCGAGTGACGTGGCAGCTAAGCGAGGAATCGTCGCCATGCTAGTAATCTACAGTTTCAGTTGGTCTCTTGGCTGGGCACCTCTTGTTTATGTGCTCGGTGCAGAGCTTCCATCGTCTCCTTTGCGGGAAATGACTTTACAGATTGCTTATTTTGTGAAGCTTGTCACCGAGTATGAGTTTAACCCTTGCCATTTCGTCTCTTCCGACTACTAACCATGATCTCTTAGATTTGCCGTGACATTTTCTTATCCTTACATAGAGACTGCTGACACGCCTGGGCATGTGTATCTGGGTGGTAAGCTGGGATTTATTTACGGCTCCCTCTCGGCAGTAGCTATTCTATTCGGGTTCTTCTTCATTCCGGAGACCAGTCGTTTGGAGCTTGAAGATATTGATCGGAAGTTCGATATACCCCATGATAACGTGTTGAAGTCTCTCGAGGACCAAACAGACGGGGGAAAACCGACGGTAGCAGAAGGTATTCATGAACAGAAGAACTAGTCAGGGTCATGAGCTATTCATCAGAAAATTCCGTGATAATAAATGATGAATTCATAGAGATACCCGAATATATTGTCGCTCAAAAAGACTATCGCCGAGAAATGCATCATCGTAAATCCCAACGCAACATCTGAAAATGCATAAAAACTCAGATCTAAACGACAACACCCTTCCGCTTCCAGCCCCTCCAAGCAGCCGCCCAAACCACGATAGCAACCCAAACACTAGCAGTGCAACCCACAGCCCAAAGTCCATAACATCTCCAGCCATGGCACTGTCCATCAGGGGAGCCAAAGCCTGCACCCCCATCAATCGCATTCTGGTAGGCACGGGAGTAGACTACACCCCAAAGTGCAGCGCCTAGGGCAGGCATCATAGCAACGATGCCCCAGTTCGTGGCAAAGTTTTCCACGCCCCATACCACTGAAATAAGGATTGGGGTTAGAGAGAAGGCACTGCCGTAGCCGAAGCCGACTAGGGCTGTTGTGAGGTGGAAGATGGCGGGTTCTTGCAATGGGATGGGAGAGGAAAGAATCAGGTAGCCAAGTGAGAGGAGGAAGGCTGAGGGGAGGAGGAAGGCCATTCTGGAAATTGTTAGGCGGTTGTCGGTTGGAGTGGGATGGCGATGGCGTGCTCCCTCTGGGATAGGTGGGAAGAGATGTGTTGCTGGAGGGGCGAAGAAGTCCGACAGAGAGCCGGTGAGAAGGCGGGCGATTGTTGAAGTCAATGCGACGGTGGTGACGTGGGTTGAGGGAAGACCAGCTGGGGGCGAGGCGTCTACCTCGTAGGAAGGAGGAGTCAAGGTTGGAATGATAGTCCCGAGCTAGATAGGCAACATAAGTGACTGAATGCAGCGCAGGGAGATGGAGGGAGACTTACGTTGTTGATATATGATTCCCCGGGCCCCGTCACCAAGAAGAAACCGGCAGCGAGCCACCACATCGTGGGATCTTGAAGAAAGACGCGGGTTTCATAGTTGAGTAGCCAATTCTTCTTCCGACGCTCCTCCTCTTCCCGCTCTTTCTCACGTCTTTGTTCTTCGCGCTCTTCTTCGGACAGAGTTATCGAGCGGTCGTCATCGTCATCGGCAAAAGTCCCGTACTCAACAGCAGCTCTGATCTCATTCCGCGGCCGGAAGAATTCACTTTCTTCAAGCAATCCACTTCGCTCCAGCTCTTCAACGGTCTCATCAATATACTTCTCCTCATCGCCATCGACAATGCGCAGCGCAACTGTGCCAATGATCCCAATGACCAGCAATAGGATCGCCAGGAACATGAAGTACCGGAAGACATCCACATCACCACGACTGCCGTCCGCGTTCTTCTCGTACAGAACATATGTTCCAATTTGGCTCTGCCACATTCCGCTGAGACCGAATGCTGCAATGGGGATAGCCAGCATGATTCCCTTGTGTTTTCCCCTGCCGTAGTTCTTGGCGCATGTTGCTACAGCTGCCAAATACATACAGCTGGTACCCATTCCAATGGCGATGAAGGCCACGATCATCACCCAGAATGGCCAGCCAGAGCCACCGGCGTCCGCGGGAGGTCCACTTTTATATGTCAAGGCAGCAAGCAGGTACCCGATACCAAATAGAAATCCCGAGAACAGAGCCAGCGGCGACGGACTGTACCGATCACAAAGGTATCCGAACAGCGGAACGAGCAAGTACATAGCGATCTCGGCGGCGATCGAGACAATATTGACCTGGAGCTGCGTATAGCGTAGTCGAGTAAGGAGGAGATGGCCGTATAGCGAGAAGGCAGTAATACTTCCCGCTCCGAGACTAACACAGACGAGCGTCAGCACCCAAGCATCACAAAGCATGAATCAGGACAGACATACCAGGTAACAACTCCCCAAGCGAAGCTTATTACTCGCACCACCTCCTTGTGCATTTTCTGCCGATCCCGCTCAACAATACCATCAACAACATCGCTCAAGAGCCCATCGTCGCTTCCTACACCGCGTCGGCTATCCCCCGAGCGGCGCGAATAATGTGATATCGGTCGAGAACGATCTAAATCTGTATTCCACTCCTCATTCGAGCCTTCCTGGTCCGAAGCCAGCAACAGAGGTCTGTTGGCATCGAAGTCCCGCTTATCGATATGCTGGTCTGTTTGGCCGTTGGAGCCGGGCATGATGTCTATAAATGAGCAGGCTAGATATGACGGATATAGATATCCGAACGCCTAACGTGATTCTCTTTATGATCGCGAGTCGCTGGAGGGTGTTCAATCCAACAGCTGCTCCGTTGATTGCTCCGTGACTTCGGGCGGAGCTTGAATGGTCGGCTGCCGTTGGGGTCAGCGGGGTGGATCAGTTGCTTGTTTGTTGATGTTCCACCCTATGGTGAATGAGGACTCAAGCTCGGATCATTCTATGGAGTAGGACAAGCTTGAAAATGCAAGATAGCTTGTAAGTGCCGAGAGAGTGAGGATTGAGGGGAAGGAGTGAGTTGTACCCGACAGCTCAGCTAGCCTGACTCAAGGCGGAGCGGAGTAAAGCTGGGGGCTTGCTTATCAGTAATCACGTGATATTGGCCGAGGTTGCGTCACTGCGGAGCTGCTCGATTGCCTAATCTGGCAAAGCAACACACAACTACGAGTAGAACGATCTCCCAAGTCATGATCTAGAAGTCTGATCTAGGATGAACATATCACATTATCTTGATCTAAAAATTCCGGAGTTGAGATGTCCGAGTAGTTTACCTAACCATCTAATTGGACATCAGACTTACTAGCCTATGTGGATAAATGAAGCGCACCGACAACGTCCCTTTCATAACTGCGACATGTCAGTCCGGCGGAAGGAATAATTGCTCAACTAAGAGATAAGTGATTTATTGTCTAATCCTAACGAATATCATGTACAAGGCCAGTAATCTGGCATCAGCCCCGCGAATTGCTAGAAGATCAACCGATAGCCCGATGGCCGGGTATTATCAATAAAACAAGACCGAGAAGTGAACTGTTGAAGTGGGGAATCAAGGCGACCAGTTGTGACACAAATAGTCGGAAGAAGCGAAGTTTCAAAAAGAACGGGAGAATGAGAAAGAGAAAAAGAAGAATAAATCCAGAGAAAAGCCAGCCGTGGTTCTAAATGCGTTCAGGCGTTGATAGAGGGTCGTCGAAGCATCCGTGGGGGGTCGTTATTCGTAGGTTCCTCGTTACTCAGAGGACGGCACCGTTGAGACAACATCAAATCGAGCGGAAATCACAGGGAAACTCCGATTGCGGGACACACTGTCTATCCCCAAAACGCCAGATAATAAAACAAGTAAAAGCGAGGAAGGAGGAGGAAAAAGTTATCAATCGAGACATCAGAAGCTGACTTCCCCAGCATCGGTCTCCATCACGTTCTCGTCCCAAAACTGATCAGAGGAAGATTCACGGACCGCAGGCTGGGAGCCGAGGGCAATCGCCTCGCCTTCGCCCCGTTCCACAAACTCGTCTTGCGTGATCTCCCTCATGATCCGCTGGAAGTACATTCGTAGTGTGCGAAGACCACGCAGGTATCCACGATCAATGTCCTGAGGATGGTGGGGTGGACAAGGTGTATCAGGTGGTAATTCATCCTCGCCAGTCACGCAGTTGGCAAAGTCCACAATCTTGAGCTGGACGTCGAAGTTGTTGTGGCCATCTTCGGATGCCCGGCGTCGGGGTGGGGGTGGACGTGGTTCACCTGCTTGACTGGGGGTTTGAGGTGTTGCCTGCTCTCCATCGTACAAAATCAAAAGGCTGCTAGCATAGAGGCGGTATCGATCCAGCTTTCGGATCATATGTTCCAAGAGAGATAATTTCTCCAGGATAATGGGGATCTTCTTAGCAACGCTGGTGTAGCTAACCCCGTCAAAGAGGAATCTGGTCAGTGCATCCTGGAATTCTCGGCCAGACTTCAGGTCTCGACCAAAGTATTTGTCTTCAAAGATGTATTCTTGCTTCTTGACATTCCAGGCTTGCATACCACACAGACGGACACCAAGTTGCTGAGAGGTTGTTGACTGACACTTCCGCCTCTGAGATTTCTTTTTCTTCTCAGTTGCCTCAATGCCATATTGTCGAGTACCCATTTTGAGGTCGAGAACGCATGGCTTGTTCATACCGGCCGTGAGGTCCTCCAAGAGAAGGAAGAATTGGACTCGTTCATCTTTCCTCAGTTGAGCTTCCTTGGGGTTGCTGGGCAAATGGGTGCCAACGTCTTCATCGTCATCCTTGACCGTACTCCGTGGTGTCTCAAGGGGTCTTCTACTTGAGGGATCCGAGGAATATTGTTCGCTGACCGAGGTACTTTCCGAAGAGGGAGAGGAGGAAGCCTTGAGTGCTAGAGACTCAGGAGGGGGGACAGGGGCATCGCCCTCCATCGAGAAGATTTCATCCTCTCTATCGCCACCATAGCCCTCATCGTCGAAGAACATAAGATCACCCGTGTTGTGCGAGTTGAGACTACCGCGTCGTTGAAGACCACCTCCCGAGTGGCGCCGTCGGACCTGTTGACCTCGGCTAAGCGAGCTTGACCGATTTGGCTGGACCTCGGTTTTTACCTTCTCAAGTCGGTTTCGATTTTCTTCCAGGGCAGTGGAGGCAGACGATGAAAGAGTTTGGCCTTCGGCGGAGTGTGATGTGATGGTCAATGCGGGGGTCTGGGTAGCGTCCATCTTGGTCAGAGGAGAAGGGCGACTGCTGGCTGTATGGTCCTCTGACAAATTTCCACGGCGATGAGGAATATCGGAAGATGCTCGAGGTAGTTGAAGATGCCCGCGAGCATGACGTCGATGTTGGTGAATCGCTGGTGGACTGAAGACTTCCCGCAGAACTTGCTCTTGAAGCTTTCGGTTCACTGTGGTAGCTCCCCAGATCTTGTTTCGCTTCCTCAAGGAAGATGGATCAGATTCGGTGGATAGCTTCCCTAAGCCGTCAGCCGAGCGAGGTCGTCCCATCATCGTATCATCTATCAGTCGGTGTCGGTGGGGGCGAGAGAAAAGGTCGGCTGGGATAATATGCCGATTATTTTCGAGAATGACTTTAGGAATTACACCAGTAACTTGCTTCTGGCTTACAATCCGCTGTGGCTCTGGGGCTTCGAGGGCATGAGCATTGGACAATGAGGTTCCGTTAGCATGATTTGCCTCGGATGCATCGTGGGCAGCATGGTCTGGACGGTTCTTGGAGCGCTTGGAGGTCTTCGAGAATGTCACATTCAGAACACCTATGTATCTGCAATGATTGTTAGTACCAGGTCGGCCAAAAAAAGAATCATAGCGAAGGGTCATCATGAGAAAATGGAGGGAAACAGGAGATTTCAGGATGCCTCCGCCATACGGGATACATACCTTGGAAGAAAAACTAGCATATCAGGATGTCTTCTTTCAATGCGTTCATAGAATTCATTTTCTCGATTGTTGAGCTGCTTGCAAACGGCGCGTCTGGAGAAACGGAAAACGGTGGTATGCCCACCAACCTGATGCCGGTAAGGCTTCAGTTCCACTGCCCCGAGAGGGGCAGGGGTCTTCCGCTTGGGCTTGGGAGGGAAACGGGAGCGCTGAGTTGGAGTGGCGGTTGGTGTTAACTCAGCATCATCGGTAAGACTGGATTCGTCATGAACAGATAGACCACTTTCGTCCGCCGAAGGGGCTTCCGATTCGCAAGTAGATTCATAGGTGCGCTCAGAAATCGAAGTTAGAGGCTTCTCCGGCACGGTTTCAGCGGGATGTCTGATATCTCCAAGCTCGCCGTAAAGGGTCTTGCTTTCGGTTTTGGACCGGAATGAGATATCCACGTGGCCGGCTTCTTGCTCAGATGAAACACTTCGCTGCTCTTTAGGTACCAACATGAGCTCATGGCCCTTCTCCGCAGCAGATAGCTGCACCGGTTGCGCACCATGTGGGTCAGACACCAATGGTTCCGCGCCTTCAACTCCTTCGGAGACAGCTACACGTTCGTGAGGGAAGTAAAGAGCAGAGGAGATCTGCTCATTTTCCTCTTCGTCGTCTTCGAACCGATCTGATGCTCGACGCTCCTCCTCTTCGAGAGAACTCAATGACTCGGAAAACCGGTCGACGTGAGGGTCTTTCTGGAAATAATCACGACCACGTTCGGCATACTGCGTCGGGATACTCTTAGAGAAGGAAGAACCTCGGCCACCACCGGGTGTGAGATGGAAGTTCCGGATTTCCTCAAGAAGTGTGCGTGGCAACGTAGGCGGGCGACGCTTGTAAGGCTCATCCTCCTCCGTCTGGAGAGTTGACTCGGCCGTCTGTGGCGGGTCAAATGTCGTTCCATCGGCTAGTGAAGGAAGAGAGATGCTTTTGCGAAGTAATCCCTCCTCCTCTGCCACCAGGCGTAAGGTCGGGTGTTCAATTTCCATGGTACGATCGGGCTGCTCAGATTTCTCATCGTGCTGCTGGGCACGGTCCTCTCTGCGTTTGCGGTCTGGCGAGGTGGTGTTTTCCTTGAACAAGCCCAGGTAGTGACTGGACTTACGGCTGCGCACGTTAGAGGCTGGCTCTACGTTGCTAAGGTCTGCTTCAATGGAACTATCCACGCGACCTCGACGACCTCTGCTTGAACTCCGTTCCAACGCGATACCCCGAGACGAGTCTGCCAGAGAAGTATGAGGTGCTGCCTCCGGGCTCACCGGCCAGTCCTGACCGGGTGCAGGGGGCGTTAGAGACTGTGGTGACCGGGAGACATCGTCTAGGAAGGACGGAAGAAGACTGCGTTCAGTTACAGAACTGTGTGAGCCACCGGTTTTCGTACCTGATTCATCCAATGGCCCAGGCAATCGCGACTGAACACCTGTCTGCACCCCTTTGCCTTTCACCTGGTCTGTGGACGAGATAGATGAGCGCAGCCGAGACAGACGGGAGACATCGGCCGAGGAGAAGAGGGAAGAGGAGCGCAATGGGATGTGTCTGCGGACGTCAACTTCCATGTGGGAAGGGTCGACGTGAGAACGATGGGAAGAGACCTTGGAGAGAGGAGCTAGAGACCCAGACACATCATCCAGGCCAGGAATTAAATTGACCTGGCGCTCATTGTCTGAGGGCTGTTCGGGTGGTAATTGTGGGGTAGTTGCGGCGCTGTCCGAGGGGAGATAATGGGTCGCGAAGATACTATCTCTCTCGGACAGTTGTGGGCTGTAAGTAGTGTCGGGACGGGGGAAATTCTCCAACGGGATTGTCGGCGCCCTTTTTAGGGCCAGATTCGAGACAGGCTGGGACCATTGATGGGTGGTTGTGGGGGATTCTGCACGCGATGGGGATTGCGCCTGTTGAGCCCCCTGGGACAAGTGTTGGTCCTGCGATGAATGGTGACGTGGGTTAGACCGAGCTCGCTCGGCATTCTTCGAGCAATCATGATGGGCAGGCGTGGCAGGTGTCACCAGGGGGTCAGGCAAGGTGTCTTCGGGAACGGGCGGCGGGTTTGACATGGAGAGGACATTGGTCAGGCCTGCACGGTCGGAATGGAATGGAGACGGAGCCAGCGGTGGTTGGCTGTTGGGGGGCGTGGGCGTGGGCGTGAAGTGAGAGAAGAAATTAGGGAATTCGTTAGAGGCAGGAGAAGGAGGATTGGGCGAGCAGGGGGCCCAGGGAGGGCTTGAGCGACACAGAATGATAGCTGGCGTCACGAAGACGAGCAGAAGCAAGTTAGTGGAGCACGCAACTTGGGAGAAGGATGTTGGCCCGGGGAGGATGGCAGTAGTAACCCAAGCAGGGAGGTTCTCTTTTTCTTTTTTGGAGAAGGACGGATGGACGGCCACGTTGGATAAAGGGAGGATCTTACAGGTTGAAGAGCTGACCGCAAATCGGTGGAAGAGCCGGGATCAGAAAATCAGAAAGCTCAGACGCTCCCAGTTGAGTAACGGGGTGGAGGAAAGATAAGTTGAAGGATCGAGGAGCGAACCTAAATGGGCGTTGGTAGCACAAGTGGCGCCGATCGCCCGTCACCGCCTTGGCTCTTGGAGTACAGATAATAACAGATAGGACCAGATAGTGCTCGATAAGGCATAGATTCTGATCTTGGAGGTTCATGGAGAGGACTCTGAAAGTGTCGAGATCTATCTCATCTGCTCCAACGAAGAGAGCGAAGAATGTGGCAAGTCCCGTGGACTTGCCTCGGGACTCCGGAATTGGGGAAAGTCACGACGACATGAGTCTGTGAAGACCACCAGACAAAGGCCGATGAAATCACCTGAGAGGAACGTTCTTGCCGTCTCCAACTTCTCTTTCTTCTTTCCCCAGATACCACAATCCTACACCAACAACACTCACACTTCAACCGACTCGACCATTCCCTGCCATTCTGCTGCCTACTCTATCCTGCAAGGGACATTATCAGACAAAATAACCTCTGCCTGGACCAGATCTAGTCAATGACGGCGAACCAGCCTCGTTCTCATCCAATACATTCTACAAACCCTGTCCCTTTTCCCACGGGGACCTCGGCCGCACCTGATTCGCGAAGCGTCTATATATCTCACAAGAGCTATTTTCTCCTCCCTTGAAATGGCCAAACAATCTTGATAATGCACAACAGCTTTCCCCAGCCCAAAAGTACCTGCAACACAGCAACCAGAGATCCCGGAATTTTATCAGGAGGTCTGACACGGACAGGCAATTGATCTACGCAGTGTCTTCTTGAAGCTCACAGCCTCACACCCGACCACCAACGTGCAACCAGATTGATTTTTCCCATCCTTGGTCCAAACATCCGAGGAGTAATAATCAACTCGAGTTCCCCGAGCACAACTTGTATTGTGGGGGCAAGGGATAACAAAGTTCTCGGGCCGATCAAGCTCTGGTTTCTTGGAACGCTCTTACTTCACGGCCTCTACCAATCACGGGGCCCCGTTCATGGCGTGCACTCTGGACGAGCAGTCATAGGCGTCGCCTCCGCCAGTCTTTGCGACTCGGGATGATTCATGCTTTATTATTGGTAGTCGACGTCCCCTTGCTCGGTGATCCCTTGTCAGTCCATCAAAGCTTGGAAAACACTTCCTGGTTTGTTGTCACTCCCCATGAAGCAAACAGACGCCAAGCGCGAGGAGCAGCCAGCTTTATTCATGCTTAATCCCTTGGTGGTGCAAACAGTGCTCGGGACAGAGCTCATTGGACAATTGACTTGTTAACAGGACATCGTAAACCAGAGAGTGGACTTCATAGTCGAAATAGTCGGGAATTATGATGAGTATCATGATCGCAAGTCTTTACCCCAAGGTTGAACGAAGAGCCGGAGCTCTGGTCTCTAGTCCCCTTGGGGGAGATGAGGTATTTATGAGTGGTGGCTGCCTTTGACTCGCCATATGCATCTAGACCAATATGGACAGTAGAATCCCTGATACATTTGGCTATCTTGGCACCCTGCCAGTTGTCCTTCAATATATCTTCCCGCCCTCGAATGCCTCACAAGACTAAACCACGAAGCACTTCCACCGATCACGCCATCACGGAAAAGACCGAGTACGCAGGGTGCCCAAATCCGAGATTGAAAAAGCAAGAACAAAATAGTACCTAAGAAAAAGAAATTAAAGCCACTGGCAAGTAACTTAGCTCTAAGAGCTTTGACCAACAAGAACGCCAAAACCTGGTGCTCTGTGATTGGCGTTTGCCTAACGAGGATTATTCAGCTGGTTTGAGCTTTCGGCGAGGAGGTTACCATAAACGTCTACTCTACCCCCGAGAACATCTATACAGTCTACTTCATCGAAGTCGTTTTCCAATAGCGGATCCTCCATACGAATCTTTAACGCTAGTTCACGGCCCATCAACTAGAGATGTAGTTAGGCGCCACAGGGCGGGGTTGAGGTAACGTGACAGCCGACAGTATGACGGCAAAGCCAGCGACACTATAATTCCCATGGATAAACCTTCTGAGATATGCTCGTCAAAGAGCACACGAGCACATACAGATCCCCAAATTTAAGGTTGCTTGTCGCTTGCATATTCTAAGAAGTTTCTGTAGATCTCGAATAATGCGCCCAAAGTGGCGACCAAGGAAAACCGACAATAACCATACTCACTATGACAGGCAGAAGACCCCAGAATGTAACAAGAGCCCACCAGAGCAATATACGACCCCTCAAAACCAACACAAAAACCAACATCCAAGAGACTATCCATGTTCCCATCTGCACACACTGCACCAGCCCTGTGAAATCGTCCTTCGGTGTGATCGCCTACTGTACTGTATGTGTGATGAGAACGGCCCTAACGCCCAACGGGAGGAGCCGGGCGGGCCCTAACCCAACCAGAGTTGCTGGCGATGTGAAGACAATGCATTAGGGCGGCGGGGATCACCCCAATGACTAGGATCGCTGCGAACTGGAGCTCTCAAGCCACTCGTTGCGTCCCATCCCCGCGGAGCTCTGACCTAGCCCCCTCAGATCAATTTGCATCTCCACTTTCATCGTTTAACCCTCTGTTCTCCCTGAATCTTTCGCTTCTTTTTCACACTTCTCCTCTGGGCTTGGAGCTCCGTCGCTTTTAACGGTTGATCTGTTTTCGCATGTCGGGCAGTTGATCAACGGATAATCAATCAAGCTGGAGACGTATACGTTGATCTCTTCTGCAATCCTTAGCTTCTGAGATTTTGAGACAGCACGACTACCCAAAGGACAACATCTTGTGGTATTCATTTGTTCCTAAGTTGCGACGATCCCCTATATCCTAGGTACACTCTGGATTAGAGCCACGGAGGTCCTTTATTTGCAGAATAGTATGAAAGGGCTCGTTTTCGAGTTGAATGCGTCAACATGAATCGCCCGCTATACCTGGATACCCAGGTAGCCCAAAATCAGAGCCAAAGATATTCCTTCATTGAAACACCGCTAGAAATGCATGCCGGGAGTCAGCGCCCAGAGCCTGGATCTCCACCTCCTCCCCTACCGGTGGACTCCAGGATAGCTATGCAGCCACAAGATGCGATAGAACAACAGCCTCCTACCTTGCTTCCACCAGCACCCACGCATCAGCAACAGCAGCAATATCACCAGCAAGAACGAATTCAGTCACATCAATATATACCCAGCGAGAAAGAGCGACACCTTCAAGAAGAAGGCATCATCCCCACATACTCCCGATATCCTCCACCGGAGCAACATCCAGCTTTCCAGGCCCCATTCTCACCTCCCCCAGAACAACAACATCATCATCAAATACCGCAATATGCCTATGCCAGCCCTCCCAGCTCCCCGGGTCCATTACCTCTGAAAACGCACGAACCACCCAAACGGAGTGATACTCTCTCAATAGAGCCTGACGCAAATCCATTGCAATCACCGAAAACCTCATACTTCCCTCCACCTCCGACACCCGCTGTACATGGATCACACGCCCCACCCGGCGAGGACCTGAGCGCGTTCCATCAACCCGGACAAATTATGCATCCGAATCAGGAGGTAGAAGGTGGAACGTGGAGTCATGGTTTATGCGATTGTTCAAGTATCGGGACATGTTGTCTTGGGATTATATGTCCTTGTATATTGTACGGGAAGACTCAACATCGTCTGAGCATGAAGTCGCGAAAGGAGGACCCGACTAATATGCTTGGTTATGATACATGTAACGGGTCATGTACTGCGATGACTTTGTTCTGTGGGTGTCAATGTAAGCCATATATGCCCTTTTATGTTTCGAACCACCTCGCTGATAACGACTACAGGGCTCCTGGCTACCATCCAGCACACGAGGACGAGAAAAGCATATGGAATCGAAGGGGATGTCTGTTCAGATTGTGTTCGCGCGACTTGTTGCACGTGCTGCACTTTGATTCAAGATGAGAAGGAGTTTCAGAAACGAGAAGAGCGAAGAGGGAGAGCGGCCCGGGAACGAGGCGCAACTCTCCTTTCGCCGTATACAGCTCCCGGGCCAATGACTTATGGCTTGCCACCGAAATGAATGGGTGCAATCGCTCAATAGTTTCTTAACGATTTGATTTCCTACACAGGTTTGCGATGATGGACAATTTGATGTCACAAATTTTATAGCGTACCTGGCCTGCGTTAGCGGACTACTACTTAACTTCCTGCTCCCACTACTCAGCGAATGAAGAATCGTGATAGATCCCGCGAAAGATACAATATGCTTCCAAATTAATAACATGCGGCCGATGTAGCATTGCATAGAAATCCACGTTGTCTTCATAGGCAGCTACAAAGAATTATGTGATCTTTGTTGGCTGCTGGTAAATCCAGTAGAAGGGACGTATGGAGTAGCTGAATCTTGTCTGGACGTAAGAGTAGATTGGCCATACTAGATTTTTCTTCCGAATGGCGTACATAGTCCTCTGTAATATCAAAAGGAATGACGTCTAACAATCCAGATGGTAGTTAGATATACTGGACCTGCAGTCTGAAATCGAGAGACAATCGTACGTAAGTATCACTAAGACATACTCCTGCTTAGGGCTCACGTGTGGCCCCGTATGATCGTGTAGTGTTTCTTATCTAACTAGGCCAGAGGTATTATCCTCTCGCGCAACTTTGGGAAGCCAGAAGCAATAATAAAGCAAACAGGAATCGGAAACTTCAGGTATGATCTCACTAACTTTAGGCGAGCATGGCGTGCCCAGGCAAACTGAGGGTGTCGTGAACCTCGAGACCAAAATTTTACCATTAGAAGACATTCAAAAGCCCTCGTTGCCGTAATGGTGTGAGCTAAAATTCCTTGAATGTAACTCCGTTGCTAAGGATCATATGGAATAGCCTGGCATTCAAAGGCAGCCCATCATTCGACATCTTCAGGGCTCATAATCCGTTCGTATTTCCACACAGAACTTGGTCTCAATTCTTCCAAAGCAAGGATGTGGACAGTGAGGGAAAAGCTTGATTCTCTGCGGCTAGATTGACCTCCAAGAGTTTTGATAACTATGGATTGGAGAAGAGGTGAGAATCATGGATTGAAAGGGAAGTCATGCACACCGTAGAAAGGAATACAATTAAGTGCCGAGGTCTTGGTGAAATAAAGACACCAGAGCTGCCCAGAATCACGACAGATACAACTAAAGATTATCCAAACCCGGAGAGCTCCGAGTAAGGATTTCTCGTAGAGATTCTCAGGTTGAATGACAGTATCTGCGGTTGTTCCTCAATGGGATAGACCACGGATGGAGAGTTTTTTGTTGCTCGCGTGTGGTCGTAACCTCCAAGTGATACGTTCAGCGTTCTCCCCGCTGTTTAACAAACTCGGCAGCCTAACTTCTAACGATAAACTCATCGATAAAGATCATCACAATGTGCCCCGCCCGGGTGTATCCCTTAATCTTACCTTCCCCTCATCTTCCATAGGTTTTAAGCATTAGCCGCCAATGAGCCGAATGTAACCATAATCGGGGTTGTCTATTGGCAACCGTCGCATATCCACACGGAGTCCGGTCTTGGCTGCCGATCGCCACTATCTCTTGACCAAAGCTTGGGGTTTCTTGACGAATATCCATCCGGAACGATGTCTTGATTAGCAGATGATTTACGAGATGCTAAGCCAGTGATAGTAGTGTCGTATTCCGACGGTACTGCCGAGTAGCGGGTCATCAGGGTCCTCCCTACTTATGCTTCTCCAGCCAATCAAGCTCTTTCTTCATACGACAGTGTCGCAATGTTTCATGTTGCCGGTGCGATATATAGTTGAGCGATAGCCTGAGATGGTCGGGAAAAAGCAAGAAATCACTTTCCTCAGAAATAAAAATCTTCTATTCAGTAACAATGCGGCATCAAAAGTGGCTACTCCCTCTACTGGCGGTAGGCGTTACAGCCGCTCCTGCAAGCACAGCCAAAGACAGTGTCTCATCAGTTGTGAAGAATGGCGTCAAATATACTGTATTCGAGCATGCCGCAACTGGGGCCAAGATGGAGTTCGTCAAGAACTCGGGTATCTGCGAAACCACTCCAGGGGTTAATCAGTACTCGGGATATCTCTCTGTCGGAAACAACATGAACATGTGGTTCTGGTAGGTGTCACCATCGATTTTTGGTGTATTTTTCTAAAAGAGAATAGGTTCTTCGAGGCGCGAAACAACCCCCAACAAGCACCTCTGGCTACCTGGTTCAATGGTGGTCCTGGATGTTCCTCTATGATCGGCCTTTTCCAGGAAAATGGCCCCTGTCACTTTGTTAACGGGGATAGCACCCCGTCGTTGAACGAGTATAGCTGGAATAATTACGCCAACATGCTATACATTGACCAGCCCATCGGTGTTGGTTTCTCCTACGGCACGGACTCTGTGACAAGCACAGTGACTGCTGCGCCGTACGTCTGGAAGTTGCTGCAGGCATTCTACGCTCAGTTCCCCGAGTATGAAAGTCGCGATTTTGCCATATTCACCGAAGTAAGTCCCCTTCTAAGTTAAAAGATATCAATGGCTAATTTATCAGTCTTACGGCGGACATTATGGCCCCGAGTTCGCCTCGTACATCCAGGAGCAAAACACCGCCATCAAGGCCGGATCCGTATCAGGCGAGAACATCAACATAATCGCCCTGGGCGTCAACAACGGCTGGATCGACTCGGCAATTCAAGAAAAGGCCTACATCGATTTCAGTTACAACAACTCCTACCAGCAGCTCATCGACGCCTCTCAGCGCACGAGCTACCTGAGCGCCTACAACAACCAATGTCTCCCTGCTATCCAAAAATGCACGAAAACAGGAAGCAACTCCGACTGTAAGAATGCGGATAGTGTTTGCTACCAAAACATCGAGGGACCGATCAGCAATTCGGGTGACTTCGACGTCTATGATATCCGGGCGCCATCGAATGATCCCAACCCACCTTCAACCTACTCGACATACCTCACCAGTCCCAATGTCGTAAAGGCTATTGGTGCGCAGTCCACCTACCAGGAATGTCCGAATGGACCGTATCAGAAGTTCTCGTCAACAGGTGATAGTAAGTTTCAATCTTCACCTGCTTACTTAATGCAAAAACTAACAAGACAGACCCTCGGTCTTTCCTCTCTACACTCTCCAGCGTGGTCAAGTCGGGCATCAACGTGCTAGTTTGGGCGGGTGACGCCGACTGGATTTGCAACTGGCTTGGCAACTATGAGGTCGCCAATGCTGTTGACTTTTCAGGACATGCAGAATTCAGCGCAAAGGACCTGGCACCATACACCGTCAATGGTGCTGAAAAGGGCCAGTTCAAGACTGTGAACAACTTTTCGTTCTTGAAGGTGTACGGGGCGGGACATGAGGTTCCTTACTATCGTGAGTTCCTTGCCCAAGTTAAATTCGAACGAGTACTAATTGATGTAGAACCCGAGACGGCGCTGCAGGCATTCGAGCAGATTCTCCAGAAGAAGCCAATTTCCTCAACTTGATGGTCAAGACTTGTGTGACTTTGACTATATTGGGATTGATATGATTGATGGGATGTATATACTTACCAAGAAACTTACTTTGACTAAAGGTTGGCCCACAATGCAGATGCATGATTAAAAACACTTCAGATTGACATTGTGCGTGAAGAAGTTAGGATAGCACCTAGTCGCCGACCTGCAAACTCAATCGCCATGAATAATTGAGCAGAAATATCATAGTATCGCGATCGTAAGTCTAAATTGGATACGTCGCAAGGAGAGCCCTGCGCTCGTAACATGCAAAGTCAAAACGAAAGAGATGGGTGTGCCTCGCATGTGGATTACTTCTCAGATTTAATCCTCTAATTACAGAGTACAGTAGTAGAGATTAGATGGGGAACCCGTATCAGACTGCACCGTAGATCATCCATCTAAGAACCAGGTTCTTGGGAGTGGTAGAGAGCGGATCTGTCGATTCTTCACAGGGATACATGCGGAATTATGTCAGTGGAACAAGCTTAGCAACACCTTGCCAGCGCCCTGTTCACTCTCAAGTAGGTAAATTCGAAGGAATCATGCCTGTGCTCTGCTCCTCAGGCCAAAGCTTTCAAGTCCGAGGACTTCACATCATCATAATCAGGGGCTTGATTGTTATTACAATAGAAGGTGGGGCGGCGAACTCCTAGAGACATTGAAGAGTCAGTGCCGTAACAGGAAAAGTAAATCCGATGGGTCTCCTCACTTGAACCTTTCTGACTATCACCGGAGAGGTAACCCAACGGCAGTCTAGAAACTTGGGAAATCAATTGAATCACTCACAGGGAAATAATAAACTTGAGACAGAGCTAGCTACCTATGCTATAGACTTTTTGCCTCGGTGGCGGCTAGTAGCTATGGTACACATATATTGAGGTCGCGGCTCCCAAGGCCATCAATATCCCTTCACTCTTCCATTTCGTGAGGATTCACCAATTTGAACAGGGTCCAACAGCTATATTTGGCTACTCTCAAAATGTCGACGACCTCACAGGATGCTACTGGAGTCGACCATAATCATTTTCGACACGTTGTCATCACGTCTACGGTGTTTCGCCTTCATATTGTCCACTACAGCGGTAGGATTCCGAATCCTGTCTCGAAAGATCAATGGAACTGGTCTCTTTATTGACGACTATCTTATGCTTTCAGCTCTGGTGAGACTTACCCGACAAATCCAAATGAGATCTAAAACTAATCCACTCAAGCTTAATTTCAAACAGTGCTTTACAATGGCCTGGGAACACATATCGTGTACGTGAAGCCTGAATAGCTTACCGTTTACCTCAAGGTATGTTTGGTTCAAAAACGAGGCTCATTAAGGATCTATGCCTAACATGGGCATTCTTATAGACCCTCTTCACTGGCTCTATCCTCTACACACTTTGCGTCGCCTCGATCAAACTCTCTATTTTGATGCTTTACAAACGATTGTTCCCCGTGAAGCCTATAGATATCGCTGTCAAGATTGTCTCGATGATTATTATCCTCTGGGCCGCTTGCGGTATTCTGGCGGGTTGCTTCACTTGCATTCCGACGGAGAAGCTTTGGAATCCCATGATCCCTGGTGGTTGTATGGACCTGGGCAAGTTCTACTATGGCTTGCAGATTCCCAACATTGTTACCGACGCTGTGATCTTGGTTATGCCCATGCGCACTGTCTGGGGGTTGCCAATTTCGAAGGCGCAAAAGACCGGTCTCTCGTTAATTTTTGTTCCGGGCTTTTTGTAAGCATCGATGGTCGAGAGCAAACTTTATGAAAACTAACACTAAACAGTAGGACTCTCATTTTCGATATCGTTCGACTAGTTTCCCTTGTTGAACTGTCCAAGGCAGGAGACGACATCACGTCTATGTTGATTAATTTCTGAACGTTGAGCAAGAATGGGATGATTCTAACTGTTACTAGACACCCAAGTTAATCCCAGTGTATGGTCCTGTATCGAGCCCGCTGTGGGTATCGTCGCAGGTTGCCTGTTAAACATGCGGCCCTTGTTCAAGCTCGTACACCGCAAAGTCTGGATGCGTCATGTCGGTTCGACAGCAAACACCTGTCAGCAGGAGATTGTTGGAAGCAAGAGCGAGAAGCGCTGGACCCGAGAATCTTCTCAAGATACCCCGAGCCCGACCCTCAACTCCCAGACAACTCACTCTCCGGAAAGCCCCGCCTGAAGGTCAGTTGAAGTAGCGTTTCGACATGATTACAAAGCGTATTGACTAGCCAAATTGTCGGCGATTCTCTTTTTGAAGTTGAACATACCATCGTCTTTACACTCATTATCTAATCAATTTTCTATCTATTACCTTAATTCCACTGGAGACGCGACTTTATGTTCACTGATGCTGTGACTTATGCACTTTGCGGAGGTTCTCTCATGTGTCCCGAGTCAGACGGTCAGAAAACCGTAGATCTCGTCTGTGCTTCAATCGTCAAACACAATTCATTCGTCTAAAACTTGGAGATGGCCAGATGTCGATCATAGTAAATTCCGCCCATGGCCACCAACTACGCATATCATTGGCCAGACGGGGGGATCTTGGTAGCCTGTCCCCTCACGCCAAGCGACGGCCAAATTAGAGCCCCCGGCCGTGGCCCCACTTCCTCGCCCCTATCCATATACACCTTCCCCGATAGCCATGCGCAATGACGCGAGTCTACGCGTGAAGCACCACCGTGAACAACTATTAAGAACCCTCCTATGGCCTCGGCGAGGTATCAGCAACTCAACAACATGCGAGGACTCGATGAGAGCACTGATGTCCTCCTTCGAGTCGGCCAGTCTGCGACTGAGCAGGTGAGGCATGGATGGCAGGCCTTTGTCAATTTCGCAGCTCGGGACAACGTCCTCGAGGTCGCCCTCGGTTTGATGTCAGAAAATTCGACTCGCCCTCAAGTTCAGTGAAATTCAGTTGTGACTGATCCGATCCACGAAATCTAGTATCGCTAATGCCTTCACCAAAGTCGTGACCTCTTTTGTATCGGATTTGGCGCTGCCCATTGTCTCTTTGTTGCCATTCTTGAACCGGAATATGGACCAGAAATTCGCCGTTCTCTCACAGGGGCCTAATTATGCCGAAGGTGAGGGTTACAATACCCTCAAACAGGCGAGGGACGACGGTGCGCTTGTTTTGGCATGGGGGTGCGTATATTCCTCCAACAACCCGTGGCCGTCACTTAGCTAACTGATTGTACAGGATGTTTGTCGAAAACATACTCAATTTTGCTGGTGTCAGTTTGACTTTGTTTGCGGTCGCCCACTTGTACATGTTCGTTTCCCACGATAGAATCATCAAGCCCACTGTTCGGTGCAGGTATTGCAGAAAGTTCATCAGTGTCGAGGTAAGATTCTTAAACAATCATGATCCTCACTCAATTACTCACTGGACTTTAGGCAAAACGCTGCCTCAACTGCTCGAGCTGGCAAGATGGAAGAGAAGATTTGCCCGGAGAGAGTAACAACAGTAGCAGCAGCAGCAGCAGCAAAAGCGCCGATCGAGTTTGATTGAGCGAATATCTGCCTTTTCCTTTGCCTGTGCATTCTCTCTCGCATGATCATGGATCTGGTAATTGTTACTTGAACAAGTCTACCGTAAAGGTGTACCCTAGCTAACCAGGGGAGGAGACTTCCAACTTGAGGTAGAAAGCATGTCCACTAGATCCAATACCAACATTTTCACAGTTTACCCAAACGCCCGCCTCCAGCAAGTATAGGCAAAGACGAATTGATTTCTCGCAAGTTGAGAGTCCAGCCAAATAATCCTAGTTTGAGCCCTATGGCTACAACGTCAAATTTCAAAATATCTCACCCATTCTAAGTTCTAATTTTGGGTTTTTTGTAGGCGACGCTCTATATGTACTCAAGTGGCGCATGTCGTAATGGAATTTTATCTCATCAGCCTAGTAGATGATTGCCAATTACTCTTCTTCCCTCATCGAGTAGAATGATACACTAAGGGCGGTTAAGAAGCCAGCATCACGTGGCTCTCGTGGATCCGACTGTTAGCCCCGCGTCGACAGTCCCCCAACATTAGTCAAAGAACTGCCAATAACTAACTAACCCTCTGTACGGCAAATCACTGGATTGTCCTTCAAGTTTTACGATAACTCATCATGTCAATTACACACATCGTGCTCTTCCAGTTCAAAGCTGGTACAGACACCAAAGTCATCAAAGATGTGAGACCTTCAAGTGACCCTCTCTTCGATGTGATTTCGAAGCTAACTGCTCGCCTACGAAGACATGTGATCGCATGATCGGACTGAAAGAAGATTGTGTTCACCCTACATCCAATAAGCCTTATATCAAGGCGTCCTCAGGTGGGGCAGATAATTCAATTGAAGGAATCCAGGTGAGTAAAATCTAAGCTACACTTGAAATTGGGTCTGTGCTATCCGAATGGGACTCAGCTGAGTATTTAGAATGGTATCACACATGCATTCGTCGTTGAGTTTTTCAGCGCAGAGGACCGAGACTATTATGTCAGGGAAGATCCAAGACACAAAGCATTTGTTCAAAGCCTCAATGGAGTAATTGAGAAGGCACAAGTCATCGATTTCATGAATGGGGTCTTTGACAAGCTTTAGCTACGCCATGGCCTGACTTAAGATAACGAGGCTTCATATGTCAGGAAAAGACTGTATTAATATCCTTATCTGAGTGCGTAGCATCAACACTAATTACTAGTAACAAAAGCCAAATTCATTCATCCGTAAAGTGAAACACATCCCTCGCCTCAAAGAGCGCGCTGGAATCCCGCGTTTCGGTTATCCATATCAGAGTCCACACGAGGATCCAACTTGTTAGCGATGTTGCTAGAATGAGGGCCCGCAGTTGCGCCGGATCGTGGGTTACCGTGGCTGCTTCCTGCCATGGCGTTGTGGCGAGCGCGGTTGTCCATGTCGGAGTCAACGCGGGGATCCAGCTTGTTGGCGATGTTGGAACTGTGAGGGCCGGCAGTGGTGGTTGACGAAGTGTTCATACCGCCAGTAGTGTTCAAGCCGCCAGTAGTACCTGTATGGCCATAATGGGCTTGGTTGCCCATGGTTGTGGAATCAACGCGAGGGTCAAGCGTGTTGGCGACATTGGAAGTATGGGGGACGGTCGTCCGATTGTGGGTGCCCGTTGTCCCAGCACCATAGCCTCCCAAGTTACTGGCTTGAGTGCCCCGGTTATCTAGAAGAGTCAGTTACTGAACACTGGGCTGTTGATGCAGTTGTTAAGAAACACGAACCTAGATCGCTGTCAACAAAGGGGTCGACCTTGTTGGCGACATTGGTAGCATGTGGTCCAGCGGTGCCTCCCATAGCCTGGTGACGAGCGCGGTTGTCTGCAATCCAAGAATTAGCATTCTCAAATTTTCGGATATCTCCCATCACATGGATAAGGCACTTACCGCGGTCGCTATCGACACGAGGGTCGAGCTTGTTAGCTAGGTTGGAGCTGTGAGGACCATGGTTTGTAGAGCTGGTCGTGTTCGTGTTGTGGTGATTGCCAGTCAAGGCATTTTCGGCTTTTCTGACGAAACCGCTCATGTTGATGGGTCTTTGTAGATTTGGAAGTTCGGGAACTTAAGTGTTGAGAGATGGTGATTGTGCTGGATATAGATCCCCGAGGTCTGGTGAGGAATATATATAGTTTGGCTCCTGGCGAGGAGAGACTATCCTAGACAGAGAACCTGGATGACGTCGCATTGTCTGGTGATGATGTATTAATTTTGTATTGAATCTTAACTCTCATTGGAATGTCTGCATGTATTCTAAACTCTGCAGATTCACAACTCGGTGTGTAAAACAGGCTGGCTCTCCGCGGTCTTTCCACGTGTGTGGCGTCAGACTTCATTTTTGCCACCAAGTCTGGGGCTGACCAGGTTACTGGAAAGAATCATGAAAACAGGCCCACATCCATGCTTCAGTATCTAAAACGACTGAAAATGGCACAGCGTACTTGGTGTACAAGCGCCATCTACGCATGATTTGTGTCAAACTTTCATCATTCGTTTTAACCAATCCCGGGTGTCGAATGCGATATGAACGAAAAACATCAACACGGATGATAGTCACCGTGCACTGTACAATAATAGGCATCTGAATCAATATTCATCTAACTCTACTCTATCTCTAGGTTCACGTGTAAACGCAAATAACCGCTACAACCGGGATGGCCGTGGCTGAGAAGACCACCCAGTACCAGTAGACCCTGTCAGCCCACCGTCCATGACCAAATTCTGACCCGTAATGTATCTTGACGCACTGCTTGCAAGGAACGCAACACAATTGGCAACATCAAATGCATCTCCCATACTGCCCTGGGGCACATTATGCTCAGTGACCTTCCTGTAAATTTCGCGTTCCTCTGCAGACTCGCTGTTGCCGAGCGACTCCAGCAGCGGAGTGTACATCATACCAGGGGCGACCGAGTTCACCCTGATACCCTTACCAGCATACATAATGCCAGTTGTCTGCGAAAAATGGATTACCGCCGCCTTGGCTGTTGCGTACGCAACCTGAGGCTTACCCAGGTATCGCATTCCAGCGATAGACGCGTTGTTAATGATAGAACCAGATCCTTGCTTTTCCATGATGGGCAGCACGGCGTTACAGCTCAAATAGACGGATTTCAAATTCAGGCGGATTTGCGCATCCCAGTCCTCTTCTGTCATGCTTCCGGCGTCTCCCGTCAATGTTCTTCCGACGTTGTTGACTAGGATATCGATTCGGCCGAAGGTTTTCATCACTTCATCGACAACGCGCTTGATATCGGTTTGGCTCGTCGCGTCTGCTTGGATGACATCACAGATTCCCCCATCTGCGTGGATTCGAGCAGCTGTTCGTTGTGCTGCTTCCACGCTCCTGTTGCAGGCAATGACTTTGGCACCTGATTCGCTCAGGACCTTTGCGATGGCTGCTCCAATGCCCCAATATTTGCTGTTGGCATCCCCCGATTGGCCTGCGCCAACAACCAGGGCCACCTTTCCCTTGAGGTCGGGGTATGTAGCAGCTTGTCTGTCCTTGCGAGTTAGATCAGGGCTTAACTATAAAGTATTATGAGGGAATCTCACCGATGAGCCATATTTGAGAGAAGTCGTAAGCAGTACGAGTAGATTCACGTCCTCTTCGTCTGGTAAATTGAAAGAAAAAATTCTACAGAGGGGGCTTACTAGGTTGGTCTTAGTAAGATTGCGGTGAAGCTCATCACAGCACATCCCCCCATCACAATATCCTCGGGAATTCTCCGGGCAACACAATTGCGGGTATGCGGGTATTCAATCCAAGTACATATTGCAAATTATAAGTTCCTAGGGTGTAGATGCTGGCTAATTGTTCCCGTCGAATCAGCATAATCTCATCTCTGACACAGCCATCACTTTATCCCCGCGATCACGTTCAGCTGGGTACTGTTGCCGCACTTTGGGAAGGTGTAGAGCACCGAGGTCACTTGTCCCAAAAATGGTTCTTTAACTAGTAGGGCTATATGTGGAATTCATTTTGACCACCCACAGCCTTGCGCTGTGGGTGTGAACGTAATGCTTTTCTTTTCCCGGCCCAATAATTTGACAACCCCAGTTCGAAGGGACTCAGCATCTTCCTCACGGCAGGTAACCTATCAGAGCAGCGTCGCCGTCACCTCAACGATATACGGAGCTCATAGTATGAGTAGCTAGCGATCCCTTTTGAAACTTTGAAACAAAAATATTACTTTCAGTAGTATCCATTGGTAATATCAAGGCTGTCAGGCAAATGAAACACAATCATTAGAACAAAGACATGGCCTGAAAAGAAATTGGTGTTCGCCTTGAATCCCAAGGATAGTCATCTATACCCCTCCAAATGTACATACATGCCTCCAGCAAAGAAAACAAAGCATTCCCTTCTATCAAAGACAGTTAAAAAGTGTAGAGCCAGCTTCGGCCGAGGACCATCGCGGCTTGAACAAGAAACAATAGAAGCTATTGTGGGTGCGTATTCGGCAAGTTCACCTTCTTGCGAATACCGAGAGAATTCAAACAGGCAACCCTTAGTTGGTCAGGCGGGCGGAAGACGGAGCTCCAGTGTACAGGACAAGCAGGACAATAGTGGCAGCAACACCGACAGCAATACCCTTGGCCTTGGCCGGGTTAGCCCGGCGGTACTCGCCGACCTGCAGGCGCACATCAGTGCTAAGGGCCTGGAGCTTCTCGGCGCCCAGCTTGTAGTAAACAAGGCCAGCCAGGGCAATGGAGTAACCGAAGAACTGCTGGGGAGTGACGGGGTCACGGAAGATCATCATCGAGGCGCAGACCAGGAGGATATCCTTGAGGATACCAGCCATGGTCAGGACGACGGCAGAAGTCTTGCCAATCTATGGGATTGTCAGCGAGTAATCATTGAAAGAGACACGAACACCACATACCAAAAGAACAACAGAGGCGTTAAGAAGGAAAGCAACCAGCGCGTTGGCAATGAGAGTCATGATACCAAGAGAGTAAATATCGTTCATAGTCATGCGGGGGACATCGGTGAAGAGAGTAACGATGCCGTTGGTAACGGCGCAGGCGGGAGCGTAGTAGTACAGGGAGACGAGAGGGTCCATCTTGAACTCGGCGGAGCTGAGCAGGCGCTGGACCATGACGAGGCGCAGGGCCTCGAAGATGATACCAGCACACTGGATAAGGAAGCCGAGCATGTCGAACTTGATCTCGCCAAAGGAAGCGATAACAACACCAAGGACAATGATAGCGACATTGCCGAGGGTCTTGAAGTTGGCCGGGGCAATTCCGAAGGCCCAGGTGGCGAAGAGAGTCACGACAGCGTTGGTGGCCTATACAATCAATTGTTGGTTTATGCTCGACGATATTATGAGAGTGAGGGTTCTTGGGCTTACCTTCAACATCTGGATGAAGGAAACACTGAGGTAGAGGTAGGCCAGGTTACCGCAGATGAGAGACAAGCTGAACATGATACCGATGGGGACAATAGCACGACTGTTGGATTATTGCAATGTCAGCAGCGCTCTATTCCAATCATTCGCAGACACATATGGACATTGTCGATTACTCACGCATAAGTGCTGGGGGTCATTGGGACCTTGTGGCGGGAGTCCAGGATGGTGGTGAACTTGGCCAGACCCTGGGTCATGGCAGTAGCGAAGACCATGTGCCATGTCGTGAGGAAGAGGGCTGTGCGTCGAGTATTAGCTATTTAGCCTTTTGAGGAGGGAGTAGGCCTGGGCTCGATAGTATAGCCAGCGCAAAAGCACTTACGGAAGTCTAGAAAAGAAGCAAATTAGTAACTCGTCGGTTGGGAGTATCGGGGGTAATAGATAGGCACTCACTGAACTTGGCGGATGACAGAACCCACTTGTTGAACAGAATGACGCTGGAACTCAAGGCAATCCACAGACTGAGAAGATATTAGCCATTGATTCTTAGAGAAGGGCGGAGACCTCCAGGGGAAGAGTCCAGCGACAACGTACGCAATGTAGAAAGCCGGGTGCAGGCCGGTGCTCGGAGCGGGAGCGGGAGCAGCACCACCCTCGAGCTTGCGTTCATCTTGAGAAGAGCGACCGTTTGCCATTGTGTAGAAAGGTGAGACCCGATCAAAAGAGTGACTATGGGTGAGTAGTAGTTGTTGGGGAGAGATGGTTGACAAGGAAAAATGCGAGAATGGGGGCAGGACCAGTTCAAATTCACATTTAGGGGCACGAAGACGGATCGGCGCCCGTGGGGGCGGTGACGGCATTTACGGTGATTTGATTGGGCGGTGAGTGGCTCACAGCACAAGCGGGAAGCAGAAAAGTAAGAAAAAAGTCTGGAAAAGTACTCGTCGACGCGTGGACCCCCTGGCAGGTTTCAGAATTAGGGAGGAGGGCCCCGGCTTGTTTCTTGTTTCTTAACCTCTGTGGATTCCGCTGGGGAGTTCAGCTGGGGCCTCTCGAAGCCGTTATCGAATCCCGCGTCGAGAAGTCAATCGGTAGAAAAAAGTTAAATTGCCTATCAGACCCTGAGACCCCCTATTTCCATCCATTCATTCAATCTGCCATTCTATCAGCTCTCTGGCTACTGGTGAAATCTTTATTCCTTGTTGAAAATCATGTACTTCTTCCTGCGAAGAAATTGAAATACAAATCAAATGGAATAATTACTGTTTGTTCAACCTACTTAGCCCTCCCTAATCCCCTAGCCTTCGCCACCCTGACCAGGGTTACAATCTAGTTCTAACCAAAGAATCTCACGCGAATCAAAGCTCAACAGAAAAGTCATGAGGAAAATGGTCTTGGTGATTTCCTGTCAGATTCGTACCCTCGTTCACGCAGTCGTTTGCCGTGGTACACTGTGGGTTCCGAGAGCCCCAGAGGCGAAAAAGCCCCTGAACCGTACATGACAAGACCTCGACTACGGAGTACGGAGAGTTGAACTAAGTCCGGGTCTGTCGATCCTCAACCAAGAACTGTTCGTTCGTGATTGCAATAACTTAATATCAGTCACTTCCAGTGTTCACCTTCTACACACCCATCGCCTCCCTTGAGCCATCCGTGGGGCCAACCTGGCTATGATATACTCCGTACTCGCAGACGAGTCATTCAAACCTGTAATGCCAGAATTAGGATAAATTAAACTCCCGTCTAGTTAAGTCTCCATGCGTATTCACATCATTCGGCTCTACAGCCAACATGCCCAAACATCTTGGTTCGCTTGTTCGCCGCCACACGCTCATCGCCTGGGTATTGAATGAACCTGCTTAAGGGGTGACTTGGGTTGTCTTCTAAATGGTAGATGATCTTGGCCCGTCTCGGGAACAGTGGACTGTTTGGCCTGTTTCTTTGGCGTATTGGCACACGGTCACCCGCAGGCCATCAGCTGGTATGTGTATCTTCGGAGCGTGCTAGACTCGGAATCACAGTGACCCGTCCTGAACTCGGCATTTGGGGTGGAACATTTTAAAGGCAGTAACCTGATTGGCCTACCAAGCGCATGGGTGCGGCTGCATGGTTCATGCATCGAAGAAATGAAGATTCAGTCCGGGGATCGGGAAGAGGGGTAAGCACATCTTGAGACTAGATAATACGATGCATCTTCACCCACTAGAAACGTACTCAAGCCGTCGGAACCAAGTCCGTTAGTTTAATCAGTCAGCTTATGCTTGGATTGGAAGCGATACGGAAAGGTAGTGAGTACTGAAGATGTGGAGATACGAGGGGTACATACGCGACCAGAAGATAAGATCGCTTCGACTTTCCTCGGCCGAGCAGGAACCTACCACCAATTTCCCCGCTCGATAACTTGTTCACGACGAAACATTTCCTCAACTTGTGACAAAGGAAGAAGACCAAGACATCATGATTCAACAGACTGATTCCTCACAGCTCGCAAACTGTGATCACATTCCTGTCATTGATTTATCTAGCATCGACAGTGCATCTCTCGAGGGACGCCAGAAGCTCGCTCAAACCATTTTTGAGGCTTGCACGCAGGTTGGATTCTTCTACATCAAGGTACCATTTCCACCCCACTAGTCGCATATTCTGGTGCTGATATGTTACTCATACATCTAGAATCATGGTATTCCAGATTCCCTGGTGGACGGAATCCATGATGCAGCGGCACGTTTCTTCGACCTTCCGGAGGAGGACAAGATGAAATTCTACATTGGAAATTCCCAGGTTACTGCTTCTAAACCCTCACTTGTGTCTTGGATACTGATGTATACTAACCTTCCACTAGAAATTTCGCGGATACAGCCCGATAGGCGGCGAAAAGTCCACCGGCACCGAAGACGATCCCATCCCGGAGGAAAAAGCAGTCGGCGTCCTTTCAGAGGCATTTGACATTGGTTATGAAGTCGCTATGGACTCCAGCAAGTCTAAAGACGCTCTTCTTCCTTCAGACCCTTATGAACTCTATGGCGACAACCAGTGGCCAGATGAGGAGACACTATCCGGATTCTCTGAGATGTATATCAAATATTGCGTTTCAGCCCTGGATCTTTGCCGCAAGATGATGAAGATATTTGCGCTTGCACTTGGATTGCCTGAAACATACTTTGATTCTAGTATCCGTACGCCAGGAGTGACGTCGAGGATGATGCATTACCCCGCCCAGCCGGTAGCCGGGGAAGTGCAAGAAGGACTTGGAGCGCACACGGTGAGTCTATTTGAGATATATTCTGTTATTGAATGTTCGTTCATCACCTTCTCCAATATAGGATTGGGAATGCTTTACGGTACTCTCTCAGGGAAAAGTTCCCGGCCTCGAAGTTCTCAATCACAAGGGTGACTGGATTCTGGCACCCCCTATTCCAGGCACACTAGTTGTTAATATCGCCGACTGTTTGTCTACTTGGTAAGTACCATTATCAAAATACTTCGTCCGAATTCTCCGTGGCCTCCGGGTCTGAATAACCTGTGAAGGACCAACAAAACTTTCAAGTCAACAATTCACCGCGTGAATAATCTCTCAGGAGAAGAACGATATTCAATTCCTTTCTTCTTTGGCGTTGACTACGACGCCACAGTCTCTGTTTTGGAGAAATATACGTCAAGCGAGAGTCCCCCTTGTAGACCACCCTTCAAAGCTGGGGATGTAAGTGATAGGCTTCGAAACCGTTTTAGACCACTACTAATTGCGACTGACTTAGTGGGTCCGTGAGAAGCTTTCAAGGGCCTATGTGGGCTTTGAAGGCTAGATGACTTGGGAGGTCTTACCGAAAAATAGGACTGGTGTAGCTGGATCTTGAGTGGGAAATCAGCAGTTATAATTTAAATTAGGTAGTTCTAGCCCAAAATCAAGGACAGTTGAAGATGTTACGGATGTATGTCAGGGGAAATGTGCCTTGCTCGAGAGAAAATCTCTGCTCCGAATGGATGCTGCAATTGACAACACATCCAGTTGTAGGGGCTCCTTCGTGATTTGGAGGGAAAGGGGAGGCTGCTCTACGTACGAAGGGGCACAGTTTCAGGAATGAATTTCGGAAACTAAAGGGGAATAGAGCACAGAAGTTAATCGGCAAGGACGGCTAAGGGACAGGTAAAATCTCAATAAGCCACTCCGAAAGTGAGTCATTCCACAACATCAATATTGCCCTGCAGAAAATCAAAACATTTTTTTTGTGGCTTTCGCTCCTTGGTGATGATCTGTAAGAAAGGGAGCAGCCCTAAGGCGAAGGCTCACTCTTGATCTTCGGCTCCTCGATCTTCGGCCTGTTCGCCTGTAATTCATCGACCGTAGGCTTCCTTGCCCAGACACGGCGACTGGATTCATTAGTACATGACAATAACAGCCCAGAGAAGATTGGGAACTCACATGTATCCCCAGCGGTGTACGTGTGGATCCTTCAATTCCACGCGCACTTTGGCCAGATAGATTTGTACCTCCTCAGGAGTCCACGGCTCTGGGTCTCCGTACTTAGTAAGAAGCCACATTGCCCAGCCCTCAATGGCAGCGCTCCAATGAGCATACTGGAGCTGACCAGCCTCCTTTAAGATTTTATCCTTGGCCCAAGGTCCAAGGGGAACCTTTTGTAGGTCTTCATGCGCATCTATGAAGCCGGCTTCCTCCATTGCGCCACGCATCGTCTCCTGGGTTCTGAGCGACCGACCAGCTCGCTCAGAGCACTTCAGAAACAGATCACCCCAGCCAGCTAGAAGGCTGTCTGGTTTCAGGGTACCGTCGTCGCTGCGGACTCGAATATCCATCTCCACTTGCTCGATCCACCCACCGGGAATCAGTGCACTATGAGGTAAAGAACGTAAGACCGGGATCTCACAGTGATAATCGTTGAGCGGTGATGCTCAATGCTTACTCGTAGGCCTGTTTATACACCAGGTTCCATCCCTCTGGATCGAAGCTTCCATACATCATACGCAAATGAATGAAGTCAAACGGCTCTCTCCAAGTCCATTCTCGGAGCACGTCGTCCACCTCAAAGACGCAGTTTGGAGGCATCCAGGTCACGGGTGGTGGGAAGAGATCCACTCCGCGAATAGTCGCTGTCACGCGTCAGTATTTCAACATAGCAAAGTCCTGCTCGGAATCCGGTTACCTGTCGGATAGAGATCCGCAGCGTCGCTGTGGAATTGTTAGGGATGGTTGCTTGCATTAGTGCTCATTGACTTACATTGCCCAGCTTCCCTTTCCTGTTCCAATGTCGAGGATGTGCTACTCCGGGTGATCAGCTCATTCGAAATCAGTAAGATCGAATCATGGGCAATCTACCTTGGGTGAATCGCCAATGGGGGCACGGAAAAGAGGATTCGGTTGGTTGTAATCTAGCACAAGGAACAAGATGTGACTTCGCATGTCGATACTGGTTATCTTCTCTCCCCGACGTAAGAGTTTTGGGGACAAAACTCACCTAATTTCGAATGCCTCGAATTGCTGCTCATCTGATGGGCCCCTGCGGATGGTCAGTCTTTGTATCTTTGATATAGAGACACTCTGACCGACCAGTAGTTATCTTCTTTCGTCGCTTGGTATCTATGCTGCGAGTCAGTTGCTGTACTAAGCCTCGGCTAGAATGCACTGACCTTCGGCCATTTTCCAAGCGCCCCCTCGCGATCGTGGATGCGATTGAGGTAGTCTCCCTAGACAAAAATAAGACAACCATGCAACACCGCATATGAGTCAGTCCGAGACTCACGATCGGAAATCATCCGGTTCCTCATTCCTCTTCATGGAATAGAAGTAGGGATCCTAAGCGAGAGGTGAGCACTGGAAACTCGTCGGAATGTGCGCGCACTACTCACCACCGCGATATCATCGCCCTTGTGGTCGACCATGATTGCGACTGCTTTCGTTGTGTGCTGAAGTTAGAGTTTTGACGCCAACGCGATTGTAAATCGCAGGGTTTGAACCGCATGGAAAGGAGAGAAAGGCCAGGGGGTCAGCATAAGCATAGGTAGCGGGGCTCCGGAGTCCGCTCAGACCATCGATGGATTCGGATCAGCTCGCCACGCTACCAAGATATGTATCTGATAGGCATCTGCGTTAGATAAGATCAAAGGACGATGATATACAAAGGAACATCAATTCAAGGATTAGGAATTTACTAAGAAGCTAGCTATATGGTGGAGCGATTAGAATAGTGACTACCCTAAATATGAAAACCTCCTTCTTGCTGGCGACGAGTGATCCCAAAGTCTGAATAATTCGTTTTCTGATAATGTTCTCACGTGATAAACACAAAGTGATTGTTTGTATTTCTTTCATCTGCATCACCATCAACTCGGACACGTATGCTTGGTATCGCGAGATGATTGGCTTAAATTAGGATATTACCTCATCTTCATTACCATAAGCGGAACAGGCTACATTAGTGCCCAGCCATAGCGGGGCTCGAACCTCGCGTAGAGTCTGTAAGACTCTGTCGGCGAAATTATGACAGTTGGTCTCGCAATTTAATCATGTCATAAAATCTGCGGGATACATAACAATAAGAATGTGTACAACTTCGGCTCGGATAATGATCACATGATATTTCGTCATCAAGCGCTATCCGTATCTTAGTCTCTTTTCATCTCTCTAGCTGTCAGACCTGTTTTCCTCAATCGACACCTATCTCCCAAGACTCAAGGTAACTAGCATCTTCGGCTCATTGCATCAATACGGCTTAACACCCGCGAGCTGGAGCAATCCCTCGGTATGTTCTGGTTTCTCGAGTGGTTCGGATCGATTGCGCGGATCCAGGCTACCGTCAGGGAGGTAAGCTTCCTTTTCACGAGGGGTGATATTATCGTGAGCCCAGTGCGTGGTCGCTTGAAACGCCTCAAATGCTCCTCTCTTTCGCTCCAATGACTCTGCTGTCGCCCACTCCGTGGGCGAGTATGATGCATAGATAACAGTTCGAATTGTGTTGCTTTGGGCGCTGGGCTCTCCACCCCAATGAACGGTGCGCGAGTCCCAGAGAATCAAGTCGCCAGGCTCAGCCGTGACTTTCAGGGGCTTCATATCTCGCTCTTGAAACCACTTCATGTCATCTTCACTAATCAATTGAAGCTCCTTTGTCTTCCAATTCGATGGGTCAGTCCGAGTATCGAGAAACTGTTCCATGACTGTATTGGAGCGGGGAAGCACGATGAGAGATCCGTCTTCGGGACCGGCCTGGCTCAAGTTGATAATACCTTGAACGCAATGAAGGCCCCGACGTAAAGGTGACTGGTCAACATGCGGCCATGGCTTTTGGGCTGGCTTGTCCACTCTGTTTGGCAAAGTGACATTCAAGGCATCGAAGGAGACGAGTAGCTTTTCAGTTTCCCAGATTTTGGAAAATGCTTCCAGAACCTTGGGTTCCATGCGAGCCTCCCACATGAATTTTTCATGAGAGACGGCATACTTGTTGAAGGTGTTTACCTTGCTCTGATATGGCAGGTTTTCGACCGTCCAAGTTGCTGGATTATTCAAATCCAGAGGTGTATTGAATGATGTGAGCCAGTCCAGTGCTTTCTGTTGGTAGTACTTGGCTTTCTCTTGGGTAATTACGTTCTTCACTACCGCAAAACCCTGGGATTGAAGATCGTCACGCCAGTCCCCGTATGGTCCGGTGAGTCTGACCTCGTCTATCAGATTGGGTTCGTTCAGGATAAAAATAGATATGCTTACCTGAAAGAAGAATGATTCAGGGATACGGAGGTCGTGGTAGTAGTGGAGGCGGTCATGATTGTAGTGATTATCAATAGCCCAGTCTATGCGGACAGGAAAATCAATACCAGCAGGCTTCAACTTCTGCACAATATGACTATGATGGGCTCTAATACCTAGGAGTAATGCCAGTGGAAGGAAAGGGCCAGAATAGAAAGTGCCATCTAATAAACGACGGAGAAATCAAAGAAAAAAAAAAAAAAGCAGAGACGCTGACTCATGATGGGGAGAGTCGGCGTCCCAATTGGGTTCTATACCTTCAACCATGCATTGATCTCACCCCTAAACAGGTGTCTTACGCGTAGCGCATCACTGAGTGGGCCAGTTTACGATTCGTGATCATCTCGTGTGCTGCATCCTGACCCCACTTCGCCGGGTAAACGGATCTTTATCCGACCAATTTCTCCATTCACTTTCCTTTAGTGAACGCATCAGCAAGTATTGCTCTATCATCTAGCGGTGGGGAAGTGGGTTGACCCCGCAACCGTACAGCCTGAGCCAATGTCTTCGCTACACGCTTTAACTACCCAATGAACCGGCTAATTGAACATAGGTCACCTGTGCTGTAGTAGCTAGCTGTAAGCTTCTGGATCAGCCTTTTGGAACTCTGTTGCACGGCACAGAGTCCGTGACAACTAATCTGTGCAACAACGAACGATGCGACAGCAAATGCCTGTAACGGTGCTGCTGCTCGTCAAGGTGGAATGATAGTCGTATCAGTGGATATCATGGCATAATTTGAGCTATTCAGACACAATGTATCCACACTGAAGTACTCGTAGATGCTCTCATTGAATTACGCAAAATCTCCGGGTCGTATGAATTTCTCCCACAGAAAATGTCGTCGCTGTCTTTGAAAGTGTAAAATTATCGATCTCGAAACTGTGCTGTGGAAATCATTAGATTTTGGGCCAAACTGGCAGCTAGATAGTTGGGAAAGACCGAGTCAGAAATGGAGTAGGCAAGGCAGACGGCAATTCCCAACACTAGACTGTGTGTGAGATGGGACATATACTCAGATATTACCACCACTTCCTGGCCTATCACTTCTGGACTCATGGAAGGGATTCCCTTCAATGGGTTGACCGTGAGCATTGTCGCCGGGGATCACGAGACCGAGTGCGATATCTCCGGGGCTTATATCCTTCGCCTTTGTAAAGTTGATGGATTTTTGGTTCGTAAAGACTTACAGAAGAAAGGAAGTTGTAAAACGAAAGTGCCTTAGCTGGCTGAAGGATCCATACGGGCATATTGCCGTGAAAGAACAATGAAACAAAAGCAAACTTGGACGGTAGGGGCCTCTCTACAGTTAATTTCAATCCACATTTCACGCGTACATTAGCTGAGAGTCAACAGTGAATGTCCAAGTTATTCGGAATATTGAGCTTTGAACAATGTGTAAAATTTTTTTTCCCAGGGACTTGAGGTTGGGGGAGACAGACTGACACTAGAATGACCAAGAACAACATATTCGTAAATTGCAATATCGTCAAGTGGGAACAATAACTTGACTTCTTGCCTCGCTTACGCCCATGGCAAGGCAAGACGATACTCTACAAGGCGCATCGACAATTTTCAGGGACTCACCAGGGATGGATTGTTTACTCAGCGGTGTGGATGTGCTCCGAGGTCTGAATATACGCATTGATACTCGATCGAGACCCACACCAGTCCACAAGGTCAATAATCGTGGCGTAAGGCTATATTTCTTCATGCTCCAAATAGTTAGCGTCGGGGAAACATGCATATACTGTACGCACCTGCGTATACTCCCGAGCCCGTGCTATATTACCGCCGAGGTATTTTCCCGGTTGGTGCTGACGCGTCCAGAGGATTTCATAACATGGCTTCGAGATTTTGCCGAGATGACAATTCATTTACTGTACAGTGGTGTCCGTTCCAAAAGCGGCACGTCCGCATGATCGACACGGATGGATAGTACCTGTATACTCAACAGCCATAGGCACCATGTATGTTGAAGAAAAGGTTTCAGCCAACGCCACTTTGAGGGGCTCCCTCGCACCTATTTTTCCTTTGATAATTTGCATGGTCCCGTATCGATGTTGCCCAATCTGGTGCCCGGCAATGAGTGAAAGAAAGGCATAAAGCAGTCAAATACATTTTAATACCTCCAAATTTGCACCTACCAACTGTCACTACGAGAGAGCAAGGTTTGTCACATTCTAATCACAATCCCTTTCACGAAGCCTCAATCCCATCGGGAAAATGTATAGCTCTGTTCCTCGTGTAAGCTTAAATTGGAGCTAACACCCTGCTCCGGGACTCCGCTGTTTGCCATGTCGATCACTATTCATCATATTCTTGGCAGCGCAGAGTGGCTGCATTTCGAGCCTATCATGGACACTCAATATCCACCAAGAAGCTTCCATATTCAAGCTGGCGGATGAATCTTTATCACCCCCCGCAGCGGAATAGGCAAGGTCAAGATCCGGGGGTGCGTGGCCGACATCTTAGCCTCCTTGGCGAGTGCTTGGCCTGTTTCGGCTTGGCAGTTGTGAACACTCCCAGCCAATTGCAAGAAAAGATTACGCAGCAGCCGACTCGGGGGAAGAAGAGACGTCGTCATCCAGGCATATTGACCTATACACCCTTGAATGTCGAAGTCTCGACGCGGGGCAAAGTGAAGATGCAATCATCCCAGTATCATCAACGAAGGCAAAGTATAAAAGGGGTGTCAAAGGCCGCAGCGATAATGGCATTTCAGGAAGCATTGTCCAGCAAAGCAGATCTTATTCTATTCTTTTGACCTCTTTTGACCTCTTTTGACAAAAAGAAGATCTCGGTACCTCTTCAACATGCGATTTACTGCTCTATGGAATCTCTGCCTTGTAGGCATGACCATTCCATTCGCGCTGGCTCACCCAGGTGAACATGAAAAACACGATGCCCGGGCTGAGCTCATGAAGCGCGAGTTCCGAAAGCATACTCGTCGTGGTCTCGAAAAATGTGCCAAGCGATTCGAGGCAAACGGCCTCAATGCTCGAGCCGCGGTTCGTCGTCGTAGCCTGTACGATCTGCACCGTCGTCAGCTAGTCGCTCGTGATACCGATGATGTCCTCGCTACTTCTCACCTGGTGGATGACTCGAGCATTACCACCGACACTTCGGCGGACTCGCTGTTCAGTAGCAGCTCTACCTGCGTGTTGAACCCTGAGGGTGAAACCGGTCCCTTCTATGTTAAGGGTGAACTGGTTCGATCCGACCTCCAGGAAGGACAGGAGGGTGTGCCAGTCATCTTTGACGTTCAGTTTGTCGATGTCAATACCTGCGAGGGTATTGAGGATCTGTATGCTGATATCTGGAACTGCAATGCTACTGGTGTCTATTCCGGCGTCGTTTCTCAGGGTAACGGCAACACTGCCGATACTTCCAACATCGACGCTACTTTCCTGCGTGGTATTCAGCCCACTGACAGCGATGGTGTTGTGTCTTTCAACACTCTCTTCCCCGGTCATTACTCTGGACGTACGACTCACCACCACATCGTCGCCCACTTGAACGTCACTGTCCTGGCCAATGGAACTATAACTGGCGGTACTGTCGCGCACATCGGCCAGCTCTTCTGGGATCAAGATCTCATCACCGAGGTTGAGGCTACTTCCCCGTATAGTTCCAACACTGTCACTCTCACCACCAATGCTGAGGACCGAGTCTTCTCTGATGAGACTGAGGGCACTACTTCGGACCCGGTTCTGAACTACGTCTGGCTCGGTGATAGTCTGAGTGATGGCCTGCTTGGTTGGACTACTGTTGCTGTTGACACTTCTGCCACCTATGATCCGAACTATAGCTTTGTGTACACCGCTAGCGGTGGTGTTGCTGAGTCTGGTGGTGGTACTGACAGTGTTTCCGGAGGAAGTACTGGAAGCAGTGGAAGCACCGGAGGGTCTGGAGGCTCATCTGGCCCTGGTGGCTCATCTGGCCCTGGTGGCTCTGGTGGCTCACCCTTCTAAATTCCTTGCAAGAGGTTGAATTGGGAAACCTGGTGACTCTGGGCCGTTGCTGGTTTAGTGAGTTGGCCGTGGGGTCACCAGAGGTGGATGTCAGCAGTCTAAAGGTTTGCGGGCAATTTTTGTTGGTGACAACAAGGCTAGAGTAGAATATGTCCTATACTCTGTATCCGCCTTAAGTGATTTAGCCGTTGCCAATAGCATTGCTTTTATTCAAACTTCTGGGCTGATTTATGGGCTATCGTATGACGTTCTATTAGTGAATTTACGCACAGCGATGCGACAATGAAAGCATGGCTCAATCAACCTATCCTTTTACTTTAGCCATGTCCGCGAAGCGGTAGCCAGGGCTAGTGTAGTCAGACTCGGGGAAAACCTCCATGATCTCGGCGACCATATCATCCGTGATGGCCGGGAAGAAAGCTCGAAGCTCAGCCTCAACATCTGCAGTAGTGTTGACGCCAGAAGTAGGCGAGCCGTTGTTCTCGTGCTGTACGTGGGCGATGACAAAGGGGCCATCGAAGTTGAAACGGCCCTGGTAGAGCTGCGACTCATAAGTATCGGCAACAAAGTCACCGTCAACACGGGGCTGGAATTGGTAGCCGTAAGTATCGTAGACATCGGTGGCAGCATCGGACAGGTTGTGAACGGGCCATGTGGAAAGGAGTTACTTCGGGTATTCAACTTTGCGAGCCAAGCTCTGAGTCGATGACGAAGATCCCAGGTTTCATCCTCTCTGCAGGGACTGTACATCAAGGTTAGTGTGGATTCGAATACTGTAGTTTATTTCGGGTCCTAGAAACAACCAATAACCTGAGTGTGTTAAGAGGATCGTGTGGAGTTGAGTTCCAGTTTAGGGCTGGGACGGCTGAATGCATATCGGGGGATTCTCTCCCCCCCTCCTGTCCGTGTCAATATGAGGGAGACAGATTTAATGAAGGGAAATTGGTATATTTGAAAAATATCAGAAGCGTTGCGGGGCAACCTTGCTGGTCACTGATATGGACCATGTTGGTCCGTCGGACAATATCTGGGAAGATCTCTATACCTTTCAACCCAGCTGTCAAAGGTAAACCGGGACATGAATATCACAGCTTGAGGGGACCATCGACAATCCAAGCGTGGGGAGTATCTTTGACCGTACTTTCCTAGAATCCAACTTCAAGCTTTGTGCTGAAAAAGGCCACGCGGCCATCATAATAAGCTATTCCCAAGCTCATAGTCCCAGATGCCTGCCGTTAAACCGGTCCCGTCTAGAAACAGAACAAATTGATCTCATCCAGATTGCCGGCATGCAAGAAGTCTCTCAGGGGTATAAGGAATTACATTCTGGCGGTATATTACCACATAGCATACACATGCTCACAGCTTGAATCAATAAGCAGATCACCTGCTGTCATCCACCGAATTACCACCATCTAGAGCTAAACCCCCGACTCCCGCTCTATCCCAGCAATGCGAGAGCCCCAAAATAAAATCACAAAACCAGCCTAGTGACCCCGCAAACGCACAAACTCCAGATGTCGCTGAATGATATAACGCGGCAGATGCACAGGTATCATGAGAGCTGGGGGACAAATGAAAGAAGCAAAGAGGTTCTTTTGCAGCAGGAAACTCAAATATCTTGTGTATCCAATGCCCAGATTTCCCAGTTCCGCAGAACCTCCCATCCCACTCGTCGCATATGCCGTCTATACACGTATCCGTCATTCGTGAGAACGGGCGGGAAGTGGCCACAGTTCGCCAGAGTTGAATCACGGAAAGGGTGATCAGGGGACTGTGCCGTCTCGCTGGCAACTGAGGCTGGTTGGTAAGTATTATCGTAATCATCATCTCGTGGGCGTTTTCCCAATGTAGATGGGGGCATGTTGGCTGCGGGAGTGGTCGAAGGTGCAGCGGGTGATTTGGACGGAGTAGGACCAGGCCGGTATATAGAACCAAACTCAGTGCTTGCATGGCCATTCGCTCCATTTGAAGGTCTGATTTGCTCATCTGGGGCGCCAGTCTCGACGGCCGAGGTAGGAGATTGGTTCTCGGAGATTGTGCGTGTCGGGATGGGAGCCTTATAAAGATCGCGGAGCTCAAAGGCTTTCCAACCCATCCCCACGACCTTCAGATTACCAAAGATTTGTTGGTCTGCCAGGTCATAGCTCATCATTTGAATGAGCAATTCATCGTCCAGATCCACAATGTCCGCGAGGCTGCGTGCATTCAGGATGATATTTTCGATGTCCTTCGGGAATTGGTACATGGTCGTTTTAGCGAGCAAATGTGGATTGGCCACGCTGTTCGGGACCGAGGATTTGAGATATGCATCTCCGGGTTGAGTACTAGTGGCTGATGACGGGGCATTGGTGTTCGCACCGCTCTGCGGTCCTGGAGAGCCGGCAGGGATGAGAAGTCGCAGTGCGACCAGCTTGCGGAGGAATGGGACGAGCATTCCAAGCGAATCCATACTGGCAAAATCGGTTGCAAGCGCTAGTTGCTCCAGGTTAGGGCAACTATGGACAAGGCGGGCAATCATGGATGTGGAGAGGGGCCACTTGGAGCAGAGGAGTAGATGGCGCAACGTTGCACCGTGATTCATGGTAATATTTGCAAGATAGCTGTCTCGTACACCCAGCGCAATATTCAATTGGCTTGCTGGAGAGGCCGCGGTAGCTGGTGAATTCGCCGTAGTACCATTGACAGCTGGGGAATCGACTACTGGTGGTGTCAGCGCGGAGGAGGAAGGGCCCATGCCTGGACGTGGAGAATTGAGGTAGTCGGGGGAATTGTCGAACACATTGACGATATACAATCGTTCAAGTCCCTTGAAATTTCCAATAAATTCTGAGTTTCGCTTCGAAACAGTATCCATCCGCATGGATCTGATCTTGAGTTTTCGGTCTGGCATCATGGTGGGCCAGCTGTTTTCGACAAAGGTATTCATCAGGCCAACAGTATCCGACCCATTCAAAAATGTCACATCTTCAACGGTTGTCGGATCAAACGAGATATTGAATTCTTCGCTGTGGAAGGCGTATAAATTTTGGAAGGAGAGCTTCTTGACAGAGAGGGGCTGTTTCGCGGCGGTGCATTTCCGGAAATAGTCATGTAGAGAAACACTAGGTTCTTGCGCGAGGCGCATGCGAGGCGACCAGTGGAGCTTCAGCTCGCGCAGCCTCCTGCTCTTCAGTAGGATTGTTGAGATGTCGTCAGGGTAGCATAGGGGATCGATGTCGGTGATCTTCAAGCAGCGCAAGTTTGGCATGCCCGGAAGGACGAATGTCGGCTGAGGATGGCGGGTGGAGGGGAATCGAATCGTTAATGAGGTTAGTTTGGGCAGCTTTGTGAGCCCTATATAGACAGTTTCGAGCATTTTGGTGTTGAGCTCCCAGCTGAAGCTCTCGAGGTTTGTCATGCGATCGACGGCCGCCCGCACCGCAATGTTCAACAGCATCGAGGAATCCGGCACCCGTCCGACCTGCGCATGTTCTTCGATGTCGTTTTCCTTCCAATCGCCGCGCAACGTAATTGATCGCACTAGTGTCGCGTACGGTCTCGTAATTACCGCGTTGAGGCCCATTGTAAAAGGGCTCGCGCTCCCGCTCCCTTCGGGTTGCTCACCGCGATAACGGATTTTATCGTAGGAGGTGAGGGTCAAGCTGCGGTAGAGCTGGGGAAGGGCCATATAGTTGAGCACGCGACATGTTCGGCATAGTCGTGCGGTGTCACCGGTATCCTCGACCTAACAGGTTCAATATGTCAGTGGCGCGATCAGATGGAATGAACTGGGGTAACGGACATTGGACACGATCTGGGCGATCAAGTTCAGCGGTAGCACCATCAGCGAGGCCCCGCCAGGTCGATCGGTCACGATGCTGGCGTCGAACATATTCCGATTGACAGTCGCCATGGTGCGACATCTGGCTCGTGGCACAGCATCGACTAGAGAGATTCACCAGGGGGAGGGGGGGGAAGAAGGTTCTCCGAATGATTAATTCCAATCTGGGGGAGGATGTGGATGTGCTCGGAGCAGAAAGTTCCCGAACGCAAGACCGAGCTTCGCCCCACTTGAATCTGGCGAATCCTCGAATGAAACTCACGCCATTAGGAGTAAAAGGTTTTTTGCATTAATCGGAACGGAGCTGAAACTATAGATAGTCAGATGAAAGCTATTATATAGCTCTTATTTCACCTAGTATATAACTTTACAGCTTCATACGAAGTAAATGAAGCTCTTCTCTACATAGAGAAGGCGGTGGCTTAATGAAAAGAAGACTGTTTTTGGCATTTCATCAGAACTTCCTTGAGAGAACAGACGAAATTTGATATAATCATTAACTTACATAACAGATAATATAGCTTTTAGGCCCGGTCTACTTCAATATGGATACTAGAAAGAAAAACTGGGTTTCTATCATTGCTTGAGACTGCGGCAGTCCCTCAAGATGTTAATTGACCATCTCGGTAGAGAGTTGCTAATTTGACACCCCCACACCTCATAGCATACCTCTCATGCCAAAAATTACCTTGCTGACTAGGAAATTGCCCGTACAATTCTAAAACAGATCTCCACATGTGCTTCGACTACTTTGGCAGCATTTCCGGACCTATGACGTCGAGGTTGAAACGTCGTAATCCTATCATCTTCACAATCACCCGGGAAGCAGATGATTCCCAGAGAGCTTATTTATTGGGACCCCATCGAGGATGGATTTGGCCAGCCGGGTATGATGCTGCTTCGGTGCAGTTCGGAAATTCCGAGCCGCTGGCATCTCATTTCGATCAGCCCTGGTCAGCTACGAGGAAGTCCCCTCGACCACAACAGGTATCGACACTAGACCCCTGCTTCAAAGAATTGTTTCCAGGCTCTAGTGTCTTCTAGGAGGTACCATTACCGGCGGTCTACTTCAATTCTTTCCAATCGGGGCAATTTTACGAAATCCTCTGGGTATGAGGGCAAGCCGTCTCTGGGACTGGGGCACCGAGAAAACGACCAATAGTGTTCTCATGAATCTGAAGGCCCTTATAGGTACGCTGGGATTTAGATATTTTAATCCAGTACCGAGAAATCTTGGTCGCAACGATCAAAATACATTTGCGGCCTTAAGACCTGGAGAGTTATGGTCGTTCACCCGGGAAGTGACTGATTTTCTAGAGACGGCAGCGCCCAGTGATATCTTTCGATACAGATTCAAAGGAGCAAGGCTTGACGGGTGGGATTGGGGATATCTTCGAGATCACGAAAACGCTGTGGTCTGGATCGATCAAAGTATATATGCCCCAAAAGGTAATGGAGGCCAGCCTATATACTTATCGTACCAGCTAGTAATTAGGTGGAGTGCACCCTGGTTGAATGACGATCTTATCGCACTTAACAACGACTGGAAATCATTACCTATCAAAAAGTATCGTGATAGCTATACGTCCTTCAATGTACAGTGTTCCCCTGGAGTGGTTCGGTTTCGCCTCTTCCAGAGCTTAGCCTATTTTGGTAGTGGGAGTGTCGAATTAGCAATCTTGGGGTGTCGATTTAGCAAGTCTCTCTAGGAATACATAGTTCCACTTTCCACACACACGCGTATTCTCAGACTTTAAGGAGGCCGAATAAGCTAAGCTCAATATTCATAGTGTTTGTTGTCTATTGACGCCATCTACCTCGAGGTTACATTACTAAAAAGTCCCCATCCTGAACTAGCCTCCGACGCAAGGCTCCAGCTGCGGATCATCCATCTCTGCATCAGCCCCGCGACCCCGAGAACCGAGGATTTCCATCCTCCAAAAGACACACGCGGGGGGCTGCAATGTCAAAAGGTCACCAACGACGATAAAAGCAAAGTCTAGATCATTGGAGAAAATAATATCTCTGCAAGGGTCTATCAACAGGGTTATTCGTATCCACGGCGTGACTCATCTTAAGAGATATAAGACACCGGAACCCTCTGGTTCATCGAGTCAGTCACCGCGTCTCGCGCAGAACAGAGAAAAATCACCACCATGGGAGACACAGAAACCAGATCAACACGCTGGGAGTGGCGCTCAGCGAAATGGTTCATTCTAGCCACCGTCGCCATAGCCCTATTCATCGGTTCGCTCTCTCCTCCCACCTATCAGAAAATTTTCCTTCCCAACTAACCACCATACCCAGAAATCTTCCTCTATGGCTTCCTCGTCCCAATGCTCCCCTACATGCTCGAAGAGCGCATGCACCAAGATCCCAAGCAAACCCAACGCCTAACATCCATCTCCCTAGCCCTGCACGGGCTCGTCTCAGCCTTCGGCGGTCCACTAATCGGCCATCTAGCCGATAAAGCGCCCAACCGCAAGGGACCCTTCCTCATTGCTCTAGTGGGCTGTATCATCGGTACGTTCATGGTAGCCTGCACCACAGATGTAGGCGTGTTCTTTGGAGGGCGCGTGTTGCAGGGGATTTCTGGTTCGGGCGCTTGGATTATTGGACTTGCGACTGCGGCGGATACGGTGGGACCCGAGAGGATTGGGACTACGATGGGGTTTTTGATGGCGTTTGTTAATGCGGCGATGGTTACGGGGCCGATGGTTTCGGGGTTGATTTTGGAGATGGCGGGTTATTGGTTTACTTGGAGTGTGCCCGTGGTGATTTTGGTGATTGATATTGTGGCTAGGTTGTTGATGGTTGAGAAGGGGGGGAAAGAGGATGCTGGTAAGTCTTTGGCGGGCGCTGAAGAGAGTGATCCTTTATTGGGGTCTCCGAGGGAGGAGGAAGATGATGCGAAGACGCCAAGGGTGAATTTCTGGCGGACGATGCTCAGCAATAGCCGTGTCATGACGGCCTTGTTGATTGGGGTTTGGGGTCCGACTCTGAATACAAGCTTCAACGCTACGCTTCCTCTGCATGTGTTGGATATCTTTGGCTGGGGACCCTCGCGGGTTGGGTTGATGTTTTCCTTGTTGGCCCTGCCTGGTCTGCCCATCAGCCCGCTCGCTGGATATCTTCGTGATCGCATTGGGACCCGGACACCTGCGACTATCGCCCTTGCTCTGCAGGGCGTTTTCCTTGTCTTGTTGGGATTCGCTGGTAACAAGCATTATGAATGGTCCAGTGCAGCTGGTCGAGGCCAGGCACTATATATCTTTTGCTGTATTATGTTCGGCACACTGCGACCATTTGTCTCGGGAATTGGGCCTGTGGAATTGACCTGTGAGTCTTCAGTCATCCCTCAATCAACATAGAAAAAGTACTTACATTTTAATCACAGGTGTTGTCAAAGCCGAAGAGGCAAAGAACCCAGGGATCTTTGGACCTCGAGGAGGTCTCTCGCGTGTCTTTTCCCTGGTCGAGGTCGCCGCCACGAGTGGTATGACTCTCGGGCCCATTCTCGCCGGAGCTCTGACAGAGCGTTTTGGATATTATAATATGTGCTGGACATTGAGTAAGATACCCCGGATAGTCTCCCTGTTTTGGTTATCACTAACATGAATAGGCGTTGTCTCCATCATCATGGCCATCATGGCCCGCATTTTCCTGGGTTCGAAAAGTATGGAAGAGAAGGCTATTCAAGAGGCAAATGCCGAATAACGATAATCATAGAAGGGCAGTCAAGGAGTCGAAAACAAAAGTGTGAATATATTATGTATGTTTCCCAGGGTATATAACATGGGGACGAGTTGAATCAAAGATTGATGATACCCCAAATGCCAAGTCCACAATCCGAAACCATTTCCAAGTAAAATGTATGTAAATCACCCCAATAGAATGCGAATATGTTCGAAACTCCAAACAAACCCCCGCATGTCCCAAATATGAAACCATTCGCCAAGAAACACCGCGCAATGCCTACCGAAGGCCAAATTCGCCCAGTCCATGTACACCAAGGGATATGTAATGCAAAATCAAGAGGCATCATGACCATGGCCACCATGCTGCTGGGAACCCACCTGGACAGACGGCTTATCGTGCCGTTGCTCCGAATCCGTCGTTTCCGTCCAGCTGGCCTGGTCTGCAGTATCAGGGCGCTCATCACGGGCACGGTCCTCATCGATCAATGCGGCAGCATCCGGATCATAACGCAAAGTATAATCTCCGTCGCCGTTTTCCAAATCCGCATCAGTCCAGGGAGCAGAGGCCTGCGGTTGAGAGGGGATTACCCTCACGGGTAGACCAGATAGGCCAGGTCGAGATTCATAAGCGGCGGATGGCTCCAACAGGGGGTTCTGCGGAGACCAAGTGTGCTGCTGGCCTCGACGACGAGCTGGGATGACGGTAACAGGCAAAGGCGCATCTGCATTTTGCGATCCTGCACCGGGATACCTCTTGCGGTGAAGTGAGAAGAAAGTGTTGTTGCCCCGTGGTTGCGTAGGTTGTGGCTGGTGATCATTATCAAATGAATCGTTCTCATCACGTTCATCCTCCTCGCCTTGTTCCTCGCCAGCTTGGGCGGAAGCAACCTCCTTGGGCAACGACCCGCGTCTCCTTTTGAATGGATTGAGCAGAGCGCGCCATCGCGGATCAGAGGTGACGATCTGCGGTGATTGTTCCCTGGCGTCGTGAGCTGAAGGATCGTGCTCGGCAGCGTTAGGATCATGGGCCCCTTCGTTTTCCATCTCTTTGTACTCTTCGAGTTCGTCTTCTTCCTCCATATGTGGCATTGCCACGGGTGGTGTTGGGCTTGCTACTGGGTGATATCGCACATTGTACACTGTGCTAGCAGCACTAGTAGTATCGGCCCGACTGACGGGTGTCGCCGCAGCCGGCGGGGGAGTAGGACGAGGATTTCGCCGAGGAGGCACGGCTGCATTGCCTTGACCAAGGACTCCATTGCCCCGATTTCGATTCCCACGAGGGATGCCGACTCTCGTGCGTAGCGGGCGACCTCCCAGCCCTATCATACCTCCCCATCCTGAAGACGTGCCGTTTCCGCCACCCTTGTCATGTCCTTGAGTCGAGTAGCGAGGCCAGTCAACCTCTTCTGATGGTGTGACCTCGAGCATTTCGTCCCCGTCAAAGACCTCTCTTCCAAGAATTCCATCCTTCGTCTCATCTCGTTCCAGCGCTTCTATACGCTCCACCCATTCCCACACAACTACGCTCGCCGCGGCCGAGCCAACCCATCTGATATACGTACCCCATCCAGCAATCTCTGGTTTTGCAATGTCCAACACGAAGAATATAACTGGTATCAGAATCGCACAAAGCGATAATAGAGCCACAAAGCAGATATTGCGCATCTTGGGATGAAAGAACGCATAGCGGTGTTTCGAGATCGAATAGAAGATGACCCAAGCCGCATACAACAAGTTGAGTGCCAATTCGAACAAGTAGCTCAGCGCGGGAATCGCATCATCGTATAATCGTGGGTGTGTCGAGGTGTTCCGTACCATAAAGTTTTCCAAACAACTAAACGTAGTGTCCAGCACAATCAGTGCAAAGCCCGCCCATTTGATCATGACTTTCTCCTTATGTCGCGGAAACAACCGAATAAGCGTCTGGACCTGTGCCAGCCATAGAAACGTGCTCGATATCACGCGCACGATACGGATCTCCGTGCCATCAATGACTTCTTCCGAAAGCGCCTCCGCATCAGAGAACCCGTAGTCATACTGGCGTTCAGCGACTTTGAATGAATCCGCCGTGGCGATAGTTAAAGAAATTGCAACCAGAATGGCCGCTACTTTCTGCAACCAGGGCCGCCCACCGACGCCGACAACTGATGAGTTGCCACTGTAGGACCCGCTGATCATGCCATGGCGCCCAAGGAAGTTCGCCCCGCCGCCAGGGCCGCCGACGTAGAATGTGCGCGGGGTGATGAGGAGTATTATGACGAGAACGTAGCTGACAACGGTGGCGCAGCCGATAGCATAGAGTTGCGGTGTGACGGAGGAGTAGAACGGATCGCGGGTATCTAGGATGGCAGAGACATGGACGTAATCGGCTGGATCGCCGGTGCAAACGGGCTCGTAGACAGCATTGCCGGTCAAAGTCAGGGCATATGAACTGTTGACATGTATAATTCCTATAAGAAGGCGCAAACGCCAGGTCTTAGTATGAAAATCAAGGCAGAGAGGGTTCGGTGCGAAGGGCGAGGGTCTGTCAGCCCTCAGCCGCACCGGACATTGGGAGAGATGCATACCATCGCTAGGCAGAACAAACGGCGTACACCCGGACGCATATGTATGGGTCGACGTTGTTGTTGGGTTCGCCCAGATCTGGCGGGGAGTCACACGAGGCGCATCTCCCATGATCAGACACTCCAGGCGGCTTCTTCGCCGGCCGGGGGCTGCTGTTCATGTACCGGGTCCAAATCCACCAAGTCCTTCTACGAATGCTCTGCGCAAACAGTCGAGTCCAAAGATGCCCTAAAATTCCATTCTGGGGTGGACTCGAGCCGCGCGTATAAAGTCGTTTTGAAAGGGAGCGAGGGGAATCAGCTCACAGGGGCGTGTGGTGAGTGGATCGGTCGGCGGCGATAAGTGTCGGTCTGGCCGGAGAGAGCTAGAGAAGGCGACTCGGGAAGGTTGAAAGAGTCGTTATCGCAGCAGAACGAGTATTGCGATCCCGTCCAGGAACCGGCGCACACTGTCTAGATTGACTTGAGGGATGATTCAAGGTCGAGACTCGAGAAGTCTGGAGTTGGCGGGTCGAGATGATCCGCCACCGGGTCCACCATTCGACTCGCTCATCCACTCATGCGGCTTTCCTCGGCATTCCTCCACCTCCCCACGAACACTTACAAGACTTTAATTCTGCTTGTGCCTAGCTATCTTAACGGGTCTGGTTGGCGAGAGTTTCCGGGAGAAATACTATTTGTACACCTTTTGCACTCATTTCAACATCCTGTATGTTTTGTTATACTACAGCTTTATCGAAGCGAGCTAGAATAGTGACCGGATTGACTATATACCCAACTGCTCGCGCTCAATGCAGTTTGCCATTACGCTTTTGACGGAAATTGTTATCCCGGATGAGATGGCAAAGCCAGGGTAGACAACAGGGATTGTACTGGACAGGCAAATGGCAAGACGGGATCCGTGCTAGAGTACCGAGTGAATACGACCATACCTATTCAGTTGAGTTCCAGGATAATCTTATCAATCTCTAGGATTTGCATCACAGTCTACCAGAAAGATCAATCAATAACAATGCGTTGTATGTATTATGTGCTGCACGCATAGTTCAAGACACCATGTACAAGCCCAGCCGCGTCAAGACCAAAGGCCAAAAGGTAATCAATCAAGAAACGAAATATATCAATCCACTCATCCACCAAAAATCAAGCTAGCCTGCTAGCCAGCTCCATAATAAAATGGGTCCAATTTTCCCTCTCCCATACCTGATACCTCATTATCTCGGAGTAAAACACCCCTCAACACAAGAAGACACAGGAGCGTACTCATCACCCCGCGGGATCAACCCGTTGACTTAAGCCTGGGGAGCGAAGCCAAGACGGGGGCCGTTGGAGTCGAAGACAACGTATTGGCTCTTCAGGAAGATGTCACCGAAGATGGAGAAGCCCAGGCCCGAGTTGCTCTGGATACCGCCGAAGCAGGTGGTGCTGCCGGCCTGGAGAGGAGCGTAGTTGATCAGGGAGCCAGGAACAACGGCGTCGTAGCCGCCAATGGTGACAGTAAAGTCGGGGAGAGTGGCGGAGCAGGGGACGGTGTAGCCACCAGCGGAGGAGTCCTGCTGAGCGCCGGAGACCTGGCCGTAGTAGTCGGAGACGACGTTGTCGGGGAGCAGGAGGAGGGTGGTGCCAGTGTCTGTAGGGGGATGATTAGTCATAGTTCAAAAAGTAAAGTGATATTAAGAGCGGGGGAATTCATCACTCACCAGCAATACCAGTGATGGAGCTGCCAGACTTGGAGCCAGCCTTGTAGGAATCAGCAGTGAAGCTCCAGAAGCCCTGGGAGCTGTCAACCTGGGTGTAGGTGAGCGAGCCGGTGTACTTGGACTTGTCGACAAATCCGAAGTCATAGGTACCGGGAGCATTGTGCTTCAGAGTGACAGCGAACAGGGGGGAGTCCAGCTGGCCCTTAACAGTGTCGAAGAAAGTAGTCTGCGACTTGGGCTTGACGGTGTTGATGGAGCTGAAAGCCAGACCAAGCAGACCGTCGTTGTTCTTGTCGTTGACGAACTGCTGGCTGATCTGAGAGGCAGCCTCAACCGCCTGGGCGGAGGCCTTGACGCCACCGACAATGACGCTGTCCTTGTAAACGTCACCGCTGGCAGAGCTCTGGTCACCATACTGGATGGACCAGGTGTAGCCGGCCAGCTTGGTGGCATTGCTGCTGGGCTTGTAGAGGCTGTGGCCCGACGACTCAGTGGAGGACAGCTCAGAGGAGAACACCCAGCTAGATTAATGTTAGTATATGGATATTGCCAGTGTATCAATTGCAGCCAACACTAGCAATTAAAGACTTACAGATCGGCAGAACCAGTGTCAAAGTCCAAGTTCAGGGTAGTACCACCGACGTTAACGGGAGTCAGGTACTCGACGTCGTTGTCCTCGGGAGTGGTGACAGCAGAGCCGCTCTCGGCAGCAGCCTTGACGCTAGCAGGGACCGCAGCGCCAAACTTGGAGAGGGAGGCAGCGTACATGCCGGGCAAGTTCAGAGACTTGGGCTGAGCCACGGGACGAGCCTTCTGGTTGACAGTGAAGGTACTCTTGCGCGAGCTGCCAGTCGGCACAGCCGAAGAGACAGACGCCAAACCGGCCAGGACGACCGTAATCTTGCTGAAGACAACCATGATGGATGGTAGCAATATGGTGGCAAAAGAATATAAATAAGGGAGAAAAGAATGAAACTCTAGAAAGAACGGCTCTAGACTCGAAAGAATGGAGTTGAGTGGATTGGAAAAAAGATGTTCTATCGGCCGGCGATGAGGACTGCTTTATAGGCCTTGTGCATAGACATGACCATCATCGCCAGGCTGATCCAGGAGATGGACATGGCTCAAAGGCATCAGTGGAACCACACTCTATCGCCCCGGGTCCCGATGAGGGACAGGCAGGAGATGTTGCTCTTCCGGGAAGCTTGCGCCGCCGATCCAGCATCTGCAGGGACAGCCGGGGCATAAACTTCGAGATCATCACGGAACTCCATCGGCCAGCCAGAAGGGCACGCGGAGTCCGCCAAGAGGTGGAAACATCAGGAGGTGGGAGGCCCAAGAGAGCATGAGACCGTGTCGCGTAAAGATGGCGAACGCTCATGGGTCTGATAGCGACGAGAGCCAAGAATGACCAGGCAAGAGAAGGCGGGGGAGGCGCCACAGCTGCGACGGGGCCCGGAAGCATGGAGGCTTGACTGTGACAAGCTATCTTGCGAAAGTCACTAACCATGACTGGTTGTAGTTAGGTAGTGATTATTTAGTGAGTTATCGCATTGTTCCAGAACGGGGAAGTCCGGCCAAGACCGACACGAGCGAAGTGCGAGCCTGATACCCATTCGGCGGAACCCTGACGATCGCCATTCGTGTCGGAGTTGATGCCAGGGTTTGGTTCCTGAGATGGATAGAGAGGGTGGAGCCCGGAGATACAGAGCTAAGCGATAGACCGGACATGATTTGATTGAGTCTGTTGGTGGATGGATGTTAATTTGACAGGGTCAAGTAACGAGCAAATGGACGTTGACAATGGGCTTGGCTCTGTCGATCAGGGCCCGATTATCTCCAGACGCAGCCAATCACTGGCTGAAACCAGGAACTCTTCTGTTTGCCCCTCTCTGTTAGGGTCACATCGCGTCTGGAGCCGACTTGATCATTCTGGGTGAAGATGAGAATCTCGGGGGCTTGATTGGATCCGATCCTCCACTGGTGAGGCAGTCGAGACGGGAGGATGGATAGAGTGGGCGAGTAAGGAGATTCCTCATACTGTCCATGGTTCTGACTCCTCTATCTGAAATCCTGCTGGAGTACGGAGTACAGACTGTCATAACGTTGACTGAAGGTAGAGAGTAGATAGAAAGGAGTCAATTGGAGGTTCCAAACGGAGACTAATTTCAGAATTCAAGGTCTTTCTTTGGTTCCCTCCGCCTCCACTGTGAAACCGCTATCATACGCCTAATCATTTCTATTGAGTGTCTGCCTAGAACTAGAATATTCTGAGTGCTGTAGATTGATATCGGTATGAATAATCCAATAATATAATCATAACATTATAACAATTTATTAGAGTTCTATTGAGTATCTCGACCCAATTACGAGATCTATGATACCATGACCATTTACTATTATTCTATTATTCTAATATTCTAATATTCTAATATTCTGATCAACTCTTCTACCACATCACCCATACCCATGAAGTCTCCCATTGTAGTTCTAGTTCTAGATACCTGCAAATCAGATCACTTCCCCGATCGGACTCCGTCACCAGATCGACCCTGTACGTTCGTTAGACCCCGTCCAATCCAAACACCTTCACTATCCAACACATCCGAATCATTCGTACATCGATATTCAACACACAATGTATCCCCACTGCATTCACCTTCATTCACACCCTCATTCCCGAGTGAAGATCGACTCGGCCGATGTGACCCTCGACCGGGGAGGGGAACATGCAGTAAGCCAAACAAATCTGCTCTACTAACCCGATCTTGACTCCTTTGTGCCTGTATTTGGAAGGTTACTCGTCCCAAACACAAGAACACGCCCCTTATCCCTTATCTAAGGCTGCACTCGTCAGCCCTGGCTGCGAGATCTCACGGACGATTAGCCTCCATTAGACTACTGTACCGCAATAACCCAATTGCGTAGGAGATCGGCTGTCTCGCTCAATGGCGCCAGATGCAGGCCAAGAGATCGACGCCGGTAGGCTTGCTACCCTAGTTTGTGTTCTAAATTACGGTAGTGGGTTTGTTCATCTTGATAGGTGGGCAGAGTGTAGGCTCATCACAGTGGGGTAGCTTCGAGAAGAGAAGAGACACAGATACTGACTCCGGCAAGTGATATGGCTTTCTCCTAAACCTTCACTACATGGCCGGGCATCATGCGCCTTCGGCATGTCCGGAGTGGCCATGATTCTCTACTATAGTGGACACACTTCACTTCATTGCAGAGTCTAGGTCACAGATGTCGTGATAACCATAGAGAGAGAAGTCGAGTCGATCTCTCTGACACCTCGCATCTGACCCGGAAACAAAAATGCAATGGAACCCCGAAGGTCCTTCTCCAATATATCTCACGCAAGTTGATCCCATCATGGCTCCATCGTCATCACACAGACGAGCGTTACCCAAACCACTATAGTCAGTACTTGGGACCACATCCCCAGAAGAGGAAACCTCTAAGAAACACTAGAAATCCAAGCATGCAGGCTCAAGCCACCCGGTGCTAGGGTACTATGTAGTCTTTGTTAGCGCGGCTGAAAAGATGATGACGACAGTTTACAGTTTACTATGAACAGTTCTAACTATTAAGGCGTGAGCTTGACGACTCGCTAAACACAGCATGTGAAAGCGGAGGATCTGCCATATCGCGATATGAAACTGTTGCCCCGCAGGCTTGAGACCGACGGAGACCGGCCGGGGTACCTTAATCTCGAGGCTCGGACGGTGAGGAATTTAGCAGCCTGGAATGGTGAAACGGATTGACGAGGTGACAGGTGAAGATCACATAGACGGATAGACAATAAACACTCAAAATAATAGTTTATTCCAATATTCCAGGAACTATAATATCCCGAGGGGTTTTGGAGAGGGTTACGCTGGGTTAATGGTGCAGAAGATTAGACTAATTGTATGCAGTCATCAATATCACTCACTATCTTGCATATCAGATGGAATCCAGTAGAAATCGTACACATATCTTGGAGACTTTCAATTTGACAGTATGAAACCTTCAAGGGCGCCACTTCATTCGTGCAGACTGAAGCAAAACTACCGCAACGCCTTCTCCGCAGTAACCAGCATGAGACCAAACACTGAACCCACCCTTGATGAAAATCACAAAACATTAACATAACTTGACACATGACATCGGCTTTGAATTCATGAACAAATAGAATGGATAAATCGCAGGTCCATTTGAATCAGGCAGGAGGCAACTTGTCGCTGTTTCATCCAGATTGAAGCCCTGGCCAATCACCATCCTCAAAAACAATTAACAACATGATTTTGTGTATTAACAAATAACAAGAAAAATAGGATCAAACCTCCAATGCAACCAACGCCAACATGAAGATCCCGTAGGGGTATATAGTTTTGAACGGGGGAAAATAAAAAGAAACGCGACAGAAAAAGGTACGAGTCGTCCCCAAGATGTCCAAAGTAGAGACCAATTCATCACGCCCGAGCGCACGCTCAACCCAAGAAGTGAGGCGGAAGGCCTCCAGACTCATTCTCACCGTTACCATGCCCGTCATAGCCTTCATTCAAAAGCACCTCCAACATATCAAACTCACCCAGCATCGGGCCCGTCCCGCCCAGACCCTGGTCTACCACACCGCTGGAGCTATTGAAGAATTGATCCAGCGGAAGCGCAAACCAGTCCGGCAGCGCACCGGACGTAGCGCCCGCCCCGTTACTATCCCCGACGGCCTGCGAGGTAACAACATGGTTAGGCGACGATCGCTCGAGATCGTTCGCCGACATGGCCGAGTTCGAGTCATAGTAGTTGTAGTATACCGATGGCGGAGGCGGCATGAAGGAGACGTTCAGGTTTGACGAGTTGATCGGCTGCGCGGGAATACTGGCCAGCGGATCATGGGCCGATCCGATCGGCACTGACGGATTCCCGCCGGCGCCGTTGCTGTCCACGTAGGCCCCTAGGCCGCCGCTCGGAGTTGCATCTTGCGTAGATGACCAGGGTGTGTGGGCGCCGTCGCGACGACTCGTAATGCTGTCGCGTGGCGGGGACTGGGCGCGGGAAACGGGAGCCGAGGCATTTCCGTCACCATCGACGCCGCGGTCGTGTGGAGCGAATCGAAGGAATCGCGTGCGAATGCTGCTGGTGAGGAGCTCTAGTAGGCGAGCAACGGTGTTACTGATATGTACATCGTCAACGACGAAGGTTCGCAACGCCTCTACAGTACGATCCTGTAGGTCAAGAGAGACTCGCACGTCGTCTTCTCGGGCGCCAAGTGTGAATGTCTGGAACAGTGGAGTCAGCATTTGGGGTTCTGTAGTCGCCATTTTCACCTGACAGCCTGATTAGAACTTACTTTCAGGATGAATATCATGCCAGACAAAATGCGGAAAAATGTACGGATGGGAGCATGTTTGAGACGGCCGCCCGGAACAAGACCTTCCAATACAGTCTGTAAGATCTTTCGTGAAGCATCCACAACTTCTTGTATATACGGTTCGTTGACGCGGTAGAGCTCCATCAACGTGCGGAACCACCCAGTGCTACCAGCAGATGGCCCTGGGCCTGACCGGCTAGTCTGGGCTTGGACAGAAGACTCATTGGACATGGTGGTCCAACGGTCGACGACCGCTTGGAGAGCGAGCGAGTTGACATATAAACCTAGAGAACATTAGCTTATCGTTATCCAAGAGCTTGAGGGCTAATTGACTTACGGGTATATTCGTATTCAATGATCAAAATGCTTCGCATTGCAGGAGACACTGTCACGGGTTAGCTTAGGCAGATAGCCACGGAGTTCCTGGCACTACTGTACTTACAATTGACTCGGTCCAGATTCTGTCGGAATTCTCGCAACTGCGGTTGGAACCAGTCGATCTGTTCACGATACCTCCCGCTCCTGATCAACTCTGAGGTCTGTTCACTGGATGAAAACAGTTGATGGTTTGCCTGGTACACTATCTTCGAGATGCCCATCCAGCAATCTTGCATCTGATTTAAGTCCAAATCACCATCTTTCAAGTCAGTTGTAGGCGCAGGAATATCTCGCCCCCATTCTGTCAGAGGCAGCATAGATGGGATTCCCAGTCGTCCACTACTGTGCGTGATGAAGACTAGAATCAGTCGTCGCAGCCGACGCTTGCGGGACTGTTCGGACGGCAATTCAGGGGCTCCTTTTGACTCGGTCTTGTGGTCAAAAACACCAAGTTCAAAGGCCAACGCTTGCGCCGTGCTCAATAGCATCCACGACATTCGGTCCGATCTCCAGGCGGGCTCCAACCATTTTTGGAAAGCGACTCGCCCCTCAGCAGATCCCCTGTTACCTGCCGGATCACTTTCGGCATCCAGGTCTTTGTCGGTACGGTTTTGTGATTGAGCTTCCCTGTCCAGAAGTGTGTTCTCATCATCACCTGGGGGAAAGTGAAGGTTTCGGGGATGCCAATCTGTGAGAATCAACAGGGCTTCCACTGTTCCAAGGGCTCTCAAATTTCCCTTTGATGTGGGACCCCCGGCACCTGATGCGAGATCTAAAGATCGAGGGCGACCTCCGTGAGCGTCAAATTTCTCTTGGCCCCAGAACAGGCGCTCAATCATGCCGCGCAAATACGACCAAAGACGATCATGGATATAGAATGCACGAGTACTGGCGCCGTCACCCTTGGGTTTCAGATGTCGAGAAGCAATCGTAAGAATGGTCACCGCCAAGACAGGTTCGTCCGTGAGCAACGCGCGATGCGTAGAAGGTTGAGAGTAATCGGGAGTCACTACTGGGCTCATCGGCGCAAGATTTTCATAATAGTATGCCACATACTCCATACCCTCCTCCACCGTCATCCATCCGGCGCGGACGAATCGGAGTCGTGACCATGCGCGCACGGCATCCAAAAACCCGGGGTCCTGAGGATTTGGCAAGATTTCCCGCGGACCACCGTCATCAGGGATCTGAGACTCGACTGTTCCTGAAGGCCCGGCACCACCTGGGAAATAGCCATTCCCACCAGCCGACATACCGGAACGAGGAGTCCGCGAAAAGGACCCGCTCACGTTGCCGGGAGAGTTTGCGTGCGCCAACGGAGAGGGACCAGAGTTGAATGAGGAGACAGAGCGTCTAGCGCCGTAGCGATTCTCAAGGCTCTGACGATTTAGATCTTCTGTTCGACCGGCGGCTTCGGAGAGTAGGTGTAGCGCATCATGTGTGTTCGTGATGGCTGGCGACAAAAGCTCGACGGCAGTGCGGTTCATCATCGGCGGTCCTCCATAGCCAGGCACCGTACTTCGCTCACTAGTTTGAAATGGGGGTAATCGAGGATTCCTCTCAAGAAACTGCCTAGCCTGTGAGGAGATGGGCGCATTGGGGGTAAAACGCTGGGTGGTAGCAGCTGCGGGGGAGGCCTCGGGCCATCTCTGCCGAGCGCGAAACGCGTCGCTCTCGACAGACGGTTCTGGCGGAGGAGGGAATTGATTCGGCTCGACTTTCGGGGGGATTTCATTTGCAGATGCTTCTCCGATCATCATCCGCTTGTCGCGGCGAAGCACTTCGGCAGCCTCCGCCTCGTCCTCGGCCGCCTCGGAAGCTTTGCGCTTGCGACGAGTCGCCGAGAATTCACATCGTTTACTTTCGCGACGACATCGCACACAAGGTGGGGGGCGAGGATTATCGACACCTGTGAAAATTTTTGCGATCCATCAGCCATCGCTGGACGAATGCCGCGCGGGGAGGGAGGAGGGGTTGCTGATCGCATACTGCCTAGATCACACTTAACCTTGCGTTTGCGACATGGATCGCAGGCCTGATAGCCGCGTCTATGCTGCGGGGCGCCCGGCGACGGCGACTTGAGGGAGTCATTGGCCGCACTATTGGTGTCCTGTCCCATGCTGGGAAGGGGGGAGGGGTTCGAGAGGTGGTCGGGCAGCAGCAAGGTGGATAGCAAATGCTGGGGAAAGCCGATGCAAAGCGAAGATAAGCTGGTTAAGGGCGGTGGGGGGTGGGAAAGTTGCTTAGATGAGCGACCAGCCGATTGGGCGAGACGAGCTCATGGGGGAAAAAAGGAAAATAGTTGAGGAAACAAATATAGAAACAGCACAAGAACAGGAGGGTACCGAGCCGAATTGGAAACGAAGAGAAGGAGAATTTTTATGACCGAGAAATAGCAGGTATCGTGAAGGCCGTGGCAAAGTCTCCGGTCGCTACGGAGCCTACTAAAGAGCCCCCAGTAGTCTTGACCAGCCACCAATTTCCATTGTATAATGGAATAGGGCCTTGCGGGGTAGCGAAAGTGTAAAGAGTTACATTGTCAGCAACGCGAGAATTGCATCATTGGGAAAGCCATGTCTTGCTGCGATAGCAATTTTGATCAATTGAGGAAAGCCCTCTGGACCTAGTCGATCTATATCTGCACCATTGGAAGATATTCGAGATATCAGTTAACACACAGAAATCCAATCCAGATCAATAGGTCTAGGAAACTTGATCAGGATGTACGTATCATCAAGGCCCTCGGAAAAGGCGAAAGACTCAGGAGAAAAACAGAATATGAAATTCGCTCATGCAAATCTGGTATGTACGCCACTACATATTCACAAACAATTGGTTGGATACAGACCAGACCAAAGAAACAACAAAGTACAATGCCAAACAACCTAGGAGCAACCAATCAAGTATCGGTTCCCACGCTCATGCTCGAGATGACAACGGCGGAGTGGGAGCCCCCGCTGGTACCTTTGCTCCATGGTCCAATGCGAACCCATTCATACGGGAGACCAAATCCAGGGCTTTCCGAGGCTGGACCAGTTCACCAGAGACGACGCTATCCAGACTACCTCGTCGGGACATGGTTGGAGTGAATCTCCCCGAGAGAAGACCGCGAATACCACCAGCTTTGCGGACAGGGATATCCGGTGTCACGGCAGTGAGGATATACAAAAGATATTTGAGGTTTGGAAGGGTGTGTCGAATATCCAGGCCGCGGATGCCTTGCTTGTTAAGTAAGAACTCGATGTCTTTGTTCAGGAGAAAGACGCCATATTCGAATCGATATTGGACGCTGGCGGGGTAGAGTGGGAAGGTTCGCTGTGGCAGGTCTTGAGATATTGGGTCCTGGATCAAAGACGTTGACAGGTTCGGGCTAATCGGGTAGGGTATTGCGACGGAGAGGTAAAATGAGAGCAGGTATACAAGGTGAGCGGTATGACCTAGTGCCGCAGCAACCTCTTCGCGGTCAATATCGTCAAAGTTGGAGTTGGGGAGTGGTAGTCCGGCAATGGTGAATGCCAATGTCTTGTCAGGAATCGGATCAATCGGATAGATCACCATCAGGTCCTCGGCAATGCGCCGGATTTGACCCTTAGTTTCCTCCGCATTCTGGCTGAGCAATTGCTCGCTGCTGACAAGCTTCTCCTGGGCATCGGGGAGATGACTCCGGGCCTTCTCTTGCGCGAGATGGCCCTGTTCCATGGATTCTTTCCGAGCCCTGATGCTGGCAATAAGGTCCTCCTTGCGCTTGTTCGCAGCTCGAATCTGCTTGCGCTCGGCAGCAACAGCCTGTTTGATCGAGGCGAGGCGGTCCTGCGCCTTTGCTGCCTCGCTCTCAGTCAACAACGCTGCCTCATTCTTCTTTAATATTTCTCCAATCTGCGTCTCCAATTTCTCCCGGGTCGCCAATGCATCTTGAATACACTCATCTAGATTCGCCAGTCGCATCAGCGCATCATAAGAAGAGGTTGGCAGCACCGCACCGTCAGCAGTACTCCGTTGGCCTGCGCTATTGAGTGGTTGCTCAACCGGCGGTATATCAGTCAGATTCGTGTAGACCCCGTCAGGGAAATGAAACAAAATGCAATTGGCCGGCAGAGGATGATGAAAACTCTCGAGTGTCTTCCCCAAGAACTGCAAGGAACGCAAGTGTTGCTGCAATTCCACTAGCAACACAAACTCGGACGTCTTCTCCGTCTTCGCCCAAAGCTTAAGAGTCAATGCATCTCGGCGGGACACCACGGGACCGCAAAAGTCCAGGTCGAAAGACCGAAAGCTCGGATTGGTTCCCTTGTCGACCACTTCGCTGATATAGACCGGCTCCTCGATGCGATCACAGTGTAAAGAGAAGAAAGTATCCGCCATGCGACTCTTCGTAATGTCCTCTAGCCGAATTTGCCGCGTGTGAGGATTGGGATCATTCCAAGGCAGCAGGCTTCGGCGACGCGACTCGCGCATGTCGGGTCTCTTGTCTGCGGGGCCATCTTGAATCGGGCGCAGCTTGAGATCTGTAAAGGACCGCGACGGTTGAAGGGGTCGATTCTCGTTTTGGGCTAGCAGTTTCGAGGGCGACTTTAGGGTGTTGGGGATGTCGTCGTCATCAATGGTTTTGCCTCGAGCTCGATTTGGAGGGGGAGTGACCACCAAGTTGCGCACAGATATACCATGGAGATGCCGAAGCTTTCGGTTCTATAAATTGTTAGCCTCGTTGGAATATAACTGTGCAGGTAGAGACCCTACCGATGCATAAAGCCACGGCCGCTCCCTGCGCACGCCTGCGTCATGCTCCGTAGTTGCGTTCACGCCGCCTGGAGCATCCATCGCGACGTATGAGCCACCCAGAAGGAGCACAGAGTCTAGCGGGAGCGGCAGCGGCAGCACAGACCGGGATGTAAGTGCATTTTACGGGAAAATGAAGCAGGATCCTCGAATTTCGGCACACTTGGGCAACAACGGAGGTGTCTCGAACCATAAGGTCAATGCGGAGAGCAGCCAACGCCAAGACCTGCGGATGGCCCCGTCAAAAAAACCACCTCCGTCTTCACCTCTCACCAACATCAACGACCCTTACACCTCACGCCCTTCCACTCCTCTGTCAATGCGATAGATCTCGCCCAGTTGACTCCCTTCCCTGTTCCCGGGCAATCGCGCACATCTCCCGGCCGCAATGGCCTCAGCCAGTACGGCGTCCAAGCCGATCCAGAAGATCCTGGACTCGACCCGAGTCGCCACGTTGAAGAAGTTCGTACGACACCCGCCTATTGACTCGACAAAGCCGATTCAAGGAAAGATTCGCGAGACGAGTTCCAATGCATTCAAGGAGCATCTGAAGCGCGAGAGCGTGCGGTTGCAAAAGGCGCTGAATTCACTCACGCATGGAAAACACATCTTCGTCTACCATAATGTTCAGACGAAGCAGGTTGTGTACTCTTTGACTCGGTATCTGGAGGTGAGCATTTTCTACAAAGTCACCTTGATTCTGAATTGCCAGGTTATAAGCCGGCCCAGCTCGATTTGCTTTGTCTGGATCTCCCCATTCGTCCTTTAAGCGTCTAACAATCCATGTCTTCTACTATAGGAGAACAATGTCCTGCGCCAAATGGTCTACCACGGCAAGAAGACCGTCCCCGCCGAGCTCCGCCGGGATATGTGGACTCCCTACTACTCCGTCCACTTCGGCGATGCTCGCCTCGGCCTCCGCGCCTTCCAGTTGCTGCGCGAATTCTCGATGCGACGACAGCTTTCTCCTCCCCCCGAGATGATCACAGTCACCGAGGAATTCCTAGCCTCCAGACGTCCCAAGGACCCCTCCGCCGCGGAGGAATTCGACAGACTGAATAAGAAGAGGATCGGCCACCCAATGGAGAAGAGGGAGCGTGCGCGAGTCCTCATGGACCAAAAGGCGACCTCGGTTGCCGATATTGCGGCTGTGCTGGAGATCCAGGAGAAGGAGATTGCAGATGGCATTCTGGACAAGGAGCTGCGCCAGAAGCAATTCCGCAGTCAGAGAAGGCGTCAGCGCGAGGCTATTGCACAGGAGGCCGAGCGGGCTGAGCAGAACAACGCCCGTATTGAGGCGCTGGAGCAGCAGCTGAGCGAGCGTGAGGGTGTGGAGGTCAAGATCGGCGAGATTGGTGACTACCCGGAGACGCCGGGTGATGTCAAGATTCTCTGGCGCGATGTGCACGATGCCAACTATGCTGCCTCATGGCCTGAGAAGGTCCAGCACGGCGAGTTGGAAATCAAGCGTGACAACGTCATTGGCGGCGAGCGCGTTCAAGAGGTCTCCCCGGAGGCTTAAAGAACCCGGCGAGTCCGGAAAGTTACAGACGCCTATGGCTATCGTGACGATCCTATTCTCTCTTCCGTGGGTCATCCGCTTGTTTCTCGGTCATATTGAGCGGTTTCCCTCCGTTGATATCTTCTTCTACCCTGAATTTGGTCTCGGGTAGAGGGAGATACTTTGTATTTGTTTAACCTCTGTCCAGCTATCTCCCAAGCTTTTCTGCATAAATTGTATTTTTAGACATTTTCGATCTTTCTAGTGACGAACAAAGATGCGTGAACAACTAAATATTCTCTTACTTCTACCTTTTCCTACGTTTTCCAATTCTTCGGAGTACTGGCAGATGGGAAAGGATATCAAGGATAGTAGTCCGCATTCCGAATCTCTTCCAATGAAGATAATCACTTGGCTTCCGATTTACATTGTAGGACAACCAGCTCCATACATACACAGATGTGATATTCAAGAACAAATAAGGATGACAAACACAATAGTCTTCAACCCCTAGTCCCAGGAATGTTATGAAGGAAAGAAAGGGTAAGAAAGAAAAAGGTGGCAAACTATCCAACATTGGACAGATCTCGAAAGAAATAGTGATTGTATCGGCCAGACCTATTCTGCCCAAAGACAGGCGCCCATGTAACAAGATAGCCCGGTATTGGTTGCAACTCAAAACTGACGCCAATGTACAATGTAAATCAGGATGTGGAAAGGAGAACAGAGAGTAAAAAATAAACATAAGAATTTCCCGCGCCCTAGGAACTCGGACCGTCTTTCTTGAGAGACATCAAGTGCGATCAACAGATAAAAACATGTACATCTTTAATGGCCTCTTCGAAATGAATATGAGGGAATGAGAACTTCAGTCACATCACTTGGTTTCCTTGGAAGCATGCGTCGAGGTCAAGATATCCACCGAGGGAAGGTCACCATGTTGTTGTTCCTTGGCGGACAGTTCGGACTCGGAGGTTTCGCTTTTGTTGGCCATCCTCTGAAGAGTTTCTTCTCCAACTTGCTCTGCTGTCTCTGAATCGTTGATTCCTGCCTTGGCCATGCGTTTCCGTGCTCCTTCCACGATCTTGTCTGCTTCGCTGATACCCTGAGCCACATTTGTCGCGGGGTCACCATCCACTCCAATCGGTTCCGCCTTGTTGTTGACAACGTTCTTCAGACGGGTTGAGTCGAGTCGGATGACCATGCAGGAAAGGTTATCGGTACTGAATCGTGCGAGAGCATGGTCGACCAGAATCTTGGATGCATGTTGAGCATCCTGGACATTGCGAATAAGATCGACAGCCTCTTGGTCACTGCAAACATCCCATAACTAGAAAAACGGTCAGCTGTGTTCAAAAGTTTAGAAGTAAAGACGAATGCTTACCCCGTCGCAGGCAAGAATGATGAATTCATCCGCGTCCGGCTGAATGACAGTTTCGGTGGTGTACGGATGCCCGGTAACCAAGTCCTTGAGATAGGCATCACCAAGGGCACGAGTGACCGCAAGCACGCCATTTACGCGGTTATTGAGGATCAGACCGCCAGCATTGGCAATCCGCTTCCCTTCGTTCTCATCGCTGCCCTTGTGATCGTAGGACAAACGGAGAGCCTTGCCGTTCCGACATAATACAATGCGAGCATCACCCACGTTGGCTGTATACAACACGCGTTGGCGCTGGGCCTTCCGCTGCAGCTTGGGAATCGAAACAGAGGGACCCTCCTGAGCCGGTGTATCTTTGGAATCAGCGTTGGCGTCGTTCCTACCCGCCGCTGCCGCGGAAGCAATAGCAGCAGACCCGGTGGCCGATTGAGCGCTGGGTACACGATCCTCCCAACGTAGAACAGCAATGACAGCTGTACACCCACTGTTTTTGAGAGGGAGCTTCTCCAGCTGCTGGTCGACACTGGTAAACGTCTGGTCAAGAAGTTCAGGAACGGGAGTGTTGGGGTTCTTGCGTATGATATCCTCGAGAATCAAATGCAGCTTTTTGCCACACCATTCTGCCGCGAATGTGCCAGCATGCCCGTCAAATATGGAAAAGTACCCGTTGTCTGTTTCCACCACATTTGTTGAGGCATCCGACGCTTGTGACTCGCTAGAGGCTCCAGGGGGGTCGTTGCCATTTATGTCAGGCGCTGTAGGGGCCGGAGTACCGAGAAAGTTGTACAGGTAGGCATGTGTATCTTCCATTGTACGGCGACATTTTCGATTCCGGTCTTCCGTAACACCCACGCGGAAAGATGATCGTGCTGTTGGTTGGGATTCTCCAGCGGAATTGTTGAAGGACCCTTGCGGGACACTCAAAGCCGGGTCCATTCTACCCAATCTTTGAAGAGGGCTTTCGGAGCCCGACGGACTAGTGCCAACGACTGAGAAAGATTCACGCGTGCCGTTCAAACTCAAAGAGTTTTTGGCGTTGCTAAAGAAGGATGCCGCCTTGGTGACGGTGCTGCTGCGACGCTTCTTGTCACCCACAGGGCCTTCCTGTTCGCTCTGTCGGCGATTAAAGAATCCGGCACCAGGTGGCGAGAACCTCTTGTCGCGAGGGCTTGCGTTTTCAGGATGGATGCTTAAGGCGCTGGTGTCAATTCCAGGAACTGGAGATGAGGCGGCGTCTGTCTTGTCTTTGGGTGGGCTCGAGGAGCCACTGAACATTCTGCTCAGCAACCCACCCTGCGAAGAAAAGCTGCGGCGCTTATTTCCTGCCAGCTTGATTGTATCCCTGGTCGACAAGGATGGGGCGGACAGTACTGGGGGGAGAAGGAAGAAGGCGGGGTTGTAGACGGGTGGATGGAGATACTGCGGACTGACGTAGTATCCCTCGGTCGGTGGATGGCGGAAGTCGAGACTATGGGGTTGACAGGTGTTAATTCAGATCTGATTTGAAGAACAGGGATGGTAGTAGGTGAAGGAATGACAGGAATAAGCTGCGGGGAAGAGTGATGCCTAGCGACAATGGAAGAAGAAGAAGCAAAGTCACTAAAGTCAATGGGGACAGCTGGGGGGCAGCAGCGCCCGTTGTTTTCAGCGCGGAACAGGCGCTCGGAGGAAAAAGATCGGCCATTGAAGCGATCCAACTCGCAGAAAATGGGATCGAGGCTCTGTAATGGCCCGCTGACTCTCAACAGGCGCGTGTATAGACCTGATGGCCATCGCGCGTTGAGTCGTTCACCCCCGAATTCACCCCACTCCACGGAACCCCCGGGGAGCTGCAGACTATGAACGAATCAAGACAAACTTACCGATGATATTCAATGAGGATGGTGATCAAAAGTAATGAGGGAAGATCAGGAAATGATGATGGATGGAACCGATGTGGCAGTGCAAGCGTAATGAGTTGAGTAAGTTGAAGTTGGGAAGATGATGCGATCCGGATTGGGGAAAGTAAAGTGGAAGTTGAAAGTTGGTTAACTCCGCCCCGTTATGGTTGGGCGGAGGAGAGCCAAGAACGGAGAGGAGAGGAGTGGAGCTTTGGGGAGACCGAACACTTCTCTTTTCTCTGGAGATGAAAGGAGAAAGAGAGGTGCTTCGATGCAATAATGAGAAAGAGGGGGATTAAGGTACTTGGACAAGCTTACTGATCTTTGATGATCCTTGCTTGGTACCGTGTATCGATCCTGGGGAATGCTGGAAACTAAATATGGCGCAGTCGATAAGATGGCGCCTCAACATTCAATCTATTCTCAGCCCTCATACCACGAGACCGCAGATCAGCTCCGCTAAGGTGCTTGATTTGACCGAACTAATTGACTAATGAAGGACTATTGGATAGATGATGGCGTCATTAGCCCCTCTGGAAATACTCCAACCTCTTGCTGATCTAGATCCCTAAGCTACGAGACCGAAGTATACCCGCTTAAAATGGACTCAACATGGTCATTTCTGCAAACAAAACTAAATCATTTATCGTCTTTGGTAAATTCAGATGGTCTCCACGCTTTCCAGTGCGGTTTGTCTTCATCTCAAGTATACAAGATCATCTATCCAACTTCATGTTGAGTTCGAAGATGCTAGCATGGTAGGAAAGGCAAGTCTCGGCCAGGGAACAGGCATGAGATCACCTACTACTTTCGTAATGAACCACCTTCTAGAACATACGAACGTCTTTTTTTTCTTTTTGTAACAAGAGCTTCTCTCATACACATTAGCAATGATATCTCTTAGTAGCATAAGGGTCTTCATGCCCATTTGATGCGTGCCACAAGGCTGCAAGAAATACGGATCCATACACTCCTCTAAAATGGCGTCATACTATTTCCCATCTTAGTACCATTCTAACTCCTGCTCAACAATATCTGGGTCTTGTAATTCCTTTAAGATGAAAAAAGAAATGTACAAAAAGCCACCATATCCACGCCGACGCCCCAGCGCCAAGGCGAATGTGGAGTCAAAACGAAATGAATAAGACCGATTTACCACGAACTAAAGTCTCCAAAACCGCCCGTGCCCTTGGCCTTCTTGCGAACCGGTTCGGGTTCGGGTTCATCATCCACAAATTCCACAATCTCATCTTCCTCGTCGCCTCGATCGGCCAGGGCGGCTTTGAGGTATTTACCAACACCGCCGGCCCCCTCCGCATTGGAATCCGTGCCAGCGCCCCGGACCCGCTTGCCGGTCCAAGTAACACGGTCGTCGTCTACGCATTGAACGGCTTCATCGCCATCGGCGTCTGCGGCGCCAGTGTCTTTGGCCCCTTCCGCACGCTTCTGCTTGAGGAAGTCCTCGAATGGGTCCACGAAGATGGTCACGTCTTTGATACGAACTTCCGGGGTGGGTCGGTTGGTGTTTGCCTCCACGGGGTGTGTTTCGAGAGTGTTGAGAGTAGTAGATGAGGGAGAAGGATCATCAATGAGTCGACCAAAGACGGTATGCTTGCGGTCAAGGTGAGGCAGGGCTCGGTAGGCGAAGAAGCTAGGTATACAAGTCAGCAAGTCTTCCCTGGAAAACGGAGACAATATGCGAGTATGACTTACAATTGACTGCTGTTCGTGTTCTTGCCCTTGTTGGCCATACTGAGCGTGCCGCGTCCATCATGCTTCAACGGCCCCTCAAACTCATCGGCAAAGTACTTGCCCCAAATGCTCTCGCCGCCTCGTCCAGTACCAGTTGGGTCACCACCTTGGATCATAAAACCCTTGATATTTCGGTGAAAGGTGACATCCTTATAGTAGCCCTTCTTGGCCAGCTGGATGAAATTCCACACGGCCTTTGGGGCATATTCCGCGTATAACTCCACATTCAGATGCCCGGCAGTAGTGTCAATCCGCGCATATCCCTTTGCCTTTACCCGCCCTCGCTTAAGCATGTACTCTTCTTCTGATAGAACCGCAAGTTCAGCTGATGTATGGGGCGTCAATCCGGTGCTAGTGAACGAAGCCGCGGCCTTGCCAGTCGTGAATCGTGCCGCGTTATATGGAGTAGGTTTCCCTTGTTGTGCTGTTCCCGATTTGGAGAGACCTGTGCCAGCAGCGCCTGTCTTAGACACTGCCTTCGAAGCAGCGGAGCCGGCCTGCTGAGCTCGTTCCGCACGCGCCTTGGCAACCGCTTCCTTTGCCTTCAAAATCTTCGCGGAACTGCCTAGCGCATTGGCATTGACACTTCCAGTGGGTTGAGTCTGTCCAGGAATATCCGTTTCACCTTCTTTCAAGTAGTTGAATGAGCTGAGGTTGCGCGACTCGATATTTTGCGGGTCCTGCAAGGTAATGATATCCTTGCGAGTAAACTCCTCATCCGTGACGAGATCACGCCACATTTTCCCCTTGATATTCAATCGCTCCACGGTATCCCAGGAGAAGACATTTCCCGTATTTCGCAGTGCAACGATATGTGTGTTGTCGGTCAGGACCTTGTAAGTCACGGGATCGACATATTCGCCATCCTCGTTCTTCGCAATGGTGAGCTTGATCAGGTCGGAGCTCTTGAGTGGCGATCCATCTACCGGATTTGTCCCATGCTTTTTGATCCAAGGCAATATGTTGGTCAGGTCGAAAATGGTTCCTGTGTGTGTGCAGACCGGATGCGAAAAAGGCTGGAGAGAGAGGGAGCAGAAATTGAACGGTAGTCGCTTGAAAGTCGCATGTGAGCCTGATTGTCGAGCTCGGGCGACACCAGCGCCTGCGCTGGCTGAGAATGCATCTTCCGATGCCCACTCGGAGTGTGTGATCTAAGTCCAGAGATTCGTCAGTAGAAGTTCGAGATGCGACAGTGGGGTGGCTCGAGGGTCAGGATCAGTTAGAAGGGGGGCATACGTAAAGCTTGTCCGTTCCTAAATGAATTCAAAGAATGTCAGTGAATTGCTCATATAAGTAAAACAGTAGGCAAGACGTACCTTTACCCATATTGCTTGAAGCTCCAGCTTCACCTTGGAGCGCAGTTCCTCGCGACTCGAAAAGGCCGCGAGAATGACGGTGGACTAGCCTCTTTCGGTCTAGCGTAATTTATTACTGTACCAGATTGGGCTACTGTACAGTATTGAAGTCTCTGGCCTGTCACGTATTATTACAGTAGGTTGTAACTCGAATAAGCTCATCTGCAAGTTAAACAAGGTAAGTTTAAGCTTCATTTGGACATTGTCCTTCCCTATAACAATCATATCAACTACAGCTCTTCATGTTACTTGCCGCAGCCACCACACGACTCGGCTTTCCACAATTTCCAAGTTTCTTATTCTCTATGCCAGAGTCCGGGTCCGTAACGGGCTTCCACTATTGACTTCAAAAACCCTCTGTAGAATCAACTGTGGGGTCTTTCCGGACCTAGCCAACTGAGCTCGAATTCAATTGGATGGATAAATTATCTGCTTCTTTAACATGAGTACAGTCCTTACATCATACTCCAAGACCCGGAGTCAGCCACTCGCGGCACCAACCATCGGCGTAGGGAAACCCTTCAGCATCCCCCTCCGTCCAGCTGGTCGCCCATTTCGCAAGATCTGTTTGGTAGTGGGTGAAAATACCAGAACGAGAGTATCAGTACTATACTTTGGACTCCCGCGTCACGGAGGGCCTGCATTCGTATACTGTGACAGGCACGTCGAAGGGCGAAGAAGATGTCGCTGGGCGTTATGGACAGCGTGGTCGAACTTGCAATTTGCAGCTACGAATCATCTCTCTTTCATCCCGCTGAGCCACGGGGCCAGATCACCAGACAGAAGCCATGAGCGCCTGGCCAAACGAGCCCGGAGGCAACGCTCGCTACAAAGTTGCGATTCCTCGGATATCGGGGAAACCCCCACTGCCCAAACGTCAGCGCGTAGCTCGAGCTTGTGATGCCTGTCGGCAAATCAAGTTAAAGTGCAATGGACAACGGCCATCATGTGCCTATTGTAGCTCCACTGGGAGCCCTTGTCTATATTCGGCATCGAAACGAGAAGTGAGACAGATAAGTCTTCAACGTCTGGAAGAAAGGGTCCAAGATTACGAGTCCGTGCTGGGCGATGTCATCTTGAATTGTCCCCTGAAAAATCTCAAACCTATTCTGAAATTGATATCTGTGAGTATCATCTTGATTCGCTATGGACTTGCACTGGAAGTTGCTAACTATGACGGATATAGGAACGGCGTCCGGAATTTCTCGCGGCCTTACAGCAGTCAACACGATTGCCGCAGAACTCCCCTACTCTGAAATTCAATCTCAATCTAGATCGCATGCACATCACATATCGGGATAAACGCTTCGGAGAAGGTCTCTCTCTTCTGAGCAATCCTGTAATCCTTACCAAGTCAATACAGCATTGGACTTCGCTTATTGAGGATGATGTGGCCAGCCACTTGCTATCGTTCTACTTCACCTGGGAGAATCCGACTTGGCATTTGATCGATCAAGAATCTTTTATTCATGATCTGGAAACGCACGAAACAAGATTTTGTTCCCCGCTTCTAGTCCACATCCTTCTTCTCTTTGGCTGTGTATGTTCAAAGCTTTCTCTCATCATCTGCAGCAGCTGACCTTTCCCCAGAGCTTCTCATACGGCCTCCATTCTTTTACGGATAGACGACAAGAAAAGGCCCTCGGGCAGCAACTTTATGATGAGATTCTTCAACTTTGGGAACGGGAGAAGGAAACAGTTGACATCCCAACACTACAATCTGGTATCCTACTAGGCTTACTATGTTGTACTTTTGGCACCGATCGATTGGGCACCGAACTCATCATGAGAGGGGCAGCCATGTACTATCGGTCTGGTTTTCATAAAGAGGGTGCTCCTTACTTTCAATCCGCCAATGGAGATTTGAGACCCAGTATGGCCAGAGCCCAGATGCTGATATCATGGGGTATTTTTGATGTCCAATCGTAAGTTTGCGGTCATCAGTTGTCCTTCTAACAACTTGTTCCGCTGACACAAGACACAGGCTGGCTTCCCAGGTATACAAGAAAAATAGCGAATGGCCCAAGCCACCATCCATAGTTTTCTCTCCAGAAGAAGCAACGTCTTTGGATGACAAGATCATGTGGAGACCCTACCCGTTTCAGACTCCAGTCTTCGCATCGAATACGTACATGATCGCTCGATTTCGCAGCAGGCTTGCGGAAATGGTCAATGAGACTGCAACCATGGCGCTCCAATTGCAAGGTTCTCCGCCAATTGACGACACTTGGGCCCAAGGCTATGAGATTTATCGGAAACTGATACAGTGGGATCGTGAGCTACCACGGGGATTACTACAAGAACGGAATAGCACCCCGCACAGTCTGTGCTTACGGTACGTCTTTCTACTTCACGCTTTAAAAGGACCTAGTTTTGCTGAACGTCTTCCAGGATGTACTACCAATGCACAGTAATAAACCTCTGCGACATCTTCGAGCCACATACAGCCAACCAACCACTAGCACAATCCGACTTCGACCCCCCTTCCATAAAATCCCACGCCGTAGAGGCACTCGGATCCCTCATTCTCCTCTACAAACACTTCCACGGATGGAAATCCGTTCCCATCGTCATGCTACACTACCTCTGCGTCGCAGGCATCCACGCCATCGCCAGGCTAAGTCCAAGCGAAATGAAATGGATGAAAGTCCTCGAAAGCAGCGTCTTAGGTCTTTGGAACATGGCCATTGGATGGGGAAGGTTGGGCAAAGCGTTCCTCAAGATCATTGCGTTTTTGCTCAGAGCGCAAAAGGTTGAGAATGACCGTATTACACCCAAGACGGCTGCGATTATGGGCCAACTTGATGGCGCTTATTGGACTGCGACTGATGCGGCGTCGTTGGCTGCGGATTATGTGGTTCATTCTGTTCCGTCAGATGTGGCTGTTACTGCACAGTCGGTAGATGACCTTATTAAGGCTGCGGAGCAGCTAACTCTGTAGTTACAATGAAAATACCGATAACTCTCCGCAAAGTGGATCTTAGGAAAATGTAGAGGTTGCATAAAAATCCGGCAATGGGTATTGTTATCAACTCTGTGGTGTGCCTACTGTAAATACACTGGTTCATCAGACGGGTTAAAATTGCATAAATTATCACTACTGAAGAGCGGAAATACAATGGAACGGAGTAATAATAATACATAGATTGATTGATGTTGAAAGTGTGCAGTCGCTAATCATACATGTACAAAGTGCCCGTGAAGATAGATTCAGAAGAGACGCTAATAGAGCCATCCTTCCTGACCATAAGAATAACGCCTGGACAATGAGAGATTTTGTTCCGAGATCAAGGCAGATGAAGTTAGATCCATCGAAATGCTTATGCAGCCAGCGTCTGCAGGCGTAGCGGGACCACCCACCGGTTTCCGAAGTCGATACCGTGGCGGCGACGAGTGCCGTACTTGCGCCACACAATCTGCGGAATGCCAATATCGGCCACGGTAAGGTTCCAGGCCGCTCCTTCTCCGGAGAGGAGGGCATTGAGAACTCCGGTCTTCGGGGCCCCAAGGCATACTACAGAGGAGCTTTTGACACACAGTCGACCGCTATCGGCAACGGTCGCCTCGCCTGCGTAGTTGTTAGTTGAGTTGAGAAGCAAGAAGCAGTCATTAGAATGAAACATACCGCTGGAAGCCGACATTCCCGAGGGAACATCGACGGAGAGGATTTCGATATTGCTACGGTTCACCCAAGCAATCATCTCAAATGCAACACCTTGGTCATCAGTCCGCAGGTCGTCGAAGGCAAGGTGCATTCCGAACAGGGCATCGATAACCAAGTCAGGAGCCAGGTCGGCAGTAGCGAGACGCGCCGAAAGGTCCTCCCACCTGAGCACGCGTCCGCCAATCTTCCGGAAAATATCCAGCTGCTTACGGCAGTTCTCAAGCAACTCCTCCTCGTGTTCCGGACCGAGAAGACAGACAGTGACACGGTGTCCGCGGCTTCGGAGGTGGCGAGCAGCGGAGATTGCTCTTGCGCCGGTGCGGTGGTTACCAGTGATGATCAGGATGGTGGGAGCTGCTGCGTCATTAGAGAGCAGGGAAACTGCAGCTTCAGCGATTCCTCGTCCAGCATTTTCGGTAAGGATATCCTCTGATAAGCCGAATTCTGCCACGGCGATCTGCTCAACCTCGAGAGTCTGCAGCGGACTCACAGTGGGGCAGCTGCGGTTGGTAGTTGTCAGTCGCAGAGATGCACCAGCTGGGTTGATTCCAACCATAGGCGACCCAGAAGATCGGCTGGGTCGAGGGCTCGCGTCGCGAGAGGTGATGAGCTGGCTGCGACCAATCGCACTGATTTGAGGCACCATGGGCTGAGCCATGATCGTGCTGCTCTTGCGAGAGGTTTGGATGCGCCCGGAGATGTTCTCACTGCTGAGTCTGGCATCACTAATACCTTCGACATCATCACCAGTGTCGCTGTTTGGAGCGCTATCAAGCACGTTCTCCGTCCAGTGGAGGTTCTTTCCACCGTTCGTGCCGGGCTTCTGCCGGCGATTGAAGCTGACAAGGCGAGCCTCGAAGGCCGTGTTGTCATCATTGCGGATCTGTTCGAAGACACTGCGCTTGTCGAACTTGGAAAGGTTGCTCTGGAAATCAAATTCGCCCAGCTCTTGAATATCGGTTGCATCCTCCGTGGCCCATCCACTGGGGTCTTCAGCGTACCCACGGCGTGGCTTCTTCTTGCGAAGCTTTGCGCCTGGCTGCACTCCATGTTCAGGCGACCCGTGGTTGGCTGAGGAAGCAGGTTCAACAAACGCAGTCTGGCGCCAGCCTTTGCTCTTTGGGTTAGTGCTTGCCGCAGCACCATGTTTGATGAACCCATCCTCATTTCCACGACGGTTTCGCTTCGGTGTCTGCTTGGTGGGGGTCGTCAGGCTCTGTGCAACCTGAGGCTCATTTGGGTGAGAGATTCCATGACCTCCACCTCGCGCAACTCCCGTGTTCAGCTCTAGATTGCTAAATGGCTCAGTCAAGGATGCGCTGACAGAGACTGGAGCTTGCGCAATATTTGACCCTGCAAAGTGGGTTTGTGCGGGTTGCGCGGGCTGTGCGGGGAGCTGGGAAGGGGGCTTGGAGAAGCTCAGGATAGCGGGGTCTGCGAAGGGCTGCGGAGGAGTGGCTGCAGCTCGGACAAGTGCAGCCAGTCGAAGTTCCTGAAGTTCCTGTGATGCTTTCTGGCTCTGCGGAGGAGGGGCTGTAGCTCGGGCAAGTGCTTCCAGTCGTTGAAATTCCTGTGATCCATTCTGGTGCTGCGGAGGAGGGGGTCCAGCTCGGGCAAGTGCAGCCAGTTGAAGTGATTGCGATGGATCCTGGTGCTGCGGCGGTGCTGCTTTGGTCGATTCCAGAGACAAGTCGGTGATGGCGGAGGCATCAATCGAAAATTGGGCATGATGCTGACCGTTCCACAGGAGAGTGACTGCGCGAGAAGAGGGTCAGAACTTACTTCAGTCGTCGTTACGCGAATAGCGTCACGCAAATAGCATTACGTGAAAATTCAGTATCGCACCATTTTTCAGCAGCAAAGTATGCCCAATCACATTGGCGACCTGCCCTTGAAGCTTCCCACCTGGCGGCAGTCGCAGCGTCACAAGGACGTTGTATCCGATGAACTCGGATGCCATGTTGCGCGAGAGCCGAGAGTCGGTGATTGATCGAGGAGACTAGTTCATTTGCAAGAATTTTTTGGGGAACGAGACGGAGTTGACAAAGAGAAATTATTTGTGTCCAGAGATGAGACGAAAGCTACGAAGCTCGGCCAACTTGATCCAATGGCCGATGCCTATCTAAAGTCACGTGTGTTACTTATCGATAACGGAGTGGGGGGCGGGGAGGAAGTAGCGCGTTACTACTTCGAGATCAAACAATCTAGGACGCGTCGCGATTTTATACTAGCGCGTACCGGCTTACGAGGAGAGGAAACAAAATCAAATTATAAAAATTGTTGTTTTTGACTGAGAGTAGATCATGATCATGGGATATCTCTATGTTTTGAATAATATATGAGTACCACGGCTCCAAAGAAAACATTACAGACAGATTAGCGCCTCCTGCATGGTTCCATCCCGCCTAGATCACATTAGAACTCCTCCTCAAAGTCATCCCCACCAGTTGACTTTTTCTTCTTGGATTGAATGACCTGGGTGATGGACACCAAGTTGGAGTAGAACTCTGTCACCTTGGGATGTACCATAACCTTACGCGGCTCAAACCGCAAAACTTGCAGACCGGCCTGGGAGGTAGCACGACTCAGTGCCACGTAGGCCTGCCCCTTCTCAAAGACTCGGCCCAGATCAACCTTCACCCGATGAAGAGTCTGGCCTTGAGCCTTGTGGATGGACAATGCCCATGCCAAAATCAAAGGCACCTGCTGGCGCTGAGCTTGGACTTCACCATTGGGAAGTTCAATCTTCCAGGCTTCTGGTTGACAAAGTAGATGTCTCTCTGTCCCGTCAGGCTGCATAAAGCTAACCAGAGGCCATTTTCGTGTCACTGTAACTCCACCTTCCTTGTGAGCCAGTGGCTTAAGCTTCTTGCGAGCACGTAGAGCCGCATCCTCCTCGTTGTCATTGCCCCCATCAACGAAAATGCCTTCATTATCCTTGTAGCAGTCGAAGGTTGTCTCGTCCATGAAGGCTACAACACGTCCGATAGAGCCGTTGACCAGAGTATCTTCCATGTTCTTGATAAGCATAACCTGGGCACCTTTCTTGAGATGGATGGCCATTGGCGCCATGCAGTTGGATAGTAGCTTTTCACGGTGCTGTGGATCTTGGATCGTTCCTGAGTCGACTGCGTGGAACGTCATCACCTCACCAGAGAGTCGATTCATTCGTTGCGAATTTGCATTCTCAACCTCAGCACGAGTGGGAAACCTAGCGTAGGTTAGTAACGTCAAGATAACTGGCAGAGAGAAAAGGCATACAATTCGGTCGCCTCGAGAGCATCGTGGAAATCAAGAGGCCGAGAGAGCTTCCGGAACGCATCGATTGTCTTAGGACTGATCTTGCCCAATCGCATTTCATTCAGCATAGAGGCAAACTCCGGATCTTTCTGTCGGAAGACATGCGTCAAGAGAATGGTATGCTGGATCGTAGTGTTCCAAGTAGCTGCTGCGAAGGCAAATCTCGCTTCACGACCATGGCCTTCTGGTACAGGGGGTAGTTGGAAAAAGTCGCCAGTGACAACGAGCTGAATACCTCCAAATGCGCGGCCGTTATTCCGAATTCGTCGAGCAATTTCCTCAAGTTTGTCAAACAAATCTCCATCAACCATTGATACTTCATCAATAATCAGGACCTTGGTACGGAGCCAACGATTCCGCGCTTTCTGGTTCTTTTTAATCTAAACACAGAACCACATGTCAGCCTTCGCGCATCCTCGTCTGCCGGACCGGAGTACATACCTTCTTGACCAATTCAGGTACAGCCTCTTTGCCCAGCCCAATACCGGCAAAACTATGGAGCGTGACACCTTCAATGTTACAGGCTGCCAGACCTGTTGACGCCGTCACTGCAACTCGATCTGGTTCCCGCTTGAATTTATCCCGCAGCTTTTTGATGATCTCTCTCATGAGAACGGACTTTCCGGTACCTGCTGAGCCGGTAAAGAAGATACTCTTTCCATGATCGACAACAGCTTCCACAACGTGCAGTTGTTCATCACTGAGGAAGACCTTGGCCAACTTGGCATTATCCTTCTGCTTCGGTGCTCCGTCGGCTTTTTGACTTTTCCTGTATTCCCGTCTCAGCTCCTTTTGTTCCTCCTTGATGGCACTCGCGCTTTTATTCCAAGGTTCTGCGGGTTTGGTTCGTTTCGGCGTGACGAGATTGCTCCTTTTCTCTTGGAAGGGCTCCTCCTTAGCCTCCTTCAACCACGGAAGAGTACGTGGCTTGGGAGGCGGCTGAAAGTGGGAGGGGGAGATGAAGACCATGGATACTGGATGCTGCTCGGAGGCGCAGCTTGTTCTTGGGACGCAGGTGGCAGATCAGGATATGCGATGTCTGATTGTGGTTTACTCGCCGGAACGGACTGCCGATCGCGAACATCTGGTGATGTGAGGTCGATGGTCGGATAGGTGACGGGATCGGGCTTTGGCGCATAGGTGGTACTTGTCGCACTCGGTATATTCAGCGCAATGGGTTCATCAATGTCGAGATCGAGATCATCATCAAAATCATTCTCATCGAAGTAGACCGCGCTGTGGAGGGAGCCCAGCGTGGATTCCCCGCCATTGGTCAAGTCGATTTTTCGTTTAACACCGACGGACTGTGGCTGAGCGGGTTTGGAGGAGACAACAGTGTTTGCACGGAGAAAATTGGACTGAAGAGGCTTAGATGTCCCTCCAGGATGATCTTTAACAGCTTTCTTAAACATGGCGATTTCCTCGTGGATTGGCCGTGGTGGTGCGGATGAATAGGTGGAAGGATTCGGCGGTCTCGAGGAACAATTCAATGAGATCAGTCGAGTGATTCCTGTGCCGCGAGGACTGGCCCTGGCAGCGTGCATAAACAACAATAAACCTGAGGCAAGGTGGGGAAGAAGATTGACGCTGAAAGCCAATTTGCGGCGTTCAGATGAGTTTCTTTGTTACGCGTGAATCAGAGACACGCGCCTATTTTGTGCCTGAGGCATACACTTCCCAAAAGGCTATAATCATCATCCTTCGAGGCAGCAGGCCATCTACCCAATAACTAGGATCATTGATTGGCATCATTACGGGTTGGTCTTTCTATCTATCACGCGTAGTTAGATATCTGGAATCCACTAGCCAGAGATAGGTACATACAAACACAGTCAACACGCCCAGTCCCTGTCCAACATATTCACTTGAGACCTTCCATGAAAATTATGATTAGAAGTTTATTCTGAGCTCATGACACCGGGCTATACCTCCATATAGGTTTGACATAGCTTAATTGTAGAATGGTGCCTACAGCAGTTGGTATGCGCAAAATTCGTTGAAAGTAAGGCATATTGCAAGTAAATATATCTGCTGCGCCAACCGTGTTGATGTAGGATATGTCTGACGTTGAACATATTTCGAACCCCAGAAACATAAAATCAAAAAGCACAAATGATGCAAGATTTCCTCCAACCAGATCATGAAACCGTAGTCGAGCAACAATGATTGACAATTTAGAAGCACGTATTGGCTCATTCTCGCCATGCTTTTTATACTTCCTCCATTGCGGCCCCACAATGGCCGAGGGTGGCCACACGTGACTTTAGATTATCGCGACGCGCGGGATCGGACTGGCCTTCGGATCTCAATTACCTTCGCTTTGACCGACAAAAGCGTATTTTGCCTGCAATTTCAGTGGGAGACATATGGTGAAACGGCCGACCATGAAGGATGGTTGAGACCGAGGCCTCGGGTGAGTGGAGCGAAGCACCTGCTGCTACCTTTGCCGCGAGCGTCATGCTAATATCCTAGTCTATAGACAAGGAGCACCCGCTCATGGGCGCGGTCATTTGCTTCACCTCAGTCCCTCTGGAGCAGAGAGTACGAATACCCCAAGATTGGAGACCTCATAGGGTGCCAGACTGACGCGTCTACCATCAACTACAGACCCAACTTAGCAATGTCGCGAAAGAGATGGGCGCAATTGAACGACCCGACCTCACCGCAGACGTAACACACCTTCTCGTCGGGGCGACTGACTCTCCAAAATACAAATTTGTTGCCCGCGAACGGAACGACGTGACCGTCTTGAGACCGGAATGGATCGAAGCCGTACGGCAATCGTGGATGCAGGGCGGGGACACAGACATTCAGGCATTGGTGAAACAATACGAGCTCCCTACGTTCTTCGGTCTCACGATATGTATCACGGGATTTTCAGATAGTGAGTTGGCTCAAGGCAAGGCATGACTGTACCGACTGGACTGACATATGTGCCCAGTGGCCTTTCGAACCCAGATGCATGACATGACAGTGGAGAATGGTGCCGAATTCCGGAAAGATCTGACCAAAAGCGTCACTCATCTCGTTTCTCGCAGTACAGAGGGCGAAAAATATAAGTTTGCCACGCAATGGAATATCAAGGTTGTCACGGTTAAATGGTTCCACGATTGCATTGAGCGCGGGATGATTCTAGACGAGGACAAATATCACCCAAGACTACCATTGGAAGAGCAAGGTCTGGGAGCATGGGATCGAACGATACCAATGAATGCGAAATTACAGCTTGGGAGAGCCAGGCCCGCCGCCAGTGATAGCTCATCAAATCCACGACCAAGGAAAAAGCTTCGCAGAACAGCAAGCACCAAACTCATCGGCCAAAATGAAAACATCTGGGGAGATATTATTGGCGCCGGCTTTGCAAATGAAGTGGCCGAATCAAGAAATGCTCGTTCGGAGGGCCCTGTCACCGAAAGGCCCAAACCTTTCATCCAAGCAGCCAAATCATTCGTTAGCGATACATCGTTCAGTGAGACCATAGACCATCGTCCACTACCTGAAGTCTTGGCCAAAGTACCGAAAGGATTTCTTGAAGGGTGCTACTTTTATATCCATGGCTTTACTTCCAAGCAGGCAAGCTCTAGTCCTCCAAACTTCAAACTTCCCGTGAACCATACTAATTTCCCCTAAGAAAGGCGTTCTCCGACACCATCTCGAATTCAATGCAGCCCATTGTGTCGATTCCTTGACCGAATTCTCCAGCCCTAGCATACCAAAGACAGGGCAAGGACTGTTTGTTATGGTGCCGTATAAGACTCCCAGGTCGGAAGTTCCGTCGACAGATGATATGGCATTCGAATGCGAGGTTGTCACAGATATGTGGTTGGAAAGGTGTCTAGATGCCCGAGCCTTGGTCCCACCGGAATCCCACGTTGCAAGCACACCGTTTCCAAAGTTCCCCATCCCAGGATTTTCAGGAATGCGGATATGCTCTACTGGCTTTGCGCGCATCGATCTTCTACATCTCTCTAAGCTTGTTGATTTGATGGGGGCGTCATATGACGAATATTTAACCTCCAAAGCCTCTGTTCTTATCTGTAATGACCCCCAAACGGCAAGCCATGACAAGCTTCGACATACAAGTGAATGGGGAGTCCCCGCTGTATCAGCCGACTGGTTCTGGATATCCGTGCAGACGGGCCAGAAGAAGCCCTTTGATCCATACATTGTTCGGAGACCCGTCTCACAAAAAAATGACAGCAGAGAGAAGCCGAGCGAAACCTCTGTCAGTGGGAAGGCGATGCACCCGCCGACTGGGAAGGCTCGAGAGGGGCTGTCCAAAACATCCAAAGGACCCGCCACGGGGCGACAGTCAAAAACCGTGGTATTGGAGAAAAGTGACAAGTCCCGAACATTGCCTATAGTTGGTGATGGCTTCACCGACGAAGAGCCTGCCGACGTACCACAAGCAAGTGTAGCCGAATCTCGCTCTCCATCACCAGACAGGAACACCAATGCATCACCTGCTGATGAAGCACCCAAACCAGCTGCTCCGTCCGCCCTAGACTCTGCATTGAAGGGCCTTCTTCAACAGGCTCAAGCTGCCAAATCACGACGGCAATCGGAAAGTATGACCACCGACGACAGCAGCTACCCACAACCTCGGAAACGCAAACCACTTCTCGGTCGTGCACCTTCACACTCATCAAACCGAGCGACTGAGCTCAATCGTGCTCCGTCGCGGGCTAGCTCCATCGATACCCTCAACGACGACGGTCTGGGCTCTGCACTAGAAAGCGCAGAGCTCACACGAGAAAATTCATTCTCCCGCACAAACAGCCGCAACGATCAAAGTCTATCATCCATGTTCAGCGGCGCCAAATTTGACTTCTTGACAGACCGACTACCCGGGCAGATTGACAACGAAGACGAAGAGAACCAGGAGCCTCAAATGACGCAGCTGGACTACGAAGACCCCGACGCTACGGCTATGCGGGCCGAGTTCCTGCGCAATGCCGGCAAGTTAGCCGGAAATCCTAAGAAGGCCGATTCTGATGTGCTTCTCGGTGAGGTTCGGGAATTAGAGGATATTGGTTGGGGACATGGGAGGAGGACTCGGAAACAGGTTCCAAAACCCGATGGGGAGTGATATGAGAAAACCAAGGCTTGCATTATAATACAATCGAAATCGGGCATTGCATTGGAAAGGCGTCCTTGCGCTATGTTTCATTTACGGAGGAGTTTGCTTACAGATAGTGTGTGGTTTGGAATTTATGGATCGGTCGAGCTATTGGCTACGTGACATACCTATTTCCTAAAACGGTAAACACCCCGACAAGTCAAACACGTAGTAGAGTCTTCTGTTAACCGAAGGATCTTGATGAAACTCTGTATTCCCGAGATCAGTACGGATCGTAAACAAGCGGTACTACGGAGTAAATATGGTGCCAAAAGTCTGTGGACACTTTCTGCTGAAGACCCCCACCGGCCCCACCCATCCTCTTTCCAACTTATCTCTAAATCTAGTTAAAAAATATTAAAAACTAAAATTTATAATTCGCCACGTTCTGAAGAAATTAAATATTCGAAAATAGATTAGCAAGAAGAGGATATTCCTAAAGAAGTATGAAGTAAAAACGAGCGATATCGCAAGGGTCTTATAAGCATTATAAATCACGGCAAAGATATCCGATAGACAGTACAGGGTTTAATCTAGCTCAATAGCCAACCAAAGCTCGTTATTATAGCTCGTGATGAAAACTTACTTAGAAACGGTCATATAGCAAATTCTTATATCTAAGCACTCGAAGAGGGCCTTCTACCGTATTAAAAAGCCAGCATATTATATTAATAAAATAAATAATTTATTTATGTAGTAGATATCCCGAAAGCGTAGCTTAAAAATTTATAGTGTATAGGTTATAAATTAGCTGCTATATTCGCTTGATCTAAACCCTATCGAAAACGTGTAGAATCTGCTAAAACAGAAATTATTCGAGTTATATCCTTAATTAGCTGCCCGAGAAAGTTGATCAAAGATGGATTAGAAGGACTTCTTAAAGCTCTGGAGATTGTATAGGATTCGATCGATGGCTAAAATTGATAGTTTTATCCTATCTTTACCGCGGAGGATCGCTGCGGTGAAGAAAGCAAAGGGATAGTACACTAAATATTAATTTTTTAATTAGTTTTATTAATGATTAGCTAATGTATTAGTGTGTGGTTGATAGAATCGATCAAAATGGTAGAAAAAAATTTAGGTAGGGGATTTAGAGTGTCTACAGACTCTTGGCACCCTCTGTATGTAGAACTGGATAAGATAGAAGAAAGTCATGTAAGCTAATGACGACGAATAGTATACAGTCAAATCGTTAGAATTGAAATGGGTGGCGGGATTCTATGCTGCGTCCAAAAGTTACTTGAGATTGTAGTTAGTGTACCCCTTCGGGAATGTCTCCTAAACCTGTAACAAAGGGGACTGTCTCCCCTTTGGGGATCTTTATAATGAACCATCAGACATTTGACTGTCCTGTCAGTCTATAAAAGGCTGTTCATTTCCCCCGAGTCTGAGTCTTGATTATCGACATCAAAAAACACTGAGCTTTCAGACAATTTTCTACAGTATCGAACCTACCCGAGAGTAAGCTATCGCCTTCTGAATCCCATTCAGTTCAGCGAACTTATATTCCCAGCAACATCGAGATCAAAATGAAGTTCCTCTCTACCATCGTTCTTCTTAATTCCGTGGCCATGGCGAATGCGGAGTCCTTCTACGCCTACACCTGCTACGGCTGCGGCTGTGACGCATATCAGTCCTTCGGTACCAATATCAAAAACAGCTGCACCAACGTGGGAAGCGGTGCTGCTGCTTGGGGTATCAGCACTGGGAAGGATAGCAAGACATATTGCACCCTTTTCTCAGAAGAGAATTGTGGAGGCAAGTCACAGAACGTTGGACACAAGACTGGGCAGACTTGGGGATGCACTAACTCGCAAATTGGATGGGTGAAGTCTGTCATTTGCTTCGACTAAATGGCTGTTGGAATCATTTTTCTAGGAAGCAGTCTTGGACATGGTGGCTGAGCAAGATATTAGGCAGATGGTATTTATGCAGGGAGAGTTGTGATAGGAGTCAGGGTATGAATCAAATCGGGCCAAGCAAATCTTGAATGCTCTTTTGTATATAGCACTAGTCACACCGATAGTGCGAGTCGCTCGTTTCTACAGAAAGAAATTCAAGAATTATAGTTGGACTATTAAATGGGCTCAGACAATAAGTGGTAGACTTATGAGAATGCTCCTCGACCAGTCCAAGTGGTCCCTGAAGCTTGGTTAGGCAGCAAAATAATGACTCACTGAAACTGATGCTCAGTCTCAGAAATTATGTGCTACCTAAGAAACTCCACGAAGCAGGCTAGGATACCAAACTGAAAACATCATTGCTAGAAGAGTATCCATTCTATAGGAATGATACTTATAAAGATAAAGAACGAATTCTGAAAGCCTTACAACTTGAAAACCGAGTCTGAGGATACAATACAGTTAGGATCGGTCGATGGATCGCCCTCCCAACTGGGAATGCTCGTAGACATCAGGCAGGTATGTATTACTACAATGTGAAATAGTGAGCGGAAGAAATGTTTTGATAAATTTGCAAGCTCCGCGGAGCAAAGCTTTTCCAGACTCTATACATAGTACAAAGCCCTTGAAAACAAATTAGAAGTGAAAGGTAAATATTGTAGAGCTTCTGGGTCATTGAGCATGCCATGTAAGCATGATAATATTGGAGTAGGACTCCTTCAACGTGTACATATTATTTGATTAACTACGCATAAGCAGTAGGCTGGGATGTCGCGTTGCAAAATAGTTCGGTCTCAAATGTGCTTGATTCACACGCAAAACCAAAGCCGCCTAAAAAGCTTCAGGTTGAAAATGAAGTTCACCACAGACCAACTCTTGGCAGCCGCCTCTTGCGTTAGTGCTTACCTTCTGATGAGCACCTAATTAAGTTATCTGTCAGTTACAGAGCCTTACTAAGAGAATTGCTTCGGGTACTTCAAAGCCTGCGTTCTCCACGTGTCAACTAGACAGTGGTACGGATATCTGAAGTGCGACGTCGCAACTCTACATAAACGGACCTATAATCCCACAATAATCCTAACAGCACCTATCTCCGTCATTCACCTACTCTTCAGGCAGTTGGTGTGAATTTACATACACTATGTCGAAGACCCCATCGAGCTTGATTTCGTATGATGGTAGCTGCCACTGCGGACAAGTCACTTTTACGGCGCAACTATCTTCGCCTATAGAGGAGCAGACTCTTAAAACATGTAACTGTACAGACTCAATCTTTGGGAGATAAGAAGATGGATGTAACACAATATGAAGCCGATGAGGACTAAGATTATCTTCTATACAGGCTCCATTTGTAGCATTAACGGCTATATCCTTGTTTATACCAAAAGTGAAGATCTTACGTTCCGTAATAGCGATGATGCTATCAAGGTCTGAATCATGTCTCCCCGGTCACCTTGTCCTATCATCCAACTCTTATAGCCGCTAATAGCTAAGTTTAGGAGTACCGCTTTGGAACCATGCAATACCCCCACGGCTTCTGTCCTAACTGTGGGACTAGTGTTTATGCTCGAGCCGACGAGGGAGAATATGCGGGCGTTGTGGCCATCAACGTAAGTCTTCCAGAACCATTTTGCCTTTCTTTGGTTGGCTTATAATAGTGTAGGCGCGAACCCTGAATAATATCGATGTTAGCACATTGAAGATCGAGCAACACGATGGGAAGAAAATCAATGCTGGCTAGGGAGCTAGAAGAGTTTAACTTTTATGTATCACTAAGCCTGATATATCCATATATAGAGGCTTTTAGAGTAGGAACGGGTGCAAAGGCAATCTACCTGGTCTTGCCGGCCCAAACCATCGGCCCATCGCCCGCCGTCTCTCGGCTCCTCCGAGTTGACCGGGCTAGTAGCCTCGTACTTTGTTTCCGGCATCACGCATCACCAACTTGGAACATATTTGATGTATTTGATGTATTTGTAACCAACAATAACCCATCAAGATACCTGGATTGCTAATCAATGATAGTTTTTTTTCCGACATAAAAACATCTGCACCAGCCGATTCTGGCTATTATTCTTGTTGTGCGAAGACATCCGCATACATCAGCTCGTATTGATCCGACACGGACCCTCCTTCATCTTTCTGCTCTCCTGAATTTTGCACGTCTTTATCATCTATCATGGCTCCAACTGTTGCTTTTGTGACCGGCGCTAACCGTGGGTTGGGCATTGGGCTCGTGAAGGGCTTTGTCGCAAAGCCGGACTACGTGGGTTCCTCTTTCTGAATTGCGACTTCAATCCGCACGAGCTACATGCTAATTTAGGGCGGCGCCCGTAGATTGTCGTCGCTGCTGTTCGTGATCCCGCACACCTAACCGCCCAGGAACTCGCCAAGCTCCCCACCGGCGAAGGCAGCCGTATTTTCGTGGTCAAGTATGATGCCAGCATCGAGCAATCTGCCTTCGACGCCGTCAAGGAGGCTATCGACCAAGGCGTTGATCACCTCGACTACGTTGTCGCCAATGCGGGTATCGCCAACAATTATCCGTTCGTCAAGGATGTTAAGTGGGCTGATATCCTCGAGCAATCGAGGTAAACGTGTTGAGTGTTATGTCGCTCTACCAGGCCACGCGCGATCTGATTCAAAAGTCGACAATCAAGCCCGTTTATGCCTTTATGGGATCTGGAGCTGGAACCTTGGGGTAAGCTTGGATACCTAGATTAAAAGATCTACGCATCGATATTAAACTTCTTTCTAGACGCCAGCCGCCTGTTCCTAGTGCCTCATATGGCGCCTCTAAATCAATACTTCCCTGGTATGGGGTTCGGATCAACGCCGAAGATGAGTGGCTCAATACTTTCGTCCTGGATCCTGGCTGAGTTCAGACCGAGATGGGGAACTCTGCCGCAAAGAACTGGGGGATTGAATCGGCACCAATTACTATTGAGAAGTCCACCGATGGTATGGTACGTGTGATCACTGAGGGAACCAAGGAACAGTACGGTGGCAAGGTCGTTCTATACACTGGCGAGGTTCAGGAATGGTAAACTACTAATATTAGATTCAAGTTAGAATAGACCAACACATTTGATTGTGTCAAGCGCTATCCCTGATAATAAATTGGCTTCATAGAAGAAGATAGCTGTGGCTATAGAATGTAATTCTTCAGAGCCCCCGGCTCCGTACAAAATCATCGTAGTCAATCTGCTGAGCAACAGGGGTATACCTCCATCTACTGACATACCCTTGCATAGTCTGATTCCCACCGTTAGTGGTAGCATAAACACCGAGTAGATTGCCAGTGAAAACATCAGGTCCACTAATGAGTGCCCCAGTAAATGTTGCCAAAAGCCTTGAGTCATGAGGCCAAGCAGCCGGTGCGGCCGATAATTGATAGTGAGTACTATTCTCAGCCCGGATATACAAACGAATGGTCTCTGATAACCACGACGAGGGAACGGGCGTCACTACCGGAGATGGGACGGTGAAATTGGTAGCATCCGAGTCAGTGGCTCGGCAGCGGAAGCTCAAGGTTCCTTTGGAGTGTGGAGATCCTCCCATGAAAACGATTCCTAGGTCGATATGGTGATCTTGATGTAGGAAGGCTGTTACGCCGATCTCGTCTCCTTGAGTTTTGTAGAAACCCGGATGCACATCCACGGAGAACTCGAAGAGGGTGTTTGTCTGGCGGCGGGCCAGGAGAGTCAAGCCATCTAGAGCCTTGAAAGATGCGTCTCCAGTGAGATTGGCTTTGGATGCTGTCAGACGGAGGGTATTGGGATGACCCGGAGGAGAGATTGTGAATGATTCCGGCTTAGCTGGTGCCCTCCAAAAGACCCAGTGCTTGGGAATTGAGGAGCCCGGCACAAAGTCCACGATATCTGGTTCTCCCATGAATGTGGGTACGGATGATTTTTTAGAAGATTTTGGTGGTAGAGGACCACTCATTTCACCCATGACTGGATCAGCCACTGGCCAATCTCCCTTCGGCCAACTCACTGGATATAGCACCGACTCTCGACCCATAGGGTAGATAGTCTCATTATATAGCACGGGTCCTGCTCGAGTCGCCAGTGCAACTCCCCACCAATTGCCTGCAGCGTCTTGGAAAAGGTCTGAATGGCCGACGGTCTGGAAGTAGCGATCCGTATATCTGGCTGAGGCTAAGGGATTGTGCGGCGAGCTTTCCCAAGGACCTTTGATACTCTTTGAGCGCGCAATCGTAGAGGAATGGTGTAGTTCCGTGCCTCCCTCGGCAATGAGAAGATAATAATACCCATCCTTCTTGTATAGGTGAGGACCCTCTTGATAGTTGTAGCCAGTTCCATTCCACAGATCAAACGGTTCACCCGCGTTACCAGTGGCCAGGTCAATGTAGGATGCTTTGATGGGAGAACCGGAATATGCCATGATGACGTTGCCATCGTCATCCCAGAAGATATCCGGATCGATAGCGCTCAAAGGATTCTGGATCTGGAAGGCGTTCGTCCATGAATTCTCATCGTATGGATTCGTGGTCGTGAAGAGAACTATCTGAACGCCATCGTTGTCTGTATCTAACCACGCGGTGATCAAGTAGAAAGTTCCATCACGGAAGCGCAGCGTGGAAGCAAAAATACCCAGCGTCTGGGCATTGGTCGAGGTTTGGATCTGTGGAAGCTGTGCTGGCCGACTGAGGGCATTGCTGATTAGATCCCAGTGAACCAGGTCTGTGCTTGCGAACACGGGACACCCCGGAAAGGCCAGAAACGAAGACGTGGTACAGAAGAAGGTGTTGTTCCATTCTGATACAAACGTGCAGCTTGGATCGGAATGCCACCCAGGAAGAATGGGGTTGTTATAGGTCGTGTTGAGAGCGTAGGCTTGCTTGGTGGCTATTTGAAGCACTAGGCCTGCTAAAAGAAGTAGAAGATTCATCTTGGATTTGCTAAAAAAAAAGTGTCATTGGCGAATTCGCGACACCAAAATAGGGAGCATAAACGGATTTCTATTATAGTCACGGCTCGTGGGGTAAGAGAACAACCTAAATGGAGATACCCATTCTTCTGGTCAGCAGAAGTCGTAATTAGCCTAATTCATAGGTCTCATAAATTGACATCAGGCAGAACATTGTTGTTTTCTGGAAAGTCAGAAACATTCCTGCCGGGGACATATCAGCTTGATTGGCGTTGGACCCTGAAAAACCACGCTCAAATCCTAGGTACGTCAATGTCGAGGAGACATTTACCCGAAATCCCGGGGCGATATGCCACCCCGTATCTGCGGTTGATTTCTGCGGGGATTCATCGGGCAAAGTGGGCGGGTGGGGTGCAGTAGAGTGTCCATTGTAGAAAATGAAGATCTTCAATTGGATGTCTTGAACGATGCAGGCTGAGACAGACTGGAAATTGTACGAACAGGCCAGTGCGCGGATCCCCAGGATTCCATTGCATAAACTTTAATTGAATTCCACCAATAGTTCGTCGTTACTCCCAAGTCTTCAAGATACCGCTTGAGATGCTCGTCTTGATTTTGTGGAGAGAGTTGATAGGGTGGAGATTGCTTTCTTATTTCAGAGCCCATTCTAGCCGAACGGAAAACAATCTAATAGCTAGTCAAGGGCAGATAATTCAAGTATAGAATCAAGATCACAATGTCGAATTCAGGTGGGAATCATGGGCTAAAATTTTAGAACGACCTCCGATGCACGCCAGAACACGCCACAAAAACGGGTGGGACCGTGGCTAAACTGCGCCTTTTTGGGGGCACAGTTGTGATGCCCTCGGAAAAAGAAACCATACTCAGGAGGAGGGATATTGGAAGAAGGAAAAAAAATGTAAGGGTCCGGGAATGTACATGGTCGGGGATAATAGTGATGGTGCTGTGGAAAGGGAAAATAAAAAGAGTAAAGACAGTCGTGGCTGTTGGTACATGGTCAGCACTTATGGGTCAAAGGCACCCATGGCGCCGGGTAAGGGGCCGTCCAGATCGAGGCCTTCCACGGAGCGGCGGTTTTCTCCACTCTCGCGGAAGAGATTGGCAAAGTACTTGGTGGCAACCTCGCTTTCTTGCTTGACCTTTCCGACTTCCAGCTTGCGTCGACCGAGGTCCTCGATGTCCTGAGCCAGGCATGTTTGCAGGTTGTTGGCAGGCAGGCGAAGGATGCGTCGAACCTCAGTCGAGATGCGATTGGCATTGGAGTGAACGTAATCCATCTCGGAAAGTGTTGCTGCAATCTTCTTGGATAGACGGGGAGGCAAGGTTGTCGGGATAGTAGACAGGACGTATGCAGTAGCCAGGACAGCTGTTCAATGGTTAGCAATCGTGAAAGTTACAAAGATGAAAATAGTAAAACTTACCAGCAGCTAGAACACCAGGGAAGAACAGTCGGCGCAAGTTGTTCGGGCCAAGGACCTTAGCGGCGCTCAATGCGCTGTCCATCCAGCTGAAGCCACCCAAAGCTCTGCTACCAAGAACTGTGACTGCAGTCATTGCAACGCCAGTTCCGGCCATCTTCTCTTGGCGCTCCCAAAGACCGGCAACGTCAAAGAAGTCCCAGAGTTCCACCTCGGTATCAACCTGTCGAGCCAACGTATGACGGCGGCCACGACGGAACATCAGATCGGCCCGGAAGTTAAGTGGAGAGAACTTGTCCTCGCCAACATGCAACAGACCGATGTTCTGAATGAAACCAACTCCCTGAACGGTCTTTTCACGAGCGTAATCCTCACAGCCATTGACGGCCAATGAGATTTGATCTAGCATAGCGTGCTTCAAATCCTCTGCATACTGGAATGCCGAAAAGATGCCGGGATAGTCGACTCCGAGGTCAGCGTCAGAAACTCGGGCAATAGTATTGGTCAAAGTTGTTCGCGTGTGGTTGTAGACATCGTCGCAGGAATCATCAATGGCTTTGTTGACATCCTCGGCCAATTCGGCCTTCTGCTTCTTGCCATTCTCATAAGCAGGTTCAAGCTCTGCCAGCTCATCCGTAACGCGCTTAAGTTCAGACTGAGCAACGTCACGGTTCACAGTAGCTAAGGAGTTGAGATCGGCCAGAAGGTTAAGCAGATAGGTGCGAGCGGGGGCAAGCTTCGACCGTGACCTCTTCTCAAGGACGAAGCGGCGGAGGGCACCTTCAAGGTTCTCGAAGTCTTGAATCTTCTCCTTCTCCTTGCCCTTTCCCTTATTTTTCGAGTCATTGTCGTTGTCATCATCGTGGGGATCACCGCCACCACCGCCACCACCATTGCCCGAGCCGGAGATAGACCCTGGTGGGGTAACAGGGATCGCATTACTGGACACAAAGTGGACCAACTCAGCGGCCTCCTTGTACGTGCGAGGGCTGAGTTTGCCTACTTGATCAAGAATCATGCGCTCGCACCGTTGTTTGTCGCGAATCTGATCGAAGCCGTTTACCACCATGAAAATGTAGGCCTTCTCGTGAGCGGCATTGAGAATGAACTCCTTTGCCGAAAGAGTGAAGTGGTTAGCAGCGGACACCACGAAAACAACGACATCGATCTCTTCCTGTCGAGCGAAAACAGCCGTTGTCTTGAGCGAGTCAGAGTTCAAGCCCGGAGCGTCAATCAAAGCAATGTCCACAACACCGTTGTTCAGCAAAGATTCGTCGATAGATCGTACATCCTTCACGTAGACCTTGCACTGCATGTACTTGGAATTGTCAATGACGATATTTTCGAGTTCCACAAGAGGGAAGACATCGTATGTGCTCTCGTCATTGCGGTTGTACTGCGTGTCCTTATGCACAGCGTGCACTTCCTCAATCCCGCCATTCTCGCGAGCATCGAGAACTTCGCAGAAAATGCTGGTGCAGGGCTGCTGGTCCTCTGGCAAGACCTTTCGTCGCAAAAGGGCATTACAGAATGTCGATTTGCCGGCGTTCAAATCTCCAGTAACCAGCACCTTGCTTGATGTGTCTTCAATCCGGTCTCGTAGGGAAAGAAGGTGCTTAATGCTTTGACTGATCTTTCCATCAAGCAACGAGGCAATCGAAGCCTTTTCCAAAGAGTGTACAAGTTCGGCCTGAGACAGCGCGCCCAACTTCAGATCCAGCTTCAAGATTGAGAATTCCTGGGCGATCTGAGGGGTCATCAATCGAGGTCCGACGGGCAGACGGCGTTCAGCAGCCACGCTAGATTCTCCCAAGTCGTCTCCTCCGGTCATGGTTGCTGCGCGTCTAAGTTCCGGCCGAGGCGGAGTGTTCGGACTGCTACCCTCCTGTCCGAATTCTGAATATGTGTGCGAAAGGTGCGGCCGATCCGAAGGTGACTGAGGAGCATTCTGCACGGATGGATAGTGGGCAGGCCATTGGCGATTCATATCCTGGAGCTCCTTCAATGTTTCGATCGTCCGAGAGATTGCGCGACCAAGTTTAGTCCGATTCGAGTTGCTAAAAGAGTAAGATATGTTAGCATACCAGCGTGTAGGAGGGCAGAAAAAAAGCTTCGACATACTACAACAGTTGGTGGACATGGTTTGCGACGATTTGTTTCTCATGTTCGGCTATATCAAGGAAAAGGCTTCGCGTCAGCCCAGGCTATTCCCACGAAATGTTGTAACAATCCAGTCGAGTCCACTCACCTGCAGGATTCCATTCGCCGGCGCGCGTCGGGGTGTGAACTGGAGTCGGTCGGTCCTCCAACAGTCCAGCGCGCCAAGCTGCGCTTCCATCGATATCGGCAGCACTGTCACCGGCAATGCTACCGCCGTACCCGGAATCATTATTCAGGGACGTCATTAGCGCTGTGGCACTCGCCGAGGTCGAACCGCTGCCGACAGTCATGTAAGCCGGTGGGGGTTGGGGCGAAAAAGGACTGCGTTCTTCATCCTCGCCTGCGAACCGAGACGAGCTAGCCCTCGAGGAGCCTTCGCCTGGGGAGTATTCCTGACTCATGACGGGCGAAATGTGAGTTGCATGTCCATCGACAAAAGTTGTATGTTGGTGGGCAGTTTTGCATGGAAGGTGACGTGCAGGCCAGGGACTAAAGCCTAAACAGGTTTAGGGTTGGCCATGTGACTGGGCGGTAACTTTGTAAGACGGCAGTAAGTTACCGTTATCTTTCCTGATCGGTGCCGCTGTCCCGCTTGATGTCACTGCCTGTCTGGTCAATAGGCACGGCCTCGACTGCTCTCTCCAGACATTCTCTCCTCTACTCACACCCACCATGAATGTGAGCCTTTTTTTATTTACAATGCCATGCATTAATCCATTACTGATTCGAGTCTCAGATTGTTGAATGGGCATTTGGCAAGCGCATGACGCCAGCGGAGCGTCTGCGCAAGCATCAACGGGCCCTCGATCGAACACAGCGCGAACTAGACCGAGAGCGCACAAAGCTGGAGAACCAAGAGAAGAAACTGGTGCAGGATATCAAGAAGAGTGCCAAGAATGGCCAGCTTGGGGCTTGCAAGATCCAGGCTAAGGACTTGGTTCGGACGAGAAGGTCTGTGGACTAAAGTCACCCATTTGCTTCGATTTTCGCGGACTAAATTGACTGACTTTCTCTGCGCCATCAGGTATATTCAGAAATTCTACCAAATGCGCACACAATTACAGGCCATCTCGCTGCGCATCCAGGTACGAAAGAACTCGCCCCGTGAAATGACATTCTCGAGATGCTTACCGTTGTTACAATATAGACTGTTCGAAGCAATGAGCAAATGATGCAGTCGATGAAGGGCGCAACGATGCTGTTAGGCAGTATGAATCGGCAAATGAACCTCCCGGCCCTGCAACGCATTACGATGGAATTCGAGCGCGAGAACGAAATCATGGACGAACGACAGGAGATGATGGATGATGCGATCGATGAGGCGACCGGTATGGAGGATGACGAGGCAGAAGGCGAAGATATTGTCAAGGAAGTCCTCGACGAGATTGGTGTCGACTTGACTCAACTGGTTCGTTCCATGACTTGTGACCTTGATCGCGTGCCAACTGCTAACCGTTCTACAAAACAGCTGGGTGAGACTCCGTCGGGCGAGATCCAGAAGGAATCAGCCGGCAGTACTCGGGTTGCGCAGGCTATCGGCGGCGGCGGTGGGCCTGGCGATGCTGGTGATGATGACCTTCAAGCGCGTCTGGACAGCCTCCGACGATGACGACGTTCGCTGATCGGTCCCTTCGTATCGGGGTGCATGTGCACTAACCGTATTCAGCAAAGGGACTACTACTTTGCATGAGGCTCTGTTTATCTGACGATTCCTTTTGTTGTTGTTAGCGTTCTATTTTAATCTGTAAGACATGATTATTGCTGCCTACCTTACCGTTGAATGTTCCTTTTAGGCGCCCGGGGGCGAAGGGTTTGTAAAGCGCCCTCAATCTTGTAGCCCGGTTTTACATCTTACCTGTTTAGAGGATTTGGAATACCTTTTGATTGGCCAACATTCAAAATACTAAAAGTAATGCATTGATTCGTCACTAGGCCTTTTTGAAATGTGCATATGATTTACAGCCCCAGAGGGGCCGAAATAGGTAAATGTTTACTTGAGCTGAACAGCTACCTAGGCCAGCCAGCCAGCCATCAGACATCAGTGATCCAAGATTGGTCAGTACCTTTTTCGCCTCGAACAAACTTTCTGGAAATCTCTCGAGAATGGCCGCTCAAAGTATTGAGTCTCTCGTGCCCATTGCGAAAACCAAGGATAACCCTCCAACTCAGCGAGTGTGGGTCGATCCTCTGGATTCTTACTGAACAAAGCTTGTAGCACATCCTTACAGTCTTGAGGCAGATTCTCATCAATGGGCAAAGGAGCATTGAGAATACGATGACGCCGATCCAGAAGGTGCCGGGGATCGGTGTATACTCGATGATTCAGCAAATCTGGATGACGACCTCCATCTTTCGGGGCCTCATTCCAGGGCCAGAAGCCGTGGAGGATGCCGTAGATCATAGTAGCAAATTTCCACATGCTCTCCTGGCGGGCATCATGAGGGACCTCGAAATTAACAGCGCTACCCACCTGGTTGGAAATATACTGTGCCAACTCGGGGGATAATTGATACTCCTGGAAAGGGACGTACATGTAGTGGCGCTCGAAAAAGTCTCGCTCTTCCAAGGCGAAACCAAAGTCTCCGAGGTCGATCATTTGAGCCTAGATATGAGAGAAAATAAGTTAGCATTTAAATCAAATGAATAGAGGTTTTCAAGGGTAATTCCAAGTTACATTCAAATTCTCATCCACCAGGATGTTGTTGACTGAGATGTCATTATGCCAGGCATTCATATCAGCCAACTGTCTCATAGCCTGGAAAAGCTGTGTTGCAACTTTGCCTCCCTCAGTCGGGTTAAGCAAAGGTTTATGATCCTTGGTTAGCAAGTATCTCGCTGTAAGCGCGGGGAATCGACGGGAGTGATCCTTCGGTGGTGACGGTTGTCGTTCAGTGTTGTAGTCGATACAGGGAGACATGACGATGGCTTGGTAGCGGTCATGAGTATAGACTGCGTCCAGGGTGGGAAATCTGTCACTGTCTGTAAGAAACAGCATGATCAACGCCTCTTCGGGAACATATCGAAGGGACTTTCGGTTGTCTGGTACTGGTCCATTGGGAGGACCCCGATGGCCTGTATTCTCAGCACCAAGCAAGGTATTGTGCTGCTGGACTTTGACGGCATAGTGTTTGAGATTTTCGGGGTTATTCTGGTTGTTGCTGTCGCTTCGCTCGCGGGCAAGAAATACAGAACCGAAACCTAAGATTTTGTCAGTAAAAAACATAAACATGAAGCAAAAGGGGCGCAGGGGTTCCACCTTACTTCCTTGGCCAGCCGTGCCATACACATCCATTTGATCGGTAATCTCGCTACACATGTTATTCATGCGATTGCGTGCGGCATTCTTGCCTCGTTCGGAAGAGTCGCAGAAACCAAACAATTCATTCTTCTTCTGGAAACTGTCAGTGTCACTCCGAAAACCCTTATAGCCATGAGGGAGCCTTGTATGAGAGCACAACGAGACCGGTCTATTGTCCCGAGCAGCATAAGCAGACTCCAGACGATGTCGAAACACCTGATAGAGATGGGGATATCTTTGAGCTAGCTCACTCTGAGGGTTCACAAGATCTCGGGCTGTGAAGCAAAAGGCACCTTTCCAGTACTCGGGGGTCCAGTATCTCATATTCCAGTTCCAATTCATGGTGAAAAGCTGATCGGAATCAAAATCTGCGGAATGAGATGGTTTAGATGGTTAAGTTTTGACTCCAGAAACATGAATTGTTCTACTGAAGAGAATACCAAGTTCACATCTTATATAGGAAATGGCTCATAATATTCTTGTGATGAACAAAGGAATTGATATGTGAAAGGAAATTCTTCATGAATGCTATTGTACACTATTTCGGGCAAGAATGAATGCTGTGGTTGAAAGATGAGGAGTACAAAGATGCCATCATGGATTTCTTGTTTTAGAAAGAGATGAAAGAACGAAGAGATCTCAAACATTGAAGGATTGATATCTGGGGGCTTGCTTTGACCCTGATGTGAAATTAATAGTACCCTCCCAGGTGGTTACTCCGGGTGACGCAGCCCCACCTAGAAGAAGAGCCTCAGCACCCTGGGCACATGTACATGAACAATGACAGTTCACTCCAATACGACCATTCTGCGAGCTACAGTATCGGCTTTCATCCGGAAAGTTTGTCCGCAGAACTTTATACCAATCAGATTCCTCGGTGATGGCGCATTTCTAGGTCATGCTTATTGATTTTGAGCCGCGTCCATGACTTATGCTCTCCGGGCCGTTGGAGTACCCTGCCCAGAGTTAGGTTAGTTTTGTTATATAACTTTACAGTTAAGAATGTGCTCCCCTGTGCTCACTTTCTATTTAGACAAACAAATTGGCCGCATCCTAGCCGGCCAATCTAGAATGGTTCAGCTTGCTACAGAAAATCAAAGTATGACAGAGTTGTTGGAAATTGTACTCCCGCACTGCCTGTCTGTCAGCCTTGGAAAAAATCAGGCGATAATGGCAGAGACCTCGAGGGTGCATGTGCACTTTTAGAAGAATTAGAAAAAATAAAGTAGAAGCAAGGGAAAATTTCGGACCCCACCTTTGAAGTGGGTTACGCAGGGTTGAGCGGGTTGAATGTTGGAGGGTACGTAGTTCAGTTACCGCGCCCCGATTGTGCATGAGGCTGAGATCCAACTGACACTCCACTGGTACCTAGCCAATGAACCTATTAGGTGACTATTTGATCCGTTGAAAACGAAGCCTGCTGGACCCGGGTTGTGCTTCTATTTCACATCGCAGTCATGACTAGTATAAAACACCTTTACACCTTTGTCTATTTCTGCTTTCAACTACAGTAACAGTTTCAGTCTCCTGAACTCTGGACAATTTATGTGCATCTCTGTCGCATCTTCTCTTCTATTAGAACCATGACGACTTTCAACTTGGAAAACCAGAATCCAAGTGACGTACAAGAGAAACAGGCCATTTCCCCACCACAACCGCAACCGCAAGCTATAAACCCACCTGTGCAGAAACCATGCAATCCTCAACGCAAAGACTCTGGATATTTGCAAGACCAGTGTGTACTCGTCAACTTGGGTCAAATCCCCGAATTGCCTGCCAATCTCATCAATTACGAGGGTTATCAATTCTTCAAGGCAGACCCAATTCCAGGACAAAAGGCAACATGGAACCGAGTGGAGCGCACACGAATGCATCTCAGTCAAAGCGAGCTCTACAAGATGGTCCAGAAAAAAGCCAATAAAGTCTCTGCAGCCCAGCAATATCAGAATTTGTCTCCCATCCGGCGAGATCATGTCAACCAGTTAATTCACGAGCAAAAGAAACTGGATCCCTCGGTGGAATGGAGCTGTGTCTATGCCAAGGAGCGTGACAGGGCCTCCAAGGCTCGCAACGCTCTTCGTGCCGATTATGAAACTGTCTCTATGGACATTATTTTGATGAAGAGGCCTCTGAATACTAGGCGTTATCCTAGAACTCCTATGGGAGACCTGGTTGACCTGGCTCATCGACAGAATGATAACGATGTGCCACCCGTCAAGCCTATGAATCCTGCGATGGCGACTGCGCCAATTCGCCCAGCAGTGCCAACAGCCATGTGGATCTCCAAGAATGTAGCTCAAAACTCAAATCCGGGAAATGCACCTGCGGAGGTCGTACAGGGCCCACAGCCTCGTCCGGTGTCCGTGACGGGCCCGTTTACTCAACTCGAATTAGGTCACCCGACGCCTGCCCCTAGTGAGCAGCAGTTTAGACCAAGCAATGGACAAACGTTGACTGATAAGTAAGCCATCCCGTTCAAGAATCAGACCTTTCTCTGTTTTCTTACAAACGAGAACCCCATTTCACTATCAGCGAAGTTTGTACAAATGGTCTAACTCTTTCTTGCTCCTAGTGATAGAGACCAGGTCAACAATGTTCCTGATGGGGCGGGCTCTTCATCAGAGACCAGTGATGATGAAGATTCTGAGTCTACGACTGATGAATCATCTCAGTCAGATGACAGTTCATCTACTGAAGAGGCTGAGGCAGACCACATGGAATGCGACTGTGAAGAGTCCCGTTATAACCCAATCCTTCCTTGTAACAGATCTAGCAGTCCCAATAAGCATGGCCCAATCAGTCATGGGTCTCAATACCGACGGAAGTCTATGGGAAGACACTTTGGCCGAAGGGACAAGCCTCGATATCACCCTATGGATATCCTTACCCCTAAGAATGGCCCTCACAATGTCATGCCTGTCCGACGGGCTCGAGGTCTCACTAAGGCTGCCCCGAATGCGCCTTCAGATATGATGTGGTATCGTATTCAACGGATTGATGACAACGAGCTTCGCCGTCGTCTGCTTGAGTGTGAAGCTAGGGTTGAGCGGTGGGAACGGGCTTTTGAATGCCAGAGAAGACTTTTACAACAGACTATTCAATGTTCACAGCAGCAGCAACTGGAGAGGAACCAGCTTTATTGGAATCCTCCTCCTGTGCACCACTACGGTTATGACTATAACCAGAAAGGTCGTATGGACGCTTCAGACTAACACTATTGACATGATTTTGGAATTATTGGACACTTGACTTTCTTTTTCTTTTGTTATTGTTATCTTGTTTTCATGTTCGCTGTTTCCAGCAAGCAAGTATATGACAGCTGTAATCAACCATGATCTGGCTAAACAAACAAAAGATGCGTTTGTTGGTCTTGGGTATTGGAATATGAGCTGGAGCAGCTACCTCGAGATTGTGTTGCCTCATTCTTTCTTGCATTCGGCATTTTCCTTGTTTTTCGTTACGAATATGATTGATCTTTGCTTTGCTCCAAGCCAAGTAAAGGCCTTACTTACTATCTAGAAAATTCCAATTCCAAAGTACATTACTCTTTACATGGAGATATAAGTACTTTGGATGCATTCTTGACTTGAATTCACGGACCCAATCAAAAAAGGCTTGACTTCCATATGAAACCGGCATCCCGGTCAACCGGTCAGCTAGTTATGTCATGGTGGGATTTGGATGCCTGGCTACTCAGGCGCCAGTCGATCCTCGGGACATGTGCCCCTCCATTTCTTTTAACCGCCCGCATTCCTCGTCCCTAACGATTCTCTTTCCAAACTTTCTTCCCTTCTCAATCTTTCCCCAATCTCATACCCTACATATCCATCATCATGCCTCGCCAATTCTTCGTCGGTGGTAACTTCAAGATGTACGTTTTGATCTACTCCAGTACCCCGCAATTCCTCAATGGACTGCCTCTCCGTCTTGAAAGCCAAGGTACAGCAGCTTGCCAGACCATGCAATTGACCAGAATTATAGGAACGGTGTTGCTGACAGCATCACCAACATCGTGAAGAACCTCAACGCCGCCAAGCTTGACTCTACCACCGAGGTCGTCATCTCTCCTCCCTCCCTCTACCTCACTCTCACTCGCGGCCTGGCCGACTCCAAGATCGGCGTTGCTGCCCAGAACGTCTTCGACAAGCCCAACGGTGCTTTCACCGGCGAGATCAGCGTTGAGCAGCTGAAGGACACCAAGATTGACTGGGTTGTCATTGGCCACAGCGAGCGCCGTGTCATCCTGAAGGAGACCGACGAGGTACGTAACCACGCGCATGCTTCGGGCAACCGACAACACACCAGTTCTATACACCCAACACCCCATTACGGACAAAACAGGAATTAACAACTGCTCGCTACAGTTCGCTGCCCGCAAGACCAAGGCCGCCATTGACGGTGGTCTCTCTGTCATCTTCTGCATTGGTGAGACCCTCGAGGTACGTCATTTCAACTCGGTTACCCGTTTGCCTTCCCGAGACCCGGTGTGGGGCATCGGGACAGGTCCAAGATGAAGAACCTCCGCTTACACCCGATTCTATTTGCAATCGTATAGGAGCGTGAGGCCAACAAGACTATCGAGGTCGTTACCCGTCAGCTCGACGCCGCCGCCAAGGAGTTGACCAAGGAGCAGTGGTCCAAGGTCGTCATTGCCTACGAGCCCGTCTGGGCTATCGGTACCGGCAAGGTCGCTACCACCGAGCAGGCCCAGGAGGTTCACGCCGCTATCCGTGAGTGGCTCGGCAAGACCATCAACGCCGAGGCTCAGGACAACGTCCGTATCATCTACGGTGGCTCCGTCAGCGAGAAGAACTGCCGCGAGCTCGCTACCCAGCCCGATGTTGACGGCTTCCTCGTTGGCGGTGCCAGCTTGAAGCCTGCCTGTAAGCACACTCGACCAAACATATGCGATGCATGGAATGCTAATCTCAAATCTAGTTGTCGACATCATCAACGCCCGCATCTAAGTGGTCCTGGATACTATGATATCCCGTTAATAAATTTGACTGCCAGGACTGGCTGGCCTTGATCCAGGCCTCACATAAATAGTTCAATGGCTTGAAACGTGAGATATGTTGTCATGAGAATATATGTACATTGGGGAACCGCCAATATGTCGAGTTTGCGGCATATTAAAACATGCAGGTGTAATCATGCAGGGTGTAATCGTAGATGTTGATCCACTCAACCCCTCGACACGTAGGAAATACATATCAGAGGGTAAGAAGAAACCAGGAGAAGAGAAGAGATAATCATAGACACCATCTTGTTACGATGAATACATCACCGACACTCCAACCCCGCGCCAGTACGACGTGCCAGGGCCACCTCCACTCTGCGCCGACCCACTCCCCGCCGCGGAGGAAACATTCGGCGCCAGCGAGAACGAACCCGGGCCCAGCCCGACGCCCGCACTCACCAACAACTCCTTCACGCGACCTTCCCAGAGCAATCTCACATTCCAGGACTGGTCAATGCGAAGCTTAATGACCGAGTCACTAGCCTCGCCCTGGCTGCTCTCGTCCGACGTGATGGCAGACTCGGGTTGAACCGGGTCGGAGAGGAGTGGAGAGGATGGCGGGGATCCCGGGAGAGGAGCGGAAAAGTCGTGCAGGCGCATTTTACGGCGGGCCCATTCGAGCCCGTCGTCGGCGGGGGATGTGGATTTTCTAGCTCGGCGCCAAAGTTCACATCCGGCAACCATTTCGCTTTCCCAGCTGTAAACGTTGAAGCCGAAGCGTGAGCTGAAGGAGAGATTTGGCGAGGCGCGGAGGGAGTATGTGGTGGATAGAGAGCCAGTGATTGGGGTGAGAGTTAGGGTTAATGTGTACGGGAAGGTGGAGATGGGGGTGGGATGGTTGGTTGAAGACGAGGAGGAAGATGAGGGCACTTCAGTCGCGGCGGGAAGTGTGCTGAATCGCAGGCCAGTTGACATGCCGATTATTGACGAGACTGGAGAATAGTATGCCTCTGCACCGGCAGACAGGAGAGAGAGACGGGGAGGCGCATTGGCGGGGGTATATCGAGGATCAGCGCCGAAGTTCCAGAGACCGCGCCAGCCAAGAAGCGCATTGTCTGTACTGAAAAGGTACTCATTGCAGTACTTCCCAGTGTCGTGGGAGAGATGGGCTAGCAGTGAGGCTTGTGGCGCGGACTTTGACATTGGCGGTCCCTGAGTTGAGCAGACTGCAAGCGACAGCTGTGTTGTTGGAGACATCCTACGCAGGAAAAGCGCATATAGTGTAGTCGGCGATGGCAGGTGTAGCGAGGCGTGCAAAAGTGTTGCCTTCCGTTGCGCCTTGTCTTCTACTGGTTGGTTGCCATCCTTGTGTGCTGCAGTCGCTGAACGCGATCCGCCATTGAACCCAGGAATCCTGACGCCATCAAGAAGAGAGTCCCATCCCCAAGTCAATACTGAAGCCTCGGGAGCCTGTACTTGTCGATAACCCGGGGAGATCTTTCGAAGTGGGATTAGGGCGCTTCGGCTGGGGGTATTGTGCAAGGGAACTGTGCTGAAGAGGTATGAGATGGATCCATCAAGTAATCCGACCGTTCCAAGTGTATAACTGGTCGCAAAATGCGGTGTTGAAAGCGATGAAAGACGAACACGCAATCTTTCGGGAGTCTCGAATTCCAGGATCGCTGTATCGAACGCGTTAGATTAAGTCCGTTGCGCATCCCTGAAGCCGGAACAACTTACACTGCGCGGTAGTTGTGAGCGCCGAGTAGGAATTGTCCTGGTTCCAATTGGTCGCCTCGGCAAAGGCGAGTTGGACGTAGTCCATGAAATCCAGCATGATTCTCCCTCGGCGGCACTCCGACGATGCTAGCAAGGCCCAAAGGTATGGGACTCACGGAGTAGAAGTAGTCAAGCGGAAGTGAGAGTGCAGCAGCTGGTTACCCCATCGAGGCTAGTGGGGGTCGGATAAGCTCGGCACAACTGTTGATCCGGTTATCAGCGAAAAAAACTAATGCCACAACTGCTGCGCTCCGCACCGCTACGACAAACGAAACTACGCCCTTTTCGAATTATCTGGTCTTTGTTTTCTCAAATTACTCAAAATGCCTCGTTCCAAGCGCGCGCGTGTCGTTCACGAGTCCAAGACCGTCAAGAAGGACCACAAGGAGCAGACTCGCCGTCTGTACGCCAATATCCGGGAATGCCTCGAGGAATATGATCACCTGTTTGTCTTTTCGGTGGATAACATGCGAAACACCTATTTGAAGGATGTGCGCGCCGAGTTTGGAGACAGCCGGTATGTCGTTCTGTTAATTGAGAATGTGAATGTGATTGAGAAGTCAATTAAAGACATTCATCACATCATTCGGCTCAATCAATACTATCTTCAAGACTAGCCCACTAACTTGATATCTCTAGTCTTTTCTTCGGCAAGACCAAAGTTATGGCCGTCGCCCTCGGCACAACCCCCGAAAACGAAGCCGCTGAGAACCTGCACCGTCTTTCCACTTACCTGACCGGTGCCGTCGGCCTGCTCTTCACCTCTCGTCCCGCCGAGTCCGTCATCCAGTACTTCGAGAACTTCCACCCCTCTGACTTTGCCCGTGCCGGCACCGTGGCTACCCGCTCTTTCACTCTCCCCAATGGCCTTGTCACTGCCCGCGGTGGCGAGATCCCCGCCGACCAAGATGAGCCCGTCAGCCACACCATTGAGCCCGCCATGCGTAAATTGGGTATCCCCACTCGTCTGGTGAAGGGTAAGGTCATGCTCGAGTTGACCGAGGGCCAGGAGGGATTCCCCATTTGCCGAGAGGGCGAGACGCTGGATTCCCGGCAAACTACCATCTTGAAGATGTTTGGTGTGACTTCCTCCGAGTTCAAGGTCGATCTTAAGGCCCAATGGACGCGGGAGTCTGGAGAGATTAAGATCCTGGAGCAGGGTGGCATGGACACTGATGCTTAGATGAACTGATTGTGTTGCTGTCTTTTGCCTCTGTTTCGTCGACTTATGTCTTGTCTGGTCGATGTTAAAAAAAAAGATTCTCTGAGGGCATCTTACGGAGTTTGGGGTGGGCGCTTCTTTTTCATTTCTTTTCAAATATATTGAACAATTTCTTATCCTCCCATATATTGTCCAGGGAAGAGCATGGGTTCTTCGGATTGATGTGCCTATGATGATAGATACCAGATTGGATATGAAAAAAGTATTACTGCTCAAACTATCTTTTGCTGTGTAGAGACTCGGTCCAGAGAGAGAAGCATATTTCCATTTTTGACTACCTAGTAAGACGCCTGCGCGTATGTCATTGCAGTGGCCCTTACCTGGTTCTTACCTGAACGTAGTCCCATCTGGTTTCCATCGCCTGAATAAGAAAGATTGCTTCGACTAAAGTACATACTTACCCCCAAGGGAAGGAAGGGTCACTTGAGGGACCCTCCGAAAAAAGAACTTGAACGCATTGCAGAAACGAAATGTAGAGGGGAACTGGAAGGAAACCGGGGAATACAAAAACACTTCGTGGTGATCACCCAAGGTATGTGCATGCTGATGCAGGGAGCAGGATCGCATGATAAACCGAATACCCTGTGGTCAACAAAAGCATGAAGCGGTAGCGTGTGTTGGGAAACTTCGAAGGCTCGTGCTGGACAATTCAGACCCCATTGTTATCTGCGCATAGGCTGTCGTCTTACCCCCCTTTGCCCTAACGACGGAAAAGGGCATGTGGAAGACAATATCAGGGATACCCACCAGCAAGTCGAGACTGAGAAGGGAAGGGGGAATGTCCATAAGTAACAAGAAAGACGAAAGAACGCCTAGTACCGTCTTCTGGAGCGGTTGTCATCTTGGCCGTCATCCTCACGGGGTCGCTTGCGTCCAAAGTCCTCTCGGGGACCCTCGCGACCACCTTCGCGGCCTCCATCTCGGCCACCACCGCTGTACCTATCGCGGTCACGATCACGGTCACGATCGCGGTACCGATCTCCGTTGCGGTCAGGCATGCGTTCGCGGTCTCTGTAACGGTCACCACCATCGCGGTCTCCCCGATCGCCCCGATCTCCTCGGTCACGGTCGTCACGGCGGTCGCGGTCTGCGTATGCGTCTCGGGGGCGAACGGGCTCGCGGTTGCTGCCAGTTACACCACGATCAAACCTGCCTCCACTACCACCACCGTAGCCACCTCCAAATCCACCTCCGCGTCCACCACCAGGGCCAGAAGGAGCATTAGGGGGAGCTTGGCCTCCGCCTCCGAAGCCACCGCGGCCACCTTGGTAACCGATTCCTCCACGACCACCGAATCGATCACCACCACCACGGAAGCCTCCGCCACGGAAACCTCTGCCACCGAAACCGCCACGGAATCCCCCACCAAATCCACCAGGGCCGGATGGCGCACTGAAACCTGGTCCCATGGGGCGCGAGGGCATGGCCTTGGTGTATCCCCGGCCGCCAAGACCACCGCCGAAACGACGTGGCTTCCAGCCCTTAGTTGTACGGCCACGCTCGACATCAACTAGGACTCGTCGGTCCTTGATGCGAATGCCATCTGTTTCCTTGTAGGCAGCTGATACCGGCGTCACTGTGTTAGCAATAGCTTTCTTACCATGACAAGGAGTGGGAACAGCGCGAATGGAGGGTGCAAGATAAGGAAGTTATACCTTTCATGTCCTTCTCTCGTTCGTACACAATGAAGGCGTATCCTCGGTGAGCCTTCTTTCCTGCTTTGGGCGAAACGGTGTCCTTGACGATGCGAATCTATATGTGACAATGATCAGCCGTAATGAAAACTGGAGGACAATCGGACCAAGGTAGTCGTACACGTTCAATCGGGCCAAAGCGGCCGAACTCTCGCTCCAAGTCTGCTTCCTTCACATCGTAGCTGAGTCGTGCAACGAAGAGTGTTCTGAAGGGGTCACCTCGAGCTTGGGGATCCTCCTTGGGATTGACTGTCAAAGGAAAATATTGTTAGCGATTTGAGTCAAGCTGTAAAGGGCACATTAGATAGCGCATACAGGTTTGAAAGCCATCGGTCAACTGTGAGGTCAAGGCTTCCTTCTTCTCAACCTTCTCGCGCCACTTGCGCTGCAACCAGCACTCAGTTGCGTTGTAAGGGGCCTCCTCCTCAAATTCCTTTGCTGCAGCTAGGTATTGAGCGACGCCAGAGATGGTACTTTTCGGGCAGTCCTCTGGAGCGCGGTCGGTGGGGGCAATGTAGCGAAGCGGTGGCCGGGGCTGGAATAGGGCCAGCAAAGGCGGTGGGAGCTTGTCAGTCATTTTTACTCCTCAGCCGATGGCGATGCGGAGATCAGATGAAGACTGCGAAGCTGACCAAACTGCTCAGGAGTGTCGCGTTCTGCAGCGGTCGGATCAAGGGCGGTAAACGAGGTAGCCGCAGTAGCCGACTTTAGCGCACCCTCACCGCCTTCACGTGAACGAGAAAATGGAATGGGGAGACAACTGGAGATTGGCAACCACAGCTTGATACTGGAACGAAACATAACAATGCCGGTGAAGGGAATCAAAACGGTTACCGCCGCTCGGGTACGTTGTTGTGAGGGATGAGAGGAAAGGAATTGAAAGCTCAGCGCTGACGGGGCGAATCTTCAGAACGGCGTCGGTGCCTTTATCCTACAATGCAAACGCCTTGACTTCCACTACTGCAACTACGGCGGCAGCTCTCGTGGCATGCTGTGAGTATACCTTGCTAAAACTTCATGTTATCTCTTCGTATTCGATTCCGAGACTGACCGGCTACTTCTACAGGGCCTTCCTGACCCAAACCCTTCCCAACTTCGCCCGCGAAAACCCCCAGATCGAGATCCGTGTCTCCCCCCGACATTCCAAGCACCCCATTATCAAGGGCCACTACATCAACGGTCGTGAGAAGTCAATCTGTGTGCGCAACCTTGAGCCTACCGATATCCTGGCCAAGGCCATGATCCTGAAGGATGCCAGTGGCGAGAAGTTGAAGGTGCAGAAGAAGCCCGTGACGAGTCTGAACGAGAGTGTGCGTGGTATCTGGTCGCCATATCACGGTGATTTGCGTGGTGTATAGATTATGGGTGTTTATTTGTGGCGTTTACTCTGGGTAGGAGCTATCATTTTCACAAAGGATGAAGATCTGCCCTCGCATCATATGTACTATTAGAACTGGGTTCTTGTCTTTTCTCTTTTTACCTTCTTTGTCCATTTCACTACCCTCTGTGGGAAAAACATGGTTCCCCACGTGCGTTATGCATTGCAAATGCGAGTTGCCGTATGCCTCGAAATAAAGTCGAATCTACAATTGGTCTTTGGATGCCGAAGTATACTTGTTATTGGTTTCCATCATTGCTTACCTAGAGGGACTACACTTGGGATGATCAAGCCTGACAGCAGATGAGCTACGAGAAGCGCCGTTCAAAAAAGAATGTAACATTCAGAAAAGAAATGGCCGGTAAAACCGGAGGATAGAGTAAGATAACGCCCCGTATTTCCATGTAAGTTGGGTATCGACAAGAAAAGGGAAGAGAAATGAAGCAGGAAACCGGAGAACACCACTCGTCATGCAAATGAGAAAATTGGGACGTCAGAGGAGGCATCACAGGTAGAGATGGAGCATCGCTGTGGGTGCACTGACGAGCTTGCCGCAGCCCTCGACCTGGCACTTGGAGAAAGGCTTGGTCTTTGGAGGTGTCTGGGCCTTTCTGGCCTTGGAAAGGGACCGGTTCTCTGCGCATTCACCACAGTATACCTAGAATATAGAATATGCATGTTAGCTAGGGAGTACGAACTCGACTCAACCTGGGATATACGAACATGGCCACACTGCTTCGCAAGCCAAATCTCCTGCTTCTTTCCTTCCCCGGTTCCTAGCTCCCAGTCACAGTTGGGGCAAACCGCGACGTCGTCTTCACCCAAGGTGCGCGAAAAGCCTTCTGGAGCTGGGCTGGGTGGTTTGTAGGTATCACGTCGGCGTCTATCTTCATACCGCGTTGGGGCTGTCTCCATAGGGAAGGAGGACGTGGTGTAGTCGAGGTAAACCTCGGCCGAGCTCATGTTGGGGATCGAGTCTCTTGCGCCGAGGAAAAGAGTGTCCAAATGGCTGACTGTAATATTGTGAGGCCTTGGGAGCCTTGGACGAGCCCACGGAGTGACCTCCTCTGGCGCTCGGCTCCGAGTTAATGGGAAGTTGGTCTGGAACAAGCTGACACCTTCCCATCTTCGTGGTGGAGGTTGTGGGTGGCGCACGGTGGCCCGGAGGAACTGGACCTCTGGGCTACTGGAAGGCCCTTCTCCAGCGTCGTCGGGCTCATCTTCCAGATCGACAATATCTGCCTCGGCCATGATGTTCCTTCCAAAACGTGGGAGTCGTGATGAGGAGGAGTGTGGGGGGCGGTTCTCGTTGTGAGTGTGGGTGCGTTGAGGAGGAGTCTCTGGCTCGTTTGTGAGATCAATAACATCGTCCTCCTGAGCTCTGACTTCAGCGGGTCGTCGATAGTCAAAACCGTCTCGAGGTGCTCTTATAGGTGGTAAGCGGGCAGGACGCGAGCCTGCCATTTCAGGTCGTGGAGGGTGAAAGTGGTGGTGCCATGACGACTGCCCCCCTTCATTAGATTCTTCTGACATATGACGCTGATTTTGCTAGAAAAAAAACATGGGCAAATATATCAATAAAGGCGTCATTTCATTTACATTTGCCCCGCGTGCCGTTTGAGGGTTCTTTACTCACCTTGGACCTGGCGCCCATAAACAGGACGCCAGGATCGTCACTCATAGCCGTACCGAAGCCAAGGATAGGTTTGTATATAGGTAATGCAACGTGAATTGGCATGTAAGACGGCCAGAGAGTATTCGAGGCAAGAGAACGGTTCTGGGTGGACATGATGACCAGGCCCGAGTCCCCGAAGGCGGTATAATTATGCCAGTATTATAGAAGGCGGTCTCTGATGCGGACAAAGAAGGCGGTGAGATAATATTGGAGGGACAGGTAGGTAAAATCACGTGGTCTGAGTAGTTGACAACATGGAGGAGTTGCTCGGAGGGGGAGAAGGGCAATATAAGGTGAGATACCGGGCGCCATATTTGCTGGTAAAGCTCACTTTGATAAAAATCGAATTGCTAGGATTATGAACCATTCGGATCGTAAAGAAAAGACTGTGAATTTTTCCTGCATCAAGAGCTGTCGCAAACGCAAGAAACACCATTGAAACTCAGATATCCAGCTCTAAAATTACATGTTTTGCCTAGAAGATCGTGACTACGGGGACAGAACAGTGACTGCACCAGCCTCGTTAAGAGTGACAATGCTCTGAGCAGCAGATCCCCAAGCCACAGACACAGCGGGGACAGCACTGCGCAGAAGCTCCGACCATTCCTTTGCCGACTTGTTGCACTGTTGGACGCTAACTCCGCTAGGGCCACCGGTCACGAGGAATTGGCCAGAGTAATCCCAGTGGATCGAGTTGACCAGGCTACCGGTGTCCAGCACCTTGATTTCCTTGAAGCTTCGTAGGTCCCAAATGGAGACGGTGGTGGATTGCGCAGCCACTGCTGCCAAGGAGGTGCCATTCTCGGAGAAGAAAAGGCATTTCACTGGGCCAGACATGGCGAAATCGGCGGCCTCGCTACCAGTCCGAACATCAAAGACCTTGACTTGTCCGTTGGCGGTGCCAGCAGCCAGGATATGACCATCGGGGTGGAATGTAGCAGACAAGAAAGCTAGACACAAGAGATCAGTATCGGGTGTATTGGATGAAAAGGCAAGCATAAAGGATAGGGCTTACCAGCATCACTCCAGATCTGAGTAACAGCAGTGTTAGACGTCAAGTCATAGAGGACATAGCTCTTGTCGACGCCAACGGAGGCGACAATGTTACCACTGGGGTGAACTGTAACGGCGGTTACCTCACCACCGTGAGCACTAAAGCTCGCAACTTCACTGCCATTCTCAAAAACCTTGACGGAGCCAGTAGCTAATCCAACAATAGCCTTATCACCAGCCCACGTAGCATCAGTCACTGCGCCATTTGTCTTCAAAGTCTGCACGACAGCCTTTTGGGAAAGGGAATACACGCCCACAACACCATCGACACCACCAATAAGTGCCAGTTCACCAGTTGAGTTGACTGCGAGGGTGCGACTTCCAGGGTAGAGAGGCTCGGAGCTCTCGGCGGGCTTGTATGCGGAGATAGATTCGGTGGTGGCCCAGCCTTCGGGAATTGGGCGCTTGCGGCGGGTCTTCGAAAGGCTTCAAGAATGGGATGAATGTGAGTAATTATCCCATGGGAGTCTGCTAGAGACACATCAGATGTCACATACCTTGCTTGTGTGTTCTCAATTAACTCTACCACTGCCTGGGGCAAGGCCGCAGAGTCTACCTGCATAGCCTCACCGCCAGTTCCAGCACGAGTAGCACCAACGGTCACCTTGGAAAGCGCATCACGGGCCTCATCTCTCTCCTTCGTCAAGCGCGCGATCACTCGTACGGCAGCATCATGCTGATAGAGCGCAGCGCTCAGCTCGCGCCGTGTCTGTGCCAAGTTCTGCTGCAGGGTGTATGTTTCCAAAGCGAGCGCATCCCATTCCTCTTGGAATACACTGAGCAGAGAGGGGATGGAGGTGAGGGTGGGAGGTCGGGGTCGAACAACGCGCTGCGACTTGACATCGATCAGATCGTCGGTAGTGAGCTCTTCGCCGTTCACGGGATCCTTGCCATTCTCGGCAATGTAGGCCTCAATGAGGCGCTTCTCGAAAACACTGCCTGCTAAGCTGTTAGAAAGGCGCGATTCGCGATTAGAGGCTGGGAAGACCTACCGCTCTTGGAAGAGACGACCGGCACTTGAGGGGCCTCTCCAGAGACTGCAAGGGAAGACTTGTTAGAAGGGAGTGTCCAATAGTAGCGATTCAGTTAAGGTCAATCACAGGGAACTCACTTGCGCAGAGCATGATTAATTGGGGATGTGGCGAAGGTAGTAGATGAGTGAAGAGGACCAGACGCGAAGCGGCTCCTTTGGACTTTTCGATGTGTCCTGTTTCGGTTTAGCGCCAAGCGAGCTGTTCACGGCCCCAACCTGCTTCTTCCTCTTCGACAACTTTGACCTTCCTCTCGATCTATGATTCGGAAGTGGATGCCAGGGTCATTAGTCTCAATGGACTACTCTGACTGACTGATTGATTGACTGCGATCATTTTCTGAGGGTGTGCTCGGTATGAACCTGACTTAACAGCAGCGAACTACACCACCCAGTGTCGTGCGACTATGGTCAAGAACCCGAAGCTTGCCTACGGTATGCCAGACGTTGCCTACTCCATGAACTGTGCTTACGAATAGGTACTATAGAGGCGAAAGAGCCCGCATTTCTCCAGAAGCTTCGAGGCCACTACGGCGATACTTCCGGTCGCCTCGAGCGACCCGCTGCGCGCCCTCGAAGACTCAAGGACAAGAACGAGGAAGACGACGATGCGCCAGTATACGTCGACGAAGAGAGCAACGAGGTGATCTCAAAGGCAGAATATGAAGCTCTTGTCGGTGGAGGAACAGACCAAAAGGATGACAATGCCTCTACTAAGGACCAACCCACGGAAAAAGGACCGGACGATGCGCAATCCCAGACCGAGACCCCGGCAGCCAAACAGAGCAACTTGACAGAAGTTGGTGGTCCGAGAAAGCGGAAGCAAGTCAAGGTCGTGGGCGAGGACGAATCTGAGGAGAAGCCTGAAGACAAGCAAGAGGCCGACAAGACATGGCCTAAAGCACCAGGACCTCGGAAGTCCAAAAAGGCCAAGAAGATCAAGTTATCCTTTGACGAAGAGTAAAGTAGTGATTTCTCGAGTTTGATTATCCTACCAATAGAGTTACAAAGAAGGAAGAGCTAAGCCACCTCTTAACACGAGGATTGATTCATCATGAGTCAAATGCAATGACGAAACTGTATAGCACTAGTGTCACGTTCTAGCCCTTTTAGAATGATCGAAAAAAAAATTACGATAACAAAATGATCTATCTATGAATTCTTTCATATTAAATTCTAAGTAAAAACTAAGCCTGTGGTTCTTTGCGTGGCTCCCAGTATTCTACTTGTCGGGGCAGCAGCTTGGTGTAGTTAATTCGCATTTCTCAGCAACTTTTTTTCTCCGGCGGCCATCCGACTGCTTTGCTCTCTCCCCACCACCTCGCACTCGCTGGACTCGCTGAACATAGGGAGAGAAATATCAGTGCCAGTCAAGATGCCTGTGGTCAACGTAGACGATCTCGTTCGCCTGCAGCGGAAGCCCGAAGATATTCGCAATGTGAGTCTCTGCCCCTCCATCCCACCTCTGATGTCAGGCCCGCGATATACTAATCCTCCCGCTAGATCTGCATTCTCGCCCACGTCGTAAGTGCACGCGACAACTGAAAGATCCGGTCTTTTCTCAAGAATCACAATTATTAACCGCGACTTTTGACTTTTCGTTCTTATAGGATCATGGCAAGACCTCATTGACGGATAGTCTGATTGCCACTAATGGCATCATCTCGCCCAAGCTGGCGGGCAAGATCCGCTACTTGGACTCGCGTCCAGATGAGCAGCTTCGAGGAATTACCATGGAGTCCTCCGCTATCTCGCTGTTCTTCTCGATGCTTCGCCGTTCTAGCCCAGATGCGGCACCAGTGCCCAAGGAGTACTTGATTAATCTGATCGACTCCCCGGGTCATATCGATTTTAGCAGTGAGGTTTCCACGGCATCACGCCTTTGTGATGGTGCTGTCGTGCTTGTCGATGCAGTCGAGGGTGTCTGCAGTCAAACTGTGACTGTGCTGCGCCAGACCTGGGTCGAGCAGCTGAAGCCCATCCTTGTTATCAACAAGATGGATCGGCTGGTGACTGAACTCATGATGAGTCCCAGCGAGGCTTACTCGCACCTCAGCCGACTTCTAGAACAGATCAACGCAGTCATCGGTAGCTTCTACCAGGGCGAGCGTATGGAAGAGGATCTGCAGTGGCGAGAGCGCATGGAAGACCGTGTCAATGCCGCTGCTAAGAACAAAAATAAGAGTCAAGAGGACGAGTCTGTCCAAAGTGTCAGTGATTTTGCCGACTTCGAGGAGCGAGATGACGAGGATCTTTACTTCGCGCCCGAAAAGAACAACGTCATCTTTTGCAGTGCCGTGGATGGCTGGGCCTTCACCATCAGGCAATTTGCTGCCATTTACGAGAAGAAGCTTGGTATTAAGCGTACCATTTTGGAAAAAGTTCTTTGGGGTGACTTTTACTTGGATCCGAAGACGAAGCGTGTGCTGGGCCAGAAGCATCTGAAAGGCAGGGCGTTGAGGCCTATGTTTGTGCAATTGGTTCTGGACAGTATCTGGGCTGCATATGAAGCCACCACTGGCGGTGGTAAGGGCAAGGGGTAAGCAAGCTGTTGACGCGTAGTTTTGTGGTTGAAGCACCCTTCTAACTTTTCAATAGTGACCCCGTTTTGCTGGAGAAGATCACCAAGTCATTGAATATTTCCATCCCTCCCTATGTTCTCCGTTCGCGTGACCCGAAGAACATCATGACTACACTCTTCTCTCAGTGGTTGCCCCTGTCAACTGCTGTTCTCGTCTCTGTCATCGAATACCTCCCAAGTCCCCCAGTTGCACAAGCCACTCGTCTTCCCGAGATGATCGAAGCGTCACCTGGCTCGGACCAAATCTCCGAGTCTATCAAGGAAGCCATGGTGAGCTTCAAGACCGGCCCCGAGGAACCGGTTGTTGCCTACGTTAGCAAGATGGTGGCTATTCCTGAGAGCGAACTGAGCTCAAGCAAGAAACGCGCTGGAGGCACCATGACTGCTGACGAGGCAAGGGAAATCGCTCGTCGCAAGAGAGAAGAGATTGCAAAGATGCAAGCTGAAGCTAGCGCAGGACAACAGAACGATGCCTTTGAGAGAATGACATCCGCATTCGAGACTACTACTCTGATTACAGAGACCGATGAGCCAGAAGAGCCGGTGGAGAAGGAAGACCCAGAACATCTCATTGGTTTTGCTCGACTCTATTCAGGCACACTGTCAGTTGGAGACTCGATATATGTGCTGCCACCTAAGTTCTCGCCGGCGGATCCCCATGCAAGCCCCGAGCCAAAGAAGGTTACGGTCACAGACTTGTACCTGCTTATGGGCAGGAGCTTGGAGCCCCTTCAATCCGTTCCGGCTGGTGTGGTCTTTGGTATCGGTGGCCTCGCGGGCTACGTGCTCAAGACCGGTACTCTTTGCAGCCAGCTCGAAGGGAGTATCAACTTGGCCGGTGTCTCGCTGAGCACCCCGCCCATTGTCCGCGTTGCTCTTGAGCCTGCCAACCCGGCAGACCTTGGTAAGATGATTACTGGCCTGCGCCTTCTTGAACAGAGTGACCCTTGTGCACTGTACGAGGTTCTTCCCAGCGGTGAACACGTTATTTTGACGGCAGGTGAATTGCATCTGGAGCGATGCGTCAAGGATCTTCGTGAGCGGTTTGCCCGCTGTGAAATCCAGACTGGTGAAGCTATCGTGCCATACCGCGAGACCATCGTCGATGCTGCAGAGATGGCTCCTCCCAAGAACCAAGACTTGGGCCGTGGAGGCGTTCTCTCTGTGTCCGCATTTAAGCAGTTGACCGTCCGCCTGCGCGTGATGCCGATGCCTTCTGCGGTCACGGAGTTCTTGACCCACCAAGTTGGTACTATCAAGCGACTCCAGGCAGAGAAGCGGATGGCCGCCGAGACAAAATCAGATGCAGTTGTAGACAGTGCCCAGCAAGTTGACGCCGCTGGTGAGGTTGGCGAGGGCAACGTCCTATCATTGAAGGAATTCCGAGATGAATTGGACAAGGTCTTCAACGAAGAGGTCAAGGAAGACAAAGAGCTCTGGAAGAACGTCGTTGACCGTATCACTGCATTCGGGCCTCGGAGAGTTGGACCTAACATCTTGGTTGATGCAACTTCAGTCAACACTTGCGAGAAATTGTAAATCTACACACCCGTCAACAGGAGACTACTGTATCTTTTACATATGCTAACTTTTTACGTCTAGCTTGCTCGAGGACTCCAAGCAAAACGTCGTTTCTTCCGATGACTTGAAGGCTCTCCTGGTACGCGACCTCTGCGACAAGATCGCATACGCCTTCCAGCTAGCCACCGGCCAAGGACCTCTCTGCCAGGAACCAATGCAAGGCGTCGCCGTCTTCCTAGAGGATATCTCCGTGGAAGCCAGCTCTAGCGACGAGCTAGACATGGGCCGTCTAACCGGTGATTCCATCAAGCTCGTCCGCGAGGGTATCACGCAAGGATTCCTCGACTGGAGTCCCCGCATCATGCTGGCAATGTACAGCTGTGAGATCCAAGCAACAAGTAAGTACTCCCTTCCCCCTATCACTCCCTTCCCTCCAGTCCCCAACCCCCATCACCGACCCCAACCCTATACTAACACCTCTCCCAACACAGCCGAAGTCCTCGGCCGCGTCTACGGCGTAATAACCCGCCGCCGAGGCCGCATCCTCTCTGAAATAATGAAAGAAGGCACCCCCTTCTTCACAATCATCGCACTCCTCCCAGTGGCCGAATCTTTCGGCTTCGCCGAGGAAATCCGCAAGCGCACGTCCGGCGCGGCACAGCCCCAACTCGTCTTCGCGGGCTTCGAGGCTCTAGACGAGGATCCGTTCTGGGTTCCGGCTACGGAGGAGGAATTGGAGGATTTGGGCGAGTTGGCGGATCGGGAGAATGTTGCGAAGAGGTATATGGATGCTGTGAGGAGTAGGAAGGGTCTTGTTGTGCAGGGGAGGAAGTTGATTGATGCGGAGAAGCAGAAGACGTTGAAGAAGTAGAAGTTGGGTGATGGGAGTTCGTATTTGGTTTTTGGAGGGTTTGATTTGGATTTAGAGGAGGTGAATACACAAAAGTGATCTGATTATAGTATTTGTTCCTGTGGAATAGGATCATGAGTGAAGAAATAAGAGTTGGCTGTTCTCAAGTATATGGAAAGTTTCATACTCGAGAACGAAGGGCTATCCATGATCCATTCCTATGATGATAAATGTAACCCTCAGATCTCCATCCAGTCACATAAACAGCAACCAAAAAAGTCGAGTCTGAGGGCTTCGCAAAAAATGAGAGTTTCCCGCGTGATTCCGAAAAATCCATCAATCTCCCTCCATTGACAAACACAATCCGACATTGAAAGAGTCTCGACCGTGTATACTAAGGAGGGTATATAGCTAGCTAGCTAGGTGGTAGATAGTTCTACAGTGTTAGGAAATGTAAAATGGACCGCAGCTGAGAAAACTGGGGGTTAGAGAAGTTGATCATGTGCCTTTTCATTCGTTTAGTGGGTATCTCATAAATGCTGCGACGGTCGTGGGAATGGTAATGATGTTCCCGGTGCAGCAGGAGTGGTACATGCAAATCTCGTGCTTGCCAGTGCAGCACTATTTGGAGGGGGATTGGTTTCCCTCCGGCATGAGTCCGTCGCGTAGGAGTTGGAGCGAGCCACTTGGAGAAGTGGTTATGACTGGAGTTGATAGGCCTTGAATACCAATGCCAACAAGACATGTGATACAATATTTAGTCTCGTATCGTAAGTCGAGGTTGTGTCACGCTAGGCCAGAGGCGAGGTGAGTAGGCCAAGAGTATGCTTGAGTCGGCGTCCGCATCGCCAACCCAAGAAAATATCATACAAGGTCAGGGTTTCATAGAAGAACAGCTGGAACAGTCGAGCAGCCTTCAATAAGGTCTGGCAACCTTCCTCTGCTCTCCCGCCCCGGTAACCGGATCCCTCATTTCCTTCCAACTGACCGGGAACATCATATTGCCCGCCTCACTCCTGGCCATAACAACACCCAGATCATTACGGGCCGTAGTCAGATAGTAAAAGCTCTGGTCACCCAGCGAGAGCACCGACCCGCGCACGATATCGCCAACCCGGAACATCTCATCCATAACAACACGGTCCTTCTCCACAGCTCGGACGTCCTCTTTCCGAATCAACGCTTGGAACCGCAGCTCGTCTGTGCTACTGTGGTTCTCGGGGTTGGCGGCGGTGGTGAGGATAGAGGCGACATTGTCATTATCTGAGGCGAGCTTTGAAGGGTCGGTGGATGTTGCGGAGGTGTCGTCTAGGACGACGAGGATGGAGACGGTTGCTTGGCGCTTTTGGACGCGGGTTACTCGTGCGAGGACGATGGAGTCGACGGCGGGGAGGGTGTTGTATCGTGATTTTTGCTTAACGGAGGCAGCTGAAGCAGCTTGAGATGTGCTCTGCAGGGTCCTTGAGACACGGAGCGTTGACTTGGCTTGTGTCTTGGGCTGTGCGGGATCGACGATGACGGGGCCGGCGATGGAAGCGTAGATATTGGATTGTTGGACATGGGTGCCAGGACCGGCAGAGTATGCAGCAATAGAGCCAAGGCGTTGGCCAGGAATAGCCACAGGTGGAATGGAGGTAGCCATGGTAAAATTAGCCCTTGGGGGCAGATAATTAGACTTCTTTATGTTGAGAAGGTGGATGGAGCGGAGGAGGTTTTTTTGTTCGGGGAGCTTTCTCTGGATCCACCGGAACGGGAAAACTACTTTCCGGATGGAGGGAGAGCAGCACTCCTGGTATATTCTCAATTGCTCTAATCTAACTATTCTAGCTCACATTAGCTCAAAGACACTGTGCACAGCGGACTGATTAAATATGACAGAGCCCGATATCTAGCATGAATACACGGTGTATGCGTAGAAACAAGGAAGAACAGCAGCACCGACCCAAAAATACCATGGATAACATGGGCGTGGAAGAAGAAAGCAGGACAGAAGAGAAGAATCACATAGAAGGAAGATGAAAACGGCCCAGACTACACCCATACCCGCTGACGGAAGAAAGCTGAATTCTTTGAATTCAATGCCCAGATGAACACCCAAAGAACGAGAAAGTAGAAAGTGGATAGAGGAAGTGCGGCCAAGCAAAAGGTCCGAAAAGGGTAAATTATCGCATGTTAGAGGAAAGGATCACGGGTAAGCTCAGGCCTCAACCAATGTCTGCTTAGGACCAGTCCCGAGCAGCTCTAGGCAGCGTCGGGCAAGGGCAATTACTTCCCCTTCGCCATCATCTGCATCTTCCTCGTCAGACTCTATGTTCTTGTCGGAGATGGACTTGACCATCTGCACCACATCCTCTGATTTGGAGATGTATCCAATAAGCTTCTGATCTTCAGATTCAAGGAGCTGGAGCAGGGTCCAAATGGCAATGTGCTGGAAGGTAGGATCGCCGCTGGCGAGGAATCGCTGGAGGTAGCCGTGGATGCCTCCATTTGGATCGGCCCAGTCACGGACGAAGATCGAGTAATCGCCGACTAGTGAATTGTTAGCTGTATGTGGCGACGTGAAAGATTAGACAAGATATAATCTTACCCTTAGACGACAGGTTGCCAAGGGCAGCCGCACTGTTCCCTTGTACCTCAATGCTCTCTGAGTTTGTCAGTGGAATCAAGACGTCGAATACGCCGAGCTTAAGAAGATGAGGCTTAAGCTCATCGCTGAGGGCCAGCACAGCGATTGCGGCGGTCATCTCGGATTGAACAGTCAGAGGGACGCGAAGAACGAGGTCCTTGCATTTCTGAACCGCTCCAGCCTGTAGAACCAGTTCCTTATTGCGATCGGAGCTAGCGGCAAGGTTGCGGAGGGTGGAGATGGCATGGCATTGGATTTCTTCGTTGTCGGTTGAGCCCAGAAGGTCAACCAGTGGCTTCAAGAAGCCCGCTTCGATAATTGGGGACTCGTTCAGTGGGTGGATAGAGATGTTGCGGATGCATGCAACGGCGGAAAGAATGAGAGGGAGGTAGGAGGATTGAAGAAGTCGTAGCAGTGGAGACAGGCCCTTTGCCCGAACAATTTCAAGCTGGTACTTCTCGTCGGAGGCAAGATTTCGGAGAGCGAGTGCCGCTTGGCATTGGACCTTGGGGGTGGAGGAGTCCATGAGGTGAACCAGGGACTGGACCAGACGCGACTCGGTCCGGGCCAGGCGCTTGCGGTTGGTCGAGTCCACAGCAATGTTGCTGAGGGCGGTTGTGCAATAGTATTGAACGTCGACGTCGGGGGATGAAAGGAGGTGAACCAGGACGGGAATAGCGCCGGCGTTGACAAGCTGTTGGCGATTATCATCTAGTGCCTTGAGTTAGTGACTACTTCCTCCAGGCTTCCCCGGATTCCAAGGCATTTGTAATTTACCAGAATGGGTCATGTTGAGCAATGCACCGGTCGCATTGCGTTGCACACGCATATCCTTCGACTTGGCGAGGCGGATCAGAGGGCCCAACGCTCCTGAACGAGCGATCTTGGCTTTGTTCTCCTCATGGGTTGCCAGGTTGGTGATACAGCCAACGGCATTGCACTGCACTTCGACGTTGGGCGACATCATTTGGCGGATCAGAGGGGCCAGCCCTCCGAGGGCGACGATCAAGACCTTGTTCTCGGCTGAGATTTGGGGTTAGCGATCGAAGAGACTGTGAATCCGCCGACCAGGAAGCCGTCGCTTACCATTGACTGCGAGATTACCCAGCGCCGCACTGGCAGCACGCTGCACTTCAATATCCGAGCTCTGAAGCAGGAATAGAATAGGTTCGAGAGTGTCTCGGTCGACTTCGCGCACATCTGTAGGTCTGGGGTCAGGTCTGACATCGCCATGGGCAACTGATATTCTCCAACGCACCTCGTTCGGTGATCTCGGCAAAGGTCAAGCTAGCGCTTCGCTGGAGATCGACATTATCGGAATAGACCAGGGTACTCAGGGCTCGCAAGGGTTCTCCGGCGAAGAAATCGGTTTCGGCGCGCTGTCAAAAAGGAGCCAGGGGCTATGGTTAGCAACGTTCGTCGGCTGGCGCGGGTTCACAATCGGGCATCACCATCACCGATCGGGGGTGACGGCATCAGGACCCCGAGGGATAGAAATGAGTTGCGACGTACATTCTCGAGATACCCCAATAGATCTGACACGGCTTCTCGTTCATTGTCTTCCAGGGTGGTTTCATAGATGCCATCCCGAGAACGGCCTCCACCCAGGCAGGCCGTGATATGACACCATCGGTCGACCGCCGACAGGCACGACAAACAGGTGGTGACGATTCCACTCATGCCGTCCTCAACAGGCCCGCATCAGGGCCGCAAAGGCGATTGGATCGAAGCTGGAGGGGAGGAGGGAGGAGAAGGGTGCGATTCAAATTTCTGCGGGGAGAGACACAGGTTGGTCGGAATGATGAGGAGGCTTGGACGGTAGAGGCTGTAGGCAGTTGCATGAACCCGGGTCAAGCTTCGGGATGGCAACACAAAGTCGTGGCGCGTGATCGAAAAGAGAGCCCCGAGGATTGTAGTCGGACTCGGATTTTCAGGGCGAAAATAGAACCTGCCCAGAAAAAAAGTCCAAGATAAGGGAAAGGTGATGCGCAGGGAGGGGGGAAGGAAGTGGAGGGCAGGAGGTGAAACGAGGTTGCAGGCGCGAGCTCAGCAACTAGCAACTAGTAACCACAGTAGCTCAAGCAGTCAGGTCCTCCTCGGCTCAGCTCTGCGACACCACGGATTTCTGCTTGAATTGTGAGATTCAGTAATTAATATTAATTAAGAAATATTGGGCTATAAAACTCTTTGCTTTTTCTTTTCGTTTCCATTTTTCCATCTTCTGATTACCTTTATCATTCAATGATGGGCCATCCGAATCACCCTGTCAAGCTCCCGCATAGCATCCTACATCATCCCGAGAGCTGCGACCAATCCGCATAGGCAGGTTTCTTGACTAATGGCGAGGTGAAGATCAGAGGATCTAGGGTATAGTGAACTATGTTTTGGATATCGGTACTTGGGCATATGTAAGACATCAAGACTTGCAAGGGCACTATTACCTATGTAGAGAGAGTCAGCTTCTAATTATATCTTGATGCAACTGCCCTATCTATACTGTCCATTTGATAGGAGAGTCATATACAGAACAAGGTGTGACAAGGTCGATCTATGCTCCGTACAGAGTAGATATATATGGATGCACCTATTGGATCTATCTACTCCGTATATTTCTAGCGAGATATCCCAACCATCTCTTGCTATTCGTATTGCCTTCTCGCAGTCTTCTCTTCTCTCTTTCTAAGTGTTTTATCATTCCCAGCCTCCCCACTATTCCTACTCTCCCACCCCCTCCCCCGCCTCCTTCAGTCTTTTCTCCCTCGTTACCTCTCCTCTTCCCTCTTTGCCTCTTTTCCGCTTCCTGCTAGGGTCCGTGCAGCACAGACCTGCCCAATGAGGGTCGATCTCCTCTGGTCGCCCTTGTGATTCCTACCCAGTGACGCAGATGATCACCGGACGGGTGATCCGCCCGCGTGAATCATGAAGACTGGAAGATAGTTGACTGAGTTCTGTCAACTCCAGTACAGTCCAGTCCAGTCTGGGAGGAGACTTGCGCCTATGGTTTTGCAACATCACATGGAAGATACTGGACCCTAGAGCACAAATGCAATAAGCGGGCCAAGCTCAAGAGGCGGGAACTGGGATTCCCAAGTGTAGGAAAAGTAGATCCGTGCGAAGCTAGTCCCGTCTTTTTAGGTGGTTTAGTGTTCACCAACCAGATTCAACTGGGACGGGTAGACTGTCCAGGGCAAAGCGCATAGCAGAGTCCACAGGCCATAGGCCACACGGCCGTCGGCTAAAACTACAAGAGGCAAACTCGGGCCGGATGGAGGCTATTTCCCCGCAAAAAATATCATGGGAGGCGAGGGGGGGGGGGGGCGACACGGAGTCTAGCGAGGATGGTATGCCGGTATGGATAAGACAGTGTGTCTAGTAGACTATGTAGGTCTATATTGCAGGCTTCGATATCATAAGTCTATAGATATAGATCCGTAGAGTCAAAAGGGTTGTAGGTTTAAAGGCGTACAAAGTATAACTAGCATCCGTTCATGCTGACAATACTGCGACAGTCCTGTGGTGGACAGGACTAGCCTCTTCTCTCAAGCCCGGTAACTTTAGGCCTCTTACGATGCTAAACTAGTGACATTCTGCTAGTGTCTGAATCGTCCCATCCCAGCCAAATAATCCATTAAAAACGTGGAACGACTGGGTCTGGTTCCGTGAAATCTCGACACTTCCACATCATACCAAGCCTAGATCCTCTCCTGCTCTCTCCTCCTCCCCCCCGTTTCGTCGTCTCACTCGACTCCTACTTCTCATTCCTCATTCCTCATCTCTCCTCTCTTCTTTCTCACTTTTCGCAATTCTCCTCCTGGTGATCACGTTTCTTTGTTCCTCGGGCCATGCTTCGATAGTCCCCGCCTAACCGCCCTTTGAGCCGGCTCTTAGTCCAGTTGCAGATCTCGGTTTAATAGGCCTTCAATCCCTTAACCTCTTGACTTTCCTCTTCTTCTCAGCGCCATTGCCAGTCCCCTTGGATCGGCTGGGCGAAACAATTCTTGTCGCGTGCAGGCGACTAGCAGCAGGAGAGACAAGAGGTCGACCACACCACCGAAACCCTCCAATCAGCCCCAGGCGTACAGATTACAAGCCAAACAGCCAACACACTTTCCCCCACCAAAAGTCTGCCTACTTAATAACCCCATGTCTGCCTCAACCGCCACCGCCTCCGCCTCGCTCTCCGACTGCCCACGTCCAGGGCGACTCCGTCGCTTCAGCCAGCTTCGTGCTTATACCCAAAATCTATCCCATTCGTCTCCAGGCGGACATCGGTCGCGTACCAGTCTGAGTAGTCGAGTGCCGTGGCTCTCCCCATCCTCATCGGGTCCAGAGTCTCCCACGCAACAGGTGGGGAACTCCACTGCTCCAGGCCCCGAAAGTGACCAACCAGCCCTGTCTCGCTACACTTCTGCACCCACTGCGAGCTCCCACGGTCTCGGCGTCGACACACAAACGTCATCGGCCGAGTCGTCCAGGTCAACTCCTTCAAACGAGCCTGCCCAACCTTCCCCCAATGTCATGGCGCGATTAAGGAGTGCTTCGGCCGTCCAAGGTCGCCCACCTCGTACGATCGCGCTCGCGAGAACCGCGACCCCAGAGGCTGCTCCGACCTCCTCCCCAGAATCGACCCCTGCGGCCACTGATGCGCCCGAGTTGACAGGTACAATTCCGGCGGACGCTGCCCAGGTCTCGCTCGTCAACTCGAAGCAGAAGGCCACCATTCGATTTTTCCCTTATCAAGACACCTTCCAGAGCTCGCGGCCGTCTCTCCCGTTCGTCCCCATTGCACGTACGTTACCGTCGGAGAGCTCCGTCATTCGAGTGGGCCGATACTCTGAGCGGGATGGCATTCCAATTCCCAATCCCACTGAGCCCTCAGACGCCCCTGTGGGATTCAAATCGAAGGTGGTCAGTCGAAAACACTGCGAGTTTCTCTACAGTAATGGTCAGTGGCACATCAAGGATGTGGGAAGTTCTTCCGGCACATTCTTGAACCATATGCGATTAAGTCAGCCGAACATGGTATCTCGTTTATACTCGATCAAGGATGGCGATATTGTGCAGCTGGGAATTGATTTTCGGGGCGGCGAGGAAATGATTTTTCGTTGTGTTCGGATACGCATCGAGTGCAATCGCTCTTGGCAGCAGCAGCCGAACGAGTTCAAGTAAGCACGCCCATTCATACAGGTGCATCTCGTCAACAACTAACAATTGGACAGTAAAAATACAGAAAGCCTCATCAAGAACCTGGGGAAAGGAGATGGGGCTGACTACTCTGGTTGTCGAGAGTGCTCCATTTGCCTCGGCTCTGTTTTGGTTCGTGCTTTTCGTCCTGTCCTCGATTGTACCTGACACTAACGTAACCCTCGATCCAGCGCCCATATCAATGTCTTTTCATGGCAGCATGTGCCCATGTCTGGCATTACAAATGCATCAGTCGCTTACTGCACTCCCCGGACTATCCCATGTTCCAGTGTCCCAACTGCCGTGCATTCACCGATCTCAGCGCGGAGGTCGACGACACTAACGATGTCGTTGAAAACGACGAGGAAAAGGCGACCACTGAACCTGCATCGACCAACGATTCCGCTGAGCCTCTCTCTGGGACGCAGTCAGCGGTGAATCATCAAGCTACGACAAATGGTGTGGAGGAGCACGAGTCGACCCCATTGGAACCTCACTCTGAAGAACCGGACATTGTCACCGACGTCGAGAATCTACACTTGCAGGATGACGGTGATCAAGCGTCTGGGTCTGGAATTGACATGGAGGACAGTCGCAGCTCCGACTCCCAGGCTCCGAACACTAGTAATGACGACCTCGCTCGCAGCGCCACCATCAGTATCCCCGGATTTCAACCCACACAGCCTGTCAACGTGCCCGCGGCTCGACAATCACATCTTCGTGCAGACACGCCCGGCCGCTCAGAGACATCCGATGATAATCCTCTGACACCACGTAATGACTCGGGTCCCCTCGCCTTTGACGGTCGTGCGGGTATGCGGTGACGAGGCATAGCGCACCCGAAATAATCTTAATGAATGACCTTTCGACCAATCTACCCAAGTCATCTTGTGCCATTCGCGTGACATTTTAGCCTTCCCCCATTCCGCCATTTTTGCATTCTTTGGATGTCCTTCTTGATCTCGGGATACTTTTTCCTTTTTCTAAATTTCCAGTTCATCCCCCCCCCCCCCCCCCCCCCCCCCACCGCATTTTTCAACAGCGTTTGTGGTTTAGTCAGACCTGCTCATGGCACTTTGGCGTTTTCTCATTCTTTCCATTTACACCTTCGTTTTTTTGGACTTGGTTTGGATTTCTATTTCCAATTCCCCGTTTTTGTTTCGTTTTATCCGCGATGCATCCCACCCTCCGTCGTTTTCGATATACCCATTTCCAGCAACCCGGGCTGTTCTTTTATGAACTTGGTGATTCTCTGGGGCGAACTGGGGGGCTTCTACTTGGCCGGTCTCTTGTTTTGCCCTGTTTGTCTAGATGCGTCGTATACTCAAAACTATTGTTTGGGTTTGGCGTTTAATCTCGCAGTTTCTTATCTTGACAGTCTGGGTATCTATGAATTCTTTCTTCTGCTAATTAAAACTGCCTATCGTAGTCATCTTATGAGACATACAGTATAATCTAGAGTACCCAATGTACTGACTTCGACTTCATGGTCGGCAAGAGCCGTTCTAGATGTCTATCAGTCGGTACATCTAATGCCAAAGTATATCCACCAGCCACCCGACGAGCCGCCAAGTTTCAAGTTTAACATCCGACAGTATAAATAAATCCAGGAACGGCCCCCTGAGCTCTAGAATTGTAGAGGCCCAGTAGTCATTTAATTGGGGGCCCATCGTCTTAATAATCTATTTCGCTTCCAGCCCCGAATGGCTCCTTTTTGGCCCCTCCAGTCCCTTGGCGGTAAGCCGCAACAGCCGGTGCAGTCGCTAAATTATCACGCACATCCTTGATGTGACGTACAGTAGCAGTAGCAGCACTGTAGCATGAAGAGCTATCTGATAAGCGCCCTTACATGGATTTCATGCATTGAATTGACCTTTGCAGGGATTTCTTTTTCTTAGTCCATCCATGATCTATTTAGAACAAAGGACGTGAGTTTCATCTTATCCTGGCTCCTTTTGAGGATGAATGAAATGGATCTTTCGTGGCTGAGCTAGATATGCACTACCTAGCTCAAAGAGCAACGGACCCTTCAACTAGGATACTGCCGAAGTAACTCTATGCTACGGTCAGCACACCCCACTACTAGCCCACGCCATTCTCAACACCGACTCTAAAAGGCAAATAACAAATCCCGTGCCCTCAGCAGGTAACCTTACACTTTTCTAGAAAAGGGAAAGCGGGCGGGGCATCTACCACCCCGAGAGCCAGTTAGGATCACCGGGTATGCAGGTAGAAGCGCCCCCATGTAGACGGCTCTTTTTAGGCGCTTGGAGCCATGAGAGAATTGGGTTTGGGGGCCCTGCAAGCTTGTTTTGGCTTTTGGGATTTCGCCATTTATAGCGATGGACTACGGCAGGGTGGGTGTGTGTGAAAGGATCTTTGTTTTTCTTTGATAAAACGTGACTAGGACTTGACTTTTATTTCACTTCTTGCTATATTGCGATTCGAGAGGTTGATTTCGTGCACGGTTTAAGAGAGATTATGTTGAAGCTCTCATTTACCGCTTGTGTTTTGCTGGCGGGGTTGGTGTCGGCAGGTAGCAATAGTACAGGTGAACCTCTGGTAAGATGAAATGCCTGTCACCGAATATCTTCTTTGAATACCTAGAATGTTGTCCCTAATCCGCATTTATGAAGCCGGTGGTATCAACATCAACACAGTTTATGAATGGCTTCCAACAACGCATCGAGTGGGGCGAATGTTTTGAGCTTAGAGGCTTGATGTGAGTGTTTCTACCTCACAAAAGACGTTGTTCATAGATTATCTCTAACTCCAGAACAGACATAAAACTCTCGGATCCATAGACGTCCCATGTCCTCCCGAAGCTGGGCATGATAACATTTGCACAATATTCGAGTACGTGCACAACCCAATCTCTCGACACATAACAATAAGCAATCCTAATAACATTTCACAGTGATAAAACCTGCCAAAACGAAATAATCACATTCGACCGCCCACATTACAACCTCTTCACCTTTGGCGATAAACCCCGAGAAAAAGCCATCGGTCGCCGAGCTACAAGTGTAAAATGTCGAGCGCGGGTGACCAACAGAGAAGGGCATGTTTGGAGGAGTACATCTGCTTCATCGAAGTTTGGACGAAGTTGTCCTGGGGACCCTTGCAGTGATGATAGAGATTGTGAGATGTCGCCGCGGATGTTTCAGAATTTTCAATGTGCTCCGACGTCGAGGACGTGTAGGCAGCGGCGTGTGCTTAATTCGCAGGTGCCGAGGGATGTGGTGAGGAAGGACTAGGGAAATCGATGTTTTTTTGATACCCGTGTTGTGATATAGAAATTTGATACATGGGCTAAATAAGTGAAAGAAAGCATCGCGACCACTCATAGGAGGCCCTGGCCATGCCAGATTTTTTCGGCAAAGATTCTCAGCTCTTGGCTAGATATCACGAAGTCTCTCTCCAGGAGTTGGTGAGAAGCAGGGCCAACAACCTTGTCGAAGGGTAGATCCAGCTGTGTAGTAGTCGTAGTTATGCCATTAATATAGGCCTCTCCGGTCACATATCTTGTGGTACGAGTTTTATAAGTTTTAAACACCGACAAGTTTTTTGAGTCATCTTAGCAATTCATGACTTAAATGATAAACTGCTGCATGCAAAACAGTACCTATGGCATCAAGAAAGATCGCTCAAGAGACATTCAGAAAGATCTTCCAAATAAGTATAATTATAGTAAAGCACATCTGTTTCATCCATTTCTCTGGTTTCTAGACCCGGAATTTTAAACCACCACCATGATATCCTAATTAGAAGATAGTACACCGTTACTTCGCTAAACCAGAGTCAGGGGTGTATGGTAGAATTCCTATCCATTACGGACAGTTAGCTCTTCTAGTGGTAAACTTGAGGAAGCTATTGTGGTGCAAGGGAGCGTAGTATCCTCTAACACCTATATTGATTGTTCAGGATACCAGTGTTAGCAGAAGCTACGCTGAAGACTAGACAGGAGTGTTTCATCTATCATTTTATCTGGTGCAAATCAATCTTCAAAGTGTTGCCTACCTGAACCTGTCCTGAAATGAAGTAATGATCGGCGCCGGCATATCTTCGGGTTGCCAATTTCCCCACGTGCATGCAACCATAAATGGCTCTAAATGTCGGATTTTCCGAGGTTTGAATCCCGACCGACCCTCTTTTTACCGGCACATTCGTCATCCGCGTCATCCTGGCCCCTGTTTCCACGTAATAACTCCATCTTAAACATCGGAATGTTTTAGAGTGGTGTTTGAAACCTGATTTCTTATCTTGGACTCATTAAGCTCAGGTTCAACAGCCCTAGTGGACGCGTTTGCAGAGGACAAGTTATAACTTCATTTGGACTAAATGTTGCAGATCAGAGATCATGTATTTTTGTATATAGTCAGCCCATAAATGCAATGTTTGAATGGAAATCAAGCCTGTTTAGTCTTTCCTTTCTCGTCATTCCTTGAGTGCGTTGTACTAGCTATTATCTTCATCTCTGCGAGATGAAAGTCCATTCTCTATCTCTTCTTGGGGCTTTGGCTGGCCTGGCTAGCGCTTCGAGCCAGGGTCTCATCTCCAATGGTGAAAGTTAGTACTGGAGCCTGAAGATCCCACCTGGTCAAAACCAATCGTCATAATTCTTCGTATCTCTCGGCGACTGGCAAACGGCCTACCGGAAGGCCTCTCGCTTTGTAGCCACACTCAATACGACCGAGAAAATCAAGCTCATCACTGGTAGCAGTGTCAACACCACCGATGGCGAAAGCTTCACAGCCCTTGAATTCCTCGATGGAAGCATGGGTTTTCAGGATTATTACTATGTCTCGGCTTTTAGTCAGTCTTTTGCTTTGGCAATGATCTGGGATAAGATAGCCTTCTACGCGTAAGCTAAAGCCGTCGCGACCGAGTTCTACCTCAAAAGCATTCCGGTCGTGAATGGGCCGACTTCTCAGCCATTGGGCCGGACTTTATGGGGTGGACGTCTGGTTGAGACTTTTGGCTCTGACCCATATTTGAACGGTATCGCAACGGGCCTCGGCTCTAAGGTGTACAAGGATGTGGGTGTCATTGCTAGTGCTAAGGTTTGTCCCGCTGTCCCTTCTCTCCAACAAATTAACAAGAAACTCGCTGATGATCTTTGAAGCATTCCATCTTGAACGAGCAGGAAACCAACCGCACGAGCTCCGGAGGTGGCGGCGGTGCAGGCGGAGGCCCTTCCTTTTCTTTAAGCTCCAATTCCTCGATGAGTTCTGCGAACGCTTCTAGGTCTTCTTCTTCCGGTGTCAGTGGCATGGGCTCTATGGGTGCTAGCTCATCTTCGTCATCCTCTTCTTCCTCTGGTGCTTCCTACTCTTCCAATGCCGATGATAAGACTTTGCATGAGACCTACCTTTGGTCCTTCTATGAAGCCGTGCACTCCGGCCTCGGTGCCGTGATGTGTGCGATGACTCAAGTTAACAACACTCTTTCCTGCGAGTATTCATCGCTGCTGATGAAACTCTTAAAGACTGAACTTGGCTTCCCCGGCTTCGTTTTCCCAGATACCAATGCCCAACAGCATACCCTTGCTTCTGCGGCTAATGGTCTTGACTATGGTTCTGCCAGTCTGTGGACGACCTCCACAATTGAGGGACATCTGAAGACGATTAACCTGACCAAGGCCCGTCTCAATGACATGGCTATCCGCAATCTCATCGGTTATTACCATGTCAACCTCGACAACGGTACTCAGCCATCAACTGCCGAAGAGGATGCGTACAACTGGAACATGGTACTTTTGACATCGATAAGTCTGGTCTGAGAGGGCTGGGCTAAACAACTTCAGTATTTCTTCCGTGATTCTCCTTTATCATGTCTTTTTGACAGGTCCTCGTTGTTGTTATTTCTTGGTATAGATAGCTGCCACTTCACCTCTAAAGGCTAAAGTTTCCCGACCCCAAACCTTCAAAAATTGCCCCTGATTGGCCCAGTCGCCAAGTTCCAGACTTGTTAGAGTAATGATATGCAGCGAAGTTGCACGGGTCCCTTGGAAATGCCACCATCTGGGGTAAAGCCCCGGTTGCCCAATCGCTGATAAGCTTATCACTTGGCGGCTTCATTAGCGTCGCCTTCTCCTCCCCCTTTCAGGTCATCCATGATAACACGCCAAACACTCCTATCACTCTTATCTTCCAGCCGTACTATCTAAGCTTCACGCCAAGATGTAGCATACGCTGTGGACGTCGTTTGATGCGCTGCATCGCTTCCATCTCCCGATAGGGACGCGGGGTCACTATCAGCAGCATCATACATTGGGACTGTCTCCGCATCGTATCCCAAGTTTGTTCTCTTGACCCCAACGCCAGTGCGCATATCAGTGCGCATATAAGGAGTTATGTTCCCCGCTCGCATGCTGCATGCCCCCTCACGGCACTCTTGCACAAGATCACCATGGAGAAAAAGATCTCCGCAGAAGACCACCCGATTCCCAGCGAGGATGCCAGTTCTGGCTCCGTCGAGGCATATGGCGAAACGAAGCGCGGACTTGCTTCGCGCCATGTGCAATTGATGGCTATTGGAGGGTCTATTGGAACAGGACTCTTCGTCGGTATCGGGTCTTACCTTCGGGATGCCGGACCGCTGTCGTTGTTCTTGGGATATCTGGTTTGGGGCGTGCTCTTCATTTTACCCACTAACTTGAGTGTTGGGGAGATGTGTGCGTATCTGCCTATTAGAGGCTCTATCTTCGAATTGGCTGCTCGGTTTATTGATCCAGCGTTTGGTTTTGCTATGTAAGTCTACCATGCCCCCTCTTGTTATCAGGATCAATACTCACGACCTTAGGGGATGGGTATACTTCTATGGAGGTGTCATGCTAGTCTGTACCGAATACGCCGCCGTCGCAACAGTCATGCAGTACTGGACGACCAGCGTCAATCCCGCAGTATGGGTAGCCATGGCTCTGGTAGTCTGCTCGCTACTAAATTTCGTCGCGGTCAAATACTACGGAGAGGCCGAGTTCATCATGGCATCGACGAAGATCCTACTCCTGATCGGTCTCGTGCTCCTTACCTTCATCACAATGGTCGGCGGTAACCCTAGACATGATGTATATGGATTCCGCAATTGGACCGACGGTGTGATGTTTGAGTACTATACGGATGGCAACACTGGCCGTTTCCTCGGTTTCTTTTCCGTGATGATATATGCTGCGTTCTCCGTGGCCGGCCCTGACCTGCCGGCTTTGGCAGCAGGAGAGATTCAGAACCCACGATACACCATTCCGCGAGTCGTTAAGATGACCTTCTGGCGTATCGTTGGTTTTTACGTCGTCGGCGTGCTCGCCGTCGGGGTTATCTGCAACCCACGCGATCCTCGTCTTATGTCTGCTATTGACAACGGCGACGCTGGATCTGCTGCTTCGCCCTGGGTGATTGGTATCCAGAATTTAGGCATATCCGGTCTTCCTGATCTGATCAACTTCCTCATCCTTCTCTCCGGCTGGTCCTGCGGGAACGCCTATGTGTATAGTTCCAGCCGAACTCTTTACTCCCTGGCTCGTGATGGCCAAGCCCCGAAGTTCCTCCTCAAGTGCACGGCATCTGGAATCCCCATTTACTGCGTCCTCACCGTGTCACTTCTCTCCTGCATCACTTTCCTTGTGGCCGGTTCTTCTTCCGTGACCGTGTTCTACTGGTTCGTCGATCTAACGACCATCGCCTTTGTCCTTACCTACACAGGCATGCTCTGCGTCTTCATTGGTTGGTACCGCGCCTTGAAAGCACAAGGCATCGATCGCAAATCCTTCGTTCCCTGGGCATCTCCTTTCCAGCCATACTTTGCCAGCTTTGCGATCGGCATTGGTACCCTCACGGCCATCTTCAACGGATTTTCGGTGTTCAAGCCCTTCAGCGTCCAGGGCTTCGTTACATCTTATTTCGGCCTTGCCTTTTGGGCCGTGATGTTCGTGTTCTGGAAAGTGTATCACCGGACCAAATTCGTGAATCCTGCTCAGGCGGATTTGTACTCGGGTAAAGCCGAGGTGGACGAGGAATGTAAGCACTGGGAAGATGGCGGATGGGAGGAGCGTCGAAAGGCTGAATTGGCGCAGATGAGCTTTGTGCGACGAGTCTGGGAGAGGATGTGGTGATTGTAATGTTTAGTCTAATTTGATTATCTCAATGAAGATCTTGGATTTCTATTGGCTCTCTGGCATTGTATGCATGACATGCATCGTATCATAATATAGACTGGCTCGATTGCCGATTTAGTTGCTGACTGGCGGGTGCTTGCAAGGCCGAACACCTCGATTTCTTGCTGGATTATACAATTGGTCCAAATTCCGAAGCACCCGGTAATTGAGAGCAGATTTGACTGTTTGTTTTGACTACAGTATCCAAGGAGAAAATAGCGGTGTATCACTCGCCCGCAAGCCCGGCGATCCGCCAATGGCGCTTAATCAACAAAGCCACTGGGCGAGGATGTCGGCGTGCATGGTGACTTTGTGATCCTAGCGTCTTCCCCACCCTCTCGACACGCGACGGAGCTTCAAACGACCCTCCTCAAAACCTGCTGGCCGTCATATTTCGGCCACTCTTTATCATCCAACTGGGTTGATGACAAGAGGGACTGCGTCGATCGATGGTGCCAGCTCCACAAGAAACCCTTGACTCCAGCATCGCTGATCGACGGATCGATCCACTTCGAGCCACGATGCGCTTGAACTTCAGCGAGCCGCCAACCCCGACCTTGAGTCGCCAGAACACCTCGTTGCAAGGGCGGCACCACCAACGAAGGTTGACACATCCGCATTTATTGTCGTCGCGAAAGAAGCCAAGAAGGTAACATGCAAATCTTCTGAGTCCAAGAATCCTCACTCACTCCTCGTGTAGATGGCCGCTGGTCTTCCGCTTCATCAAAGGGGCGATTCATGCGCAGATCCTGCTACCAGTCTTCCTGCATGCTATGTTTACAGCCTTTGTTGTCTACCTGGACACTTATGTTTTCGAGACGGTCGGACTTCCCACAAGCATTGTATGAAAATCACCCACTCCATCATTGAAAAAGGTCTCTATTGATGCATCGCTAGATCCCGTCATTGTCAATCGTGGTAGGTTTGATGCTTGTCTTCCGGAACCAGACCTCATACAATAGATTCTGGGACGGCCGCAATGCCATGAGCACGATGAACACCTGCTTGCGAAACTTGACTCGCACCATCGTCACCAACAGCTACAGCGCAACCCGTGGGCCACCCAGCCTTGCCGAGCGCGAAGATATCGAACGTACTATCCGCATTCTTATGGCTATTCCTTTCGCAGTCAAGAACCATCTTCGCGCTGAATGGGGCGCAGCTTGGGCTATTGGCGGTGCGCTCGGAAACGACGTGGATGAGCGTGGCACCGCCGCGTATAACCCTGACTACGCAGGCTTACTCCCAGCTGGACTGGAGGGCCATGAGAGTGAGGGACTTGGACTCCCCTATCAACTCACGTTCTTTGTCGATGGGTTTATCAAGCGTGGCGAGGACCGCGGTTGGTTCAATGCGCCTGGTGCCAGTCAAATGCAGGCACAGCTGAATATGTTCTTGGACGCGTATGGGAAGATGGAGACGATTAAGCTCACTCCGATGCCAGTGGCTCATCTGTAAGTTCAATCAGTCGTTTGACATGACTTGCTATTGCTAACTTCGTGATTAAGAATCCATCAGAAACAGGTCCTCGCCCTCTTCGGCTGCGTCCTGCCCTTTGCAATGGTCGATGAAATGGGCTGGTGGGCCATCCCGATCGTCTGTCTGGTGATATTCACTCTGTACGGCATTGAAGGAATTGGCTCCCAGCTGGAAGATCCCTTTGGCTACGATAGGAATGATATCAAGATGGATGCTCTTGTCGGAGACACCAAGATCGAGATCGATGTTGTCCTCACAGAGTGGCGCGCTTACTCTAAGGCTATGGAGAGCTCTTGGCACGGTAATGATGCAAGCCGCGGCCATGGGGAGCGATGCTTGGATGCTAGCACTAAACCGAGCGCAAACGGAGATAAGCAAGGCCAGGGCAAGTATGCGCCGCCTGATCTGTTTTTGAGGTTGAGGCCGCGTACGGCTGCGGGTGATAATGGACATCGAGAGAACGCATAATATGTCCTCGAAGCCCTTTTGATGTGTTATAGGAAACCAATCATACCTAGCAGATACAAATTTCTTCTAAATTCTTTTTAAAGTGCCAGGATGAGATGTATTGATTGAGTTCTAGTTTCCACCAAGCAAACCTATAGCCCCCGTTATTTGGTACAAGAAAACCCTTACATTTTGGGATATATTCTACTCGCCTTCTCTTGCTGGCCATTGGCCCTACACACACTTGCACAGGCAGCCAAATGTTCAGCCGGTCAGAATCCATGATTGATCAATGAGAAGCCATTTTCATTCGCTATAGGGGTATTTCAAATGGAGACTTAAACTAATACAAACAACCTGAATAACACGCTTTGCATCACGGTGATAGCCATCAAATGGGAGGTTCTAGCTCCAGGACGCCATCCAGGATTGAGTCCGGTGTGACATCCGCCAAGGTATGGGAAACAGCCACCATATCACTCCCATACTGTAAACTTCGATCCTGACTAGGAGCCGTGACAACGATGCGGTGTCGGAAGACTTTTCTTGCGGCAAGAGCCACGATCGAAGGTGTAAGATAATCGACACCGTGTAAAGGTGCAAGGAGCCTGTTGGATGGTGTTAGTGAAGCACTCGAGAGAAATGAATAGTAAAGAACCTCGACTGACTCTGCAAATCGTGCGAGTTGGAAGTTGGCCTTGGCGGATACTCCACCACCCACAGCGCGGCTCAATCGTAAGAAGACAACAATATCTTGGATGTAGCGGACTACTTCTGCGCTTGTAGTGACGGATTCACTAGCTTCTCGTAGCTTATCCATCATCTATAGTTTCAGTGAACAAGGTTAGGCCTCAACACGAGATGCTCTAAAGTGAAGGCCGAACTCACCGTTTCATCAATTTTCGCACTTTTCTTCTGCTGATAGCTTGGCTTGTGAATGACCGAGGAAGCTGACAATTGACTATCGGACAGCCATTCATCGTCCTCGAGATACACAAAGCCATCTACCCAGCTGTAGAAATGAGAAACGAGGAGATGTTCATTCTGCAAAGCGTACGTCAGAATGGGAGACAGTGAATGCGAGGCGACAAAAACTCACTAAATGGGTATTCAATGGTGGATCGAGCTGATCACTTTCTCGTACTACCACTGGTAGGAAGAGAAATTCTGTGGGTGCGTTCAACATTCCTGGCTCGGTGGCTAACCTCCGGGTTCGCATTAACTGTGACAATTGTGAGCACTGTTCTATTATTGACGATCAATGACGAACCTGTAGAGCTTGCACTTGAATATCAGCATCAACGAGATTGAAATTCTTCGCAATGACAATGTTGACCACATTAATTTCCTCGGCGGTGCTTCTTGGAGCAGGGGACCTGCTCTGATCACGGTCCCGAGGGGTCATGTACGTTGAAAGATTGCTCGACTTCATCTGTTAGCCCATGACTGCGGCGTATGTTGCCAATCAATGAATACACACAGATCCAGTCTTCAATCTGAAATATGACGGCCGCTCCTGTCCCTTGCGGGCATCCGCGGTGAGGATCTCATCATAAAAGTCCTCAATGGACGTTTCCGTGGAACAGTCAATGATGGAATACGAGAAATCAAAAGTGCGTGAAGAGATCTGGAGCCTGATTAGTTAATGCAAAATCGCAAGCAGATGGAGTTTTCATACCAAGGCTAGCTCTTTGGCGAGGTCGTCGATCAGGTCACCCGTTGTCTCAATGAGGCAATGTTCACGCGCCGCAAGAGAGAGAAAAAGCGCGACCTCGAGATCAGACAACTGTCGCGCAAAGTCTTCAAGTCTCATATCATTCATTTTCAAGCTCCATGGGCCATCGACTCCCTGCCGAGTTCCTCCCGATCGAGTCGAATGGCGTCACTGCTGGATTAGAGGGGGAATGCGCGGGCATGAGGTGTAAAGTTGCAGCCTGAGTTTCTGGGCAGATAATTACCAAAACCAGACTAGCGTTGTTTCCCCGTGGGAGCCGCGGAGCTTCGCCAGCCAACACCCAACCACTGTAACAACACGAGATATGGGTTGATGATCTTCCCAGGGCCCTCGTCTGTGACAAATATTGCCCAGCCATGGCGCCCTCAAACCCTCTCGCCAACTGGGAGAAGGTTGGCGACAGCTTCTACCGCAGAATTCCCGTGTATGACGCTGTCTTTGATGAAGACGTTGAACTAGAGAACTACATTGTCGCGGGTGCCCCTTACGGTGGAGCCATAGGTATGGCCCCTTTTTGATCGCGAGATGAGACTTTAGCTGAAAGTTCGCGCAGCGCTTTATCGTGATGAGAGCAAACCATTTCAGTTGCGGGACAGCCAGGCCTCCCGGTCCGGTATCGACATTTATTCCTGCTCAGGAAAGCAGATCAACCGCATTAATGTTTGCTTCTCTCCCCGAAAGAGAGATTCTGAATGTATGGACTAATCCCTTCTTAGTGGGAGCAAGCTACTATTCGTGGGCTCGGCTGGTCCGACAAAGAGGAGCTTCTCGTCGTGTCAGAAGATGGCACTGTCCGCCGTTACTTCGGCCTAGACGGCGAATTTACCTCGTTCTCCTTGGGAAATGTAAGGAGAAATTTCCTGCATTGCCTGCGTGACAGATTAGAACTGACCATTTTCAGGGTGCAGAAGAATACGGGGTGAGAGCCTGCCAATTTTGGGCCTCGGGTCTTGTGGCTCTGCTATCTAATAATCAGTTGATTGCTGTTTCCAAGTATGACGAGCCACGACCGAGGCTGCTAGCACCTTGTCCCGAGGGTGAGGTGTCATCCTGGTCATTGATTCCTCCAGCACATACACTTTCACGCTCTGTGGAAGTTCTGCTCGCAGTGGATAAGACTATTTATCTGGTCGATTCTACTGAAGCGGAGGACAAGATCTTGCAAGATGGCCCATTCAAACACGTCAGTGTGTCGCCTACTGGTCGCTTTGTGGCACTGTTCACTGGAGAAGGAAAGTTATGGGTTGTCAGCAACGACTTCCAGAACAAACTCAGCGAATATGACTCAAAGTCTCGTGTGGCGCCCAGTAGCGTGAGCTGGTGCGGCGATGATGCGGTTGTTCTTGCGTGGGAGGATGAGATCCATCTTGTCGGTCCTAACGGCGCGGCATCAAAGTACGTTTTACTCCTTACAAAGCCAAAGACACTGCTCACCATGAATTCTTGCAAATAGGTATTACTATGATGGTCGAGTTCATATCATCCCTGAATTTGACGGTGTTCGCCTCCTCACCAATGACACTTGCGAGTTCTTGCACAAGGTTACAGGCGTAACGGAAGAGATTTTCCGGTTGGGTTCTTCATCACCTGCCTCGGTGCTTCTTGATTCTGTTGAGCAACTGGAAAAGAAGTCACCCAAAGCCGACGAGAACATCCAGCGCATTCGGTCTAGCCTCCCTGGCGCAGTTGATGCCTGCATCAAAGCTGCAGGTCAAGAATTCGACGCTTACTGGCAGAAGCGGCTCTTGAAGGCGGCGTCGTTTGGAAAATCAGTTCTTGAGCTGTACAACAGCGATGAATTCGTTGAGATGACTGAGAAACTCAGAGTTCTCACAGCCGCCAGAGACTACCAGATCGGTCTGCCAATATCATATGAGCAATACCTCCGACTTACCCCCGAAGGACTCATCGAACGACTCATCAGCCGACACCAATATCTTCTCGCCATCCGGGTTTCCGAGTATCTTCAAATCCCCGCAGACCGAATCTATGTTCATTGGGCTAGCCAGAAGGTCCGAGTTTCAACAGTCGATGATGATGCCGTGTGCAGATTGATTGTTCAAAGGCTGGAAGGCAAGCCGGGAATTTCCTTCGAAGTCATTGCACAGACAGCCTATGATGAAGGTCGATCACATTTGGCTACACAATTACTGAACCATGAGCCTCGGGCAGGGAAACAAGTTCCTCTGCTGTTGAATATGGAGGAGGATGAACTTGCTCTCGACAAAGCGATTGAAAGTGGTGACGACGACCTGGTCAATTATGTTCTACTCCATCTCAAGAGCAAGCTTCCTCTCGCAAGCTTCTTTAGAATGATCAACGTCCGCCCTATGGCGTCGGCGTTGGTCGAGACCGCAGCTCGGGGAGAGGACACAGAACTACTGAAGGATCTGTACTACCAAGACGACCGACCGATGGAAGGATCCAATGTCTTGTTATCAGAAGCTCTAGGAGAGACTGACCCTCAACGGAAGACCGAGAAACTTCACTTGGCATCGCGGCTACTGTCAGACTCCAAGGATCCGAACGTGATGCTGCAGCAGAAACTAGTCTCTGAGGCTTCCCAGCTTCTCAAAGCTCAAGAGTCACTGGATAAAGATCTCGCAGATCACAGTGAGTATTTCGGTCTCAGCTTGAACGAGACTATCTACAGACTAGTCCGAGCTGGCTACGGGAAAAGAGCACAGAAGCTACAAAGTGAGTTTAAGATGCCTGAAAAGGCATTTTGGTGGTTAAGACTCCGCGCGTTGGTAGCTAAGCGCGACTGGGGGGAGCTGGAGGAGATTGGCAAAGTCAAGAAATCTCCGATCGGGTGGGAGGTAAGTTTTGAGAAATTTCTTATGTTGTTTTTTGAATGCACGCTTACGCGAGCGGGTATAGCCTTTCTATAACGAAATCCTTGGGGCTGGAAACACCAAGCTGGCCTCGATCTTCGTCCCGAAGTGCACACATCTTCCAGTCGCCGACCGGATAGAAATGTGGGTCAAGTGTGGAATGATTGTCAAGGCGGGAGAAGAGGCGCACAAGGCCAAGGACCTGAACACCCTCGAACTCCTCCGGTCTAAAGCGTCCGGCGCTGCAAGTACTGAAATCGAGCGCATGATCAACCAGCTCAGGCCGAAGAAATAGTCTTCCCAGATGGGTCGGTCTTTTTGATGTGACGTTGCGTTCAGGTAATTTCGTCGTACTCATCCGTGGGAGCAGACTCGGCTGCCACGGGGTTTGACGTCGCATTCGTGGACTTGGGAGCGAAAATGCTCGCCATCAGAGGCGCGCTGGGCTCAATGTTTTCAGTCGCCATGGCATCGTCGTCGTCATTGTCCTCCTCGTCATCTTCTTCGACATCCTCGGTTTGTTGGAGAGCGGCGAATGCTGATGATTTCTTATTCATTTCTTCCCAATCAGCCTGATGAAAGAGGAAGCTTGTTAGCATATGTTCTATACCATGAGTAGACACAATTTCATAAGCAAATCATTGCATACCCTTCGTTCTTTTATGAACTTTGCCCGTGTGAGACTCTTGGCTTTTTTAATTTCCAACTGATCCATGACCGCTTCAGCCCTGTCCATACCCTTCTGCTGTCTCAGGCGCTGCGCTTTTGTCATTCTCTTGCCATCCTTTCTTTTCTTCTGGACACCGGCAGTTGCGCGATCGACCAAGAGTGAAGGACGCTGGACGGTCGTAGACTCGGCTCGAGGTAGAGAGGTCAAGGACTTATCCAAGTTGAGACTCGGCTCGGCGCCTCGTCGGGCAGCACGGGTGTTCGCTCTGGCTGGAGGGAGTTAGCTTATGAGGGTGTATTTAACAAGAGATAATTGTACATAGAACTCACGCTTGTTCTTGGCCATGGTGTGATTTGTTTTGAGAAAGATGAGATCGAAGAAACTGTAGTTGTGTGTGGGGACCTGTTATCGATAAAAATTTTGCGGCGGGCGCGATGAGCCACAAGCGCAGCTTCCGCGGGAGGTGGCCGACGTTGGCCTGAAATATTAGGCTTTGAATGGGCACTCTACTAATATTCTAAGAGATGTAGAGAATAATGTAGAAAGAGATGTGTAAAGAGATTTAGAAAGTGATACAGAGGGAGATCATCCGAAAGCAGCCTGGATTACCTAGGGATGTTGATGCCTAGTTTATAAGGTACAGCGCCAGGCGGTCTTGAAGGCGGTGTTAAAATGCCACTTGCGTGAGGGCACTGTGGCAGTCACTATCGGCCACTATGGGCGGGCGCGTGCAAGTTGGAAATTAATAATGTTCCACTGTATACAACCAGGCTCAGTCCTCTTGCTCCACATTCCCTTCTTCCAACTACTGCACTCCTGCGATTCCACGACCATACTCATTTGGCCCATGCTACACAGGTCTTCTCCTTGCAGTTTGCGGCTCGCCTGATCTTTCATTCCGCCATGAATGCTCATAGACAGGGAGCTGACATCTTCTCGAGCGGCCCCATTCATCATTACGCAAGCCGGAGTAGCCACGATGCGACAGCTTCTGCGGCCCTGCAAAACCACCAAGCGTTAGCATATACGATTATCGCCCTCCTCTGTACCTACCTAATTCTCGATCACTTCGGTCTCGCCCCGGTCTCGTTTATACAGGCGCTTTGGAACGCGTTTGTCTATCTTACTCCGTCCTGGATTCTCGTCGCATTGGATTCCCGCATGTCGCCGTCCGACTCTTCCCCCTCGAGCCATTCGGGATTGTCTTTTCATGCAAAGAGCGAGTCTATGCAACGGATATTGGGTTTAGACAACAACTCCTTTCCTTTCTTCCCTCGACCGCGATCCCTTTCCGGAATCGGCAGCGCTCTCCTGGGTAACAACAAAGACAGTATCCCTTCAGGACTGGGTAACTGGGATAATTCGTGTTACCAGAATAGTATAATCCAGGGACTAGCATCGCTGAAGTCGCTCTCGGCGTTCTTGGGTCGCAATGTCGACATCCTGGGAGAGAAGAGCTCGTTCTCGACACATCAGGCGCTCAAAGGCATCATCGATCTTCTGAACAGTGCATCAAATCATGGACACAAACTCTGGATTCCTGCGGACCTGAAATCTATGAGTAGCTGGCAACAGCAGGATGCGCAAGAATACTTCTCCAAGTTGGTGGATCAGGTCGACATCGAAATCCAACAAGCCTCGAGAGGCGAAACAAGGAACATGGGCTTGAAAATGGCCGGACATGAAGAGAAAATCCTGAAAGAAGTTTGTTTGGATACAACGTCAGCCGATGAGCATGTTGTATCAACGATTGAAAAAGCCTCCTTTCGCAATCCTCTTGAAGGCTTGCTTGCCCAACGAGTCGGGTGCATGAAATGCGGATGGACAGAGGGGCTGTCACTCATTCCTTTCAACTGCCTGACGGTTCCTCTCGGAGCTAAACATGAATACGACATCCGCGAATGTTTGGGCCAATATATGACACTAGAGCCCATCGAGGGTGTGGAATGTGCCAAGTGTACTCTCCTACGAGCACAAAACCAGCTGAAGAACCTTCTTGGGAGCATGTCAGATGAAGACGAAGCCGACAAGCTCCAATCGCCCGGCCTTTCGGATGCTGTCAAGACATCCGCTCAGGCGCGTCTCGAGGCCGTACAGACTGCCCTTGAAGAGGACGATTTTGCCGAGACGACGCTAGCAACTAAATGTCACATACCCTCTAAGAACCGAATGACTACTACCAAGTCTCGCCAAGCTGTGATCGCTCGGGCACCCCAATGCCTCGTCGTCCACATCAACCGCAGCCTGTTTGATGAGATGACCGGGATGTTGAAGAAAAATTACGCCGCAGTCAAATTTCCCAAGACTCTGGATATGAATGACTGGTGTCTTGGAACTCAGCCTGCCAAACAGTCTGAGGAAACCTCCGAACGGTGGGTGACCGATCCGTCGGAGTCAATGCTCCCTCGTCCTGGCGAGGCAATCCGCATGCCTAGCAGACAATATGAACTCCGTGCCATTATTACGCACTATGGCCGCCACGAGAACGGCCATTATATCTGTTACCGGAAATATCCAACATCCATATTTCCCGCGCCGGTCCCAGACGAGGTTCTCCAGGCGGAAGGAGACAAGGAGAAGCCAGAGCGCTGGTATCGACTCAGTGATGACGACGTGCAGATGGTGAGCGAAGGCCATGTCATGTCTCAAGGGGGCGCCTTTATGCTGTTCTATGAGGCAGTCGATACCAATGCCTCGTCTCCCTCGGATCAGACCACGAAACCAGAATCAGTCCGGTCTGAGGTCTCCGAATCGGTGTCTAATTTCACCGTGTCTGAAGACATGTCCACAACATCCACAGTAACAGATGCCGACTCCACCACGTCCCGCGCAACAAGCGTGTCAACACCCGATCGCACTACGCTGCCTGTGGAGGACAGCGACCCTGATTCCATGGTTCCCAAGCTTTTCAGTGAGGTGGACAACGACACCCCCATCTACACTGAACCGCTGGGCGCTCCGTCGGCCATCACTGCGTGATGATCTGTTTTGATGACCGTCTTTGTACTTTGTACTGCATTATCATGATACCCGAAACGCTTTCCATTGATGGCGCTAGTGAACTTTTTGTATTCGAAATGGTCATTTTCCTACTGGTGTACTTTTATGGCATAATAGTCAGTATTATTCACGTACTGAAGAATATACACACGTTTGATGGAGGGATTCCTAGCTTTAATAACAGAGAAACGAACTAACTATACATGCTTCAATCACTCTTTTTTGCAAGGGTTTTTCATATGTCTTTTCAGATGTCTTTTCAGATGTCTTTTCAGATGTCTTTTCAGATGTCTTTTCAGATGTCTTTTCAGATGTCTTTTCAGATGTCTTTTCAGATGTCTTTTCAGATGTCTTTTCAGATGTCTTTTCAGATGTCTTTTCAGATGTCTTTCGAATCATCTGTCTTTTCAGATGTCTTTTCAGATGTCTTTCGAATCATCTGTCTTGATAGTACATATACCGTTCAACTGGTGAGTGCTAAGATGGTTCTGAAAATTTGCCCGGTTTTAAGCTTATGGAACCCCACTATAAATTCACTGTGACTCAGGGTCACGACATAACACAAATTGGGTTATTAATGCCATCGTGGACTGGAAGGATAAAGGGACAATCAGCCAGAAAGACTGGAAGGCTCTCAAAATCGGCTTCGAGACTACTGTGAAGCTTCCCACGTCCCCTTTTGTGAAATTCCGAAAAGAGCCCGATATTTACATTCGGCCCTACAACTCCGGGTCAAAATTCCTGCCACCGATCGCTTTCGAAGTCGGATGGACAGAAACTACCTCCAAGCTCTATGACGATGTTCGAACTCTCCTTGAAGGTGGCAACGGCCACATCTGAGCTGTTATTGTGGTCGATTGGTGTCTACAGAAAGATGGGGTCACCGTGACGGGCAAAGCTGACCTCTGGAGGAGAGGCTTGAATGGCCAGCCCGTTTGCGAGAAGTCCGAGGTGTATCCAGACACTGATGATTTCCAAGCTGTGGTCTAACATCTCCTAGCAAATTTACCCTATTCCAAGGCTGCTCCGAGGCCAGGTCCAACGCTTCGAATTTACTCTTGACGTTGTTCCTAAATACCCTACGACCTGAGCAAGACCCAACCACTGTCGTATACTTCATGTCGGGCAACTGCGCCAGGAAGCCGAGAAGGTCTTTGAAGAGCTGGAGTTTAGACCTGCTTAACTTTGTGTCAACTCTTATCCACTTGTTGCCCTTATTGCTCTCATTGCTGAAATTATGTTTTAATGCCAGTCAGCCTTCAACCTGTATCATTAATAATGAATCCCTATTGCTTTCTCTGATTGCTTCCAAGACTAGAGCCTGCCTCACATCTCTTAGTTTCTATCCTTTAATATCCATCCAACCTGAAGGTAAGTCCTTAACATCTTGACTACTTACTTATTGTCCACTCCCTGACTTCAAACCTGATTCTAGAGACGAGCCTAACTTAAGAGACAAACCTAAGGACAAATTCATTCTAATACTAACGTGGCTATAAGGTCTGATCCCTTATCATAACTTTACTTATCTCTCACTTTCCCCTTATATCTAACATCCTTCTCAGACTCTGAAATATATCCTACTATAGACTCAATCCCTAACTCTACCTCTAGTACTCTACAACCAATCCTCTCGTGACGAAGACGACACTACAAACAACGAACACTCTGACATGGCCAACCGCGATTCCGACAACCATCAAGCCCAGAGCCAGCTCGACGGCCTTGACCACAACCCTGACAATGTTCAAGTCCAAGGCAGCCAGCTAGAGGATCAAACGAAAATTTCAACCGGGACTAACACTATCTCGATAAAGAGGAAGAGAGCCCCCCCCTGGGGCTACTTCCGATGAAGTTGCCGACACTGAGGACCTTCCAGAGTATAACCGAGAGATCACAGACGTCCTTTGCACCCTTGGCGACCGCTTCGAAGTGGAAGACTGGATCGACAGGCACCTCCAAAGCTGGAAGAGGGCTCTTGAAAAAAAGAGCAAAGCTAGAAAGATCACTGAAGAGCTCCCTGTCTCTACTTCAGTCAGTTTCACCGACAGTGTCTACCAGATTCCGCCACCAGGCGTTAAGCTTTCCGACGAACATGTTTACCTTATATCGAAACACCTCTCTATCAATGACCGGAAAGGGAAATTGCCGGAGGACTTCAACAGCGGCGGCGACCTCCTAGCTACTCACGTTCCAACGGACCCCGCCCCACTCTTTCACGCATGGGGCATTCCATTCATCGCGGTTTCCGGGGCTATCTTATCCTCTGCGGAAGGGAGGCCTCCAAGCGCTATGGTACCTCCATCAACGTCAAGAACGGGGCTACCACAAGCACCGCAGGTACTAACTGGCTTATTGGCCCAGTTATCGCCGACACAGCGTTTGTGACCGCCAAGCGGAATAAGGAAAGAGGGGTGCGTTTAGTTGGAGCTGCTGAAGTTAGAGTAGAGGGATCTGGAAGAGGAAGACTCGGGTGATGGATGGGGAAAGGGAGTAGAACTGAGAATGCGATATACCTTGAGAAAGTGCAATGGACAGAGAAGTAAAAGATGGAGCTCGAGGGGAACAGCCGACAATGTGTAGTTTTCAGAGTGTCGGTGGAGAGTACGGGAAAGAAAATTAGGAGCGATATAGTAGAACGCTTGAGCATGAGAGGGAGAAAGGGTAAAGAAGATAAGAGGGCAAAAGAGCAAGTGAAAGACTCACGAGAGTGCGTAGTCGATGGGGATAGTAAGAAAGGAAGATTTAAAGGGGAAAAGTTAATCGAGGATATGATTTGAGGACAATTAGGAGTGATAAGTTCAAATGGTGTGGTTCATGGAAGGCTTCGAGGAACGCTTTAGGGAGAGGTAATCGAGAATTATATACATGTGTAAGAGGAGACATCCGTTGTTGATTATGATGATTGCTCTTTTATCTATACCAGAACTCGGCGAACTTTTAGTGAATTTGTTACTCGAATGAAGTCCACGCTCATAGATTGACTCTATACGAGAAGTATGATTTTGGCCTGACCGCGACAAAGTGGCAAGGTTACGAGACATACCGGTAGACTAGAGAAGAATGATCTGACTCAACTCAAGCTCGAACCGCATTTTCTTTTATTGATTGCATTTTGATTCCCATAATTTAATGTTCCTGGGCCGCACTTGGCTTCCCACGGTACCAGCCATCTTGAGGTAAGGCATCAAAATGTCTCAAAGCATTTGTTGACATTATTCATGATATTTAGTCGAGATGAACGGTCTAGGTATTGAGAATTTGCAACATTCAACATGACTACTCGTAATAGGAAACGGAAATGCTAGAACGACGATACACGATTGCTGATTCAACGATACACCCCTTATTCTAGTTTAGCGTGGTATAATAGTGTTACAAGAGTATCTTCTACATTGGGTTCTATGAGTTTGAAACCCCGATTTCAAAATCATCCTAGCAACGTCAGGTTTGGCTTCGGTGAACTCGAGGGATCCAGCTTCGGCCGGACTGGGTTTGACAGCCGGGGCTTTCTTCTTCTTGACCGGCTCGGACTCTGGGGTTGAGACGTGGATCTTTCTCTTATGTTCTCGGGTTGGCTTCGTTGCCTTTGGTGGCTCAGGAGGCGTGGGATTGGGAGCGGTTGGGTTCTGCGTTTCATCTGTAGTGGAGACTGTGGGAAGATGGCCAGAGAGAGGGACAAAGAGCTCGTTATCCACGGGGTTTCCGCCAGAATTAATTGGGGATTGTGGGTTGCTTTTGATCATAGGCCAGAAAGACCTTCCGAAAAACAGTGGCTGAAGCATGTCCAGTTGGTCCGTTTCTCTATTTTCCGGACTCGGACTTTTGAACTACTAAAATGATAATCCTAATTAGAAAATGGCAATACTATTATCACGCTACACCAGACCAAGAGTTTTCTCGTCGATGGCACTCATGTATCGTCGTTTGAGCAATTCCCCAAGGAGATGAAAATAACGGAGAAATTATTTCGTCTTCATTGAGTTCGTTTAGGTCCTGCATGTCTAGGTCCTCTACGATAAATCACAATTCAAATCTACTCGCACAAAACAATGAGTCAGTTAAAAACCCCCGGTAGTCACATTTTTAACGATTCCTAATGAATCTGGGGTGGAGTCCATGAGTCGTGCACACATTAGTCGTAACCACACATAAATCATACATAAACGATATTGAGATATCGCAAGTCCGTCCATTCCCCCCACACATCTCACCTCCATCTCACTCCGGCATCGTCCGCATTCTCATCCCCCTGAATATGGGCGTCGGTGAAAAGGTACTCAACGGCGGCGGCGTGTCGGACGCTATGCTTAGGGAATGGGGGCTGCCTGGGTCTGGGCTTGGGCTTGTCCCCCTCGCACCGGAATTTGTTGGGCATTGTTAGGGACCCGGTCAAAATACCCCGTCTCCAATAGTTCGCGCACAGCGATCTCGGAGTTGGTTTCATAGCGCTCGTCCCCTGTCTCGTCATCACCTGGCCACACCGTGCGCTGAAGATTGGGGCGAGGAGGGGGGTTGGTGATATCGGCGGTTTCGGCGACGACGGTGGTGATGGTGGTATCTGGAAGAGGGGTGGGGAAGTTGAAGGGAAGGCCAAAGACGTCGCGAGGGCCAGCTTCCAGGACCGACCAGTCGAGATGATTGTTACGAGGAGGAGTGTCGACATCACTGCTAGGAGGGGCGGGTTCCTCTTCCGGCTCAAGAACGTTAAGATTGTTTCTGTCGTTTTCCTTGTTCTCCGAGGAGCCAGAGTAGAGAACCGGAGTGAGAGCCTCGAGGGTGTCTTGACTCTCGGTGTCCTCGAAGACCTCAACCTTCCGTGTCTCCGATAGGTCGAGGAACCGCGCCCGACCTGCAGGCCGAACTGGGGTAACTGGGTTACCCAGGACACGGCCAGCCTCATTCTCTGTCTCGGTGTCAGCTACTTCTTTGAGAATCAAGATGTGTCTGTGAAGCGTCCCGGTCCTTTTGGCAGGCGCCGGGTGTGGGGATGGAAGTACAACAATGACGGGACTCTCTTTTCTTCGAACTACAGACAACCAATGAAGAATATAGAATTTCATGAACTTACCGCGAGGCGTCTGGACCTTGGTCCTACGGCTCGGTGGTTGAACACCGGCCAGAACCGAGCGCGCAGCCGCGGTGGCAGCGATCCCCCGGGTGTGGGATCGTAAGGTCATCGGATGCTGGGAGGGCATCCGGAACCTCCACGTCCAACGCCGGGGAAGACGGGGCGAACGGGGAAGACCACGTCCCGAAGGACGAACGACGGGCTCGGGGCTCGACGACTCACGGATGATGTCGTTCTGTTGGTTCTTTAATATCAAAGTCCGGGCCCGCATTTTCATAGTCACTTTGATGGTACTTACTTCGTGAGCGTCAGAGGCGCCAGGCTGCTCTCTCCTGCGGCCATATTCGATATGAAAATATCGAATTCTGGATGAATTCTGATAAACAAAAGAATTTTATCAGACGAAAGGGTGGATGCGGAAGGTTTGTTTTTATCCGAAGTGAAGAAACGCGCTCTCTCATACTTGTATATAGAAGGCATGCGGGCTGCGATTACGGCATTTGGATAGGATAGGCGGTGTCTACAAGAATTGCCAGCAGTATCTTCATTCTATGGTTAGAACTTTTCATGTAGTTGTTCATCTAGGGGATAGATATTGTGCCATATGTTAGAGAGGTTGTGAAGACTATCGACTTCACTTTGAAGAAGAAACTGAAACTTATTTCATCATCAACGATGATTATTAGATAGCTTATATTGAAGAATAGGTAATATAGAGACTAAGAAGACCTTAGACTTAAATATGCTCGTCAGGATGGGTCAGCTTATAGTGAGTACGCCAGATGTGGAGGCGATATGAAAGCTTAATTTAGTGAACTAAACATTTGATAAACCATACAGCCTAGAAATCCACTAAAATATGTAAACACTGGTATATGGAATCATGCTAATTAGAGACTCGACTATAAGCACATTATGTAGCAAATTCAAGACAGAACGTGAATAGGATAGTTCGTTTAGTACAATAGTCAAAGATACAAAGTCGTCTGATGGCTAAACGGACAGCTCTACGTTCCCGCTGCCCTGTTTAAGAATGAAAAATTAAGCACGGGAATATATGAAAAATATGACATTGGAAGTTGTTATGATCCCGCTGCACTACTTTCGTTATGGTAATATCTTCCCTTCCCCCATGGACGTCGTTTAACTTGAGAGACCCCCCTATGTTTCGATCTGAGATATTCATCTCGGATGTTGAACATACAAAAATTTTGGTTTAGTTTAGTACTTCACGTGAACAAACATAATTAGCTGCGTTAGAGATGACCGCCGTCCCTTAGAATGGTATGGTGTCATAAAACCGGGGTCCGTCCTGCCTATCATTCTGATCGATACCGGATGGGTTCTTGGAGAGATAATCATTTTACCAGATTTAGAGATATTCAGTCTCATCTGGGAATATCTCCCTTTCCTTTATTGGATATACATGTTCTGGCCATGCTGCTGATTGCCCAAAGGTTGTATGTCCCGAATGACAGTCACAAAGAGGCAAAGGTAGGCTATCACACTCTAGAACCTGCCCAGTTCTGACACCGAACCCCCGAGGTGCTATTTCATCGAGTAAAAGACACCTTGCCTGGAGACAAACCAGCCATTCAATTTGAGAACTCGGGCATAGCATCAATTTACTAAGGCTGTACACATACGCCTCTACATAGGATTCATAGCCAAGGAATGCAAACATCACCGGTTGTGAATCAAGCAATGGATTGATTGTAACTGTGCAGCCATTTACAATGAGTGCAAGAGTCTGGAGATATCTCAGAGACTCTTGGCCTCCTCAGGATCCTTGCTTCACAGTTGATCCATCGCCTGATCTACCGACCATATTTCTTCGCCTCCATAATGTACTCATTCACAGCCAGCACTAGATACACAGCAACGTCATCCATTTCGAGGATACAAGAACATCAGAGAATAAGAACAGTTAACCGCCACAAAGGGGTAGTGTGCAGCTAAAATGAAAACACAGAATGAGCCAGAGCTGAGGGTTATCGAAAAGCAGCATCAAGCGGAGGCATCATAGTACCGAAAATGGGCATCAGCAAATACATCAAGGAAAAAGAAATAACGAAAAGACGTTCTTTGATCTCTCGATAGGATGCAACGTTGCCGTGTAACCAGGCTGGGTTGAAACAAACGAAAATCTTGCGCCGCCTGCTGTCCTCCACAAATTTGCCCAGATTGTCACATAATTCATTGAGCAGAAAAAAGAGTGGAGTGAAAGCAGACATGAAAGATCATCGTGCCTCTGCTTAGCCTACCTGAATTGGCCAGGGCCGATCATACCACCACGGCCGTCGCCGCCATTGGGCTGACCGAACATCTCTAGTAGGTGTCGAGATGAAGGAGGTGGGCCTTGGGGACCGGGGCCACCGGGACCAAAGGGGCTTTGACCACCAGGGCCAACTCCCATCATAGCCTCCGGGTTAGGAGGCATGTGAGGGAAACCGGGAGGCGGCGGGCCGCCCATGTATCCGGGTGGTGGCATCATGCCTGGTGGAGGACCACGAGGGGGCATCGGCATCATACCCGGCGGGAAGCCACGGCTAGGCGGCATGATACCAGGAGGAGGACCCATAGGGCTAGGTCCATTACCTTGGGGAGGATGTTGACCTGCCCAGCCAGGAGGGGGCATGTGGTCCAGTCCCGGGGGGCGCTGAAGCGGCATGGGAGGTTGGTTGAGGCCCTGCATAGGACGCGAGCCACCAGGAGTCATGGGCCCCTGGCCACCCTGAGGGGGGAATGGCACCTCATCGAAGTACCCCATGGGTGGAGGTCCGTTAGGAGCTCGCCGACGGAGCTGCTCGCTGTCTGGTCGCTGCATGTTCGCGATGGCTGGGTCATCAAGGAAGGTTGGTGTCTTTTGAGCACCCAGGCCAGGGGGAGGACGAGGCATCATTTCTGGCATCAGGCCAGGAGGAGGAGCCACGCCTACATTCGGAGGTGACTGCTGAGATGGAAGGCCCGAGGGAGGTCCAACACGGACCTGCTGCATCAATCGAAGCAGATGCTCTCTTTCGCGAGACTGCGGGTCTTTGCCAGCTGCTTGGGCCATGGGATGCTCAAGAGGGCTCATATACTCCGAGGGCGGGAGAGAATCTCTCGGAGATGACATATTGGCAACAGCACGTGGCTGCTGCTCTGGGTGCACCATGGGGGGTGGGCGCACATGCTGAACCGGTTCGCCTTGTTGAGGGGTACCATTGTTGGATCGGTTGCCTCCACCTCCCAGCATCTTCAAAATGCGCTGGAAACCTTCCTGGTCGGCATCATGGGGATTGGCCGGGCTACCCCCACCAAAGAGCATGGCCATGGAGGGTCCCTGAGGCTCTGGTTCCTTTGCGGGGCTCTCGGGCGGCGGCGGACTGAACAGCCCAGCAAACCGAGATGATTTTCCGGGTTTGACGCTCATGCCAGCGCCGAGAGGGTCTTTCTTGGGAGTTTGTTCAGCAGCAATTGGAGGGCTGACTTCGGGGACGTGAGGCTTCGTGTCTCCCAGCATGCCAAAGAATCGCTCCATCGAGGCATCCGGCATGAATTGAGTACCAGAGTGGCTGAAAATCTCCCCGTCGGTAGCGTGAGACTCTGACTGCTGAGGAGCAATGTGGTGTTCTGTGGGTAAGTCTCTCTTCTCTTCGTGAGCTGGAGCCTGCTGACCAGCACCAGATCCAGCCTTCATTCTCTCCTTCCAGCGCTCGAAGTCTTCTTGCGTATGCGCGCGTCGTGGCTCATCTCGGTCGTTACTATCCAGCCACTCGGGCTCTTGCTCGAGCTTCGCACCGCGGGTCCAGTCGCGGTCTGCGCCATGTCGATCACGGCGCCATTCTCGATTCCGTAGCTGTGATTTATCCTCATCCGCATCGGCACCCTCCTGGGCGCTCTCATCACGGAACCAGCTTCCTTCAAACTTGGCTCGTCCCGGCTGAGCGTCCTTCTTCGGGGTGGGGCGGCCATCGCGATCCCGAATTGCTCGATCATTGTTTGGATCTCGGGCATTTTCTCTGTTCTCCCATCGGTCAAATTCGCCGTTGCGGCGCAGCTTGCGGTCTTGCTCATCTGCTCCAAGTCCACGACGAGGAGTACGGCCTGCATTCCAGTCCTCCCTTTCCCCGCGCCGGCCGTTCAGACCAGCAGACTTTCCATCGCGACGTTCCAATTCTCTCTCCGGGGCGTCCTTATCCTTGAAAAATTTGTCTCGGAAGTTGAAGCGATCACTTTTCTCATCCGAGTCGCCTGGTCGCACGGACCGGTCCGTCAGATCGAACGACCCTTTACCGACCCCACCAATTCGTGATGACGCAAAGGCAGTTTTTGGCGGACCAAGGATGATGTCTTCTGTACCATTTCACAAGTAAGGTTAGCAAGCTCAATTGCAGTAAACGAATTGACCAATGATCGGGTAGCAAAGAGCCCAAGAGCAAGGCCTACCTGAATTGGAGCCACGGGAGATATGACGAGCTTCGAAGAAGCTGGGTCTTCTGTTGGTAGTCGTCTCAGATGGGTTATTAGGATCACGCGAGGGTCGTTGCTTAGTTTGGGTCGTTGGGTCAGGTTGAGGCCTGTAGAGGGGGGTAATAAGGTCAGTCTTTGCTGTGGGGATGTGGAGTGGTCGAGGTGATGAGAACTTGTGAACATACATCCATTCTTCAATCGGGGGTAGGCCAGGAGGTTTTGCGACGAGAGGCGATGAGCGCAGCCAGAGCAGCTCATCAATCTCGTACCGTCGCGCCATGACGGCCTGGTCTGGAAATGGTGTGTGCGATCTTTATCCACAGGAGTTCAGGGTCCTCTCATTGGTCCACGCGGGGGCTGGAGATCGTAGAGTGCGAATCAAGATGGTGGTCAAAATAGTGTTCGAGGTTCAGGATTCGGTTGGTAGGAGGAATAGTCGAGGAGAAGAGGGCAGAGGGGTGGATGAAGCGAAAGTCGGGAAAGCGACGTTCAGTGAGGAGAAGCAGCAGTAAGCCACTTTGTGGCGAGGCTCAAGGCGGAGTCGGGGTCGGTGAGGATGGAGGGGAGATCGTTGGTTTGGACCAGGAGATACTCCGATGGAATGCGGGACCACGATGCGGAGTGGTAGGCAGATAAACTCAATGTAGACAGGTAATGAAAGGAGAAGGAAGTGTTTGAATCTGGTGTGTAGCGAGGTATTGGAGAAGCGAAGAGGGAGGGGTGTGCGGCATCACTCGTGACCACCTCTGATATGCGAATGCACTGATAGGGGAAGTCGGCCAGTTGGCAATCGTCGCAGGACGAGCTCAACCTTACTATGTGGCTAAGGTCAGCCAAAATCACAAATAAAGCGCGTAGCGTATGCCAATCATAGTGGTAAATATCTGTGTGTTAAAGTATTCTCATCTTGTTGTACCTAGCCTCTGGTGTATATGATCTTGAGCACATTGAAAGCGGTAGCTAAGTTTCACCCCCAACAAAGCATTAAAATCATCTCATCGGCCGTGGCTAGGATGTCTCGAAAGATAATTCAAATTACCCAAAATAATTTGAGCAGGAGGAAATCGAAGCATACCTGGCTGTGCCATTAGGTTCTCTATGCACACCAATCGGGCACCCTCTTAACAATTTCCCATGCTAGGGAAACCTTCTCAATATTCCCTATATGCCCTTCGGTTGGTTTCTCTATTTCCTTCATGTACCATTTTTATCATGTAAATCTATTCTAATGAAGTCACTGTTGCAGCTGTGTCCAAGATGATACTACAAACTGCAGATATGCATCAAACTCTCCAGCTCCAGCAGTACAGTCATGCTAGGTCCAAGCAATTCCAAACCTAGAGAAGGTTGAAGTCAATTAAGATACCTAGTGTCTCTTTCATATCACTCGACATAATGCTTTTCTGCATAAATTCGACAAGTATTCCCCCGATGATCATGGATTTATAAAGACAATGTCCCATTCCTCGACACATACCAGCCGACCGAGTTCTCTCCAATTAATTGCCAAGTACCCTGTGCATAGAAACAGGACCGTGGATAGTCAGGATATTGAGACTCAAAGATATTCATCGTTTGAGCATTGGCTGAGTTGAGTGTGTGGAAAACGCCATCGATTATGAATTCTGATTCCTCGCGCCCCTGCTTTTCGTGGACGACAACAAAGACATATGGTTCAATATCTTGCGAAGATGTATCCTCTTCGGCAGCTTCTTCGTGTGCCCTGTGAACTTCTTCGATCAGTTCTAGTGGGAACTGGGATTCTTTTGTGCGTGTGCATTGCATTATTTCGTGTCTTCGATAGTAAACGCAGAAGATGGGAGGGGATTCTCTTGCATTTTCAGTGATCTGTCATGCTAGAGCTTCGGATAAGCTTGTTTGGTAGTCGAGGACAAAGAATGACGTGGTAAAAACGAACAATAATTCCCTTCATATTTCCTTTCTAAGACACAGATAGATACGTGGGCGTTCCTAGGTACGGGTTCTCCTTTACCTGGCTCTCAAAAACTCAATGAGCTTGTATCATAAGATGGCTACCCAATAACTATCTATTATTGAAACACCAAGACTAATGATACTTTAAGGCAATTATTCTCTTACATGAAGACTGGGAGTCTCTCTGAAGATGGTTTATTCTCACTCCGATTATTCCTGAAATTTGAACAGGAAGCCTTAAAGTCAAAGTCGAGATTATCAAGTAGCACATCCCAGGGTATGAACAACAAAATCGGAGAACAACGATTTCAATCAAGAATATGTTCCCACTCATTAAGCCACCTAGCACGATGTTTGAGCATTTTATGCAAATTCTGGATCCTGGTATACCTGTCCCAAAGAGCATGCTCCACCCAATTATATAGGCTCTTCGATTTGAACTTCCCAGAATACGTAGGATTGAAAAGATTTCGCATGATCCCTCTATCGATACCAACAAGCACCAGGGCTTTATAGATATCCATTTCCCGACACAATGGGGTCTGTAGAAGACTGATGTGTTCACATAGATAGGCCATCAATTTGAGAGGCTTCAGCGCGGTGGACAATTGGCGAGTGTAGCCCGACCAGAGCTCGCTTGCGGCGGACGGTGTGAAGCCGAGAAATTCGAGGACCGGGGGGCTTTCCTTTGCCAGAGGAACTTTTATTTTCCAGAGTGTCCCTGCCTGGTCGTCGTCTTGGTTTGGGACTGGAGTAGATAGTAGCTGTGATGGCTTGATCTGAAGACGGGTCATCGTGACTGTGCAGGTGCCTCCATCTCTTGAGTCAGGGGCGGCAGACTCGATTATTGAAACTTTTTCGAGGCACTTGATCTCTTCATCGGTGAGAATGCCTATGATAGTCAAGGGTTTGGTGTTTGGAGGTTGGTCGGACATGACTGGCTAACACAAGTTTGCGATCTTGAACACGGGGGAAATTGATGAATATTCTTAGGGATTAAAATGCTTGTTGATGACTACTATATTTTGTACCATTGCAATCTGGCTCGTGATAATCAAATCGGAATAGTAACCGATGAAATAGGGAAAGAAGGAAAATGATCCATAGATGTCATACCCGAATTCGCCATCGGACGCCAAATCTGGAAATAGAGCCAACATAAGTAATCTAGTCATCTTTTTGCCTGGCATTGGCAGTAGGGAAATTATTGTACAAGAATTCTTCAATCTTATGCTTGCGAGATCTCCTTCAAGGCATGCTCGACAGTTCCAGCGCTCCATGCATCGACACGCTCGCGGTCAGATGTCTCATACAAAGTCCGTGCCAAGGCCGCAAGCAATGCCACTTCTTTCGCATCCGCCTCCGCAACTTGGACTTGAATCCAGCTGATGACCGCTGCGCGGGTAATCAAAGTAGTACTGCCGCCCACTTGCGCAGCTCGGTAGATTATATGCAGAATCTTTCGTCGGGCTGCCTCGCTAAGAGTCGGTGACTGGTAGAGTGAGAGAATGCGTTCGAAAACATTCGCACGTCTGTAGATTTCCATATCCTGTTAAAAATGGTTAGTGATTGTGAATGTGGAATGGGCATATATCTCAAGTACATACGGCCTTAGTGCGGAGACCCTTAACGAATAGTCCCAGCAACCAGTCAATCTCGTCAAAGTAGCCATCGTCCAGCTCAGGCTCATTGAGGAAGACCTTGTCAATCCAGTAGGATGGGATCTTCTCCACTTCCCATACGGGAGCTTTCTGCAAGAATTTGTTGACCTTTCCATACACCTTGTGCAAGGGATGAGTGAGGATGTTCAGGCAGTTGGCCGCGCATTCGCCGATGATCCAGGGAATAGGCTCCCCAAGACCGATTTGATTGACAGTCTCAAGAAGCTCACCCGTGAGGGTATATACAGTACGCCACTCCCCATATTTGGATTCCTGAATGTAAAGTCAGCAAAAGCTCCAGTTTTTTCAAGGATGTTCGTGCCTACCTTCAGCTGGCCCATAAACCGAGCGATCTTGGCAAATGCCTGTCTCCGAACTTCCTCGTGCTCCGAGCACAAACAAAGCATCAGCTCAGCAATACGCCCTTGTTCAACAGCTTGCTCGAGGTCTTCTCTCTCCCACCTGTGCAGTGCGTTATGTGTGGTACCTTCAGTGGGCAGGAAGCCGAAGATCTCATCGAGATCCACTGTTGCGGTCTTGGCGGACGAGGTCGGGGCCACCGGCTCAGAGTCAACATCCATTTTGTCTTCGTCATCAATGTCTTCTTGTCCCTTGAAACTTTTCTTGATCAGGGATCGGGTCTTCTTCGTCTCAGTAGCTTCAACCAAAGTGTCACGAGCAGCCTTCAAGGCAGCGGAGTTTTCTCCAGCCTGTTTCAGGTGCGCAAGTAACTTGGCAATCCAGGCTCCAGTAGCTATTTCAGCAGATTCATCGCCGGCCTTGACGACGAAAGGCCATTGTTCGACGATGGCTGCGACAAGAGGGCTGGTAGCAGCTTCGTCTTGGGACGTGGACCCGATCAGGTCTAGATAGTGGACAGGCTTCTTCGCGACTCGGGACACGCAATTGTCAATGAAAACCAACTGTTTATGCAGTGTCTCGGATTCGGAATCTTCAAGACTAGACAGGAGGGCGTTGAATGACTGCGGTAGGTTCTGCAAGACGGAATTGTCCGCAAGAACAGACCTTAGCAGAGAAGAAATGCGGCGCGCAGAGTCCTTGTCCGAGGTTTCCACAAGAACCTTGAGAATCGAGGTAAAGGGCGAGTATTGCATAGATGCTGCAAGAGGGTTAGTTGATAAATTCACATATAACTATTAGGAAAGACTGCATACCTGGCTTCTGCCACCACCTCATTGAGGCAGACTGCTGTGCGATCTGGAGGACACTCTGCAACTGGCTTAGGAGCATCTCAGAGTCATCAGCGCTGAGCTTGGGTTCTTCGAGACGCTTCAAAACATCCACCAGTACCAAGGACACATCAAAGTTCTCCTCCAACGCAATATCGGGCATTACTTCGTAGTAACACGCCAAGAGCTCAGCAACAGCCTCTTGCTGTTGCAAGTCCTCCTTGGTAGTTCGGCGGAACAGAAGGATCGTATCTTTGACGGCTGGAATTCGGCGAGAGAACTCAGCGAGCAGCTTGGAAGAAGCCTGGTTCCAGAACAGCTGGGCTTGCCCATGATCGGCTCGGAAGATCTTCAGAACAGCCCGCAATTTTTTGAACGAGAGGGTCAAAATTCGCACTGCGAACAATGTAATAATCTCAGCGTTCTGATTCAAGCACCGGGTCATGATTTTCTGGCTCATAGGGCGAGGAAGAACATTCTCGATGACGATGGACACGGGAGGCGGCAGGGCCGGCTGCTTGTCCTTCCAGCCACAGTTTGTGGGCACGGGTAGCTGCACCGTTGAGAAGAGGAAAGCAGACTCGGCCATCCATGAGGGGGTGGCCTTGGGGTCTGCCGTGAACATGGTCTTTTTAGTGAAAAAGTCGGCGATCAACTCAGGGGCGGCCTTGAAGATGGTGACCAGCAACTCGATTTGCAGACTGTCCACATCTGGGCGAAGGCATTGAATCAGGTGAGACAGGGAGTTGTTTCGCACAGGGATAGACTCCCGGTACTTGTCGACGTGAATAGGCGAGTCGAGACCCAATTCGATACTTTCATCATCATCGATTGGCAGAGTCTCGGGATCAGTTCCAATTGGGTACCAGCCCGTCTCTGGGAGTAGAACGCCGAGACCAGAGGTCTTGCAAATATTCATTAGGACCCGGTGGATCTCATTGGCAATCACTGTCCCTTCGGGATTAGGCTCATCAGACTCGCGGTCATAGCCGTAGAGCGTCACCAACTTCTCCAGGTTCCAACGATTGAAGAACTTGCTCTTGGATTTGCGGGGCAATGATTCGTCTTGCACAATATCTCGCTCAACTGCCTTGATAATCTCCAGAGCATCCGCCCGAGCGTCTTTCCGGGCGTGTTCAAGCAGCGCTCGAGTAAGTTTCGGCTGCTCGATGATGTCGCTCTTCTCCAAAGTTTGTTGGACTCTCAGGTTGGCAAGGAGATACTTCAGAGCATTTCTTCGGAGTGTCGACTTCGGTGCATCATCCTCTGCAGCCTCAAGCTGCAGCTTGTTAGGTGTCAAGAAGATTTCGAGTCGCTTGAAGGTAATATAACGGGTGAGATACAGTTTGCGAGCGACAGCGCCGCCGTCATACGTGACAATTTCGGTGAGAAGACGCAAGCATGGAGAGATTAGATGCTCCTTCGTCTTTGTTGCCGTCAAACCACGGTTGAAAAGTCTGAGCTGGTCCTTCTGCAGCAGGTGCTTACACAAAGCGACTCCGAATTCCCGGAATTCAAGTTGGCGGGAGATAGTCTTCAAGAAGATCGCCAATACAGAGGGAATGTTGGTTAGTAGAGGCTCATTATTGTTGCTATCAGCAAAGCCCCAGGTCTGGATGAGATCCGGAAAGCAGACGGAGGTGTCTTCCTCTTTGCCAGGAGTAATTTGCTTATCGCAATAGCCCTTCAGAACACGAAGCTTCTGAGTCTTGTCACTCTCCTTTTCGGTCTGACCAATTGACACCAGAAACTCCTTGAATTTTAGAATGCCTGTGCAGTCCTGAATTAAGTGGTCGCCCTGCATCGGTTTCAAGGGCCAGAACTCACCTTGCTTGGCAGTTAGAGCGTTCTGCTGGAAAAGCAGGAGCTCGCGCAGTTGGGAAGGAGAAGTAAAATTCACATCCTCGCTGGTCTGTTCATCATCGAGCTTTCTGCGCTTCGCCCTAGAGGGATGCTCGGCAATGTGCGCCATTTTATTGTGGTGTTGCGTTGGTGACGACGGTATTATTTTTTTTTTCAGAGTCTTGATGTTCCGATGCCATCGAGATTTTACGCGCGCTGATTGGCTGGCGCCACTCCGCAAATCCCTTCAGCTTTAAACGTGGATCCCATAGACAGCCACGCTTGTAACAACCTGTCAAGAGTTCCCTTTTTAATTCGTAGGGCTGTTTTTCGTAGTGAAGACTGATGCTAGAGGGGCCTAGTCCAAGATTGATCAAAAAATTCTATCATTTCCCATCTGAGATGTTCCGGAGGCCTACTAGGTACAAAATATATATTTCTCTACTCTCAGGGTGCAGATATAAAAGCACAGTGACCCCCATGTATCAGAGGCGCATTTAGGAAATTGGGAACTACTGTCCGGTGTAGCAGCTAAAACCGATAGATATCGAATGAAATCCAACATCGCACATATTCCAATCCATAGTATTTACAAAACCTCGAATCTGGGGATCAAGTCTAATGTAAACTTGAGGTTGAACGATTCTGCTAGCTAGCTATTTGAAGAACCGGTACTTCTTGTCCTTGTCTTTCTTGTCCTTATCCTTCTTATCTTTGTCCTTCTTGCTGAGCTTCCCACTAGGCGGAGGTGTCGATCCGTTATTCAGAGACAGATTCGCCATCATGTCCCCCGGGGCTACAGGGGGGTTGAGATTGGGTGGGGGCACAGCCTTCTTTTGTGGCTGAGGAGGGGGAGGTGAAGGCGTGTTCTTCTCAAATAGATGAGCAGGGGCAGTAGGCTTAGGCCGGTCTGCGGGAAGGTCCAAACGGCGTTTGTCAACACTGAGATCCCGGACTTGACGTATGAAGAGTGATGGAGTTAGCATGTGAGTGGTGGCTAGGAACACATCCCGGTTGTACGCCTGTGAGACCTCGTAACAAGCGCGAGCCTCAGAGTGGGTGGCGCCACCAGCCATGAAGACAATCATGCGCTGGCGCGGCTGATCAACAGCGCGAGTGCGCGCCCAGGTTGGTTTAGCACTGCGCAAAGAGGCTTGCTGGGAGAGTGTCTCCTGGGCGGCCATTGCGCTATCAGTTTCGGTGTGAGGTCTCGTGAAAGGGAAAGTCGTCTGGTCCAACGTGCCCTTGATTTGCTCCTCAAGCATCTGTTTGAGATTCAAATCATAGCGGGCCAGGCTGAGTTCTTCCGACTCCGAACCTGGGTTCTTGCGGTTGAACAGGGGCTGCACCGGCGGCTTTTCGTCTTTGAGTGGTTTCTCCACGCGAACTCCTAGAAGCTCCAGATTGGCAATTACCTGGCCGTCTTGGCCTGGAAGCTGGGCATGTGCCATTAGCTTTCGGATGTCACCGCCGAGTAAACCGCCACGGTAAATAATATACAATAGGATCAATCTCAGTCGATCCAGAGGGATGACTGATTCATCATCCAGAAGTTGAACGAGCTGCGCTGCCAAGTTTTTGGCCTTCTTGAAATTCTCATCGAGTCCGGTTGCAAAAGACTGTTCAATGGAACTGACTTCGATGAGCTTACGCTCCTGGAAGAATTTCATACACTCCTCTGCCATATTCAAATGCAGCGTGTAAGCGTCCTTGCCTTCTGTGAATTCATTCAGGCCAACCAACATGTCCCGGATCGTGTTCACGGTGAGCTTCTCGTTACTGTAGATCCAACTATTAGTCAAAAAACACAAATCAAGAAGATGACCCGCTGCGAGGAGACCCACTCTTCTGCAAATTGTGGATTCGCTGCTCTGAATCTGGCAAAATCATCACCAAGTTTCTCAAGCACATCTTTCATGTGCATGTGTCGATAGTCTACCCAGACCTTGTCGTGCTCGCCAATCTCCATCTCTTTTAGCTCCTCGTTGGGCTTGCCTTGATTGAGTAGAGTCTTATATGTGATCTTTTCTCCATCCTTGACCGGCAACAAATCGAACACCATGGCCCCGTATGTGAATTCATGGAGGAGTGGCGCGAAAACGTCCATAGAACGGTCAACAATAAGTAACACTCCACGAGGTCGGTTCGATGGAGGAGGGAAGTCACGCTGAAATTGCGCAAATTGGTCTAATTCACTTTGGACGAAACGGGCGAGGTGGGAGCAAAGCACACCAGCTTCATGAGTCGGGGCACGAGGGCGGTAATACCGGATCACAGGATACTCGCCCAAGCAGGCGCAAAGCGAGACAATCTTCAACATGATCAGTATACGGGCGCTCACAAAGAAAATAACTAATTTATAGAGCTCATTACCTTTTGAGCCAATTCTTCGAGGTGTTTGCGGACCAATCCATTGCAGCCTGGGTGGAACAGCACCGGGAAGCTCCATGGATCCCGCAAAGTGACCAGGTGTGATTCTCGAGGGTAGAAGTCGATGTTCAAGATCCGGTAGTCAGCGATGTGATTCCGGGCAATTTCAGATCGATCGAGACGTTGACGCTGCTGGGGGTCGAGGACTGTAAACCTCGTCAGCTACCAGCACTCCACGGAGGCTCCATCTCGCCAACACGCACAGGAGGTCCAAACCAAGTATGCCTTCTTATATCGTCCGACCTCAAAGTCGGCCATCAAACAGTCGACAATCCATGACTGTGGCGACAGTATGTACAGCGCGCTCATGTCCGGGTTGGGCTGCCGGCGGTTCTCGATTTGTTCGATGTCTGCGGGGTGATGTGGTTTAGCAGGCCTACCGTTGCGCCGGAGGGTCGGGGTCTCGCTCACTGGACACATTGAGGTTCAGGATCTCTTCGTCTTTCACAGCGCTGTTGATCAGCTTTCGGCTGGCCTCATCCACCACCAAAACTTTCCACTGTACGGAAGGTGGCGGTCATCAGTGTCCGTTGTAGTAGGGGGAGGGGAGGGAATGCAACCCACGTCATTGCCGACGACATTGCGGATCGTGTTGAGGATAACTATATAGAGGCAGAACGAAGTCAGTCGCCGTCGCTAGGGAGAGTCATTCAAACAAGGCCACGTACTGTCGCGCTGGATGCCGATGATGGAGGAGCCCATGTTGGCGGGCAGCCCACGGGACTGGTACTGCAGACGGGGCCGACAAAGATGACTGGGAAAGGACAGTCAAATGCGCCAGAACCCAAGACAGGCGATCCGAGGCGGTGCACAAGGGACTTAGGTGGCCCGTAGTGGTGGTCGTAGGAGGTATATTGGCAGGATATTGGTAGGAGAGGGTTCCCCACCATTGGGGGGAGCTTCGACAGGGAAGAAGTGGATCTCCGGGTGGCGCGCCAGGGAACTCATCCCCGATAAGCAACTTGCGCAACTCTGATTCATTTTTCTTTGAAACCGCGCTGAAACCCGCCTGTCTCGTGGCTCTGCCCGTCGTTATCCCTTGTCCAATCCCTCTTTCTATCGTTGGGCACCCCCTGATCGTGGCTATTGACGTCAATCGTTCCTCCCATCCTTGTTGGCCAACGCTCCCAGCGTGCAGGAAATGCAGTCATGGACCGGCAGAGGCAGCCGCTCACTCTTCTGGGCCTTGAGGTCACTGACTCGGCCTGCTGAACGACATTTCACGACGACTCCGGTACTTCAACGATCGAAGCGGAATCAAAAGCCGAAGGCCAATCCACGCGAGGATAGCAGCAATGGTGTCTTCGGCCAATCCTTAAAGAAAAAGCCCTCTACACCTCGACAATCTGTCCGACAGGATATTGCGGCGACGCGAGATTTCACCCGAGTGGTGGAGACGGCTCTACGTGATATAAAATACAGACTACAGAATACAGGCCAGCTTCCAGAAACATGGGGCCAATTCGAGCGCCAGATGATCAATGCCTGTCGCATAGAGGAAGCCAAAGTGACTGAGAAACCAGGCACAGGAAGCCCCTATCGTCGGATCAAAGTGGCGCTGCAAAAGTCTTATTTGCGATCGGGAGAACAGGGTCTTCGAGATGAACTGGAATATATTCTTTACGCTGATAGCATGACTGCGTTATACTCGACCCCGAATTTGGAAGGACAGCGAGAAGTGGCCGATTTCCGATATCCCGCAGAGTGGTACCCTCGCGCACGCTCGATCCAACGGACGGTCCATCTACATGTCGGCCCGACGAATTCCGGAAAGACTTACCACGCATTGAAAAGGCTGGAAGATTGCAAGTCCGGTTTCTATGCAGGACCATTAAGACTGTTGGCGCAGGAGGTATACCATCGCTTCAAGGATAAGGGAGTCCCCGTCAGTTTGGTGACAGGAGATGATGTCAAGCTACCAGAAAATGGAGAAACTCCCCGCATCATCAGCAACACGGTGGAAATGGTCGGCATGGGACGCGAGTTCGATGTTGGAGTCATTGACGAGATTCAGATGATTGCCAATCCTAAGCGAGGCTGGGCATGGACTCGAGCTGTACTTGGAGCGCAGGTCAAAGAGTTGCATCTCTGTGGCGAAACACGTGCTGTGCCACTCATTCGCGAATTGTGCGCTCTCACGGGCGATAATCTGGAGATTCATCGCTATGAGCGGCTCAATCCTCTCGAGGTGATGCCCCATAGTTTAAGGGGCAACTTGAACAAACTTGAGAAAGGCGACTGCATAGTCTCTTTTTCCCGGGTTGGTATTCATGCTCTGAAAGCAGACATTGAGAAGTTGACTGGGCGCCGTGTGGCTATTGTCTATGGTGGTCTCCCAGCCGAGATTCGGACTCAGCAGGCCAGTCTATTCAACGATCCAGATAATGACTACGATTTTCTTGTTGCAAGTGATGCGATTGGCATGGGATTGAACTTGTAAGTTACTCCGCAATGGCCCGCCCTGCTTGAGCTTCACTGACCCCATAACAGGAGCTGCAAGCGTGTCATCTTCGAGACACTTATCAAACGTACACCACATGGCCTGCAACGTCTATCGGTACCCGAGATCAAACAGATCGGCGGGCGTGCTGGTCGTTATCGCCCGGCAAATGCCCAGAATAGCTCAGAAGACTCCTCTGAGCCTAATATTGGCTTGGTCACTTGCATTGAAGAAGTCGACCTTCCTTATATCCAGCAAGCAATGAACACGGAACCCCCGCCGCTTCGGGCTGCGGGAATTTGGCCGCCTGACTTTGTCTTCCAAAAGTTTGCAGCTTATTTCCCAAGGAGTGTACCCTTGGAGTACCTCATCAAGCGGCTGATGGAAATCGCTCAAGTCGACCCATTATTCTTTATGTGCGACTCAGACAGTCAGTTGGACAATGCGGGGATTGTTGATACTGTGGAGGGATTGCGGATTCATGACCAGCTCACGCTCATAGCTGCACCCATGGAAACCAAGGATCAATCGTCTCGCATGATTTGTGGGGCCTTTGCCGACTGTGTCGCCGAAAATACGCGTGGTCGGTTACTGGACATTCCCAGTCTCGATCTTGAGATTCTTGAACAGGGAGTCTCTGGAAACAAGGACTATTTGCATGCGCTAGAGAGTCTACACAAAGCCATCATTTTGTACTCGTGGCTGAGCTTCCGGTTTGGGGGCATCTTTACGGACCGGACTCTTGCGGCCCATGTGAAAGAGCTTGTTGAAGAGAGGATGATTCGAGCATTGACCGAATTCTCGGCTAACAAGAAGTTGCGAAGAAATGCTTCCCTCAAGCGTCAGATCGCGCTGCAGAAGCAGAATCTTGATCAGATGCGCATCATTTCTGATGAAGATCTCATGTCTCCTCACGGTGAAGGGGAAGCGCCAATGCAAGTAGACCTGTCGAAAGACGAGTCTGCCGACAGCCAACCAACTTCATCGGGTGGTGAAATGTTGGACGAAAGTCCAGTGGAAGAAAGCTCCGGCGATGCCTTCAAAGATGACCTCCCGGAGGACGACCTCGTCGAAGACTCGAGAAAGGCTTCGAAGGCCGAAGGATCTTGGCCATCGAGTCAAGTCTCTCAGCATGACTGAAGAAACTGTAACAACACTTGTATATTAATTGTACATAACCTGACATCCTCTCCGACCACGGAACACTCACTCCACCACTTTTATAATCAGTAGTCTCAAAATTCCTGGACTAGTGAAGTCAAGCAAGATTAAAGTAAAACGATTTAAGCATTCTCGGGAGTCCCGGGAATTGCTAAAACGATGATACAAGATCCTAACCACACGATACACACCTAGTTAGGGTTGAGCGTAGTAACTGTATTACTATCTTCTAATTAGGAGATCCTCTAGAAACTAGAGAAACGGACTAATTAGACATGCGTTGATCTTTCCATCAAGGAGGGTAAATGGAAATGGACAGAGGACTTTAGCGCCGCCGGCGAACAGCAATATGGTAACCCAGGAGGCCCTATGCGTAGATAATTGGCACGGGGCCCTTATGGACGCAGGTACTAAGGCCGTCGCCTCTGGCGTTGAAGTCCTCTTTCCATTCGTCGTTTTTACGAGTGGTAGATAATAAATCTTTATTTAGCATGCAAATATGCTCGTCCGGTAGTTTAACGTCAGAGGGAAGGGTCTTGTAGTGGCTGTTTTCGAAAACCATCTTTGGTGTAGACAGGCAGCTTAGGGGACTTGCTAAAACAACGATACACGATACACCACTATTTTTGGTTTGGCGGAGTGATAGTATTACTATATTTTTGAGTAGAGTTCCATCAGTTATAACCCTGACAAATTTCCAAATTATTTTAGCAATCTAGTTAAACGGCATTAGTGTTATTCAAAAAGATAGTTCGAAAGATGTTCAGAAAAACCTTCTAAATAAGATTGATTGAGGCATATCTAGTTAGTCCTTTTCTCTGGATTCTAGACTCATACTTTGAACTACAGTACTATTATGATATCTAAAGTAGAAGACAGTAATACCATTATGTATCATCGTTTTAGCAATTCCCAGTAGGGAAATAATACCTTGGTTGAGCTTATCGCTTATCGGTGGCAACTTCGGCCAGACTGATTTTCCGCCGCATTCACTCTTTGCTCGCGAAGCGCAGCGTCGATCGCCAGGCAGTGTTTCGCGCACTCGCTCACTCGAAACTTCTCTCGTTCGTGCTTCGCCTTTCTTTCTTCTCTGTCGCTCTTTTTCCACGGTCGCCACCATGGATGACCTGGAGTCGCTGGAGCTGTTGTCGCTCGTGTCGCGAGTGACCAACGAGCTCCAGAACTACCTAGGCATTAACGACAAGACGCTGGCGGAATTCGTGATCGACCAGCATCTCAAATGCAATGGCTCGTTTCCGGAATTCAAGAAACTGCTTGATGAAATGGGCGCCGAGTTCCCGCAGAGTCTGATGGAGAGTGTCGACCGGTTGGTGCTCACGATGCACCCCAAGTACAAAGGGAAGAAACAGGAAAATGGAGACTCGGGTGGCGGAGGCGGCGATATTATGGATGAGCTGGATGCTCTGGAAAAGAAGTCCCGCGTGTTCAAGGGTCTTGCGGTTCCAGATAGAGGTCAGCGCTGGGAGGAAGATGACTACCTGGATCGCCCAGCCGACAACGACACCGACGCGCAAGCTGGCGCCATGGACGACACATTCGCAATGCTTGAAGGTCTGGCTGGAAAGGCCAAGGATGATAAGCCCCACGGCCCGCGAGACGACCATCGCAGCAGGAAACGAAGTCGCAGCCCCGATTACGATGACCATGACCGCGGACGCCGCCACAGAAACAAACACCGTTCAAGATCGCGCAGCCCGCACCGACGCAGCAAGAACGACGATTTCATTGATGAGTTCGGAAGATCTATTGGCAAATATGGCGACCGTGACAGCGATCGCAACGGCCACAGCGACCGCCGTAGACACCGTGATCGCGAGAGGAACGAAAACGAGGACTTCCGCCGACCCCCTCCTGTCGAGTTGGATGATGCGCCAGTTCTGTACAAGGTCTACGATGGACAAGTGACGGGTGTGAAGGACTTTGGTGCTTTTGTCAACCTACGAGGAGTCCAAGGGAAGGTAGACGGCCTTGTCCATGTATCGGCGATGCAAGAAGGAGCGCGAGTGAATCATCCATCCGATTTGGTATCGCGTGGACAGCTAGTCAAAGTCAAAGTTGTCAGTATCCAGGGAAATCGCATTGGACTATCAATGAAGGAGGTGGACCAGGCCACCGGAATGGACCTTGTTCCGCAAAAGCGTCTGGCGTCTGGTGCTAATATGGAACGTCTCGATGGCGCTCCAAGCCAGGACCGATATGGCAACCTTAGTTCAGAGGTGCCCGTCATTGAGGGATCAAATGGCCGACCCATGAGGAATCGGAAACGCATGACTTCCCCTGAGCGTTGGGAGATCAGACAGCTCATCGCATCTGGAGTTGCATCTGCCGCGGATTACCCTGATCTCGAGGAAGAGTATCATGCCACTCTCAAGGGTGAGGGAGCCTTTGAAGAAGAGGAGGATGTGGATATTGAAGTCAGGGATGAAGAGCCTCCATTCTTGGCTGGCCAGACGAAGCAATCACTTGAGTTGTCACCAATTCGTGTTGTTAAGGCTCCTGATGGCTCGATGAACCGCGCTGCCATGTCTGGCACTAATCTTGCCAAAGAGAGACGCGAATTGAAGCAGTCAGAGGCACAGGACAAGGCTGCTGAACTGGCCGCTGAAGTTGATCTGAACGCGCAGTGGCAGGATCCCATGGTTGCGCCGGAGGATCGAAAGTTCGCCGCGGATCTTCGCAATACCCAACAAAAGCCGGACGAGCCAATTCCGGAGTGGAAGAGAGTAACTATGGGCAAGAACCCGTCTCTTGGCAAGCGGACCGACATGCCCATCAAGCAACAGCGTGAGAGCTTGCCCGTTTTCAAGTTCCGCAAACAACTTCTTGATGCCGTGAAGGACAACCAGTTGATGATTGTGGTTGGTGATACCGGCTCTGGAAAGACCACCCAATTAACCCAGTATCTGGCCGAGGCTGGATATGGAAACAATGGTATCATTGGCTGTACTCAGCCTCGTCGTGTTGCCGCCATGTCCGTGGCCAAGCGTGTGTCAGAAGAAGTTGGCTGCAGACTGGGCGCGGAGGTCGGTTACACGATCCGTTTTGAGGACTGCACCAGTCCAGAGACCAAGATCAAGTATATGACGGACGGCATGCTCCAGAGAGAAATTCTCATGGATCCAGATCTCAAAAGGTATTCCGTGATTATGCTTGATGAAGCCCACGAGCGCACGATTGCCACCGATATTCTGTTTGGTTTACTGAAGAAGACCATCAAGCGACGGCCTGATCTCCGTTTGATTGTCACTTCCGCTACGCTGGATGCCGAAAAGTTCTCGGAGTACTTCAACGGCTGTCCTATTTTCTCGATTCCTGGACGAACATATCCTGTTGAGATCATGTATTCCAAGGAGCCTGAGTCTGACTACCTGGATGCTGCTCTTATTACTGTCATGCAGATTCACTTGACAGAGGCGGGTGGTGATATCTTGGTCTTCCTTACGGGACAAGAAGAGATCGACACAGCATGCGAGATCTTGTACGAGCGGATGAAGGCTTTAGGGCCGACTGTGCCCGAGTTGGTTATTCTTCCCGTCTACTCTGCACTTCCCAGTGAGATGCAGAGTCGAATCTTCGAGCCTGCCCCGCCTGGCGGCCGAAAGGTTATCATTGCTACCAACATCGCCGAGACCTCCATCACCATTGATAATATTTACTACGTCATCGATCCTGGTTTCGTGAAGCAGAATGCATACGATCCCAAGCTTGGCATGGATTCACTTGTGGTCACACCTATTTCTCAAGCACAGGCTAAGCAACGAGCTGGTCGTGCTGGGCGAACAGGACCAGGCAAATGTTTCCGTCTATACACCGAGGCTGCATATCAGTCTGAAATGCTTCCCACCACAATCCCCGAGATTCAGCGGCAGAATCTGTCACATACCATTCTCATGCTCAAGGCGATGGGCATTAATGACCTGCTTCACTTTGACTTCATGGACCCGCCACCCACCAATACAATGCTGACTGCCCTGGAGGAACTATATGCCTTGTCAGCCCTGGACGATGAAGGTCTCTTGACTCGCCTTGGCCGTAAGATGGCCGATTTCCCCATGGAACCGGCTCTTGCGAAGGTTCTCATCGCATCCGTTGATATGGGATGCTCTGAGGAGATTCTCAGCATTGTCGCCATGCTTTCCATCCAGTCGGTCTTCTACCGTCCCAAGGAGAAGCAGCAACAAGCCGATCAAAAGAAAGCCAAGTTCCACGATCCCCATGGCGATCATCTCACCTTATTGAATGTGTACAACGGCTGGAAGAACTCCAAATTCAACAATGCCTGGTGCTTCGAGAATTTCATCCAGGCCCGTCAGATCCGCCGTGCTCAAGATGTGCGGCAGCAGCTTCTCGGAATCATGAACCGCTACCGTCACAAGATTGTCTCATGTGGACGGGATACTACCATGGTGCGACAAGCACTTTGCACTGGCTTCTTCCGGAATGCGGCTCGCAAGGATCCTCAAGAGGGGTACAAGACGCTCGTCGAAGGTACACCCGTGTACATGCACCCAAGCTCCGCGCTCTTCGGCAAGCCCTCCGAGCATGTCATTTATCACACTTTGGTGCTCACCACCAAGGAGTACATGCATTGCACAACCTCTATCGAGCCGAAATGGCTTGTCGAGGCGGCACCGACCTTCTTCAAGGTTGCGCCAACAGATCGCTTGTCGAAGCGGAAGAAGGCCGAGCGCATTCAGCCTCTGCATAATCGGTTTGCTGGCGAGGATGATTGGCGCCTCTCTGCTCAACGCCGGCAAGGCAGAGGTGGTGGCGGTGGTACTTGGGGTTGAGGTACTCTACTGTTCTTTCTTTTCGTTTCAAGGATACCAGATGCTTCTTGTATGCTTCCGTATATTATTCACCATCATGTACTTTTCCAACTCAAACAGATAAAATTGGAGCTTCAATGGGTGTATGAGATGATTCATCACAACTACAGTTAAAAAATTATCCTCTCTAAGTGTAGAGAAAGCACGGGATGTTCCTATTTGTCCTCAAAGGATAGGGTTTCCTTTAACCACGAGTACGTAGTGGGCACCGGTGAAGGCCCGATTGGCGCCGCGGGGTTTCTCTTTTTTATCCTCTGCCCCCCGCGGACCCGCCACTTCCCCAATCAATTCACAGCAATTGCTCACGAAGTTCAATTGATTCATATCCAATACATCAAACCCAAGGAAACATTCATCTGCAATGCCTGACAAGGACGCCGGAACCCCCGTGTCTTCATCTACCGACACGGTACGTACAAGGCCTAGGATAGTATCAAGTCCGGCCACATTCTAACGGCAACCCCAGGACAAACCCTCTGGTCCCAGAGCGGCCAGTACACCGGTAAAACCGAATTGGACCTCACAGAAAATGGCCAGAACCAGGTCCGCGCCTCCGGCAAGATCATTGTCGGAGCCGGCAAGCTGATTGACCCTGCACACCTGGCCCATGTGTACATTAGTCCGCGCAAGCGCGCGATGCAGACTTTCCAGATTGCCTTCTCCGAGGCGGATCAGCAGACACTGAAGGATGCGGGGAAGATTAGTGAGACGGAGAGGCTGGCTGAGTGGGATTATGGTCAGTATGAGGGTTTGTTGACGAAGGAGATTCGGGCTTTGCGGAAGGAGCATGGTTTGGATACTGAGCAGCCGTGGGATATTTGGCGTGATGGATGTGAGGGTGGAGAGTGAGTGGCATTTCCTTCCTTCTTTGGCCATATCTAAAATATCGGATTGTGGTCATGTATTTGCAAATGTTCGAGGGAAGCATGGCTAATTCGTCTCTTGCAGATCTGCCCAAGAGGTCACCGACCGCATTGATAATCTCATTGCAGAGATCCGTGACATTCACCGTGGTAACATGCACGGCGAGAAGCATTGTGATGTTGTACTCGTTGCTCATGGCCATCTCCTTCGTGCTTTCACCAAGCGCTGGCTTGGATATCCCATGGAGTTCCCTCTTTCCTTGATGCTTGACCCCGGTGCGGTTGGTGTTCTGAGGTATTATCTTTCCATTGATCCCTAGAGATTATTTGACCAAGATGGCATTTTTCTGACTTTCGTATAGCTACCAACATCACAACATTGATGAGCCTGCTATGTTGGTTGGATATGGTTTCCCATTGGAGGAGTGAGTGCACAAATCTAGATTGGAGGTTGCAACATAGAAAATGCTGGATGGTAGAAATAGGCTTAGATAAAGTTGAGGTTACTCGCACGCCAACTTGCGCTTTCGCACCACAGACTATTCTATTTTCGGATATGGTAGAGGACAGGTACGTCGAGTACCAAGATATCCTTGTAGTAGCTACTAAGCCTTCTAGCTATTAAAAAGACGGTTCGAAAGACAATTAGAAAGATCTTTCACGAATGGTAAATTGAAAGCATATCCATATATTTACATTGTAAAACCGGTTCTTCAGTCAAGATATCAAGGATTGAGTGTACCTATTCTCCGCTATCTGAAAATGGAATATTCTGTGGTGCGAAAGCACAAGTTGGCGTGCGAGTAGCCTCAGCCAGAATACAAGGCTTTAGATAAAATCAATGTGCAGTTACTTTTGCATGCTTCCGAGTCTCAAGAACTAGTCGACATTGATTATTGATAGGAAATCTATTTAGATCCCCGATAGAGCTCGTCGTCATTCTACAAGTCCCAACCACTGGTGAGATCTTGCGCGACCCGCTAGCTGCAGCACGCCATGTCGTACTCCAACATCGGGGATTATAAATGGGATTATAAATCCAATAATCGTGAAGCTACAAACAGCGGGGTATAAAACCGTAATCTGCATTAACAATTTCAGATCTATTCTTGAAACTATCTAGAAAATAGAACTAGAACACAACGTCTACACTACTTCATCAAACTGACCTCAAGTCAACCAACATCATCAACCATGGCAGTCTCCCAACCCAACCGCCAACTACACCTAACAGCATTCATGAGACCAGTCTCTCTACACACCGGAGCCTGGCGATACCCCGGCTCCTACCCAGACGCCAATTTCAATTTCAAGCACATCGTCCAATTCGCCCAAAAGCTCGAAGCCGCCAAATTCGACGCCTTCTTCATGGCCGACCACCTCGCTGTGCTAAATATGCCCGTCGAAGCCCTAAAGCGCAGCCACACAGTAACATCCTTCGAGCCCTTCACTCTCCTCTCCGCACTCTCGGCGGTGACGGAGAAAATCGGGCTCGCAGCAACGGCCAGCACGACGTACGATGCGCCGTACCACGTTGCACGGCGATTCGCGAGTCTAGATCACCTTAGCGGTGGACGAGCTGCGTGGAATATTGTTACTACGAGTAATCCGGAGTCGAGTCATAATTTCGGCTTCGATGAGCATATGGCGCATGGCGATCGGTATAAGCGGGCGCGAGAGTTCTACGATATTGTCACTGGGCTGTGGGATAGTTTTGCGGATGATGCGTTTACGCGGGATGTTGAGAGTGGGCAGTATTTAGATCCGGAGAAGATGCATGTGTTGAATCATGAGGGGGATGAGTTGAAGGTGCGCGGTCCGTTGAATATTGCCAGACCGCCGCAGGGATGGCCGGTTATTGTGCAGGCTGGACAGAGTGAGCCTGGAAGACAGTTGGCTGCTGAGACGGCTGAGGTCGTGTTTTGCAGTCCGAAGGATATTGAGGGTGCGAAGGCGTTGTATGCGGATATTAAGGGCCGGGTGGAGAAGGCTGGAAGGAAGAGGGAGCAGTTGAAGATTTTGCCCGCGGCATTGATTATTGTTGCGGATAGCAAGCAGGAGGCGCAGGAGAAGAGACTGAAGTTGGATAGTCTGGTGCATTATGATAGCGCCATTGCGTCCTTGTCGATTGTTCTGGGCGTGGATGCGAGTCAGTTTGATCCGGACGGACCCTTGCCGACAGATTTGCCAGAGACAAATGCGAGCAAGACGAGTCGGGAGGGTGCTGAGAAGCTGGCCAAGCAGGAGAACTTGACGGTTCGACAATTGGCTCAGCGGTATGGTGGTTTCTCTGGACTTGCCTTCCTGGGCTCGCCTAGTGATATTGCCGAGGAAATGGAGACGTGGTTGAAGGAAGAGGCATCTGATGGTTTCACTTGCACATTTCCTTTCCTGCCCCAGGGTCTGGAAGAGGTCACAGACAGACTGATTCCGGAGCTTCAGCGCAGAGGTTTGTTCCGCAAGGATTATACGGGTTCGACACTGCGGGAGCATTTCGGCCTAGAGAGACCGGCGAATCGATTCTTCAGCGAAGCGTCGTAGTTGGACAGTTCAGAGGGACCCATTCGAGGTCTGCAGAAAGGGAATTTCATAGCAAATATCGCTCTAGCTGCTGTATTCTCTATCAATGGGTATCATAATCAAATATTTCACAAACCATACTCCTTCCATAGCTGTGTTTATGTTTCGTAACTTCCTCATGCATCCTCCCCGAGGTACTTCAACACCTCATCACTCTGAAAAAACATACGTCTAAGCTTCTCCCCCCTCTTCCTAGCCTCGAATGCCCCCTTCCGCGCCTGTTTCGCATTCAACTTTTCAACTTTCTTCTTCGGCGGGGGAGGCGCCACTCGTAACCGATCTCCATCTGCATCCAGACCCGTGCCCAACCCCGCAGTGTCACGCTTGATCCGCCCTTTCAAAGGTTCTCGGATACCTTCGCGCCCTGTGGCACCAAGGCCGAGGCGACTGTCGGGGTCCCATCCGTAGTTGGAGAGGTAGCGTAGGCCGGCACGAGTCCGGTCGAGATGTGAGGGTGGATGCGAGTGTTGGAGGCAGACTTGGTGGGCGAGGGAGGCCTCGTGGGGTCGGGAGGTGGATGTATCTGTGTTGGTATCTGATCCAGGCTCTGAGGATATTGGGAGGTTGCATATTTCACAGTGATCGGGGGTTTGAGACTTGGATGTGGGAGCAGGTGGCGGTGGGGAGATGGCTTCTGATGTAGGCGGCGCGGAATTTGTGGTGCGCACTGGAGTTAATACCTCTCGACCTGTAGGTGTGCTCGGTGATGTACTGTTGTTCTGTTTTTTAAGCACAATCGAGAGGTATGTATCCGCAATACTCGGCCCCGGGGCCGGAGGTATAGACGATGGGCGTTCTGGGTTTATTGTGCTGAGTTCATGCTCGGATGATCGCACGAAGGGTACACGTTTCCGCCGTATACCAGCGCCAAAGACACGCTGGTCTTGCAATGGGAGATAGTAGTCCTCGCCATCTTCCTCTTGGGAGTTGGACATTGTAGGCGCATTGCAGTGGCAGAGAGAAGGAAAGTAGAAAGCCCTCGTCGCGAGCCAAGAGAAGACCGCAACGATCAGTGGCGATAAGATCGATAAGAAATCGATAAGTGGCCGATAAGCCACGTACACTCCAGAGTCCGAACAGCTCCACGTTCTTTTTCTCCTTGTCTCGTTATTTTTAGCCCAATTCACGCTTGCCATCATGCCCATTCCCCTTATTGCTCAGGGACTTCAAGATGGCATTGGCTCAATTCCATATGCCTGGACTGTGATCAAGACAGCGCCATGGCTTCTCCTGATTGCCGCGCTGAAGTATTACTTTGGTGGAGCACGCAACACGTCCGAGCGGTTGATGCACTCTAAGGTGGTGATGGTGACAGTACGAACCCTCAAATGAGCCCTATCTAGGGGACAATGCTAACAGCTATACTTCTAGGGCGGCACATCTGGCATTGGAGCTTCCGTCGTCCAAGAACTAGCTAAACGCGGTGCCCAAGTCATCCTCCTAACCAAGCAACCCCCCTCCGACCTCTTCCTCGTCGAATACATTGAAGACCTGCGCCGCACCACAGGGAGTCAACTCATCTACGCTGAACAAGTGGACCTCTCCTCTCTACACTCCATCCGTACCTTCGCCACGAAATGGATCGACAATAACCCTCCCCGACGTCTCGACGCAGTCGTGCTCTGCGGTGGCGTCGCCGTTCCATCCAGCGCACGCAAGAACACCATCGACGGCATCGACGAGGAATGGCAGGTCAACTACCTTGCCAACTTCCACCTCCTCAGCATCCTCAGCCCCGCACTGCGTGTACAACCCGCCCACCGAGACGTCCGAGTCGTCTTCGCAACCTGCTCCAGCTACATCGGAGCTAAATTCGATCTGGACATCGTCAAGCGTGGAAACGAATCTATTAATAAATCCACGACCAAATCTTCCACTCCTCCCCCTCGAAAAAGGGCATCTACGCCCTCAGCAAACTCTCCCTCATGACCTTCGCCCACTCCTTCCAACGCCACCTAAACGCCTACGCCCGTCCAGACGGCCTCCCACCCTGCACACGAGTCCTAGTCGTCGACCCAGGTCTCTCCCGCACTCCGGGTACTCGACGCTGGCTCACATGCGGGTCCCTCTTGGGTCTCCTGGTGTACCTCCTCACCTGGCCGCTATGGTGTCTAATCCTGAAGTCACCGCAGCAAGGCGCACAAAGTATCCTCTACGCGCTGATGGAGGAGAATTACTCGCGCGGCGAGGGCGGGTGGATGATCAAGGAGTGTCGGGAGGTAGACTGTGCGCGCCGGGATGTGCGGGATGAGGATCTTGGGAAGCGGTTGTGGGAGTTTAGTGAGAAGCAGATTGAGGAGGCGGAGAAGGAGAGTGCTGTGAGGAGGGCGGTGGAGAAGAAGGAGAAGGAAGTGCAGGAGGAGAAGAAGGGTAGGACGGAGACGGCTTCGGGGAAGGAGAAGAGTGCTGGGTCGAGGAGGAGTCGGAAGGGGAATAAGAGTTAGATGGGATGAGTTGGGATGATGATGGATGTGCCCCGTTTGAGGGTTGTGTTTATAGTTATAGATTGGTGTGGGATGGATATCATGTATCATGGGAGGCGTTTTGATTCAAGTTATACCTACACAGGTATCATTTATAGACATTCTTTTGTGCATACCATACCCTTGTATCTTACCTTGGAAAGTATTATACTAAGAAGAGGCATATATCGAGTAGCTCAGTCAAGTCTCCAGGTATACACAACCCTTCAATTGGTATTCGGCGTCACGATTCATCTCATCTCCTTCCCAACTCCTCAGTCAAGGTACACTTACTTTTCATCAAAACCTGGATCTCTCTACCTTGTCATTCCTCGTTGCATTTGCAATATTTAGAAAAAGGAAATTCGTTTCATGTATTCTACCCAAAATACTATCTATGTCCACGCACAAATATCTCATCAAGATACTTTTAAAAGAAAATTAATCCCATCATCAGCAAAACAGAGCAAACTTCACTGCCATCCAACAACCCTTTACTTCTTCAGGGCAGCAAGCAGCTCCGCAGGAGGCTGCTGGCGGTAACCCTGAGGGTTGTTCTTAGTCCAGCGCCAGAGATCCTCGCAAGCATTCTCCAGAGTGTACTTGGGGGTCCAGCCGAGCTCGTTGGTAGCACGGGTAGCGTTGGCAGTAAGGTTGAGGACGTCACCGGCACGGCGAGGGGCAACCTCGTAGGGGAGGTCACGGCCGACAGCAGCAGAGAAGGCCTTGATCATCTCGTAGACGGTGGAGCCCTTACCGGTACCCAAGTTCCAGGCGCGGACACCAGGGTTGTGCTCGCGCAGGTAGTTGAGAGCCTTGAGGTGGCCGTCAGCCAAGTCAAGGATGTGAATGTAGTCGCGAATGGCGGTGCCGTCGTGGGAGGCGTAGTCGTCGCCGAAGACGAGGAGCTTCTCGCGCTTGCCGGTGGCAACCTGGGCGAGCAGGGGGAGCAGGTTGTAGGGGACGCCCTGGGGGTCCTCACCCATGATACCGGAGGGGTGGGCACCGGCGGGGTTGAAGTAGCGCAGGAGAGCGCCGTTCCACTTCTTGGCCTCGGCCTCGTTGCCGGCCTTGATGGCGTTGTTGCGCTGGGCGTTGATCACGTCGGTGATTGCGGTCTCGACGGCGAACTTGGTGTTACCGTAAGGGTTGGTGGGGCCCAGGGGGCATTCCTCGGGGATGGGGATCATGTTGGGGAAGCGAGTGGCATCTCCGTAGACGGTGGCGGAGCTGGAGAAGACAATGTTGGAGACGTTGTACTTGACCATCGAGCGGAGGAGGTTGATGGTGCCGTAGACGTTGACCATGTAGTAGTCGAGAGGCTTTTCGCCGGACTCGCCAACGGCCTGTAGAAAGAGTGAATGTTAGTTTTGAGTTGATTCTTGCCAATGGCAGTGCTGAATTGGGTAAACGCACCTTCAGGGCAGCAAAGTGAATAACGCTGTCAATGTCGGGGTGAGCCTCGAAGACCTTGTCGAAGCCATTCTCATCGGTGACATCGACCTGGACGAACTCGGCCTTCTTGCCGCAGATAGCCTCAACACGGTTGAGGGCCTCGGCGGAGGAGTTGTACAGGTTATCAGCGACAACGACCTTGTAGCCAGCCTCGAGGAGGGCCAGGGTGGTGAAGGAGCCAATGTAACCGGTACCACTATGGGATTGAATTAGCTAGCAATTCGCCATGGGGCCAGAATGGCGGGGGTGGGGATTGGGGATGACAATAGCAATAAGCAATTCAGGAACACAGGAAACTCACCCGGTGACGAGGACTGAACCAGCAGGCATGATGAAGAGAAGTGTGGAGGGAAGATTAGAAGGGGAATTGAGGGTTATTGGAGAAGTGAGGGCGAGGGAGGAGGAGGATAAGGAGGAGGAGGAGGGGCAGCTTTTTAAGGGGAAACACTACGGAGAAGCCAAACAGGAGAGAGTCTCAGAGTGGGTCGAGTAACAATTAGTAGTGGGGGTGCCACAGTCAAAAGAGATTCCGTCATATTTCATCTCCCCCGAGATCTGCCCATCTTACGCGGCCAGACCAGCCATTGGTACTATTCGAGTGAATCTACATCAATCCTTTGACGCCTAAATTGTAAGCGATATCATAATCAAATCATACACTTCACACTCCGAACAATCATTCAAAATGGCCACACAATCCAAAATGGAACCACTCCAAGCCGAAGTCGACGAATCCGACCAAAGCTTCTTCCGTCTTCTAGTCAATGGCCCGTGAATTAAATACATCACCATAAACCCTGGCATTTACAGTTCCGAAGATATGTGTTGTCGTCCTTCCCTAATCTCCCTCTTACCCAAATTATTCCTACCAGGAGATTGGAACGATGGACTCGTCGCTCTAGATGCAAAAGGCCGGCCACATTTTATAAGCTTAAACCAGACCCAATTCCCCAGCGTGAAGAATACCTGGCATGAAACATTTGTCGATTACGTGGATCTGTCAATCGGACGAAGATTACGAACGGGCATTTATGAAGCTAAATGTCCATTATTCGAGGACGATGTTGTCGTCAAATTTGCTCGTTTTCATTGGGAGATTCAATATATAGAGAATGAAACTACGGCATATCAATGGATATCTGGCCATACAACAACTACAGCTACGACTACTCCTATCGCTCCCCGATTCCTGGGCCATTTGACGGAAATTGGTCGAGTAATATGGCTTCTTAATGGAACACACCAATGCACGACATGCTGAGACCCAGGACCTTCAGGCTTGCAGAGGTCTCTTGTCTCGACTACATGATTTAGGAGTTCGACATGGGGATACAAATCGATTTAATTTCCTGATTCGTGATTCCAAAGCTATTTTGATTGATTTTGATACGGCAAAGAAATGTGATGATCGAGACTTGCTTCTGCCAGAGTTGGATAGTTTAACGGCCTGTTTCGAAGATTCGTCGGGCAGAGGAGGCGAAGGTCCTCTCTAAAAAAAGAATTTTCTTTTTCTTTCATTGTTACTCGGATCAGAACTCAATTCAGCGCGAACCCTGGGAAATGATGGACCGTTCAAATGTGCAGATCGCTGATCGTCCTGAGCGGTGTAGTAGACCGACTCTCAGAGAAATGTTGGTATCATCAGACCTCAATAAGAACTCAATTGATCGGGGTAGATCGGGGGATTGACCGAGAAGCCTATACAAATAGTGTTGCTAACCGTCTATTCTTTACCACTTAGCTATACCTCTCTCCATCCTCAAGCCAACAGCGACAAAAACATAAATTCTCCGGTTGATAGAAAAGCCAACTGACAATTTCACATTTTCTCACAGCCCCGTTTCACCTCAGGGCCGTGCGGGTCAGTGTCCCACCGGGCGTATGGCACTGCCGAATAAGAAGCCCGGCTGGGTCCATCCCCCCCGGGAAGCCCAGGGTCCAGTTAAAAGTGTTGGACTCGGAAAGGTTCATTCAGGTCCAATGAACTTGAGTGAAGCCAGCCCATATTCCGTTGGGGCCAGTACGTGGCCCGAGTGGTTTGTCCCTGTTGCCAACTTGCTGTTGTGGATGACATCCCGTTTTTGGCCGGTGGGACGATCTCATACCTTCTTCGCAGAGTACATATGTACTCAATTGGAATCAAAAGATAGTGAATAAGAATGTACAGTCAAGCATGTCCGATGAGGGAGATCATGGGTGATCAATCATATCCACGATGTCGGAAACTAGTTAAATACACAAGGGACATCTAAAGACCCTACTCCAGGTGAAGAACAGCTCTAGGCACCGTACCATTGCGAATATGCCCATAGATCGGGCTTCTCCCTCCACAAGGCCATGCAAAAAGATAGATAGACTCAAAAAAAAAAGATGGAATTGGTATGAGAAGAAAATATAGATCACATAGATGCTCGAGGTTCGGGGCATGGGAAAAATAAGCTGCCCGTTCAATGTGTTTTTGGTTGGCACCAGCCAAGGGATGTCAAGACGCCCCAGATTATATGGTTGGGACATCCGACTCAAGAACTCTCGAGTGTAATTGGCGCCAGTGTGCATTTCAGCAACGGGGCGCGGTGGAGGAACGGGTGTTACTACACCCAAATGAGACATATCTGCAAAGCCCATCGAGAGGATAGAGGTGAAAGATTCAATCCGATCAGAGGAAAGTGACCCTACGGGTGACCCCCAAGAAATACATGAGCCCACGGCCATGGACTGCAATATTTGCAACTCGAGAAGGGGAAACTCCGTACAAAAAGCCTCCTGGTGATATTACAGTTCTGGTTTAACCCAGGAGTTCCACGTCCAGACCAATGGCCCGCATGAACAGGTTGACATTGCCCAACCGCAGGCTGGCCATATCGGCAGGCAGAGTCTTGCTGTAGCCCACAGTCTCCATCACACGATCCCTACAAGTCATCTGGTTAGTAATTTAACATTGCACTTTGAGATGGAAATACTCACTTAACAGCAATCACAAGGCGCTGCTGCTGCTCGGGGCTAGCACCAATACCCACAGCGGCCAGGAACTGCCACACATACATGTCATCACCCGTGTTGATTGCACCAGGGAAGATATCGGCAAGCGAGGGCTCCAGGGTGTCAAAGAGAACGTTGAACTTCTCCACCCACTGCTGCCAGTCTCGCTCGGCAGCCTGACCAGCCTCCTTGACAATCTCGGCACGGCTGAGCAGCATCGTCAGAATGCCCAGGCCGACCTTTGTACGAGCCACGGATTGCACGTGCGTCTGGGCAATGACCAGACCCAGCAGGCCGATGATGATGTTGAAGGGCGCCTCGTTCACGTAGCCAAGCAAGCTGGGCATCACAGCCAGCGAGAAGAGGTCAATAGACTCTCGCACCGCGAGGGAAGGCTGAGCCTCACCCGGTCCGGGTTGTGCGAGGCGGACCACGTCCAGGCTATCCAGGTGGACCACAATCATGGTCAAAATAGTAACGCGTTGCTCTTGGTCAATGTGACGGAAGATACGGGGAATGGCCTTCTTGCCCTTGGGGTACGACAAGAATGCGATGAAGGGGTGTGGGGTGGTGGAGTTGGGGACAATAGGCTCCATGACCTTGAGGGCTCGCCACAACTTCTGGTTCAGCGAGTGGACCTTCTGCCGCCATTCCATATGCTCCTGAATGGCCTCAGAATCACCCTCCTCGGGGGGAGGTGGCATGGTGCGCTCCATATCCTCCATGGCCATCAGAGCACTGTACACGCTTTCGATGTTGGTGAGAATGGATTTCCGGTCGCTCAGGCTGAGGTCCGATTGCACCTTCTTTGGCCGAGGGCCCTCCGAGCTATCAGGCCGCTTAATGTTAAGCATGTGCTTCGGTGCCTTGGCATTGCTGAAAGAGATCTTGCCCAAGCTGCCCTCAATGATAAGCTGCTTGTTCTTCGGCTTGGCCTTGGCCGCCTCAACGGCACGCTGAACCTGCTGCTGCATGCGTTGCATGTGGTTATCGGCACTTTGAAATGCCCTCCTGTTTCCATGGCCGCCGAGACGGTTTCCGGTTTGAAGGAGATAGGTCTGAGCGAAGTGACCCAGAGGCTGATGAGGGTGCTGGCGTGGTGCGCCACGGATCTGGCTATAGACTTGGTAATAAAAGTCTTCGGACAGAACGGCTTCCGGGTCCGCATCGGCCACATTTCCAGCGGCAGCAACCAATTGTTGCAGCTGAATGCGAGTGATGAAGTTCTTGTCCTGAGGTGTCATCAGGCCATTGCCGCGAGACAGGAGGAAGATCTTGTGGTTGCGCTTCGCCCGCTTGGCATCCTCCACCAGATAAGCATTGCGCTGCTCCTCCGTGAGATGCATGAGCTGCTGCGGGTTGGTGATGACTGGCAGGCCACCATTGGGTCCTCGGGTTGACGGCGGGGGCGGCATCTGCTGCTGCTGACGCTGACCGGGGGGTGGGCCGGCATGGCGGGGACCCTGAGGGCGCAGGTTCTGAGGAGGAAGTTGGTTTTGCTGGATATGCATTGGGGGAGGTCCCGACATGACAGGGCCGCCGTGCAGCTCCGGGATACCGGGAGGAAGACCAGGCATGCCCGGGGGGAGCACACCCTTCTCGAGGGCAGCTCGCAAGTACTCGGGAGGAATTGCGGGGAAGCCCTCGGGAACGCCTTGTGGGTATTGCGGGTGAGGCAGGTATGCCTGTTCAGCCATGTGCTGGGGAATTGACTGGGGCGGCATCGTCGGAGCAGGCTGGGACCGATGGCGCAATTGTGCCTCGACCTCCTCGAGGCTCATCATCGGCCTTCGGCTGGCAGCTGGGATCGGCTCCTGCTTCTTCTGCGAGATACCCCAAACGCTGGACTTGGCCTGCAGGTCGGGGATGTATCCCGGGTCCGAATACTTCTCATATCCAGTACGCTTGGCGGTGGTCGTGGCAGTGGTAGCTGTCGTCGTGGGAGCTGGGGCAGCGGCATGCTGCTGGGCAGCCAAGGGAGCCGCCGAGGGATTCTGCAGAGCATAACGAACTTGCTCCTCGCCAATGACATCGGCGACCTTGGCGGTGGTGCCGAAAAAGTCAAAGTCTCTCCCAACTGCTCCAGTCGCGGCAGCTCCAGTATCCCCACCGCCGAAGGTGTCGTCGTTGAAGGCATCCTGATCATCGTCGAGCTGGTCACCGAGACCATCGTAGGTATCCTCAAAGTCAATTCTAGTCGTGGGAGTTAGTCTTTGCAATCTCAGGTCAAGATTGACTATTGCGATAGCTCACCCGTCGTCATCCTCCACTGCTTGCGCACGAGCAACCTCCGCGAAGGGATCCGGGTTCTCGAAGAAACCCCTGGCCGGGCCACCTTGTTGGCGGTCCCGGGGGAGGGTGGTATCAAAACCAAAGAAAGACATGTTTCTTTGGTCAGATGCCAGATGGGATCGGAGATGGGGGGGGGGGAGGGGTGAGGTGGAAAGGCGAGATCGGCTGGTAGTGGGGGGAAGAAGGTGAGGTGCGAAGTTCTGGAGGTATCGGAGCCTCAGGCAGCAATTCGATCTGCCAAGGCGGAGGGAGACCAACCGGCCAGTTTGTCAACGTTCATGAAACCAACTGGCGAGTCTTCATGACTGCGGGGATCACGGCGCAAGGAGAACTGTCAAGATCGTGTCCGACTTATTCTTAGTGACAGTTTGATTGTTTCACATCTCGTACAAATTGAATTCAAAACCCCCGCACTATCATCTCCGTATTATTTCTGGACTTTCCAAGAAGTTCGTGATTGTGTTGTTTTTCAATTGGACTAAGCAAAAGAATGCGCGGCAGCTTTATGATTGGCCAGGCCACACTCTCCATTCCCCCATGATGCCAGTTGGTGACTACTGTAACCAACAGTACCAAGCTCCAGCCCGGAAGGCTGAAAGGCTGAAGGATGTTCCACCCTGTCGATTATTGTTCGTTTTTATGTAGATCGCCACGGGCCAGATGAGGGGGCCATTTACATCATCAAAGTCTCCGGTCTTTAAATCATTGGTTTTGAATAATTCTCAACCAGTGAACAGCCAAGCAATTCTCAGGATCTGGGTCTTCCCCCCTAAACGGTGCGGATGTCTCGCATTCGGTGAAACCACGCGGCTGAATGCGGTTGTCGCCATTGTCTTGCGCGGCCCTCGTTAGTCGCCTATCTAATTTCCCCCATCGTCCTCCTCCACTTTGATTACTCCCCTAAACACCCATTTCTCCCGTGTTTTTGATCTTCCTTTTCCATCTACATCTGCTCCTCCTAATCGGCGCATGTTGATCACTCTTCAGTGAGGACCAAAACAAGGATAGGCCGCAGTTCCGCCGGCCTGGTCGTATCCATCCACTCGTTACTTTTGCCTGCTCCTCCAGGCCTTTTCCTTCCCCACTCGCCACAATGTCTTTCTCCGCGAGATACACCCGATACCTGGTGTTCGCCGTCGTGGTAAGTGGTCCCTCTGTCGCTGATCAGCGCTGCTTCCTCTAGCACCTGTTGCAGTCGCATGAGAATCGCAGTGGCGCTAACTATCGTCTTCACAGGGATTGGCCTTCTTCTACATCGTCACCCGATCGTCCTTCCATCTGCCTAGCGCCGCCTCATTCCCTCGTCCACAACCTTCCTACGATGATTTCAAGTCACAAAAAACACAATATGTCGGAACCAACAGCAGCGAGCGAGTCAATGCGACCTTTGTCACCCTCGCCCGCAACTCCGACCTCTGGGAGATCGCCAAGTCTATCCGGACCGTCGAGGACCGCTTCAATCGCAACTACAACTACGATTGGGTCTTCCTGAACGATAAGGAGTTCGACGAGGACTTCAAGAAGCTTACCACGTCGTTGGCTTCCGGCAACACCCACTATGGCAAGATACCCAAAGAGCATTGGTCGTATCCGGACTGGATTGATCAGGATAAGGCCAGAGAGGCGCGAGAGGAGATGGGTCGCAAGAAGATCATCTACGGTGACTCAGAGAGCTATCGCCATATGTGCCGCTATGAGTCGGGCTTCTTCTTCCGCCACCCGCTGATGATGAACTACGAATACTACTGGCGCGTGGAGCCCAGCATTGAGCTCTACTGTGATATTGGCCACGACCCGTTCCGCTTCATGAAGGAGAACGACAAGAAGTACAGCTTTGTTATCAGTTTGTACGAATACATCGATACCATACCCACGCTCTGGGATAGCGTGAAGAAGTTCTTGAAGGCCCACCCCGAGCACGTCCCCAGTGGCAATGCCATGGAGTTTATTAGTGAGGATGGCGGCGAGACCTACAACAAGTGCCACTTCGTATGTCACCCTGAATGCATCAATGTCTGAAGGTATCCAAGACGGCTAACATCCAATTTGCAGTGGTCCAACTTTGAAATCGGCAGCCTGGAGTGGCTGCGGTCCAAGGCGTATATCGACTACTTCTCCTCCCTGGACCAGGATGGTGGCTTCTTCTATGAGCGATGGGGCGATGCGCCCGTCCACTCCATTGCTGCGGCCGCCATGCTCAAGAAGGAGCAAATCCACTTCTTCAACGAGATCGCCTACTACCACGTACCTTTCACCCATTGCCCGAGCGATGAGCAGACGAGGCTGGACCTGCGCTGCCATTGCAAACCCGAAGAGAACTTTGACTGGAAGGGCTATTCTTGTAAGCATCGACCGCGTCACATCCCCGTAAAAGAAGATCAGCTTTGCTAATAAACTATTACAGGTACCAACCGGTGGTTCCAGGTCAACGACCTCCAAAAACCCGATGGCTGGGACAAGTCAGATTGACTCCGTGCACTCGGTCGTTATGTCGTTGTCCTGTGTATGATCGTCGCAATGATTCTGCTAGCCAGTCAACGTGCGCGAATGAGGGTCATGCAGGGGCTACGTATGACGATCGAGTCCCTGGTTGACTTTGTCAGAGTGTGCCGCGGCACCTACAAGTACCGCTCAGTGAGCGAAAAGTAAAGACGAAGATGAGAAAAGCAGGCAAATTTGTAATGCCATTCCGCAACGATTGCCATGTTTGATGTTCTTCCTTCGAAACAAACAGAGTTTCCCATCCTACTATCTCTCCGGGGATTCCTTGCCTCGAGCGTGGGCAAGATGCAGGATTCTTGTTTGGCCTGCTCTTTCTCCTTAATCTTATTTCCTTGATCGGGATGGCTTCCTTGTTTTATTATCTTGATTGTCAGCAGCGTATTTCCCCCCCCTTTCTTTGCTTGCTCCATTTTGATCCTCTTTTTTTCTTGAAGTTGGTTGCATCGGTCACCGGAGTACAAGAGGATTCTCACAGGATGAGCAACGGATTTTCTATATTTTCTTCTCTACATTTACCATATCCCAGTTCGAAGACTATGAACACTGGCTTTTCTTCCTAGTAATTCTCTCTTTTGGACACCAAGGGTACCAGTTGTACTGTGTAAGGGCTGTGGCATGCTTAAAAGCATATGCAAGAATGGACAAAGTAGAGATAACCAAATCACTTCATAATAGTACATGCAATACAATAGATAACAACAAGGGCTCTTGCATAAATACAGTGGTGTAAAAAGGGAAATAAAAGTATGATGCCGCTCCTCTCAAGAAACATGCCCATACCAAACAATCGATTTGAGCTGAACTCGAGACTAGAAACTCCGAATACCAATCTGCATCGTTCCTCTGACACAGATCCCTTATCCTACACAATCCATCCCAACCTTCTAGTTGCTCTTAGGCTTCTTGGTACCATACTTAGAGCGACTAGTCACACGACTTCCAACACCACCCTATAACAACTCGTCAGCCCTCGACTCCACACAATTCCCTTCAATTCCCCCGGGCAGAAAAAGAAATAACTTACCAAATCCATAGCACCTCTAACAAGATGATACTTCACACCAGGACAATCCTGCGCCCTACCACCCCTAACCTGCACAACACTGTGCTGCTGAATATTATGACCCTCACCAGGAATAATAGCACTAACAACCTTGCCCGAACTCAAGCGAACACGAGCCACCTTGCGCTCGCCCGAATTAGGCTTCTTGGGCTTGGTGATACCCGTCTTGACGCAGACGCCCTTCAGCGAAGGGTGGTCCTTCAATGCTGGGGAGCGACCACGGCGCGCGCGTTGGCCGCTGCGGCACCCGCGGCGAACTTGGTTGTAGGTTGCCCGGATGATGGGGGAGCTGGAGAATTTGCGGAGGAAGGCGGTTTGGGTGCGGAAGATGGGCGTGAAGGTGAAGTTGGTGGTGAGTAGGTTTGTGGTTGTGGTGGTGGTTGCGCGGCGGAAGGCGCTGGTTGTGAGGGTGCGGAGGGGGGTTTGTGTTATTGCTGGACGGGTGATAAGTGTCCGTAGAGCCCGGAGGGCTAGGGGGGAGATTAATTGAGGCATTGGTGTGGTTGGAGTGGAGGTGGAATGAGTTCCTCTGTAAGGTCCGAGTATCGACTCCGATAATTTGAGATTGGGATGGCACGTGACACGAAGTGATAGAATTGCGCTGGTGGATTTTGTGGGTGGCCGGAGGAGCTGGACGCGCTGCTGCTCTCTGCCTGACGCCGTCGTCCTCCGCATTTCAGTCATCATCTTCCATACCTTCTTGCATCCTCTTCTTCTTCCTCTACAGCTTTGTCAATCTTGAGGTTTCTCATTTCCATTTGCCAATCCAGCTGAAGGAACCCCCTGAATCCACCTCATACCCGTCATAATGGTACGTTATCAAGCTACGGACCTGGTCCTTACTATCCGGACAAGCAATCCCATTGCCTTCGAGAGAGCCTATCCCGATTCCACGATCCCTCTCCCATCATCAAAGCTCGACCCTCTCAATCAATGCCCAATCACCATTCCCCCTAATCAACCAAACACCTTGATTGCCCACAACTAACTAACCACTCCATCCAGTCCCTCCGCATCGCACCCCCCAGCGGCAACCGCACCTCAACCACCAACACCTCCGCCCGCCTCCAAACCACACACTCCGCCAACCTCTCCAAGGGCGCCCCCTCAGCCCCCGGTCTCCCCGACACCCTCCGCAACAAGCTCACCCTCCCCGCCACTGCAACCGCCTCCTCAACCAACAACCCGTCCGCAGCAGACATCCCCTCCTCGACACACCCGCTCGAAGCCCGCCTGCTGGCCTGGCGCGCCACCCAAGACTCCATGAAGATGGAGTCTCTGCGTCGGGCGTACGGTATTGCGGAGCCCGTGCGTCGGGGCATGGAGCTTAAGATTGTTCGGGATGGTACGTTCCGGCCTGCGGTTTTGGGGGGGGTTGAAGGGTGGGAATGTGCATGAGGATATTCTTGTGCTTGGTGGAAGGGATATGGAGATTGGCTGGGAGGATGTTTTCCAGGGTAAGTTTGTTATCTGTTCGCTATGGGGGTGGATATTGGGTTTGGGACTTGATCTCTCGTTTCTTCATAACCCCTACTATTGAGTGATATACGGACTGACTCGTATGTGTACAGGCGACGATCTTCGGGAACCACCCTCGTTCCATGATGAGATGGAGAAGAGGCTGAAGATGGACTTCTAAGAGACTCAGACTTGGATGAATTAATTTTAACGTTTCGTTTTTGTTTCTCCGCTGGATATGTTTCATTATGCCAGTTCATTTTCTGATTTGCCTGCGTCGCCCTTTCATCCGATGTCAATGATAGAGCTATAGATTGCTGGGAGAGGATTACCGTGTATATCCTCGCTGCTCTCTGACGAGCATGCTGATGACACGATGTGGCTATCCCTTCTTCCAGTTTAATCTACACCTTTAGATTCACCTTTTATACGCATCTCCACATCTAGAAAAGCAATGCCTCGACATTCTACAAGCCTAGTCGATACGTATCGGAGAACCAATCAAAAGCAAGATCTCGTGAGGATTTAATTATGTACCAGTGCAAGAAAAAAAAGCATATACACTACGAGCAAGGAATGAAGAAACCCAGCCAAACCAACAAATAGAGAACAGGCACATTCGTAGATACACAAAACCCCAAGAGAAGCCAAGCCATTCAGAAAATAGACACGGGAGAGAAAGGGAAAGGAGAACGGGGAAAAGAAAATGCCTAGTAAGCCGAGTAGATAGAAAAGGGATCGGATGGTGGGTATATAGATAGATAGATAGGAAGGAAGGAACAGGGCTAGTCGAAGGAGAGGGAGAGTGAGACAGAAGTGAAGTAAAGGTCAGGGTAGCAATTCGTGGAGAATCAGAGAAGACTGAACCGGGGTGTGTTGTTGGGGGGGGGGGGGGGATGCAGCGAGTCGCAGGAACAATTAGACAGGCTATAATCGAATAAGCAGTGGAATAAGCAGTCAAATAAGCCGCCGGGTGCAATAAGGGTGGTCAGGCCCCAGCGCATATTTATCCTGCGTCCAGGCAGGGTGTGTCGAGATGCCACTAAGCCAGACAGTGGCTAGTGTGGGAGCGGTTCCGGAAAGATCGATGGTGTGTCGTGCAGTAAAGGATTGAGTGTGTTATCAGAAGGTCAAGATCCAATCGGTATATAAAGAATATTCGACGTGCTCCCCCGAGACAATTGATGTCTCATTTATAGGATGACACAGCGACAGCCGGGGCTGCGCTCGCTGGCTTCGCGATCACGGTTCAGGTGTGCCTTTGCACCCTTGGCATCTTCCTCGTCCACCACCTCTTGCGGTTTGACAGTCATGTGTACGACATTAGGGTGGTCTGCGCTGAATTTTGAGTCTGTAGAAGAGTAGAGGTTAGCATATCTGATAGCGTATCCTAGTGGTCATATCGCAGAATCATGACCCTTAGACTGGATACATACCAGACAGAGGGGACTTGTCATCCAACAACTTTCCAAAAGAAATCAAACGGATCGAGCTCGGCGACGATGGACGGGTTTCCCAGTCTAAAACCAACAGTTAACATCAGACCATTATCGAGACCAGTCATCCCAACATGAATCAAACTCACCCGATCGCCACTCCCGCCAAATCAATTCCTTCAGCGTATAAACACTCATCGCAAAGGGATCATCATTCTCAACATTAACCGATTGCTTCCGCAGATACTTCGCATCGATCGTAAACGGGTGCCGCGATCCCGTCGTCAGCAACAGCGTGATGACCAGCGATGGACCCGCATCCTCAACCTCCTTCCCTGAGATATCCTCCGACTGGTCCGACGAAACGTCTGCGCCCGACTTGAGCTCCAAGGTCGCCATTGACGGCGTGTCTGGATTTTGAGACTGCGCGATAGCGGTGGTGGTGTCGTTGGCCGGGGTTGTCGTAGTGCTAGTCGTTGCTGTCATAGGGGCGACGGTTTCGCCACCGGTTGCGGGGTGCTGGGGCGCAGTGGCCGCATCCTCGCCTGCGGGAGACTGTTGAGGATCGGCCGATACGGTCGATGTAGGTGCATCGGCGATCGGGTCTGGGTTCACCGGGGCAGAGGTGGACTCTGTGGTGGTGGGATCGGGGTGGGAGCTCTGCTGCGGAGAAGTCGTGGTCACCCCCGACTCATGATGGTCGCTGGAGTCGGGCACCCCGGACTCCGGGTGATCGGTGGTAGACATGGCAGCGGTGGCCCCGATGGTAGGTGGCAATTAGCTTTCCCGGGGGAACACTGGGAAAGATTGGCACCAACGAGGATGGAAGGATGAAAGAGTAGAAGGGGAGGAGGAAGGGTAAAAGAGGTTGGAAAAGAGGAGAAGAGGAGAGGAGATGCGGACGGACGGTCGATCGGTTCCAGACGTGAGGAGTCGTCCCTAAGCGGGAGGCGCAATAGTCTTGATCGCTAGCGAAATGGGCGGTCTCTACAGAGATATTGTAGGGTGCGTGAAAGGATTCGAGAGAAGGTACAGATCCAAAAAGAAAATATGGAATGGATAAACTTGAAAAAATCAGATGAAATGGAGGTTGCACTAGGCCCAAGGGTCCCGGTTCACCTTGAAGTCCAGGCTCAGCGTCGGGAAGGAGAAAAGAGAAAACCTTGAATGGGGATCGACACAAGACAAAGGCTGCAACAATACAGAGTAGAAATAATAGATACGCTCGAGTGAATCCGACTGTCTGGAATTACAAATAGTTTGTCAAAGGATGTCATCAAGGCCCAAGATCCAATGTACAAGTATCCTGTCATAATCCCCATAAAGAAGCCCAGCACGATAAGGAAGATCCGGGGAAACCACTAGGAAACTAGGAGACTAAGGAGAGTAAGAGTGCCGAGCAGCCAAGAATTACCTAACCAGAACTGCTCGAGAAGACTGATATGATGACAAGTGATGCTCTATCATGATAATTTTTAGATTAAATCTTCTAATGGATTCCTCTCATAACGGAATTCTAGTGTATAGAGCAGAGAATGATGTCTGATTCAAAGCCGCTGCAGTATACAGAGTCCTACAATCTATGCCCATTCCCAATGCCACTTTGATCTACTTTTACTTGGATTAGCAAGTAATTAATTCCAGGATCTAGACTATTGTTTCATTTGAATCATTCAAGACATTTTCACGCACATATCAATCCTCGGATCTCTTCGAACCTTGACGGCGCCACTGGAAGTATTTGTGATAGCTCCGACCAATATTCTGGTGAAATCCGTTTCTGGTAGTACTAGAATCAACCCTAAATGAAAAGCTCTTGATCCCTTTCTCTGGTTCGGTCTGCACAAATCCAAATACTGGTGAGTCAGAAATCTTTGGCATACTTACTGTAGAAACTATGAAGGGTTCTTCTGGTTTCTTTAAGCCGACCGTTCCTAAGTATCTCAGCGCCATTGATGCTAAGCCACTGTTTCTTCAATTGCTTCGTCCAGCATCATGTCGAGGTGATTCCGTTAGAATTGAAGCTAAAGGTCTTTTTTTACACCCGTTTTCGAAGTTTCGAGGTGCTCGCATCTTTCAATTCAGAAACATGGCTAACTTAAGGAGCTAGCAAGACGATGACCAAGCCCGGATAAGACAGTCTAAATAGGCTACTTGTATCATCGACCATCACCATTCGATCATGTCTTGGAGACATAATCTTGAATAAATCTGCTCGTTTAAACTAGTCCCACCACGCTCCAAGGGCTACAACTAGTCAAAGTTATTTTATAATTTGCTCATCAATCAAAACGTCCGGCACTTCAGCCCCAACTTTCAGTCTCGACCAACTCCCGCTCCATCCAGGCCAGATTGAAACACCCGACAAACAAACTAAGTTACGGTTGCGTACAGTGAGGGGTGGCTCTGGTTCATTTGGGGATAAACAAGAATAACTTTAGTATGACTGGCACTGATACTGCCACGGGTAATCGCTATGATAAATATGTGCACACAGAGGGAGGAATGGATGGGGTGCGTGAAAAGATGTGGGCATCCGAGACATGGCTTCCAATGTTTCAATAGCAAAGAGCCATGACTCGTGGTATTCATAAATTCGAAGGACGGGGCCTAGAGAGGTGTGCTATTCCCAGTCCAACGTGTAAGGAGCAGGTTGCCGAGGGTATCAATAACCGCAGGCCAGACGAAGCCAGGCTTGCCTAGTAGTGATCTCTCAGATAGCGAGACATGGTAAACCAGGGGGCTTCCTAGACCCAACCGGCATACTGGTCAAGCATTTCATTCTTCACACCCTCGGATCCGTGACGCACGCCCAGAAGTCGCACCTTGCCAATTTTACCACCAAAGTCGTCTTCCACCGCACTCTGGTAGTCCTCGAACCGCTCGTTCAATCGCGTAATCACCGAGGGGTCGTCGCGAATCAACAGCACAATGGCATCATAGCCACCAGCACCGGGCACGACACCTCCGATGACACCATCGATCTCGGTCAAGCTGTCCAGCAGCTCGGTCTGTACGCTGGGTTCGATGGGAACGCTCGTCTCGCGGGTCATGGTACGAATGAGGTGCCGGGTGCGCTGAATCAAGGTCGCGATTTCGGAAAACTCGCCATCCGCGTTGGCGTCGGGGTGCTGAGCCAGGCGCTTCAATTCCTGGCGCAATCGCTCATTGTTGTTCTGGAGACTGCCCCAGAGGATATCAGCCTCCTTACGGTTGTTTTTCCTCCACTCCAGCACCTTTTTCACCATCGATGGAGTCTGGGAGCCACATTCAACGTCGCACAAGACCATCTGCATGCCGCGTGGGAGCTGCATGCCGAAATCCACACACTCGGTATCCCAGGGGTGCTTGGGGTCCACGTCCTCGACAATAGCAAACAACCGCTCGTCAAATCCAGCAGTACCCACATCGCCGACAGATTCCAGAATTGCAGGCGAGAATCGCTTGTACAGGCATGATCCATATACCGCAGCCGCCACATCGAATCCAGATCCGACCTTGCCCTGAGCCGCACAGTGAGCAGCTTGAGCCAAATTGTGCAGTTTGTCACGTCCAGCACCCAGATCATCTGCTTGCATGGTACGGTGGATCACCAAGGACGAGACAAGAGCCGTAACGAGGGCTGCCGACGAGCCCAATCCAGTCTTGTGGGCATCTTGAAGGGGAACGCCAAAGTTGACGAAGCGTCCAGCGCGTCCCTGGGTGGCGTGATCCTTCGAAGTAGCAGTCTCGGAATAGTAATTATTATCCGCCAGGATGGTGACCGACAGAGAACCAAAATCTTTGGAGTCGGCGACGTAACTGATGTAGGTCAAAGCGTAGCTCAACGAAGTCTCGACGAACGGATTACGCGGGCTAAAAGTAGCATGTACAGGTTAGTAACGTGATTTTAGAAGTTGTAAAAGCATCAATAGCGCGATATCATACCCATTGTTCTTTTGGATGACTTTCACACCCCCACCATTCTCGCATCGTTGCACACCATACTCCCAGATCGCATCCACGAATTGCGGTGATCGCACAACAACAGTACGCTCAGCTTCCTGCTCCTCTCCCTCGGCCTTGCTGGATTGAGCATCCGCATCAGACACCGCTGCTTTCGCATCCGCACTCGCCCCAGAAGGTCCGCGGCGGTGTCCCCGCCTTAATTGCTGAACAACAACATGAATGCGCGCATCAAGGGCGAAAACAGTGCCCGTGTAGGTCCGGTCGAGGACGAGGTAGCCGCCAGTCAGCAGGACCTTGCCAGGCGCAGACAAGGCCGTCACTGAGGAGGGTTGGGGTGGCATGGATACCGAGCGAGGGTTTTGTGGAGGAAAGGCGGGTGGTCGGTCGGTTTATCGATATGATATGCCCCGCGGGACTTCTTGTGCGCGGGAGGGGAAATTAGCTAGTCCACGACCAGATTGGAGACGTAAATGATGGATTGGAATCTGCGTCGTCGGTTTTAGAGGTTATCTTGTTGTGTGGAGAGGGGAAAGGGGGGAAAGTAGGGCGGAAGAAAGAACGCCCCTCGTCGGTGGAGGTAAGGATGTATCTAAATCTCCTAAAGGGGACTAGCGTGTTGGGCCACATGTTGCGTCGATGGGAACTATACAAACTTAATGGCCACAAGGGGGAATTAAACAGTCATCCCTGGTGGAAGAAACATCTCGATTTTAATCAATACTGGACTTTATTTCCCTACATCATGTTATTCCTGGTAATTATCTCAATGTTGTAAGGATGGTGGCAGAGTACCGCATCACTCTGGTACAAACCAGGAAAATCAAGCTTACCCGACAGCCAGCTCATGCCTATCTGAAAGGTCTAGACCCTCCAAAATACCTGTTGGTCAGTCGATTGCAAAATTCGGTACTTCGCTCATTCTCCGCTCTATGTGCTACCATAGCGCTACGGCACCAGTTCTAAATCGATATCGGAAAATGGTCCTGATTAGGCAGCGCAAGAGTCCGAGTACATATGATATCAGAGACGACCATCCAGTGATCAAGTCCCGATTTCAATGCAATTGAATACGCCATGGATGTCACTATCTGATGTGGGGACTTTCAAAGCCGTAACAGACTACTCGCACACCAACTTGTGCTTTCACACGACAAACTCTTCTATTTTCGGATATAGTGGATAACAGGGGCATCGGGTACCTAGATATCCTAGCAATACCTATGTACTAAGCCTTTCACTTTAGCTATCACGAAAGACGGTTCAAAAGACACTTCACAAAAGGGAAAATTAAATCATATAAATTTACATTGTAAAACCGTTTCTCCAGTCTAGGTATCAAGGATCCGGTGTACCTATTCTCCGGGAACTGGATCAGAAAATATAATAGTAGTAGCATGTCGTGCGAAAGCACAAGTTGGCGCGCGATTAGCCTCGGCCAAAATAAACCTCACAGTATTTGCAAATCGATTAAAAAACAAAGGACTAAAAGCTATGTGTATGCCAGTATGAATATGTACGAAAATTGACATTAACTCTTTCCAAAACAAAAATGAAAAACTCCAACCCTGCTCCAGAGTAGCTCTCGTATCAAGAAAGAAAGAAGAGATGGTGAAAAATTGCCAAACGTCAAAGAAAACAACCTAAACTCCCGAGCCTCTATAGCTTTTATTACTGTACATGGGTATTTATATGAATAGATGATCAAAGCAATCGGTCAAGTTGCGAATGAATGGGGGTACGAGGGGGCAGGGTCGCGGGGCTCGATCGGGTCGACTCGATGCATATGCAAGATGTAGGACATAGTGTATATATAGGCCGTAGGTTTGAGAAGATGCCCAATTGAGCCCATGACACCCTGTCGATTTCCTCTCGCTGTCAGTTCGTACGAAGAACATCACGGTCGTGAAGGTGACGTTGTGGAACAGGCCGGTCAAAAGACCTTGCTCACAATTAAGCCTTCGGCTTCTGCGCAATGATGCTATAGCTCGTAGTAGCCAAGCGCATGTTATCCATCTTGACAAAGGCCTGACCATCAAGGCACAGGCGATTGATAAGAGTCTTGAAGTGACGCGGCAGCACGTGCAGCTTGACCAGGCCAAGAATGACCTGGCGCAGGGTACGGAAGTACAGATCAACAGTGTCAATCAGCGGGGCCTGCAAGCCATCGATACTGGCATTTTCGGACTTGACAACTTCAAAGCCGGCTTCCTTCAGCGCCGTCTCCAGACTTTCTTGCGTGGGGGTGCCGACAGCGCCGATCAAGGGCTTCACGCGGCGCATAAGCTCGGCATGCTCGGGGTTCGTGGGCTCGTAGGCGGGGAGGCTGATCCAGTCTAGCAGCGAGATCTTGGATCCTGGCTTGACCACGCGGAAGATTTCGCGGAAGAGCGCGGGCAAGTCCTTGCAAAGACTCAGGGCTTGGATCTGGTAGAAGGCGTCGAAGCTCTCGTTGGCGAAGGGCAGTGGGAGGCTGTTGAAATCTTGCTGGATGAAGTTGTTGTGCAGACCACGCTCCTCATTGAAGCTCTTGGCCTGCGCGACTTGATTGGGATCGATGTTGAGACCGGTGACTTGCGCCCCAGAGTACTGCGCCATGTGAGCTGCGACGCGCCCACGGCCACAGCCAAGATCCAACACCTTGTCGCCGGCGCGCAGGCCGATGTCGTGCGCAATTGAGCGCTCGTAGAGAATCTGGTTCTCCAAGACAGATGCCTTGCGACTCATCCAGGGTGGGATATACATTTTCTCGACATCACCCAGAGCACACAGATGATTGAGCACCCCATAGTAAGACTTCAAGCAATCGCCAACTTTTTCTTGGTAGCTGGGTCCCAAGACCTCGGTCATCTGCTGCTTGTTCTCCCAGTCCAGGTTGTAAATCACATAAGAAGCCATGAAGTCATCAACTTCCTTTGGTGTCAGGTTGGCGAGGTAGCGGAAAGAAGTCCAGAAGCTCTTCCAGCGCTTGGGCGAAGCGGAGTCATCAAGATCCTTGCTATGCTTTCCATGCTTTCCCAGCGCACTGATGAAAAGCTTCTGTTTCTGTTCGGCGATCTCGTCCAGCGAGCTATCACTCTCAGAACCCCGCTTGGTTTGACCAGGGTGCTGCGGCAAGACGATTTGCGACACCATAGTGGGCAAGGCGAAAGAAATGCACAGCTCTTTTCAAAGCTCTTTTGTGCTGTCCAGAGGCTATATGCAGCAAGGCGGATCCCAATAGGGTAGATTCGAATGCGAGGGAAGCTTAAATAGCTGGAATAGCTTCAATAGTGGGTATAGTAGCAAAGCTCAAAGAAAAAAAGAAGTGGGAGACGAGACAGGGTCGCGCGGAATGTATAGTTAATATTCTATTTTTTCGCAGCGCTCCACGAGGGCCCGGCGCAATTTATAAGCAGCGCGCAGTCGGGGATCCTTTTGTGTCTCCACGATTAAAGAAATAAAAGCATGAAAAATGCCAAAAAGGCGAAAGAACTTCCGCCAAGACTCGTTGACGAGCAGACAGTAGCCCGGGTGGATTGTCACCAGACGTGGAAGCTCCTTTCGGATAGGCCGGCAGTAGTGGCTCGGACGGCAGAAGAAGGCCGGGAGATATTGAACTACCCACAAGTAGGGGAATATGGATAATGGACTGGATTCTGGATTGATGGATCTATGGAACTATGGAATGGAACCGTCGGAGTATGGAACGGGGCTCTTTGGGCGGAAAGATCCAGCCATGTACATGAGCAGGATTCGGATAACCAAAGACATGATGAGATCGATGAGATTCGCCATTCTTACAAAGTATAGGGAATTCACTGTCCCCTCAATCCCCTCCATGACTGTAGAAGGAGGGGTTTTAGGATTATGATGGGCATCCCAAGCCACGGTCTGTGAGTACGAGCTGGCCAGGTACGGATGACGGATGACGCGGGAAGGGTTTTTGAGAGGAAATGAGTATCGTCATGGGAACGACGATCGAGACCCACCTTGATACTTTCCCGATGAGGTACAGAGTGCTCTTTTGAACCTACCGATAGTAGTACTCTGAAGGAATAGTGCGCAGGGCTGCTGTGCGTGCGGAGTATTATGCGAGGAGCTGCTTTGTATCTCGAATGATGCCTCTGGTTGGCGGATAGAGACAGGGTGGGAGCATCACACATGAGTCGATGCATGGTGGAATATGTCTAGATTGCGCCATCCAGCTCTCTACCAGTAGAAATTTACTTGGTTAGTCAAACTCCTTCGGAGTGCCTACGGAGTCTGACCTATAAAGCTCTGGCCCTGTACTGGAAAGCTTCAGGCTTAGCTTCGTACTAGTTCCCTTGCATCAGAAACCCTGCAATCCCTCGTGTCAACCCTCCTACAGGCTTTTTTTTACCGAAGAATTGCCATTTTTCACTTCCTATTTTTTTATCGACGTGTTATTAGGAAGTGCCACGCATCTGTCAACGAATTTCCTCTTTGTGATGCAGTTAGCCACGCGGTTATTCCGGCAGGATGAAGTATAAAGGGTCTGCCCTGTAGGCGGGGCCAGTGGAAGCTTACGGAAGCGGCTTCGAGAAGCTTTTTGCAACAGGAAAAACCCCCTCTGAAAAGACGAACACTATCACCAACTAAACTGAAACTTGATAAAATAAAAATGCTACTCGAGGCGAACCATCCTTCCATGGCTCTATGCGCCCCGGGAGTGGACCGTAAGGCTTTTCTTTTGGATCTGTCATGACTGATGCAGATCCTGATTATTGAATAATCTTTGAGGGTTTTTGACCAGACCCACTATTTACAGCTGACTAAAGGCTAAAATGACCGAAAATGGCTAAAGTGACGGATGAGCTCCACTTTATTCCCAGAGCACCGACTGGATCGTCCGACTGTACTTTGGCCCGAATTTCGGACCCTGAGATACCTTGAGAGATACCCGTATATCCGGGCCCGGTCACCTGATGCTCCCAATCGAGTATCATGCTCCTTGTCTCTTCATACTATGAATGACAACTATTGAATCATGGAGTGGCGCGTTTTAATGAACCTTTTCAAGATCATAGTAGAGATTTATTGCTCTGTATTCAGGGGTAAATGGCTCGAGGCTCGGCAAGTAAAGGTCTTCGGTGATATTCTCGACTGGAGTACGCTCTTCAACGGACAGCGCTTGGCATTGCTTCTTTCCGCTGACTACAGCACAGATGATAATCGGATTTAGTCCGGAGTACGCGGGTCTTCGAGCAGGGGCCGTTTATTACATTAACAATCCCTACATTTTGAGGCATTAGGGAGATATGCAGTAGTTGAGTAGGCCTTTCTCAGTTTGACTTTCATACTTTGACTATTTCGAGTTCAAAGGAGACCAAATCTCAATTACTGGGTGTTTCCTTTTATGAATTTCTTTTCTCTCGCATAAATAATAACACCGAATGGTAGCAAAGCAACCATAAGCTGCGATCAATGTAGCTCGAGATCAGCTCTCTACGATGCTACAGTACCTTTCATAGGGCGTGCATGATGGTGGAGTTCATCTGGTGGACCGCCATCGGCCCATAAAAAAGGAGAGAAAATATTGCTACATATGCACGCCGAGTATCAATCCAACCTAGATCGGTAAAAATTGAACTGCCATACATATCACTATGAGTGGAAGAAACCTCTCACTCGAAGGGCGTAAAATGAGGTCATTTACACTTCTGTAGTTAGTTATAAAACAATGGTTAGTCAGACCAGGGTGTATGTCGACGAAAGCGGGATCCAATTTAGGTTATTCCTCCCATAGTTAACTAACTACCTGCTGTCTAAGTTGGTTAGACTAACAGTGTGAGTCATAGTTACCATCAATCTCTTTGCCAACGACTAAGTAGGGACTCCGGGGGATGACCCTATTGTACAAATGAGGGGTTGCTCCTCCGGAGACTATTCGGCACCGACTATACAAATCAAGAAAAGATACCGCGCTCCTCTTTCTTCATGACACCATGCCTCTGTACGAATAAGATAGAGTCATTTGGCTCCGTTAAGATGTAGATCCGGTGTTGTTCTTATTCTTTTACGGTAGGTATCAGGTTCTATCACTGAATACCCCCTCATCGCCTCCACCTCCCCCGGACACGGGCCTGGTGGTGGAACCGACCCAGGTTGTTGGATCTTGTGTTGGTTGGCGTGGCTGGCCTCAAAAGGTCTGCATTATGGGTATCGCTTGATTATCTCTTTAGTAATTAATGTACTCAAAGTGTGTTGGGCGGGGATAAACCTCTCGTGGTTATATATGTATATCTTAGATGACGGCGTATCTCCTCAGCCACATATCTCAAGAAATCCAACACCACAGGCCTGACCTCGCTTATCGCTCGTAAATAGCCACCTCGAGCCCCGTGCATAGAAGGAAGTACCAGGATTATATTGTGCGAGTGAGGATCTGATAAGCGGAAACGAGCGGACCAGACAGGTCAATGGTAGCATGACAGGCACCCAAGGCACCAACGCCATCCCACGCGGCATGCAACGGGCGAATAGGGAATGCCGTGATTTGGCCTGTGCAATGCCCCTCTTCTTCCTTGTCTCTTTGTCAATGGAGTACGGAGTAGTCGGGGTCTTAAAAGAGATTGAACCCCGCGGGTGCGGACCAAGCCAAGTCAGGTTGGAAGCACAGTAGCTGAGGTTGGGACCAACATGACACGGGACATCGATCGACAAATGTATGGAGCACGGTCTCGCGGGACGATGTCCGAGCGTTGCGGGTTATCCATCTGACGTCAGATGCCTGCCTATCATCCTCCGCTTTTTAGCAATTTTTGGTGGCTGGTCCTCGCGAAGGTATAGTTCCTTGATGCTGGGGGCTGTCCGGCACAGTGGGAGTTCAAAACTCTGAGTCTCGGAACCAGGGAAACCGCCCAACAGATATACTTCTACTTCTTATTTTTGGAAAGGTCTTTCTAAAGGTCATTGAAATACTCTTTCTTGATAGCTGAGGTATCATCTTTTAGTCTATCGTCCAATTCATGAATGCTAAGATGATTTTGAAAAATTGTCGGGGGTTCAAACTTATGGAACCCCACTCTACTAGGAGGGATGACTTTAAACGCTCGACTCCTTTATACCTCTTGGATAATTGCATAATTGGTAGGCGAGCCAGCGGGAAATAAATGGTTTGTGACTGTTCTTGTATAGAGCTAGTTTCATTAAATAAAATCAGTATCATTATCCACGGTGATATGAAAAGAACCTCTTGCTCTGAACCTATTTTTTACTTCGCTCGGTGAGTATGTTATGGAGACCCTGACCATAAACCGCAGATAGTCACGTGACGTTCAAAGACCGGTATCCGAGTTATCACCGACCGATCAGACGCTAAAGAATCAATCGTCTGATGTTTCTTGGCGTCGTCATGATCGTTCCAGAGTAGTCTGATGCTTTTCCTGTTCATGACTGGATATCAAAATACATAAAAGAAGGGTATCCCACAATGTCTGTAAGAAGATGGAGAAAAGAACACCTGGCCTTCCATCAAGATGAGACTCTCCAGAATTCGGACGGGACATACCACGTCATTGTCAGACACGAATTGCAATCTGACTCCCTCGTATCCCAATTCAGTATCTCCAGCTCTCCGTCCTCCGTCCTCCGTCCTCCGAGAGTAACCATCAATGTCCGAAGAATGAAGAGCGCAGAACCAGCGAGTATAAAGACCGTTAACCCCGTCGGACAGTTCGGGAGGCCGAGCCGACGGGGAAGAAGAGTAGCTTCTCCGAGAGAGCGGACAAGAAAAAGAACCGGGATGGGGGTGAGTCATCCAGGCACCTTGACAGTGTCTGTTTGGATCTTTTGGCTTCTGCTTCTCCGCTGGGTTCCCCCTTTTTGCCCGATCGCAGGGATATTCTGCTATTTGATTGGCTGGATGGGCTGCCCCTTTGTCCGGTTTTTCGTCGAGCCACCTGACCCTGCTGACATGATCCTGGGAGGAACCGGGGAAGGACTCGAAGTATATCGACGTATCCTCGTTACCTGACACGTTCACTGTATAGATCAGTGAAGTAAATCGACGTTATTGAAGTCTAATGTACCAGGATTGGTAATATTCTTGCCACGATAGATCTCGGTTCCTCGATACATCGAGGAGTCGTTCTGCTGTTCCCCGGATAATACCTAGGCTCAGCTGGAAGTGTTGACGTGTCGATTTCACCTCGATTGTAAAATGTAGCAGCCTCGATTGTGGCTTGTATCACGGTGCGTTTGACGATGGTACTAGGTACATACAGTTAGTCTCGCAGGAATATGGAACCATGCAGGCCACACGCGACACTCGACCGGTACCGAATACCTGCACAGGATTCTCCGGAGAGGATCGGCCCCAAACCGCCAGAACCAGCAAAACCAAGTTGCTAGCACAGCCAGGCCCACTATGCTGCGACTCCATCTCCTTCCAGAATCCTCTCCATTCCTTATTTGTGACGCTGGTGCCTCGCTTTTTTTTGTGTGAACATTTCTCAGGCTCCTGATTTTCATCGGATTCCATTTCTCCCTCCTATCGCATACAACCCTACGACCAAATCACTAGAAGACCCTGTCCGGAACACAGGTCTTTCTATCTCGACAACAGCGTCTAATTTCCACCTCCCTCCCATTCCTTACTTCCGCTTATCGGCGCGTTCATTGGCGACTGAAGTCGTTCAATGAACCTGCATTTCAATTATTATTCTGAGTGCAAGGTAAGACCTTCGAATCTTTGCCTTCTGTTTCCCTTCGAACGCACACCACAATTCCCTCATGACTCTGTGTTCGCTCTCTAACGCCTCGTTCTTTTCCTCTCCAGCATTGCCTCTTCACTCTGAAGAGGACCCCCGCTAGATAAATGGTCTTCAAGCCATTCACCCATCTCGCGCGCCAGAGTTTCACCAAAGCCTTTACCCATGGCTATGCTCAGTCGGTAGTGGCCGCGTCGCAGTCCTACGCGTCGTCCACCACTCTCAACCAACTCTCCCTCCAACCAGCCGCCAAATTCTCTCGCACAACCCAGCTACAGAATGCCTTCTCCAATGCCTCCAGCTCATCTGGCGCTGGCGCCAAGGCTAGCCAGGGTACCGGCAGCAATGGTGACTTCGGTCTAGCCGCCTACTATGCTGCCTGGCAGCACGCCCAGCAGACCGGCGACGATACCGATTTCCGCCAGTTCCAGTTCAACCGTCGCATTGGCTGGAAGCCTACCGAGGAAGTCGAGGATGCAAAGGATGAGCGCATCCCTTCCCCCGAGCCTCCACACTTGACCAAGGCCGCTGTCAACGAGAACGTCAGTGCACAGGTCGAGGAGGCCGTCGCTCGAGAGATCCAGATTCAGGAGGAGCAGGCACAAGCAGAAGAGGCATCGAACGTGACTGAGGCTGTCGTTGCTGAGTCCGCTGTCGAGGACGTGGTCATCTCGGAGGCGATTTCAGAGGAAAGTAGAGTCGCCTCGGAGCGCATTGTGCAATTAGCGACGGACAAGAGCTTCTCTGAGATCCCGACTGCATTCGAGTCGATCCTTCGCGAGGGTCTGACTCCAACTGTCGAGGCATACAATGCCTTGCTGTTTGCTGCTATTCGCCTTCACCCCGAGGCTGCCCAGGCCATTCACAAGGCTCTCGACGTGTACTCCGACATGCTTCGTCGCAGGGTAATTCCCGATGAAGACACTTATCAGACTCTCGTTCAGCTGTTGGTCACTCAGGCGAACCAAGCGATCAAGGCCAAGGAGGTGCTTGAGCAGGAGCGCGTTCGGTACGGTGGTATGGAGGAGCCCGGCAAGTTTATGCTGCAGTCCAGCGAACTGGAGCGTGATCTGCTTGCCGAGGATGCCTCCCTGTCCATCGCCGTGAAGCTGTTTAACACCGCCACCAGCCGCCACTCTCGTCTTGTGTTCCCCACCGACTTGTACAGCCATCTCATCATTGCTTGTTCTCGCGAGGGTAAGGTCGAGGATATGATCCGGATCTACTCTCACATGGAGATGCAGAAAGTGACTCCTCACGCGTCCATCTTCCCCTCCATGATCGATGCCTTTGCCGGCACGGGTGACCTGTCTAGCGTGGTCGAGTGCTACAACGAGTACCGTAGCCTGGCAGTATCGGACGACAACGGCGTGTTCACCATTATCAAGCGTCTCGACGGTGAAGTCTACGCGGCCGTCATCCGCGCTTATCTGTCTTGCGGCAAGGAAGAGGGTGCCATGAACTTCCTAGACCGGATTCGTTCTTCGTTCGATGAGGTCACTGAGAACCGCGAAGGCCGTTGGGCCGCGCTGGAATCTGTGATCGTTCAGGACGCCCTCGTGCAGCACTTTTTGAATGTTGGCGAACATGGCAAGGCCCTCGAGCAAGCCAAGGAGCAATTGCACGATGCGGCTCGCGATCAGGCCATTTCCCGGATCTGCATTTCTGCGGCCGACGCAGGCGATCTCACCACCGCCTCCGAAGCATATGACCGTCTGTCCACCTCCCCCGATATTCGTCAGAACCCTGCCGTTTCACTCCTCGCGCTTCACGTCCGTCAGGGCAACGTTTCGGCTGCTCGGTCTCTGTGGATCATGCTGAACACGGTGGGTCAGGCAACCCCGGATATGGTTCAGCCGACCGCGATGTACGCCGTTGCGTTGTTGAAGAGCGGCCAAGTTGAGGATGGTATCCACGAGGCTCGCAACATGTTTGCCCGTATCCGCTCCGCCGCTGCCAAGCAGGTTACTGTCGCGCCTGCCACTGTCCGTGAGCAGATTACCGAGTCGCTTCATCTCTTTAGCCGTGTCCTCATGGAGACGGCCGCTGTTCTCTCACCTCAGGCCTCGATGAATCTGCTGTGGTCTATGGTTGAGAATGGCGGCCTCGTGTCTCTTCTTGCGGAGCACGCCGTCGCCAGTCTGGGACCTATTGGCATCTCGCAATTGAGCCCAGCCGACCTTACTCTGGCTCTCCAGGTTCAGGCTCGCATGCTGGCTGGAAACAGTGCTCTCATCTTTGACGTTGCCCACCCGGTCCGCTTTGCCCACATGCTCGATGTCGCTCTGTCTGCTGCCCTCCCTATGGATACCAACACTACCCGTCTGGTCGACCAGGCCGTCGCCAAGCTGTTCACTAGCCGCCCCGACATCGTTAAGAGGTGGCAGGATCACTTGGAGGCCTCGACGCAGGCATCATTCCTGTCAGACCGCCACAGCCCCGTTTCCATGGCCGAGACCAACATCACGACCCCTTCTGTGAGCCCGGATTCTTTCGACCCGTACGCCCATGCCACCGACTTCCGAGGATCTGCCATCATCGCCGATGAGCTCGAAAAGACCACTGGCCGCGCCGAGACCCATCTCAATGATGCTCTGATTCGCCTCAAGAACATGCGTCGCATTGGCCGTCACCCTCGCTACATCACCTACGCCAAGCTCATCACCGCTGCCGCTAAGGTTGGTCGGATGGAGTTGGTCCACGAGATCCACTCCATGGCCCGCACCGATGTCCCCCTGAACCTGGCTCACAACGCCGTCAAGTACGGTTGGGTCTCCATCCTTGATGCCATGGTCGCTGCCTGCCTCACTCTCGGTGACCGTCACCTGGCTGGTCAGTATCACCAGGAGCTCCTCGGTCTCGGTTCTGCCCCCTCCGCCAACACATTCGGCCTGTACATCACCACCCTGAAGGAGTCGACCAAGACCTTTGACGAAGCCACCGAGGCCCTGAAGATTTTCCACCGTGCTGTCGCCGAGGGTGTCGAGCCCACCTCGTTCCTGTACAACGCGCTTATTGGCAAGCTCGGTAAAGCGCGTCGCATTGATGACTGCCTTGCCTACTTCGCCGAGATGCGCGCCAACAACGTCCGCCCGACCAGCGTCACATACGGTACGATCGTCAACGCCTTGTGCCGAGTCAGTGACGAGCGCTTCGCCGAAGAGATGTTTGAGGAGATGGAGTCCATGCCCAACTACAAGCCGCGCCCCGCCCCGTACAATTCGATGATCCAGTACTTCCTGAACACCAAGCGTGATCGTTCCAAGGTCCTCGCCTACTATGAGCGCATGCAGGCCCGCAACATCAAGCCTACCACGCACACCTACAAGCTGCTCATTGACGCTCATGCCTCGCTCGACCCTATTGACATGCCCGCCGCCGAGCGCGTCCTCGCCGACATGCAAGCCGCTGGTGTTCAGCCCGATGCCGTGCACTATGCTTCGCTTGTCCACGCCAAGGGCTGCGTTCAGCATGATCTCCCCGCCGCCCGCAAGGTCTTCGACTCCGTGCTCGCTGACCGCCGCGTGCGCCTGCAACCGTGCCTGTACCAAGCCCTCTTCGAGGCGATGGTTGCCACCAACCGCGTCGCCGACACCGAGGAGGTCGTCAGCGGCATGAAGCAGCGCAACGTCGAGATAACCGCCTACATCGCCAACACGCTCATCCACGGCTGGGCAGCCGAGGGCAACGTCGCCAAGGCCAAGACTATCTACGACAGCATCGGCATTGAGAAGCGCGAGCCTAGCACTTACGAGGCTATGACCCGCGCATTCCTCGGCGCTGATGACCGTGCTGCCGCTGCCGGCATCGTCCAAGAGATGATGTCGCGCGGATATCCATCCGCCGTGGCCAGCAAGATCATCGACCTGGTCGGCACCGCTGCCCCCTCCGTCTAAACCCCCTTTCTTCTCAACAATTTCTCTTCCTGATCCTTTTTTCACTTATTTGTTGTTCCTGGAAATTCCTACGACCAGGTCTATCCCCATTTAATCTGGTGATTCTACGTGACTGCAATTGGCGACTTGAAACACCTTTCACACCTACATCACCTTGCCAGGGCTGGATCCCGGCTTGGCCTCAGGCTTGGTTTTTCCGGTTCGGCGCTTGTTATTAGGGTGTATCTCGGATTTGGATCTTTTATCTATTTTTGTGGTTGGCTCTTGGATATACACCTGGTTGTGGGATAAACATTGTCTCTTGTGGGTTTCTGTTTTTGTTTGATCTGTTGTTCTTTGTTTTGATTTCCATCGGCATTCAGCGAGGTTTCAGGCGTTGATTGGCGATTTAAAAGGATGATTTCCAATTTGGCGGGTTTGGTTTTGTTTTGTTTTTGTCTGGTCGGGGCCTTTGTTGTTGCCCTCGGCTTGTATACCATTTTGATTTGTGCATGTTCATAGACACATCTCTACTCTGCATCGCGCTTCTAGACGCTGATGAAATACAAAAAAAGTGAATGAGTCTTCTTGGTCAATTGTAAACACGTTAGACGTGGTTCGTTGACGGCAACCGGACAAGCTGTTTTGCCTTCGAGAATACTTGGAATTCGATGTTCTTGATAGATCGGTGCATCACGATCTATGACGCAGATCTTCGTGGTTCCTTGGTTCTGGATGGTAATTTGTCCGATCCGATGCACGCTTATCCGCCTTTGGTAGATCGATAGTACAGCAACTCTGGTTGGCTCTCTTACGTGGAGAGTCTTTTAAGTCGATACGTGTGGTGGATATTTGGAGGGAAGCAATCTCCGTCTCGGTCGAGAACAAGCATGTTCCACTGTCATGTTTTTAGTTGACCTCGAGGTATGATTAACAGTCACCAAGAAGGGATATAACTTGGAATAAGAGTTAATTAAAGAAAACAAAAACCATGGTTATTTGGTAAAACCGAATTAGTTGAGATCATCCACCTCCATTTACGACGGCGTGGCTAAAATGATGCCGTTGCAGCAGGCTTAACATCTCACCATACGAAGACCTCACCCTATGAAAAGATGGATAGGAGCTCGCACATAGTCTTTTGAAACTAACAAGGCAATATTTCCGTATGGTCAAACTTGATCATGATTACGTCGAAAAGCTGCGTATTCCGGGCAACAGATTAAGCACTTTTCTGAATACGTCATTCCGATGTAAACCTAGGCCCCTTAGTAAATCAACACATAAGAATGAAAAGAGGTCCTTGGAGTTATCCCTCTCCTTAAACAGAGGTACTCCGTCACTTTATCAACTTATCAACCCTTGAATTCATTTACCTGTTATCATTAACACACCCAGAATGAAAACCAAGAAGATCCTCATCATCCTCAGCGATGCGGATTCATTCCCCATCAAAAAGACCAGCGGCCCCAACAGCGGCAAAACAGTTCAACAACCCTCAGGATTCTTCCTCCAAGAACTCGCAAAGCCCCTCCAAAAGCTCCTAGACGCCGGCCATGAAGTAACTTTCGCCTCACCAAAAGGCCGCGAACCAACTGCCGATCCAAACAGCGAAACACTCCTCGCATACGCAGGCAACTTCTACGAGCGACGCCGCGAACACGACCTCATCGAGCGAATGAAGAAAGAAAACGGCTTCAGCACCCCTCGACCATTCAGTTCAATCAGCGACGCGGAATTAGCTACCTTTGCGGGTATCTTCATCCCCGGCGGGCATGCGCCTCTACAAGATTTGGGCGAGGATCCGGAATTGGGTCGGATATTGAGGTATTTTAATCGTGAGAATAAGCCTACAGCGGCTATTTGTCATGGACCGTATGCATTGTTGAGTACGAAGAAGGCCGGGGATGGGTCTTTTGTTTATTCGGGGTATAAGATTACTTGTTGGAGTGATGCGGAGGAAAAGATGATGGAGACGATGCTTGGGGGTGAGATTGAGAAGGTTGAGTCTGCGTTGAGGAAGGAAGGTGCTGTTATGATGGAGGGTATGCCGGAGAAGGTGGGTGGGACGACACTGCATCGTGAGCTGGTTACTGGGGGGAATCCTCTGGCGGCGAATGCACTTGGGGATCGATTTTTGAAGATGATTAGTGTTTGAATATCAAGATGGAAGATTGAAACTTGAACGCAAGATGTTATCTAGAGATTACATATCTACTCTTTCTCCTGTTTCATGTTATACTACGGGCTGTGGGTTTAGAAACGATCAAAATGCGCAGATTCACTTCATGTCTGTATGAGACCTAGATGCATGTATCTTACAAGAAAACCAATCTAATAAGTACATCCTTATTGCCCCCTTCCTCTCGCAATCTCATTCTCAAGTCCTTCCTTCGCCGATCGAGCTGGGATATCTGACGTGTGCTCTGAGCCTTTCTTTGAAGTATCGGGCGCACCTCGCTTGCTGTCTGAAGAAGACTTTTTCTTCGATTGCTCGGGTCCTGGGTGTTCTAACTCGCGAGTCCGCTGGCTCACGCCTTGCTCTGTCGGATTTTCACCGGCCGGGTCACCTTTTCCATCTCCATACCCCTGAGTAGAGTAGAGTGCTCGTCCTAGATGCCGGGTGGTTGTAGTAGAGCTCGACAGGAAGGGTCTTGCATAGAAGGGGTTCAGGCGAGGTATTCTGGATGCGATGGTTTGATATCTTGACATTTTGGCGCGGATGACGGGATGTTCGTTGGTGAGAGGCAACTTCTGAGATAGTTGGTACGTTTGGGTTTAGATTCTTTTACAAACAAATGTAAGGGGTTCAAGTTTATTCATATATGAACAAGTAGCAGTTATCATAGCTAACGTCATTTCTTGCGATCGAATTCCGATAGGTATAAACCTGAAATGACTCGCTGGAAGAACCATGGCATAGTATGTGGTTTGCGGTTGGGAACGGGCACGACATGATGACTTCACATATGGACCTCAAGATCTATGTGGAGCCTCCACAGATTCTCCAGTAGTTAATCTCAGAACCATATTTGTTATGCCAAACTGGATTATTGACTAAAGTCCAAAGGCAAATTTGATTGTATCTTCAGTGGGTCTGGAGAAGAGAAAATATACGAAAAGAGTTTACAGTCATTCTCTGGCATTAGTCTGTGCGACGCAAGTTTCACCACCAAAAATTGAACTTCGGAAGGCAAAAAAGGCTAGAAATAATATTCGGGTTGTAAATTCTGGATTATGCAAACTAATATTCGAGAAGGAGAATATCTATAAGTATAAGAGATGTGTTCGACAGCTCGTCGCCACATTTTATCATGTCTCGTTACCCAATTAGTCCAAGCTCGGCTCATCTCAAGTCCATGGATGCATACCCACCAAAACTCCAAATTCCAAAGCTCGAGAGAGAAGAAACGAAAAAGTGCTCTATCAGATGATCAATGACCTGATGTCGCTCAGCGCACATTCTTACCACGCAGGTCCTTGAACCCTGCAGCCGCAAGATCCTCCTCAATGAGACCAGGGAGGCAAATATGATGCAAAACAACCTCTTTCAAGTTCTTTTTAATTTCCTCCTCAGAAGGAGGCGTCCAAGTGCCACGCAGAATCTGACCGATAGCCTGGCTGAGGAAAGACGCACTCTCCGTGTAGGTGATAAAGCCAGCCGAAACAGAGATATAGAAAATTCCGGGATAGTCCTGGTCGTAGAATCGGAGATATAGAGGTCGTGGTGCGTCTGCGGCGGCGAGAGAGTCATATTCACCGGCTGGAGATCCTTCAGGCAGGTATGATGACTCGGTCGACCAGCCTGTTGCAGCGACAAGCATCCTTGGGTACAAGGCGGTGCCGTTGGTGAGGACCACTTTGTCTCCGTCAATTTCTTGGATTCCGCATTTGTCGTGGATGCGGAATTGGCCGTTGTGATAGGGTTTCACGAGGTGTGATCGTAGGATAAGGCCGACCTTTGCAGATGGACCTTCGTCTGGAAGGAAAGGATTGTCTTTAGTAGGGCTTTTTCGATGGTGAGATGTCTTACTTACGGGTAGGAGGCCTCCACTCTGGAACACCGTGGAAGACTGCCCAGGCAAGATGAATGAGCCAGAAGATGGCATCAACGACGAAAATAGGCAAGCGGCGGTAAAGTACGCGCATAAGATGCAGCTCCGTCCATCCGAATTGCCATAGCCAAGGCCACCACAGATCAGGCGCTCCCCTATTGTTTGAGTCAGTCTTTTGATTTCGTCATGATAGAAATGATGGGTCTTCAAGCCTTTGATATGAAGTGCTTACCAATGGGGAGAACGTGCGACTAGGTGTACATTCTTCGCACCTTGCGTGACGCAAGCTTCCTGAATAATGTCCATAGCTGAAGGCCCGGCACCGATAACAAGAATATCAGAGTCCGGCATTTCCGTGGCATCACGGATATTGTTGTTATGCTTGATAGGGAACTTTGCCGTTTCCTGACCGGGAAACTTGGGCATATAAGGTTCCATATTATGACCACTAGATTCGTCAGTATTGTACGATATCGATCAGTATGGGGTCGGATCTTCTTACGTGCAAACAAGAACACTCCGTGTATAAACATTTTGAACAGGAGTGGCCTCATTTCCCTTTATGAATGGGCGAATGTCGACTTTGTGCAGCATAGGCTTGACCATCTCGACATGGGCAACATCATGTTCCCAGATAACATGGTCATGCAGATCGAACTCTTTGAAGTAAGCATCACAAAATTCGGCCACTTGGTCTCTCGTCGCACGTCTTTGCGGCTCTCGTCGAGGAAACTTCACACCATGAACTTCATATTCGCAAACAAGATCCTGCAGGGTCGAATACTCCGGGATGTGACCTGTCCAAATACCACCAGGGACTGATTGGCGTTCAACTATAATCGCGGAGAGAGGCGGTTGATCTCTTAGAAGATTCCGCAAACACACCATTCCTGATAAAACTGTTAATATCTAGAACCCAAACTTTCATATGCGGATCATGTTTCCTACCAGATGGACCAGCTCCAATGATGAGGGCATCGATAGGATCCTCAGGAGTCGCGCCCGCATGGCCGGCAGCAACCTTTGCAGCAGCCGTCGGTTCCTTGATCTTCTTAACGATAGCCATGATTATTTTTGAAGACTTCGAGGCTCGTTGGAGGGGGAATAGTTTCGAACCCGACAATCTGGGTAGATTCCCCGCTATTTATACTAAAAGAAACGCAGTGGGCTAGAGATCGGATCTGGCAGTTACGAAATGGATATAGATTTTAAGGTCGAGTGGCTTTTTTGCAGCTTGTAGAGTGGATCAAACGAATTACCGGTCCAGCTGCATGGACAATGCGAGCCAGCTGTTAAACGTCTTGCTGCACTACGTGCTGAGTTGGTTAAGTCGGAGCGATAGAGAACAGTGCGAGTGGACTCGAGGAGGGGCAGGGATGTGGAGAGACTAACCCCCGATTGGGTACTTCGGTGCGAGCAAAAGTACGACCATTTGAATGTCAGAAACAAAAAAGTAAAGAACAAACTATGCAAATGTCGTTTCATGTACTCGTTACTTTTGACCCTAAGTTCCAAGTCCCCCTAAACCCGAATGAGGCATCAGTACGGTGTATTCGTTTCCTAGTCTTCAGGGGTGCCCAAAGCAAAACCCCCGAGTTTAATTCGTTCCCTCGCCGATTCTTCACGGCCTTTGCATTATCAATGCCATTGTGTTCTAGCGACCTGACGAATCCGTACTAGATCCAGATTCCCATCAACGTGGATCCTGTATCGCGTCCACGGTCCAAGGGGGCGTTCTCCTAACATTTCCACCATCCATCATCCACCACATCCACCTCCCCCCTTAGGCATTGAGTCCCCGCCATCCAGACTCCATCTAACGCCAGGATGTCTTCGAATGTCGAGGTGATTCAGGATGATGCGGCCCTCTTGGCTGCGCTGGGCTACAAACAGGAGCTCAAGCGCCAATTCTCCTTTTTCTCCATGGCCGCCAACGCGGTCATTACCGCCAGTGCTTGGGTATGGTAGGCTCCACACGGCGACGGGACCCATTTCCTCCATACTGATCTGTATTCCGGTTATCCGTAGACTGCGATGATCGGATCTATCAGTACCTCAATCTATAATGGTGGCGCTTCGGGGTTGCTATACGCATGGTATGTAAGAAGTGGATGGGTTCTGTTGCCAGTTACCCGTGTCGCCGATCGCGATTGTACACGGTCCCCTCCCCTTTGTAACATGCGCTGAACAATGTCTACCAATACGATAGGATTGTCGATAACTTCTTCTTCCTCTTTGTCGCTCTCTCCATGGCCGAGTTGACCTCGGCCATGCCCACCTCTGCCGGAGTCTATCACTGGTCTGCCGCCTTGGCTGGCCCAAGGTTCGCGAAGCCCATTGGCTTCTTGACGGGTTATTTCAACGTTCTGGGGTATACATTGGGTCTTGCTTCGCTATACTCGGTCGCTGGTCTGGAAATCACCGGCCTGTATCAGCTATGGCATCCTGATTATAATAGCCAGCCATGGCAGGTTTTTGTCGTATTCGTGGTGCTTACCTGGTCTGCGGCGCTGTTCGTCCAGTTTGGTAACAAGATCTTGCCCTTGTATACCAAGGTCGGCCGTACGTATTGCCTGCATACCGAGGAATATTTGGATCTGTCCCACTGATTGAGTATCATAGTCTTTGTCAATGTGGGTGTGTGGTTCGTCGTCGTGATTTGCATTGCCGCACTTCCCAAAACCCACTCCACCAACTCCTTCGTCTGGAAAGAGTATACCAACATGACCGGCTGGCCCACAGGCGTGAGCTTCATTCTTGGTCTTGTAGGACCGGCCTTTGCCATTGGAACTATTGACAGCTCCACGCATATGGCCGAGGAGGTCCCCAATCCTTCCAAGAACATTCCCAAGACTATTCTGGTTCAATGGTTTGGATCATTCTCAATGTAAGCTTAACCCCTCCCCATGATTTACTTCCCACCATATACTGATTATAAAACAGGGGCTTCATCGTCTTGATCGCCATCTTCTATTCTGCGGGCTCTCTCGAGGCTATCTTGAACTCGGCACCCAATTATCCCGTCGCTAGCATCATGGCCCAGTCTTTCGATAACCTTAACGCAGCCTTTGGCTGTGGCCTGATTATTTTCATCGCTTCCTTGACAGGACAGGTTGGTTTCCAGATTGTCGCTGTCAGAAGTATCTGGGCCTTTGCGCGTGACGGTGCATTGCCATTCTCCAACTTTTTCTCCAAGATTGACGAGCGCAGCGTTATGCCTGCCCGAGCTAATATCCTAATTGGTAAGAGAGATTCTCCCAATATTGAACTCGAAGGTGAAGCAATACTAACTCAATGTTTTATTTACAGCCGTCGTCACCACTGCTCTCGGTGCCCTATATGTCGCATCGACAACCGCCTTCAACGCCCTCGTCGCATCCTACGCCGTTATGTCCACCACCTCCTTCGGCTTCGCGATTGGAGTTCACCTCTTCACTGGTCGTAAGCGAGTTGCCCCTGGATGGTTCTACCTTGGCGACGGATTCATGGGCTTCTTCATCAACGGCGTTGCCATCGCTTATATCCTGGTTACCAACGTCTTCTTCTGTCTGCCCCTTAACCGGCCGCCGGTCGATGCCAAGACGATGAACTATACCGCGCTGGTGTCATATGGAATGGCCATCCTGGTCGTTATCTGGTGGTTCATTGGTGGCAAGAAGTCATACAAGGGTCCGAAGCTGTCTGGAGAGACTCAGGAAGCTCTCGAGGGAATGGGAATGGCTCCCAGGGCACAAGGAGAGCAACATGTTGAAAGAGGCTCTGTGCGTCTGACAGAGAAGTCCTAATTTCAACCGAGATTGGGCTTGTATAAGAAAGGTCGCCAGACTGTTGTATAATTGATTCGTAAAAATGGCAGAAAAATGTGCATAGATATCTAGGTCATAATTCATTCAATAGATCCCGCTGAAAGTTTTCCCTCGCTTAAAAGTAGTTGCCCGAAAGAGAAGAGAGAAGAAAAAAACAAGAAGACTAGGGCGTTCAGAAAAGACTCAAGTCGAAACCACGATCTTCCAGCCAGATATCCCATCTCTCCTTCACATTACAGTCCCAGTACTCCGTCATCGCCTTCCGCGCACTCTGCACATTGCCCATCCCAAAGGCCTCCATATTTGTGAGTCGGTCTTTGATGATATTTCGTTGAGTCTGATCTTCAGTTTCGCAGCCGACCGTAAACACTGGCCATAGACAAAGGATATTTGCCATGGAATGTGGCCTGATCTTGAGCAGCAACTCAATGACCATGTGAATTGCATGGGCTGGCTTGGCATGTTCCTTAGGCAGACCCTGCACGCGACGATACAGATGGAGAAGATTGGTGTGCAGGAAGATGCGATGAATATGTCGCATCTCTTCCGCCGTCGTTTTCGTGGTCGGGTTCGACTCGAGATCGGGATGTGTCGTCCGGTCGTAAAGTGCATAAATTTGATTCTCGATGCGCTGGATGTCTTCCACTGTATCCAGGCGAGCCTGTTGGTTGGCTGCTTCATCCTCAGACTCATCATCGTTGAGAGCCATGATCTTCGATCGTTTTCGTTGAATTCGTGCCAGTTTGCCAATCTCCGACATGATCGGGATCAAGTCTAAGGAATACCCGGTCCATTCGTCGATATACCCGCCCGTGTCGTTTGACGTAGGCAGCGACCAATAGCTTCCAGCGTTGGCACTCTTGCGAAGACCGCCGACGCCGGCAAAGATATCAAGGAGAGTAAACCATTTGATCAGGAAGAGCTTCGTTGGGTCTTGGGTGCTGATTGATTCGTCGTTGCTTTGAAGCTCAAAGACCGAGGCGACCAGGTTACTGGCGCCCGAAAGGTGGATTCTCCAGGTATTCATACCCCCAGATATAACATCAGATGTGCATAGTGCAAGTGCTGTGGTTAGTGTACTCAGTTGGCCGGCCTGGTTCGGATCGACCATGGCCTTCCGTAGCCCGTTCAGGGCAGCATTGGTGAATTTTGTGACGCTTTTCGTCATTTCACCCGTTGGATCTCCTCGCAAACTGATATAGTGCGAGCAAGAACACGCGAGAAACGCATACAAGAGATGCGACGAATTCATGGCTGATTGAAGAAGGGACTCGCTGAGCGGGTTCGCCTTGAGTGAAAGAGGGAAAATCACCCCCGCCGTATTGGTGATGTAGTGATGCAAAAAGAATCGACTTTCAGATGATGAAATGAGTGGCGATGCAGTTGTTGATATGGTCTGAGGGATTTGCCATTGATGTTGAAAGACGGGCGGAGGGGGCGGTTTTTGTTGGCGTTGTGGTTTGGCTGGTTGCCAATGATGCCAATTCATCCCCGCTGGCTCTTGTTGATATGAATAGGAACCGGATTGATCCACCCAACTGAAACTCGCATTTCGCGGAGTAGCCACAGAATAATCTGAGCAGGTACTCACGGACATGGCCAAAGATGCCCGTCGGTCAACCTCATCATCGACCTCATCATCGGCCTCCTGTTTCAACCCTGGGACACGACTGCTAGCTGGCCTTGAATCGCTTTTCCCAGCAGGCTTTGCTGGGCGTATTGTAGGCTCCGACTGCCATTCTTGAACATTTCCCGAGGCGCTTGATTGTGCCTGGGAGCCAGGTTGCTGTCTGGCCTTGTCTTTCTGGCGATTTTTATTCTTGAACGGCCTGCCTTCCGTCCAACATAGTTTGAATTCGTATTTGCACTTATCTGGTCGCTGTTTACAGCGATTGCAGATAGGTTTGCCCTCGTCGCACTGAATTGTAGCGCAATGAGTACGGGGGAGAGAGCATTTCTAAGCAGGGGGCCGCGGGCAGCAGCCACGGGGAGTAGACATACCTTGATCTTGCGTCGCTTGCATTCGACGCAGCCCGATCGGAGCTTCTCATGCGGTCTGATGGAGGTCATCGTGGGCAAATCGGGGAGGCCCCAAGCAAGGAGGAGAGGGTGGTAATCAGACTCTGTGAGAAATAGGGAGAGTTTCTGGAGGCCCCAGAGAAAGTGGGGTTGAGGGGGATCACCCGAGGAAGAGATGAGAAGTGGAGTGGCAGGGCCAATCACTCACCAGCGGGCGGGACGATCTCACGCCCTCACGATGAGTCGAGCGGAAAAAAAAGGGACCGTTTATTCATTGGCTTTACGAACGCCTCGCTGATGTAATGAGCCAGATAACGTTGATCATTCGCTTTGTGATGACCTTCTTGAAAAGGACCATATTCACAGACGAGAGATCTTATCAATTAGACCATGGAATACACCCCATATGCTCCATACAGTCCACTGGGTCCACTGTGGATTTGACCCTCAATTGACTTGGGAAGAAAGCCTCAAAAAACCACCGCAAACTAGAACTATGGAGGCGTTCGCTGCAATAGAGTGAGCATGTGGGTATGATTATTAGACAAATAGAAACAGCTTGGAGAAAGAGATTATACCTGTACTTCCACAGTGGCTTCGAGAAAAGACAAGATCTCCACTTCCTCAATTGTTAATAGCTGCCATGACGTAAGGTTCATTCGCTAGAGGCAGGACTTTGAATAGACCACGCCACTCGCACTATGCACATCTGATGTTATATCTGAGAGTCTGGATACCTGGAAGATTCTCCTATTTGATATAAGCACGTTTACTTCATCAGACCATCACAACTGCGACAGTGATTGAGGCAGAGTTCCATTGAAGAGATGATCAAGGCCCATCTCACCCAGCAAGGATATTAGAAGCAGCATATGCATTCCGGAATCTCGTAGAACTTTGATGTAAGAGAAAGCTCTCTCCTGCACGGTGTTTTCGTTCATTCTGAGGGACTTGTTCGTATAGGGCGTTCTGGATTTCCCGGCTTCGGATGTGGGTGATGTGCTGCTGCTGGTTCAACTGTTGATCGTGTAGGAGCAGGAGAAGTAGAGGACTCTGTAGGCGACTGTCTTCGGTAAGATTGAATGAGTGTATACCTAATACTGTTGGTGCTCTGAATCAGCAAATCGCCATCAATGATTGGAAACCCCCATGTCTCGTGAGGACCGCAAGCGAGGATGCCTCAGAGGCAGAAGGTAACTTAATAGTTTGTCTCATCACTTCACAGTATTCGATATGGGACAATAATTCCTGTATAAAGTGAAAGAAGCAAGAACCAAAAGTATAGGATACAAGGAGGTGCCAACTTGGACAAGCCTTCACCGCCATGATGGTTATTCGTGTTTTTTGGCAGAGCAAAAACATCAACATGGCCTAGAAGAACCTTAAATCCCTTCGTACTAGCGCAAGGCCATCCTACTACTAGGAAGTATATCAACCGTTAAGAGTTTAATTTCGATCCGGGCCGGTCCCTCTTAACAGTTGCAGCAGATGGACATGCTAACCGATGACTCGTGTCAATGCGGGGCTCGATCATCGCATTCTCGCATTTTATACTCTAAACTGCTCTGTGCGTCTAATCGTGTATCACTTTAATCTAACTGTGCGTTGTACAGAAGAGGGTCCGTCTTCTGCAATTCGCACTGAAGTGCCCACTTTAGAACAGCCACGCAGCATGCGTGACCATATCGCACCGAGATACCCTCTTTGGGACTAGTCCGATCGTTATACTCGGGCAGCTGCAGCCTCAATCCGAAGATCCCTACGTTTGACATTTTCGCTTTCCAATGCCCAATTTAGGACTAGATATTTTAGTCTACTAAATTTAATCGGAGTTTATAATGTTAGGTTATAGATAATAAATTGATAAATTCTGTGTAGAGTCGAGAGATTTTGGTTTTTACTCGAATAGCTCACTAAATCGTCAATAAGGTTTAGTTTCAAAGAGAAATATACACATACAGAGAGAGAGAGAGAGAGAGAGAGAGAGAGAGAGAGATTTTCCATCTCACCGAAGAGCCTTAATGAAGACTGAGCGAACTTGCTCTCTTTCGGAGCTTTCAAGCCCCCAAAATGAATCAGCACCATCACTATCGCCGAGGCGTAGCCCTGGGACGATTTCCCACACGAGCCAAATAATTAAACCACCCGGAACTAGTCCTAAGCGATCCTGAGTACCGATTTTGTATCCAAAAAGCTTTGGTGTGTTACTCGAGCGCTTTCGGGTGAGATCCAGAAGGGCGGTTAGTTCTGGCGGGGTGTATACTGTGGCCTGTTGGCCTCCGGTATCCGCATCGTCCATTTCAGTGGTTCTGTGAGGAACTTGAACGTAAAATCACATAAACGCTGTTCTTTTACAGTCTCGGGGATCACGGCATAGGAGTTTAGCGGAGGCGTAAGAGCGGGCACCGTTGGCATCGTATTCTCCCTTGTGGACCTGGAAGTCATGCTCGTTTAGCTTTTCGAGGATCTTCCACTAGGAAGGGCGAGGTTGATCAAGAGCGATGATAGTTTCAGGGTCGACGCCCTTTTTAAACCATTTTGATTATGAAGATACCATTGGATGGGTGTTGGAGATGGGTGTTATGGGTGTGGAGTTTGGGAGGTTGAGAACCTTTTTGTATGACGAAGGTAGGCTTTCACCTGGTTGAAAGTCCCCGAGTCTCGGACAGCACTCACATACTAACAAACGACGCAAAAGAAACCAACCCTTTCGGGTGCATTTTTCATCCCCAATTTCTTCGACAACAAATTCTCCCTTGGAATTGGTGTATAATTCCGCACCCGCCACGGCTCCTTTACGCCCAGTGCAACTTTTCCATCCGTTGATAGTAGCTGGCGTCCGCCTCTCCAGCTCCTTTTGGCGTGTCGACAGCCTTCGAGCACGGTTTAGTTTGGCATATGCCAACGGCATTAACTATCACTCCACCACAATGATTGTCAACCCTAAAGTGGAGGCATTAATGACAATGGTGCTTTGTGCAGTCGGGGCTGGTGTTCTGACAGCCAATATCATGACGTCTATCAGCCCGCTTCGTCAGGGTTTCATCATCATCCAGGTCGTATGTCACTACCCAATCGCCGGCGGGCTCATGCACAGGTAGTTTAAGCTCAGGATTGTGCCTGTTCATTGCCCTTGCAAGCAGCACCCTGGCATAGGGGGGTCAAACACGAATACTGTTTCGCCAGTCACAGCCTCGTCTATAGAGATGTATTCCTCCAGGTTTTGCACAGTTGGCTTCTCAATTTGTTCCTTTATGTGCTTTGCAGTCTCAGGATCGAACCGGGTGTCGAGGAAGTATAAAGCGTTTCAGCCGGCAGCTGCCACGTATGGAGTATCCGGCGCCACCACCTGGAGGCCATATTCCCTTTCAATAACCTTAGGTATATAGTTGCCCCGATATTCCTCTTGGTAGGTTGGCGAGCCCTCACAAGGTCGGAATGGGTTCAGAGGCATGATGAGAAATACGAGAAAGAATATGGTAATTTAGAGACAAACTGACTATTAATTCTGCTTCAAATGTTTATGTGTGCCTCTGCGGATGTTGTGTCTCTTAAATAACCTGTTGAGGACGTATATAATGGAGAACTACCAGCGGCTTTTCCCACGCAAAAATTCGAAATCTAAAATATGATTAACTATTGGCCACTATATTGTGGTAGTAAAGCTACGGTTTCAGACGTCTGTGGAAGTCTTGATGTGCCGGCTGAACTCATTAAGCGGACAATACAGTAATTGTGTCAGAATACAACGACCGGGAAAAAGTTAGAGCCGCGCAGCTGCATGTATAAAAAATTTTCAAAATGGGCAATCTAGGATATACAAGCTCTGATAAGCGCCGGTCATTTCTAAAGAGAGTTGAGATAATGCTGCTCTGTGCGTCGGGATCCCCGACTGGTGCGTTGGTATGAGACTACTTCACTAAACAATTTTCAACACCTTAGCTATCACAACGTATCTTTACTAGTGCCCACTTATCCTTCTTATCCCTAGCTTCTAATTCTCCATATATGGAGACTGGTCATCAATAATCCATAGCTCCCTTCATTCTCGACCCGGATGTAATTATTCCTCTCTCTTACACAGCTGTTGATCGGTTTGAACTCAGCGAAGGGTAGATCTTGTACAAAGAGAAAGAGAGACGTTATCTTATAATTCATAGCTATTCTCCTTCCTCTTCTTCCCATCATTATGATACATAGTAAATGACGGCCTCACTTCGCTCGTACTAGGGCGCATAACGCCTATCCACCCCGAAACTTTGAGAATTCAAAGATCGAAGTACGCAGCGCACACTGATCAATCAGTATGCTTTTTCACTGCCATAAAGTAATGCATTTGCACAAAGGGCTGAAACAACATGCGTTTCCCACTTTTAATATCCCAGCCACTCAGATCAAGATCTTGCTGGCGCAAAAGCTCCTCGAGCTCCTGTGACGTTCGACAACGCATAGTCGACACCCAACCGTCAAATGCAAGGACGAAAGATATCAAGGGAATGACATATGTAAAAAACAGATGCAACGGACTGTTTCTGTACTTAGAGATAGTGTGCCAGAAAGGGAAAAGCAACATGACGGGAATATTCAACATAGATGTGATATCGCGTTGGGCAAACTCGAAAATCCTAATATCTGTCAACTTTTCAGCTAGTGATTCTCTTTGGATTGGAATGCCTACATGATAGCATCGGCTGACTCTACGGCTTTCCGCAGGATTGTCGATGCGAGAGGGTCATCAAAATGGTGGAAACACAAATTAAAAATCCTGCATTCCTTTCCATCTCGAGGGGCGATTCTCTCGCATCGGGTTGCGTCTAGTGGTTCAGAGATGAAAGAGACAGTGTCCTGTCGTTTGCTGATGACAGCCCATTCCTCCAGCCGAGGATAGAGATCTGTGAGAATAAATCGAGCAGCTTGCTGGCCTTCAGCTTCAAGTTTGCGATTCAGGATCTTCTCGATGGTGCCTGTTGGTCCGCCTGCTCCCGCGCAAAGATCCACAAAGGTGTAGAAAGACACATCCGATAAAGCCTCAATAATGAGGTCGGCCGCCACACCCGCTGGGGAAGTCTTGCTGAAGGGTGGGATGTGCAAATTCCAGACTTCGGTTAAATATGATTGGATGTAAGCCCTTACCCACTCGGGACACCAGGACTGGTCACCGATTTCGAATACATGGTATCGAGGGAATAGAATCATTGTGTAGATTTGGTAACAGGTCTCACCAAGAGGATATCTGCAGAAATAGATGCGACTTATATACGGTGCTGCGACATTTTCATGTGCTGGGAAACTTTGTATTTGATTCGATACATCAGCTAAGGGGCTACAGGTGACGAGATCGGCGCCCCTGGGTACATACATACATATGTCCACATTCATTTCTCATCCACGTTGCTTTTTATCGAAGTACACTAATGAAACTTTTGAATCATCACAGTACCAAACAGGGTGTTTACTACACGCAATAGGGAGGTACAGTGGCAGTTCAAACATCTTAGTCTGGAAACCAGACAAGCGGACCAACCAGACATAATTCAATCACACTTATTTAAAAGCTCTTTCTGAATCTCATTCTAATCGTTTTTTTCGATGGCCTAGATACCATTGCTCCGGTCTATGGTTCAACTTATGAAAACCCAGTGTAATATTGAGCGATACAGGTAGTCAGAGTGGCGCTATCGAGCCCTATATGCTTAATTTTGGCTAGATGTTGTATATCACAGTTACTACATCAATATCACCTCTCTATATTGGTACAGCATGTTGTAGTTAACAGCTTGTGCAATAATATTGTAATGATTCTAAAGCTTCCTTAGCTCGGCGGTGTATTTGAGACATACTCTAGGGTGTCAGCTATGACCAGCTATATAACAGCCATATCATAACTTGCTAAATCTAATAAAACATTCCACAGCTGTGTGATTTTAGCTATTAATAGGTATAATAGAATTTCAGAGTGAGTCAATCGTAAAATGAAGTAGAAATGTAGATTTTCATTGATTATTGGCCCGATGGTATGACGTCTCGGAAGATTCCGCGGTACGATCTGCGATCTGGAGAATGTCACCCAGCACAGAACTTCGACTTTATTACAAGGTGCCTTTCCATAGCTCCTTAACAGAACCATCAACTGCAGATTTGCAGTTCAATTCTCCAATATCATTTCCGAATTGGTCAATTTGATGTTCACCGGCATTGCTGCACCCGTCACCCTTGACTCATTTCTCCGCATTGGCTTCCGAACCACTTCCAGACCATCCCACCTCCGTTTCTTAACGACAACACCCTCGTGCGCACGCAGGCCAGGCATGTCTCACAACGAATCTGGCTCGGATGCCAATGTGCAGCGTCCAAAGAAGCTCATCTGTACGTTCGATACACCGACGCGGTCTCGGTGTGACACACACACACACACACAAGCTGGCAACGCACTACTCCGCGGGGAACTTCCCACCATGCTACACAGCTACAGAGCAACAAGCTAACTCCAATTCCACCTCACAGTCGCCCCCGGAGATATCGAAGCTGGAGCCGAGTCCCCGAGTCCCGAGACTCCCCCGACGCAAACACCTGCTCCGATCCCATCTCGTCTCGTGCAGGCCGAAGCCCTTCGCTCCGAAACCTCGACACCCAGTTCCACGACCGAAAGCCAGATTCTGTCCAACGCGGCGCGAGCACACCAATTTGTGACTAACCCGCCCCTCACCGTGTCCCAGCTCCACGGCACCAACCCGCTCCATCAATTTCACACCTGGTTCCGCGACCCACGCCTACCAGCCAGCTCGGCGCCAGAGACGTGCACCCTTGCTACGGCTGAGCTGCCCTCCGGCCGGATCAGCGCGCGGACAGTATATTTGAAGGAGCTTGATGAGCGTGGGTGGGTGGTGTATAGTAACTGGGGTAGTCGGGAGGGTAAGGGCGGACAGGTATTCGGACGACAGGCTTCGGCAGAGGGCGACACTACACCATGCGCGATCCCCGAACCAGGCAATGAGACACAAAACGGATCCGAGGCAGGCAATAAATGGGGCGCGTTGACCTTTAGCTGGTCGACCACGGAGCGCCAGGTTCGCGTGGAGGGTATGCTGGAGCCGCTTCGTCGGGAGGAGAGTGAGCTGTACTGGTGTACGCGCGAGCGTGGCAGTCAAATTGGCGCTTGGGCTAGCTGGCAGAGCCGTGTACTCTGGTCTGCTGAACCGGCTAAACTGGCTGAGCACCAGCGACGCAAGAGCGTGGCTAAACTGCAGGCTTCCGCGGGATCCGTGCCTGGTGCCGATGTCCCCGCCGATATTGATATCACGGATATCGATGATGGCCGGGCATTGCTTGAGCAACGTGTTAGGGAGGTGGAGGAGCGGTTTGCAGGTGTTACAGAGATTCCTCTTCCCCCTTTCTGGGGTGGTGTGCGTCTGGTGCCGGAGTCGGTTGAGTTCTGGCAGGGCCGTCGGAGTCGATTGCACGATCGGTTCCGTTATGTTCGTGTTGAGGGTGAGGGTGTAGAGGCCCAATGGCGTTTGCAAAGACTCTCTCCATGAGAGATCAATAAATAGATTCTACAAGTTGTTAGCGAATGTTTTGTCATGAATAGTCTCGCTGTCTCATACTCTCATATTCCCCCCAGTTAATGTCGATCTCCACTATCTTATCGGGCTTGGCACTCACCCTCGCCCTTCTCCGGCCGGGGGGTAACTTGGAGACTCTTTGACTTGACCTCAATTTCCTGTCCAACTGTACATCTTGGGAGGACTTGAGTTGTACAAACAAGCTCTATAATGTCTTCCTCCAACACACAACCCCAACCTTCGAAAGCTGCCTCATGGATTCTCGTCGCTCTGGCTAGCGGCGCATTCGCGGCCCTGAACGGGCTCTTCGCAAAGCTGTAAGCTATCACTCAATACATTGCAAAGCCATTGACTCTCCACGATCCATTGGTACTAAATCATACTTATCCCATTAGAACAACGGATACCCACACCACCGCATTCGCCGAGTCCATCGCCCACCTATTCGGCCTCGAGTCCTCCAGTTTCCTAGAACTCCTTGTTCGCGGTGTACGTAACACCTCCTCCCTTTTACTCTTCCATTCCACCACATTCACTCTCGATTTCTCCCTCTTTCCTATTTCAAGAATCATATACTAACACTATGTGTGTATAGCTCTGCCTCGGTCTCAACGTCCTCTGCAACATCATAATGTGGGCCCTGTTCACCCGCGCCCTGACAGCCGGTCCCTCCACGACGAAAGTCTCCATCACCAATACCTCGGCCAATTTCTTGATGACGGCCTTGCTGGGGATGGTTATCTTCAAGGAGTCCGTGGGTGGACTGTGGTGGCTTGGGGCTGCGATGATGGGTGCGGGTTGTATTCTAGTTGGGATGCGAGAGGGGGCGTAAATGTGTTCTTTTTTTTTTTTGGATCGAGACTGGAATTACCTTGCTATAAAGATGATTATAATGGCTGGTGGTCGATCTCGTGTTACGTGGAACCTTATCTTGTCTGACATCAGATCTGTGATGATCCATGGATGGGCCGGGCCACTGCTTTCACCAGGTCCTGTATAGACAAGTGATATCTACATCTGATCATAAAGCTCAAGACAGTGTTTAGAGAGGAATTAACACAGATAATTATGCTGGCTGGTACAGCAGATTGATCAAGCAAACTTGGCATTAACACTGTACATGACTCAACACCTCTATCGTCCTATATGACATGTTTATTACAGTTCTACCGACCACGGAGCCGGTCTTCTCTCTCCTCCAGTTCGACAAACGCATCATCCTCAGTACCATCCAAGATACCCTCAGGCTCAGATGACCTCCCGGGACGGCTCCGCTCCTGCAGGTGCACTGGTCGATGAGTTCGGATCGACCCACTAACAAATCCAGCAACCTTGAGAATAAGGCGCCATAGCCGGTCATCCAGCGTCTCCGGAGCAGGAGCATTCAAGTGACCACCCAGCGGAGCAGAGGCAAACTCGGACGCGCTCGTCGCGGCGAGCGCATGCTCCTCGGCTTCGACCTTGAACTGATACTTCAAGCAGTCCTTGACCGTAACCAGACCCGTCAGACGGCCACGGTGCTCAACGAGGATGACGCGAGGTCCCATCTTCTTGAATATTTCCATGACAGTCTCGAGAGGAAGGCGCGGGTGTACCGTCAACGGCGTGTGGTCGACATACTGCGAGAAATCCACAATACCAGCGCCCACACTGGCCTGGATTCCGTCAAACGTATCTGGAGCTCGGAGATGCTGTGAACCGGATGCGCGCTGTGCGACGGTTGCCTCAGCGGCTTCTTGAGTGAAGACACACCGGGCTCGGGGTGACACGAGGCCCTGGCTGCGAGCGCGATCGATAGCATACCGCAGCTCAGTCCGTCCGATATAGCCGACTAGAGTTTTGGTGCTGCGGTCTTCCACAATTGGGAAGCCCTGGAACTTGTTGTCGCTTAGGAGGTGCTCTGCCTCGCGCACGGGGAAGTCAGACGCCGGCAATGTGAGTGGGTCTGTCGTCATGGCGTGCGAGACGGGGACATTGAAGACATGGTCTTCCTTGTTGTCCAGGAAAGGGAAACCGTTGAACCAGATCATTCGATCAGCGATACCGCCGTTTCCGAATCGGTCTCCAACAGCTTTGGTGACACCGACCACAATCTAACGAGATGGCGAATGTTAGCTATCACTTGTAATGCAATCTACATTCTGTGCAGGGACATACCATGGTCGGTAGGATATAGGTCAGGGCACCCGTCAACTCGAACATGATGACCGTCACGGAGATGGTGAGGTGCATGATTCCACTAAGCGCTGCACCGGCACCCAGGAAGGCGTATGTACCAGGTGTGATACAAGGCACATCCGGATCGCACGATGCGAAGAAGGCGGATTTGGGGAAGGATTCATGAAGTGCCTGCACCATGATTCCAACCATACGACCGAATGATGCCCCAATAGCCATGGAAGGTACGAAGATACCTGCCGGTACTTTGCAGCCGTAGGAAATGATCACCAGTCCGGTCCGCAAAATTGTAGCAATAGCTAATGACAGGACAGTTGACCAGCGGTGATTAGTTCTGTCAAGTAAAATTTCAGTAAAATATGGGATTAGCCGGGGAAGAGGTCGTTGCATACTCGCACACTCCATTATAATCATGTCCACCTTCACATTCGCGGAACAAGATCTCCATCATCTCAGTCATGTTGATCTTCAAAAACATGTTCGGATAGCATAGAATAGCCGTGAGAGCAGCAAGAACGACGGACTCCGTAATAGGCCACTGGGAAAGGTACTTTTTGCGGAAAGCTGCTACTCGCAGATTCCACTTCATCACGAACGCGCCATATAATCCGCCAAAGATGCCGAGGAATGCAAAGAAAATAAGCTCGAAGAAGTGCCACGTGCGATCATATGAAACCTGAAACATGACCAATTGTCCAGTTCTGAATGGATTCAAGGCCTGCAAAAATCAGCAATTCGCTCTCAGGGCAGGGCAGGAACAGCACCAACATACCGCAAGTACACTTGTTGCCACCAAGGCACAGAAGTAGCTGCGCCAGAGAGTTTTGAGTGGGAAATAGTTGGCCATTTCCTATAGATCATCAGCATGCAGCTCCTATCAGCTGCTGGCGTTACACTATACCTCTAATGAAAACAGCACACCTCCAATCGGGCTACCAAAAGCCACGGCCACACCAGCGGCAGCCGATGCAGTCAAAATTTCTCTCGTTTTTGACGCGTTCTGCTTGTATTTACCGAAGAAGCGTGATATCACGTTTCCTGTACACACGGCAAAATGAACGCTGGGTCCCTCCTTTCCTACGGAGAGGCCGGATGCAATTGCTAGTGGCAATGCAATTGACTTGATGAGGAGTGTCCAAGCGCCCAAAAAGCCCTTCATAACGAAACCAGCAATGATACATTTGATCTCGGAGATGCCGGATCCTGCGGCATACGGAGCAAATGTTTTGACGAGAATTGCAGCGACGAATGCGAGTAAAACCTATGTAAACATCAGCTCTGGCCATTTTCAACTGCGTGAAGGTAAACATACCGCAAAAAAGAAATAAACCACGTAGTTTATCAGCCAAAAGGAAGTCCAATGTTTCCATTCGGGGCATCCTATTCAATCGTCAAATCAGGGTTATCCATGATGTGCAATGTTTAAAGCCGACTCGACGTACCATCCTCAGCACCCCAGCAGCAGAACTGTTCGTTGAGGTAGAATGCCGTCGTGCAGTGTCCCAACTTGATATCTGACAACCACTCGGTGATAATATTTAGAACGGCCGAGTTCAGACCAATGGCCATGCCAACAAGTGTCACCACAAGCCAGGCCTGCCCAGCATCATAGGACTCGCGCACTTTCCTTCGCCAGCCAAAGACACCTTCTTGGTCCCAGAATCCACCACCGCTCCGCCGCTTAGCCCGTCGAGCATTCTGTTCATTGACTGCATCTTGTACCCAGTCAATGGTGGTGAAATCTTCGTAGCGCTTGATCTCGCTGATCTCGTCTGTAATCGCGGGGGCCTGGGCGTCTTGAGCGTCGGAGGCAGGTTCGGGGTCGACTGGGGAGGAAAAAGAAAGGCCAGATAGACGGCGCAGGTTACGGCGCTCGGCGACAATCGAGGGCGACCTTGAAAATGTCGAGGAGGGGCGTGTCGAGGTCATAGCATCGACCCGGGCGGTGGAATCAGCATAGTCGGATTCGAGCTGTATCGATGATGCTTTTCCACCGCGGCAGGGGATTGCAGGCTAGCGCTGTGGGCGCGTCGGTAACAAGCTCTAGCCAGCGCTTTATCAAATTTCCTCGTGAGTCGTTCAGCTGCTTGTAATGATATCGGCGCTGTAAACAATCCTGCGGTGGAACGAGGCGGAGGTCGAGGTGTCAAAGGGCTACGTCGACGCCAAGTATCGATAACGGAGCCGTGCTGAGATAACGCCGCGCCCACGCGTTTGACTTTCTCGACTTCGTCACTCGCGCGATTAGACCAGTTTTACCTGAGAAACGCCTACTTCCACTACAGAAAGAACTCGCTAAAGCTGGCTACAATTTTGAAATATTCTTATCTTGCGCGACAACCTTCACTATGTCTCCTAAGAACGTTGCTGAGCCGGAGGAGATCACCGGACAGAGCGCCCTTCCCAGTTCGTACAGTCTACCCCATGAAAGACGATGCTAGCAGTGTCTAACGAGCTTGCAGTTTCTCGAGTCAAGAAGATCATCCAGCTTGATGATGACATTGTACAATGCTCCAACAACGCGACCTTTTTGATTGCCATGGCTACTGTGCGCTACATACTCCGTCTACTATACTTCGTTCCGCGCCGACTAACGTCATTCTAGGAGATGTTCATCCAGTATCTCGCCGAGCAGGGGCACAATGTGGTGAAGTCGGAACGGAAACCGCGCAAGACGGTGCAATACAAGGACCTCGGTAGGTTATACTCGTTACGCGGTAAAAGTCCATCTTGCAGTATGCTAATCCTGGTCTACGCAACAGCTAGCGCAGTCTCGCACATTGACAACCTCGAATTCCTCGCCGATGTGATCCCCAAGACTACGACATACAAGCAGTTCAAGGAGAAGAAGGCCAAGGATGCTGCTAAACACACTGAGATGGAGAAGGGCCAGCGGACCTTGAATGGGAACGGCTCGGCGCCCAGCAACACCAATGGCGCCTCTACTGAATCTGGCCTACCTCATACTGAAGCGGCCATATCGTCACCATCGGTTCCTCGCACACCCGTGGTCCCTGTGAGCGCGCTGATTGCCGACCGAACGGTTGATTCCTCGGCCCGGAATGACCCTGATGTTGAAATGAAGGATTAAGTCGGGGGGAGCCTGGCCTTTGGATTTGACCTCGACGGTTTGTTATATAACTGTCCTTAACGTTTGCATTGGAGTTTCACGGAATTGCTGGCAGGCTATTGCATGCCCGGTTTGGTTATGGTCGTCGCATCGGGTTCGGTCATAGGGAAGAGAAAGTAGTTTATAGTTCAGCCGAATAAGCCCAAACACACTCAAAATGAAAATTATGCAATTTCCAACCAATTCTTAATTGAAATAGAATAAACATGAATTCGGAATCAAATTTATATCAAATGTATAGACATCACTGCTGCTGGCCGAGAATGAAGTTCACCCGGGGACCCGCTCAGCCAATGACAGGCCCCGTGATTCCGATCGCTAGCGAAAGCTCTGGCTCCAACTTCGACTTCCGACTTCATCCACTCCCTCCATCTTCTCACCCGCCCTCCACTCGACGCAACGCAATTGTGGTCAACATCCCACTCCGTGGTCAATTGCATCACCATGTCGCTCTCCTCCGCTTCCAGCACTCTGCTGCGCACTTGCGCCCGCCAGCAGCTGTCCACCTCCCGCGCCGCCGTCACCTCCTGCCAGCAGCGGAGGGGAGTCGCCGATGCGAAGGCCTCGTTCGAGAGCCCCTTCGCCACCGCTAAGGAGCGTGGCTCGACCCTGAAGATCCCCAATTTCAGCAAATACCAGTCCAGCAATGCTCCTCGTTCCAACCAGGTCTTCTCCTACTTCATGGCCGGTACTATGGGTCTGGCTACCGCCGTTGGCGCCAAGGCGACTGTTCAGGGTAGGTAAAACCTTTGAGAACGCTTGAAGGATGGAATGGAGTTGGCACTGGATAGCCGAATTTGAGGATCGAATGGCTACGTGGGATGATGTCAATTGAACTTGATCCATGCTAACCATGTGCTTCACCCATACAGACTTCCTCGTCAACATGTCCGCCTCCGCCGACGTCCTGGCCCAGGCCAAGGTCGAGATTGCTCTCGGTGCTATCCCTGAGGGCAAGAACGTACGTTAACCACCCGGAAACAACCATACGCCTTCAAGCCCCATCATCCCTAACATCCGTTCCCTCTCTTACAGGTCATCATCAAGTGGCGTGGTAAGCCCGTCTTCATCCGTCACCGCACCCAGGAGGAGATCACCGAGGCCCGCGAGACCAAGTGGGAGTCCCTCCGTGACCCCCAGTCCGATGACGAGCGTGTGCAGCGCGCCGAGTGGCTGGTCATGCTGGGTGTCTGCACCCACTTGGGTTGTGTGCCCATCGGTGAGGCCGGTGACTACGGCGGCTGGTTCTGCCCCTGCCACGGCTCCCACTACGACATCTCTGGCCGTATCCGCAAGGGCCCCGCTCCCCTGAACCTCGAGGTTCCCCAATACAGCTTCCCCGAGGATGAGACCCTCGTCATCGGTTAAACGACCATCGCTTTACTCTCTCTCGTGATTGATTCCGTTTGACCCCGAAAGAACCCGCGATACATCCGATTGCGGAAAACTTGCTTCTTTAGACCGGGAAATGGTGAGGATGGGTGGTTCAAGTCAAGATGAAGACTGGACTGGGTCGATCTTGTCTGTGTATGTGCTTGTGTGATCTTTATTTTCCTTTTTTTAGACAGAGCGGCCGTGTGTGTGTCTTGTCAAGATTAAGAGACCGTGTTTTAATATGGACAAAAATGAGCCTCTTTTTCCCCTTTGTGTCCTCGGTCTCCAAGGTTGACCTCCAGGAGTGACAGTCTTGCTCTAGCTGCAATCAGCTGGTGGCATGATTTCATCCCGCCCGTCATCTTGAGTACATACTTTGTGTTCTATATCGCCCCGTGTATTGCCTAGTCATGAATTTTCCTTTGTGCTTCATCAAAATCGCTTTTCGATAAGATAAAAAATATGCGCTATAATCTCGTAGGCCTCGCATGACGTTCGACCAATTCGTTATATAGGGAGTACCCCACAAAAGGAAATGCTTTCAAGTATAGTACATGTGAGTCTTGACACCCACCTAGATCTATCTCTCCGTCTGTACATGATTGGCCAAAGGACTCATATGAGTATGTAAAGAACTGACAATATCAGAATTGTAAGGGAGGGAAAGACACAGTCCCGCCAATCCCGTATGCATAAACAAGGCTAGTCCTTTTACCGAGGTCTCACCAAAGCAATCACCAGGCCCACCACAGCCGCACCCGCTGCGGCGCTCTGCATAGCAGCCACGGTGAGATCACGCTGGGAGATAGCAACGGTGCGCTCACTGAAGAACTCATCAAACACCTGCCGCCAATAGCCAAGAGAGATTGGTGAGGTGGTAATGCCAGCAAGGCGAGAGTAGAGAGATTGCTCAACAATCGGTTCGGGAGAGAGAGATACTTCGATTGGAGAAGCTCCAACTGGCGAAACCGCGGGGACAACAGCCGGCTCATCAGCCTCGGCGGTAGTGGACTCAATTGAGGCAATGGATGACTCGACGGTCGAATCGATGACCTCGGGGAGAATAGCGGGAGCTGCAGACGAAGAAACACCGCCTTCAATACGGTTCATGTTCTTCTCCTTCTCCAACGCTTCAACGACCTTATCCTCGAAACCCTTGACGAGTCTGCGGCGACGCCACGGCTCAACGGCAATCTGGAAGATCAAGAAGAGAAGCACATTCATGCCCATCAGACCCCATGTACCCCAGGTACTCATGCGGCGGATCTTGTCCGACCACACCTGCTCTTCGTGATAACGGGAGAGAATGCTCTTGTTCAGTGATGCGGCGGCTTCTTCAGCCTCACGCTCTGCGCGAGACAGGGCCTCTTGTGTCTCTACCTCGGCGACTTCGTTGGTGTGGTCATTGCGGTAGAGCAGGGTGAACCGTTCCAGGTCTGTTGGGGACCAGGCATGCTTGCGCTGGAGCAGCTCGTTGACTTCGCGCTGGGAGGTGGAGCGGTTGTTGATTGCGGCTGTGTAGTCTTCCTTTGCTTTGCGAACATGTGCGCGAGCTGTGCGGAGACGGGCTTCTGTAAAAGTAGAAGAGTCGCAACATTAGTGTGTGTTCAAAATGTGGTATAGTAGGCGGGATGTCCTTTCTTACCTTGGGTTTGAATGTCCTTCTTGAGTGTCTCGATGGCGGAGTAGCCCGTCAGGTCATTCAAACGCTGTCCAGCTACAAAGACGTTGGATTGTAGATTATCCATCATCGTAGTGAATTGCTTCGACAGTTGTGACCGATGGTTCTCCAGATAGGACGGTAACCCTCCGCTCGTCGCGCCCTGGGCATTTGTGTTCTGTGTCTTTCCTTCCTTCTGCTCAACTTCGAGTCCCTCCAATAATACCTTATCACAACTGTTTATCTGCGTCTCTCCCGCTGGAGGCACCTCAGCCTCCGTGGAGCTTGCACGAGGGGTCCCCGCAGCCGCATCTGAGTCGGGCACACCTTCAGGCGCAACAGCCTGGTTCGAAGTCTGAATAATCCTCTGTATCTCCGCCGCGGTCTTATCCTTCTCATCGACAGGGGAGTACGACCCCGGCAGCCGGCGGAATTGGCATTGGAGGCAGACAGAGAAGCTCCGGGTCGTCGGCCTTGCGGGAAAAGCACCCGGAGGTGCCGGGCGGAGATGAGGCACTTGCACCGGTCGGGCGGTTGAGCGAGTGAATTGTAGGCTAGGCCGTAGCGATTGGCGCAGGAGCAATGGCATGGACTGCATGGCCGGTGTCAGGGCCGAGGACCTGGAGGAGAGGTGTGGTCGGTTGGGGTGTTGGAGTCCACTGTTTCCCTTCCGGCCGGAAGAGGATCGTCTCGGAGCGGACTGCGCTTATCAGATGGGGCGGTGGAAATCATCCATAGTCGAGTATACAAACTCGATTCAAGTCGGAATTCGTGTCTTCTCGACATTTGAAAGGCCTTTTCAATCCTCGTATGAGATGCATCTGTCAGTTCCAGTATGCTTCATTGTAGATGGACAGTTACAGAGTGGTACAGTTCTTGGCAGGCTACAGTCTTTCTGATATATATCATGCAGCGCAGTAAGTGTCAATTGCACTCCCTGTTGGCACCATCTAGTCAACCGACCCTGACGGACATAGTCTTGACTGAGACCAAATCAACTAGACATGAGCTGAAGGCCGATACCAATTTGTGACGAAGCTACCTACCTACATGAGTTGCAAGATAAATAGCGGTTGAGTGGTGGTCAACTCCTGTCGAGGCTATTTTAGGCAAAAGAATTACTTGCATACGGAACAAATCATGAAAGAAGATCGAGAAAACAAACAGCCCTGGAGTTGTGCGCTGATAAAACAGTTAAAAGAAACTATAAGAACATATCCTTCGTCAAAGTCATAAGAAAAACCCACCCCATCCAAAGCTGGACGGAAGTTTTAAGAGATGGAGGCCAAGCGGATGCGAACTCTGGCAAAACACAAATTAAGCAGTCATCATCATTGTCAACACCAAGATCTTCCGCCCCCCATTTAATCCCGGGACTGAATCTTGTTATCGCCCTTCACAGCTTCAGCATAGGTAGGTGGCGGTCGAGCCTCAGACCCTCCTTCGCCATTGCCAGCTCCAGCACCTTGCTGGGAGTGATCAGACGGCTTGGGCGCATTCGACGAAGCGTTCTCCTGCTGGCCTTGCTGGTTGACGGTGCCGTAGGACTGTCGCTGGGAGGGGTGTTGAAGAGGCTGGTGTGAGACATAGTAATACGTCACGCGACCGTTCTCGAGATCGCGGCGCTGGCTGGAGCCGCCGGGGATGGGTTCGTAGGCTACATCGTCGTAGTCGTGGTCCGGGTATTTCATGATGATATACCATGCGTGGATGAGACCCGGGATGTAGCCCAGCAGGCAGAGGGCGATGTTGATGAAGGAGTCTGCGGTGCAGATTCCCGCCTTGATCCAGACTATGGTTGGAGAGGGTTAGATTAGCGGTCATGGTTCAAATGACATGTACGGTTCCAGGTCGTGCATCGGGTGAGGAGGGTTCATAGCAAGGGCGTAATGTGGGGTATGAGAGTTGCTTACCAGCAATGGGTGGGAAGAGGACGGCGAGGATCGCCAGGAAGATATCGGAGCTGCACATGGCTACCGACGGGAGGGGTTGGTTAGGTTGCGCTCTATGTATCACTTGCAAGAATGAGGGGATGAAGGATAGGTCAAGATCCAAGATCACGACGAAAGCTTGTCAGGCCAGGGCACAGAACGTGAAGTGAGGATTTCCTATTCAACTGTCGATGTGGTCTGGGTTGAGTTGGATTGTGGTTTCCAGATTCCAGATTGTTCAAGTGGCAGCCTGCTTCGATTCTGGGGGATCAGATGACGTTGATCATGTGACATCAGAAGGTGATGTGAAAGTTATGGCCTGCAACGTGAGGCATCAACAATAGACTTTCCAACTGCTACCAATTTTGTACTTCGATCAGACGACAGTTGACAGCTCACCTTATTATTGAATTTGCTACATCAATTTAGAGCTATTGTGGATGCCAAGCATTCTGCATCAACCGTACTCCTTTACTCTGTGCATGATCGACATATATAGAGGAGAACTAACGAAGCTACTGGTCTTGCAGACGTTGTACAAAGTATTTATTCACTACTTACTCGACTACCGACCGTAGAGAAGCGGGGGCCAGAGCCAGGGTCTTCACGCGAGTTTGGTTCGGTTCTTAGTATAGAATTGTGTACCCGCTCTATGCCGAAATCGTCCTGACTGCCGGCTGATGGGAAACCATCATACCTTGTAGGTATATGCAACAATTCAGAATTCAGAGACCAAAGTCCATACCCTTGTTATAGATCGTCATCATGCTTAATGCATGCTCTGCATCTTACAGCAGAAAAATACTCCGTCCCTCGCATGATGCCCAACCACCGGCCGGATAGCTCACATTATTTGCATACCCATTGCAGGATGCAAGGTGAGCCTCGGGAACAATTCAATGCCTCTATTCTGTACTGTACGCCGTACCGCTCTTGTACGTCTTTGTACCCATTTTCCAAGGCGAAAAATTTGCAAGGCGGGTGGGTGATAGCGATCGGCCAAATGGGTCCTTTCAGGGGCAATCTGAATGGTGGATATCAACAACGCCAGGTACCGCTCGGGACTAGCCAGCTTCTGAGATAGGACTAGAACAGGCACCGCGGTCTTGCTGGCTGGATTACTGCCAATCAGGGGAGTTTCTGAGCGCCGTTACTCCCAAGTTGAGTTGAAGCTCCGGGCCAGAATTTTGATACGCGACAAAATTGGGCAAATCGAGGCCGAAAAGAAGTGTAAACAAAGCGATACGCCTAGTCGCCGAGAACATGCTCACTATTATGCTGACACTATCCTAATAATTGAATCCTCGTGAATCCTGTAAACTACTGTACTCCGTATATTGAAAGGTAATTAAACGGCTCTAGGACACGGCCCTCGTTTCAGATTCTTCCAGACCAGTTCGTCTCAGAGTTCCTGCCCCCCCCTTTTTTTACCAGTCAAATCTGCTCTGCCAGCACCAAGTCCCGAGTACTATTATTACTAGATTACTAGTACTAGAACCTGCTGCATCGGGTACCTGAGTCTGACAGTATTCCTCGTAGTATCCACGTACCCCCCTCAAACCCCCCAAACTCCCCCCCCCCAACCCACGCCCAGACCAACCGAGCCAGACCTGCACATCTCCCAAGTCACCTCTACCTCCTCCTCTCCTCTTCTTACCTCGTCTCTCTCGATTGGCCATCCTTTCTCTTCGTCTTTCTTCGATCCTGGCCACCGCGCCAGTCGATTGATCTTTCCTTCCCTGCGGGTCCACGTCCGTTGTTGGCGCCCGAGTCACTCGTTTTATCTCATTCCTTCTCACTACGCCTTTTCTTTCCAACTTCCTTTCTTTCCCGAGCAAGAAGCGACCCTTTCCGACTGCCCTGGCATACGACCATAATCGACAGCACTGATCCCGGGTCTCCTGGACAGCAATTGAGAACGACATGCGACGCGTGTAATACCAACCATCTCTCGATTATATCTGACACATTCTCCGGGAGCATTCCTCGGGTTACCGACCAGGAGGAACGACTGCCGCGAACACCTATACCGAGATGTCGTCCTGTCTGTCGCTGTCGGGGTCGACGGCCTGTTCAGCATGGAAAAGCTCCAAAGTCTCGCTCAGTTCCAGCCAATATGCGAGTTTGTGAGTGGGACCGCGCCCGGAACGCATGGGAGGTTAACTAACGAATCATGCTCGGCAGTCCATGGCTCGATGGCGTTTCTAATCTCACCACATTCGATCAAGCCTTGAGCAACTATGTCGCAAACACATATGTCACCTCTAAGTATGTTTGTGGTTCATCACGGGGGAGACAGGCGTACGATCAATGAAGCTAACCGTGTCTCTCCAGATATGCCGACCAATTGGGCTGCGATGGCCTGAACAAAAGCGCCATGAACGATTATTATGCCCAATATACCACCAGTGTCATCTGCAGCGGTCTCGTTCAGAGCTCCAAGAACGACTGCAGTCTGTCTTCCGCCCAATCGGAACCACTTTGTGCCGAGACCTGTGCGCTTATGGCCACCAGCGAGCAAGAGATTATGGTCAACAAGGAACTCTGCCCGAAAACCACCAAGGACTATATGAAAGAGATTCGCTCCGATTTCACCATTTGCTCCAATCCAGCCGACTCGCTAACAGGCAGCTGCGTGAGTGGATCCGACAACGAGCCTAACAACTGTGGTTTCCGCACCAATACAATTGGTCTCTGCACCTACTGTGCTTCTAGCTCGCCCAACTCGACCGATACATGCTGTTCCAGCTCCAATGCCACGAGTCGATGCAGTGGTGTCACCATTCCAAGCTCAACCGCGACTCTACAGCCGATCGTCACGACTACCGCCGCTGCCGCTGCAGGTGCTAGCCACGGTCTCTCAGGGGGTCAAATTGCTGGCATTGTGGTCGGATCGGTTGCAGCAGCTGCCATCATTGGTGCTCTTTTGGCGTTCCTCTTCATTTGCACTCGCCGTCGCCGCAAGTCACAACCGGATGCTGCGCTTAATCAACCCAACCCACAACGCAAGGGCGCGACACCACCAATGCAGCAGCAGCAGCCTGAAAGCCCAACAGGATATAATATGGTTCCTGGAGGCCGTGTTGCTCGCATGTCCGCTTTGCGTGAGGTTCCCAGCTCCTCCTCACCAGCTTACTCTCGAACATCTGCCCCGATGTTCGGCGGTACCAAGTATAGCGATTCGTCTGATTCGGAGGCTATGGGTGCCAGCCCCGGGGCCATGTCTCGACGAATTCCCCCGGTCACTGGAAAGCGTCACGGCTCGCTTTCAAGCAGCTCCGCTCTGGCTGGTCTTGACAGTGACAGCTCACCCCTGTCCGGCACTGCACACCAATTCTCATCCCCCGAAGGAGTGACCAGTGGCCAGTCCGAGCAGCTGTCGTACTTCCGTGACTACTACTCGCAAGACGACATTCAGCCCGGCGACAAGGTGGCTGCGCTGTGGGCATACTCTCCCCGGGCAGGTGATGAATTCGAGCTGGACCGCGGCGAGATGTTGAAGGTGATTGGTATTTGGGACGATGGCTGGGCCACGGGTGTGCGTCTCGGCGAGCGAGCTGAGGATTATGACATGCATCGTGAACAGCGTGATAGTGGAGTCTCCAATGGCTCACATCGGCCGGGCCCGTCACCGGTACCCTCCGGCGAGATCAAAGCCTTCCCGTTGGTATGTGTCTGCCTGCCTCAGCACTGGCGGAAGATCATCGACGGCGGTGTCCAGGAGGACGATGATGAAGTTTGAGCGCGGGAGTCGACAGTGTTCGATCTCCCTTGTTTTCATGCGATTCTTTACGCCTTGACGACAGCGTGTGCAGCATTCTCATTTCGTCGCGGCAGCTTCGCGAGAAGTCATCTCACCCGTGTGCTTATGCTTCTTCGTGAATCCTCTCCGGCTGGCCGCCCTTACCATGTCCAACTAAACGATCCTACCCCCCTCCCTCGCGATCGTCTGGGGATGCTCGTGTGGGATGATTGTGTGTGCAACTCATTTTTGTTTCTTGTTCGTATTCTATATACCCCCCATTTTATGGTGATCGATCTGCTCGTCCCTTTTTTCGTTATCTCTCTCCTTTTTTCTCTATCTATTCTTCCCCTTCTCTCTTCACTACATTGACTTCATCAATGTCCTGTGGAACCGACCGCTGGCGCAACGGAACTCGGGCAGAGTGAGGGCCACCCTTGCATACCATGGATGCTGGTCTTGATTCTTGTTTCGTCTTCTTATGTACATCGGTACCCCGCCGTTGAGAGACTGCGCAGCGTGTCCTCCGGTGATTGTTTTTGTTTTCAGGATATCCGGATACATCTAGTGCAAACATTAATGTATGTACATAATTAGACTCGAATCTCATTCAAAAGCTGGCCTCGAAAGTGATTGAACTATGTAGTACCTCATGTCGTACTTTCATGGCTGAGAATGTGTACTGTGGTACTGTACCCGCCTCCACCACCAGACATACAACTCTCCCCACATCTGTAGTGGTTCTCTCATCATTTCTTACCCGGCTCGGCGTTAAGGAGAACCCGGGGACCTCGATTTCGCAATTCGCTTTTACTAATCCACCCCTCCTTCTACCACATTCCGTGATACCATAAATAATGGCGTCTTCCCCAGATTGTCACAGATATAAGCATCTACATCTTCTTTCACATTCTCATTCGGACTCGCCTGGTTGATTCAACTTATTCTTCGGTTACTCTCTTACAATTCACATCATGGCCTCCCCCAAGATCACTCTCTACACCAACCGCGGCTGCCCTTGGGCTCACCGTGCCCACATCGCTCTCAAGGAGCTTGGTCTGCAGTATGAGGAGGTTACTATTGACTTGAGCGTTCCGCGTGAGCCCTGGTATCTCGAGGTCAACCCGGTATGTACATACACGCTAGCAACTCACCAGTACCTAGCTGGTGTTCCTCCCCGCGACATAGCATTTCCAGCTTTGAACGGCATACACCTAAGAACCAAGCCCTAATCCCTTTTTCATATAGCGTGGCCTGGTCCCCAGTCTCTCGTACGACGGCAACATCATCACCGAATCCGGCATCGTCGCGCAATTCCTCGCCGACGCACACCCCTCTCACCTCCTCCCGGCCTCTGGCCCGGCAGACAACGCGCTGTACCGCGCACGCCTGGCCTTCTTCGTCGACGCATTCTTCAGCAAGGTTGCCCCGCACTTTTTCGCTAGTATCAGATCCGCCTCTGAGGCAGACCGCGATGCTGCCGCGGAGGCATTGGTTGCCGGTGTCGTGAAGGAGGTTGAACCTCTTCTTGCTGATACGGAGGGCAAGGGTCCTTTCTTCGGTGGTAGCGATAAGCTCACTTTGGCTGAGGTATGTTTTCCCACTCACTCGGGCTCTTCCGCCCTTGTGTGTTTTTGTAAGAGTCATTAAATTAACGTTGGACGTTAGGTTCTGTCTGGTTCTTTCTTGCTCCGCATCCTCGGCTTCAGTAAGCCGGAGCATGGTCTTGTCAGTGCCAAGCTGCCTGCGCTGCTAGAGCAGCAGGCTCCACGATTCAAGCGCTGGGCTGAGGCTACTATTGCGCATGAGAGCGTTAACTTCATTTGGGAGGAGAAGGCTGTCGCGGATAAGATGCGGGCCAAGTTTGCGCCTAAGCAGCAGTAGGTTGCTGTATTTTGAGAGCTTGTGGCTGGATCAGATGCTCTAATTACGATATTCACATTTTTGTCTTTTCGGTGATTGGCCTATTTCGAGACTGGAAATGTAGACTTCCCGAAGTTGTTTAAGGATGTCCCTTACGGTAGAGATTTTGGTATAAATAGTGTAGGGCATCCATGCTTCTTGGCTGAGGGGCCTCCAGTGACGTGTACGGGCCCTGCGTCCCATGGTTGAGGGCCACGTCCAACTTTAGCGTGTAGGTACTTTCGATTCCACATCTCTTCTCCCCAAGACATCAGAGCCTCCGCTACTGCGGTTTACAAATGCCGTACTCGGAACAAGTATGTCGTGCAGGGCCTATCTACGCTAGGTGATGTGATCTTCAACATCCCTACTGCGTGGATGTGGAGCTACAAAGTTGTTGGTGGGATAGATGTCAACTGTAGCCTAGGCTGCCAGCACACCTCATGGATGCCTGGGCAGAAGAACTCGTAATACAAGGACGAAAATGGTGTTGTAAATACTAGTGATTAGAGCCTCCTTCGACACATTTATACCAGGACAGCCATGACATTGTAATTTGACCTGCCAGCACTGTTGTTTATTCCAAAATAGGAGTACTGGGCATCACGTGCAGCCACCCCCACCATCGCAACACCTGGGCAACAACCCCTCCGCCCTCATCCCCCCCATCAACTCCCCCATTCCCCGTTAATCTTGTGAGAATCCCCTTGTCCTTGTTTCTTGTGTAAGCTGCTCTCTCTAGCTGTGACAACGGGAGCTTCTTCCTCACCGCCCTCGTTGCTCATGCAATTTGACCTCGAGATGAGACTTCCCCTGTTCCTGACATCTCAGCCACTGACATCGTGTGCCACTTCCTAGGCGACCATCCTCTTCCCCTTTTTCCTCTTCTCTCATCTACACAGAAAATCATGTCGGTACGTATCAAACTAGACACGGCTTCCAACTCCCATTGCAATTATATACTGATTTGATTTGTTGCGCAGCTCGCATCCGGGTATGATCTTTCCTTCCCCTTCGACCGTCAGCGGCAAAGTCACCCGCCATTCTCCCTGAATTTCATATTGATATTTCGATTCGCAGTGTTTCCGTCCAGGACGAGTGCCTGACGGCATTCAACGAGTTCCGTCTCAGCAAGGGCAAGACCAAGTACATCATTTACAAGATCTCCGATAACAAGAAGGACGTTGTTGTGGATGCCGTCGGTCACGACCAGGACTACGAGGTTTTCCGCGAGCAGCTCGCTGCTTCCAAGGACAGCCAGGGCCGCCCCGCTCCCCGGTACGCTGTCTACGACGTTGAGTACGACCTCGGCGGTGGTGAGGGCAAGCGGTACGCATTCCCCCATTTAGGCATCCGCCATATACTTTGTGATGGGTGGTTCATTTCACTGACCTGTTTCCAATTATAGAAGCAAGATCATCTTCATCTCCTGGGTCCCCAGCGACACCCCTACTCTCGTAAGTTTCAATTGCCAGTCATTGGAAATGCGATGCTCGCATTGAAACGAGCAATTCCCATCGGCTAACACTGTTCTCTAGTGGTCCATGATCTACGCCAGCACCCGCGAGGTCCTGAAGAACGCTCTCAACCTGTCTGCCTCCATCCATGCCGACGACAAGTCCGACATTGAGTGGAAGACCGTCCTCAGCGAGGCTAGCGGTGGCAAGGCTGGTAAATAGATAACGGCGCCGGCTGGGTCCGGGCTGCGTGATTGATAGGGGGTTTGTTTTCCCACCTCGGCGGTGCTACGGCACGATCAAATCCATCACCTTCTCTGCACACCGTTCTCCTTGTTCTCTTCTTTTTTTCCTAGTTGCAATGCAAAGACCGTTACGACTTTGGCCGTTTTTCTTTTCACTTTTGTGGAACAGTCATGATCATCCTTTTATCTCTTGTTCCTTTGCGTATCTTTGATTGATTGCCTCGTACTTTTGGTTCTAAGTGTGTTTCCAATGCGATTGGTGATTGTTTTGGGAGGCAGGCTGTCCCTATGAATTGGTTGAGGTAATAAGGTAAATAGGTGGTAGGATTGACATTTAGAGGAAACTAGGAGATGAAGTATTAGTGCATGACGAGTAGGATAGCTTGAGGATCATCTGATAGCCAGCAATTTTCTACTTTATTTTCTGCCGTGGTTGTACAAGCCCCTTCCTAGGGCTGCGATCGAGTCCGTACGAGCGTAGGTGGGTTGCCGACTGGGGATGATTCAATAAAATGATGGTAGTAGTGGTATTTCAAGTACTAGGATAATACAAAAGACTTTTTTATATCGATTTAAGGCTTCTTCTCATACATTTCCATACAATTCTGGCCCAATTTTCATCGTATGATGTTGCTCAGAATGATGATGATGCTCACTGGCGGCCGGGCTGGGCAACGGCCCAATCAGCGGGCGGACAAACCAGGCCAGCGCTAGTCCGGAAACCTCGCGACTTCCACCTCAAACCACCAGGACCAACTTCAATCCTTCCCCATCCCCCCCGACCCTCCCCCTCCACTCTCTTCTCCAGCCGAGTCCCCCTCGCTGCCAGACTCCTCTGGTCCCGGACTCTCCTCTCCACTATCAATTGACTCGTTTTCGACGTGGTGCTCCCACCTCCCACCTGCCGCACAATGTTTCTTCGCTCCATCGCTCGCGCTGCTCCTCGCAGCCCGGCCGCCATCCGTGCCGGCCCATTGGCCTCGCTGAACGCTATGCAGGCCCGCGCTGCCTCCGACCACGCCATCTCGAACCCTACCCTGGCCAGCATCGAGAAGCGCTGGGAGGGCATGCCCCCTCAGGAGCAGGCCGAGCTGTGGATGCAGCTCCGTGACCGTATGAAGGTTGACTGGCACCAGATGACCCTCCAGGAGAAGAAGGCCGGTATGTACAATCCTGTCGATATTAAATTGCAGTCTCGGAAGTGGTTGCTTGCCTACCCTGTGATATCCGAGGCTGAATTTTATCGGCAATCCTTGAATTTCCTTTTTCGGCATCGCTGATAATCCTTTTTTTTCACGTCTAGCCTACTGGATTGCCTTTGGTCCTCACGGTCCCCGTGCTGAGACTCCCAAGGGTGAGGGCCTGAAGATCTTCTTCAAGGTCACCCAGCTCACCGTCGCTTCCTTCCTCGTCTTCTACGCCATCCACTACTTCGCCAAGCCCCAGCCCAAGACCATGTCCAAGGAGTGGCAGGAGGCCTCCAACGAATACGCTCTGGTACATATTCTCTTTTCACTTCTTTTATACTGCTGGCTGCAAGCAGTTTCTTCAGATCGTTGCGCACTAGCTCCATCGCTGATCAGTATTTGCTAACATATTTATTCCCCCACAGTCCGAGAAGATCAACCCCATCCACGGCATCAGCAAGGAGGGTTACGAGGGCAAGGGCTTCGTCCAGAGCCCCCCCGCCGAGAAGTCATAAGTGGGCTAGGTGCCCGATTGGGGATGAGCAGGAAACAGATATTGGTGTCGGCCGGGGCGAGATTTCGATTTCGCACGCCCATCTGGACTCGGGGATATTCTCCTCGGGTCATGGTTTGTATGCTGCTTGCCATGCTGTCGACTTGATCGCTGATGGACGCCCGGTCGACACCAGTCTGTTGGACAGTTCATCTTTTTTTGTCCTTTGGCCCACAAGCATCCGAAAATGCGTGTATCCCGTACTGTGCTATAGTCAATGTATCTCTTTTGTAGCCATAGAGAAACAGGACCGTTTTGCTGTTATATTATACTATTGTTTGTTCTTTTCTCTAAGATTTTGTCTCGATGTGTAATGTGTGTATACCGACTGTCCTATATGGTGATCCTCCTCGTACGTAGGTGGTTTCCCCGTGGTGCGTCTTTTTCCCGGAGGGATTCGGAACCTGCAGGGCTGGTGCGGAGAACCCCTGTCCAAGCGCACTGCAACGAGAGAAAGGGCCATTGCGAGGTGCAATGTGGCCAATTTGGAGAATAGGAAAGGGGAATTAATCGTTGGGATGAGTTTCGATAATTTGTATATTTTATACTATAACTCGGAACCCGTGACGAGCTGATAGGAGCTCCCAAATTCCTATGGGTTTCATACCAAGGACTCGGATGGGTGGTAGAGGACCTCCGAGTTACACGTCAGAGATTTTCGACCGGAGAAAAAGCCGGGAACTGGGGAGCAAAGCGAACGACCACCACTCCTCGAAATTTAGGTCAATGGGTGAGAAAATAGTGAAAGAACATGAGTTGAAGGTTTCTGGTGATTTCTATGGAAATATGCAAAGCAGCTTTTGCATGCTGGACAGCTGTTTATAGTTGCGCTGGGGGCTCCCCTGCATCCGGATGCCAAGGCGACCGGTGAGAAGGAGGAGGATTGCCAGGCAACGGGAGAGAAACACCACCACACCACCGAGGGTGAGATGGGAGTCAAAGGAGAGCTAGTAAATGGTCAATCATAGAGAAAGGTAAAAAATGGGAAACTATTTCAAGTGTTAAAATTGTCCAAAAGGGATTCATTTGGTCTATACTCCCCTGTGCCTCCGAGCATCGGTTCATCACGGGACCATCGGCAAAACCGCCCCGGAAAGGTGTAGTGCGGCCCAGTTCCCGTGCCAGCGAGGAAGAGAGACACTGAGAGTCCACCAACCTCTTCCCATTCCTCTTCTTCCCTCTTTTCCTCCCCCCATCCACACCTTTCCTATCCCTACACCTCGCTCTTCAACACCTCCATCATGTTCAAGAGGTACGTCACCCCATGATCCCCAATTCTAACCTTCCGCTACTCTTCTTCAACATCCATTTCCTTTTATCATCAACGTCTTGAATCCCCCTAACTGGTTTTTCTTTCTCTACAGCGGTCTCGCCCGGACCTTCGGGAGGGCTGCCTTCGCCCGGCCGACCCCCGTCGCCCGTCTCCGCGCCACTGCCCTGCCCGCCCTCTCTGCTCGCTTCGCCAGCTCGGATGTCGCTCAGGCTGGCAAGATTCACCAGGTTATTGGTGCCGTCGTTGACGGTATGTGGTTACTCAACGCCCTGGTGGGAACTTGGGGGAGGAACGCGGCCGCGAAAATCTTTTCCTCGGCCCCAATCCATCTCCAAAGCCATCGCAATCGATCCCAAAATAACGCCAGAATCACTCGCTGACCTGCTATTCGCCATATTACAGTGAAGTTCGAGGGCGAGAAGCTCCCTGCCATTCTCAACGCCATTGAGACCGAGAACAACGGCCAGAAGCTTGTGCTCGAGGTTTCCGTACGTGCCCTCTGATTGGTCCACCCCCGACCTCCTCTCAACAACCCTCTTCTCTCTTCTCTCTTCGCATAAAACTAACCTGTCTTTCTGTATAGCAACACTTGGGTGAGAATGTCGTCCGTACTATTGCCATGGACGGTAAGCTGCCCCTGCGTCTCTTCCTGTCGAGCCACCGTGTCGTGCCCTTGTCCCCATCCCCAAAAGGGGATGGGGACCCACACGGTCGGCCCGGCATGCTTTCTTGCCATACGCTTGACCTGGCCTTGCTAACGTCCATCTTCAGGTACCGAGGGTCTCACGCGTGGTGCTGTCGCCCGCGACACCGGTTCCCCCATCATGGTTCCCGTCGGTCCCGGCACTCTTGGCCGTATCCTGAACGTCACTGGTGACCCCATTGACGAGCGTGGTCCCGTCAAGGCCACCAAGTACCTCCCCATTCACGCCGACCCCCCAGAGTTCGTCGAGCAGTCCACCTCTGCTGAGATTCTCGTCACTGGTATCAAGGTCGTCGATCTCCTTGCCCCCTACGCCCGTGGTGGTAAGATTGGTCTGTTCGGTGGTGCCGGTGTCGGTAAGACTGTGTTCATTCAGGAGCTGATTGTAAGTTTTGAATACCTATCGCAAGATGAGAAGTAACCGTTTGGCGCATACTAACTTCACCCTTAATAGAACAACATCGCCAAGGCCCACGGTGGTTACTCCGTGTTCTGCGGTGTCGGTGAGCGTACCCGTGAGGGTAACGATCTGTACCACGAGATGCAGGAGACTGGTGTCATCCAGCTTGAGGGTGAATCTAAGGTCGCTCTCGTCTTCGGTCAGATGAACGAGCCCCCGGGTGCCCGTGCCCGTGTCGCCCTTACCGGTCTGACCATTGCCGAGTACTTCCGTGACGAGGAGGGTCAGGATGTGCTGCTCTTCATTGACAACATTTTCCGTTTCACCCAGGCCGGTTCCGAGGTGTCTGCCCTTCTCGGACGTATCCCCTCTGCTGTCGGTTACCAGCCCACTCTGGCCGTCGACATGGGTGGTATGCAGGAGCGTATTACCACCACCCAGAAGGGTTCCATTACCTCCGTCCAGGCCGTCTACGTGCCCGCTGACGATCTGACTGATCCCGCCCCCGCTACCACCTTCGCCCACTTGGACGCCACCACTGTGTTGTCCCGTGGTATCTCCGAGTTGGGTATCTACCCCGCTGTCGACCCTCTGGACTCCAAGTCCCGTATGCTCGACCCCCGTATCATCGGTGACGAGCACTACAACACCGCCAGCCGTGTCCAGCAGATGCTCCAGGAGTACAAGTCTCTCCAGGATATCATTGCCATTCTTGGTATGGACGAGTTGTCCGAGGCTGACAAGCTTACCGTCGAGCGTGCCCGTAAGCTCCAGCGTTTCCTGTCCCAGCCCTTCGCTGTCGCCCAGGTCTTCACTGGTATCGAGGGTACCCTCGTCGACCTGAAGGACACCATTGCCTCC